CATTAGAGTAGATGGGTACTCACGGGTGCGAGCGTTCGGGAGCGCTTCGTTGCAGCGACATCCGCATCCACCGCCGCGCCCCGCTGAGAGTGAGAAGGCGAGGGCGATGCCATCATGGACTGAGGCCATCCGGCGCTGGTGCTGCCGGCATCATTGTCGAATACGCACGAGGTACGCTTGCGCTTCGAGACTGGCGTCGCTTGAGCATGCGAGTGGGAGGGGCTCTGCGAGCGGATGGGCGACCAATAACCCGATGAAGAAGGGCGGCTAGCGATGGCGATGGTCATGGTTGGGGCGGTGTGAGGAGAATGAGAATCAAGGAGTGTGTTCAAGGTCGCGATGGTGAGGAGGAAGGGGACCCCTTTGCGGAGTAGTGAGTGGATGGATGCAAAGAGAGATTGGAATGCGAGCCCGCCTCGTCGTGTGGCCCTGTCCGCCCCGCCTTCCTTTCGCGCTCGTTTGGGTTTTGGCCTGCGCGACGCGCCATCCACTCCGGGAGGGGGACGAGACGGAAGGGGGGCGGGAGCGGGCATGTCGAGGCGGGTACGAGTCGCTCTCACCGTCAATCTACCCTCTCGCCCATCTCAGTAATCAATGCCACGACTATTCGTTCATCTTATGCCAAGCCGTCACGACGAAGAGTTGCTCATTTTCTTCACGATGCGATCGTGTTCCCTATACCGCCTGACGAGCGCATCAAGGATTGAAAGTGACGGCACGGAGCATTAGGCAGTGGTGTCGTCGCCCTCTGCCCTCTCAGCATATCGCGCCGACGTGTGCGCCTGCTTATACAAGAGGACACTGTTCTCGTCACTGTTCTACTCTACGCATCGTCCATCCTTCCCATCCACCCTAGCAGAGCTAGCAATGCTTCTTCCCAGCCTGACCGCCCCTGTCCTTGCTCTTCTGACCTTGATCACTGCTACGAGCGCCTACACGATCACTTTCGACAACACTTGCAAGCACGCCGGTGTCGAGACAACGATCAAGATCGTAGGGTTTGGTGGCAAGCCTTTACCATCTGGTACCAGCACCTTTGCAGCTCCTGCGACAGTGGATTTCAAGAGTCCTTGGGGGTGAGCGCGAGCAGTCTCAACGCAGAGCTCGTCGTCGTTACGCTCATGCCGTTCTACTACTCGCAGAACCTTCGGCGCCAGTCTTTCCCTCGACAGCACGAGTTTGAGCACCTCCCTCAGCCCTCCTCGTGCGTACAATGTCCTCCGGCCCCTTGATCCATCACGCTTTGCTGACCTTCCCCCGCACACAGCCGTATCCCCCTTCTATTTCAGGGGCAGCCTCGCCATCGAGAATGAAGAGACCACCACGGCGCTCGAGTGCACCAAGAAGCACCCGGGTGACTGCAAGAGCCGCATCTCGATCCAGAATGGTAACAAGCAGTCTCGTCTGGGCTTGATCGTAAGTCCGCGTGCCTCGAGTGGTCCCATTGCTCAGCTCACCTCGGCGACCTACCTTCCACGTCTCCTCTCTGCTATCTGACCTTCGCTCGCTCAGCTCTCCTGCTGAGCTTGCTCGACTGCAATGCTTGATGAAACCACCTCGTCCCCTCCCACATCATTCGGGCGGCCCTGCGCCACTGCGCCATAATGCCCCACTATACAAAAGACTTTGCCCTCATGCCGGCTCGCGCGTGCCCTTCACGATACGGTGGGTCTAAGGGTGTCTCGGCTACAGACTTGATCAGCTGCTAGATAGCAACCACATGAGGTGATCAGGGGTCCAAGGGCACAGAGCAGGTAGTGAACATTGCCGTCTTGAGACAACGTGACTGCTCATATGAGAGGGGGTGAACCAGGTCATGACTATTCTCTCCTCCCATCCCCATCGCCATCCCCTCATCCATTGTCCACCATGCTTCCCCTCGCTCTATGCGCCTTGCTCACGCTCACGAGCGCCTATACCGTCACCTTTGACAACGAGTGCAGCCATTCTGGTGTCAAGGCGACCATCGGTGGCCAGGATCTGCCTACCGGCACCATCACTTTCACGAACCCTGCTCTTATCGAGCTCAAAAGCCCCTGGGGGTGGGTCACGAGGGTGCTTTCTCTAAGCTCGATGGTGGTATACAGCTAATCGAATCGCCGCGCCCCTCGCCATCCCTTTGCCAGGACATCCAGAGCCCGCCTTGGCCTCGGCACCTCGGTTCTCGAAACCGCTCTGAAGCCTCCTCGTGCGTCATTTGCATCTTCCCCTTTAACGACCTTCTTCGCTGACCCCTCTCTTTGCATCGCGACCCACTCACTTCCCATCTCTGAACGCCGACACAGCCATCTCATTCTTCTACTTCAAAGCCGGCCTCGCTGTCGAGGGCAAGTCGGTCGCTGATAACTCGCTCGAGTGCGCCAAGAAGAGCCAGCAGGGCTGCGACAAGCAGGTCACGGTCAGGAATGGCAATAAGCAGTCTAGCCTGGGTATCGCCGTGAGTTCACAAGGCTCGCATCAACGCGAAACCAAGTCCTATCCCTCAGCTCATTATGACGTCCTCTTCGTCCCCCCACTTCGCGGTGCCTGCGCGTCCTCGTCAGCTCTACTGCTGAGCTGCTGAGCCGTAGACACTACTTTTGCCTCGTCCTCGCTCATACGCCCGCGACGATACACAGTCGCCCCCATCAATCTATGGGCGCACGGTTTTCTCTTCTCCCCTGCTCATGTCATTTAAGCGTGCTCATTTCATTGTTCCGCACTTCCCGCCCATACGATGCGTGACAACTCAGTGCGAAGATCTTAGCTTGATCCAAAGCCTCCTCACGCACGGCCCTTGCGGTGACTGGGGCTTGCGTCAACAGCTGACGGCGCAGAGGGGCGCCGTGACGGCGGTCCGCTCATCAGCCGTCATGGTTCAGGATTGACGAGCGGCTAAGAAGTGACCGAAGAGGAGGATACAAATGACCGCTCACGCGACGAAAGCGACGCCACCGACAAGGCAGCCGCCTTCTCGAGATATCGTGTCCTCCCTACAAAAGCGCTCTCCTCCTCCCCCCTGCACGATCATTCCAAAAACCTACCATGCTATATTCTCTAAACGCCCGATACCTCACTCTCTGCGCCCTTGCCACCGCAGCGAGCGCGTACACGATAACCTTCGACAACACCTGCAGGCACGTCGGTGTCTCTACAACGCTCGTCGTTGCTGGCTTTGGTGGCAAGCCGTTGCCACCTGGCCCCACCAAACTTGGAGCGCCGGCTACCATCGAGTTCAAGAGTCCCTGGGGGTGCGTCCGATTGCAGAATCGACTTCTGCTCAGTTCGCGTCTGACCTGACATCATTCTCTTCCCTCACACACGTCACGATAGCACTTTCAGTGCCGACCTGTCCCTCGACAGCAGTACGCTGAACACCAACCTCAATCCTCCGCGTTCGTAGTCGCCTCCTCCTCCTCCTCCCCTCTGCAACATCATTCCTCGCTGACATCTCTCGTCCCGCACAGCAATCTCCCCCTTCTACTTTCGGGGAAGCCTCGCAATCGAAAACGAACCGACGACTATAGCGCTCGAGTGCAACAAGAAGCACAGGGGAGACTGCCATAATCGCATTGGGATCGACAATGGAAATAGGCAATCTCGTTTGGGCTTGATCGTGAATTGCGAGAGAAAAGGAGCTGTATAGTTTTCAGCTCACCGTCGCCGTTCTCTGCCCTCGCGATGGAATTGAATCCTCTGGCAATACGTCGTCGTCGTCGTCGTCGTCAGCTGTCCTGCTAAGCTGTCGAGCCTGCTCCTTACTTGTCCCTCTTCGCGCTTGCGACATGATACCACGCGCTGTCAAGCTCATGGTATCAAATTGATAGTGACCGTCGCTCTCATCTCATGCGAACTAGCGTGCTATCCGGGTTGCAGAAGGAAGACGTATACGTGTGTCAGTCAGGAGGGTGAGAAAGAGAAAAAGCAAAATGAGACGATAAAGCTAAGCTAGTGGGTTGTGTTAATCGCCTCGCATCCACGCCAAAAAGCCACGTGGCTGCTTCCGATTGCGATGCCGTACCTGCCTTTCCTCCCCTGCACTCCTAAGACACTCGCCGACTTGCCCTTCACACCTCGCCCTTCGCCCTCGGCCGTCAAGTAGATCATCTGCCATTATGCTGACGAGGAACAACTTGCGTTGAATTGCAATCAAAGAAGCGATGCTGGGGCCATCGCTGTCAGGCGCCTGGCGATCAGAGAGGGCGAACGACAGCCCATAACATACCTTCCTACCACGCCCAGCTGTGCTCTTTGACTGAAAATGCTGCGACTTTCGCTCCCCCTCGCTGTCCTCTTCTACGCCGTCGCAAACGGCTATACGGTCACCTTCGACGACTCCTGCAAGCATGACGGGGTCTCGACGATGCTGGACGATCGCCCTCTGCCTGCTGGCACTACAATGGGCAACGCTCCAGCCAAGGTTGAGCTTAGGAGCCCCTGGGGGTGAATCTCTGCTCAATGAGAGCATTTTGCTCTTCGACACTGAGATCATCGTAGCGCTCTCCCTCGCTCTCCCTCAGGAGCTTCAATGCCAGTCTCGCCCTCGGTACCACTAGCCTGATCACCTTCTTCCACCCTCCCAGTTTGTGTACAGCATAACAAACACCCGTCTTGGCGGGTCATCTCATTGACTTTGACTTCTTTGACCCCCCTCCCTTCCCGTTCCTTGTCATTCAATGCAGCCATCGCCCCCTTCTATTACAGGGGCAGCCTCGCAGTCGAGAATCAGGCGACTACAATGGCGCTCGAGTGCAACAAGAAGCACTTGGGCGATTGCGACAGCTCCATCTCGATCGATAATGTAACAAGCAGCCTCGCGTGGATTTCAGCGTAAGCGTTCTGCAGCGAAGTGAGCCCGAAGCCGTATCGCCATCGCTCAGTTCACGCGCTGCTCCATACCCCTACTCCCTCCCCCACCCCTTCCCAACCTCACCACCGTGACCTCTCTCTCTGCGGGCCCTCCGTGTCTTGCTTAGTTCTCCTGCTAGAGTAGACCTGCCAAGCCGCAGTGCTTGATCATTCCTCCGCCCATGGCGCCCCGTAGGCTAGCCCATGCCATACAATACGACCGACTTTGCTCACGCCTTCGCTCCTCACGCGCACAGCGCGGTGAGGGTACGGGGTGGTGTCCAATGTCCCGCCTACATGAGCATGAGCGGCTCGGTAGCAACTCGCGAGCCTGACTGGCCGCAAAGGGCACAAGAGGGCACAGGGCAGCATGTAGAGACAGCGCGACCGACCAAATAGCATGGGGAATATCAGAGGGGCGCCATCCCATCCTTGTCCCCTCTCTCCTCCCAATGCTCCTGCTCATCCCCACTGCCAAGCTAAACATCACCACTACCATGTTCTTCCCCAGCCTGACCCCCCTCCTAATCGCCCTTTGCGCCTTCACGGCAGCTACTACGAGTGCCTTTGAGGTCACATTCGACAATGAATGCCCCCACCCCGGTGTCTCGGCTTCCATCGATGGGGATCCTTTGCCTTCTGGCACCGTCACCTTCAAGACTCCGGCCATCATCGTGCTGCAGACCCCTTGGGGGTGAGGTGCGAACCTCGCAGTGGATGGTGCAGCAGCTGATACCTTCTCTTTCCACGCACGCACGCATGCCACGGATGCCCCTCTGCCAGGACATTCAGATCCCAACTCTCCCGCGGCAGGTCCGATATGAGCACTTCTTTCCACCCCCCTCGTACGTGCCTCGCCATCCGATCCCATCGCAACCCATCCGATCCCACGCTGACGCCTACGAGCGAACAGCCATCTCACCCTTCAACTTCAAAAGCGCCATCGGCGTCGAGGGGCGTACGGGCGGCGGGAGGGCCGCAGAGCTAGACTGCTCCAAGATGGACCGTAAGGGGTGCATCAGCCAGCAAGCCATCGATACAGGCAGCAGTCAGTCGGCGCTCGGATTTTCCGTGAGAACTCAGGATCGGCATTCGCCTTGAAGGCATATCTGTGCTTATCAGACCATGCTCCCCTCCCCCCTTTCCCCCCCGCACCCCCAAAACCAACCTCTCCGCACCCGCGCGTCGTCGTCGTCAGCTCTACTGCTAAGCGCTCAGCAGCAGAGACGCAGTCGAGTGCTGCTCTCCCTCGTCCCCTCTTCACAAATCATCATCCTCGACCACGGACAGTCAACCCCATCCCCCCTTCTCCCTATATGTATTCTTTCGCTCCTCTTGATCTCAGTCAGTTAGCTAGTGAATACAAGTCAGATCTCTCCCTGTTAGCCCCATGCGCACGACGCTGTGGTGGCCCCGGTGCCATGCCCTACGACGTGACGATCCTGATACAACGTTGCCTTGACTCGCACGTACGGCCCTCAACAGTGAGTCGCACTCGCACTCACACTGGCACCCACACTCGTATTGCGGCTAGCAGTTGAAGAGAGTCATCTATTGAGTCCACATCGATCAGAGGGATGGATGAGTGGTTGGGAATATTAAGAGCATCGAATCGAATGGTTGAGTACAAAGTGTGTGAAAGGTGGGGCGTGGTGAGATCCTCGATCAGAGTCAAGAGGGAGCAACGACGATGTGTGGCGTCGTGGATGGATGCTGAGGTGGTGGTCGGATACGCCGTGGGCACTGGATTCCGGAGTAGCGGCGCCTACGACCAAACGTCCAAGAGCCACTTGCTCCTATCCTTCATCAGCTTAATCTCCCTCTGTGCCGCCTTCTCGTCCCCGCCCTTGGCCTCAGCAAGCACGCGCAGTAGCGTCTTCTCGACGTCATGTGCCATCCCAGCTGCATCTCCACAGATGTACACGGTAGCCTTTCGCTCCAGAATCTCCTTGGCCAGCGCCGCACGTTGCTCCCAAATCAGGTCCTGAACGTACAGCTTTGAGCCGTCCGGCTTGAACTTCTCGCGGCTGATGGCAGTGTGCATCTGGAACTTGCCCTGCAGCGCAGCGGCATAGCGCTCCCACTCGTCTTGGTAAAGGAAGTCCTCGCTGGACTTGCGACAGCCGTAGAAGAGCCACATGTTGCCCCACTCGGCCAGGGCATCCGCAGCATTGCCGCCAGCAGCAGAGCGCTTCTCGACCGTCTTCTGTGCGCCGGCTACGCGCTCCTGCACGAAGGAGCGGAAGGGAGCCACGCCGGTACCGGGTCCGACCATGATGACTGGTACCTTGGGGCTGGTAGGCAGACGGAAGTTGGAGCGACGGATGTGGATGGGACAACGATAGCGCCCTTCGCGCGTGTAAGCTCCTCGAGGTCCTGCTAGGTCGTACTTGGGCGTCGTGAAGCGCGGATCGTTGGGTCCGCTGGCCACCTCGCCGTTCATGCCCATCTTGATGGAGCTGATGAAGTTCGTCGCCAAGCCGTGGACGTGGCGATCCGGGGTGTGGTCGGGAGCGTAGCGCAGCACGACTGCGGTGATGTGCACCTGCTTGGGGTGGAGCTTCGGGCTCGAGGAGATGGAGTAGAAGCGCGGGCCGAGACGCGGGATGGCCGAGACGATTCGGTCAAAGGGGATGGGCCAAGGGGTGGCTGTGGTGGCCAAGTTGGTGCTGTTGAGGTCGTCTCCCGCTACTGCTTGCAGGGCCTCTCCGACGGTGTAGTAGTGGCGGGCCACCTTGTTCTGGAAGGCGGCCTTGTCCCCGCCAATCTGCTCGAGCTCACGGCGCACTGCGTCGCTAGGCGCGAACTTGGCGAGACCGGCAAGGGACTGACGACCAGCGCGAGCCGCAATGTCGAGGTAGTGGCGGAGGATGGCCTCGTACGTCGTGGGGACCGGGAAGGGCACCTTGGCGAGATCAGGGTCGAGCGACGTCACCTCAACGACGGTGTTGCGCTTCTCGGTGAGGCCGAGGATGGCGAGCATGCGCTCCACCTCTCGCTCCGGATTGTGCGCCCACACGGCTACGTGGTCGCCATGCTGGTAGGAAATGCCTGAGCCTTCGATGTCGAACTCCATGTGGACGCAGGTGCGCTCACCCGCCGTGAAGAGCTCCTTTGCCGTGCTGACGGGAGACATGTAGGGGTTCTTGGCGTCGTGAATGCCCGCTGTGCCGAGAAGGGCGCGAGCAGAGAGCTCTCCCTTGTAGATCTTGGCTTCATCAGGGTGGTCTGCAATCTCCTTGACGGCAAAGTCCTGCACGTCGCCACCACCGCCTTCTTCAAGGCCGAGGTCAGCTGCGAGTGCGTTGAGAGCATCGTCCTTCCAGGCGAGGTAGTCCTCTTCCATGCTCTTGTCATCATCTCCCTCGCCGACGAGACCGATGCGCTGAGCCCCGAGGCCACTGAGCGCCTTGTCGAGGTTCTTTGCGACGGCATTGAAGTGCTCGTAGGAGCGGTTGCCCAGCCCCCAGATCATGTACTTGATGGGGAGCTCGTCGCCGTTGGAGAAGGAGGGAGACTCGGTAAGGAAGGTCATCAGAGACTGAGCATTGTCGGTAGGCTCGCCCTCGCCGTAGGTGGCCATGACAAAGATGATGGCGCTGTCGTCGGGGAGCGTATCGAGCTTGTCAAACTCGTACTCGTCGGGGTCGGCGACGAGGGATGAGAGGCCGTACTTGGCCTTGATCTCCTTGGCGATGCGAATGGCGTACTCTTCAGCGGTGCCTGAGCAGATGGCGGGGGAGCAAACAGGGATGGTGAGCTCGAGCAGGGTGGCAAGTGAGCGCTACCTCACAGTGCGCCCGCACACTCACCCGTCTGAGATCCAACAACGAGAGCGATCCTGCGCTTCGTCTGCTTCATCTTTGCCACAATGTCAGACGAGGCGAGCAGGTCTGCTCCATCAGCGAGAGCATGGCCATTGAGCTTTGACGTCGAGCTGCTCGACTTGAAACCAAAGAGGGTACCTCTGAAGAAGTAGAGGCTCGCAAGGAGCGACACGACGGTGATGAGGATCAAGTCGGCCGCGGCCATGTTCAGATGGGCGAAACGGTGAGGCGCGAGGCGTTAGGCGTGCTCTACCAGATGTGAGTCGCGTGAGGGTGAGAGAGAGGATGAGGAGGATGAAGGTGCAGAAGTAGCAATATTGCGATGCGCTCGTGGTAATATCCTCCGAAGTATAGGGCGGGGATATCGCTGTGCGTGCCAGGAGCTACTAAAGGAGCTTAGGGGCGGTAAGGTAAGGAGTGTGTATGCTCAGCGGCGGCGAGAAAGTGTTGGCGACAAAAGGAAGCAGCAGAGGCGGTCGACAACCAAAGCAGTCAAGCCAAGTCAAGTCGCCCACGCTTGGACCTCTCCGTCTTCCGCCCCACGGCCTGCCCGCTCTTGCCGCCTCCCGCTGCCGGGCTTATTCGGAGAGAGTTGCGAGCGAGGCGTGGCCACATGGGCTTGCTCAAGTCAGCAAAAGACGCTCAATAGCCGCCCCTCGTTACCATGGCAGAGGGAAAGCGGCTAAACGGGTGAGGAGAGAGACAACGTGTCAGGCGTCACACCTTCCATCATAGCACAGCTTCATTTGGCCGCCTCATGTGGCCGCCACGCGGCGCAGTTGTCCTGAACTCACTTCATCGTTCGCTAGCTCGTCTTCCTCTGCGGCGAGGCAGGCGCTCTTCCAGCTCACTATCCCCCATCGTCAACCTGCCTATCCCAGCGTGATGCCGCAATGCTTCCACACACAATCACACCGAAGCAGACTGAAGTCTCCGGTGACATGCCACCGTTTGCCATTGATGCGAGCGTGATGATGCTCTGTTCGTTGCGCGTGCCTGCTACCATTGATGAGAAGAGGCGGAAGGATGGCGAGCTCCGCCCCTCGCCGAGGCACCCAGTACGGCAGTGGGCGACGTATGGTGGACACGACTTGCCGATTCCTTGCGGCCGATACGAAGACGGCGACGACGATGGCGAAGACACTTGCTATCCTCCCTTCTTTCAGCATGTACACACGCACGCGCACAGCCCTTCTCAGCTGCTAGTAGCCGGTGATAGCCTGCCTCGCACGCCTGACTGCGCTACCATTGCGTGCCCCCCTCCCCCTCCCACGCCCCTCGCCATGGTCAGTGTCGAGCTCGACCGCCGCCGCCTTTCTGCTTGACCAGACTGACAAGCACGTAGACAGGCAGGCCTGCGTCGACATGAATAGCGACCTGCCCCTCCTCTTCCTCGTCGGAATCTCCTTATCTGCCACCGTCCGATGGGAAAGGGAACGGCGGACCCTCGATCATACAGACGACGACCCGATCACGCTCCGCCATGCCGCTTCAGGGCCAGCAGCGCTTCTCCGCAGCCAGCTATCCAGCCGGCCAGTCGGGGTCCGCTGGCCCTGTCGCTCCCACGATGACACCGATGTGCGCTGACCCAATCATGAATCCGGTGTATGGTGGTAGGCTCATTGACTGGTATGACCGACGGTCTTCAGTCGCTCCACGGCTTAGCAGACACCGTAGCATAGCGTACCGTACCGGCCGATCTGCTCTTGCGCGACGGGCCACGTCGAGATCGCCCCCTCCAATACCCGCCATTGCCAAGGCATGCTCCCTTCAAACTTAATAGACCATACGCCGCCGTTCGGCGCACGTCCTTCCTTGTCACGCTTGTCACGACGAAGAAAATAGACTGAAAAAATCGTCAAGTCAATCTGTGGCTCACCCCGACTGTCTTCCTTCTCCGCGGCATGACAATAATTGACGGCCGTGCAATGCCCGCAACGATGTAGATGTCCTTGGGCTGCCGCGCCTGCCTGCCTCCTCATTCTCGGGCAGTAGATCGACAAGAGGGATGGACGTCTACTTTTGGCTTAGGCCTCTTCGACTCTCAAGAGCTTTGGAGCCGGAGAAGGGGCCACGCCACGCCACACCGTCATCAGCATCGCTGCAGTTAGACCGGCCTCCGTAATGAAGCGTCTTCGCTGCGTCACGTCAGCCTGCCAAGGCCGCCTGCAGTTGCAGTGTGGGGTCGGTCGACGGTGAGGAAGAAGAAAGCAACTAAAACAAAATGGGCCGCGATAGGAGGCCGGGAGGACTGTCAAATCGGTGTCAAGGTCCGAGTCCGAGGTACTTGCGCATAATGGGATGTAGCTAGCCACATGATGTACAGCTGCTGTACGATAGTCGGCGGGGATACCCTCACGATGAGAGAGAAGACTGCGCTGCGAGGCTGAGGCTGAGGCTGGGCAAGAGCGTGGGATGCTGCTGCAAAGAAATTGAGGCGGCGCTCGCGACCCAGGCTTCCTCCCGAGTTTACCCCGTGCATCGATCGATCCGTCCGTCGTCGACGACGAGGACGACTGGCCCAACAGGGAGGGGAGCCGCGGCGTCTTGACCGAACGAACCGACTGAGGGGGAATCGTTGGCAAGCCATGTATCTGAGATCACCAATCACGAAGCTTGAGGATCGTAGAACTGTGCAGCCCTGCTTTTTGTCGGCCGTGTAGAAGGGACGGGTATGTCATGACGTAAAGCAATGTCGAGGAGAAGGAGAGCTCAGCGCGCCGCCCGCCACGATCTTGTAAAACGCGTCGAGTCGCGTCGAGGACATTGATGGACATCGGGGCGGGACGCCAAAGTCAGCGGGTCAAAGGCACACCACGCTTCGTACCTCGACAGTATCACGATGCGATGATTGTAATGCTGGCATGCTGGCATGCTGTAGGGACGGTGTCAAAGCCCGGAAGCGAGGAGCGGGTCGATTGACGTGCGAAAGGAATCCTCAGAAGGAGGGGGAGGACGACGAGGAGCACGAGCGGGGTTTGGCCCAGCCTCGCGCGAAAGGAGGAGGTGAGCGTGCCTGCGTGCGTGCGGCGGACGAGCGGACGGTAAAACAGTGGCGCCTGCCGCTGGAAGGGGGAAGGGGCCAAAGGGGGAGGAGGGGGCCACAATCAAATGATCAAGATCGAGAACGTAGACGACAGAGGTGTGGGCGGAGATGTTAGGCAGATGAGAGTGCGGCCTGCCCGGCGGCGGCGATGAGTGCGTGCGAATAAGCTCGAGAGCCTCGCCTGGCCTGCCTCTCATGAACTGCTCTTTCGACCTGGCCCCCTCTGATGGCAATGGCTTGTCATCATTTGGAATCTTGGAGTGGGAGCATGGCGGCCAATGAAATGATAGAGTAGCCTTGCGCCTTTGTTGAGCTCTAAGCATTGTCGCACGGCTGCACCGCTGGATGAAGCGCCGAGGTGGCCGGTGGGAAAAGGTCCAGCAGCGGCGTACGGGCAGGCAAGCAGCTCAAGCACCGACTAGATTGCTTTTTCGGATTTCCCCCGTCTGAGCTTGCTGCTTGCCGTGAAGGACAGAGACCTTCATATTGCCCCGCCGATGCCTTGAATTGAGGATTCGGGTCCCTCGATCTTGAGCTACCAAGCAGCGAGCAAGCAAGCAGTCAGTCACTGGACCCTCTTACTTGCTCTGCAACGGCCAGCACGCCTGCACGCACGCACGCACGCACGCAAGCACACTCTCCCCTTTCCCCTTTTGCTCCCTTCGTGTCTCGACGACCAGGGCGAGCTTCTCCCTCTTCTCTACTCTACTCCTCCTCCTCCGTCGTCAACTCTCTTCACTCTCCTTTTTTCTCACACCCCTCCTCATCATCATCACTCATTTCCATCGCTTCTCTCCCTCGCTCCTCCCTCGCTCCTCCCTCGCTCCCTCGCAAGCTTCTATTCGCCGTCCGCCCTGCAGATCCTGTCTTCAACCAGTCGGGACCTCGAGGCGACACTTTGACTTGCGTCGCGACTGGCACGATCGCGAGGCTCGCGCGCCCGCCCGCCCCTTCCTCCCCACTCCTTGCTGCACGCACATTGCTTGCTTCCTCTCAGTTGCAGTTGCCCTCGCTTCTTTCTCCGCCGGGTCAACGACGCGCGAGTTGACTTACTTTGGACAGGCGACCAAGACCCTGTCCGAGGTTCAGACAGACAGACAAGGCGACAAGGCAAAGAGCCCCAATTGGATTGGATCTGGACTGGACCCCGATTGCCTCCTTGCCCTCCTTACCATTCGCATTCAATCATCGCCTCGCTCCATCTCCGTTTTTACTCCTCTCAAGGCCCTTTCTGAGCAGCTAGCCTCAGCCTCACAAGCACAGGTGAGCCGAGAGAACCGCGCGAACACACGTCTTGTCACTCGCTCACACTCTATATGCTTGCCCCGTCCTCGTCCTCGCCGCTCAGCATGGACTCATACGGCGATGCGCTCGCCTTTGAGGCCCCTCGCACTGCCAAGAGCCAGGCCCACGCCGCTCCACAACAGCAGCACCAGCAGCAGCTCCCAAAGCTCTCTCCTTCACCCTACACAAGATACCCTCTCAGCGAATCATCGAGCGCAAACTGGTCGACGACGGACGAGTCAGACTTGCACACCGGCGGCGGCAGCGGCGGCTGGGACTTTGGCATGGATTGCGACGATGCGACTCCTATGTCCGAGTATCGCTCCCTCGAGGAGGTGTGCGAACGCACAAAGGCCAGGATGTCAGCCAATGCCCGCATGGGTTTGCCCAACTCGTGCTCGAGCTCAGGCTACTCCGTATCGTCCTCCGTCTCTGCCTCATCCTTTGAGACGTCGTGCGAGGACGACGCCGAGCTGTCCAAGTCGTTCGAGAGCAACGGTAGCTTTTTCCCCATGACGCCGGCCAGGACTACGCACCCCTCTTCATCATCCCACCGCTCTTCGACATCCTCTGCCACTACGAGCCCGGAGCACTTCTCCCCACTCAACAACCTACGCCTCGACGACGGTGCGCTCGGAGAGAAACGTCGTGGCAGCATTGGCCAATCACCTCGATCCGGGCTGCGCTCCCTCATCTTTCCTCCCTCGTCGACCATGCCCTCGACGACGGAGCGTCAGAGCACACCCCTGCCCGACTCGCCTCAAGCAGCATCATCCACCCGCGCATCGCCCTCCCTGGGCCAGAGCTTGGGCCTACCAATGAGGCCTAAGCCCACCCTCTCGACTGCCCCCATCCACGGCTCTCCACTCTCAGGCAGAAAAGACTTGCCCCTCATCTCCGAGAACAGCACCAGCACCTTTGAAGCTACAGCCAGCTCCTTTAGGCCACCCACGTCGTCCAACCTCGCGGCGAGGAGGAAGTTGCCCCCTCTTGCCATCCGCGGCACTCGCGGCTTAGACTCGTCAATGATGCCTCAGACGCCTGGTGGATCCGTCTTCGCCTACGCTCGTGACGGTGCAGCCAACAACGGGCAGGGCCCCGCCAGTCCCTTCCTCCCACCCACGCCACTCATCGCCGTAGCCAACCAGCCCAATCGCGGCAACCTTCCCAACGTCAGCGCACCTCCTGCTCTATCCTCTTCACTGGCGTTGCCCATGCAGCGAGCCGGCTCACTCGGTCCCATGTCGCCCCTCTCGCGCGACTTTGCGAATGTATCAGTCTCGGTCGGCGGCAGTCAACACTCGACATCGCCCAGCTCACGCAGCAGCGTCACCTCCCTCGACACGAGCCTCACCACTCCCCCCTTCTCGCCCTTGGGCCTGTCCAAGCCCGTCACGGCCAGCAGCAGTAGCGCCGCCACCGCCGCCGATGAGGACGACGCGGGACGTTCTACTGGGAGTGGCAGCCGTCAATCCAGCGGGGAAAGCGCAGAGGGTCAGGCACGCGGCAAGAAGCGCAGCAAGGATGGTGGCGCACTCGGGCTACGCATCAACGATGGCTCCTCCGTCGGGGCCTCGCGACCTAAGCTGCTCAAGAGCAAGTCTTCCAACCGCGTCGTGCCATATCCGACTGCCTCGACCGCCAAGTCTGCCACTCCGGCATCACCCCAGCAGCAGCAGCAGCAGCAGCACTCACCGCTTCTGGGTGTCTCGCACCTCCAATCCACCAGCATGGCAAAGAGCCTCTCGGCACCTCCCCAGCCCACTCCCTCGGAGCCAAAGACAGTGAGCGCAAAGCACCTCGCGACTCGCCCGCTCCACCCAGTCTTCGCGGCCAACTACACGCTGGGCGATGAGCTGGGCAGCGGCGGTTTCGGCTTCGTTGTGAGCGCGACGCGCAACGAGGACTCGCTGCCCGTGGCCGTCAAATTCATCTGGAAGACCAAGGTCCCCTCTCACGGATGGGTGCGCGACCCTACGCTCGGCGTCATCCCGCTCGAGGCATTTGTGCTGCGCGTCGTGGACCACCCGTGCGTGGTCAAGTTTCATGAGCTGTTCGATGATGAGGAGTTCTTCTACCTTGTGATGGAGATGCACGGTACTCCGTGGAAGGCGCCAGAGGGGGATGCGCCCGCTGCCCCAGTAGCATCAGCAGCATTAACGACGGCAAAGGAGGCTCCTACGAAGGCACTCACACCCTCCGCCTCGCCGACGGCTACGGTGCCCAGCCCTCAGCTGGCCATCTACGCACCAGACAGCAGCGAGCCAGTCCTCTCTGCCTCGCCCAGCGGATCCGACTCCCTCTCTCTTCCCCCACCCTGCTCGCCCACCCCCTCCTCCTCCTCACCATCAAGCGACGGCACCACCACCAGCGCCACCACTACCGCCAGCACGAATCTCAAAGTCCCGCCTCGCCCCGCCCCCATGTCTCGCCGCACCTCGCGCGACCTCTTCGAATGCATCGAGCAGCACTCCCGTTTCCCCGAGTCGCGCGCCGCATGGGTCTTTGCCCAGATCGTCGAAGCCGTCTACTACCTCGACAAGCTGGGCATCGCGCATCGAGACATCAAAGACGAGAACTGCGTAATCGACTCGGAGTGGAACGTCAAGCTCATCGATTTCGGTTCGGCGGTCATCTCTGACCCGCGCAAGCCTGCGCCCTACTTCAATCGCTTCTTCGGGACGATGACCTTCGCCTCGGCGGAGATCCTCAATGGGCAGCAGTATCGTGCCCCGCACGCTGAGGTGTGGTCACTGGGCGTGCTACTCAGCATCCTGCTGAGCGGGGAATGCCCCTTCTCCGACCCTTCGGCGGCGAAGAGGGGTAGGATCTCCTCGCGGGTTAAAGGGAGCTGGTCCCCCGCTGCTTTGGATTTGTTGGGTGGGTGTGTTCAGGTCGACCCGGAGAGGAGGGCGACTATCGAGCAGGTGAGGGAGCATCCATGGGTTAGGGCCGCTTGGGCTGAAAAGGGGTTGAGGAGGCCGCAGGCACCGCAGATCTTCTAGGTCGAGGCCGAGGCCGAGACCGAGGCTGAGGCTGGAGGCAGAGAAGCGGGCGTTCACGCACCAAGACCAATATGCGAGCTGGCCTCGATACCACCACTGGGCGAGGCGAGGCGATCAGGCTCGACACACGCACCTCTACTACTACGACTCCTACTATTACAATCGCCCCGCGACTACATTACGATGATCGACAGACAGACAGACAGACAGACTAGCCCTTTTTTTTTCTCTCGCTCTTCTCTATATTACGACTATCTCCCAATCCTCTTCCCTTACTACTCTTGGAGTGTACAAGTCTTCTCCTCCTCTTCGCTTCTTCTTCATCGACTCAAGAGTATCTGCCCCGACCTCGCATTCAACCAGCCTTGTATGTATCAATAGCAGCTTAATCAGACTTCTTTTCATGCCACCGCCATCGATGTGGATCGGTGGGAATTGAGTTGGACCCACGCAACGAGACAATGCATCGTAGCAGGGAGGGAGGGTGACGAAGCGAAGGTGCTGATTATTTACTTCAGGACTTCATTGTGCGGGACGCACGGCCGTGCGTAGATGCAGGCAGGGGAGGGACAGGAGAGGGGGAGAGTAGTGTGACGAGATGATAAAAATGACCGTAGAGCCGTGTGGACTCGAAGCGTCCAGCGCTCCATTCTCCCTCCCTATCCTCTCACCCTACTCCCCTCATCCCATCTCTCCTCGTCCCCCACCCCCTCCTCAAATAAATTTCCCACCCCTACTAGCCATCCCACTACCATACTGTCCCATTCCACCTCCGACCCCGGCATACCCTACCCCTCCCCCTGCCCCATCCGTACTCCCCACCTGTGCACTACGCCTCACCCTCCAATTCCAAACGGCCGCATCCACCAAACCGGCGACGGTGAGCACTCCACCGACTATACTGCACAGAGAGGAGAGGAGACGACCAAATGGCATGCGATACTCCCTATGGACGGTTCGGAGGGGGGAGATCTCGTAGTTGAAGAATACGCCGGCTGTTGGGGAGGGAGGGAAGAGAGGAGGGGGGGGGAAGGAAGGGGGAAGGAGGAGGTGAGTGGGTGATCTCAAGAAGGGTGAAAAAAGGCATGCGACTCACGTATACCAGCAAAACCGTGCTGCACCTGATTCGGGTGATGGGTTCCCGCCACATCCTTTCCCTTCTGTCCCGCATGCTGTTGCCCACCACCATGACCACCACCACCGAACATAGCCTGTGGGCTCAGATCCCTCTCATATCCCGTAGCAGCGTACTGGAAGGTATCGATGCGCTCCTTTGCCAACGTATGGTACTCTGTTGCGACGACTTTGACAAAGTACTGGAACATGTACTCCGACTGATGGGTGCGCGCCGATGTGCCGCTGAGCGGGTCGACGATATCCAGTCGCTTCTTTGCTGAGGCGCCTAGATGGGCGGGAGAGACGGCGTTGCCCGAGGATGAGCCTGAGCCTGAGCTGGGGTGCGTGTCAAACTCGTTTTCTGCGCCGAAGGAGAATCTGCGTGACGAGGAGAGAGAGAGTCAGTCCCCAATGCTCGTGAGTAGCACGACGATACTGCTGCTGAGATGGATTGGAACGCAACACGCACTTGTGAATAGTATGCTCGAAGCTGTGATGCTCCTCCCCCGACCCTTTGAGGTAGCTAACCACGTCGTGCATATGTACCGAGTTGCGCGAGAACGATCGTCCAGGACTGAAGTGCATGTTGGAGGTGATCTAGCGGCATGGCGAGTGAAAGCAGCGAGGGGGGTCAATCGTCAGCATACCAACCCTTCGTATCGTAGCTTGCCCCCCCTCTTGGGGACTGGGACTGCTCGCGCGCCTCACCTTATTCACAAAGACCCTCCCCTTGACCCTACAACCTTCCTTACTCTGCTCCTTCAACTTATCAGTCCAATGCTCCTGAACACACTGTTCAATCGTCTCCGGCTCGCTGAAGCTCCACCCTACAGCCTGGTAGGCCTCCTGCACCTCATCGCACGTATTACAGCACCCTTGCTTAGCCCCGTAACAGGAACCACAATAGTCCTTTCCCTTGGTCGCAGCTATCTTGTCCGCTTCACCCCGCAAACCCTTGGAGGGCGGATCGACTATAGGTGCTCCAGAGTGGGAGAGTCGAATCCTCTCCATATCATGACGTACATCGTCGAAGTGTTCTCCGCTAATGTCCATTACGTCTAGGGAGAGGAGGAAGCAAGGTACTCGAGGGAAGGAGATGTCCAGGTCTACGGCTAGACGTTCCCCTCTTGATCGGTCTACCTCGAGGGAATGGGTGAGGTGCACTTTACGATAGTCCATGTAGGAGGATAAGGTTAGGATGGAGATGAGGGCAAAGGAGGCAAAGGTGAGGAGGGCGCCAGAGGAGGAGCGTATCCGGACATCTTCGAGGGGTTTGGAGAAGGCGTCAAAGGACCGCAAGGAGCCTAGGGGGCCGTTGCGTCCCATGGCTGGCGAGGTGGAGTGTGATACGCTCGACTGGTGGTGGCGGGTGGCCGAGTGCGTTGATGGCACGGAGGGTGACGAGGGCAAGGAGCAAAAGCAACAAAGAGCTCGAGCCTGCACCACCAATTCCCCCGCATCTCTGGCGAGTTGGACTGGCGTGGCCCGAGCTCAATTTCCTGCCACGCGAGCAGCACGACATCGCCCCACCTGCCTGCCTGCCCAGAACCCACTCATCCGTACAGCTCTGGCTCCTCTTGACAGCATTGAATTGCCACTCCAATGAGAGAAGAAAAACATAGCACATCATGGCTACCCTCACCCCTCGTTACCCACTATGCGCCACAACCTCGCTCCTCAACACCCCACCCTTGACCCCAAACCTCAACTGCTCAGGCAAGGCCAACTCCGTGTACTCCCCCTCCTCGGCCCCTTCTTTAGGCACGCTAACATTGAGCGCACTACACTTGCTCGCGACAATCTCTGCCTCCATACTCTCCCTCGATAGGTAAATCTGCCCAGAATCGCACGAGTCGAGAAGAATGGTGGGCACTTTGCCCGTCACCTGCACGGCAAAGGAAGGGCTGCTGGTGATTTCCAGACTTGAGACTAAGGTGTCCAGCACCACGGAAGTCTTGGAGCACGACACCATGGCTACTGCGTTGATCTTGCCCTTGATCTGAATGACCGCCCCTTTGCACCCGTAGATATTAACCGTCTGGTTCAGCTCCGTCGCCTCGATAACGATGGGCTGCGCCGGGTTCTCGTGATACTCGACAGTCCACTTGTTGCCCTCCAGAGCCGTCTGCGCTGGCTTCTTTGGGCGGAGCGAGGAAGGCTTTGACCCTGGCTTGGGCGGAGTGGGCTTAGATGATGAGGACGAGGCAGGACCGGGGGCAGAGCTTCGCAGCTCAGGGTTCTTGTGCGTCATTTGGCTCGAGTCGACCTTCTTCAGGCCACGAGTGATGCCTTCGCCCTGATTCAGCTGGGAGAAGACGGCGTCCATTCCTCCCGCTCCAGCAGCTGCCGAGGTAGCTGCGGCGGCGGCAGGTGGTGGCGGTGGTGGAGGAGGGGCTCCCCCGTCCAGGCCTGGAGCTACTGGTGCTGGAGGTGGAGGAGGTGGGGGAGGCGCACCACCACTGGCAGCCCCGCCTCCAGCTCCAGCCTCCTCCTTGTACGACGCCGCATCCCCGCCATTAGGGTTCCAGCTCAACCCCGTGGTATGCGTCTTCATCACATACTCCTTGAGCGCCTCAAACACCTTGATGAAAGCTCGGCACCACTCTACATGCTCCTTGCCCTTCTCCTTGAACTCCTTGATCACCCGATTCGTGTAGAACTGCGCGCTATCCTTCATCTCGCTGACAAAGGGCCCAGGCTTGGGCTCGACGGCCACCCAGCCTACGGCGGGGATGCCCTCAGAGACGGCAGACAAGTGGTTGAAGAGGGTGCGCTCGCTGCGGTTCTTTTCCCTTACGTCGGTGACTGCCATCAGCGCTTGCTGGAGAGGTTGAAGGAGGTTGGCAAAGACGGGGGAGGAGACGCCTCCCGAGGGTTTGGCGCACGAGGCGGCAAGCTTGATGAGGGAGCGTTGTGCGCTGAAGGCGGAGCTGACGTGCTTGGCCTACAAGAGTGAGAGGAGGGAGAAGTGATGCTCAGTACGCAAAATGGCTGCTTCTCGGCAGCTCGCCAACCCACCTGCTGCGCAACAAGGCCGCCAATCTGTTCACTGAGGCCTGCGTAGTCCTTGAGTGGCTGTTCAAGGTAGTCGTCAAAGGCAGTGACAGCGGGCGGATCCGCAACTGCGATGGTAGATGAGGGACCAGCAGCATCGCCTCCAGCTGCTACTGGTCCTACCCCTGCTCCTGTTCCTCGTGTCGGCGCTGCCGGGCCAGCAGGGCTAGCTGCGAGATCCTCGAGACGACTGGTTGCGGCCTCGAGGCTGGCGGGTGTGTGGGTAGCGAGTCGAAATCAGTATATATGCACTGCTGAGTTGGTTCGTGGACGTCGAAGTCACGCTCACCGCTTAATGATCGTCGCAATGCTATTGATAGCCTGTCCTGACATGGCCATGGAGTGATGTGAGGACGACAGGAGTAGTGATGGAGAGGAGAGGAGAGAAGGACGCACCGTCCACTGCAGTCGCCGGCCCGTGCTCGACTCGCGAGCCAAAGCAACACAAGCCACTCCGCCTCCTCAGTCACGCCTTGCTGGCGGGTCAACCCAGGCCTTTCCAACCCCCACTCCAACAGCACAACGTCACACTATCGCGATAAGCCAATCATCTTGGGTATTTCGTAGAAAAGATCAAAAGTGTTCGAACGACGACCACGACGATCAGGCGAGACATCAGAGGGCCCCGCCTTCTGCCTTTTTAGCCTTTTAGCCTACCCGACTACGAAGAAGGGGGATAGATGCTGCGACGAGGCACGAGAAGGGGAGAAACAAACAGAAAAACGGCACGAAAAGAAGGAGAGAGACAGTGCAAGGTCGAAGAGTGAATACGTACTTAAAGAATGTGGGTATGGTCAACGACGCAGAAGAGGCGGTGCGTTGCCAGGTTGGTTGGTTGGGTGGGTGAAGGAACGTAGGAGCGTTCTCTAGAGAAACGGGTGAGGTGGGGTGGCTGCTGCTGCATTAGATCGTCGTTCGTCATCCTTCCAATATCCACAGAGTCCATGGTAGCGTTTGCGTTTGCATCGTGACAAGCCAGCCGCGCCGGGCTGCTGCTGCTTCTGCTGCTGGCGGCTGAGCCGCCTAGAGCACATAGCTGGCGGGCACCACGCCCACGCGCCCATCCTCTGCTCGGGCAAGCCACCAATGCTCATCCGAGTCGTCCAAGATGGTGACCGACTCGCCCGCCCTGGCCCCGAGCTCTGACGGATGTGTAGCTTCGAAGGAGAAGCGCATGTGCGCCTCCACGCCCGCCTCATCGTCGTGCCCGCTACTCGTCGCCGCTGCACCTGCTGCCCCTGCGGCACCCGCTGCGCCGATGGCTCCAAGTGCTGGTGCTGCACCACCACGCTGTTCGGCGGACTCATCTGTGTAGTAGTCTGAACGGCCCGTCATGCCCTCGTGAGAAGAAGGGTCGGTAGTGTATCCTCCTTCAGTGGTGAGGGGAGCAGAGGTGTTACGTCCATGCCCCGACGAAGTAGCCGCCGCCGCCGCCCCCACGCCCGCGGCTCCCGCTCCCGCACCGGCACCTGCGCCCATCACATTCTCCGTCGCAGCATTGAGCGTCGCGAGCAGGCTGGAGGGTCGCTTCTTCTCGGTGCTGAGCATCTCGTCCGAAGGCGAGATCGGCACGTCCACCCCCCTGTTGGGCCTTCTACGCGCGAGGGCGACAAGGAGGCCGAGCAGCACGAGGAGGAAGACGACGCCCAGTCCGATGGCGATGGAGATCAGGATGACGAGACCGACAGCCAAGTGGTGCAGGTTGGGGAACTTAAGCACCTCCGTACTCCTGCTGAATGTTCGCACAATCCCTGGCGAGCCTGAGCTGCCCGTCGAGATGAGGAAGGGGGTCCAGCTCTGCCCGTCGAAGAAGGCGCTGCTCACATTCCCGTAGCTGCGCATCTTCAACGCTCCGCTGACTACGAGCAGGCGATTGTTCTCGAGGATGTTGTTGCTCTTGTGCGCCTTGTTGATGGGCACAAAGGTCAGCTGCGCGATCCCCGTGTCGGCCATCAGCTCCGCGGACTGCAGGTGCTGGTAGGAGGACCCGTCCCATTTGGCGAGGTAGGGCTCCGACCCGTCCGAGGTGCGGCCAGCGACAAAGATGGAAGCCATGTTCAGATCGTCGACACTTGCTGCCGTCGCGGGGCCGCGCGCCTGCGTGGGCGAGGTGCCGATATTGCCCAGTGACGTCCAGGAGTGCGAGTCGAAGTCGTACGCGGCGAGGGCCGTCTGCGTGTTGTTGAGATTGATCGCGCCCGCAACGATAAGGCTCGACGCCTTGCTGCCTGCATAGTCGATTGCGGAGACTTGGCCGTTAACACCCGGGCTGAGAGGTGACCAGGTTTGCGATGACGTGTCCCACGCGCAGACGTTCTCGCAGGGAAGCATGCCTGCATTGTTAAAGACGCCAGCTACGACGATCGTGGTCGTGTCCGGGCGGTGGGCGATGGCGTTGACGGTGAGGTTGCTACCCGTCTTGGCGGAGAGGGACTGGCCCGAGGTGAGCCAGCGGTTGTTGACCATGTCGAACGAAGCTAGACCGCCATCACCACCTGCGTACAGGATGTTGTTGTCGACAGCGAGAGCTCGGATCACCGTGGGCTTGTTGGCGTTGCCTCCCGTCGGCAGAGCGGGGAAAGCGTACAGTCGCTGAGCCTTGGGATCATAGACGGCCAAGTTCTGAATGCCAGCATTCGTCGTGAAGTTGCCGCCGATGATCGTCATGTAGCTGCCGTCGCTGCGTTGCCAGAAGGCGGAGGCCAGGACCTCAGCATCACCGTTGCTCTGGAGCGAGGTTGGCTGCATTGCGTCGGCACGATTCAAGGGGTTGCGAGTGGCCGTGGTGGCCAGAGTAGAGCCTGCTGCCGCTTTGGCTGCTGCTCGTCGGACAAAGGGTCGAATGAGGACGTCAGGAATGAAACGGCGCAGGAAGGTGCCCGACCTCTTCTCCTCCATGGGCGACGCGAGCTCACCGCCCACAACGGAGGCAAAGCGGCGAGAGACGGGCTCGGTGGGGACGCTTCGGCGGCTAGCTGTCTGCGAGGCGACGCCGGTGCTGGAAGCAGGTCGGCTGAAGGTGGCAGTGCTAGAGGCAGCTGCGCTGCTGTTGAGCACCGCGCTGGACGAGGCATTACCACTGGCAGCAGGAGCCGCGGCCGTGGCCGTCGTGGCTGCAGCGCTGCGAGGCTGGAAGGCGAAATTGAGGACTTGGATCTGCGGCGGCATCCCGTCCTTGGCTGGAGGCTCGATGCCCGCCACGCCGGACGCGGCATTCTGGCTCAGCCCTTCGATGGACCCCACCATCCACGCAGTGCCGTTGACAACGGTGACCGACGAGACCTGTCCCACCAGCAGCTCAGCCTCCGACACCCAGCTGTTCGTCGTCGTATTCCACACGCCGTACCCGCCCACCTGACGTGAGCCGCCCATGGTGGTGAAGTTGCCCGAGACTAGCAGCCCATCCTTGTCTAGCGCAGCCATGCTGGTCACTGGTCCATCTGGGCCGTTCGAGAGGGCCGCCCACACTTTGGCTACGGGGTCATAGCGCGCAATGTAGCGTGCCTCTGCTGAGCTGTCTCCGAGTCCAGTGAAGCTACCGCCCACAAAGAGGAAGTCGCCAATGGGTGTCAAGGCCGTGACTGTGCCGTTGACTCCACCGTTCGCCAGCCTCGTCATGTTGACGCCAGCTGTCGTGTTCTGCGTCACATTGTAGGCGACGATGTTACGGAATCCGACGCCAGCCGGACCGGTCGTAAAGTTGGCGGACGTAAAGTTACCGCCTACGAAAGTGAAATTCTTGAGCGTCGCGATCGACGAGACGTACTCGCTCTGGTTGCGCATCAGCCCTTGCTTGGCGAGAGTGACGCCGAAAGAGCTGAAGTCGGTGATGGTGTTGATGGGCAGATTGTCCGTCGCATTGACGTTCAGCGCCAACATCGGCGGGTCGAGGACGTCGTACTCGAACAGTCCGAAGCCCTCTGCGTGGTTCATCTGGTACGTCTCGTTGCTGTTGCGAAGCTCGAAGCGCACACGATCAGCCACGACGGTGAAGCTGTCGCCGGCAGGCGCTGGGGCGTCTCGTGGGATGGAGAGGACAAGGGATGGCATGAAGCGCTCGCTCGTTGCCTGGATGGGGCCCTCCCACACGAGGATATCGGTGTCATTCTGGACGTTCTGCGAGATGCGGTTCGAGGTGCCCGGGTTCGTCGAGTTATTGATCATAGTGACGACGACGTCCGTACGCTGGTCGCACTGCCCTGATCGCTGGCAGCCGGGGACGTGGAGGTAGGCCGAGTAGTTGCCCTGCACCGCAACGTCGACGTTGAAGGAGACGGTGGCATCGGCATGCGAGGCGATGTTGCTCTTGCTGTCAGTGAGGAGGAGCACGTTCTCCGGCACCCCGCCCCACTCTGTAGCCAGCGAGCTTTGGTACCAGTCTCCCTGGTTCGACGTTCCCGATCCAGTCCCATTGACGCCAATCTCGGGGGAGTTGCATGCTCCACGGTTGTAAGCATCGTAGGAGCGAGCCCATCCACCATCCGACAGAAGCTCGAGGATGTGGAAGCCAGCTCCGGCGCCGTACCACGTCTCTGCAGTCAGCTTGAAGCCACTCATCGTCTTGGTCCCATTGGGTGCATTGTTGGCTGGCAAGTCGGTGATGAGGAAGTCCTGGTATGGGACCGAGGGCTCGTGGAAGAGCTGACAGCTCGTGCAGGTGACGTTCTTCTTGGTGATTGGGTCGAGGTAGAGGAGCTCGAGCTTGACATTGTCCGGCAGCGAGGTGATGGAGAAATTCTGCGTGCCTCGGCCCTGGTAGAATGTATTGCCTAGACGGAAGGCTCGTCCGAAGACCTTTTGGTACATGCTGACTCGCAGCTCGCCTGCGACGTTGTCGGCGAAGAGGTAGGAGTTGCCGGGGCCATCAGCGCCGGCCGGGCAGAGAATCTGAGGAGCCATTGCGAAGTTGGCGTCTGCAGACGGCGGGCCACCTTCGAACAGACTCATGCCAAGGGAGATGGGCGCCCACTTGTCTGAGAGGGAAGTGGCCGACGTGTTGGTGCCAGAGAAAGAGCCGTTGACTCCGAGATTGCCCTGTTAAAGAGGCGGTGAGTCAGTACACATCATCAGCGCTGCCTGCCACTCGCGCACTCACGAAAGCCGTCTCAAATTCTCCTCCGAAGCGTACCGACGAGCCATTCACGCCCGGTACCATCGTCGTCACAGTGCCGTTGAGCCCACCGAAGTCGAGCGGCTGCCACGCCTTGGACGTGTAGTTCCACGCAGCCACATTGCCATGGAAGCGTGTCGCAGTGACATTGCGCACCGACGTCGGCGCGGTGAAGTTGCCTCCTGCAATCACCATGTCATCCCCGCAGTACAGCGACGTCACCACACCCTGAATGCCCCCGGCCAAGGGATCCCACACCTTTGTTCCCGGATCATACGAAGCGATGTTGCTCGCATTGATGCCCGCCATCTGCGTGAAGTTGCCTCCCACAAAGACGGTGCCGGGTGCTTTTGACCTGGCGCAGATGGCAGTGATACTACCGCCGGGCTGTGTAGCATTCAGCTGCGTGAGGGTGCCATTGCTCGAGCGCTCAATAATTGTCGACGCGCCAGGGTTGTACGAGTTGGCCGGATTCAGCGACGAGGCTGATTGTGACCAGACCTCGAGCCCTGAGAAGGCTCCCGCTACCCCTACTGCTCCCAGCGCATCAAAGTCGATGGAAGGGAAGCTGGACGAGGATGACGAGTCGGAGTCGGCTGCATTGGCTATTGGTGCAGCACCAAAGGCCGTGGCCAGGATGCTGAGTGTGGCTAGAGCATAGGAGCGCTTGCGTGATGAGTGCGAAGCGGCATTGCGAGGCCGCCGTGTCTTGGTGGCCATCGCAGTGAAAGCGGGCGCCACTGCTACGCAGAAGTTGAGTGGTGGGGTTGCGGTCAAGGAAGAGGAGAGGAGGATGGTCGATGCGGAGACTTGATGAGCAACACTCGTTGTTGCTCGATGTGGCGGCGCTGCGTTGGTGCTAGGCTGCCGTATTCAAAGAGGACGCGAAAGGACAGTGGGGCTCGTGCTGCGAGGGCAGGTGTAACGCCGAGGTGACAGACAAAGTTCGTCGTTGCACACCGTCTGCGGATGATGATGGCGGTAGTGGTATTGGCGGCGGCGGCGATTGCGGTGTTGTCCAGATTTACTGGAGGAGTGTGCGAAGGGAAACAGGGGTGCTGCTACGTTGGCCAGAGAAGCGCGCGAGATGTGTGTGTGTGTGTGTGTGTGTGTGTGGGCTCTCCTATAGAATCAAGGGGCCAAAATGGGGCAGGCCCTGGCGAAGAAGACGAGGGAGAAAGGGGGGGAAAGGGAATTAGGGTCGCGAGGGGGGGAAAGGGGGGGGGAATCGCCAAAGGGCAGCAGCGGCGATGGCGATGATGAGGAGGATAGGTTGGGTAGTGGTTGATCGATCGTCGAGGAACGGGAGATGAGTAGCGATTCGATTTGGTGGGCGCCTGCACTCAGCGGCTGGCTATTGGCGATGAGGCTGCGACGATGAGAGGGGGGGCCAGGGGAGAAAGGGGAAGCGCAGGCAGCGACGAGGAGAGACGCGAGGCTAGGCTGCAAAGGCAGGCAAGCACGCGGGCAGGCAGACAGGCAGGCGGGCAGCAGACGAGACGAGCAGCGGGCGCGGGTTGAGAGTGTTCTTCGTTGGATGAGAGGCAGCTAGCGGCGCGGACTGGCGGCAGGCGGGCTGGGCTGGCTTTGCTGAATGTACACCGGGCGGGCGTGTTTGGACGACGACGACGACGAGACAAAGCAAAGCAGCAGAAGCACGCCCAAGCCCGCGTACTCGCACCACGCGCTGCGCTTTAATCGACCCGACTCGACGCCGCTCAATGCCATGGCATGCCAACCATCTCCCCACTCCGATCGATGAAGAAGAAGAAGGGCGGGCAAAGAGAGCGAATGAGATGATGAGAACAGCGCCGATGAGATGTCACAACGCCTTGCCATCGCTTGCGCTCAATCTCACTATTTGCTCGCTGTCACCACGCCCACCACTCACCCCTCTATTCTAGGTATCCTGCTGACCGCCCCTTGCCCCCCTGAGTCTAACGCAGCATGCTCTCGCGCCTCGATGAAGCTTCTTGCCCTCAGTTCCCGTCTCGGAGGTACTACTAAGCCGTCTTACGGCGTGTCTCCCATTTAGATCTGTGGACCCAGCCAGCATGAGGCGGGCGTCAGTAGCCCAGCGAGCTAGCTGCACGCCGCCTTGTTCTTTGTGTTCTTCGAAAGAAGGGGCCAACGACGCGAGCGCGAGCGTAGGCGCGCGGGCGGGCTGAAAGGGGACGAGCGGGGAAAAGAGGGGGTGGGGGGGCTGCGAGAGAGTCGGAACGGCGAAAACAAGAATCGAGGTCGATCCAGGCGACCGTCACGTGGTTGGAGAGACTCGACTCGGCGAGGCCAGCCGATCCAGGCTCACGAACCTCCATCTCCGTCCGAGCCTCGACGTCGACGATACCACCGACCGACTGATCGCTCAATCGTTCCGTTTGTCATCACCGTTAGCACCTCTTCCATCCGACTAAGAGACGGCCATGATGGCGGCAAGACAGATGCGCGCTACCGCATCAACACTTAGAGCGACGGCTAAGGCTGGACCCAGCAGCAGGAGGTTGGCAGCACCGTCATCGCGCCGATCCTTCCACGCTTCGCCCGCCAGGAAGGACGCTGCGCATAGCAGCGGAGGGCATGGGAGCGAGGAGTACGCGCCTGAGAGTGAGTAGGCGTGAACACGACTAGGGACCAGCTCCGGAGCAGCGCTGCCACACTAATGGGAGGACGGCTGGTCGACTCCATGGACGAGGAGGACAGGGTCTGGCCGGGATATTGGACTTGACGAGGATCGACAGCAGCAGTTCAGAAAATTTGCTGCGGCTGCTGAGAGTCCTTTGAGAGTCTTCTCAGCATACTGGATGAGCGGCTATGCGTGGACGTGCTGCCTATATGCTCCTCTGCTGCCACGCTGCTCGTCCCCCTCCGGTCTCTAATACGTTGGCCTCCCTGACTGACACGTACTTTCGCTTCCCCCACCCGCTCTCGCGCAGCCTTCGCCACCCCCTTCTGGCGTAACATCTTCCTCTTCACCCTGGGCGGCTTCGGCCTGTACCGCTTCTCCCTCCTCGGCGCCGAAACGCACTCCACCCGTCAACCAGGAGGGGACGACCTTGAGCACGAAGAGGGCAACGACGACAAGCGTCCCTTCCTGACGCGCTACATTGAGAACTACACGACTAGCTCTGATACGTGGAAACAGAATCAGGAGAGGCACCTCGAGTTGTCAAAGCAGGCCGCTGAGAGGAAGCTCTTCTTGCAGGATGCGGAGATGGCGCCCGTTAGGAGGATGAGGTATATTCAGTGAGTTGGGTGGGAGATGCTGAAAGAGTAGGGGCATTGGGCCGCTGACCTGACACACTTTGTCATCCTCGTCTGCAGGACCTTCCAACAGGCGTCGCCCCATCTCAACAAGGTGGGCGACCAGGTCGACCTGTCCGACTTGGAGATTAGGAAGGCAAATGAGTAGAGGGGAGGTTCGGGTGCTGAGGCTCTAGTGGTGCAGAAGTGGACTAGAGAGACAGCGTCACAATGCAATACACTGAAAGTCATCGATTGCATGAGCCTTCTTCGTGGACGTCAGGGCGAAGAGCGGCTTGCGACCACCCTCCAGAGTGACTCAGCGACGAGCTGCTATCGCACGATCTCCTCCATCTCGACTGACTGTCAAAGAGTTGTGATCTTCTCCTCCTTTTTCACTTCATGCCTAGCTCTTTCTACCCCTCCAACCCTTGACTTGAGCTCGACGAGTGTTGCTTGCTTGCTAGGCGGCTCCTTGCCTGCCTGCCCGCCCGCCTGCCTCCCCACTCGGCTGCGCTTTGTGTTGATTGGGCCTGGCGCTGAGCGGAAGAGGGACTCGCAGCCAATCAAGTCATTCATCCTTCCACCTTTCCTTCTCATCCCTCCGGCCGCCTTACCAGCACTCCTCACACTAAGCCAAGCAGCATGTTCAACTCATCTCGATCAGGCAGCGCTGCGGCTACACGTCGGCTGACGCTAGAATACAAGCAGTGAGCTTCACCCAAGGTCCAAGAGTGGAAAAGAGGCTGACCAACACCTTGTCCAACTCGCCCCAGGTTGTCGGCCCCCGACTCCCTCTTCCCAGCATGTGGACCAATCGACGAGCGCGACCTTCTCCACTGGGAGGCTCTCGTTCCTGGTCCTGACGACAGTCGTGCGTGCCATGCTGCGCTGTGCTGCGCTACCTCACCATCTCGCGCTCACCCCTCCTCTCGCCCTTCCTGCCCGGCCACTCGCACAGCATTCGAAGGAGGAGTCTTCACTGCCAAGCTTACATTTCGTGAGTAGAACGACAGTACCGCTGCTCATGAGGAGCTGCATAGGCTGACCACGTTGCCCAACTCCGTACTCGCAGCCGCTAGCTACCCCCTCGAGCCCCCCGTCATGAAGTTCGACCCGCCCATCTTCCACCCGAATGGTGAGAACAATAGGCGAAGCAGCGCAGCACATACAAGGGAGAGGGGCCATGTGAAATCTGAGAGTTGACCAATTCGAGCCTCCGCTCTCACGCCTCCCGCAGTCTATCCCGACGGCACCGTCTGCATTAGCATCCTCCACGCTCCAGGTGATGACCCGAACAGTGAGTCGCTGCTCGCCTGTCTCGCAAGCTGCGTGCATTGAGAAAGGTGCGCTGACTCCCCTTCTCTCGCGCACTACCTCCTGCTCTCGGCGCACAGTGTACGAGTCGTCCTCGGAGAGATGGTCGCCCGTGCAGAGCATCGAGAAGAGTGGGTACTTCAGGCGTCACTAATTGATGAAGGGGCGACGAAGTATTCACATTACCCTCCCTCCCCTACACCGACCCCTCTTCACGCAGTCCTCCTCAGCGTCCTCAGCATGCTCGCCGAGCCCAACGTCGAATCCGGAGCCAACATTGATGCCTGCGTGAGTCTCCGCTCCACCAACCAATGACTTCAGCTTCGCAGCGTCATAAACCGCTGACGCCTCTCGATCTCTCTTCTCTCTCGCCCACGCACTTTCAGAAAATGTGGCGCGACGACCGCAAAGGCTACGAGGAGGTGGTGCGCAAGTCCGTTCGCGAGCAGCTCGGCTTGTAGTCGGACGAGTGGTGGCCTAAAATGATCTCACTATACCACAGCAGAGAAGCGCCAAGACTACTGTCCTGGCATCTCTTCATCTCAGCATCGCCCATCCCGCCCGTCCGTCGCCCTGCCTTCGTGCGAGCCCGAAAGGGGAGAGGGAGACGAGCTTCGAAGCACGTCTCTCAGATGGCGTCGACAACCTTCGAAGCTCGCCTTTTCACTGACTTCTTCTCTGACTCGATGTACTTCTACCCTTCTTCACATATACATCAGATCGCTCTCGCGTCCTCATTCGTGAAAGGTATCTACATTAAGGCGCCCTGCTGCTCGCTGACTGGCTGGCTGTAGGCTAGTAGTACATGGTGATGTTGATGGTGGTTGGGACGATGACGCCGCTTATGCGCCATCTTGGTTGTGTCACTCGCTAGAGTGCTGGTATCGTGTGTTATGCGTCTACTGTCGTCGTGCTCGCTTTGCCTCTCGGCTTTCAGATTGGCCCCTCTCGCCATCGACGGCGATAACAGCATGCTCGGCATCATCATCGCCGTCTCGCTGCTGACGTCTCTCCGCAGCCTCTGAGTCGCCTTTGCGGGCCTCTTGATCCTCCTTGCCCTGCTCTGCAGCGACGTCTTCATGCCCCTCCTCCTCCTCCTCCCTCTCCTCCTCCTCTTCAGCCTGACTCTCCTCCATCGATTCCAGCGCTGTAACATCAGCACCGGGAAAGAGCCAGATATGGCTATCCTTCCATCGCTTTGGCTCGATAGCGTCGAGGTCGATTTCCTCTGCAGCATCGCTCGAGGGCATTGAAGTGAGAGGGGAGGACGATGTAGGACCAAGACCAGGACCAGGCGAACCGCTGTGCCCTTGAGCCGTCTTCGCCTCTTGTGCTTTCGCCGTCCCTGCCTCGATCGGGTTCCAACCCAATCTCCTCTCCAGCCACCTCACTATCAGATCCGCCTCGCCCAACAGCATGAGGTCTACTCCAATGTGCAGCACTGGCGTGCGATTGATCAGCACCACGGGTACGTCATGGGGCAAATGCCCGACGACAGAGGAGACGGGAGCGACTTGCAGCGACGTGCCCATTACCAGGAGGAGGGATGCTCGTGACCGATCAGAGGCCAGATGACGATCGAAGTCCGAGCTGAGCTTTTCCCCAAAGAAAGTGATGTCCGGCTTGAGAATACCCGTGCGCTTCCCATCGTCGTGCTCTTCCTCGTCAGAGTATGAGGAGCTGGAACGCCGCCCATTCTTGTGCTTTTTCGCCTTCTTGTGCGCCTGCGTCTGCTGCTGTGAGCTGGACCTCTTCTCACATTCCGGGCAAGTGGGTACCCTCCTCTCCATGATGTCCCGCTCAATCTTGCGCCCTTCACACTTGAATGCGCACGTCACGCAGGAAGCCGTTGCGAAGCTGCCGTGGCATGCTAGTACTCTCGTAATGCCGGCGAGGGACTCGAGCGTGTCGATGTTCTGTGTGTAGTTTCGCAGGAGGAGACGGCGCGTTTCGAGGAGACGGATGAATTTGTGGGAAGGGGATGGAGTGAAGTTGGATGGGTAGATTTCTGCTGCGAACGAGTAGAAGAGGGAGGGGCTGTACAGGAAGAGTTCCTAGCGGGCGAGGGGAGGGGGAAAGGGGAGGAACGTTCAGAGGGGAACTAGTCTTGTGCACGGAGTGGCTGCACGCCTGCTCACCTTGTCAAACATATCCTGAGGGTCATCTAGATCGTACTGCCCGGACTCTTGAAGTCTAGCATATATGCCGTCTTTTGATCTGAAGTCGGGGATCCCACACGAGGTCGAGATGCCCGCGCCTGAGAGGACGATGATCGACTCGGGCGGAGCGGTACGGAGGAGCTGTAAAGCGTCATCGACGGTGTTGTACTGCGGTAGCTTGGATCTCCGTTGCAGCAGTCGATCAAGTGCGGCCTTGAGGATACCGAGGTGAACGCTCCTCGGCGTGTGAGCGGTGTCGCGCAGGCTCTTGGGAATGAGGATGCCTAGGGCTACTAGGAAGTGGAGAATGGAGAAGTCTCGCCGTTCACTACCGTCCTCATCGATGGCGTGCGTCTTGAGGAAAGCCGTAAGTCCCTGCTGCTTGAGCTCCTTGACGAGTTGCTCAACCGTGTTCTCGGGAAAGAGGGCATTGGCGCGTGTGACGAGAGCTTCGAGCTCAGGCTCGTCTTCGTCCTCTTCCTCTGCTTGGTCCTCTAGCATTTCCAGTCCTTCGGAGTCCAGGTCATCGAAGTCGATGCTATCCGTAGCAGCGGCGGCTGAGATGATGTCAATGCTGCTGCCCGCGGTACCATGGCCGTCATGTGGCCTGACTATGTGTGATGCTACCTCGTCGTCGAGTTGCGAGTGTTGGCTCTGCACCGCCTTCTTCTTCTCCTTCTCCTCGCCCTCCTGGCTACCGCCTCCTTCTGATGCCATGAATGACGATGCTAAAGGGCGATGACGTCTGGGTGCTTCCTGGGAAACGATCTAATGGGCTTGAAAATGGCAAACGTCAAGGAGCAGCAGCTTGCGCGAGCAAGCAGATGCTCGTCCTCGTCTTGCTTTTGCCGCTGCTCCCCGTTCTGCGTCTGCGTCTGCGTCTGGTGCCTCCACCACGCCCGCACGAGTGCACATCGGCCTCGTCCTCCGCCGCCGCCGCCGCCTGGCTGCGCCCACGGGCTGATCTTTTCCAGGTGAATTCTCGCCCTCTGCAGCAGCCCAAGTTGGCCCCTCGTTAGACGTGAGCGGGGAAAGAAATGCAGAGTGGACCCAAGGTCATCCATCCAGTCATTCATCGGACGAAGTCAACGCGGACGACAATCGATTTTCTGGCCGCGAGCGCGACAATCGCGCAGCAAGAGACCCTTGGCCATCTCACCTCATCTCATCTCATCTCATCAACCCTCCGTTTGTTTTATCCTATCATCCATCTCACTTGCGCCCTCCTCCTCGTGTTGTCTCGCCTCGTCCTGAAAACGTCCCGGTCTCAGATGGACAACATTGCGTCACATCACACCATCTCCCTCTCCTGCTACTAGATCTTCCTCCACCAGAGAAGACAAGCCGCCGCTGCCATTGTCGACTACGACGACAATGATGCAGCAGCAGGCTGGAAGATCGTCAGGGCCCTTTACTGGGCATGGCCACCAGTACCAGCATCAGCATCAGCATCAACAACAGCCGCGATACGGAGAGACGTCTATCAGTGGTGCAGGAGCCTATCAGGGCAGCTCGGCCAAGTCATCGCCTGATCATTCGCGAGGAGGCGACGATTCCCTCGATGAGCCTGGCAAGAAGCGACAGAGAATACAGCAGGCGTGCAAGAGCTGCGGACTCAAGCGTGTCAAGGTGAGCAAGGCTGACACCAAGAGTGGAAACATCTCGTGGAATCCAGACTGACACGCTTCTCTCCTCCTCCCCACGCCCGCAGTGCGACGGGCAACTACCCTGCATCACCTGCGTCCGTACCGGAGAGCACTGCGAATATGGCCAACCAAAGAAGCGTGGACCACCGAAGGGCTCCACAAGAGGTCCCAACAAGAATGCCAATTCCAGGCAAAGGCCAGAGGATGGAACGACTGGGCACGATATCGCAGCGCCGCCGCCGCCTTCTATGTCGTCGAACAATCCCAACTCGCCGCGATCGAGAACCACAACTGGCGGCTCGAGCATGCAGCATGCTGGCCCACCGCCTCCGCCGCTTCCCTTTGGATTCCCCTCCAACCAACCACAGCCACACTCGTACCCACCATTCGCAGCCCAGCCTCCGCAGCCTCCGCAGCAAGATCTACGCAGCAACATGAATGCAGCAGGCCCCTTCCCAGTCCACAATCCCAACGCATACCCACCTTCATACCCGCCCCTTCAGCAGTACGGCAATGGCTATCCACCGCCCTCACCGCGTCAGCTGCTCCCTCCGGCTCCTCCGCCCCCGCCTCTGCTGCCAATGCCGCCCGTGCCGCCCCAACAACAGCAAGGCGCCTCCTCGCCTTTCCCTCCCCCGCCATCTGCAGCCAGACATATGCCAAGCGGGTCGCTACCCCCCGTCGACCTGCAGAGAGGGTCCTTCATGGCTATTCCGGACGTCTCTGGTGGTCCAACACGGCCGCGTTTCCGTGGTGGGACGTCGGGGATACTTGACTTTGGGCGACAGCGCTCGCACAACATCCTCGACTCGCCTTCGGGTCTCGACTCCGGTGGGCCCTACTCCGGCTCGACATCGCCTTCCTCCTTTGCGCTGAGCGTCCGACCAGGCATGGCAGGAAGCGGCGCCGGCGGCGGCGAGCAACCTCCTCGCGGCATCATTTCGCGAACGGCATCTCACGCACGCGCTCTCAGTCGTAGACCGTCAGAAGCAATCGCCCAATCACTTCTCGACAAGAATAGCGAGTCGACCCGCCTGCTCCGCTATCCTGAAGTGCCAGACGCCGTCGAAGCGACCATCTGGTCCATCTGGTGGCAGATCATCTCCTGTCACTGGCCGCTACTCCTTCGCGAGTCATTACCCCTCTTCAATGGCCAGCCACGCGTTGACAAGGAGCGCCATCCGCTCCTCTACAACGCTGCAATGGCCCTCGCCTCCAAGATTTGGGACGCCGAACGCGATGGCCCACTTCCATCCATCCCGGACGATGCAGGCGGCCTGCTGACAGTCGAGAAGCTCACGGACCTCTATGCGCTGCGCACGCGACATTGGCTGTTGCGCGCGGACAACGAGTCTACGGTGGAAGCTGCCCAAGCAATGGTGCTCATGTCGCTACGAGAGAACGGCGATGGTCGATCAAGCAGCAGTGCTCAATACGCCATGTCCGCCTGTCGCGTCGCCCTCGACATAGGCCTTCATCGTGACCTACGTTCGCGCGGCCTCCCCGCCGATGAGTGGCAAGCGCGTCTGCGCCTCTGGTGGTGCATCTACATCCTCGACAAGACCAACTCGGCCATGCTTGGTCGTCCCTGCGTGCTGCGCTTCGCAGAGTCGGACGCGCCCTTCTTCGACGTCGACGGGCCAGAGGAATTTGTACCCTGGATCTCGGCCTCCAACTCGCCCGCAGCGCAATGCCTCTCTGGTCAGCCCGGTCGCTGTCTTTCCCATCTCCTGGCAGGCAGCACCCTCGCGACGGTCTGCGAGGAGATCTTCGCACAGTACAACGTCGTCCGACCAGGGTACGAACGCGGTGCTGGCCTTCTGTCAGGGCAGGGGCAACAGCAGGCCGCATCGTGGGAAGTCACCCTCGCAGCCCTCCACGCCCGCCTTGAAGAATGGCAACGCTCCCTCCCCTCTCATCTGCGCGTGGTAGGGGATCGCCCAGTCTTCCAGCACGTCCTAGTCCAGCAGATGTGGTTCCACGCCATCCGCGTCCTCGCCTACAGGCCACACATGCTCAAGCAACCTTCCCCCAAGTCAGGGCTGCCCAACCCGCACGGCGCTTGCACGGAGAGTGCGAGTGAGATTGCGCGCTTGATCTCGTTGTACAAGTCGCAGCACGGTTTCAAGAAGTTGAGCACCACGATCATCTATTGCGTCTTTACTGCTGCGACTATCCTATTGGGGAATACGACGAGTAAGGAGGTGGAGCAGGCTCAGGCTGCTAAGATGCGGTTGAAGGAGCTGATTGATCATCTCGGGGTGATGAGCGGGACGTGGACTAGTGCGAGGCTGCAGTTGACTATTTTGAGGCACTTGGGGGAGTGTCTGGAGGCGGATCTGCAGGGCACGGGGCTGGAGAGGGTGAGCGAGGGGCAGCAGCACCAGCAGCAGCAGCAGCAACATCAGGCGATGTCTCAAGAGCAGGCTGGTAGCGGTGGTATGCCTGGCGGCATCATGTCTGCCATGGACTTTAGCAGCGGGGTAGGAGGCAGCGGGAGCAGCAACAACAACATCGACGGCTTCGCAGCATCAACGACAAACAACCCAAACATACCCAATTACCTCCCATCTGTCGACCAGAATGCCGTTGGTGGCGGTCCGCTCAACAGTGGTCCGGGACCCTTCATCAACGGCGGCGCTGGGCCCACAGACCTTTCCTCCGTATCCCTCCTGGCCGACATAGCCAACGACGTCAGTGCGGCGCGTTCCGTCCTTCCCGAGCAGCAGCTCTTCGAGATCAACGACGCCAACTATTGGTCTCAGATGCCGCTGAGCTCGGAGAATGGCGAAGCGTGGGCCATGTTCACGCAGCGCTACCTGGACTCCTTGAATTCAGCTACGACGGCTGCTGCGAGTGCTGGAGCGGTCGTTGGCGGGGGAAGAGGGGTGCAGCAGCAGGGCCAGCCCCAGAGGTGACACCGCTGGGAGGAGAAGTGACTCAAGAAGATATAGACCCATCAACACAAGCTCATGTATCCTCTATTTTGTAGCTCGCACTTTGCACAACGATGCGCACGATGAAAGATTTCTTCGCAGCAGCACCAGCAGTCGGCTGGCGGCGGCGTCGCGGTCCCCCCTCGTGCTCGCAATTTCGGTCCCTCGACTGTCGTTCTGGCCGCCCAAACCCAATCAGATAGGCGGCCCTTGACTGCCTTGTGCCGTGGGTGGCGCGCGGGCGACGGTCCCTCCGCCCGGTTGAGCCTCAGTTGCCACTGACAGGCGTGGCGTGGATCGGGGCGGGGCGGACAAAGGGCTTGAAAGTGGTGGCCGCCAAGCCTGGAAGTCAAACAGGGCAGGGCAGAGCAGGCCGAGGCTGAGGTTAGGCTCGCCCTCTCTCTCTCTCTCTCTCATTGGCATCCGCCCCACACCTTCGTTCATTCTTTGAACCTCGTTTCATCCTCATCAGGCAGCAAAGGTACACACACACACTCATTCGACACATCGTCATTCGATACCGTCATAGCCTCACTCCTATCATCTAGCCCAGCGCAACAGCATCTGCTCGCCGGCAACCATTGCGTCGCCACTCCTGCTGCGATCGCGGCTGACGACCGCCGCTGCTGCATTCGGTCTTGGCCCCACCTCCTCCTCGCTCCCCAAGATGGCCTCCCACCTCGACGTAGGTGAAGGGAGCAGTCGAGGTGTCACAGCAGCTGCTGCCTCTGCTAGCATCTCTCTGGGCGGCAGGAGGAAGAAGTCGTCTTCCACGACGATGTCGCCTCCCCGCCAGCCACGCGACTATCATGGCGTCGAGAACTCCTCCACCAAGAACGTCGTTGTCCTCGGGGGAAGCTACGGCGGTATGCATGCCGCTTCAGTCCTCGCACAGAAGCTTCCACCATCACATCGCGTTATCCTTATCGAGAGGAATAGCCACTTTAATCGTGAGTTCGCTGCAAAACCCTTCAGGGCTCTCGCTCAATGTATGTATGCTCACTCATCCCCTCTCCTGCCATTGCAGACCTCTACGTCTTCCCGCGCTTCTCTGTTCTGCAAGGACACGAACACAAAGCCTTTATCCCTTATTCGTCCATCTTTGGTTCAGCGCCAAAGCGTCGTCGTCGTGAGGATAAGGCGAGGGGCACAGCGCCACCACCACAACCCCCGGCGAGCTCTGCTCCTCGCAGCGGGGGAAGCGTGCTAGAGATGGGTTCAGGGAGTGGAGATGCTCTTGCCCCACAAGCGGAGGCTCCCTCATCGTCTTCATCATCTCTGTCTCGCGGGAGAGGAAGCGGCTCATCGAGCTCAGACGACGAGAATCGCAGTAGCCGTAGCAACAGCAGTCGTGGCGGGGACTCCCTCTTCGACCACGATACGGTCAACAGCGATGTCACAACAGGCTCTGCTCCTTCCTCCTCGGGCGACCACTCATCGGCACGTGATCCGGCTCACGACGCTGGGAACAAGGCGATGGAGCAGGGCATCCTCGAGGACGCGCAGGTGTTGGCGCATGACGAGGAGAAGATGGGTAGGCCGGAAATCAGGGTTGAGCGGCTGGGAGAGGATGTCAAGGAGGGCTTGACCCTAAGCGAACAAGCGCCAGCAGAGGATGGAGCAGCTTCCTCCGCGGACGGCGGCTTTGAGGACGCAGAGCCGCACGTCGTGCTTCAGGCTACGGTCACCAGCATCACCGACTCTCACGTCATCGTTACTCCTACCTCGCCTTCCTCCGGCCAAGGCTCAGAAGGATCGCAATCTCGTCGCAATCTCTGGAGCATCGACTCCCTTTCCATCCCTTACACTCACCTCATCTACGCGCTCGGCTCGCACCTGCCTGATCCGCTGCGCACCACGTCGGCCTCGCGCACGAAGAAGGAAGGTGTCTCGTGGATGCGTCATACGCAAGAGCAGATACGAGATGCACAGCGTGTCGTGCTGGTTGGAGGCGGGGCGCTGGGAGTCGAATATGCGACGGACATCAAGAGCGTATACCCGGAGAAGGACGTGACGCTCATCCACTCACGGCAGAGATTGCTCCCCAACTTCGACGAGCGCATTCACGAAGTGGCCAAGGCACGACTCGAAGAGCTCGGCGTCAAGCTCGTCCTTGGCGAACGACTCGCCCTCACCGAAGGTTGTCCTAAAGGCTCCACAACTGCCCCTCTGGCCGAGGACGAGGTCGACGGTGACGTACACCCGATCCGCCAGCCGAGCGACGCCCACCACCAAGGCTGGAAACGTGTCCGTACAACTGGCGGACGTGAGTTGCTTTGCGACCTCCTAATGCTCTGCACCGGTCAACAGCCAAACAGCTCCCTCCTCGCCTCCTTGTCCCCCACTTCCGTCGATCCGCACACACGCCTCATCCGAGTCCATCGAACACTTCAGGTCGCCCTTCCTCCTCCCGATCAGGCCGCTCCGGGTCCATTCGACGCTACACCACCTTGTGGAGATTGCGACTGTTTCCTGGACAAGAAGGCTGCAGGTGGCGACTTGGATGAGAGGCAGGAAGGACACCTCGATGAGCATGGGATGGAGGGGGAGGAGAGGCCGGCAGAGAAATTGGGCCGTATCCCCAATGTGTACGCCATTGGCGACGTGGCTGATGCCTTTGGGTCTTTGAATGCCGGCTACCAAGCATGGGGCATGGCGGACGTAGCTGCGGAGAACATCATTCGGGACATAGGCGTGCGGGGCGCCAGCGTCAACCCCGAGGACAGCGCACCGTCGTCGCCCAGCACGGCGATCACTCCCGCCGAGCTAGTCCATTTCTCTCCTGCGCCCAATATGCTCAAGCTCTCCCTCGGCTTGGGGCAGATGGTCTTCCAAGGCGGACCGGTCAAGGGCGAAGACGGCGTCGAGAGACCAGAGGTCAGCGTTAAGGATGATCCGGCCGATTTGGGAGTCGAAGGCGTGTGGACTTTCATGGCTAACATGAGTGTGGAGGACTTGTATCTTTAGCCGAGACGATGATGCGCATCGTGTTGAGGCGACTGAACTCGCAATGTGTGTTCATTCATCCAAATCGTCACGTCAATGCATTTCTGCTTGCGCCAGGCTTGTCATGTGGTATTGAGGAGGGAACCTTGAGTCATATTCGGACGCGCCTTCGGACATTTCTGGGTCTTCTCTCCCAGTTGCCGTGATGGCCGACGTGCCGGATAGGCGGCTCGAGTGGCGGCGGACCGACGCCAGTCATGTGCCGATTTCTCACCTTCAATATGCAACTGGCGCTTAGCTCCGTGCCTCGCGTTGTAGGAGTGACACCCGTCTACCTCAATTTATCTTCGTCTCTCTTCCATCTCATCCATCTCTACTGCAGAGAAGGCGCGCAAATTGCCCTTCCTTACCGCTGATCAGCACGGTATAGCGGCCACAATGAGCTCGTCAGCCGCAGGGGCTAGTCTGCGCCCACAAGACGAGAGACATCGCCGCTCCTCAGCCCCTTCACCTTCTACAGCGCCGGGTAGCATGACGGAGGTTGAGCACGGAGCGAAAGGTGGACAGGAGGACAATGGCCCATCTTTAGCCAAGCGGCTCGAGGAGGGCCGCAGCACTGGTTCAGGAAATAGGTCGAGGGCCGGCAGCCCGTCTTCATCCTCACAAGACGTACCCTCGACATCATCCCCACCGACGCCGCCGTCCCAATCATCAGAGAAACAACCCCGCCAAGACCCGAATCTAGTCGACTGGCATGGATCTGACGATCCGGAGAATCCCAAGAACTGGTCTCCAGCGAAAAAGTGGCTCACCATGGTAATTATCTCTACCTGCTCCTTCTGCGTCACTCTCAACTCGAGTATCGTCACCTCTACTTTCGACTACATCTCTACCGACTTCGGCATATCGAGGGAAGTGGCCATCTTGGGATTGAGCCTGTTCGTCGCCGGTTTGGGTCTGGGACCGTTGCTATTGGGACCGGCGAGTGAGGTGTTCGGCAGGAAGCCCATCTACATTGTGGCCCTGACGAGCTTTTGGCTCTTTCAATTTCCGGTGGCGTTTGCGAACAAGTGAGTGAGAGTGAAGGCACCCGCGCTATCGTATTGACGCCCCTTCATTACTGACTGGAGCACACCTTTCATGTGCACGACTCTCGCCCGCAGCGCGCCCGTCTTCATGATCTTCCGCTTCCTCTGCGGCCTGACGGGATCCGCCTTTCTCTCCGTCAGTGGTGGAACAGTAGGTGAGTCTGACCACGCTTTGCGACCCTCTGGTCACTTTCCTGATCCATCTGTCATCTTGTCACGTCAGCGGACCTCTATTCTCCCAACGACCTCTTCACACCCATGTGCTTCTACTCCGCCTCGCCCTTCCTGGGGCCCTCTTTCGGGCCCCTGATCGGCAACTTCATCAGCACCTACACGCGCTGGAACTGGTGCTTCTGGACCACCATTATATGGACCTTCTGTCAGCTGTTGGCAGTCGCCTTCCTCTCACCGGAGACGTACGCGCCCAAGCTGCTCACGCTACGAGCGCGCAAGTTGAGGAAAGAAACGGGCAATGAGAAGCTGTACAGCCAACAGGAGCAGGCTGTCAAGGACATGGACTTCAAGCGGCAAATGGTCATGTTTATCACGAGGGTACCCATGCTACTCGCCTTGGAGCCTATGCTTCTGCTCCTCTGCATCTGGTCGGCGTTACTCCTAGGGATCCTGTACCTCCTCTTCGAGGCCTTCCCCATCGTCTTTGAGCAGCAGCATGGCTTCACGGCACCGCAGACTGGTCTAGCATTCCTGGGGCAGAGCGTTGGCATTGTCTTTGCTTATATGACCATTCCATATTGGTCCAAGGTGTATCGTCGCGCCGCGGCGAGGAATGGCGGGCAGGCCCCTCCTGAGGCAAGGTTGCCGATGTGCATGGTGGGATCCTTCCTGACTCCAGTTGGTTTGTGAGTGTGCAGAGGCTCGATCGACGGGACGAGTGCTAGTGCTGACTCGGCTATGCTCTTGACAGGTTCATCTTTGCCTTCACAAGCTACTCGCATGTTCACTGGATCGCGCCCATCATCGCGCTTGTCCCGTTTGGCGCTGGCGTGCTGTTCATCGTAAGCAGGACAATCTTTTCCCCCTCTGAAGACGACAAATCGCTGACTCTTGCTTGTGCTCCGCTTTTTATGTTCCTCTTCCTGCAGTATACCGGCGTCTTCACGGTGAGTCTCGGTTCACCGGAGCTCTCACAAGGGCCTGCTGACCTTGTTTCCTCCGTTCCTCCTTCGACAGTACACCACAACTGCTTGGTTGCCCGTAGCGGCGAGCGCAATGAGTGCCAACTCGCTCCTTCGCAGTGCCTGGGCAGGCGCATTCCCCTTGTTCGCCACGCAGATGTACAACGGCCTAGGCACCGTAGGGGCATCCGCGCTGTTGGCTGGAGTCAATGTCTTGATGATCCCGATACCTTTTGTCCTGTATCGCTATGGGCCGGCCATCAGGGCCAGGTCCAAGTACACGCTGTAGACTACCGAGATAGAGACGCAATGAAAAGCGTGCAATGGTGTCGCAATCCTTGGCCCAGAGCTTCCTTTCTCTGGCCCCCACTCATCCCTTTTGAGGGTGGCTTGTGCGTCGTCGTCTGGCTTGGTCTCAGATGCAACAACGGGCCGGCGATTGCTCCGCCCCTAGGCTGTTTCATGTCTTGATGACAAGCTAGCCTGGTCCCGATTCTCCGCTCCTCCTCCTATCTTACCTTACTGCCACCCAGCATCAACATCAGGACTCGTCGTCTTGGCTGCCACTTCAGCAACAGCATCGTCCCCTCCCCTCCAAGCGTCTTGCTCCCTCCCCGCGCGCACCCTAGCATCGTCGAATGGCTCCTCCCTCGTCATCCTCCACTGCCAAGTCGGCTGCACTCGATGAGCATTGCTACTACTGCTTTGAGGTGATCAATGCCTCACTCAAGCGAACAGGAAGCGATCTTGTTGTGCCCTTCGAGGATCAAGGAAGCGAGTAGTGAGTGCTGCCGCCACCGCCCGCCCCAAACACCGCTAACCAATGACCTCCTCCCACCGTCGCCGCCCTCTGCTACGGCAGTCCCCTCTTCATCACTTGGAACATCTATCCATCTTCAACATTGGGCAAGCTCGTCAAGAGTACTCCAAGATTGCGAGGCTGTATTGGGTGCTTTGAGCCTCTTCCCATCGTCGAAGGCCTAGCAGACTATGCCAAGACTAGGTGCGCAGGCGCGATGTATCGTCCACGCCAGAGCTTCTGCTGATGAGGGTCTTTTCATGTTCATTCGCAGCGCGTTCAAGGATCGCCGCTTCTCGCCCATCACGGAGTCGGAGCTGCCTCGACTAGAGTGCGGGTGAGCAATGCGAGTCGCCTGCTTGCCCTCGTCATCGACGCTGACCTGGCTGTATGCACCCTCTGCCGCAGAGTCTCCCTCCTCACCGACTTCGAGGAATGCCAGGACTACCTCGACTGGGAGGTCGGCACACACGGCATCTACATCCACCTGCCCAACCCTCAACTAGCATCGCAGACCGACGGAGGCCTGGGTCTGGCAAACGACGGCACTCCTTCCTCCTCGTCTGCCTCCTCCTCAGGCTCCTCAACGCCCGCAGCTTCTGCTCCTCGCAAATGGCTCAGGAGCAGCGGCTCAGAGCGACCCTTCCTCACAGCCACCTATCTGCCCGATGTCATGCCTGCTCAAGGGTGGACCAAGGTAGAGGCAATCGACTCTGCGATTCGCAAGGCAGGGTGGGATGGTAGGATCACAGAGTCGACTAGGAAGAGCCTAAGGGTCAGGCGATACCAGAGCGCCAAGTGTACCAGGACGTACGATGAATGGATGGAATGGCGCAGCGGCGCCGAGCGGGCATAGGCGTGGGCGTAGGCGTGAAGCAGCAAGCAGCTATGTATGATCCGTCACTCATCACTCCGTTTGCAGTCTCTTCTTCCTCTTCACACGATGACACGAATAGAACACACATTCTCCTCTCTCTACACCGCATGGCTAGGGGTCGCTTGATCTCTCACTCTGTTTCTCTTCATGACGCCCTCGCTCTTGATGGACCCGTAGCGAGGCGTGACCCTGGCCCCTCCTGCAACATTGTATGCAGGGTGGCTGGATTGGCGATGAGGGACGGGCGCACGATGCTGGCTGCCCCTCTTCTCCTCTCTCCGCCACTGTCATCGACGATGATGCTGACCGCGACTTCAATGCCCGTGATGGATGGATGCCCTTGCTTGCTTCTACTATTGCCTCGACGGCTTTTCGTAGTGATTAGTGACCAGTGACCGTTTCGCCGCCCAACACCATTGGCTCGCCGACGTCTCGAATCATTTTGTGAGCTTGGTGAGCCTGCTCTTCTCTCTCTCCTGAGCCCTCTCGCTTCGTCGCGCGGCCTTCACCCGCTGCTAAGCTGTTCAGCCCACTGACTGCCTGCCGCCGCCGCCGCCCCGCCCGCTTGAATCTCTTAGCCAGCCGTACGCCCGCGCCCCTGCGCCAATGTGCCTTCCTCTGGACTGCTCTGCTCGCCCGCGCCCCGCCTTGAAATCCGTCCAGCGGCGAGCGCGAGTTGCGACTGAGTGACAGGGAGTGAGAGCGAGAGCGAGAGTGGGGTGCCTGACGACGCTCAGAGTCGTGCCGCACGCTCATCGCATCGATCGTTGCTCTCGTCCATCGTATTGTCCATCAGAGAGGCAGCTGCGCTTCTTCCTTCTCCTCCTTTCCCGACATCCCACGACTGCCGACCGCGACGACGGCCAATCAACAGCAAGAGAAACCTTATCATCGCCGCCACCACTACCACCCGTCGTCGCTCCAATCGAATCCCCAACCCCGCTCGGCCTTGGCTCTCCATCCCGGCATCCCTCTCTTCGTGCTGCTCCGCTACCCGGCTGAGCCGCCATCTGTCGCCGCTTTGCATCCCCTTTGCCCGCCTCCCTCCCACTCCCCTCCTTTTCAGCAAGCAGCCGCTCTTCCGCCGCATTGTCACAGTAGCATCTCCACGTTACTCCATCTTCGGACTTAGCACCACGGCCCATTCGCCATGACGATCAACGGTTCCGTCGCTGGTGTCCCCGGCGGCGCATCGTACTCGCCTACTTCCTCTCACACGGCCACCTTTGACTCGCAACAGCATCACCCTCATCATCGCACAGCACCGGCCTCGCCGACATACCAGCCCAACCCGCTCTTCAGCGGTCACCCTTCCCGCAGTGCTTCGCTGGCCACAGGCTCCAACGGATCGCCCTCACCACTCAAGGACCGTTCTCCCAGCGGAGCTTCAGAGGGGGGATCAAAGGACAAGAAGTGGAAGCAGATCTTGAAGTTTGGCAGCGTAGGCAGGAAGCCGAGCAATGCTGGGCACGAGGGAACGGATGGGCAGGCGGCCCCGCATCGTGCAATGTCGATGGGAGCCTCATCACACAGCTCAACAGCAGCAGCTGCAGCGCCGCCCGTTCTCCCGCAAATCCCCTCGACTTCGAGCGCTGCCTTCGGTCAGGCTTTCCAGCCTATGCAGGGGAGCACCGTAGTCGCAGACCCCCATTCGCTCGACAGCTCGTCATCAGCGGGATCCAATGAGCCCGGTGCCCAAAATGCATCTGTTTCGCAACAGCAACCGCAACAGCAGCAGCAAGCTCGTCGTACCACGTCCGCTCCTGACGTCAAGAAGATCCTGGCAAATGGTCCGCGCAACTCCAAGCCTGCCAATGGCTTGCAAGCTCACGTGGGTGGCGGCCAAGCACCACAGCCTGTAGCGCTGAGCAATGCTAGAGCGCAAGATGGCTTCTTCCCTGGCTCGCCCGTACGAATGGACAGCACCGCCACCTCATTCAGCAGCAAAGACTTCGAAAAGGGCGGCAAGAGCTCAAAGAGCGGCATCTCTAAGAGCAAGAGCGGTCTGCTCTTCTCGGGCTCACGATCAAAGAAGGACTCGGCAAACAAGTCCAAGCAGGCCGACTTCAGAGCAGGCAATCAGCTCGGCTTGCCTTCTGGCTCAGCAGCTGCAGCAGCAGGAGCTTCTTCGTCGTCGCAGTCCCCACTCGCAGCATCGTCCTCAGCCAACGGCAACAGCGTGCATGCCAACGAAGTAGCATCGACGTCAACAGACGCTGCCCCCACTCGCCCCACGCTTCGTGAACAATCTTCAAGAGGCAGTTTCCACCGTACATACAGCGCCAACTCTATCAAAGTGCGCGACGTCGAGGTGGGGCCAAGCAGCTTCAGCAAGGTCAAGATGCTGGGCAAGGGAGACGTGGGCAAGGTATACCTGGTGCGAGAGAAGAAGACGGAGAAGCTGTTTGCGATGAAGGTCCTCTCCAAGAAGGAGATGATCAAGCGCAACAAGATCAAGCGAGTCATGGCCGAGCAGGAGATCCTGTCTACCTCGAATCACCCCTTCATCGTGACGCTCTATCACTCCTTCCAGAGTGAGGACTACCTCTACCTCTGCATGGAATACTGCATGGGCGGCGAGTTCTTTAGAGCGCTGCAGACGAGGCCAGGCAAGTGCCTGCCAGAGGAAGACGCCCGCTTCTACGCCGCCGAGGTCATTGCGGCGCTCGAATACCTCCATCTCATGGGCTTCATCTACCGCGACCTCAAGCCAGAGAATATTCTTCTTCACCAGTCTGGCCACGTCATGCTCAGCGACTTCGATCTCTCTGCCCGAGCTACGCAGCGAGGCGGCGCGCCTGCCGTCATCCGTCAAGCCACACCCAACTCTGCTCCATTGGTCGACACGCGCTCCTGCATTGCAGACCTGCGTACCAACTCCTTCGTCGGCACAGAGGAATACATCGCTCCAGAGGTGATCAAGGGTTGCGGCCACACGAGTGCGGTCGACTGGTGGACCCTTGGTATCTTGATCTACGAGATGATCTTCGCTACTACGCCTTTCAAGGGCAACTCGCGAAACGCTACATTCTCCAATGTGCTGCGCAACGACGTCAGTTTCCCCGACAACATCCCCATCTCATCGATGGGAAAGAGCTTGATCCGTAAGCTGCTCATCAAGGACGAGCTCAAGCGAATGGGCTCCAACTCTGGCGCCTCGGAGGTCAAGCAGCACAAGTGGTTTGCACCCATCTCTTGGGGTTTGCTGCGCAACCTCACCCCGCCCATCGTGCCCGCGTACAGCAACGGGCTGGACGCCATCAATTTCCGTAACGTCAGGGAGAGCAGGAGCTTGCAGCTCGACAGACAGCAGGCGCCCGCAGCAGCGGCGGCGGCGGCGGGAAGTGGTAGTGGTGTGCAGGGAGGAGGCAAGGGTGGCTCTGGTCACGCCAAGTCGTCGTCAAAGACGGTCATGACGGCCGTGGCCGGGAAGACAGGACAGGTTGAAGAGGCAGACGATGCCGTGGAGAGCAACCCCTTCAGCGGGTTCAACTCGGTCACGCTGCACCACGCGGACGTCTAGGCCAGTGAGCAGCGACGTCTCGACTCGAGCAGCTTCATTTTCTCTCTACGGCCTATTATCGAACATCTTCTTCGCCGTCACTCTACGACTGCGACTCATTTGCGCAACATTTTCCCACTCTAGTCATCCTTCCTCCCACAATGCCCCATCGCCGAGGCCTCGGCCATCACATTGACGGAGATACCGATCTCTCCTGACAACCACCCCCGGCGACTACATCTTTCGGCTCGATATTCTCGATCTACCTGCGACGCTTTCCGCTCGGTCCTTTCCGCTTTCCGCTCGGTCCTTTCCGCTCACACTCCTTCGACGAGCGTCCTCCTCCGCTCGCTCCTCTCCTAGTCTACAATACACTCAGAGGCTCCGGCTCTTTTCGATTCGATCCACGACATACACACGATCTTTCAATCTCACTCTCACATCGTCATCTCTAACTCAGCTGTCTGCGATATGCCCGCCTTCGACTTCGCCCCGAGCGCCCTCCCACTCCACCCCCTCGAGACCCCGTCCTGTCGCTCATGCATCCGCCCTTTCGACGCCCACTTTACTAGTATCTCTCATAGGTACGGCCCATTCTGATTTGAAATTTACGAGCCTGTCAAGCAGATCGTGGCCGCGCGAATGACAAGCGGGAGATGAGAGGCGGAGATGAGTAAACGACCGCTTTACGCCTCGGTCATGCCTACGGTCATGCCGAGTGTGTCGCAGCGTTCTCACGCTTGGAGCAGGAGTATGGGAAGAAGATAACAAAACAAGCTTTTCTGTCGTAGCTTTCCGTTCGGCGTATTGCTCGCTGGTGACCACTTCGTTCCGCACACGACAGTTGCGCCGCCCTCGCTACCGTCGCCGTGGCCCTTGACACGCCTCTTGACCCGTGCCAAGAGCTCCACGACTTTCGTACTATTCGTCTCCGACGTGGGTAGTTGTTCAAGTCTGGACCTGGACTGATGGCTAACCCGCCTTTAGTAGCGTATTCTCGTGAGAAGTCATTCAGCGTAGCGGGCAGTTATTTCCCTCCACGACCATGCCCCGGCACGCCCGACCATGGCCCTTTTCAGCCAAAGGGATGTTGCTGAGAAATGAAGCGACGACCGAAACCCCACACCACCGCTCGAAGGGCCCGCTCAATGGAAGTCTTCCAGCGAGCTAGGGTCGAGTGGCTCCTCGGTCCGGTTCCTCGTCATCATCGCCGGGAGTCACGGCCTGCCGCCGTCCTGACGATCTTTCATCGGCCGCCTCTTTCTCAGCGGCTTGCGAAGAGGACAGCGGAGCAAACGAAACAGGGCTTTGAGTCGAGGTGCGGAGGGGATAAGGCTTTGCTCCGGCCCTGCTGCGCCATGACACAGCGTTTCTGGTGCAGCGGCGCGCGGGCCTTTTGGCCATCTCCAGCTCGACGAGCGAGGTGAGGCACGCGAGGTCGCATGTAATGCTGACAGTCTTCTCTTGCCTCTCCGATGTCTGCTACTTCTTGTAAGCTTGCGTTGCTGAGGCCCCAGGGCCGATGGCCTCTCGATCGCTGGATCCCCGCGGCCGTTCAAATTTGAGCTCGAAACGCCACCAATGGGCCTAGAGGCCGAAGTAGCAAGCCGCTGCGTCACAAGGCGAAGGCGCGGGATCCGATCCCTGCCTGCCCCTCGCACCTGCCCTGTCCCCTTTGGCCTCACTCACCGCTGCGCGACTGCCGCCATAGGCGTCAGCAGAGAGAGGCGCCGAGAAAGAAGCTACTCTATGAGAGAGGCTTGATCGTCCAGGCTACTGCGTGGTCACTACTACTACATCTCTTTCCCTTCCCCCCACCCCATTCTTACCAACCCCCCACCCTTCAACATCAGGACAGCGTCCGGTTTCCGCTACGCACTTGATCCTGAAGAAAGCACTCGTCTCTGCTAGCAGCGAGAATCACAGCTCTGCTAGGGTTTCCAGAGAAGCTTCTGCCACGACGTCTTGAATTACCTCGTCTCAGACAGTCTTCTTCCTGACCATAAACCGCTCGTCTCATTGCCCTCAACCATTCGCCTTCGCCAGCTCCGCATTCTTGGCTTTCTTCCTCAAACTCGCTCCGCTTATTCATGTCAGAGCGCCAACCCTTCGGCCATTTTCCGCAGGACCATCGTTCGATTATGATGGGCTACCACTCGACTTATCCCCCTCTCCCTCATCATCACCCTTCTATGGCTTCGCTTCCGCCCACAGCGATGCATCCCACGGCTGCATACGTCACGGCTCCCGTGTCACACGTCTATCCTACTCTTTCCCGACCCTGCCATCAGCCATCTCCTCTTCCTATGGCACCACAGTCGATGGACTCGTACCACGGCATGCCGACTTCTGGCCCTAGCGTCCCTCAGCAAGCACGTCGGCACGTCATCGACGTCGATCGCGCCCACGTCACATACAGAGGTCACATCAAGACGTCGACCGATGCCATTCTCCTCCTCGCTGCGTGCGACTTGCCCGGTGACGCCTCGGCCATGGCCTCTGGTGCTGGCAGCATGAACGCTCCAGCCTCGCCGCCGCCTCGTCGAATCCACCGCCGACTGCTTGAGTCAGAGCGAGCGGATCTCATCCAGCCAGGCAGTATCTTCGTCTGGGACGAAAAGGAGGCTGGCATGCGAAGATGGACTGACGGCAAGTGCTGGAGTGCAAGTCGGGTCAGCGGCTGCTTCCTCACTTACCGTGAGCTTGAGGTACGCAAGCGCTCTGCTCACGACATCAATGGTCCTCGTGCCAACCAGTACAAGGTCGAGGGTCTCATCAAGCAATCCTTCAGCATGACCACCACCTCGGGCCGCAAGCTGCACATAGTCTCCTACTACACCAAGCGCGACGTACGCGAAGGTCGCCTTCGTCGAGTCAGCGAAGACCCGCGCTTCGTCGGCGAGGCTGGCGGAGAGTGGGGATTGTCTGTCGACGAGGAAGAGTTCCCCGACCCAGTCGTCGCTGGTAATGAGCAAGCTGCAGCCGTAGCGGCTCAAGTCGTTCAGTCCACGGAGGATGAGCACCAGCCACGACGAGAGTCATCTGCGTCCGACGGCAGCAGCCACCCTCGCCGCGATGCTTACTCTACCAGCCCACGGGTATCGTACCATTCGTCTTCGGTCCCTCAAATTGCTAAGTCACCGATGGCGCTCAGCGCTTCAGCGCAAATCCACGGATCCGTCTATCCATCACTCCCTCCGATTCAGGATCCTCCCCGCTCTACATCTGGCTTCAAGCGACCTCAGTCACGGCAAGACGGTTACACCACGGCGTCGATGCCTCGCCCACCACTCAAACGCCTGCGCTCATCGTCAGCAGGTGACCTTGTGACCGCCAAGCGGCCCGATCTCACGGCTCATATGCCACCGCAGGCAGCCCCAGAGTTCGTTCCACGTCGTCAGAGCGACAACCTGCTGTCCATCAGCCTGAGCGAGAGCAACATGCGTGGTGCCGGGCAAGACTCGCGTCCGCTGCCACGTCCTCATCAGCACCGCATGTCCTCTGCCGTGTCGAACTCCACGCCCGGCACCTCAGCGACGCCACCTTCAGAGCAGAACAGTGCTGCGGGTGCTCTCTTGAGCTTGAGGTCGTTCAGCCTCGCTGCATCCTCCGCCAACAACACACCCCTCACGTCGCCTGAGGACGCGGTCAACACCCCGTCCGCAGCTGATGGTGACATGCCTGCTGCCGTTGCCGCAAGCAAGGCTATGGTCCCCAACGACGTTGGCGAGTCACAGCAGCTGCATCGTCCAGCTGGTCCAAGCCGTCTAAACTCGGACTGTTACGCCCTCAGCAAGTTCGGCACGCGCATCTGATGAAGTGCACATCATCTTGCCCAAGTTTCCCGGCCACGTCTTCCATCAAAGCGCTGCAGGGCCGTGCTCGCCTTACCGTCACTCCATCCCCTTCCCGCCCGACATGGGCCAACGGCATTTCCACTTGTTACCAAGTCTCTATCTGCGACGAATCCGCGCCTCGCTCTCGACCCTTCTCTAATCACTGCGGTGACACGCTGCCCTATACACGTCGCAACGATACATGCAAGATTTACGACATCATCAGCCCTCTGACCGTAGCTCATCCCCTTGCACCGACCGCGGCATACATCTCCAAGGTTTTCAAAATCGGACCTACTGTCTTCATAACTGTCTCTCCTCGACGCGGCGGCTCTCTTCCTTGTACATTTCACCTCATCGTCGTCTTCTCCTATCTAATACACACTCTTTTTCGTTGGCATCCTGCCTCGTCGCCGCAGCCAAGCTGCGCGTCAATCGTATGAAGCTGTCTTCTGCTCACAACTCGAGCACGCACCCACAGGCGTAGCATCCTACTCAGCGGCAAATGCGAACTTACCCCCCTGCGAGAGCGACCAAGGAGCGAGGAGCAGTCGAACGATGGTGTGCTCTAAATTGCTTCAATGCGCCGATCACTCGACTGCGACTTGCCTGAAGAGAGATGATGGTGGATGCCGCGCTTGACTCTGCTAGTTTACATGCAGAGGTGCAGCGGACTCTCGGTCGGATTCGATTGAGCGCAGCCGGTCAGGGTGGAACCTGCGATTCCGCAATCCGGGGTCTTGAGGAAGGAGTCCGAGTTGTTGTCGATTTGACAACGGATCGCATCGCGCCTCCCAGCCCAAGACGAGGTCAACGCAAAGCAGAGCATACGCGTGTCAACCGGGATGACGACGCCTGATCTCTCAAGCTCCGCCCACAAGAGCATCCGACACGGCTCAGCCCTCCTCCCTCTCCCGGACAAGGCCCACCTCAGCGCCACGTACGTCGGTCTCCCGCTCCATGCCTTGCCCACCCCAGCATGCCTAATAGATCTGGCCGTCGTGCGCCGCAACTGTGCGCGTATGGCTAGGATCGCTGCGGCGTGGCAGGTGAAATTGAGAGTCCATGTCAAGACGCACAAGACTGCCGAAGGTGTTAGGGAGATGCTCGGCAAAGATGGCAGTGGGAGGGTGCTGATTAGTACATTGGCCGAGGGGTGGGGACTCGTCAGGGATGGATTGGTGAGGGATGGGTTTGTCAAGGATGTGAGTGGTTGAGAGGGGCAGTGCTATTCCAAGACATGAGCAAGCTGACGGTTCCGTGCTCGCCTCGCAGATCCTGTACGGTCTCCCCATCTCAGAGCACAAGCTCGACGAGATTGCAGCGCTTCGAGCCGCGGTCCAAGCTGAGACAGCATCTGTGGAAGGCTCCACGGTCCGGCTCTTCGTGGACAATGTCGCCCAAATCGACGCGCTCTGTCGGCACGAATCGAGCTCTGAGCAGCCATGGAGCGTCATGGTCAAGGTCGACCATGGAGCACGGTGAGCAGTCGCGGGTGCGATGATAAGCATACCATGAAGCTCTCGCTGACTGAAACACCGACTGCCCCTCGTTTACTCCTGCTCAAAAGTCGAGCGGGCCTCCCACCCAGCTCCCCAGCCCTTCGTGCCCTCTTTGAGAAGATCAGTAGCACTTCACGGCACGTATCTCTCCATGGCATCTACGCCTACGGGGGGCATAGCTACTCCTCTCGCTCAGCCAGCGAAGCAGATGCGCATCTAGCCGCTGAGCTACGTGCTGTCCTTCAGGCGCACCAGGTAGCTCGTGACGCGCTCTCCCCCTCCTCTCCCAGCAACAACAAGTTGAGCAAGCTCGTCTTGAGCGTTGGCACAACTCCAACTGCTCACGGGGCTTCACGCGCCTTGCAGAGTGAGGAGATCAAGCAGCTACGTGCACAGATCGACGAGCTAGGTGAGGGGACGGAGCTGGAGCTGCATGCGGGCAACTATCCAATGCTCGATCTGCAGCAGTTGGCAACCAAGGCTCAGCCGTCCCTTGAGGGCGAGGGGAACGAGGGCAAGAAGCCAGCAAGGATGGACGATGTAGCAATCTCTGTTCTCTGCTCCGTCGTCGGGTCATACCCCGGACGGGGGGCGGGCGACAATTCCGCCGCTGTCACGTCGCCACCTACTTCCTCCTCGACAGCGCAGCGAGGCGACGAAGCCCTAATCGATGGTGGCGGTCTCGCCTTCAGCAAGGACACGGGTCCCTGGGGCGGCTACGGCCACGTCATCTGGCCGCGCTCACTCCGCGGATGGGAGCTGAGTAGGCCGAGTCAGGAACACGGGATCATGACTCTTCGCGGGGAGGAGGAGAGGAAGAGTCAATGGGCCTTTGAAGGGCAAGAAGACCAGCAGCCGGGAGCTGTTAAAGTGGGGGAGAAGGTCCGGATCGTGCCTCAGCAGTGAGTTGCAGCAGCAGAGACGCGGACGCTGGTTCAAGCGAGAGGCGTACGGTCCAGCTGACTCGCCCCCGACTCCTCTCGCTGCGCAGTGCCTGCATGACCTTCGCTGCCCATCCGTGGTTCTACGTCGTTGACTCGTCGCAGGGCGGCAGCGCTGATGACGACGACTTTGGGCGACGCGTTGTGGATGTTTGGGTCCCATGGAAGGGATGGTAGTCGCCACGGCTGATGCTTGCAGTCTGTACGGCGAGCGCTCGGCCCGCCACGGCTCAGATTGAAAACATTTTGATCGTATTTGTTCATCGAGGCAAAGAGGAGAAAGGAAAAAGATCAAGACATTAGGGAACTTCTAGAAGGGGGATGTGAGGTAGGGGGCTAGGTAGGAAGAGAGCGTCAAATACAAGCGAAGGAGGGTCGTAGTAGCGAACGCAGCATAGCAAAAGAGGGAAGCTGAAGTTGCACCGCGCCTTGCTCCTCCTGACCCTTGTGTGCTTCCTCCTTCATCTATCCCTACGCTGGCGCAATGCCCCAATTGTACAACAGGATTCACCAAACAAACTGAACAAATTCATGCGGCGGCCTCTACACCGCTCGGATTCCTTCGCCTCTACTGCGGGACGCTCAAGCCCACGACAGGCGCGGGCGCCAGCGTGGCAGCCTCAGCTCCCCTCCTCTGCTCTGTACCACTAAAGCTCGCCGCATTCCTGGCAAAGACACGGGGCATCGGGAATGGGTGGGCGATGGACGCGGTGATGGTAGCCTTGCCTTGATCCTCGGCAGGTAGCTCTGCAGGCACGCCACTGGATCCCAGACTAGTGTCGAAGGCCCGCAGTGGCGCCTGATCCGAGTTGCTGCGAGCGAGAAGGGAGCGAGGTCCCACGGGGCCAGGGTGAGAAGGGAGCTCCGTGGGCGCGGCTGCAGCCATGGCGGTGGGGGTGGAGGGCAAGGTAGGCGTGACGCATGACGATGACGACGCTGGTGAGGAGGAGCCAGCGGTAGATGGGCGCGAGGGCGTCTCCGCTGCTCTGAGCTGCAGAACCGAAGCGGGAAGAGCAGGTGCGAGAGAGCGAAGCCCACCATTGCGGTAGCGCTCTTGCTGAACTTGCTCCGAGGCGGTCATCATCGAAGTTGAGGATGATGCCGAGAATGGCTGTGGCTGAGGCTGCGGCTGGCTGGGGGCCTGAATCTGAGCATTCGCCCGTGCCTGCTGCTTCGCCTGCGCCTGTGCCAATTTCCTTGTCCATCCCTCCCATTCATCCGACTTGACATTCAGATCCCACTTGATTGCTGCCAGAAATTCGCGCTCCACTGAGCCCAACTCCTTGAGCGGCAAGCCCGTAATCTTGCTCCACGCCTTGTTCGAATAGTTGCGATCCTGCAGGAACTTGGCTGCCACCATGACCGCTGCGAGGAAGTTGCGTCTTCCACACAAAAGGTGGTGGAAAGCCGCCTGCCTCTCGGCCTTGAAAATGGCCATGGTCGGATCGACGTAGCTTTTGCGCTGCATGCTGGCAAACTGAAGGCGCGTCTTGCGCACAGTCGGCGCGGCGCGAACGCAGTAGAGCAAGGCGGCTTGGAGGGTCGAGCAGGAGGTGCGACTACGTCGGAGCGTTTCTCGAATGAAGAGTTGGAGAGGGAGCGAAGAGGCTGAGCAGCCGACATCGATCGGTTGCTCGGCGAGGGGAAGGGGCGCGTGCCAAATTGCATCGATCGTCGCAACGGCAGAATCTGTGAATGGGTGTTTGGGGAAGAGGTGAGTACGATAGTGCGAGGGCATAGGGACTGGGTGAAGGGTGCAAGCGAATACTCACCGACCAAGGAGTCGACCACTGAGCCCTTCACTCGGGTTGAATCGAGGGAAGCAGGGATAGCCGCAGACTGGCTGCTAATTGGACTCGGGTCGCGACTGCTTAGCCCAAAAGCTTTGACAGCTCCATCAAGGCCGGTAATATCGGTGGCGGATGTGGTGTGTGGAAGAGATGCTGCAGTGCAAGCCGTCTCCTCGCGAAGGCAGCGCACAGCCTTCCGCTTACTCTCGCTAGGCGAAGGGCAGGAACGACATTCTTCGTCTGAGGCTTGTGAAGTAGCTGGCGAGTCCGAATCGGCGTCGCTTGAGTTCCACTCGCTCGACGAGAGCGAAGCGCTGTCCGTCAGAGACGACGAGCCAGAAGAAGAGGAGACTGAGTTGGATCGCGACCTCTTGCCGCAGACCTGTGGACGAGACCACGGGCCTGCGGCCGCGCTTTCCTTTGCATCGGTGTAGTTGCTAGGAGATGCGACGAGGTACGAAGAGGATGAGGTTGAGAAGGCGTCGTCATGTGCAGCCATAGTGGCGCGTGACGACGACGGTACTGCGAGCATGGTCGCAAATGACGATGCTCAGCAGTCAATGGCCACTAAGGAATTGTCCCGAGTAGATGACGAAGGTGACGGCGAACAACGAAGACGCGACACCGTGACGTTGCTACGAGGGCCTGCGAAATTGCGTGCTTGCGACGACACTAGGAAGCGAAAGTGGGCGGTTGTGGCGGTGGCGACGGGGGGTGTGACGAACGCAACTGACGAGGCCGGCGAGTCTGGTGAATGGAGAGACCGCAGAGCGACCGAGTAGACGTAACGACGTCGAGTGAAGGGGTGTTTGTAGTGGTGATGAAGTGGGCGCGAGTGGCGAGTGAGACACGCGCGGCCGTGTGTGTGACGATAGCCTTTGACGACGAAACCAACGGGTGAACGGACGGGAGATTGGTGGTGACGAGGGCGCAACTGAATGGCTCTCGATGACGGTGTGCAAAGGCCAAGAGGAGTGGGTGACTACGCGATGGCGAGGTCAGGGATCTCCTCTGTGACTCTCTGGTGACGTCGTTGTATCTCTCCTATGTCCGTTGCTGTGTAACTGGATGGTGCGCTCGAGGCGCTTAGTGCGCAATGACGACAGTCTCTGCGTTGAACATGGTGGTGGCGATGATGGAGGAGGGGGGAAAAAGAGGTCGAAAGTTGAGAAGTAGTACTGAAGTGGCCGCTAAGGACTCAGCGCAGCGCAGCAGGTGGTGGCTGAGCAGCGGATGGAGATGGCGACAGCGATGTCACGTCGAGTCGCTTTCGAGTCGAAGCGGCGTGCTTGATAGACGTTGTCTCTGGTAGCGGTGGCGTGATTGACGATGGCGTCTAATGGGCCATGTTATGAGGGAAGCAAGAGGGCAATCCGGTTAACGCTACGTCGCCGTGAGTCACTCTGTCGTAGGAGGCAGTCTACCGGACGAGACGGCGGATGCTGGGCGAGCGGCGGCGAGGTGCGGTGCAGGCGCTGTGCTGCGAGTCGAGCAGGTGGCGACAGAGGAGCAGGGCGACGGCAGAGCGGGGCCCAGCCCACACATCCCACAAGAGTCAACTCAAATCGAACGGGCCGGGTGGCGGGGCGGGCGGGCAGCCTGACCCTGTGCCGCGTGGCCCAAGCTCAGTTCGAGGTCGACTGAGAGTTTGAGAATTGGTCTGAGGGCTCAGCTTCCGTTCCGTTTCGTACTGTCGACCCTCATCGCAATCGCGACGACGCCGCCAAGTGAGATGCACACGTCCCTGCGTACCTCGGCGCCGTCAATGCCGTTGGCTGTGGATCCAAGATGCCGGTCAATCAAGGGGCTCGGTGGGTTCGAGCGAGCCAGAACGTGATGGCCCTGATCATCTGACCATCTCACGTCCCTATGCTGATCACAATACCAGCCAGCTCTTGGGCCACGGAGCAAGCTGGCCCGGCGTAGTTGCGATGATCCGCTGCAGGACCTCGCGGCGGCAGATTCGTCGTCGTCGCGACGCTAGCAATTCATTGACGAGGCCGAGGTCAATTAGAGATGTTGTAGGCGGCGAACACGTTTGAAGGTCCATTGCTATTGTCGTTGTCACCGACTTTCCCTTGTCAAGCGTACCCACCTCCCTTCCTTTCTCGGTGCCTCTACGCATCTCAACCCTATTTGGAACCCAGGCCGCCCCTTCTCAAGATTCTCGTCGTGTCGTTGGACTTTGCCTGACGCCCTCCTTGCTTGCTCGCCTGCTTGCCTACTTGCCGCCCACCCGCCCGCCGACGCGCCGCCCCGCCGCCGTCAATCGCTGCTTGGCCCTGCCCAAGGCTGCAAGGCTCGACTTTCTTCCTGATCGACGTCGCGAGCGCTTCGTTGTCCCCCTCCTTATTCCCAACACTGCGATCATGGCCAAGGGAAGCCGTAGCAAAGGGCAAGCGGCCAAGGCGCAGCATCAGAATCAGCAACAGCACGGCCCTAGATCGAGCTCCTCTTCCTCATCATCACCCTCGTCGTGGGAGCATCGCAAACGCGGTCCCAGGAGAAGAAAGGCGTCCGAAGTCTCTCTTGATAGACAGCTAGGTGAGAGCGGGACGTGTCCTGCAATATCACCATCTCACCTGCTGACCATCAAACTCTTCTTCTCCAACGGCCGCCAGAATGGCCCCTCTACACCCTCGCAGCTCTCTTGGTCTGCCACGCCCTCTCTGGCACAGGCTCCCTCTCCCTCGCCCACCTCTCTGCCCACCTCCCCTACTCGATACAGAAGCTCCTGCCCACCTGGGCGCGTACTCTGCCCAATCTCGCGCCATTCGCCTCAGACGTACCGAATGCCTCGCACGACTTGAAGAGCTTCTTCTTCGGTAGCGGAGGCGGGAGCGCAGCGTGGCTGGAGGGCCAGGCTGGGCCCTTTCGCAGCGAGGCAGCAGGCTTCGGCCACCCACTCACAGCGCTGCATACATTCACCAAGGCGTGTCTGGGTCTGTCGTACGCCGTTCGACCTGCGAGCTCATCATCATCAGCAGCAGCACAGGAGCTGCCTTTAGGTCACCCTGCACCAGAGCCCTGGGCCTGGCTTGTGGGGCAGCCGGACACCCTCTACTCCAAGGGCGCAAAGGACGTCCTCTACGTCCTCACCTGGATTCTCGTCTGGACTGCGCTACGAGCCGCCGTCATTCGATACATGCTCGTTCCCCTCGGTACGCGCTGGGTGACCCGCCCACGCCCGCAGCCAGGCAAGGCTCACCCCTCGCTGCGCGACCGAAAGCTCTGGCACAAGTCCGTAACCCGCTTCGCTGAGCAAGGGTGGGCCGTCGTATTCTACATTGCTTCGTGGTCCCTCGGCCTGCACATTGCCCATCAATCGTCTTACTGGCTCAACCCATCAGGCTTCTGGCAGGGCCACCCGCACCTCGAGCTGGAGGGCATCGTCAAATTCTATTACTTGACGCAATGCGCCTACTGGTTCCACATGCTCATCGTCATCAATGTAGAGGCAAGACGAAAAGACCATTGGCAGATGTTCTCCCACCACATCATCACAATCGCCCTCCTCGTGGGGTCATATCGCGCCCACTTCACGCGAGTGGGCAATGCCGTCCTGTGCCTAATGGACCCATCGGATATCCTCCTCTCCTTGGCCAAGTGCCTCCGCTACGTAGGCATGCAGACGCTCTGCGATGTGGCATTTGGAGTCTTTATGCTGAGCTGGATCGTCACGCGTCATGTCCTGTACTGCGTGCTGCTGTGGAGCAGCATCAAGACGATCCCTCGCCACCTCTTCGCCCTGGCCACAGCGGGCGCCGACCCGGCTATGGTCCGCATAGACTGGTCGCGCGGTCTGCCCGGCCTCGTCGAGCAGTTCTACGACGAAGCTCTTCCGGCGAATGCGGCGCTTGTGGCTCTGCTGGTCGCGCTGCAGGTCATCCTGCTCCTCTGGTTCGCCATGATTGTGCGCGTGGCCTACAAGGTTATCACTGGGTCGGGAGCATCTGATACCAGGAGCAGTGGAGAGGAACTGAGTGATGAGGATGAGAGGGAGGTCAGTAGGCAGGAGGAAAAGGAAGCGGCTGCGCGTAGAAGGGTGGGAGGTGGGGAGAAGGGGTCAAGTAAGCCAGTGGCTGCCAACTCTTCGCCGCAACAGTCTACCCCGACGGCGACAGCAGCAGCAGCAGCAGCAGCATCAGCGACGCCGAGAGCAGCAGCTGTTCAGCCATTCGCACGATCAGAGACAAATGGCACCGCGGGAGGAGGTGGAGCGGGAGGAGGGGGAAAGAAACGCTCAGGCAAGAAGCGAAAGTAGCAGTCCCGATCAAAGCAGAAAGAAGAGTGACAAGGGTAATGCAGGGTTTATGCAATGCTTATCACATCTCGTGCTCTTGTCTAGCAGAACTATGCTGGTCATATTGCACTGTTTGTACTATGATCGTGTAGGTGGGGTATATGCTTCTGACTCCTCTGCCTCCGAGCAACCAACCTCGAGTTCCACCTCGAACCTCTACGAAGAGGGGTCCCTCCTCTCCACGCGCTTCCCTCCTGATCCACCAGCCACTACCGCGCCGGCTCCACCGCCAGAACTCAACACCCTCATCCAATCATCGCCGACCTCCTTCTTCAGCCGCTCGATGCGCGCCCTCAGCTCCAGACTGCTACCTGCCACCTGGTTCTGGGCTGAGCCTGGAGTTCCCGCTTGCCCAAGCGCGGGTGAGGAAGCTCGAGGTGTAGCGGGCGATTGGGCCCGCTTCTTGCTTGGAGAGTGAGGGCGAGCGCTGTTCTTGCGAGAGCGTGGCACAGCTTCTGTTGTGATGGCGTGCTCCTGTGTCGTCTTCGCCTTTCTTTCTGCTTCTGAGGGACCGGTACCGAGTACTTTCCGCTTAAGCTGCTCAGCCTCGCTGACTTCCATGGATGGCTCTGGCGTGGAAGACATCGCAGCCTCATCGTCCCCTCGCACCACCGTGGCGAGATTGCGCTGCTTGCGCGGGCTCTGTGGTCGCCTGACACTGCCGGTGTGAGTCGTCTTGCGGTGATGCTGGCTCCCTGTCCTCGCGCGATGCTTGACAGCGACGATCTGGGCACTCGGCCCTGCTTCACTGCCTTCCCCAGCTGGCGTATCCCTATCGCCCGCACCCGCTACTCCGGCTGATGGCCATGCCTTTCCTCCACTCTCACTACCTCTTCCTTTCCTCGCCCTCCTCGCTCCCACCGGCACTCTCTCCTCCACTCTCCCCTTCTCAAACCAGCCCACTCCCTCCCCATCGAGCCTCACGCTCCCCTCCCCATCCAGTGGCCAACCTTCCTTCAGGAACTCAGCAAGCACCTCAACTCGCCAGTCTTTGTACTCCTCGCACAAGGGGTTGCCCTTCACCCACACGTCGCGCAGCGATTCGAGGGAGGCGGCGAGCCTTCCGAGCTCGTCGGCTTCGTAGATGAGATTGTCTCTGAGGTCCACTTGGCGGAGGGATGTCAGGCTGTCGAGACCGGAGAGGGACGTGATACGATTGCCGCGTAGCTTGAGCGTGCGTAGCACCCCGGTTTCGCCTAGGCAGGCAGCCGCTCCTCTCGTGTCCTCGATGAGGTTTCCGGAGAGGTCCAGAGAGACGAGCCGTGTGAGGTGGGAGAGGGAGGAGGGGATGCTGATGAGGAGGTTGTGTGATAGGTCGAGCGAACGGAGTGAGGGAAGGGGCAAGGAGGGAAAGAATGTAAGGGAAGAGGAAGGGAGGCAAAGGGAGGAGAGGAAGTGCCAGGCTAGTTGGGGGAGCTGGTCCTTGTTGGCTTGGCCGTTGGACGCCGAGGTGGAAGCCGCCCCTTCTTCATCTACCGTCTCTCCATCTGCTGCCCTTCTACGTGCGACATCTCTGACGACGTGATCCACGAAAAAGTCCTCAACATCCTCGACGCCACTTCTGCAGAGGCTCAGTGACCTCAACTGACAGCTTAACCGATCCCATCCGCTGACCCCTCGTGGATCAACATCAGTGAAGCTCAGCAGATGCAGATTCCTAAAGACATCCAGCGGCGTCAAAGTCGTCGGACCACCAGTGATAGCCTCGTCCTCGAAGCCCTCGATCAGCCCCGTAGCAGGTGAGGGTACAAGATCTAAGGCAGGGAGCTTAGTGAAGGCAGAATAGATGTACTTGAGCTGCGCGCTCGGGCTCGGCGGCTCGGTAGGGGTGGATGAGAACCAGGAGGAGGTTGTCGAGGCGGCTCCGCTGAGGGAGATGCGGGAGAATGCGGAGCGTACGCTGTGCAAGCTCATCGTCTCTGGATTGAGGAAAGTCGAAGTTGGCCGTGAGGGAGTCGTTGATGACGAAGAGGCCCCTTGTTCGTTTGAGGAAATGTAGGCAAATGTGCTTCTTGCCCTACTCCTGCTCGAGGCGGGCAGAGGTTCGTCGAGGGATCCGGCGGAGAGGCCTAGAGCGTCGAAGCGCAGAAGCAGATAGCTGAGGTGATGAAGAGAGATTGCAAACGGCTTTGGGGGAATAACAGTGCGTGCTTTTGACGACGAGGACGAAGGCAGCACTGCGCCGCTGAGCTGTTTCTCATTCTGGCGGATGTACCTTGCAAGGGAGAGGATGTAGCTGTCCCCCGACTGGGTTTGGCTATCCATCGAGGGCGTTTGTTGCGTGGGATGCGGAAGGAGAAGGCGGAGGAGCAGGGGAAATGGGCAAATGAGGGAGCAAAGGGTGTCGCGGCAAGGCGGAGACGGCAAAGGCGGACCGGCAAGAAGGCAGGCCAAGGACGGAAGGGCGGACTCGCATCAGCCAGGCCAACCAACACACGGCCCTTCGGCTTCTCCACCTTCGCACTTTGCTTGTCTTTCTTCTAAACGACCTCTTCGCAATAGCAGTCATGGGTCACCCAGTGTGAGCGTGGAGTCTTCGTCGTTAGCGGAATACTTCCACAGCTGCTCAACTTACTCCCTGCTCCCATCCAGCACCCTAGCCACCTGCTCCCTAAATCAATGGGCCCTCGACTTCGCCGGCAACCTCCAACGAATCCTCCTCTCAATCCAGCAAAGCAAAGCTTTAGGCGCAAAGCTTCGTGTAGGGCCGGAGCTCGAGATTACAGGATATGGCTGCTTCGATCACTTCTTGGAAGGAGATACTGTCCTCCACTCGTGGCAAGTCCTCGCCCAAATCCTGGAGAGTGACGCAACGCACGGGATCGTATGCGATATTGGCATGCCAGTACTGCATCGCTCTACCCTGTACAACTGTCGCGTCCTCTGCTTGGACGGGAAGATCCTCTTCATCCGACCCAAGATGCATCTAGCCAATGATGGGAATTACAGGGAGATGCGATACTTCACCCCTTGGACTAGGCGGGGGGAGACCGACGACTTCTTTCTGCCGCGCATCGTTGCCAAGTCACAAGGGAGGGAAACGGTGCCGTTTGGCGATGCTGTGCTGGCTACCAGAGATACGGCCGTGGGAGTGGAGCTGTGTGAAGAGCTGTTCACTCCCAATAGCCCGCATGTCGCTATGGGTTTGGATGGGGTCGAGGTGAGCGTGCCGCGCAAGATGGCTCCTTCCTTTGCTTGGCCCCCGCATATGCTGATTCCCGATCGTGATCGTGACTCATGGCCCCTCCTCACCTGCAGATCTTCATCAACTCCTCCGGATCGCATCACGAGCTTCGCAAGTTGTACCGTCGCGTCGACTTGATCAAAGAGGCGACGCTCAAGCTCGGCGGTATCTACCTCTACGCCAATCAACAAGGTTGCGACGGTGATCGCCTCTACTACGACGGTTGTCCACTCATCGCCCTCAATGGTAGCATTGTGGCGCAGGGCTCGCAATTCTCTCTCGATGATGTGCAGGTGGTGACTGCGACTGTGGATCTGGATGATGTCAAAGCGGCGAGGTGTGCCAAGAGTAGGGGGATGCAAGCGGTGCAGAGTCGGGAGATTAACAACGGCAGAGGCTTCACGAGGGTGAAGGTTGACTTTGACTTGGGGAAGCGAGACCAGGATCATGGGGGGGATGGCGACGACGACGACGTAGGTGGGAACAGCGGCGCCTCCGCTCGAACCGGCTCTGGCGCAGCCGACCCAGACGCGGTAGCCCTGGGCACTGCCGCCTCCTCCTCCTCCAATCGCACCTCCCAAGCACGCGACGGCGGTGACGTCTTCTACCACACCCCGTCAGAAGAGATAGCGCTCGGCCCCGCCTGCTGGCTCTGGGACTACCTCCGTCGCAGCAAGACTCAGGGTTACTTCATCCCCCTCTCCGGCGGCATCGACTCTTGTGCTACGTCAGTCATCGTCTACTCGATGTGCCGGCTTGTCTACCAAGCATGTCAAGGTCCCCGCCCTAATGCTCAAGTGCTGGAAGACGTAAGGAGGATTTGCGGGGGAGCGACGAAGGAGAAATTGCCTGATGGTTGGGTGCCTTCCAGCCCTCAAGAGATTGCGAACCGGATCTTTGTTACTTGCTATATGGGCACGGAGAACTCCAGCGCCGAGACGCGCAATCGCGCTCGCGACCTGGCTGCGGCAATTGGGTCGTATCATATTGACCTCAACATGGACATTGTAGTCACTGCGATCGTCAGCCTCTTTGCTATGGTATCGCAGCGCACACCACGCTTCAAGGTGCATGGTGGGACACCTGCCGAGAACCTTGCACTACAGAACATCCAGGCTAGATTGAGGATGTTGCTCGCGTACATGTTTGCCCAGTTGACTCCTTGGGTCAGGGGCGGAATGGGAAGCTTGCTCGTGTTGGGAAGCGCAAATGTCGATGAGAGGTGCGTGCGACCCCTCCGAGACGAGGATCTTGAGCTTCGCCAGCTGACACACTCGCTCCCCCTTCCCCCATTGGTCGCAGCTTGCGAGGCTACCTAACCAAGTACGACTGCTCCTCCGCCGACGTGAATCCCATCGGTTCCATCTCCAAGACGGACCTCAAATCATTCATCGCCTACGCCCGCGATGCCTTCGACCTTCCCGTGCTCCACTCCTTCCTCACGGCCGTTCCGACTGCCGAGCTCGAGCCCATCACAAAGGACTACGTGCAGGCGGATGAAGCGGATATGGGCTTGACATACGATGAGCTCAGCGTCTTGGGAAGGCTCAGGAAGGTGGGCAAGTGCGGCCCTTACGGTATGTTGCTCAAGTTGCTTCAACAGCGAAAGGACTACAATGCCGCAGCAGCACAAGCGCAGAGGACGACGTTGAACAAGAAGGAGGAGGAGGAGAAGTCAGCTTCAGCCCCACCACTGCTCCATCTTTCTCCGCGGGGAATAATGGAGAAGGTCCAACTCTTCTTCACCATGTACGCCATCAATCGTCACAAGATGACCACCTTGACGCCGAGCTACCATGCGGAGAGCTACTCTCCCGACGATAATCGCTTCGACCTCAGGCCATTCTTGTACAATGTCAGGTTCCCCTGGCAGTACGAGCGGATGGAGGCGAGGGTCAAGGGGGAGGAGGCCAGAGAGGCGGGCAAGAAGGAGTAGACGGGAGCCGGCGATTCGGAGGAGGCCGGAGGAGGCGGCAACACTGCAGCACAGAGGCCGTGAAGAATCGTCCTGCAATAGTGAACATGGTAATCAGCATTTGGTGACAAAGGAAGACGTTTCGATGAAAGGACTGTGCGTAGGGAACAAAGCAATGCGAATCTCGGCACCAAAGGCAGGGTTGATCACCCTTCGTACGAAGCAGCCCTTCCGAAGGGATTGCGCGTATGCAGCCTCGAGATGGGCGAAGATGGAAGACGAGGCCCACTACCGCCAAAGTGGGCATCGCGATGATCCTCGCTCCGCGATAGGTTCATCGAGGCTGACTTGGCAGGTGAGGGGGTGGCGGGTGGAGTTGTGGCCGCGTCCGGATCTGCGTCTGCGTCCGTGTCCGCGTCTGCGTTCGCTTGTAGTTCTGCAGGGTGAAAGGAAGGGTAATTGTAGGGTATATTTGCGTTCAAAGGTCGATAATCGTCTTGCATGAGTGTCGTCGTGGTATCCGTGTGGTCATCGTGGGGAAAAGGAAAGTAAGGGGCTGCTGTCGCCGTATGGTCTTGCTGCTGAGGGTATCCTTGAAGTTGGTTCTGTTCGTCTTCCTCTACCTGCTGCTGTCTCTGCTGCTCCTCATCCTCATCCATCTGCATCTCCATGTTTCGCGCACCAAGCCAAGGTAGCGCTGCCTGTATCGTTGCGGGGCTCTTGTGCGCCAAGGGCGAGATGGAAAGGCCGTCAGCCGAGTGTGTTGCAGGCGGGGAGAGTAGGCCACCGTCATTCCCAATGGCTTGTCGCATGGATTGTAGCCTCGCCTTAGTGGGTGTGAGGTCGGGGTCGAGGTGTGCGTCGAAGAGGTGATGCTGCTGCTGCTGGTGGTGGTGGTGGTGGTGGTGCTGCTGCTGCGTCACTGGATCTTCGGCGCCTAGTGCTCCCCTCTCGGTCAGGCCATAATGATAGTATGCATCGCCCGCCGACTGGACTCTCCCCGGATGCTGTCCCAGCTGATGAGGTTGCTCAGTAGTCGTGGTGGCCGTGACGCTCAACCTGCTCAACTGCTCGGCCAAGGGAGCCTCGCCACGCGCTGTACCGCCGCCATCGAGCGATAGGGAAGCGGAGGACCAGTGGTGGTGGATACGCTGCGTGTGGGGATGCTGGTGCTGAGAATGGTGCCGCAGGTGGCGATGGCTCCTATGCTGCTTATTGACGAGTGCAATGGGTCGCCGAGGGGCGGGAGCTACTAGGTGGGGCCCTGAAGAGGTTGTGGCAGACATTGATAAGGAGGAAGAAGGCGAGCCTGACTTGGACGGAGGGGAGAGAGTGGCCATGATGAGGACGGGAGAGGTGTTTGCGGCGCAATGCTGTATTGGCGCTATATGCTAGGTTGCCCTACGGCATGACGAGGAAGAAAACGTGTATGGATGGAAAGGGTTGATGAGCAACTCGATGTGCGTGCGTATCGAGGGGCCCCTCGCATCGATCCATTCGTAGCCTCGACTTGGACACGCATTTCCGAACGACGTCGGAACGGGCGCAGGCAGCCAAGCCAAGCCACTCTCCTCCCGCACAGCCGCCCGTCGTGTTAGTGGAGCTCAGCATCATTACCACCACCACAACGCAAATCGCATCCACCCCCTCCTCCTCCGATCCATCATCATGGCGGACCTCTTCGAATCCTACTCCTCCGACCTCAAACAGCTTCTCAGCTCCCTCCAATCCCACCTCTCCCCCTCCACCCTCCAGTCCCAATCCGGCGAGGCACGTAAAGCCACCTTGCGACGATGTGAGATGGAACTGGATGAGGCCGAGGAGATCCTCGCGCAGATGGACATCGAGGTTCGGGGTTTCCCACAGAGTGTCAAGAACAAGTACAGCGTGCAATTGAGGGGGTTTAGGGGAGAGGTGGAGAGAGTCGGGGAGCAGGTGGTGAGTGTATGCGGGCGCGATGGATGAGGGGGAGGATGACATTGGGGACGGGCAATACTGATGGATACCCCCTTCGACGCTCGCAGCGATCCCAAATGTCCCGCCCAGCAGGCAGTGGGTACGATCCATCGAACCCATTTGCTGAATCCAGCAGCGGCGCAGGTAACGACGCCGACCTGGAGCGCCAATCACAACGTCAGCGCCTCCTCCAAGGCACTGCAACGCTCGAGGACGGGCAACGACGCCTCGAAGAGTCGAATCGCATCGCACTCGAGACGGAGGATCTGGGAGCGGATATCCTGCGTGACCTGAGGGGACAGAGGGAGCAGATTGAGCACTCTAGGGATACATTGAGGCAGGCGGATGGCAATCTTGAGAGGAGTAGCAAGACGTTGACGACGATGATTAGGAGGTGAGTCGCGCAGCAGTAGCAGGGCGAAGGTGATGTGGTGGGCTGGCTGCGAAATACTGACCAGACCGCACTACTACCCTCTGATCGTCCCTTGCTCCTCCCTCGCCACATCCCACGCCCACGTCGCTTCACACCAACGGATCTGAATCTCTCTTTGGATGGCTATGGTGACCCGGGATGCCCTTTTGTTCTCCTCCCTCTCGACCCATGATACCCCTCTTCCGTCCCTCTATCACTCGCACAGAGCAAAGCAACAAAAGCTCACCATGGTCGGCATCATAGTCATCCTCGTCCTCTTGATCCTGCTCATCCTGTACAATAAGCTCTTTGGCTAGACGACGCCTTTCGCCCACCTCTCTCGAATGATATCCATGCGCTGCACCTCGACGTGGTTGTGGTAGTGAGTGAGGTGCAGTGGCTGCATATTCCAGACGAGCGGTCTACAGAGCGGCCGAAGATGGATGAGGTTGTGCGCAATGCGGGTGTGTGGCAATTGGGGATACGGGAGCGGTGGGCCCAAGACATCAACACGGGGGCGTCATGCTGGGCAGCAGCACGCCGGCGATGGGTGGCGACGACCGTACGTGGGGTGTGGTCCAACACAACAACACGAGTCAGCCGCTGAGTGAGACGGGTGTTGGATGGTGGGAGCGGACTCAGGCACAGCAATGCGAGCGCAACGAGCAGGCGTACGTGGAAGGCTCAGACGAGAGGGAACAGTTGGTAGTGGCCATAAGGATATTTGATTGAAATAGGAGACTCAAAGCATACACGACATCGTCCTCGAACGATCATGCGTCGTGGTGAGCGCCCATTTAGGCGTCACGCTTAGCGCCGTGGAGGTCAGCCTTGCTGCCGTGCGAGGCCTCGTCCATCTTGTCCGAGACGGCGTCCTTGGCAGCCTCAGCGCGGGTACCAATGGAAGCGTCCGAGTTCTTAGCGACGTCCTTGTTGGCCTCCTTGGAAGCGCCAGAGCCGAGCTGTGAGTGAGGGAGCGAGAGGAGGGGAGGGGTGATGTCAGTCCATCGTGTTCACAATGATGATGGTGGCAAGGACGGTGAGATGCGTACCTCCTGAACCTTCTCCGAGGCCTGGTTGATGGTGTCCTTAACAGCCTGCATGATGATTGATTGGTTTGTTTGGTGGTGCGGTGGTGTGAAGTGTTGAGAAAGTAGTGTGTGGTAGAAAGGAAAGATGAAAGCGCCGCTCACAACGCTTTCTTATATCCTCGATCCGTCGAGGGGACGACCCGGCCACGTCGACGACATGGCGATGGTGCGTGCACACACCAGTCTGGGCCAAGAGCAGCAGGGACAGCGACACAAGATCTACGCCGCCGTCATCGCCGCATCGCCGGGGCAGCCGATGAGAGAGTGTTGCGTTGGCCGATGCGATTCAATTGTGGCACAGCGGGAGTGTGCCTAGACCCTGAGTGAGTGACTTGGTGCGTGCGTTGGTGCGTGCGCCGCGCGTCGATGACGTCGGTGTTGGCTTGAGCGGTGACGCCTCCTTCCCACCCCGCATGAGCCACGACACGGCCCATCGACGATGCTCATCGAGAATACAGACTCAGGGGCAGAGGCAGAGCCAGGGCCGGCTGGCAGCCAAGCTCTAATGCTCTGCCGCCTTCAACCGCCCCTCTCCCCGTCGCTCCACCTCCGGCGCTCTTTCTCTCTCTCACATGCACGCACCAGCCCAAGCCCCAATCAAAGCTCCATCCATTCACCAGCCATCAAGCCCCGTCCATGTCGATCCGTTCCAGAAGCGTCGGGCCTCTGTGGGTATCGTCCTCCGCCCTCGGCCTCCGCTTTGAGCCTATATTGGATCACACCGCATTGCATGAGGGGGAACGGTTGGGCGGTGCAACCCTTGGCCGCGGCCGTCCTCCTCAACCGTCGTCGTCGTCGTCATAGCGGGTAAGCATGTACCCGTAACTTCGCGCGGCATGACGTGGAAAGGCATAGAGCCAAATCGTCGTCGATGATGTCGACGACCTCGTGGGTTGGCATCGACCGGTCGATGCGGGTTGAGGAGCCCAGACTCTATTCAACGCCTCACATGGCAATACAACCGTGACCCTGCAGTCGAGTCGAGACGAGCTAGACCCTGATGCAATGCGCCAGCGTGCAGCAGCCAGGACCCTCCTCTTTGCTCGATCCTGATCCTGACTCAAGGGCCGTGCGAAGCCGCTGTGGAGGGCGATAGCCGGCCGTGTTGACGTCTTGACGAGGCGGCGATGAATCGGGCTCTAACACGTGGCGTGTTGGTTTTCCCCCCCCCCCCCCCCCCCCAGCGCCGTGGGCCCTCTCTACGATGTCGACCTCGGACCTCCATGATTGTCATGCGAGCTTTGAGCTCCTTTCCGCTCGAGAAAGAATCCTCAACGCCGCTGCTGGAGGCCATGGACACGATGAGCGCTCAAGCTGGGCCGAGTGGCCGTGCCTCACCTCTCGTACCTAGCGTCATCTCGCAGCGCTTCTTGCAGTACCAGGGTCAGCCAACATGCTCTTCGTCAATGGCGCCACGACGAAGCTACGTTGCTCTTTCCATGCTTGAGGGTTGGTTCGGCAGCCGCGCACCCTCCTCATCACCAGCATCGGCACCGGCTCCTTCTGAGCCCGAGGCCGAACAGCCAGATCCCTCGCCCACACTGGACACAGATTGGCGCGAGCATGAAGAGACGGACGAGGAGCGCCGGCAGCGCCATCGTGTTGAAGGCTGGCGTGATGACCTCTTTCGCACCAGCCCCATGCTACGCTTCATGGCCCGCCATCTTGCTCTCGTATCCTGCGATCCATTCGACACCACCCCAAGCGACAACGCCACTTCCACACCTCGCCTCGAAATCACCGCCTGCCCTCCAAACATAGCAGGTGGCTTCTCCCCCTCTGAGCCCAAGTCCTCCTCAGGCATCCTCATCTGCTCGAACCGCATAATGGACAAGGGCCATCTAGAGGACACACTAGCCCACGAAATGGTCCATTGGTGGGATCACTGCCGTTTTCGCGTCGACTGGAACGATCTGCGTCACCATGCCTGTAGCGAGGTGAGGGCTGCAGCGTTGAGTGGGGACTGTAAGTTGGGGAGGGAGTGGACGAGGCGCAATTACGGCGGATTCACGAAACAGCATCAGGTGTGTGCGAGGAGGAGGGCCGTACTTTCTGTTATGGCTAATCCGGCTTGCAAAGGCGGGAAGGAGGAGGCGGAGAAGGTCGTCGATGAGGTGTTCCCGCAGTGCTTTGCGGATACGAGACCTTTTGACGAGGTGAGCGGGCGTCGCGCTGGCGAGTGGACGAAGGGCAAGGCGAAAGCTAGAACTGACCATTACCACCTTTGCCGGCCTTACAGATCTACTGAGCGCGTGCAGCCAAAGACAGCATTTCGTCGCCCGATCAATCTTCTAGATGATGTTAATACAAGGTCACCATTCTCCCTCAAATGCTCAAGGCCGCTTATGGAGGCACTTACTCTATTTATTGACTACAGTACGATCAAAAGCAATGCCACGCCATCCCAAGCAGCCGCTCTCTCCCTCTACCCTACTCCGCCACGCTGAGATTTGCTCCCTGAACCAGATCCTCCGGCCTGAGGTTCGCAATCTCATCGATCAATGCCGGAATGAACGATCCAGGTCCCTTCACATCTCCTCTTCCCGCAGCCTTCTCTGACGCGATCGTCATGCTCAACAACCCCATCAATGCCCCGACAAGCACATCCTTCCCATTGGCGTCTACCAGCATCGACGCCGAGCCCCTCATCGCGCCCTCTCCCTCCTCCTTGGCCTTGTTACACGCAGCAGCCATCCCTGCGGCCAGCATGACGCCCAACGCACACCCACTACCCGTGATCCTCCCCACCATCGGATGACCATTCTCGCATGCCAACACGGCTCTGCCGTCTGAAAGATAGTCCGTCTTTCCCGTGAGCAGCACGAGGCACTTCTCCTTGCGGGCGAGCTTCTTCACCAGCCCGACTGGGTCGCTCAGCGATCCCGCACCGGAGTCGACACCGCGAGAGGCCACTTCGCTCAACCCTGCGATGGAGGAGAGTTCGGCTGCATTTCCCTTGATGAGGGTGACTTGTGTGTCGTTGAGGATCTGTTGGACACAGCCTTTCCTGAAGGCTGATGCGCCCACTCCTACGGGGTCGAGGACGACGGGCTTGCCACCTTTGTTCGCTTCGCGACCTACGGCCTTCATTCCTCGTCGTGATTCGGCGGAGATGGTGCCGATGTTGAGTACCACGCCCCCCGTTACGCGGCCTAGGTCGGCGGCTTCCTCTTCCTGGTGGGACATGATTGGCGACGAGCTAAAGGCCAGGGCTATATTCGCTGAGAGAGTAGAGGAGACGTGCGACGTCAGGGTCTGGATGAGTGGTGGGCCCAAATTGGAGCGTCTGTGCAGGGTCAGGAGGGAGGAGGCTGCTTGCACGAGGGAGGATGCGGTTTCGCCCTGCAGTGAGATGGCTGAGCCGCCAAAGGAGCGGCGGAATTGCCAGCTGGCAACCATCTCGTCCAGCTCGGCCGCAGCAACGTCCGGGTCTGTCCGTGCTTGGATTGCAGAGACTACCGCAACCCCGTCGGGGTAGTTGTGCAGCCCAGTAGCTCCAACGAGGGCGCGTACGCACGTTTGAGCATTGATACCGCCAATGAGGACGCAGGGTAGTCTCCTCTCCCGATTCGTGGATTGAAGTGCATCGACAATATCCGCTGCCCCTCGCGGTGAGAGGACCTTGTCGTCTGTGATGCCTGCTTTGCTCTGCGTGCCGTACACGGGGCCTACACCAGCATAGTCTGCGACTCCTTCGGCCAGGGCGCGCTTGGCGTCGTCGACTGTGTGGACTGAGATGCCGATGAGGCGGTCTGGGCCGAGCAATTTGCGGGCTTGAGGTAGAGGAATATCGTCTTGGCCGATGTGCAAGCCGACGGACGGAGGAAGGCAGAGCGCCACGCTGAGGTTGTCATTTACCAGCATGGGTACGCGGTGCTGCGCAGCGGCGAGCACAGGTGGTGGCTTACATTAGCATGTCGCGCTACAGCTCAGTCGAAGGGCGCATTCACCTTCTCGCAGATAGCATGTGCTTTCTTTGCAACCTCGAGGAACTCTCCATTGTCGGCGTCCTTCTCTCGAATCTGGACGACGGACACATGTCCTCCAGAGAGGGCCTTGTCCAGATGTTGGAAGAAGTCGACGCCAGGAGGGAGCAGGTCGCGCCCTGTTACGTAGTACACGGCGTAGTTGGGCTGTTGAGGCGCCATGCTGGTCGAGAGACGGAGGAACGAGAATGGCTGGCAGGGGGAAAAGAAGGAATGAATGAGCCGCTGCTTGGAGTCATCGAATCTCGAAATCGAAATCGGAACAATTGACTGCCTGCGTGCGTGTGCGTGCGTGCGTGCGTGCATCAGCCCCACCACCCAAGTGGCTCGAGCGTCGATCCGGCGGCCTGCGACCAAGAGAGATGAGCCGAGCAATCAGCCGCCGTGGGCGCGAGGCACGGACAGCAGCCAACGCGAGCCAACGGGAGCAACACTCGAGCTTACTTCTCACCATCAACCATCAACCATCAACTCGATCATCGACGACTGAGCCAAGGCGATTCAAGCTCTGTAAGTACCCAGCTTCTAGCAACGGCGTCTCTTTGTCTCTCCTGCCTCTACCGCGGCCTCTCGTGATGAACCAAAACAAAATAACAATACTCTAATTTTTTCCAGGAGCTGTCCCTTCATCGGGAGGCTACGACTACAACATCAACCTCTGACTTCTGCTGCGCTGCGTCTCGCTCTCAAATCGTCCGACGAACGCAGGCTGACCCATCCTCGTCCCACAATCTCTATAGCGCGCAACCGTCACTCTTCCCTACCTCTCCCTCCCCACCCGCACATGTCCACGATCCTCAACATGGCACCCTCGACGTCCAAGTACAGGTGAGCGAGCGCGGCGCCGCCGCCCATCATCTCGCTTTCCATCAAGGCTTACCTTACCTCCTCTCCTGCTCCGCAATCGCACAGCGTCATCCTCCCAACCTACAACGAGCGTCGCAACCTCCCCATCATCATCTACCTTCTCTGCACCACCCTCTCCCAACACAACATCGACTACGAAATCATCATAGTAGACGATGCCTCCCCCGACGGCACACTCGAAATAGCCAAACAGCTTCAATCCGTCTTTGGCTCAGACCGTATCATCCTCCGTCCTCGTACGGGCAAGCTCGGCTTGGGTACAGCCTACGTGCACGGCCTCGAGTCGTGCACGGGCGATTTCGTCTTCATCATGGACGCCGACTTCTCTCACCACCCTAAGGACATGCCGCGCATGATCGCTATGCAGAAGGAGCGCGATCTGGACATTGTGCAAGGGACGCGCTATTCTGGGCCTTCGACGGGTGCAGGCGTGTATGGGTGGAATTTGAAGCGTAAGCTCGTCTCACGTGCGGCTAACCTGCTTGCTAGCGTCTTCCTCGACCCCAAGACGACGGATGTGACCGGGTCTTTCAGGCTGTACAGGCGTCCATTGCTGCACAAGCTCATGAAGGAGGCAACGAGCAAGGGGTACGTCTTCCAGATGGAGATTCTGGTGCGCGCTCGCAACTTGGGGGCTACGATTGGGGAGGTGCCCATCACCTTCTGCGATCGAGTCTTTGGCGACTCCAAGCTGGAAGGAGGTGAGATCGTCGGGTATGGCAAAGGGGTGTGGAGTCTTTGGAGGGCTTTCTGAATGAGCGAGTACGCACAAAAGGGGAAGGAGGGTCGAAACTTGTATCATACCAACGTCGTCATGACGGCGAATCAGTCAAATTGCACATCTACTTCTTCACGCCCCTCCGCGGCCCGCAGCACCAGCAGCAGTCATGGCCACCAGCTTGGCCAGCCCTTTGCCCAGATGCGCAGCATCGTTGAGGAGCACGCGCATCTTCGCTGCCCTCTCCAGGCTGTTGCCTCCGCCAGCGCCGCCCGGTCCGGACGAAGAGAGGATGACAGCCGCCGCCGAGGCGACCACAACGACTGCTGCACCGCCAAAGAGGAAGAGAGCGGTTGACGTTGAGGGGAGACCACGAGAGGTGAGATGGCGAGGGGGTCGCTTGCCCTTCTTCGAGTCGGTCATATCATTACCCTCGTAGAAGTCTGCTTCAGAGCCTGGTGGGGTCGGATAGGGGTCGAGAACCACATCATCCATCGCAGCGGCGGCCGCCTTCTTGATTGCGGCCTTGTCGTCCGTCGATGGAGGTGACGGCAGGCACTCCTCTGCTTGAGCTTCGCAGGTCGACCAGTCCTTCGGCGAGGTATCTTCTTCCTTCAAGAGTGGCGAGGTCGACAGGACTGACTTTGGCCCCATGATTCCCTGCCATGGCGAAGGGTCGCCATGCTCCTTCTTGAGCTCTCTCGCCCTTGTCAAGACACGTTGCAGTACTTCCTCATCCTCCAGTCGGAGGGGCAGCTTGCTGAGCGAGTGGTGTAGCATATCTGGGTCATCCACCTCTTCCTCCTCGCCGTCCTGCTTCAACTTGGCCTCCAGTACCAGCGCAGCCAGCATCCACAACATTGCCTCGGGCCCGTCCAGCAATAAGGTATCCACCACCCTCTTACCGGCCTCACACTCCGGCGCGCCAGGCACATCGTGGCTCAACAGCGTGATGAGCCAGCTAAGCGCGAAGTAAGGCAAGCCGCCCGCTCGCTCCACCACGTCGTGGGCGAATATGACATCGGCACGGCGAACAATGTTGCGAAGGGTCTTGAGCCAGCCGAGACACGGTTCGAGGGAGGGGGCCATGAAGTCTCGCAGATAGAGAAGGGTAAGTCGACGTGTGGCGAGGAGGGTGGTACGGAAATCTTGTTCCGATGCCCAGGGGTTCTCATGTGTCTCTGCTTGCTCGACGACACTGGGCACGAGTACCTCCAGTAGGATAGACACAACGTCGTGGTACCCTTGATAGTAGCTCAGCCCTTGGCTTCGACGGAGAACGCCCACAATGAGGTCTTGCAGCTGCCGTCGCCTCGCTCGGCGGTAGGGTGTATCGGGGAGGCTGACGAAGCTGCGACGCACGTCTAGGTCTACTTGACGCTCGTCGCGGTGTGCGGGGAGGGAGGAGTCGTACGTTGTTTCGAGGGCGAAGAGGGACGCAGAGGAGGATGAGGCATGGTTGAGGTTATTGTGACTGTCGTTCGCAATCTTGTGGGTATCGACTTCTCTGCATTTTGCAGCGCGCTTACGGTCACGCTTCTTCTTGCTCTTGTATTTGTTCCTTTTTGGCGCTTGCTCTGCATCCAACCCATCACCAGCATCATCGATTGCCAGCTCAGAAAACATCGACTCCTCCAGTAGCCTCGAGCCTCCTACCGAGGAGGGCTGGGTAGTCTGCGTCGCTCTTGACCGTGAGCTCGTGGACGTCGCAGCTGATGTGGCCACGGAGGATTCATGCCCACCCCCAGTGGTGCTCCCACTGCCGCTGCTGCTTCGCCGGCCGGAGGAGGGACCTAGGTCGACGAGAGAGTCGTCGAGGCGAGGGCCGGGGCTGACGACGGGGGATTGGCGTTCGCTGATGGTTGAATGGTCAATCGCAGCGGCTTTTGCTCCTCGCGTTCGTTTGCTGCGCTTGCTTTCCGCTACATGCCAGCCATCTGACGGTTTTCCGTTGCTGGTGGTGGAGCTGTCTACAGACCAGATGTGAACCTCGTCATCATCCCTCCCCTCTTCTCGTTGCACAGCGCTTCCATTGGCCAGCGACGAATCAAAGCTCGCCCGCCATCCGTCTGAATCCATCGTTGGATGTCCGGCTTCGCCTTCGTCCTCGTCTCGAGGAAGTACGTAGACCATGCTACTGGATGTGTCTGCTGATGTGTCGCCCGCAGCTCCCGTCGGTGCCAAAGAGGAGGCGGAGCCACCATGCGATGCTTGACGCTGTTGCTTCTTCCCTGCTGTTGGCGCTACTTTGCTTGGAGCGTAGTACGGTACTCCAAGGGCCAAGAGCCTATCAACGGACGACACGATCAGCGCCGATCGTCGGGGCTGTATGCAGCGTAAGCGCCTACTTACCAAGCCCGTCTTCTCGTCTCAGAATACGCTCGTCTGTCAGAATCACAGCCCTCCATCTCTCCTCTCTTCAGCGATGCAATGGGCGCTGTCGCCTGGCCGCCTGACGATGATGACGACGCGAGTGTCTTCCCAGTCACGCCTGCCTCCTGGCTCTCTCGCTGCTGCCTCGGGATGGTAGTGATGTCCGGCATTTCGAGAGTGTGGTGAGGAGGAGATTGACGCCCTACGCGGCTAGCTGACGGAGCCTTTTGACGGGCGGCCGATGACGATAGGAAACGGAAACAAAGATCGAGGGAGAGTGACGAGGACGACGAGAATGACCAAGGAACGCACGGACCTGCGATTTCTCGGTCCAGGGTGAGAATGAAAGCTTCGATGCTCTCATCATCGAATCGAGGCATTGCCGAATCTTCACAACAATCGTATCGTCTTCAAGCAATACGTCGAGCTGGCAGACTTTCAGCGGGAACGTGTCTGCGCCGTGTATGCCGTCCATCCGTCACGCGGGGAGATTTCGATCTCTGAGATTTCTACTCGTATTGCATGATATCCCACTCCAGCGTCCAGCTTCATCATATCTACGCCTAGATGACGGAGAGGTCTGTGGAAGCAGGAAAGAGGGACAGTCAGTCTCTGACTGATGTGCAACACTGCATCCGCTTGCGCTTGCTCGCACTCACTTCCAAACTTCTCCTCGTAACCGGGCGTGCTCCACTTCCCCTTCTTGACCATCTCCTCGACCGTCTTCCTGATCTCCGGCTTGGCAGCGAGGACATCGTCGACCGTGAGCTGCTCAAAGGGCCTAGCCGACTGGATGTTGTCCAGCGTAGCGCGCAGGTCCTTGAGCTCCGTCTGGATCTTCTGCTCGGTGGCCTTTGCCTGTTCCGAGGCCTTGCTCTCGAAGGCGTCGATGGCCTTCATCTGGGCAGAGACGTCGTATGAGACGGGCTTGAAGTCGCTGATGATCTTCTCGGCCTGCTTGACTACGTCCTGGTTCTTGAGGACGGAGCGGTAGTGCTGGAAGTCGACGTCCGTCTTCTGCGACTTGAGCGATGTCGCGAGGCGCTTGGCATCGTCCGAGCGCTTGCGGAAGGCCTGCAGCTGGGCGGTGGTGTTCTTGCCCAAACCGAGGCTGGCGAGCAGAGGGGTCGAGGGAAAGGGAGGCGTCAGTATGACTTGATTCGAGTGCGAGTTGCAGCCTGTCCACGTCCTTCAGGCATGGCCCCTGACGTCGATATGCCCACCAAGCCCCGTGATCCCTCTCGTCGGGTCAGTGCAATGACTCGGAACTGCCACAGCATACCTCTCATCGACATTGACTTGCTTGGATGTCTAGGCGCTCCATCGCTTCTGACCCTCTCTACCTTTCCATCCTCGCGCCCTCATATACGTCTCTAGACTGTCCCCACGTCTGTTGAATATGTCATCTTAATGGGCAGCATTGCCGTTTCAACAATCCGGCTGCCTCTTTGACTTTGACAATCCTCTCATACCTCCGAATGCTCAACCCCATCAAATGGAATCCCTCCAGGCCCCTGTTCCCCGTCGCCTTTTTGTACGCTGGAGCAAGCCCGCCTCATCCTTATTGCTGGTCTCGCATACTCACGACTTGAAGATCTGCGACCACTGAACAGACGAAGAGGCCATCTTTGCTACTGAAGAGTGGTGGTGATAGTGATCGTGGTGGTGGTAGCAACGAAAGACGATGGAGGAGTCGACCTTCGCAGCAGGCGGAGGCTGGCCTGGCCTAGCCGCCAGTCGAGTCCAGCGTCCACGCTCGTCCGTCCACGAGGAAAGCAGGGCTGCCCGCCCGCCAACAAGCCGAGCCTGAGCCAGGCGGGGCGGGGGCGAGCCAGGCAGGCAGGCAGGCGGACGGCGGTGGGTGAGTGCGCGGGAGAGAACGGAGAGAGCGCCGAGAGGGCAGAGGGCCCATGACTTGGGGGAGGGGAGCTCAGAGCCCGGCAGGGCGAGGAAGACGTGCTCGTCACTACCAGCGAGCGCGACGAGGTGAAGGAGCTGCTGAGCAGAGCGATGGAACACTGCTTTGCTAGGCCATGCAGAATCAGGACAAGAATGACGGCAGTCTCGTTGCGTCGAGCTTTTAATTGACAAAGAGTAGAATTCGAAGAGAACAAAGAGGAGCTGCTACAAGCCGAGAGCCTCGTAGCGTCATAAAGGGTATCAAGACAAAGCAGCGGCCAGCACGCCGCGCATCAGCTTCTCCCTGCAGCGACAAAGCTTTGCTTCCTTTGCAGGACCGCAGTAGAAGCTGGCATGGATCCACCCGTTGCGGACGTCACGGCCGACGGACGTTGCCTCCTCGCTGCGCTGCTCCCTGTACTGCTCGTCGAAGTGGCCGCACTGACCGGGGCGCTCCTCACTACACCGCTGGCTGAGGGCCTCCTCCCACCGCTGACACCACCCTCTCGATCAGCGCTCAAAGAGGGTCGTGCCGACACCGTCTGCCCAGCAGTCTGTGCAGCCGCCACCCTTTGAGCCGCGGCCCTCGCCGTAACCTGCTGCCCAAACGAGGGACGTGATGCTTTTGTGCTCGCTACCGTGCTGCCTGTTGCGCTACTCGCCGGTACCTTGACTCGCGTCGCGCGAGCAGCAGGCAGCTTGCTCTCCAGGTTGGAGGCCTTCTTCTTGAGAAAGGGCGAAGGAAGCTCAGACTCGTGGGAAAGGTCGTAGAGCGCAGAGGCATTTGCTGCTTCGTCTGCCGCGTGGAGGGAAGTTCTGGTGGGCTGCGCGAGGGATTCATCGTCCCACGATGCTGGCTTGAGGGCCTGAGCGGGTGCTTGACTGCCCTTCTTGCCGAGGGCTTGATTGCCTTCGTCGCCGTACTCGCATCGCTGATCGTCCTGATCCTGCTGTTGGAGCACATTTTGCTGATCGATTGTCAACCTCCTCGCACGCTCAACGATGCTCTTCCTCCTCTGCCTCTGCAAAGCGGCCAACAGGGAGCCCGTCGCACCCTCCTCCTTGTTCTCCTTGTCTCCCCCGAGAGCCGTACCAAATGTGGCATCTCTCATCGACACATCCGACCCGACGGTAGCCACGGACGTGTTCGCAGCGACACCAGCGGCAGCGCGCTCGCGCTCAAGGAGACGAGCGACACTTCCTGGAATGCCAGAGGGGACCGGTGGAGCGGGAGCGAGGCGGCGTGGGGTCATGTGGGTCGTCGCTACTCCAGCATTGCCCACAGAGGGAGCGGTCTCGTTGCGGAGCCTCGCCGTGCTGGTCGTGGCGATAGCTGAGCTGGCGATGCCGGCTTGCCTGCCGATATTTCCCGTAGACTTGCGCGTAGTGAGAGGGCGATCGGTCAGACGGCGTCGTGACGGCGAGGAGGAGAAGGAGGAGCTGAGTGGCGCCGCGGATGAGGTAGCCGTGGGTGTAGGCTGCTCTGCTTCTGCTTGAGGTGGAGCGCTGGCTGCTGCCTGTCGTGTTGATGAGGAGGCCGATGAAGGCGGCCGCGATGAAGCTGCGTGCGTCGATCGCCTGGCGCTACTGCTGGGTCGCGAAGCTCGCAGCGAGGCCGTTGTCGGGACGGCCGGTGCGCTTCGACTGCCACGGTTGTTCTCCTCGCCCCGATCATTCTCTCCACCGCTACTACTACTCTCGGCTGCATTGGTATCGTACCACTCGTCGTCCTCCTTGCTGGTCCGCTCCTTTGCAGTGGTCAAGCTCGTGCTGGCCCGCCTGGCTGTGGAGGCTCCCAACTTGGTGAAGGAGATGGACCGACGTGATGCGCCCTCCATGCTGACGTCGCTCATGTTGGATACGCGGCGAGCTCCAATGGAAGGTCGTACAGGTCTTGCCGGTGTTGATCGAACGGGAGCCTCGTACAAGGGCCGGTGACTGCTGCCGGACCCTGCCGTACCCTCGCCGGCGTATGAAGACAAAGCGCTCGCTTGCTGTATGTATGCTTGCACGCGCCTGTCTACCTCACTCTGGGCCCATGCCTCCATCTCGGCCTCCTTGACGTTCAGTCTCGCCTCGCGCTCCCTGAGGCCCCTCTCTAGCTCCTTCAGATTCTCCTCCCACTCAAAGAGCTGCCTGCTCTTTGTCTGCTCCTTCTCCAATATAATCTGATGCAAGTCGCGCAGCTCAAAGCTCCGCAGCTCGTTGCGCACTTTATGGTCCTGGAGGAGCTTCTTAGTATTGGGTCGCTTCCGAGGATCAAGGTTGAGCATTTGGCGCACGAGATCGTCGAGCTGCCGTGAGTAGCCGCGAGGAAGGGAAGGCACATGGCCCAGCTTGATCTTGGCTGTCAGCTCCGCCTGAGAGGTGGCATCGAACGGAGGACGAAGGGCGCACAGCTCGTAGGTGATGCAGCCTAGCGCCCAGATGTCGGATTTGGCATCGTAGCTTGCTCCTGTTGCTAGCTCGGGGCTCATGTAGTAGGGCGTGCCCACGTAGGTGCTGGCAAGGGCTGTACTTGCCTCGAGCTGCTTGGAGAGGCCAAAGTCGCCAAGCTTGACGTTGTGCTCCGAGTCGAGGAAAACATTCTCCGGCTTCAAGTCCCTATGCAGGATGGACGGGGTGATTCCCGTCCCCGTGTTCGGATTGACCGGCATCCCGTTGTGGCACGCATCGAGAGCGCTGACCATCTGAGCCAGCTTAGCCCACACCACCTCCTCCGGAATCGTCGTCTTCTCCCTCCTGTTCCGCTTGATCAAGCTTCCCAGATCTCCACCCTCACAGAACTCCATGATGATGTGCAAGATGCCAGCACGCTCGTCGTGGATGCGCTCGACGTACTGGACGATGTTCACATGGTTGAGGAGGGAAAGAATGCGGATCTCTGACAGGATTTGGGCCTTGTCCCGTTCCGACATGATGCTGTAGTCAAGCTCCTTGCGGGCAAAGTAGGCCCCATCGTTTTGGCGTTGGACCTTGAGAATGCGACCAAAAGAGCCCTTGCCAATGACGGCGATGTCTCTGTAGGCGGACAGGGCCTGGCGAGCTGAGGACGAGGAGCCGCCGACCCGTGGAGCGGTGCGGGCGGAGCGTTCTGCTGATGACATATTCGCAGCCGAGTCAAGATGATGATGGGTCTTGGAGGAGGTCAGACAGGGCTATGGCGTCGCCATCACCATGCGCAGTTGTGTGTGAAGTGGACGTGAGTAAGGGAGAGTGGGCTGCAGTTGCTCAACTCTCGTAGAATCGCAGCCAACTCGGCAGTCAGTGTTGGTCTCTCTCCGTCCGTCTGTTCGTCGCGCCACGCGAGGGCGTCAAGGCCACACAAGTCACGCTTCGAGCGAGCAAGCAAGCGGGCGGGCGGAGCGAGAGTCCGAGCGACGACCGTGCGCTGCTGCTGCTTCGACGTCGAAGCAAAGCTCAGCCCACCACCGCACTCCCCACTACCAACAATCATCTTACGCACACAATCATGTCATCCTGGGAAGTACGCTTCAGCAACAGTCGTCAGCTCCCCTACTTCTACAATGCAGGGACGGGCGAGTCCGTCTGGGAGGCCCCTGCTGGGCTGTCCAACGAGCAGATCAAGGCTCTGCCTGGAGCTCATCACCTCGGAGGCGGAGGCGGAGCTTCATCTGGTGGTGGTGGAGGCGGCGCGCCCAGTAAAGTGAGGGCTAGCCACCTGCTGATCAAACATAGGGACAGTAGGAGGCCGAGCAGCTGGAAGGAGGTGAGTGTCGCGCAGCGACCGCCGGAAGAACGCAGTATGGAGTCGGGATTGACAATATTCGCCTTGCCGCGACAGACGAACATCACACGCTCGCCTCAGGAGGCAGAGAGCATCCTGCGCGAGCACATGAATGCTCTCGGATCCAACCCGACGACAGAACAATTTGGACAATTGGCATCGATCCACTCGTGAGTCGCCGCCTTGGGCCCTTCTCCCAACTCATCCCACTCACTCACCAACTCCTGCTCACGCCCCGCTCTTCACCCGCCCTTTCCTTCCCCCCCCCTCTCTCGCTTGCATCGCCCATTGACAGCGACTGCTCGTCAGCTCAGAAGGGCGGCGACCTTGGCTTCTTCTCTCGAGGTCAGATGCAGAAGCCTTTTGAGGATGCTGCCTTTGGTCTTCCCGTGGGCGGGCTCAGCGGTGTGGTGCAGACGGACAGTGGGACGCACGTTATTATGAGGACTGGGTGATGGCTCGGTGAACAGCGTCTATTGCAGAGGAGAGGAAAGCTTCACTTGACGAACACAAATACAAGCTCGAACGTCGCCATCTACGATCCACCCTAGCCTGGCGTGACTTTGAATGCCTCGCAGGCTGGCGTGTGCGCTCGTCTCGGCGTCTTGACTCGCCTCGCCTGCGCCGCTTTGGCCGCCGTCGTGCCGGGCCGTGCAGCTTGACTTCTTCCTTCGTTCCTTTCTTGCCTAACTTACACCACCGCAACAACAACGATCGCTCTGCTTTGATAACGACGGCCATGGCATCGCCCATTCCAGTCTGTGTAGTCGGCTACGGCTCTTCAGCTCGCACCTTCCATATCCCCTACATCTTGTCCATGCCGCATCTCTTCCGCCTCCACTCAATCCAACAACGCCCCAACTCTACCTCAGGCCCGCCTGCCTCCAAGGACCACCCGGAGATCGCAATCATCCCTTCATTCGACGAGGTATTCGCCAGCCTCCCCAAGCCTGGACTCATCGTAATCAGCTCAGCCAACTCGACCCACTACCCTTTCGCGGCCCAGGCCCTGCAAGCCGGGTACCACGTCGTAGTCGAGAAACCCATCACCTGGCGTCACTCGGAGGCTCTGCACCTCGCTCAGCTCGCCAAGGAACAGGGATTGGTTTGCGCATCCTTCAACAACAGGCGATGGGATGGCGACTTCCTCACTGTGCAGTCCCTGCTGAACCCACCTGCGAGCAAGCCCGACCAACCTTCTGCGCTCGGGACGGCCACCTATTTCGAGTCAAGGTTTGACCGCTTCAGGCCGTGGAGTAAGGGAGGGTGGAGGGAGGAGAGTGGCTTCAATGAGGGTGGAGGGCTACTTCTGGACTTGGGAAGCCATTTGGCTGATCAGCGTGAGTGATCTGTCGCCTTGAGGAGGCCGAGCTTGCACCTCATCTCTCTGACTGACATCTTTCCTCGTAACAACCCCGCCCCCAGTCCTCACCCTGTTCGGCCCTCCCTCCCACCTGACTGCCTTTGTCCGCAATCAGCGTGGTCAGCTTGCCCCTCGCGTAGATGACGACTTCATGATCCTCCTCTCCTACCCTACACCTAGCAACCCCCTGCCACCCTCAAGCCCAGGCTCCGGCACACGTCTTGGGAGCGGTCTTCGCGCCCTTCTTGGAGCCACCTGCCTCTCAACGCACGTAGACGGCGAACAGCCCCGTTTCCGCGTAGAGGGCACTCGCGGTTCATACGAGAAGCGTGGTGTGGACCCGCAAGAGGCGCAGCTTAAGGCCGGTCGAAAGCCCAACGACAGCAACGATGAAAGCTTTGGGATGTACGGTACTGAAGATCCGGACTCGGTGAAGCTCGGCCGTCTCACCACCAGCACCGATGCCGGGCAAGAAGCCATGCCTGCCGACCCGACTGCGGGAAGGGGGAAGGCCACAGCTCCCGTTCAACCACGCTTGGCGACGAGCGATGTGCCCACGCTGCCGGGGAGGTACGACGTCTACTGGCAGAATGTGGGGGACGCAATACGCGCTGCTGAGGCCGCTCGTAGCGGAGGAGCAGAGGCTGCTCATGCTGCCGTGCAGGCTACGCTCGAGGTCAAGCCGGAGCAGGCGGCCGACTGCATTAAGCTGCTTTGCCTGGCGAGGAAGAGTAGTGTGGAGGGACGCAGCGTGAGGTGGACCGAGGAGCCTGAGCTCGACGTCAAGGAAGGGAAGGAGAACGTACTCTACTGGGACTGAGGATGAGGGTTGAAGTCTATGAAGAGGTTGTATTGAATAAATGAAGTAAAGACGAGTCTATGAGTGTATGTGCGTGCTGTTTTCGTGTGTGCGAGGCAGGGGCGAGGCGGCCATCTAGCACGGTGAGATGGATAGGGAGGAGGAATGTCCTTGAGCAGGGGAAGGAGGAAGAGAGAAGAGACCATGGGGCGTCTCGTATGCTACGATATGAGAGAGAGAGTGAGGAAAGAAGCTCTGGCCGCCAGGGCCATCTATAAACAAAGAGAGCAAAGGGGAGGCGAGGAAGCCGTCTTGATTGAGGGTCATCGGAGGCGTGAATGTTCGTATGTGATGAGGGTCGCAAGGTGCAACGCTGTGAGGGCAGGCTGGCTCAGAACGAGAAGAGGCCACCCATCCTCTGCTTCCTGCCTCCAAGAATGTAGGCCAAGATTGTGGATGCGAACAGCCCCACAGTCAAGCCCAGTGCGACCTCGACCAAGGACTGAGCGACGGTGAACCCGGAGTTGAAGTTGCTCGTCGAGCTATTCGTCGTGCTGGCAAAGTTGAGCAGTCCACCGTTGGAAAGACCAGAGGGAAGCTGGTACAGCACACCCGTGACGGCCACGACGTAGGATCGCCCGTCGAAGATGCGGCCATAGATGTTGGAGAGGATGCCCACGGCCAGCGATCCAAGGGCAGACGTGATGTCCTGCCTACCAGAGAGAGCTGGAGCGGTAGAGGCGAAGTGATTGCAGGCCCAGCCTGCGCAGGCGATAAGCACCATGGCAGGGAACTCCTTTCTGTTCACCTTGGCCTGGTTGCGCAAGGAGAGACAGGTCGAGTACATTGGCACGGTGAGAAGGGCCCAGATGAGGGGCACGTTGCGCTGCCACCACACGTCCGGATTGTGTACCGAGTCGCAGGTCGAGACGGAGCCGCGATTGTTGGCGCCGGAGAAGAGGGCCCAGAATGAAGAACCGATGGAAAGGCCGAAGCCGAGGAAGAGGGAGTAGATGATTGCGTACACCAACCTGACCGAGCCCGCGATTAGGTTCTTGGACTGCAGCTCCAAAGAGCCAGAGAGGACGATGAAGCCAGGCAGGATGAGGACAATTGCGCCTGATACTACACCTGCATAGCAGAAGATGCCCGTGGAGGCGACAGCCGAGGCGATGAAGGAGTTGAGCGATGCGAAGACGATCTCAAAGACGTTGCTGAACAGCTCCGTCGTGATGACCGACTGGGAAAAGACGAGGAAGGCTCCGAGAGGGAAGGCCATAACCGCATCGATGAAGGAGCCGTTGAAACCCATGGGGCCGACGCAGATGAAGGAAGAGCAGAAGCCGCCAATGACCACCATGGGCCATCGCCCAATGAGTGGCTTACGGCGCATCAGCTCGTCAAGCTGGGCAGACGCCTCGCCTACGCCGATCTTGTCGTGAATGACATTCCAGTAGATGGTGTGCATATCAGTCAGCTTGGTGAAGTCCAGCCCACCGCCCTGCTTGATGAACTTGGTCTCCGACGTGTGCGTCGCATCGTCTCCGAATGCGAAGAGCATGAGGTTGGGCAGGTAAATGCAACGACAGTTGATCTCGAGGACGCGGGCCGTTTGCTGGATCTGCGTCTCGATGCGATGCGTGGGGGCGCCAAACATCATGAGAGCACGGGAGAGCTTGAGGAGGAATTCTTGACGTTGCAGAATGGCCGCGACGTGCATTGTGATGAAGATTTCCTCCTGAGAAAGCGGTGTGGGAGAGGACAATGGTCAGCAAACATAAGAAGCGATGGGGTCTTGTTGTGCACGCTCTGTACTACACACCTTCTTCCTCTTGTCCTTGTTGCGCTTCTTGATCTTACGCTGCCACTCCGCCTTGGCCAACGCAGCATCCTCTTCCGCGCTACCGAAGTAGTCGCCACCGTGGCCGTTGGCACTGCCAACATCGGGTGTGTTCACGGCAGAAGCGCCCGTCTTCCACGTCTTGAGAGCATGGAAGCCGTGGCCAGGGATGTTGAGAATGTTGCCTGAATGCTTGCGTGTGTGAGTGGGAGCAGAGTAGCCATTGGCATGGCCGTTGCCGCCGAACTTCTCCGTCGAGGGGGTCACAGCCTGCGTCTCAGACGAGGCATTTCCATCGGGTCGACCCATGACTACACCTGGTGAGCTGGGCGAGCGTGGACCTGGTGTGCCCGGTTGGGATTGGCTGCGGCGAGAGGGGCGAGGTGCGGCGCTCGCGACCGCTTCGGCGGTACGCTTGAGGGTCTTTGCGTTCATCTCGGGCAGGAGGTAGCGATCCAGAGTGTAGCCAGGTCGCTTTGGGTTTGGGCCGAGCTGAGCATGGTAAGGGCTAACGGCGCCGATGAGATTACCCGTCGTGGCGATGAGGCCACCCACGACACCGCCTGCGGATCGGGAGGCTTTGGGACGCTCGTCGGTCATGTCTTCGATACCGACCTCATTTGCGGCAAAGCGGAGCGACTTGGCTGCAGCTTGGCCCGCAAACTTGGTTCCGCCAGCGAGAGCGCCTCCAGTGGCGAGAGAAGGATTCCAGCTCTTGCGACGGTCAGATGGGGAGGTGGTGCCGCCACCAACAACGGGACGTCGTTGAGGGTCAGCCACGGGCGCGGAGCCGGCTGCCATTGCTGCGCGGTTTTCGTCTTGCAGACCGTTGGCCACCATCTCGTTGAGACGCTCGCCACCGCCACTCTCGGGGGTAGTTGCGCCCATGGAGCTGACGCCGCTGGATACGGCGGTACGATCGCGTTCCTCGCGCTGCTGCTGCTCGTATAGCTTGAGAATGTTGCCCAGCACGCCACCTGCATGGACTGGGCGCGCATCAAGGTTGGCTGCCGTATCCATCGCGTCTGGCGTCGAAGCCCCGGAATCAAGGTGGCGACGGTTCTTGCTGGGCATGCGACCGAGGCCGGCTATGACCTCAGGACCTTCATCGTCTGAGTCTGCAGCCTGGCCTCGCATGAGTTTGTGGGCTCGGATGAGTTTGGCAGCCTCGCGCTCATACTTGGAAGGCTTGGTGCGTGGGCCTTGACGAAGACCGCTGGACGTTGTGACGGGTACGCTCTTGAGGTTGGTGGGTCCGCCTTCCTCGTGCGGACGAGTCTTTTCGGACGATTCTGCCGCCTCGGGATCCTGATTCGGCGACTTGACGCGGCCCATGAGCGTGCGTAGCTTTGCCCATCCGGACACGCCTTCTTCTTCTTCGTCGACGCCCTTTTTGCGTCTTGGCTTGGCTGGCATACCATCCACCTCACCGGCCATGAAGTCGATGTGGTCAAGATCTGAGTCCGCTGCAGCATCGTAGCTACCAGAGTCGGATGTGCCACCTGGCGTGGAGGGACCAGACACGGCCCAGTCTGGCGTCTCACCGCCTTGGTAGCGACGAGGTCGTTGTCTGACGGGTTGAACAGCGGCAGCAGCAGCGTCACCGCCCTGCGACTCGTGGCGTTGCAGCTCGCGTTGAAGCTCGAGAAAGGCACGATTGTCAAGTCCCTCCTCATCGAGCCCATGAGCACCAGTAAGTGCCAATTGCGTTGGCTGAGCAGGCTGAGGAGCTTTCTCCGGTTGCGGGGCAACGGTCATTTCCTCTCCGTGATCGTCATGCTTGTTGCCGCCGCCGCCGCCGCCGCCTCCTCCTCCTCCCAATCGTGACGATAGATGAAGAGGACCGGGATGATTGGCTCGCAGCACTCCGCTGGGATTGCTGGCGCCGCGTACGACTACGGTGGGTCCATTCTCGCCGACTTGGATACGTCCTCCACTAAGCGGCTGCGCGCCGCCCCAGTGGACGTGGCCTGCTGGTCTCCTAGCAGCGAGCGACGAAGCTGACTGTTGCTGTTGTTGTTCTCCGCCGCCGGCGGTTGCTGTTGCTGCTGCTGTCGCATCGTCGAAGGCGGTATCAGAGGTCTCTCCCGTCTCGTCGGCCAGCATCGCGGCCTGTCTGACCGTCGCGTCGTGCTGCGTTTCGTCCGCCATATTTTGGCAGCGGTGGTCAAGACCAGTCTTGGGAGGTCAGGGTGGCGGTTGTGAGAGGTGGGACAGAAAGGATGGTGATGAGGGTGCTGTGGAAGGAAAGTGAGGTTACACGAGGCGGTTAGAGGAGCGGCGGATGGTAGTGTAGTGTGGAGAGGAAGGACTGTGATTGAAGGATGGTTCGCAGTAGCACAGCTAGGGGTTGACTGACGGCGGCGGCGAATTAAGCTGCCAGTCGTGAAATCAAGGCGCAGCGGCAGCGAGAGAGCAGCGGCAGCATTGCCAAGGCAAGTCGAGATTGCCACGCGAGTCGACGGGTTGGCAGCCCGCCCGCCCGCCAGCTCGTCCGGCAGGGCTGCGATGGCCATCATCCAGCGGGCGGCAGGGCCGGTGCAGTACCTCGATCCCGATCGATCCCTGTCAACGATGACCCACGGCCATGATCCCTCTCGTGTGAGCAAACGGCAATCGATCCGTCATCCCAATGTCATTCTGCCCTGCCCGCAACAGCAAAGGCAGAAGAGGGCTCCTCACGTCGCTCTGACGTCGTCTCTGCCTCACACGACACCTCGGCATCTTCGTGCCGCCGCGCCGCGCCGCTCGATTCGACTTTGAGCAATCGGCATGGCTGCAAGACACAGCACACCACGCCACGCCACGCTACCTCCACTCGAGAAGCAGCACCCCTGCCCTCCTTGCTGCGATCATGCCATGTGAAGGACAGCTCACCGTCGGAATCGGATGCGAATCTGATGGGGACGATGTGAGGCAGAGAAGGTCGAGGGCGGGGTTGCGTTGAGATGAGCATCGAGTTCTGGCTGAATTCAGAGCGGCGTAGGCGTAGACGGAGAGCTTGCCTGGCTCGCTGCCCTGGGCTACGGTCGATATGTGGTCTGAGCGCTGGTCTGAGCGCCAGAGACATTCGAGTCGACGAGGTTGAGACAGAAGCTCTTGATTGAGAAGCAAGTCTCTCTCGCATCTCTTTCTTATCGTGGACGGTACTTTGTGATGACTGAGCGGCCACGAGTCTGTGACGCATTCTCCCACTCCACCCCCACTCCTTCTTCAAGCCGATCCCATCGATAGCTTATCGTCCCCACCTCTTCAGCCGCTCTGTTCAGCCGACAAAGCCGCCCAACAGCCGCGCACGACCATCGAGGTATGGCGCTATGAGAACGTCTTGAGCGAGACGATGAAGCGGGGAAAGTGAACTCTGCAGAACGGATGCCCGTTGGTGGTTAGGGCTCTACGAGGTGCATCGGTCACAAGAAGGTGACGGCGATCCAGCGGGAAGAAGGTCCGCCCGCCCGCCCGCTACGCCGACGGATCAAAGCTTGAGCTCAAGGCCGACGCGGCGACCGCGAGACCCCACCGAACGTCTACCTCGCTCGATGGGAGGGCAGCGCTGGCCCTATCTCGTCGACGACGTTGGCCTTCTCCCTCTGACGCTGCTCCACTTGATTCGATCTCATCACTCATCTCGTTTAGCATGTTTTCGTCGATGCGAAGTGGGGAAACAAGGGCGGGTGAGGCGGAGACGGCGAGTGACGTTGGAGGTCCTTGTTCTTGTCCTCGTTGAGAGCTCGCCGCCTTAGTGTGCGGGGTCGCCGCGGCCAAGTCGGTTAACGCGGCGGCGGCTTGCATCGAGAGTTGACTGTGTGGCTGGGTGCTTTTGACTGAAGGGCCGCCTTGGAGACGAAGTGATGGCCGTCTCGAGTTGGGATGCGGGGCGGCGATTGGGGCCCGTGCACTGGACCGCGTGACGAGACGAGCAAGCTTCCTCTCTCTCCACAACCCCCTCGCACCTCTGCCTCAGTGCTGATTGCTGCTTGCTGCTGCGCCATCGCTCTTCCCATATAGCGTCGGCCTTTCGACGAGGGAGCTACGACTGCTTCACCCCGACCCAGAGAACAGACGCCGCCCAGACCGTCTATAAAGCTCTCTTTGCAGCTGCCGCCCTCTTCGTCTTCCAGCCCTCAATGCTATTTGCTCGATACGCTACACCCCTTCTTCGTCGAACAACTGCTACCGCTATCCAAGCACCCCTCCGCAACTTCTCAACTACTCGAGCTAATATGGTCAAGGTGAGCACACCACCAGAACGCAGCGTGCTCCTTCGCAAGTGGCGCTGACTTCCCCGCTCCTTTGCCCTCGCACAGATCGTAACTGTCCTCTACGACGGCGGCAAGGCTGCTCAGGAGGAGCCCAGGCTCCTCGGTACCACCGAGAACTGCCTCGGTCTCCGAGAGTACTGCCAGAAGAACGGCCACGAGCTCATCGTCACTTCCGACAAGGAGGGCGCCAACAGCGTCTTCCAGAAGGAGACGACTGGCGAGAACGGCGCTGCTATCCTTGTCTCCACGCCCTTCCACCCGGCCTACTTGACCAAGGAGATCATCGACAAGTCACCCAACCTCAAGCTCGCCGTCACTGCTGGTGTGAGTGCTTGGTGATCCGCAGATCCCGATGGCATCCTGTCGCCCGATGCTCACACCTGTACCCTCTCTTATCGCGTGCCAGATTGGCTCTGACCACGTCGACCTCAACGCTGCTGCCTCCAAGGGTATCACCGTCGCAGAGGTCACCGGCTCCAACGTCGTCTCCGTCGCCGAGCACGTCATCATGACCATGCTCATTCTCGTCCGCAACTACAACGTCGGCCACGCCCTCTCGATGCCCGGCGGCAGCTGGTCCGTTGGTGAGGTTGCCCGCAACGAGTTCGACCTCGAGGGCAAGGTCATCGGCACCATCGGTGCTGGCCGTATCGGCTACCGTGTCCTTGAGCGTCTCGTTCCCTTCAACCCTTCCAAGCTCTACTACTACGACTACAATGAGCTCCCCGCCGAGGCAGCCAAGAAGGTCGGTGTCGAGCGCGTCCACGACCTCAACGAGTTCCTCCAGAAGTGTGACGTTGTTACCGTCAACTGCCCACTCCACGAGGGCACAATCGACCTGATCAACAAGGACAACATCAAGCACCTCAAGGGCAAGTGGCTCATCAACACCGCCCGCGGAGCCATCTGCAACGCCGAGGCTGTGGCTGAGGCCGTCAACTCGGGCTCTTTGCTCGGCTACGGAGGTGACGTGTGGAACAAGCAGCCCTTCCCTGAGAACCACCCGTGGAAGGCAATGGTTGGGCCCAACGGTAGGGGTAATGCCATGACTCTCCACACCTCGGGCACATCGCTCGACGCGCAGGCTCGCTATGCCAAGGGAACGATCGAGATTATCGACAACTTCCTCAACAACAAGCCTCAGCGAAAGGAGGACCTCATTGTGGACGCTGGCGGATATGCTACGGCCGCATACGGACAGAGGAACAAGTAAGGAGCTTCGTGGGCATGTCTGCTGTCAGCGTGCGTTGTGCGCTGAGGGGCGGAAGTGGTCCCATGCTGCGACTGCTGCCGGGCAGTAGGCGTTGACTCCCAGTCTCGCTCCTTCTATTCCCGCTGTCGTCTCGTTGCTCGAAATGAAAGCCATATATCACCACAAAGCTGAGTGTGCTCTGCGACTGCCACGTGTATTAGCATTGATTCGCCTCTCTTCATGGACTAGCTTGGGTCGTACAAGGGAGATCAGAACATCGTTGCTTCGTTCTGCTCACTTCCGTTCAGCGAGGCCCGTGCGTACACCTTCGCCCAGAGTCACAGCATCGATTCGGAGGACTCAGGCCCGACTACGCATGCACAGGGTCACTCACTGGTCCAGCTACGTATCTGCATGCAGTACTGCCGCCCAGTACGCGCTCTTCTCGACCTTGGCACCGTCTGTGCGCTCTCATTCTCCATGCGTACGTCGAGGCGTGGAATGGGAAAGGAGAGGGACCGCATCAGCATCAGGCCTAAATACACCCGGACACCGTGTGACAGAAATTCAGAAAGTACACACAGCAAAGGTCACCCTCGCTCACCTCAGTAAGTAGAGCGAGTCGGCATGAGGTAGATTTCTCGTCTTGGGCTGGCAGACTTCCAGTACTGACTCACCTCGAGGATCGGATGTCTTACTTGGCACTGCCGTGTGGCTACCTGTGTCGATTGAAGGTATTGCGAGTGCAGGTCAGGTCGGTCCATTTACCAGCTTACACTGCCTTCGCCCCTCGCCGTAATCAGTGGTCATCGCACCTCATTCGCCCCATAAAGGGCGCTCAGGAGAATAGAGCTTTAATCTCGTGCACAGGCATCATTATAATCGTCATTGGAGTCTGATACGCGCTGCTACTCACAGAGCGTGTGCGAGTCCTCCCGCGCACCGTACAGCCCTCCTTCGCGCTGAGACCTCACCGTGTCGAGGCCGCAGCAAGTGTAACGATGAGACGTTCGAGAGCGGGAAAGCTGCAATCCTCGGGCAGAACATCGCAAAGGGTAAGAGAAGTGCGGAAACCGGCGAAGATGGTAAGAAGGGAGGATTGAGCCTCGCTGGCGCGGGCGGTGACAACGACGGCGAGACGTGGACGGCTGGAAACGGCGGCGGCAGTGACCGATCGGCCAGGAACGAGGCGGGACTCAATGATGCCGCGCACAACGAGCCAGCCAGATGGGAGCGGACTCACTCTCACTACAGCGAAAATGGACTCGACATTTCCAACCTGCATGGGATGGTGTGACATTGCCAGAAGGATACGGTCACGGCGACATGACCCGTGACACCGCAAAGCATTCAACATCGTGCGGGCATGCCGACCCGAGTCATAGGCGTCCGCTACGATCTACCGTGAGTGTTGCATGCATCCATTGTCCGGCGCAGTGTCTGCTTCGCGCCATCCAATGATCCTCGTTCACGCGACCAGGGAGGTATGCGCATGCAAAAGAGGAGAAGTAGCATCAGCCCCGATCTTGGTCAACTCAAGTCGCATTAGTGGCTCAGATGATGTCGGCGCGTTGTCCGTACGTCTCTCTCGCTCGCTCGTGGCAGCGATGCGAGTCGGTATGAGGTGAGAATATCGTCATAGCCAGGGAGGCAGGGTTTGCAGCGCACACTCACGTAACGAGTCGGAGTGACGCTGTGCTGTCAACGCGCCAATCGTTGACAGGCCTCCGATGGGTCAGTCTCGTGGGATGTTTGGAGGTTCAATCACTCCATCGCTGTGACCTCATCGGAGCGAGAGACCTGGTAGAACGCCACAGTGACGCGGTCGCGGGCGAGGGAGACGTAGGCAACGTATAGAACAGGAGGTGATGCATTGAACGTTTCAAGGAGCCTAGGTCTGCAAGCATGATATTTGTAGGCCAATCACGCTTGCTGCTCTCTCACTACCATCTCTTCTTCGAGAGTGAGGCACAAATTCGATTGGCAAATACGAGTCAACCATTGCGGCGTCGTTCGCTGGGATGATCGGACCAGCCTGCTCTAACCGAGTCGTCTGGAATCCGTGCGCACCTTGATCGACTGGCGAGAGGAGTCAGACGCTAGTCTACTCGTGTTCGCCCGACCTCGTTGCACGGCGATGCGTCCGAGACGTCAATGAATGTTCAATATGAGGATGCTTGCTCGCACCCATGGCGGCAAAGCTAGACTTACGCTAGGAGAGGATGGCTGAGGTGAGTCACAGTGAGTCTGCGGCATTGCCGGGACGGAGTGGCCACAACAGTGGCGTGAGGCAGGCACACCTCGTCAATACAATCAGCATCATCACTTCGTCATATCCTACTAGGTCGAATCGGCCACCTCGAACGGATGGCAGGATGGTGAATGACGAGAGCCCGAAAAGAGTGTCGCCTGAACGGAGATTTGGTCATCGCTCCTCCTTCCTTTACGAGCAGCATGACTCATACCGAAGCGGTCGTAATAGTCTGTCTGCGTTGCTCGCTATTAGTGGCGCCAATGCCCGCTGTGCACCTCTCGACTTTCGCGAAGTTGAGGGGACATCGTATGAAGAAGTAGCTGTTCTGTCGGCTCCGAGGCTTCCGCCCTCATTGCGCGCTGCGGGTTCGTCCCGCAATTTTGCCGCCCAGCACCGGAGCCACGTGGACTGACTCTCCCGGCGAGCTCTGGATGGCTGGGCGGGCGGGCGGACGTCAAGGCTAGTCCAGCACACGGGCTGCTCTGCTCTCCTTCCTCTTGTTCACCACCAACACCCTCACACATCACCAACAATGGCCTCTTCCGACCTCGCCTCGACCTACGCTGCCCTCATCCTCGCTGACGAGCAGCAGGAGATCACCGTGAGTATGCGTGCTGAGATGCACCGCATAGAGTCAGAGTTGGGACGAGGGACGGACGAAGGTTGGGAGGAACGAGGGAGAGAAGGAACGAGATGAACCAGGACGCACTGCGATGCGCATGGCAGCAATCAGAGAGCAGAGTTAATGACGGAGGAAAGAGTGGCTGGTAAGGACGGCTAGCTCTCAAGTGTCGGAAGATTGCATCTTGGTGTCTCCAAGCGGTGCGACGGCAACCAGGAAGGCGCCGAGGGGGAATGCACAGAAAGCGTCAGCCTTCCCAAACGTCATCGTCGGATGGCACTCGCGGGAGGAAAAGGGGTTCTGACTCAGGAGAGGGACACATTCGCTTCATCATCCGTCCCCCACAACGATCGAGCAACACCCACTCACACGCCTATTCATGCCGCCTCTCCTTCGCAGGCCGACAAGATCGTCTCCCTCACCACGGCTGCCAACTGCCCCGTTGAGCCCATCTGGGCCACCCTCCTGGCCAAGGCTCTCGAGGGCAAGGATGTCAAGGACATGCTGAGCGCCGTCGGCTCCGGCTCCGGTGCCGCCGCTGCTGCCCCCGCCGCCGCCGCTGCTGGCGGTGCTGCGCCCGCTGCCGCTGAGGAGAAGAAGGAGGAGAAGAAGGAGGAGAAGGAGGAGTCGGATGACGGTGCGTGCGCGAGCGATTGCTGCGAAGATGGCACCGTGCGTGCTGCTGACTTGCTCCCAATCTCGCACAGACATGGGCTTCGGTCTCTTCGACTAAGCGTTTGCCGCAATCAAGGCAGCAACGTCGACCACCACGACCGAGCTGCCCAATCCTGCCGGCTATCGTCTCATCACCTCATCATACTCTGTAAAAGTACTCTTCTTCTACATCCCCTCTGTTGCGCCAGCTCCCATTCAGCGGCTGGAGGGCGACCCGCCTCTATGTGCGACGTCGTTCGCTCGCAATACACAGAGATCTCCGACCACGAAGCGCGGTGTGATGATGCACTGAGTGCCGGCCGTAGTGACAGTACTCTGCTGAGGCTTTGTGTGATGTTGCGTTGAATGAAGGTGGCCATCGATGTGGTTCCCGTAGCCGTCTTGCCTGCTTCCCGCCCGCCTTGCCGCGTAGAGAGGCGCGTGGCTGCCAGTCCGTGTCTCCGACGTCAGCCTGCGTTCCACGAAAGTCGCGTGCGTCCTGCATTTCTCATCTCCCCAATCAATTCGCTCATAACATCTCCATCAACTCAGGCGCTGGCTCTCTCCTCCTCTCTTCATCACCACTGCCAGCTTGCCCGCCATGTTGCGAGCAGGCGGAAGCTCCAAGTGGCAAGAGGACGTGCAGGACGTCGGCGACCCCTCGGACTGGCTGGGTGGATCTTACGCCTTTCTCAAGGAGCTCGATGGCACTTTGAGATGCGAAATTTGCTCAGTGAGACGGCGAGAGGGTGGTGGAGAGTCCAAAACTAACTGCTCACTGACGCAAACTGCTCATCGCTGCGCTACGCCAGGACATCCTCCGCGCTCCCGTCTCGATCAAGAAGTGTTCTCACGTCTTCTGTTCGACCTGCATTCGCGATTACATCAATCAGCCGTCCGCTCCCGGAGCGCCGACTGAGCGGCCATGTCCAAACTGTCGACAGCCAAAGGTGTACGACTCGGAGCTGGTGCCCATGCCGCAGCTGGAGATGGCCGCGGAAGCCTGGAGAGGCGCGAGGTGCGTGGGTCGCGGCGGGAGGTGTTAAAGATCGAGCAGCAAGCGAAGGGCTGACTCGCCATTTGCTCGCAGGGCTCATCTGCAGCGCAAGGATACCGAACAGAGGGCGGCAGCGGCTCGTGTACCAGAAGCAGGCCCTTCTGAACCACCACCGCCCCCGGCCTCGTCGAGCAACGGCAAGAAGAGACGCATAGACGACGAAGCTGCGAACACTTCTACGACTCGGGTGACCCGCAGCTCCTCCTCGAGAGCAGCTCGAAAGGATCGTGCAACCTCGCAAAGCGACGCTATTGAGATTGACGATGATAGCGACGAGGACTGGAGCCCAGCGAGGGAGACGGCTTCACCGGCGAAGAATGGTGCGAACGGCAAGAGTGGGACACGGCCGAAGGACAAGGAGCAGGAGATGGCGCGTGAGTGCGCGCACAAACCCCCATGCCAGCCTTGACAGCTGCTCATTCACATCTGCCTTCCCCCCGTCCGCAGCGTCCTCCGTCGTACAATGTCCCATGTGTACGCACGACTTCACACTCTCGGCCCTCAATCGGCACCTTGATACACCCGGAGCCTGCAAAGGGCCAGACGGGCCACCGCCGAGCGATAAAGAGCGTGGCTTGGCCGCCATGCCCGCTGGTAGTACAAAGAGCTTCGGCGGCTGGTTCTCTCGCAACGGCACTGGCCCTCCTTCTAAATCCTCATCCTCCTCGCCCTCGTCACTGGATAACGCCACCAAGTTGAAGCGTCCGCAATACCAGCTTCTCGCTGAGAAGGCCCTACGGCGTCTCTGCGAGGATGCCGGGCTCTCCACCTCGGGAGGGAAAGCCACCTTAGAGGCGCGACATCGTCACTGGGTTGATCGATACAATGCGAATTTGGATTCTGCGCCGAAGTACAGGAAAGGTCTGGGCACGCTTCGACGAGAGCTGGGCGAATGGGACAGAGAGCGGGACAGGGAGGAGAAAAGGGCCAAGGCTGGGGTGGGAGCAGGATCAGGGAGAAGCAATGGGGCTGCGTCGAACGGTGCAGGCTCGGTGGGCGCGAGTGAGGAAGAGAGGCGAGCGTACGCTGCGCAGCATAAGGACCATTTCAGGGAGCTGGTAGCTATGAGCCGCCAATCTGCTTTCAAGCAGCAGGGGAAAGGTACCCCGCCTGCGGCTACTAGAGAGGAGCAGGCTGATCGCAAAGAGGACGATGGCGAGGAAGGAGAAGAGGCCAAGCAGCGAGAGGAGAAAGCGCCAGCGATAGAGCCTGTTGAAGCTGTAGCCAAGGAAGGGCCACCCGCCAAGCCCAACGGCCTCGCAGAGCTCGACGAGGGGGAGTTCTTTGGAGGCGAAAGTTGGGAGAAGGATCTCGAGGAGTCATGAGGGGAGCAAGCAGCACATCACATTGTACCATTAGCATCTGTCCCTCAAACACATCACATCATTGCTGGAAGGTGATGCAGGATCGGGCCATGCTGCATGATTTCTGGTATTCCGCGTCCGCGTCCGCGTCTCCCGGAGAGTTGAGTGAGCGGGGAGTGGAGGCGTGTGTTCTGGTCTGTGGCTTGACCCTGATTTCGGCAGACTCGGCATCGTGGGACATTGGATCGCGAATCAAGTTTGTCCTCCTTACCATACCCACGCTCTTCTCGCAGAGGGCAGAGCAGCACACCATCGACGGCTGAGAGCAGCCATGCCACGAATGGACTTCAAGAAAAGCCCAGTGACGGGCGAGGAAGGTGAGCTTGCAGCGTAGAGCGGCGTGCATACAACCACCTTGTCTGACCCCTCATCCCACCCTCCTCCCTGCTCCTCACCGTCAGTTCCTCCGACCTACCTCCACTCCTCATCAGCCTTCTTCCGTGACACATCAGGGCGTGCCGTCCTGCTGCGAGGTGTCAACTTCTCTGGCTCCTCGAAAGCCCCGGTAAATCAACCAACTCAGCATCAGCCGCCAGGGGACCTATGGGCGCAGGCCGAAGCCGGTGGGCAGAGCTTTGTGGGCCAGCCGCTGAACTTGGAGGATGGAAGCGCAGATACACATTTGACGAGGCTGAAGATGTGGGGCTTCAACTGCCTGAGATATGTCTTTACGTGGGAGGCGTTGGAGCATGAGGGACCGTGAGTAGCGCGGAAGCAGGTTCGAAGCAGCAGGAGACAAGCTGACTGGAGTCTTGTCTGCCCCTACCACACGCAGCGGCAAGTATGACTACCGGTACATGGAATATGTGGTATCAGTGTTGCGCAAGTGCAAAGAGTACGGCTTCAGGGTGTACATGGATCCTCATCAGGACATCGTACGTACCCTACGCCCTTCGCCGCCGGCCTCTCCTGTCGTCCTTGCTCATCTCCCTTTTCTCCTCCTCCGCGCACAACACCTCCCTTGATTCTTCTCGTCTACAGTTCTCTCGCTTCACAGGAGGCTCCGGCGCCCCCTATTGGGTCCTGCCCGCCTGCGGGCTAGACCATCGTGGGTTCTCACCCACGCAAGCCGCCTTCCTGCATGGGGAGTGGCCCTCCCCCTCATCACCAGACCCGGCCGCCTTCTCCGACATGCTTTGGGCTACCAACTACACCCGCCTCGCCCCCGCCACATTGAGCGTACTCTTCTTCGCCGGACAGGACTATGCGCCTAAGTGCAAGATGGCGGGCGGGAAGAATGTGGGAGAATGGCTGCAAGATCACTTCATTGCTGCTGTCCGCCAGCTGGCGATGAAGGTCAAAGAGGCGGGCGATTTGTTTGACGAGACGGTTATTGGCTGGGACTCGCTCAATGAGCCCAACCCCACCTACATCGGGCTGGACGACATCCGCGTTCTTCCCGAAAAGTGGAAGCTACGACAGGGTCCCATGCCTTCCCCTGCACAATCTATGGCGCTGGGAGTCGGTCAGAAGCAGAAGATGCAGAATTGGGTCTTCTCGAGCTTGGGCCCCAAGAAGGCAGGAGAGGTGGAAATTGACCCGCAAGGCGCAACGATCTGGCTGAGGAAGGAAGAGGATCCGGTAGAGCGATGGGGCTGGAAGAGAGATGGAGGGTGGCCGATGGGACAGTGCATCTGGGAGGCTCACGGCGTGTGGGACAGCAAGAAGGGCGAGGTGCTCAAGCCGAACTACTTCAAAGTACCAGGTGAGGGCGACTTTGTTTCCGCTTACTGGCTCCCCTTCTGGCGCAAGTACGCTGCAGCGATCCGCGGAGTGCACAGGGAGGCCATCATGTTCCTTCAACCCCCCGTCTTCGAGCCGCCGCCTATGGAGCTGAACGAACAAGATCTGGGACAACGAGCGTGCGTCTCCTGCCACTTCTACGACGGGCTGACGCTCATCACCAAGCATTGGAACTGGTTCAACGCCGACGCCCTCGGGCTATTGAGGGGCAAATACTCTGCGCTCATCTTCGCACTCCGTTTCGGTCCCAAGGCGGTGCGCAAGGTCATGCGGGATCAACTGGGCTACCTTCGCGACGACACACTTCTCGTGCTTGGTCGCTACCCCACGCTGATAGGGGAGATCGGCGTCCCTTTTGACCTGGACAAGAAGCGCAGCTACTACGGAGACGCGAAGGGCAAGGGTAAAGGGGACTACGCTGATCAGACCAAGGCGCTCGATGCGTCGCTGAATGCGTGCGATGGGACAAACCTATTGAGCTACACGCTCTGGACTTATTGCCCTGATAATTGTCACATGTGGGGTGATGGGTGGAACGGCGAGGACTTGAGCGTATGGAGTGGAGACGACGTCAAAGGTGGGCGAGGAGCTGCGCAGGTCGTTGGAAGGGAAGGAGAAGGCGGAGTACAGGGAGGTGCAGATCTCTCTGCCTCGACTACCACGACACTTGCTGGGAACGAGGCAAAGGCGGCACTCAAGGCCACAGACCCTACCGTTGCGGTGGACAGCTACGCCAGCTCGACAATTGCACCTCCGTCTCCTCCAACCCCGGACCTCGCAACCCTCCTCAATGGTACCCGCTCTGCTCCCGCCTTCTGGCGGCCATACCCCATGGCGGTGGTGGGCACGCCAGTCAGCATAGACTTCGATGTTCGCTCCTCCCTCTTCCACTTCGTCGTCGACGTTGGTTGCGGGGCTGATGAGGAGGGAGCGCCGTACAAGGAAGGAGTGGCGACGGAGATCTTCCTGCCTCTGGTACACTACGTCGCTGCTGATGAGGAGGAGGGTGAAGCAGGAACAGCCCAAAGCAGCAAGGGTGGCAGTCTCGCCTCATCAGTGGACAATCTTCGCTCCAGACCAGCGCACGGCATCATTGAGGATCCACGCCTTCCGCCTCTGGCAATCGATGTGCAAGTCACCGCGGGAGAGTGGGAAGTCTCCGGCCAAGTGATGCGGTGGTACCTACCTGAGTCGGCGAGGGGGAAGAGGCACGAGTTGCGCGTGCAGAGGAGCAAGAGTAAAGGTGGGGCTAGGCAGGCTGTTCAGACTGTACTTGGGGAGAGGAGTGCATGGGAGATGTGTGCGGTTATGTAGTTCTGATGAACCGTGATGACTGTCAATATATGCTATGCCCATTGTCACGGTAGCGTTGGGCCACGTGGCTGTTGAACCTCAATTGGCTGGCGTTGCCGTCGCCGGCGAGCTCGGGCCACCTTGAGCGAATGGCGCCGCGTTGGATGTGCGAGCCTTGCCTGCTTTGCATTCTTCCGATCGTCTCCATCCCCCTCTGCTCCTCATCATCTCGTCCGCGATGCTGGCCAAAAGAATAGGGCTAGCTCTCGCGGCCCTGATCGTAGGCACGACCTCATCGCTGGCGTCGTCTGCTCCGGCGTATAGTGCGAGCGATTTCCACGTCCACTCCATCTCGGTCAACCACGAGCTGGGAGGCGCAACGCATACCACATCACAGCTCCATCTCATTGAGCAGCCATCGAGCGCAGCGCAGGACAAATACTACATCTCTCTCTCACCGCAGGAGGCTGCCTCCCTCTCCTGGTCAGAAGTAAATGCCAAGTTCGGCCCAGGTCTGGCTCCGGAACAGCGCACTGTCCTCTCCTTGAGGAATGAGGGCTACTCAATCCCCACGGGCGACTCGCCCACCCACCTCTACTCTGTCACTCTACCGCCTAATTTCCTCACACAACCGGCAGAAAAGGAGGAGAGAGGCATCGTTACGCCCAATATTACGCTTGCCATCGACCTGGGCTTTCATCACATCAGTGAGGCATTGCCCAAGGCCGTCGGGCAAAAGGAGGATGCGTCGCTGCGCTGGACTGGAGATGCAGTACCGCGCAGTGTGTATGCGGTGGGCAAGGCGAGGGTCAAGGCAAAGTGAGTGCTGTGTGAGGGCTAGAGGAGATGTCAGCTCCAAGAGGAATCGATTGAGCTTACCTGTCCTGTCCCTTTTCATTGCCTCGCACCTGCAGATCCCCCTCCGCCAAGATCCACTCGTACAGCATGGAGCCGCCCTCCTCCGAGATTACCAAGTCAGGCGCAACGATCACCTTTGGTCCATTTGAGCGCATCAAGCCCCTGACCGTAGACTCAGCTCCTCCACCGACAGCTCAAGTACATCACACGCACGAGCACCCCATCGTAGCCCTCGTCTCCCTCGACAGGCACGTCGAAGTCTCCCACTGGGGTGACTCTCTCTCCTTCAAGGACAATGTCTGGCTCCGCAACGATGGACCGGCACTGAAGGGCCATTTCTCTCGAGTGGACCACCAAGTGGGCACATTCTACGGAGGGCGAGGACGCAACCTCGTACTGGACTTTGGACTGCAGCTGCCTCCCAAGGCGCGCGACGCCTACTTCGTCGACCAAATCGGCAACGTCTCGACGAGCAACTTCCGCTCAGGCCATCCAGCCCTAGGGAGAGAGCAGGACGTGGACACTCCTTCCCACTCGCTCCCGGCTCACAGCGCCTCGCTTCTTCAACTCCAGCCGCGCTATCCACTGTTGGGCGGGTGGAACTACACATTCACCATCGGCTGGGACCTGCCCCTCGGGCCTGGCGGCTGGGGCAAGTCTCTAGGCGCAGGCAAGTACAGCGTTGCCGTTCCATTTTGGAACGCTTTCCCCTCGAGCGGTGGTGGACCAGGAGGGAGCGTACCCGCAAAGAGGGTGGAGACGAGAATCGTTCTACCCGAAGGCGCTGAAGTCCTCTCCGTCCACCTGCCGTTCGAGGACGACGACGCTGCAGAGGGAGCGGCGACGGTTAGGTACGAGACGCACACCACCTACCTGGATACGGTGGGGCGGGCGAGCGTCGTGGTTAGCAAGGAGCGGGTCTCCCACAGGCATGCGGGCAACATCTATGTGGTGTACAGGTTGAGCGGGTGGCAGCATGTCAGGAAGATTGGAGCAGTTGCCGGGGTGGCGGCAGCCTTGTTCGCGGGAACGATGGGAGTGAGGAGGGTGGGAGGAAAGAAGGTCTAAGAGGCCCAAGTGCGCGAGATGAGGTGAAAGACGTAGACTAGTAGTTAGACAGACGATGCTCGTCTGAGTGAAACGATTTTATTGCTCTTTACTGGAGCTTTGGTGATGATGTCATCAAGTGGGGATCGCGGGCCCTAATTCTCCTCTGTCTGGCCTCCTCTCTTTTCTCATCGTCACGCATTAGCAGCCTCTAGCGCCGCGTTGGGCACCAGCCCAAGCTCGCGCAACGTCTTCTGCTTCTCCTCGTCAGTGAAGAACTTGCGGGGGAAGGTTTGAGAGAACTGCGTGCAGAGGGTTGAGATGTATTCGTTGTCAGTCAAATGCTTGCTCGCTTGCTGTCAGACGTGTCTCTCGCTCACCTTCAGCGGCCCTGCCGCGTTCCCAGCATCGACCACCATTTGCTCGACCTGCTTCAGCGTCGTCTCAGCAGGCACGGTGCCCATCCACTGTCCTCCGGGCGCCCTGATTCTCAGCCTCGACTCATTGGCCGTAGAGGCCGCCTTGGCCTGCGGAGGAGGTGCCGGCGCTGCTCCTGCTGCTGCTGCCGGCGTGGCTTGTGTAGTTTGCCCACTCCTTGCCGCCTTCTCCCTCGCAACCCTCTCCGCCCTCTCCCTCTTGTCCGCCTCAATCTGCTCCCTCACTCTCGCCTTGGCCTCAGCATCTGCCTTCTTTTCCGCCGCCTTTCTCTTACGCTCCTTCTCCGCCTCGCGCTTCTCCATCTCATCCTTGGCGACAGCCATGTCCTGCCCTGCCTTTCTCCTGATCTGCTCGTTAGCTTTAGCCTCCTGAGCGTCTACGGTGGACTGGGCAGCGCGCTTCTCTGCGAGCTTGCGACGAAGCTCTGCTAGTCTCTCCTTCTTTTCTTCTTCCGTGAGCGGTTTGACCTCCTCTGTTGACTCTTCAAAGTTGGTGTGGCCGGACTTCTCGGCGTGGAAGGAGGCAAAGGCCGAGTTCTTGAGGACTTTGCCGCAGTCGGTGCATTTGATGGATTTGGCCTCCATGCCTGCTCCATCGGACGACGAGCCAGTAGCAGCGTCTACAGCTCCTTGCCCCTTGGTCTTGAGCATCTCCATGAGAGCGGCCTGTTCCTCTTCGTCGTACTCGCCTGGGGGACCGTTGCCGCCGCCGCCTGCTGAGCCTGAGCCTGGGGTGGTGGTGGTCTGCTGAGCTACATCTGGTACAGGCTTGCCTTCATTGGCTTCCAAATGGTCGAGAGCCGACTGCAGTCCCGAGTTGCCCGTGGAGCGCAGCGCCCAGTCGACACGGGCGGGCTCGAAGCCCATTGCGAGGACTGGAGGCGGGGAGAGGTGCATATACGAGGCAGCAGTCAGCCTCGCCGTTCGACAAAAGGACTGCGATGATAGCAGAGGGCGATGACACATCGTACTCGGTACTCACGATCATCCTTGTCCGGCATCACGTCGTTATCGAGCTGATTGGCTTGATTAGTGTGTCGTATGAGTAGGAAAGACGCTCAGCGCCACCCCCACGAATCCGACTCAATGCCTCGTCTCGCCTCTCCGCCCGGCACTCCTCCACTCGACGCGCCACGCGGCTTCACGACCGCTCGTACTCGCTCGTGCGTCTTGGCTGCGATGCTATGTCTATTTGAGGTAATGTGAGCAGGAGACCAAGCAAAGGGCAAGAAGAATAGATGAAGCACATGCAAAAGTGGCGTCCAATGCTGACTCCCCGCTACCACCTCTGCAACCACTCCCTCGCTGCGCCCCAGACCAGGCCCACTCTCCCCCCACCCAGACGTCCAGCAACGATCCTCCAGCCATGCACCTTCTCGTCCGCTCGCTGCAACCCTTCCACACCGTGGAGACCACCAGCAGCCTGAAGAAGCGACGAAGCCCCAGCGTCGAGGAGGGCGCTCCCTGCGCTGCTCATTGCAGCCATTGTGCCCTGGCCAGCTGGTGAGCCCGAAGCGAGCGGGTTGTAGGTGCAGGAGAACTCGAATCGGTTCGCGTGGAACTGCAGAGCAGCTCTATAGTGAAAGAGAATAGCCAGGACGATGCTGACGTGCCAGATCTGGTGCGCGTGGAGGAAGAGGTCGAACTTGCCCGGCCACCTGCTCTCTGGCCAGTTGGTGGCATAGAAGACCAGCCCAATGATGTAGCACGCCAAGCTGGGGAGAATCGGGCTGAGGAAACGCAACGTCTTGAGAAGGCCGTGCTCGTACGTCGCGTGGGCGAATGGAAGGAGAGAGGTGAAGCACATTCCGAGGAAGACGACGATGCGCAATCCCTTGTTGGAACGCTCATTGAACCAGCTCGCCCAGGGAACTGCTGCTCCTATCAGCCCAACGACTAGCGTGGTGCAGGAGTATAGCATGGCGAGGTTGGGCTGGCAGTAGAACTCGTTGTAGATTGTGGTCCACACGCTCGCCGCCACCAGCAATGCTACGCCCGAATAATCGACGCACGCGGCGCGTTCGAACCACTTGGCGTTGGAGCAGCCAGAGAAGACATGCCATACCACCGAGGAGACGAGGCACTTCATGGCCGCAACGAGGTAGATGGTCTGCACCAGCCTGTCAGCCCAGGTCGTGTGCTCGTCCAATCCCTTTGAAGGCCAGAAGAGGGGGAGAACTATGAGGACGCCAAAGAGGTGCGAGTGGATGTTGACCGTCTCGTTATGCAATTGAAAGGTAGAGCGCAGCAGCGTACCCCAGTTTTCGAGGGGAATGAACCGATAGCCAGAAAGGATGTGCTCATTATTTCGCCAGAGATGGGGCAGGTCGGCGTAGTGGATGAGGCGCGACCCCTCGTTTGCGAGGCCGCATGCGCGCTTGTACATCGCATGCTCTGCTTCGAGAACAGTGGTGACCATCTCGCCTGCTTTGACTTTGGAGCGTTCAGAAGACTCCTTGATGGACGACATGATCGAATCCCAGCTGGGCAAGTGAGCTGCTGCAGAGGAGATGGAGGCGCGGCGACGTGTGGAAGCCGCCGCTGCTGATACGGAGGAGGGCCAGCGAGCTGCTGCAGCGCCGCTCTGCTCCCAGCAATCCCGAAGAGTCATGGTAGCGAGCAGCTCCTGTAGATCGTCGAATCTTCCTTGGACCTTTTGAAGGACGGTAGCCGCTACAAGTGGCATAGCCGGGCGTGGTAGATTCACACTGCGCGGGTCCACGGAGGGGAACGAGGCCGGAAAGCCTGGCATGCGTTGGCTCAATGCCGATGAGATGCGATCCCAGTCTGCTGCGAGGGACTGGGAGCGTGAGATGATTGCGGCTGAAGAGAGACTCAGCGTTGCGCTTGGAGAGGGGAGAGCGAGAGGCGCCGAGGGGAAAAGGAGGGTGAGACGGTGCAAATCGTCCTTAAGAGCTTCGAGTTGGGTGTAAAAGGGCGACAGGTAGGAGTCGGCCACCGATACTGAGGACGATGCAGAGGACGATGCCTCAGAGGAAGAGGAAGATTGGTCGCCGCGAGCGTCTCGCTGGAGTTTGCCTGCGATGGCTCTTGCCTGCTCCTCGAGGGCATTGAGGTAGGTGAGAAGTCGGCCACGCACTACCGCGACTGTCAGAGGCAAACTGAGAGAGAGGTCCAGCCATTCCAATGAGGCGGCGGCAGGGTGCTGAGGCTCAAGAGCCCTGCGTTTGCCCTTTGCATTTCCCGCGTCGCTCCACCGCATCAAGTCGTCATCGCTATCGATGTCGCTGACTGCCGTCGATGAAGAAGAGGAAGATGGTCCAGCTCCATCGTCTGACCAGTCGTTGAGTGTAGGAGATGGTGGTGTATGCGCGCGGGTGACGTGCGTGTAGAGCGAAGCAGGCTGCGATGCACGACGACGGTTGCGACTCGAGGGCCGCTGAGGAGGAGGGAGGGCAGTGCTGGTAGAAGCCGACGACGTGGCGGCCAAGTGAGCGTCGTCAATCATGATGATGAAAGAGTGTGAGGGTCAAATGAGCCAGGCTGAAAAGCCTAGATCGAGGAAGGAGATGTAAGTAGTCGTAGAGGCAAGTTGGTCAGGTGGGATTGTGGAAAGTGGTGGTCAGGATGTCTCGAACGATGACGGCGATGTCAAGTCCACAGTCGAGTCGAGATGGAGTTGAAAGTGTGGCGGCGGAGACCAAATCGAGGCGGCGGCGGCAAAACCTCTCGCCCAGCAGCGGAGGGCAGCTCGCAGAGGGGCTAGAGCCAAAGCCAGGGCGAGAGCCGCGGGGCGGAGAGGCAGGCACGACGAGAGGAGAGGAGCCCGAGAATGGGCAACCAGCCGTGTGGGGGAGGGAATGGCCCAGCCATAACTGAGACAGACGAGCCAAAGGGATGTTGGACTCGAGGGGAGCGCAACACCTTCTGCTTCGCTTTCATTCAAGACAGGCGGCTACGTTGGAAGGTTGATGAGGGATTGCCCTCGAGCAGGGACGTCGATGGTCCTGAGGGGCTGATCGGCGGGCTTCTTTGAAAAGGCACGGGAGCAGAGGCAACGCATGGAAGCGGCGTCACGAAGCTATCGCCGAGAGAGCCGACTCGCCTCGATCGCCTGCGCACTATAGGCGCACGGATGTCTCCTTGCTCTCCATAACCAGCCTAGCTAGCCTTGGCTTGCCTTGCCTTGCCAGCTCAGCCAGCTCGGCCAGCTTGTGGTGATCCAATCCTACCTTCCTTTCCTCACCTCGCGTCACATCAATTCCCATCCAATCCATCTCTTCGACCACGATATTATCCATCATGCAAGAGTCTCTCGATGAGAAGGCGCAGGCGCAGGCGCCGCCGCCACCTTATCGCGGAGACGGACGAGATAGCCGCGAGTACGGCCTCGAGTACGATGATGGACAGGACCTGCCAATGCCTGCTACCGCGGCTGATCGTGCTGCCTCGCGACGATGGATGCTGCAGATGCTCCTCGTGGGCGTCACCGTCTACTACATCGTTATGGCTTACGGGCGTGCAGCCATGTCCATCTCTTGGACTCGGGGAGGAGGCTGTGGACATCACCATCGCTTCGCACCACTGCCAGAGGATGGCCAGGTAGACATGGTGAGCGACGCAGATGGACGCCCTCTCAAAAGCTCTTGCTAATCTCTGATGTGACCTATGCCGTCAGTCCCGCGCCCCCATCGGCAAGTTCATCGAGCACAAGTGCTGGTCCGACCTCAATCTTTCATCCACATTCAGCTGCTATCGTATGGCCGCCCCTCTAGACTACACCAACACATCCGACGACCGTCGCGCCAGCATCGCTCTCGTCAAGTACCCCGCCGGCGGAGGTAACACACCTCGCTCAGACGTTCTCGGCTCCATCTTCTTCAATCCTGGCGGGCCAGGCGGCAGCGGTATCGGCTTCCTGACGGCCAAGAGTCCCTCACGCGGAGGCCTCACCGCTGCATACTTTGACCAGATCTTCGAAGGCCGATACGACCTGCTCAGCTTTGACCCTCGAGCTGTGGGACGAACCACGCCCAAAGCCAACTGCTTCCTCGATGATGATGAGGGAGCCTACGCCAACGAGATCTTCTTTGAAGGCTCGGGGCTACCGCACTCTTCGGACCACGCCATTGTCAAGAGTATTGCGCATGACAACCTGATCTCGGGCGTCTGCAAGGAGAACAAGGGGGAGGAGCTCACCCACGTCTCGACGGCGTCGGTCGTCAACGATATGAGTCTGATGCGCAAGGCCGTGGGAGACAAGCACCTCAACTACGCCGGTTTCTCCTACGGCACCGTGCTGGGTAGCTATTTCGCCGATATACTTCCCGAGGAGGTGGGCAAATTCTGGCTTGATGGCGTCGTTAATGTCCCCAACTACCAACAAGGCCTTTGGGACGATAACGTCGTGGATTTTGAGGACGTGCTGTCCGGCTTCTTCACGACTTGCGCAGATGCGGGCGTCGAGCACTGCCCACTCGCCACCCTCCTCAATGATGATGAGAAGCAGCGAGGCGATAAGGGTGCTGAGATTCTCCGCGATCAGACATTCGACCTTCTCGAGTCACTCAGGGACCAGCCCATTGCGGTCCTCAACGCGTCTCTGCCTCAAATGAGCACGTACATCGGCCTCAAAGCAGCCATCTTCTCGACCATGTACGCCCCCTCGAAATGGGCCAACTTCACCAAGCTCCTCGTCGAAGCCCACAAAGGCAACCATGTCCCTCTTGTTGAGGCTTCGGGTATCACACGCCTCCCACACAAGCCGGCTACCGACGGAGCGAATGACCAGGCCCAGTTCTCCATCATGTGCGGTGAAGCCCTGCAGTACGACGAAGATTGGGATGAGGGGGACTACAAGAAGTTCCTCGACAAGCTGGAGAAGATCAGCCCCTTCGGCGGAGAGCTCTGGGTGAGGGACGGAGCTATCTGCCAGAGTGCTTGGAAAATCCGCGCCAAGGACACCTGGCGTGGCTCATTCAATTCGACGCCTGCCAATCCGATCCTCTTTGGGTCAAACGACTATGACCCCGTCACCCCGCTGCGTGCGGCGAGGAAGATGCGCGACTCCTTCCGCAGCAACAACAAGCTGTTCCGCATTGAGAAGGGATACGGGCACTGCACTATTGCTGCGCCCTCGAAGTGTGGGAGCAAGACGGTTGGCGATTGGTTCGTGCGCGGGGTGCTTCCCGAAGAGAAGGAAAAGGTCTGCCAGCTCGACGTGCCGCCTTACTTCCCGCAGCCCACGGCGGACGAGGAGACGATGTCTACGCTGTCGATGGAAGAGAGGAGGCAGGTTGAGGCTGCAGAGGCGATGCAGACCGTAGGCGAGATCATGGCAGAGTGGCGTCAAACGAACGGACGACGCTTCAAGTTCTGAGAACAGGAGGATCATTACGATAAGGACTTTTTGTGCTTTCTCTCCTCTCCTTATGCTATTTATCGATCAATGACGTTACGACTGTTTCCTCTCGCGCTCGTTCAGTGTGCAAATGGATTGGCCACAGCCTTGACCTCCTCCCACAATTGCTCAAACGCGCTCTGCAAGACCTCGTCCAATTTCCCCTTCTCGATGGCCAGCAAGCTTTGCTCGAGCTGCTCATTCGACGAGGCACCAAGGATGACTGCATCCTCCTCACGCAGCGCCGAGTGGTGCGCGATCCACCTGATCGACGCCTCGTGCAGAGGCACGCCTGCACTGTTGCAAGCCTCAGTGAGCTTCTCCAGCGCAGTCAACATCTCCTCCTTCAGGTACAAGCTCTCGAAGATAGGCATCGCCTCGTACCTAGTCCCCTTCTTTGGCTTCTTCAGCTCCTCAATAGGCTTCGCCAAAGCCCCACCCGCCAGCGGGCCCCAAGCGTAGAAAGCGATGTCGTGCTTGCGCAGCGTGGGGAAAAGCTCAGCCTCGACTCTGCGGTGCAGCGCATTGTACCCTCCTTGGTAGACGGAGGGCTTTGGCCCGCCCATGTCAGCGCAGAGGGAGCAGATTTGCTCGACAATGTCCGGCGAGAGATTGGACACGCCGAACTGTTCGATCTTGCCCTCTTTGTAGAGCTGAGTGATGGCGCGACATTGCTCCTCAAGAGGCGTCTCTTTGTCTGGGCCGTGGATATAGTAGAGGGGTATCTTCTCCAGGCCCAGCGCCTTCAAGGAGAGATTGCAATTCTCAATCACCTTCTCGTATCGGAGAGACCCCGCAGAGAAGGCTGGCGCTTTGCTCGCGATGCGGAATTCGCCCTTCTGATCGGGAGGGAGCGAGCCAAAGAGCTCTTCTGACTTGCCGCCAGCGTAAACGCGGGCCGTGTCGAGGTCGGTGACGCCGTGCTTCGTGCAGAGGGCGAGGAACGAGGAGAGCTGTGCGGTAGTGCCGAGCGAAGCAGAGCCACCGGAAACGCTACTGCCCATGAGGCCTACGACGAGCTTGACCATGATTGCGATGATGAGACGAGAGTAGGGGGCGAGGAAAGTTTCAATGGCCGCCTCTTCAGCGGGGTAACAGAGCTCGCAGCGCCCGTGCGCGACTACCGGGACCAAGGCGTAAGATGACGGGTCGATCTTGAGGCGACAGCGGGCGTCGCCCGTCGTTGATAGGCAAGCAAGCTAGCAGGCAAAGCATTACGGTCACAGTTCTGCATTGCGAGCTATCAGCGACTAAACAATCGCCGTCCGACACGCTCAAGCTTTGCTTGTTTCGCGGCAAGAGCGGCCAAGCGAAGAAGCGATAGGCGTATCTATCGCTTCGATCGATCGTGGGTCCTACAGTACGGCGAACGTGGGAGTCGATTGCCACTTCAAATGTGGATTGAGTCGACCCATCGAAGCACGATCGGGCTACCCGAACGGCGGTTTCTGCGAATGCGGATCGGCGTAGCGAGGAACACGTTGTCTTCCGCGAGAGGCGAGGCTAGGCCATCATCACTTCCCGCTGCTACATAAATAGAGTTGACGAATCAAGCTCTGAGACACGCGTCTGTTCGAGAGCAGTCGTCGAATCAATTGCTCAATCAAGAAAGGCGGGACAGCAGGAGAAAAGATGAGTGGGTGCAAGGGCGGCGGCAGGGAGATGTTTGGTCGCCGGGTCAACATGAGCGGCAGGGATCTGTCAAACAACTCCGCCACTCAAAATGCGTACGACATGCCACGATGGACAAGCCACTGCCGGGGGACGACGAAGGGGGGGCAGGGGGAGCTAGCGCTGGGTGGCAAAAGATGGAAGCCTTCATAAGATCAAGATCTCAAAGGATCTGCTAATCGTTCATCGCACATCGCGTCTACCATGCTCGTTCTTCACCAGGTGGCGCTCACGGCCCTCTGCTTTGCTAGCGCTGTTTTTGCTGCGGGGGGAAAGCGCGGTCTGGCCTACAACAACGCGAGCCTGACGCTCCCCTTCAAGGGATCCTCGCACATCTCATGGGCCTACGATTGGTACCAAGCTTATACCACGCCCTATAACACCGACCTCGAGTATGTACCCATGCTCTGGAGCGATGCCGCGGACCTAAGGGCGAGCTGGGCCAGCAACGTCGCCCGTATGCAAGCCGCGGGCTCCAAACACCTCCTCGCCTTCAACGAGCCTGATCTGTGTGCATTTGGGGCAGGGTCGAGTTGCATGGAAATGAACGCCTCTGTCGCTGCGTATCAGAAGTACATCCAGCCCTACGCGGGGAAGATGCTGCTGGGCTCGCCCGCCGTGACCAACGCTGGAGCACCAGGAGGCTTGACTTGGCTGAGCCAATTCATGGGCAACTGTACAGGCTGTCAGATCGATTTCCTTTCACTCCACTGGTATTCCAACAAGTACGCAGGTCTCAACTACCTCAAATCCCACATAAACGAAGCCCGCAAGGTCGCAAACGGCCGGCCCATCTGGCTGACCGAGTTTGGGCTCACAGACGACTACACGACGGAGGAGCTCAAGAGCTTCCTATCGAGCGCCATGACTTGGATGGATTCGCAGCCTGACATCGAGGGGTATTCGTACTTCTTTGACGCTGTGGGTACAAACTGGCTCATCGGACCTGACTATCAGCTCAATGACATCGGGAAGCTTTACGCTGGAATGGATGGAGCGTCGGCAGCAACGTCGAGCTCCACGTCGATGACGAGCTCGACAGCTGCTTCGACGACGACGAAGGCTACGTCTACGTCGTCTCCTGCATCGGCGAAGACGACCGCTAGCACTTCATCCTCGGTGCCTGCTTCCTCAAAGACCAGCACGAGCTCCTCTGCCGTGGCTTCCAGCAAGACTTCCACGGCGTCTACTGCCAAGACTACCACCAGCGTCGTGGCATCTTCACCCACAACCACCAGCAGGGCATCTTCTGCGGTGCCGACCACCTCTAACAAGGCATCTACACTCACGACCTCTCGCGCTTCAACGACGACGTCTCAGGCGAACGTAGTCGTAAGCATGTCTTCATCGTCATCCGCCTCCGCAATCCCGACTGGTCTGCCGGTCAACATCCTCTCGGCCGTCTACGTAACTCAGTCCGTCACCGCCAAATCGAAATCCCTCTGGCAGCACGGCAGCACCATCTTGTTCCAATCAGGCGGCAACCTGTGGAAGAAGCTGGGTCTCTCCTCCAATCCTTGGCCTGATCACACCAATACGCTCAACGTCTACTACTCGCGAGGCAACAAGCAGCGCGTGGCCACCTACAAGGACTCGTCACCGGACTGCAACCTGAGTACCGATACTTGCGGGAGTACCATCGTGACGGCGCCAGTCACCAAGCCGGCCAAGTCGCCTATTACGCTCGTTGCCGTCGTCTGGGGTGACCGAGTACTCACCACGGCCACGCTCTGGTCGAGGCTGTACAAAGCTGCACAGAGTGGCTCTTCCTTCCAGGCCACTAATTCCTTCTTTGGCGCGACTCCCATGCCTGGCCAAGGCAAGACTGCCGTGATTTGGTATCGCAACTCGCGCAACGACCTCAAAGTCTTGACAGCCAAGCAGAATGCGACTGTGCGCTTCTCGTAATGGCGACTTGTCGTCGCCGATCTCCTGTACATTCGCATCTCTATCTTCTGATACCTCTTGAATACCATCGTGTCTGTCACCGATACTCCCGAATCCGAAAGCGCGTCTCGGGTCGGAGATCCAAATACGATTGCATCGGCACATCGGCAGCCCCGTTCTTGCCGGCGGGCGGCGAGCGTGCCGCTGACGATCTCGAGGAAATGACGGCCCTTTCCTTGCTTTTTGTTGACCTCCTCCCCACCTCCTTGGATCTCCGTATGTCCGGCTCACGATAGCAGTGCCCACATTCAGGGGCTTTACGTACCCTTTCTTCCTCTCGCACCCATCGATACCATGTCGGAGACGGAGTCAATTACCGCCCGCAGCCTCACACTCCAAGAGCCGCCACTCAGTCGTGATCAAGACGCCTTGCAAGGAGGAGAGAAAGTTGATAATGTCTCCCGTCATCCGCCTTCTGACCAAGGCCACCCCGCTGGCAAGCCATCTTTTGCCCAACTTGTCGGCTCGCGTCCCTCACGCCAACATGATCCTGCCTTCCTCGTTGCCTTTGGCAAGGGCGAGGATGATTGCCTTGACCCCAAGGAGTGGCCCCTCTCCAAGCGCTGTCGCGTTACTCTAGTCTTAGCGGCCATCGCCTTTGTAGCCTCGCTAGGGTCGAGCATCACATCCCCAGCACAAGAAGCCATGGCTCAGGACTTTGGTACATCGACGCAGATCATGATCTTCACCAGCTCCCTTTATGTGGCGGGCTTTGCGTTTGGACCGAGCATGTGGGCGCCAATCTCTGAGCTGCTGGGTAGAAGGATCAGCTTGGCGCCGCCACTTTTCTGCTTGGGATTGTTCAGCATCGGCTTCGCCACCAGCCGCAATGTCGCCTCCCTCTTCATCTGCCGTTTCTTCAGCGGCTTCTTTGGAGCAGCGCCCGTATCCAATGTCGTTGCTGCCCTCGGTGACATATATAAGCCAAAGCCACGAGGAGTAGCCGTCTCCCTATACTCGATCGCAGTCGTCGGTGGTCCCCTTCTCGGACCGCTCATCGGCGCTGCTCTCACCGAGTACACCTGGCGCTGGACAGGCTACCTCCTCGCCATCCTGTCCTTCGTTGCAAGCGGCCTCACCGTCGTTGCCCTTCCTGAGGTCTATGGCCCGGTCCTTCTGCATCGCCACGCCACGAAGCTGCGCAAGACCACAGGAGAGGAGCGTTGGTGGCACCCACACGAGGACATTCGCATCGACTTCAAGTCGATTGTGACCAAGCACCTAGCTCGGCCGCTCCTCATGCTGACCACGGAGCCCATGGTCACCTGCCTTTGCCTCTACGCATCATTCGTATACAGTCTCGTCTACATGGCTCTGCAGCTCGTCGCCCTCGTCTTTGCCCGCAACTACATGTACGGCAGCGTCGTGTCCACTCTGCCCTTCCTCGGCATGTTCGTAGGCGTCGTCGCTGTTGGACTGCCGCTCACCCTGGCTAACCAGCCATATTACTTCAAGATGGTGGATATGAATGGGGGCAAGCCGGTGCCTGAGGCTCGACTTCCGCCCGTACTCGGAGGTGGCGTCCTCGTGACGGCTGGACTGTTCATCTTTGCCTGGACGGGAAGGGGCGACCAGCCATGGATTGCGCCTACAATCGGTCTCTCGCTGCTCGGCGGCGGGTTCAACTCGGTATTCCAGAATTGTCTGAACTACCTCGTCGACACTTACGGAATCTACGCCGCGAGCGCTTCATCAGCAAATACGATCCTCCGCTCAATTCTAGCAGCCTGTCTGCCCTTTGCCATCGAGCCCATGTTCGACCATCTGGGCAGCGCCAAAGCCACCAGCATCCTAGGAGCATTTGCGGGCGCCTTCATTCCATTGCCGATCATCTTCATCAAGCTTGGACCAGAACTCAGACGTAGAAGTCGCATGACGCCCAAGGAGACGTAACGTACATAGCATGACGAAGGGGTAATACCCTTCTAGTACACGTAGCTGTTGATAATGGTATCGCTAATTCAAGTACATTACACCGGAGATTCTTCTGTTTGAGTGGCTCGTGCCGCTCCTATAGTGCGATCACGAGGCCAAGAAAGGTAGCAACCATGAGACTGAAGCTGGTCTCCAGGGCATGACCGCCGTTGGAGTCTCCGCTCTGTGATGTAGCCGTGGGCTCGCTCGCGGCCGAGAGCGATGAAAGCCGTGGCGTTGATGTGCGCGACAGGAACGGTGTCCTGGTGCTGGACAAGAAAGGGGTCCGCGTGCGAGTGCTCGACAAGAAAGGCGTCCTCGAGCTGCTGGCATCCAGAAAAGAGCTTATCTGGTCGAATGCATCGTCCTCGTCAGAGCCGCCATAGTCGTCGATCAACCCATCAACGTAGCTGTCGGTAACGCCAGTGAATTGCAGTTCCTCTGCTCCTGGGACCACAAAACATTTCAAATCTACATATATACCAGATGGACAGCACCCTGACCCGACAATGATGATGCCATCACATGCGCTGGCCTGCGTTTGAGTTGAAAGGGCCGTCGTACTGCAAGAGGACGTGACGGACGACATGAAGGCTTGTGGTGAGGCATTGAGGGTCGAGATCAAGGCAGATACGGAGGCAGCAGAAGCAGCAGAGTCCTGCCGAGGAGAGAGAGTGTTGGCGCGGTGAAGGAGTGGAGCGACTGTTGCTCGTGGTTGAGGCAGGCCGAAGGCAGGAAGAGCTGCCGCGAGAATGCCAAAGAGGAGAATATACTTCATAATGTCGAGAGTAGCGGAGGAATCCAACGTTCAGATGACAGTCGTGTTCGCGTTGTCGGCCGTCTTATAAGCGTGAGCTCGTCTGCACCAGCTCCAGGCGAGCTGCCCCCAGACTTCGCAAACAGTTTCACTCTCCTCTGCCTTTTGCGAAGCGTACGCCGTCGAGTCTCAGTCGCTCACTCGCTCGCTTTGATCACTTCAGCTCCAGAACGTCAGCCCATCAGTCTGGACACCTGAATCGGGTCGTCAAATGAAGAGATCTGAGATGGGAAAGGCCCGCTCACTTTGTGGGCCTGTGCTCTGCCGCGCTCTATTTCCTCGCGTACCTGAGACGGGACGTCAAGCGCGGGTCTTGGCGGGCGGACTAGGTTGCCCCGCATCGCCCGGGAGGAGATTGCCCTTTCCTTCTCGTCTCCTCACAGTCACGCAACGACCGACTGGCACATCTTTTAGCACACAAGAGCGCCACCTTCAGAGTCGATCTCTCACCGCGATCTGTCACACAAGACCTCAGAACCATTATTCATGGCATCTGTGACTTTTTAGAAGCAAGAAGACGGTTCGTATGGACTGCCTAAGCTGGCCTACAAGACCACGGCGAGGCCGAGGAAGGAGGCTACCATGAGACCGACATTAGTATCGAGGATAATGGCGGCGTTGGACCCTCCGCTCTGGGATGAAGCCGTCGGAGCAGCAGCTGCTGCTGCTGAGGATGCAGACGACGATGCTTGCGTGGGCGTAGCACCGCTGCTGCTGCTGCTACTGCTGCTTCCGCCCGTGCTGGAAGGTGCTGCTGCTGATGATGATGAGCTGCTATCGTTGTCGTCATCCTCTCCGGGCACATAGTCATCGGTGTTGCCATAGAAGTTGAGGCCTTCTGCGCCGGGCACTACAAAGCATCGACCGTTGACTAATATCCCAGTCTCGCAGCAGCGATCGTTGCCTCGCTGGAGGCCCTTGCAGGCGAAGCCGGTGGCAGACGAGAAGGCGGTGGTCTTGTCCGAGGCGGTGACGGACGACATGAAGGCGTCAGGCGATGCGCGAACAGAGGAGAGGAGGGCTGAAGCATCGCCTCCCTGGCGAGGTGAGAGGGCATTGTTACGTCGAATGAGCGGGACTGACGTGGGTTGAGGAGCGGCCTGTACGCTCAGGGCGACGGCGAGGACGGCGGAGAGCAGAGCGAAAGTCTTCATGGCAGTTGATTGTGAGCTGAACAAGAGGAATTGATGGTCTGGGGTCTGACTCGAGGCTGGTCCTTGCCGGCATTTTATACTCTCGCTCGATGTTGCGCTGCCGATTCGCACTGATGGAGATCAGCAGATTAGCCTCCCGTCGAAGCTCTGCAGCACATGTCGAGGAGGCATAACGTATTCCCGGGCACTCCGATGCCAGTTGACCCGTGTATCGCAGACGTCCGGGTTGCTCGCTCGCTTCTTTGCTCACATTGATGGTGTCTTTGCCTTAGGCATGGTTCTATTCCCATGTCTCATCGGTACATTCGCGAGAGGATCAGTGCGCTGGAGCCGAGCCATGGAAGAGAGAGCTCCAGCGCGTGTAATCGGCACCTACACGGCAGCCCGTTCGCTATAGCCTTTAGCGCCATATTCTAATCCCTCGCGTACCTGACGCGGGAGTTGGACAGAGCCTTAGCGCTTCTTGCTGCCTCTTCCCCACGAGAATGCTCTGCGGACAGGATGCCTCTGTCCACAGACGAGCGAGGAACTTAATGTCTAATTGTGCGAAATGCAACATGAACCGTCGGTCCTCCTCGCTCTTGGCTCCTCGTCATTACAGACATTGTCACGACGAAGCACGATTTGAAGCTCCGCTGCTGCATCTCTCCCGTGGTCGCAGATAGGCTTCCCTTCCCTTTTGATCCTTGTCAAGCAGAGCGAGGTTGGAGCTTTGTTCGTGGCAGACGGTCTGGCAAAGAGCAGAATGAGTTCACGAGTACGTCGTGCTCCGATTCACGGCCATGCCATCGGGACGGGCGGTCGATACGGCCGAAGATGCGCTGAGTGCTGGGCGGTCCCACAACGTGCGGCGAGTCAAGGTGGGGGGGGGGGGGGGGGGGGGGGGGGGGGGGGGGGGGGGGGGGGGGGGGGGGGGGGGGGGGGACAGGAGAGAAGGACGAACGTGGGCGAGCACACGCTAATTGTAAGAAAGGTATTGCTGATTCAGCATGCCACAAAAATGTTTGAGTGAGCTTCTGAACGTCGCGTCTACAATGCTACGGCGAGGCCGAGGAAGCCGGCAACCATCAGCCCAACGCTTGCCTCGAGAGTATTAGCGCCGTTGGAGCCACCGTTCTGCGACGAAGCGGTAGGCGCAGCTGCGGCCGATGACGATGAGTTGTCGTTGTCATTGTCATCGTCATCGTCGTTGTCATCGTTGTCAGCAGCCGTGCTCGAAGGTGCTGCGGCCGACGACGAGCTGCTGCTGTTGTTGTTGTTGTTGTCATTGTCGTCGTCATCATCGTCATCATCGTCGCCGTCGATCTCGCCACGGAAAGTGACACCCTCTGCGCCTGGAACGACAAAGCACTGCTCGTTAATGACTATACCGGTATTGCAGCATGCGGACGCGTCATTTTCGGTGTCGTCATCATTGTCATCGTTGTCATTGTCGTTCTCCTGCTCCTCACGCGGGATTCCTCGGCAGGCAGTTCCTGTAGCAGTGGAAAAGGCCGTTGTGCTGCGGGAGGCCGTGACAGAGGACATGAAGGCATCAGACGAAGCGCTGATGAAGGATTGGAGGGCAGAGTTACCACCCTGACGAGGGGACAGAATGTTGTCGCGGCGGGCGACCGGGACAGCGGTAGGCTGGGGAGCAGCCTGCGCAGTGAGGGCAGCTGCGACCAGAGTAGCGAGGAGAGTAAAGGTCTTCATGTTGGCGAGGATGTGAGTGTGGTATGTGTGTTGGTAAAAAGGGAATGGGCACGAGTAATGACAGCCTTCTTATACCTGTCTGTTCGTTCTTGGCAGCCAGCAACGACCTTCTTCGAAGCCTTGATCATGACCCCATTCTGCTAGCGTCCTGCTATAGTGGCCGAAAGGCGTTGCCCAATGCTCCGACCTCAGTTTCCCCGCTCGATCTGAAGTCACCGTTCTCTCGCGCTGCCTTGAAGCATCATCGTTCTGCGTGTCATACGTCAGGCCGGCGTCTTGCGGAGAAGAATGCTGGTCCAAACACCGGATCTCACAGCGAAGAGATTCGAGGTTGCGTGGACCCATGGGCCAGAAGACTGTAAGATGGCCCTGATTTTAGCTCCGCAGCATAGTCTAGTGTAGACGCTAGCGTGCCGAGAGCGGGGACGGAGAGTAGGTCTTGGCACCTGCCGCGATTCATTGCTGTGCAGTAGTGCAGCGATTTGATTGTTGGACGTGCAGTCTCAGGACAAGCCGTCGGTTCCTTCTTCCCTGCACCCCGGACGTTGCGGCAAAAGATCCCCTCGCACTGGTCCCCGTGGATCCAGGCAGGCTCAGCTCTACACGGTCGAGCATGTGAGGTCATGCGAGCGTATGATGTCAAGGGGCTTGAGGATGCCGTGAGACGCTGGGAAATGCAACCAATCGCGAAATGTTGCTTCGCACTGATTGCCCGCCGGCCCGGCGGCCATCATGAGATCATTGCTCTGCCTTGAGGACCACCTCTGGATAGATGCGGCGGAGTGAGAGCGAGAGCCTGGGCGAGGTCTGAGCGTGCAGCGATGGCTGTGACAGCAACGCTGCTGAACCATCCGGTATCAGCGTAGTGAAGGCACGAAAGACTTTATTCGAAATTGAAGTGATTGAAACCTAGACTAGATGGACACCGGCGGCCTTGGCAATCATCGGCAGGCAGCTACCTTAGGAGTCGAGAGCCATCTTCGGACCACGTGGAGATGCTCCACCTCGCTCGTTCGCCCGATGGCTCCCACACTCGGCGTTCTGGGCACCGACGCATGGGCAAGCAACGAGCAACGTCTCCCACGCGCAGCGCCACGCGGGGTCCCCACGACCCCCACCTCCCACCTCCTTGTGAGGTCGGGCGACAGCTGCCTGCAGCCCACTGACGCAAGCCCTGGTCGGGTCATTCTCATTTCTCACATCTTTTTGATTTCGTCGCGAGATCAAGGACCGCCCATCATCTCTTCGTCAACCACATCTACTCCTCTTCGCACTCATCCACACCACGATGCCCGCCGAGAACCTCACCCTCCAGATCCTGCGCAAGGCCTCGCAAGGCAAGTACGGCATCATCGCCCAATCCTGCTACGATGCCCAGAGTGTACTCGCTCTGATCAAGGCCGCAGAAGAGGCAAAATCGCCTGCCATTGCGCAGTTGTTTCCCGTCACGATGAAGCAAGTGAGTCAAGCGAGCCTCTGATTCGCTGAGCGGCCACCTTCGTGCTGACCACTTGACCTCGCGCTCGCAGTTCGGTATCCACTTCGTCCGCTTCACAATCGAAGCCTGCCATGCTGCCCGCGTGCCCATCTCAGTTCACGTCGACCACGCTGCAACAGACGAGGACATCAGTCGCGTACTCGACTTTGCCGACGCAGGTGCGGCAGTAGACTCCATCATGGTTGACTGCTCCCATCACGATACGGATGAGGATAACATCCGCGCGGCGAAGCCGCATTGCCAGCGAGCCAAGAAGCTTGGAATGGCCGTCGAAGTTGAGCTCGGCCGCTTGTCTGGTGGAGAGGACGGCGTGGCCACCATTGAGGAGGGTGCTCTGACCGACCCGAAGAAGGCGGAACGCTTCCTCACCGAGTTGGACGTCGAGCTCCTCGCGCCCAGCATCGGCAACATTCACGGGCGCTATGTCAACCCTCCTGACTTCCGTCTCGAGTTGCTCGATGAGCTCCAGTCAAAGGTCGGACGAGGCACAAAGAGCGACTCGATGATCGTGCTTCACGGCACGGATGACCTCAGCGACGAGCTCTTCCGGGACTGCATCAAGCGAGGTGTAGTCAAGGTGAATGTCAACAGCTGGTGTCGTGACCCGCAGGTTGAGTCGTGGGCTAAGACGATGGGCAAGAAGGGTCTGCCGGATGTGTACGATGAGGGGATGGAGGCTTTTGGCAAGGCGTGCACGCGATTCTTCCATTTGCTTGGAAGCGCCGGCAAGGCCTGAGGCGGAGGGCGAGGAGCGTCGCTCAGCGGCGGTGAGGTCGTCTGTCATCAATCTCATTCCGAACGTACACATCACTCCGGTGCTTCGTGATGTCCACAGAGCCGACGCATTGTCTCACGCCGATCGATCAGTCCCTAGGCTGAGAGTGCCGTGAGGACGCGCTCAGTCTGAGTCGGTCCATTGATTCGAGCATCGCGCGTATCTACGGGCCCGTCTCAATTCGAGTATCGTCGTGGACGCGAGACACATCTCATTCAAAGCGCTAGAGCACACGGGTCATCAATTGCAATCGAGTCAAAGAGGCGCAGATGCAATACTACAATAATACACGACTTGGTGAGATGGGAGCTGGGTCGCCAAAGAAGACCACGAGTAAGCACACCTTAGGCGTCCACCTTGGTAGCGGCGGCAGCCTGACGAGCTGCAGGCGTCTGCATCTCAGGATAGGGGTTACGCTTCAGGAAGATTTGAACGACAATGGCACCCACTACCACGAGGACCATGAGGGCGAGGTTAACCGAGAAGCCCGTACGGTTGTAGTCCTTTGCGCCGGCATGGAAAAGGAAAGAACCCCACAGCGAGGCGCTGTTGCCCAAAGCATTGACGAATGCTTGTGCGATGGCTCGCTTCTCCGATGGATGCGGGATGGCGTTGCTGACCCAGATGCTGATCAGAGGGCACGCCGCGTACACGCCTGCCACAGCGAAGCAAAGGAAGACGTAGCGCGCCGTGTTGTCCAGCACGCCGACGAGGAGAGCGAACATGACTGTTGCGAGTCCGGCGGCGGCTGCGAGGTGCTTGCTGCGCTCCTGGAAGTAGTCGGAGGACCAACAGAAGACCAGAATGGCGACCAAAGCGACCGCGTAGATGGGTGCAGTCATGTACTGGACGTGGAAGCCCGTGTAACCCATCCCCTTGACCAGGACGGGCAGGAAATATTGGATCGTCTGCGCTCCAGTACTTGCGCAGTAGAGGAGCGAGAAAGCCCACGTGCGCCAGTCCTTGAAGGCCATGGCGGCGGCTTGACCATGGGTGACGCCCTCACCCTCCTGCGACCCGCCGACCGAGTCGCGTGCCAGGCGCACGGACAGAATCTTGCGCTCCCGAGGAGTGAGCCATCGGGTCGTTGAGGGGAAGTCTGGAAGCATGAGGTAGGCAATGATGGAGACGCCGCAAGTTGCGGCGCCCTCTACGATGAAGAGCCAAGCCCAGCCGCTGGTAACGCGTCACGGTGCGGGAGGAGATGGTCAGCGCGAAGGCTCGCTGTGAGAAGCCCGTCACCGCCTCATCAGGCCGAACTCACGGAATGCCATGGGTGCCATCGAGCGTCTGGAGGAGGCCACCAGCGATCAGACCGCCAAACATGCCGGAGAGTGCGACTGCCGTGTAGTAAAGGGAGTAGCGTCGGGCCAGCTCATGTTTCTTGTACCAGGACGAGAGCAGGAAGAGGACTCCAGGCGCAAAGGTGGCTTCCAGCATTCCAAGAAGGAAGCGCAAGCCGGCGGCTGCCTGCCACGTCTTGACAGCAGCGAAGCACATGGAGAGGCCTCCCCAGGCGAACATGAGGCTCGGCAGGTAGATGCTTGGCCTTGTCCTAGTGAGAATGATGTTGGAGGGCACCTCGAATATAATGTAAGATACGAAGAACACGAGGAGCACAACAGAGTAATTTTGCGACGTCATATTGAGGTCGCGACCCATTCCTGCGGTGTAGGCGTTTCCGATGTTACTTCTGTCGAGATAGGACAAAAGGTACATGAGCCAGACGGCCGGGATGAGCCTCATGTCTACCTTGCGCAAGACCTTCTTCTCCTCTTCGGCGTCGTATTCGAAGTCGTCGTCGTCGATTGGCAAGGAAGGGGGGCTGTCGGCGGCATCGCCGCTGTGGTATCGGGTGGCCATGCCTTCGTCCTTCTTAGTGTAGTCGCCGTCTTTTTGGATGTAATCGACCATTGCTTGCGCGTAGTTGAAAGTCTTGCGATGTGAATTAGTGGTGTGGCAAGATACCTTTCAGGGATAAAGGGATGGCGTGGCTAGCCTACCAGTAGACGACTGAGAAGCCGACGCGTCGCAGGCCGAGTGAGGTGGGGCCAAGGAAAAAGAGTAGGGTGCGCTAGCGAGTTGAATGGATGCTCGAGTTGGTGTCGATCTTCTCTTATCTTGAGGGGGTCCTGAATCACATCTTATACGTGAGGAGTCAAGCAAAAAGCAATGAAGCGCTCCCACTTCATTTGCGCCTCCCCCTCTTCAGATGACCACGTCTTCGGTCAGGCACCGATGGGCAGCGCAGACGGCGATGCCGACGATGTGAGGAAGAGCCGGGGGCTGGCAGCGGGCCGCCACTCACCCACCATACGCGCTGCAGTCTGCAAGTCGGGCCAGCCCAAGAAATCAACGGGGCCCCTCGGAGAGCCGCCGCGCTCTGCGATCTTGCCATGCTGCGAGTGTCGTGTGGCGCGCGGGGAGGAGGTGGGGCTCCCTGCTGCTCCAGCCCAGTGCGACTCCCACCACCACCTCCTCCCTCCCCCTTTGGCACGCACCCACCCTCGGAGCTCGACGACGTGGTGGGGGTGGGAGGCGACCGGTTGAGGCAGGCAACAGCAAAGGCTGACGCACCGTGGGGTCGACGAACCCACCGGCTCTTTGATTTTGCTACGACCGACTGACCGAGACCGAGCAACACAGGCGCAAGAAATAAAGCCTGGACTTCACAGTCACGCTTACTTTGCCTCTTTTCCACAACCTCGTAACCTACAAGCTACCATCTAGCACACTCAAAATGGCCATCACGAAGCAGACGATCCTCATCACCGGCGCTGGTGGCTGGCTGGGCTCAATGCTCGCTGGAACAATTGCCGCCCGTGAGCCCAATGTCCAATTCAGCTTGTGAGTGCGCTCAGACCGCGAGAGAGTTGCCCGTAGCTGGAGCTGACCCACCTCTTACCACCTCTCGTGCTCAGCATTCTGTGCGATATCGTCGAGCCCAAGGCGCCAAAAGGGGTCAACAACGCGCAATTCGTCTGCCTGAAAGCAGACCTCTCCGAGCCCTCCAGCCTCGACGCCATCTTCTCGACTCCCTTGGGCAAGCCGGACGTGGCCTACCTTATGCATGGCATCATGTCGCTGGGCAGCGAGGAGAACTGGGATCTGGGCATGAAGATTAACATGGACTCTGTACGCAGCGTGCTGGAGAAGGCACGTCACTCGCGCAACGAGGCCGGGGAGGCTATTCGCGTAGTCTTCACGTCGAGTGTGGCCAGCTACGGTGGAGACCTCCCGGATGTGGTGACAACGGAAACTGCCTGCTTCCCTGAGGGGGCTTATGGCTGTGGCAAGCTCATTGGCGAGTACCTGGTCACCGAATACACGCGCCGCGGTTTCGTCAACGGAATCTCTGTCAAGCTCCCCACGATCGTTCCTCGCCCTGGCGCTCCCTCGCGTGCCACCTCAGCCTTTGTATCAGGCATCGTTCGCGAGCCCTTGAACGGGCAGGAAGCCATCTGCCCCGTCGGTTCCTCAGCCTCTGACCCCGTCCTCAACGATGTCGGCGTGTGGGTAGCCAAGCCCTCGACCACTCTGACCAACCTCGCCATGGCCAAGGACATCGTGGCTGACCCGCTGCTGAGCAAGAAGATGCTCCGCTGGACTCGAAGCGTCATGCTGCCCGGCTTTACTGTGAACATCAGCCAGATTATCGAGGCGCTGCGTAACGTCCGAGGGGACCAGGCGGTGGACTTGATCAAGTTCGAGCACGATGAGACTTGCGCCAGGATTGTCAAGTCATGGCCTCGGGCTTTTGAGACGAAGTATCCCTTGTCGTTGGGCTTCAAGATCGATGAGGACGGATTCGAGGGGGCGATCAAGGAGTACATGGCTTCGTATGCGTAGTGTATAGGCGTGAGGAGTAACAGCATCTTTCCCGACCAATTGCATTTGTTCTTGTCACGAAGTCAAGCTCAGAAGCTAGAAACAGCGTGAAGTGACATTGTGAGCGGCAGGTGAAGCCTAGATGATACAACAGAATGATACAATGCGATGTGGGGGTGGGCCGCTCGCCCTATGCCCCGACCCCCTTACCAGGCATCTCCGCCTTGGCCTCCCTCCTAGCCATAAGCAACAAGATGGCGCTCAACGTGTTCGCGAGTCCCCAATCGAGCCGGCGAATGAGGGAGGCAAATCGCTGCAGGACGTGCGAGGCTTTGACCGATCGCCCGGCCGCTGCGAGGAGCGCTGCCGGCGAGGGCGAAATCGAGGTTGCCGACCCCGCCACCCCGCCGACATTCCCACTCCCACTCCCACTACTCTCCCCTCCTGCACCCCGTAGTGAAGACGGGAGCAACTCTCCGATCCCGACAATGCGTGGCGTCAAGCCATGTGCCCCCGCCCACTCCTTGACCTGCCCATCCCGCTCGCAGACATAGGCGCCGTGCAGCCAGGCCTGGACCAGCTTTTCGTGGTCCCCCTCCCACGTCATGTGATGCTCCCACGGCTCCGAGAAGTCCAAGCCCTCGGCAGAGTTGAGGGCCTCGTAAGGGTTGAGGACCAAGTCGATGTAGCCGGTGGATTCCACGTGCGCGATCTTGGTGGGGGACAGATGTGGCAGCTCCGCCACGGGTGGGAGGCGCGAAGCAAGGGGAGGGTCGACACCATTGCCCGCTGAGCGCTTGGAGTGGCTGAGCTTCACGTATGCCCAGACGTACAAGGAAGCGTGGAAGAGGCTGATGACGCAGATGTTGCTCTGCACGACCAAGACATCCGGCTTGGCCACGGTGGAGTTGAGTGAAGAGCGGATGAGATCGAATACTTGTGCCGAAGCGACCAGCATGCTCTTCATCGCCGCCCGATTGGACAGACGAGCCATCCACGTTTCTAGCCATGCTAGAGCCTCCGTGCGCCTCGGCGTGTGCCAGCCAGAGCGACCGGCTGCGTCTCGTAGCTTTTGAAAGAAGGCTGGCGGGCCGAGGAAGTGGATCTTCTGTAGAAGGGACAACAGCTGGACGTCGATGCTCAGTGCGAGGCTAAGCTGCGAGTCCGATGATGAGGGCGGGGGAGCTCGAGACTTGACGACGGACGTAGCCCTGGAGGCGCTGTCCGCCAGATATTTCAAGGCTCGAGAAGCAGCGGTATCGAGACGTTTGTCAACGCACGCAGTATCCACTTCAAGCCCGTTGTCCGTTTCAAAGAGGATCGACTGCCGTTGTGCATCCCAGCAGATGCGGTACAGGGTGACGGAGAGGATGTACGCCTCGAGGCGGTTGACGCGCAATTGTGGGGCGGCCTGCGGTCGTTGATTAGGAAAGAGGAGCTGTCGCAGAGTGAGGAGGAAGGGCATCTGTCCGCCCACCTCCGGCGGTGTCGAGCTCGAACCGCTTGTGCTGTTAGCCCTCGCAGAGCGATAGCGTCGCGCCCACTCTGCAGCGTCGCCTGCGTTCCAGAGTCGCTCCTCGCAGGGAAATGGCGAGGAGATCTCCGTATACAGAAGCATCGGAGAGATGTCGTTGAAGCAAGCGAAGAGCTGGTCGTACAGGAAGACGAACCAGCCTAGCCGGACTCGCTTCTCGGCATCGATCCACGACTTCCAGGTGCGGTCCAGCTGGGCTGGTGTCATTTCCACGAGGGCGTTGCCGTCGATGCGCAAGTCGGTCGTGTGGAAAAAGCCCGAGCGCCTGATTGCGGTTATCAAGCCGCCGCGATTACGCTCTGCGAGTTTCAAGAGACGATTGTCCCCCGAGCCGATTCCAAACATCTGCTGCACCGTCCACGTCTGGTTGAGCTCGACGTTCTGCCACGCCGTCTGGTCTGCTTCGTAGCCGCTCATGACGCCGATGCGTGCCAGCTCGGAGAAGGCGAGCGCGAGGACACTGGCGCTCTTGCGCAACTGAGCCAAGGCGTCTTTGCGGTCTTGCCGGACGCCGACGTGGGCCTGCACCTCAGAAGCGTAGAAGACGAGGCCGACGGTGAGAGTGATGAGCAATTGGACCGGCGGAGCGGTTGCCGGGTCAAAAGTGGGTGGATGAAGTACTGGGCAGTACGGGTTGAACTTGCGGAAGAAGAGAGAGACGAGCAGCTCGAGCTGGCCGCAGGTGAGGAAGGTCGGCGGTGGGGTCTTGGAGAAGGAATAGATGCTCCAAGGATGGCGGCATGACTGCTGAAGGTATTGCAGAAGCTGGAGGCGTGTCTCCTCGCTCACTCGCCATTTCGGCGGCGTGCATCCAAAAAGTCCCGATCCGTTGGGCGATTCGGAGGCTCGGCGTGAGTTGGCTCGTGTAGCATCGCCTGCTTCGTCGATGACGACGATGGGACGATCGCCGCCCCCGCTAGCGCCGTTGGGCGTGCCACGCTGAGGAGTTGCCGTGGCGGCAGCCAGCCAAGCCTCGAGGTCATTGGCCTGGTGCTGCTCCTCAATATCCAAAGAGTAGTCTGAGATCTCGATAATCGAGGGCTTGCTGCGTTGCGGTCGGAACTCCTGGGGCCAGGCATCGGCCGTATCTTCCTCGGAGCGCGGCTTGTGGGGCTGTGCTGCGGTCTCGCCTGTGCGAGCAGAGACTGCCGCTGCATTTGCCAGGTTCAGGAGATTGAGGGACTCAGTCGTTGTCCCATGACCTCGCCCAGATGTGCCGAGCATCTCGCCGATGCGATCGACTGGGGGAGAAGGGCCAAAGACCTGCCAGTCTCCCATGCGATTGTCTTCAAGGCCGTATGCGCCATTCATCAGGCGGGACATAACCGAAGCGTCCGTGCTACTGGCGCTGTCACATTGATCATCAAAAATCCAGTCGAGGCCCGTTAGGGTATTGCTCGACCAGCCACCGGCGAAGAGGTCGAAGGTTGAAGCTTGCTGCGTATTTGCTGATGGGTCATTTGTTCCGCTCATTTGAGCAAAGAGGTCTGGCGAGGGAAAGTGCGGAGGGGCGGGCTCTGAATAGTGCGGCGACTCCATGGGCTGCTGCTGCTGCTGCTGAGGTTGCCAAGGCCCTCCGCCATCGAAGGACATTGGGCGATGCATCGGAGGCGGTGGTGCCATGTTGGGTGGCGGTGGCGGCACTACGGGGCGTGGTGTGTAGGAAGATGGCGAAAGCAGCTCGTGAATTGAAGATACGTGGCGATGGCTGGGCGCGGGGCGGTGGTCCACGTTGTGTTCGCGCCGGTGGTCCTGAGTCGGAGGAACATTCATCTGCCCATGACCAGATCGATTGCCGTATTCCGGAATAACATCGTACCGATGATGAGTGTGACCTTGACCGTGACCACGCAATGCTGTCTCGATGCCTGATCTCCCCACACCTCTTCCTTGCTCGTCGGGGTCCACGGCGGCAATGGAAGGATCGGCAAGTGATGTCGTGCCACTTGCCGTCTCGACTACAGTCGCGCTCGGACTGATGTCACTTGTGGTTGATGAGCGATGCCTCTTGCTCGACGACAGACCGGCGGAGTCATCGGACTCCTCTTTGATGTGACTGCGACGATGCCGGACGAGGACGTCGGAGCGAGAGAAGACCCGGTCGCTGCGTAGGAGTGGGAGTCGCATACAGTCAGCATGGCAGTAATGTCTTGGTGGAATGGTCGCTCCTTCTGCTCACCAGCCAGGCTCGTCACAAGGAAAACGTCGAGGCGTGATGGTTCCACCATGCCTGCGTAGCGAGAGGTGTGGTCAGAGAGGGGGGCTCGATGACGTGCGGGCTTTCTAGCCCAATCCAACACACTCACTCCATCCGAAACTCGTAAGGATGCGCAGCCTCCCTGTGACGCTTCAAGTGCTCAGCCCTCACATAAGACTTGTTGCATGTCGAACAGACGGGCATGCGTGCCCTTTGGCTGAGAGTTCCGTAGCTGTACTAGCAGCGGTCCTCTTTCGACTCTGGTAAATGGCTGCGCTACCGCGATCGCAAAGCGTCGTGAAGTTGTGGGTCGTTGGGTGTCGTATGTGGGAGAGGGGGGAAGGAGAGAAAGTTGCATCGGGCAGTGGGGCACCGCACCGCGCCGCGAGCTAGCCAAAAGCCAATCTGCAAGGCAAGGGCGGCCGGCCCGCGGAGCTGCAATCGACTCTCCCGCCTGGCCGCCGAGATCAGGCCACGCGAGCGGGCGGGAGGCGGGGGCCGTTCCTTGGCTCAGTCCGAGGGCAGCGAGGAGGTGATGATGATGAGAGCGGCCATTTGGGACGAGCACAACTTCCTGACTTTCCCACTCAGCTGAAGTCCTCGTCGTCATCGCATCTCCTTTCCCATCGACGACTTCACCGTATTCTTCTTCGCCTCCCGTCACGCAGCCCCAGCCCATTCCACCCTTAGTCCCAAATGAACGACGTAATCTCCACCTGCATCGCTCTCGCGATCCTCTTCTTTGTCCTCAAGTTCGCCTTCGGGGGCCCTCCTGCAACCTCCTCAGCATCTCAGCAACATCAGCCTCCGAATCCTCAGCAGCTTCACGCTCGCACGCCTTCAAATCCAGCAGCCGCAGCTTCCTCCTCGTCGTCAGCATCAAAGCAGACGCTTATCTCGCGATTCGCCCTCGAGTCCAGGATAGCGGCCGCGCAGCAGGAGGACGAGCAAGCAGCGGCGGCAGCATTAGTAGACGGATCAGCACCTCCGGTCTCGAGCTTGCCGCAGGTGGGGCAGAAGGGCAAGGGGAAGATGAGCGATGAGGAGTGGAAACGGGGAGCCGATCAGCGCGGCGTGGATCTGAGAAGGAGGAAGGAGGAGATGATCTTGGAGGCTAGGAGGTAAGTGCGAACGATGGCCGGCAAGTGCTTGTGCGTCAGTAGCTGATTCCTATCTTTTCGCCTGTAGAAAGCTGATGGCAAAGCAGTCGAGGATGAGCGCGACATCCACCGAGTGAGGCAGGAACGGGCAATGGAGAGGATAGACGACCGCATTCGCCAACGGGCTGCCGTAACTCCAGCGATCACTCAACTCATCTCATCATCCGTTTCGCTGGGCTTGCAATGGAGAAGAGAAGTCGCTTGCGTTGCTTGCTCGCCGATCGTGCGGTCACTGCCGCCTCAACCGTTCGCTACTTTTCTTGCCCACCCTTCTTGCCTCTCTTCCTGCCTGGCGTCGCTGGCCCACCATTCTCCGTGCCGCCCCTCTTCACTACCGTCGTCGCCCTACCACCCAAGTGATGGATCTTCACAGCCCTCATCGCAAAGCAGACTCCCACCACAAGGGTCGTAGCAGCTTGGGCCTCATCCGCTGTCCATGGCTTACCGCCCCTCACACCAGTCACGTCCAGTTTGACCCCTCCCAACACCATTCCTTCCTGCCACGCCGTGTGACTCCCACTGAGCAGCGAGTACGTCACTGCGCCGGCCAGAGCGGCCAGCACGTCGGTTGCCTCTACGAGTGATTTAGCCGTCAGGATAGGCGGGGTAGTCAATCTCCATCCCCCTGCTGGGCCGGAGCTGATGGGATTGAACACCCCCAGAGTGCCGGCGAGCTGTCCGCCCCCACATGCTCCTAGAGTACCTGCGAGTACATGGCAAAGGAGCGAGCCCGACGTCTTTGACTGCGAAGTGGCAGCAAAGGTGATCCCGCCGCGAATGGCGGCCGAGCGAGTGGCTCCATCGATGAGCGGAAGGGCCGTATCTAGCCATGCGGGGCTGGGGTTGGGGCCGTACCGTAGGAACAGAGTGACGTAGAGGTGGACGAGGGTGTATGTCAAGAAGGGCCAGATAGTGAGCAGAGGGATGGGCGTTGTTTGGCTCAGCCAAGACACGAGGAAGGAACCTCCCCAGCACTGCGGGCGAAGGAGAGAGGGTCAGCAAACAGTCCAGTCCAGGTGCTCAGCTCGTGCTCACCATCACCAGATAGCCCACCAAATCTGCCAACCATCCCCCTTCATCCTTGAGCGGAGACGCAGCTGCGGCTCTCTTCCTCAGCCCACGATAAGCCAGCGAGACGCGCAAAGCATGAAGGGTGGGCGTGAGTGGGAGGAACAGGGTAGGGAGGAAGGTCGTCGCTAGGAATGTGTTGAGGGAGACGATCGAGGGGAGGAGTGACATGCTGGCCAAGGATCTACTGTGAGCAGTGCCTTGATGGTCAATAGGAGGCCAACAATTGAGCGAAGTGACAACAGAAGAGAGAAAGACAGAAAGCTAATTGCTGTCTTCGTCGTGTGGGGTTGGGCGGAGGACCCTTCCTTCCTCCGCATGAAGCTTTGCCGTGAGATCCGATCCTCGCCTCTCCACGTGTCTCTCCCCGCCCACGACTTCTTCTTGCCCTTCGATTGCGTTGTAGCGTCGAGAGCGTCGGTCAGAGAAGGTCAACATCACGCGGAGACGAGAATGGGGAAGAGGTATTTGACTTCAATTGATTGAGATGAGCAGGGGACTGAGAGCCGAAATCTGGTTGGGTCAGGTCATCATATCGCAACAACTCTAAGCCTCTCCGGGGTAAGGTGCGAAGCCTGATTGCGAGGGGCGGAGCAGATGATCAGGTCAGCTACTGTGACATGAGCGCATCATGGCGGGGGAAACGTGCACTCACGGAGGTAAGGCTTGACGACCTCGTGCTCAGGGAAGAGCTTGGCGACCTCCTCACCCTGGACAGAGGGGTGAATGATGACCTTCTCCCCCTTCTGCCAGTTGACGGGCGTGGTAACACGGTACTTGTCGCCTGCACACGAGCCCAGAGAACAGTCATCGGGTTGATCAGCGACAGTTCTTCGTCCCCTGGCGCCGCTGAATACGTACCGATTTGAAGCGAGTCAATCACACGGAGGATCTCGGTGAAGTGACGGCCCGTAGAGGCAGGGTACTCAATCTTGAGGCGAATGACGCGCTTGGGATCGATGACAAAAACGGTGCGAACGGTGAAAGGAATGCCCTTTGCATCGACGTTGGTGGGGTCAAGGGCGTCGAGCATGTCGTACTCGGTGGCGACCTGCAGGAGCAAAAGGCAAGTGTGTGAGTTCGGGGTGAGCGGGGACGCGAGTGGGGGAAGGCGCAACTTACCTTGCGGTCCTTGTCACCGATGATGGGGAACTTGAGCGTCGTCTTACTCAGCTCGTTGATGTCCTTGATCCACTTGTCGTGCGAGTTGATGTCGTTGGCGGAGAGACCTGCGAGCGCGCCGACGCGGAAGGGTGAGCGACCGAACTGCCGTACGTCGACGATGTCATCATCGGCTGCAGGCCAAGATACACACCAATGACCTTGACATTGCGCTTCTGGAACTCAGGAGCGAGCTTGGAGACCTCGCCCAGCTCCGTGGTGCACACCTGAGATTAGGGAGGCAGGGAGAGGGCGGAGGGTCAGTAATCGCGTCCTACCTCGCCGCAGACTCCCAGATGGTTCAGACTGATTCTGTGACTTATCAGATGGCGATACATACGGGAGTGAAGTCGTCGGGATGGCTGAAGAGAATTCTGTTTCCGAGGATCGTAGAGGGCAAGGGAGAATGTTTGGGACGAGGCGCGCGTCAGTCTAAAGTCTCCTCAGCTCGATGCGCTGTCCTCCGTGCTCTGCCTCTCAGGTGGCACTTTAGCAAGGCTACTCACGCCCAGCTGTTGTCCAGCCACTGGTGGAAGTCAATGCTGCCGAGCGTCGTCTCGGCCTGGAAGTTGGGGGCGATGCTGCCAAGGCGAAGGGAAGGCATGATGGGCGCTGCGTATGTTTGGCGGGCTATTGTTCGAGGTTGATTTTCAATGGGGCAGATAGAATGCGGCTGCGATAAGCTCTATCGTCTCAGCGAAAGAGTAGCGAGTGATCCTTGATTGTAGTGGTGGTGGCGACAAGAAGAAGAAACACACCGATTCGAGCGAGGCCGTATCGGTTGCGCCTTCTTGGCTTTCGCCCGCAAGAGTCCGTGCGCCGCCGGGAATCGACGACGGGCTGACCTTTCTTCCGCGTGGAGGAGTCTGGTCAGCCCGATTGGCTGACTGGTCTGCTGCTGAAGCAGGGCATCTCAACTGGGCTGAGGCTGAGGCAACGGCGAGATGCACGCCATCGCCGCCATGGATGACGATCCAAAGGAGACGAAGCAAAGCCAGCAGCCACCGCTCGTAAGGATCCAAATGCTTTCACTCTTCCGAGCAGGGTCGGGACCATGGTCTTGCCACGCGAGTGAGACTGTTGTTGTCAACAACGTGGTTCCAGCCTAGCTTGAGTGGGCCTGCCTGTCCGCGCTTCAGATCGAACGTCGCCCCGACAGACGGACGCCGCCCTGCCTGCAACCAGGCATCCGAGGCATGGACGTTGAGCGCGAAAGAGGCCCTCTGCACCGTTGCACACGCTAGGCGAAGTCATCAAGGTCGCGGCGAGCCTTGGCCAATGGGTTCGTGTCAACTTCATTCAAGGCTCAACGATGATCCAAGAGGAAAGGCACTCAACGCGATGCGAGCTCGCGAGTAGAGGGAAGCAACAACAAGCGGCAGAAGAGGCAGACAGCAGCAGACGGCAATGAGAGAAGTCGAGAGTCGTGGCTGAGAGTCCCAGCATGACGGGATGATTGGCGGGCGGCGAGGATCGATAGACCAAATCGACGTCGCCAACTCAACGTCGCCTCACTCACCCACCCTCTCGCCTGAATCTCTCCTTCCTGGCGATTTCTCTTTCGCATCCACATCGCTTCCTGTCCTCTCATCACATCTACCATTACCACCCTTCGTCTACCACCATCACCTCCTTGATCCCTAGGCTTCGGCCAGTCGCTGGTGCCATGGACCCCTTCGCTTTCGCTGACATAGCTGGAGAAGCTGGCGAGGGCGCCGATGATAGCGGAGGCGTTGCTCAGCCGGCAGTAGCCGCGGCGCCAGCAGCAGCTCAAGCACCAGCAGCTGAAGCGCCGGCTGCTGCCGCCGGGGCTGGTCCTCTTGCTGCTGCTGAGCCAGCTGCTGCCCCAGCTGCCGCTGCTACTAATCCAGTCGAGACGGTCGCCCCTGCTGCCGTAAGCCCTCCCGTGGCCGGCGCGGCTACGACTCCCAATGCAGGCATGTGGACGCCAGCATCCATTGCTACACTCCAGAGCACAGCGGCACCCTCATCTGCGGTCCTGCCAACCTCTTCACTCGCATCCCTAGCTGCCATCTCCTCATCAGGCACGCCTGCACCATCCTCTTCTTCACTGTCCGCCACCTCTTCCATGTCGTCCTCGTCTCCCTCTCCTACACCCACCGTCACAGAGAAGGACGTGGGCAAGAGTGGCTGGGCCCTTCCTGTCGTCATACCCATCGCCTGTGCTGCCGGCTTTCTCCTCGCTCTTAGCATCGCCGCTCGCATGTACAGCATCATGTGGCGCAAGCACAAGCGTCGCAAGGAAGCAGCAGCAGCTCTGGCCCGCAAGCTCGACCATGAGGGGGGAGATCCAGACGACTCGACTGCAGAGCTCGCACCCAACATGGACATCAGTGGGGCTCGCTTCCACAATGGAGCAACAGGCAGTCCGGCTCGAGGCGGCGTGGGTGGTCAAGGGGGTGGCACACCGTCACGCTTCGGCTTTGGGTCTGGACGAGACAATCGCCGTGGTGATAGCGGGCAGCAAGAAGCAGAGACTGGCTACAATGACGCGGAGCTACTGGGTGTGCCCTCTACCCAGCCACAAGGAGCAGCCAAAGCATGGTCATGGATGAAAAACACCTTCACTAACCAGGAAGCTTTGGGCGAGCAGAACACCCGCGGCCCCCCAGCAAAGAAGAGCATTCTCTCCTTCGTCAACCTAGCGGGCACGCCAGCCTCGCCACCTGGCTTCTCCCTCTCAGACGACCCATGGCGACGATCGACGCAAAGCTCTGTTTCTCACGATGGACCGCCGCGGTCAGCTGCAACCCATTTCGGTTGGTGCGACGTCTCGCTCAGCCCTCCGCCGCCTACTCCTCCGCCGAAATTTAACGCCGCTGGACGCAAAGCCCCACCACCCCGTAGCCCACTCTCTACCGTGACCGAGGAACGATCGCTTGGTGCTGCCGGTGCCGCCTCGATGGCCTCCTCGCCGAGCAGGATGCTCATGAGCACAGTAGGTAAAGGCGTGGTCCGTAGCCCAGCCGCATCCTCCCCGCTCTCCTACACCATGAACAGAGACGGCGAGACCAATGCCAATACCTCCTCTATGCTACCTCGTCCATCTTCGAATACCTACCGCCGTGTGTCAAAAGAGAACGACGGCGACGACGGCGCGGACGCTGGACGTTTGGGCAACATGGTACTTCGAGAAGAGGACCACGGCTTCGTAGAGCGGGGACAGGACTTGGCTCGAGCTGTCACCACCAGTCAGGCTCCTTCTCGCAAGCAAAGTACCCGCAGCGCAGCACCACTCCGTCGAGCCACGACCCTCAAACGGCCTCGCTTCGACAGCGAGACGGTCCCTGCGGCCGAGCCGCCCACAGAAAGCCTCCGAGCCATCACTCCCGCACCACCCTACGAGTCCGAAGAGACGCCACATGCCCGCTCGGTCATCAACTTCAATTACGACGTCGGCACGCCTGGGCCCCTCTCCCCTCACATGCCTATTCACCCTGCAGCTTCGCAGCTACATCGCAACGCCACGTCAGAGTCGGAGCATAAGCGTCGTCGTCGGCTAGGCAGGGCCAAGACGATCGTCGACAACGCGGTTCAGGCGTCCAACGCTGAGCGCCTCAAGAGAGCAGCTAGCGCGGCACCTGGTGCGAGAGCGAGGGGTGCGCTGCCCGTCACGCCTGTGAGCGTGCCCGTCTCTCGCACTTCTACCACCACTACTACGACTCCAACAGCGATGCAATTGGACGATCCCTACTCCTACCACTCGACGCGGGGTGCCCTACAAGTCGAGTCGCCCATGATCCCCATACCGGGAAGTGCGGCGCTTACACGTCGTTCCTCGGGCAGCCAATACTCGTCCGAAGACGGGGTGCCTAGCTTGAGCGACGGTGAGTCTGACGACCCTGATCGGGCTGGAAGCGGTCTAGCCTGGAGAACGCCGGCCACCTCTGTCCGCCGAGGAGATACAAGGAAGACGATGAGGCGAACTGAGAGAGACGTTGAGGACCAAGAAATGATGGAGCGAGACTACGAGGACGACGGAGAGGGTGATCAGGTCGTCTTCGCTGCTGCGAGCAAGGCGCTACTCGCCACCCCGTTTGCGGAATCTGCTCGTTCGACACCCAAGTACCTTGACGCCATTGCGGCGTACTACTCGAGTCCAAATGTGGACCTGGAGGACGCTCCTTCGCCATACGGAGTCCAGCCCACTGAAGTCACGCAAACACGCTCCCCGCTCTCACAGCCGCCTCGCATTCAACTGCATGACGGGCCTGCGCCACTGCCTAGCCCGTACGAGAGCAGATCAGCCAGCCCTACGAGGGGGATGAGCGGCTCGCCAACGCGACAGTGGGCGCATGACAAGGGGAGGTGGACGCTACGAGACGCTGAGAATCGTGATGCTTCGACGCCGGCGGCTGCGGAGCCATCTCCTTTCGGCAGGCATGCGGGGCTGTTCTTCTCGCCGGCTGTGGGGCATAGAGGATGAGCGATGTTAATAAGGAGGGCTCGTGCACTTTTCCTCTTCAGACTTCATCTTTTTTCGTTCTGCTCTCCCGTTGCCTTGACGAATACACATCTACCTTTACGATATCCAATTCAATAAGGTTTCATGAAGGCTACAGTAATGCTCTTGCTCAATGTCTTTCGTGTGCTTAAGGTATAGCATCCGCAGAAAAGACAAATTGGCTCTTCGCTCGTCGGCTTGCCATCTTAAGGGCAACATGCTGTAGGACGTCGGGGCGAAGTACGACGTATGCCCGTTGGGGCCCGGTCCCATCGCCGTAGCACGCTTCCCTTGAAGCGCGATGTCAAGAAGCTCGCATCTTCTAGGGCCGAGGTTGAGGCTGGACCGGCGCTCAGTGGGTGATGGAGGTCAAGCGCGAAGGTACTGGCGCCCTTGTCCGCCTCCTGCTTCTTCCCAAGCGCTTGCGCTGCAGCTCTGTCAATGGCACCGCGAGGAAGTTTGGTGAGCCACTTTCAGGGCTTCACTGTGGACCAATTGTTGTTGGCAAAGTCGCTGTACGCCCTGGTTGCGCGAGCCCATGCAGACGTTGGGAGCCCGATGAAGGGTGGCGCTGGCTGACTCTGACCACAAGGGTGTAAGAGATCTTCGACGGTGCCATCTGCTCGCTTCCTGCGGTCGATGTGAAGAGCATTCCTGACATCGCCCTTCCTCTCCTCAAGTAAATTGGCGTCCTCAAGTAACTCGGCGACGTGCTCTTCAAGTGACTTGCTTGCTTGTGCATGCCACCGGGCGTACTGTGTCTGCCAGTCAATGCCGGCTTGCGCTTCTGCGACGGTGCACGTACTCTAGCATTGTCATGTTGTCGAGATTACTCATCGTTCCCGACGACGGCACGCTTGACGACTTTGAAACGCTGGGACTTGCATCGGAGGTGGAGGAGTCTTCTTCCTCGTCAGATACGACCGCACTTGATAGTCTTCCAGGATCTGGGCGACGCTTCAGAGGCGGACGACTCCTCTTGCTCCTCATCTTGCTCCTCTTGGCCGTCGTCGACACGCTGCCGCTTGTTGACGGGGGCGGCAGGACCGTCAGCTTGGCGGGCAGGCCTGAGCAAAGGGGGCGAGTAATCTCCACCCTTGCAGACTCGACCAAAGCATGAAGCGCCGGCTGCCGTCTCGCCGATCAGATTCGAGAGATTCGAACTCAGCAGAGCTCAGTTGTGCGAGAAAGCCCGTCATGCCGAAAGCCTGTGTGAACCTGGTCAAGAGACGAATTTCCTTTTTACCGGTGTTGCTGTGCTCTCTTGAGGTGGTCGACCTGCGAGGAGGTACAGGTCGAGCGAACGTTGATTGATGCATCCTTCGCTGAGATTGCGCGTCTCGCTTTCGGCATCCTCGGACTCCTCGTCGTCAACCAGAATGCGAGGATGCTGTCGCCTGGGACTGATTACTGCTGCGACCTGCTTAGCATTACGCTTGCGCTTATGGTCGTGGTGCTACTAATGGCACAGCAACGCTAGGGCATCGTAGCTCTGGAAGTAGGTGGTGTAAGGCGGGGTGGGTAGTGATGGCAGGCGGTGCAGAGCGAGGCATGTGCGATGGCCGTGTTGCTTTACGGTTGAAGGTGACGGGTTCCTGTGAGGAACCACCGCTGCCATCGCGGCCGCCTACGCCTAGGTGCGGAGGGATCACAAGCAGGCGAACGCGAAAGGCAAGCGCTCCTCATGCTCGCTGCACTCCGTTGCCGCTGCCTGCACGATCGCATCGCGCGCACAGTCACTTTGGTCGGTGATGAATTGGATGGCGTGCGGGCTGATGCAAGTAGCTCTCTTGGATAGCCATCATTGGTATGGTCTGGACGTTCCTTTCGAGCGCTTGGTCACGGCGCCAAAAAGTCGAGAATGAAGCGGGCCCGGACCGCGGCCACGCGCCAGGCCAACCTCCACGCACGGGCCCCATTCGAAGGACCCTTGAGCTTGAGTGGAGGATGACGTTGAATCTTCTCGCTCGGAATCGCCCGACCCCACATCGCCTTCGCCGCTAAGTCAGAAAGAGAGAGAGAGACTCAGCTCGGGTCATTCACCGCTGCATTAGCTTAGGATCTCTCGTACAAAGCCGATCAGCTCAGCACAAGCCTCCGCCGCCCCCCTTGGCTGGATTGGCCATATAAACCTCTCTTCCGCTCATCTTGCCACTCGCGATGATCACCTCCCGCCTCTCACAAATCGCACGCACAATGTCCACCCAAGCATCCAACGGCCGCGTAGCCATCATCTCTGGCGCCAACCAGGGCGTAGGCAATGGAGTCGCCAACCGCATGGCTCGCCTCTGGAACGAGCCGCAGCACCTCACCATCTACTTCACCTCGCGCAATGAGCAGCGTGGCCACGACTCGCTCGCCAAGCTCAAGGAGGACCTCAAGAGCGAGAAGGTCGGCGATGTCAGCTTCGAGTATCACCAGCTCGACATCACCGACGAAGCGAGCAGGACGAAGCTGCTCAAGGACATCAAGGAGAAGCATGGTGGGCTTGATATTCTTGTGAACAACGCCGGAATTGCAGGCCAGGGCTTTGATGCCAGCGTGGTAGAGGAGACGCTCAAGACCAACTACTACTCTACGGTCAGCATGGCCAATGAGGCAGTGCCCATCATCCGCCAAGGGGGCCGAATCGTCTCTGTCGCTTCTATGGCGGGTAAGCTGAACGGATACGGTGACGAGCTTACGCAGCGATTCAAGGCCGTCTCAAAGCAGAGCGAGGCCGATCAGCTCATGAAGGAGTTCTACGCATCGGTAGCGGATGGCACGCACGAGCAAAAGGGCTGGAAGTCTGCTGCCTACTCTGTCAGCAAGGCTGGGCTCATTGCCAATCACCGAGCTCTGGCTAAGGAGGTGCAGCCCAAGGGCATCTCGGTCTTCACGTGCTGCCCGGGGTATGTGGACACGTCGATGACCAAGCATAAGGGCGTCAGGACACTCGACGAGGGAGCTGTCACGCCTGTTGCGTGCGCCTTTGATGCGCCCGAGAGTGCGACGGGAAGCTTCTGGGAGAATGGCAAGGAGAGCACTTGGGCGTAAGAAGTCCGCGGTGTATTCTGTATGATGTATGAATGTTTAGCAATGACTATTGACAACTTGATGAAGAGAGCAGCGTTTGTAATGGCGAGTCCAGACTGGGGTAAGAGCGTAATGTCGTGAGAAGAGTCCTTGATTTCCTGGCGAGATAGCGACTGCCATGATCGCAGCGGCAGCTCCAGGCTGCGTGACGATCGAGAATGTCTCGAAGAAGGCATGAATCTGTTGACCTCTTCATCTCAAACGATCAACCATCCTCCTACCGCCACCAGCACTGAGCCCCCCAATCCTACAGCCATCTGTCTCGTCTGTCCCGCCCCAGCAATATAGCTGTCCCCAGGGCCCGACTTGGAGCCCCCGCCACCTGTAGCAGCAGGCGCAGGCGCAGCTGCTGAGCCGTCGAGGGATGCTGGGATCGATGCGGTGGGGTATTGAGATAAGGTGGTCGACGTACTCGTTGCGTTGCCTGACGCTGTGCTGGTCGAGTTGCCCGAGACGGTGGCTATGAGCGGGGCGAGGGGTGGAGAGGGTCAGATGAGGTGGCAGAAGACAGCGCAGGACAGGAAGGGCAAGCTCACCTGTGCTGTTTCCGCTTGCACTCCCTGAGCTGCTACTCGCTGCGTTCGAAGACGAGGATGTCGCTGCCGTCGTTGGCGACTGGGCTGCGACTAATGACGAGGTGATGAGGACGAGGGCAAGAAGGAGGGTAACGGCGTGGCCGACCATGCTGCGGGGAGTGAAAATCATCGTGACCGGTCGTGAGGAGGAAGGGGCGATGCTGTTGAGACGTGGAAAGCGAAAGATGACGAGAAAGGTGAGGAGCAGGAGTTGAAGGGGCCGCCGGGCGATGCAAGGGTTCGTCTCGAGAACGTCGTCCCGCTCCCGCCGGACTGCCGACAACTGCAGCCACGTGGTTTCGAGCACGCCGTCACGGCAAGCCGCTGGTCATGCTATGCTCTATATTATAATGCCTCAACCCTCTCACTCTCCTCTTCTGGCCTCCATCTCCCTCTCAATCGCTTCCCTGACCGCGACCTCAACGTCGTCCACCACAAAGCTCGGCCTGTACTTTGGCTCGCCCTGCGCCTCTCGGTACACGCCTGTCTTGGACACGAGCGCCGTCTCCCACCCGAAGTCCCTGCCACCACGAATGTCAGACTCTGGATTGTCGCCAACCATGTACACCTTTGCGGGATCTTGCCCGCCACACATCTCCCTGAGCATTTCAGCCGCATACTCGAAGGTAAGCTTCTCCGGCTTGCCAAAGACGGTGTACTCGAGCGGGAGGCCGGTAGTCTTCTGCCAGACGTTGGAGAATGCCACTCTGAAGGCTCCCTGCCCGAATCGAACTACAGGAAAGTCATTGCCCCACAGCAGGTCCCCGTGCGAGAAGTAGAGTGGGATCTGCTCTCGCTTCTTCAGCTCTGCTGGGGAGGACTCGGTACCGAAGACGCCATCGCGACTGCGCAGGATGTCCACCATGAGCTGGATGTCTCGGCCCCAGTCGCGGGAGTCGTGGAAGACAATGATGGCAGAGAAATGGACGGAGGAGAGGTCGGGCAGGTTTGAGCGGACCTGATCCGGGGAGGCGCGGGTGAAGGGCCAGGAGGCGGGGAAGCTGTGGTGCAGGTCGTGAGCCGTATAGACGTCGTTGAAGCCGTACTCATTCATGATCCCGCGCACTCCACCTGGCGGTTTGTCTGGCCCGCCGATGACGAGAATGGGCTTATCGCCGTACAGCTTGGTGAGGCTCTGCAGGACTGTATGCGCTTGCAAGACTTGGTGCGGTTGAATAGGGTGCTGAAGCTCCTTGCTCAGTCGCGCTGCTCGATCTTCTTCTGAGACGCCACCGCCATTTGTCACCAGGATGTAGGGTATCTGAGACTTGTACGGGTTATCGCCATGCAGCATACGTAGCGCGGACAGTGCTTGAGGAAGAACGCGAGGACCAGCTTTAAGGACGCCGTCGATGTCGAAGGCGAAGGCGAGAGGTGGGCGGCGCGACGACGATGCTATTGAGGACGAGGAGGTGAAGCTGCGTGCAAGTGATGGCAGCCGCCATGCTGAGGCCGCGGTCCTGCGAAGAGCCGCCATTGGGGAAGAGTGAGAAAGTGACGATGAGGACAGTTGGGGAAGAAAGACGAGCTGATTAGAGAAAGTGGAAAGTGGCCCAAGCGCCTCATCCTCGACCCGCGTTCCAACCACGTGGCTGACTGCCGCGCGAGTCCAACACCAGCGATGGGATCGACCGGCTTGGAATTGCTTGCAACTTCCTTCCCTCCATCACACCACGACCCCACAACACCAGTCTCGTCTCGATCCGACGCGCTTCGAAACCACTACAACCTAGACGTCGCCACGATGGGAGAGTCACGCTCTGAGCTGCTGGCTTGGCTCAACGAGCTGCTGGCCCTCAACTATACCAAAGTAGAGCAGTGCGGGAGCGGCTACGCGTATGCGCAGATCATCGACAGTATTTACGGCAATGTGCCGATGAGCAAGCTGAACCCGGCTGCTAAGCAGGAGTATGAGGTGAGAGGATACGGATGGGAAGCAAAGCTGTATTCAGCAGAGTAGTAAGTCCTGACCATTGCTTCTCGGTCGTGCGCGCAGTTCATCAACAATTTCAAGGTGCTGCAGACTGCCTTCAAGAAGAACAAGATTACAAAGCCCATCCCCGTTGAGGCGCTCGTGCGATGCAAGATGCAGGACAATCTGGAGTGAGTCAGCGCATTCGTGACCAACCCCATAACCACACAGTAGCTGACCTCTCCTCTCCTTCCTTCCCTCGGCAGATTCTTGCAGTGGATCAAGAAGTTCTGGTGAGGACAGGCGAGAGCTGTGGGAGTATGGCAATGCTGACATCACCTCCCCCTCGCCCTTTGTTGCAGGGACACCAACTACCCCGGAACGCCCTACGACCCCGAAGCCCGCCGCTCCGGAGCAGCGGCCGCCCCTCCTCCCCTCATTGGCGCTGCAACCGTAGGGGCTGCCCGACCGGCAGCCGCAGCCGCAGCGCCTCGAGCAGCACCTAGAGCAGCACCTGCAGCCGCAGCGCCCGTGAGGAGACCGGTGGGAGGAGCAGGCGCGGGAGTGGCCAGGGCGTCGGGAGCTGCTTCGGCCGTTTCGAATGAGACGATCGCGGCGCTGACAGAGCAGATGGACGAGATGCGCGTGAGCGTTGATACCTTGGAGAAGGAGAGGGACTTCTATTTCTCAAAGGTGAGTGCGGGCGAGCGACAGCGTAACAGCGAAAGGACTGTGGACATTGATATTGCGTCCCTCCCCCTTCATTCGCACCCGCAGCTGCGCGACATCGAAGTCCTCATTACGGAGCGTCTCACGGCTCACGAGTCGGGCGAGCCCCTCCCAGAGGATGCGCTCACGGAGGAGGCGTTGCTGAAGCAGATGCAGGCGATCCTATACAGCACGGAAGAGGGCTTCGAGCTGCCCGAGGGAGCAGAGGCGCCAGTCAACGAGGAGGAGACCTTCTAATCGCTCAATTCACTCTCAAGATGTAACAGGGGCGCCAGTGATTGCGGTAGATTATGCAAGTGCTACACCCGCTGATCGCTCCATCGCTGCTTGATCTAGCTCGACGCGCTCTACGGCCTCGAGGACGCGTGTGCCCTCCACCCAGTCCTTTACTCGCACAAGCCAGACGTCACTGCGGCTCTTGGCCAGGAGGGCTTGGCGATCGGTGTCGCTGGGTTTGGTCGCCAAGGGCGCCCTTGTCCGCAATCTTGCCTCGAAATCCTCGCACCCATTAGCCAGAGACTCCCCGTATCCCAATCGCTGAATCGTCTTGATCACACCGCTTCCTTCGTTTGGCGCAACAACGATGCCGACGCTCGCTGCGAGAAGGCAGGGTAGATCGGTGTTGCTGTCCCCTGCATAGACGATCATCGTCGCTTTGCCTGCCTCGTCAACCATCTTGCCCATCTCGCGCAGCTTGTCCGTTCCTGTCGCGATCTTGCGTATGACCTTGCCCGTTCCCTTGCCCGTCTCGGAGTCCACTTCAACATCGTTGGCGTAAACGGCTGAAGTGGGCAATTTGGCTCGCCGTAGGCCGGCTTGGATGAATGCCTTTGACCATGAGACGGAGAGGACGTTTGTTGTGATACCGCGTCGCTGCTCCAGCCAGGAAGAGAGGTCGGTCTGCACGCCTGGGTGAAATGAGATCTGGTCTAGTCTATCGTCGAGCTTGGTGTGATCCCAGCCAATAAAAGCGCCCCCCTCTGTCACCCTCTGTACACTTTTACCCTCTACATCAGAGAGCGATGCAAGCCAGTCGAGCTGCTGCTCGAGCGAGGTGCGGTCCTCGTCCTTTCCCAGCGGGTGCGTCGAGGTATGCTCTGCCAAGTCATCTAGATAGGGCTGAACATAGGGCTTCAAGCCGCCATTGTGCTGCTCAGGGATGAGAGAAAGCGTGTCGTGCGATGTGAGAGTCTCATCCCAGTCGAGGACGAGAAGCATTGCGGGCGAAAGGGTGAGGAAGAGAGAGCGAGGAAGGCTTCACGTGTGGAGTTGACAAGAAGGAAGGAGCAAGCTGCACAGGCCGGACTGGCGGCTCCAGTCGAATCCAACACCCGCGTCTCGCGTCTCCGGCGCAAAGCACTTCGCATTTCTTGACTTGGTTCCGTTCACTCCAGTCCAGCACAACTCAACTCAACATCACAATGCCACCCAGGGGCAGGAGAACAGCAGCAGCAACAGCAGCAGCAGCAGCAGCTCGAGCATCTCGCGACTCGCAAGACTCGCCTGCTTCACACGACGTAGCAAGCCCTTCTCGCTCCCCTTCGCCTGCTTCAGCAGCAACTCCTCCTCCTCCCCCTCCCCTCGTATACCCCTCCGAGGCTTCCCTCCCTTCACAGCTGAGCGTGCCAGAAGCGGCATTGAAGGTCGCCAGGCACTCGCCGTGCCTCTATAAAGGTGTCGAGGATGGGGCAGAGGAAGACAGCTGCGCTTGCACCGGCCTTAAGCCCCCGACTGACAGCCAAGTTGTAGCTCGTCGGGTCCAGGACGATAAGGGTGAAGGGAGCAGCAATGGTATCACAGCTTCAGGCTGGAACCAATGCGGAGAGTGCGGGCATGACGTGGCTTCCCACGGCAGACTAGCAGAAGATGACGAAGAGGAGCGCGTACGCCGGACCAAGGTAGCAGTGCGACTGGACGAGATACTCGAGGATAAGAAGAAGTTGCTCGACTTCCACTATACAGACGAGGATGTCGAGAGTCTCAAGAAGCAGTTACCCCGACTGAAGGATGCGGGTACCGACGGAAGCGAGACAGGCCGACAGAAGCGATCCAGCTCGAGATCACGATCGCGCTCCCTCTCCCCCAACCACAAAAAGCGTCGCTTGGCAAGCACATCCGACTCGCCCATCACTACCCCGCCCAAGTCACCTGAGATCACCACACCACCGCCAGCCGATGCCTCTGATCCCTCCGCCCTTCCCACAACTGACCCAGAGAAGCACCCCGTTCAATCCTCAAAAGGCTCCGCGCTTGGCCCAGAAGAAGCGCTAGAGCAAGCCAAAGAGGCGGCAGAAAAGGAGCAGCGCGAGAAGGAGAAGGAAGAGAAGCAGAAGCTGGCCGCTCCTGGAGCAGACTTGGGGCTGGTCACTGCGGGAATCAGTATTGATCCAGATGAAGGGAGTGGGACCGGAGCTCCTCCCCCGCCGAAGAGAGAACGTCCCGCTGTGGTTGAGGAGAGGACCGGGTTAATCCAGTGCGTAGCGCCGGGCGCCTGTACAAGCATGGCGTCCTCTGATGCTGACCCTTCCTTTCTTCCTTCCTCGCCCGCACCCAGATTCCGCGTCGTATCCAATTCTGCGCTGACAGGCACCGCTCCACAAGACCTGGTCATCCTCACGGGACTCAAGAACATCTTCCAGCGTCAGCTACCCAAGATGCCCCGCGAGTACATTACGCGGCTGGTCCTGGACAAGAATCACGTCAGTATGGCCATTGTGAAACGTGGACTGCAGGTCGTCGGCGGGATTACGTACAGGCCATTCAATAAGAGGAAGTTTGCGGAGATTGTTTTCTGTGCGATTGATAGTAGTCAGCAGGTTAAGGTGAGTGAGCGATGCGCAGCGCATATTCGGGCGGTTCGAGGAAGTGTGGGACGTTTGACTCACATTCTCTGTCTCTCACTGGCTCTCACTCGCAGGGGTATGGACAGCATCTGATGAACCACCTCAAGGACCATGTGAAGGAGTCATCGGATGTCATGCACTTTCTCACCTACGCTGACAACTACGTGCGTGCGACGACGACATGCGACTGACTTGTTGCCTCAGCTGACCCTGGCTCTCTTCCCTCGCCCTCTCGCAGGCCATCGGCTACTTCAAGAAGCAGGTGAGCAGCCCATTCCCCATTCACCTGCCTACTTGAAAGGACCATCCACTGACCTCTTCTTCTCCTTACGCCTTCGCTGTCAGGGCTTCACAAAGGAGATCACGCTCCCTCGCTCCGTCTGGGTAGGGTACATCAAGGATTACGAAGGTGGCACGCTCATGCAGTGCAGCATGGTGCCGAGGGTGCGATATCTTGAGGTGCACGAGATGCTGGCCAGGCAGAAGGAGTTGGTGTTGGCAAAGATCAGGTTAGCGAGACGGCGAGACAGCGAAGCTAGCGCGCGTGCGAAGCTGATTTCGATCCATCGACCCCGCGACAGGAGCATCTCGAAGAGTCACATTGTGCATCCCGGTCTGGAAGTATTCAAGCAACAGCGTGCCGTCAAAGACGACGACGACGACATCCCCCTGGCCTCCCAATCTGGCCCCTCATCCGACGCTGACCTGGACAGCGAAGCGTACCTCTCGCACATCAAATCTCAATTCAAAGTCCAACCCTCCTCCGTCCCCGGCCTCGCCACCTCAGGCTGGACACCAGAGATGGACGTCATCTCCCGTCGTCCCCGCCGTGGCCCGCACCACGGTCTTTTGCGCTCCATCCTCGTCGAGCTCACGAATCACGGTTCCGCCTGGCCCTTCCTTCGCCCAGTCAACGCGGACGAGGTGCCCGACTACTATTCCGTCATTACAGAGCCTATGGACCTTGCCACGATGGAGGGCAAGCTCGAGGCCAATCAGTACGCACAGGATGGACTTGATGGGCTGGTCAAAGATGCGCAGAGGATCTTTGATAATTGCAGGGCGTATAATCCGAAGAATTCGCCCTACGCCAAATGCGCGGATAAGTTGGAGCGCTTTTTGAAGGAGAATTTGCCGATGGTGAGCATAGCATGAGAGGCAAGCACAGCTTGGAATATGGACAATAGATATCAGGACGCTGACCACTTCTCGTCTTTTTCACTTGACCGCTCGCAGTGGAAACAATCTGCCGGTATCCTTTAGCCTATTTCCCCTCTCCCTCTTTTCTACAGCCCCTGCCCGTCGATTCTCGAGCCCTTTTGTACTATTCATCTCCATCTGCTTTCAATCGATTCTCACACGCTGGTACATCCTCCCAATAGCCCACCAGCACGCGAGATACCCGATCGTGCCAAAGAGCACAAAGTCGAGCAGGCAGAGCAGCGTCAGGTACGAGAGGTAGAGGACCTTCTCGCTCAGCCCGGGGAGGGAGAGACGAGTCGTCCAGTAGAAGAGCTGCGTGCGCGAAGACCAAAATGTGGCATAAGTGTTCAGTGCGAGAGATTTGAAGCCGCAGAATTCTTTTCGCGCCATACTCACGCCGTAGAGGAAAAGCCAAACTGCCGACCCTCCTCCAGTGTAGAAGGAACGCCATTGCCATCTCCACTCCTCTGCGCAGAGGTGGAAGTAGGCAAAAAGGACGCTCACTGTTGCTGTGGTTGTTGCGGTGACGACGAATGTGCTTGCGAGGAAGCTACGCGTGCGCGAGTAGCGGGGTAGAAAGGGATGTGTGGTCAGTGCCAATGCTGAGAGGGTGAGGAAGAGGGGGGAGGGAGAAACTTACCCAAACGCGTAGTAGATTCTTGTGCCAAAGAGCGAGCTCAAGATGAAGTGCAGCTCCAGGAAGGCGGCCCCGAAGGGCAGGATACCCCCAATGAGCATGCTGGGCCCGGGCTCAAGGTACCATGGTCCCGGCGGGATCTGCCTAGGAATTGCATTGGTACGCACCACCTTCTTCCATGGCCCCTTCCTAACACCAAAGAAGCCGCCTACTGCGACGAGCGGAACGTCGAGCAAGAACCAGAGGGCCACGAGCGCCAAGAAGGTACCAAAGGGCACGGCGCTTGCCGATCCGGAGATGAGGAGGAAGAAGTTGAGCAAGCTCAGTAGCCCGTACACCGCTGTGGGGAAGAGGAGGGCAGTCCCTAGTATGCACTTCTGCCATTGCTCCCCATCCAAGGTGGCGTAGAGGCGCGTGGCTACGTAGCCTGCAACGGAGCCGAAGAGACACCACCCAACTACCATGACCGTTGCGAGGGAGCCGCGGTTCGAGGGGGAGAGGAAGCCGAGCAAGGCAAAGGCGAGGGTGATGCCCGACATGGCGATTAGCTGGGAGCCAGTGCCTACTGCGATGCTTAGCAGGAGCGGATGGGAGGGAGTGCGATAGATTTCGCCGTGGATGAGCTTCCACCCGAAGTCCTGGCGGTGAGCAGGGGAGGGGGATCATTAGTGGTGGGTTGAGAGGTAGGCAGAGAGAGTGGAAGATGCGGCTCACCTCTTGCAGGCCTTCGTCCAGGTCGAGCGCATTGTAGCGATTGATGTCCTGTTACGGCGGCGTAGCTCACTTGTCAGCTGTACGCTTTCCCTGACTGCTCCCCACCACTGCCCTTGAACTCACCTTGGTCACGTTCCTCATCAAGATCATCGCAACCATCAAGCACAGGAAGCTCACGACGACGATTGAGTTGACGAGGGCAAAGACGTGAACCTTGGCGTCGAATACACGCAGGTAGGCATCCCAGCGCGTGGCCCAAGGGGTTGAGGACTCCTTCCAGAAGACGTCCATCGTGTAAGCGACCGTGCGGTTAGGCCCTCTGCGAGCGAGGAGGTGGGCATGGTCAGTGAGCTGGCAGGGTAGAACTCTTTGTCCGCTTCACTCACATCTCTGTGTCTGAAAGCCGCAGCGGCGCAACAGCGTTACAGTCCGGACTGCCTCCTACCGCTCCTCCCGCACTGTCCTTGCTCTGCGGGAACACGTACGCGCCCACGATCCTGTATTCTCCCTCCTTGCGCTTGTGGTACTCGATGTATACCGACAAGTGGTTGTTGAGCGCCGGTGACTCGTATGCCAGTCCATGATCATCCAACAGCCTGCCTAGCGGAAATCCGATGGAGTAGAAGATCTCGTTTGTCCTATCTGCGACCTTCTTCGTCGCGACGGGAAGCCCGTCCACCATCCAGTTGACAGCATATTGCTCGCGTATCCTCTCATTGATCCACACTTGATCCTCAGCTGGTACACTCACTGTGCAGACGTGCCTGCACTTCTCCTCCTTGAGCAGACTCGCATCGATTGCGGACGAGTAGATGCGATCGCCGAAGAGGGCACTACCCAGCCCCTCGCTCTGTGCTTCTACTCCGTCCTTTGGCTGGCAGAAGTGGAAGCGCGGGTCATAGTAGTCTAAGGATATCAGAGAGTTGAGCGTGTTGCTGTTGATGCCCGAGCCGGGTCCGTTAGAGGGACCAGTGGAAGCGCCCGTCATTGGTTGGAGGGAGTTGACCGTGAATGGTACGCGGGAGCCAAGCGAGTAGGAGCGGGGTGCTGAGCCCGGGAGGTACCATGCTTGTGAGGATGGTAGCGTGAAGAGTAGTATTGCAGCAGCAAGCAGAGCCACCCTTGGGGTTGAGGGCAGTGGCATGATGGTGGCGCCGCAAGAGGATGTGAGGGGAACGAAGGAAAGGAACACGACGCAGCGCTGTGTGCTTCAGCCTCGACGTGTGTCGTCCCTTCTGGTGCCAGTCCGCCGCCCTTTTTCGTTGGCCCGAGCGTCCCGCACACCGCGCTGCTTTTGCTTTCTTCTCCTCTACTCGTTTACCTGACCATCAATCTCACAGCATGACCTCTTCACCATCCTCCTCGTCATCAACACTCAAGCAGACGCACCATCTCATCACCATCCCGCTCTCGCCGCAACACGAAGAACAACTCATAGTCTCCACCCTCTACCTGCGCGACTCCCTCTTCGTCTGGTGTGGCGTGACGGATCGCGGTGCTGAGATACAGGCAGAGCTCGCTCAGCAGGCAGCAGCTGCGTCATCGTCTACATCCTTGCCACCACCAGCCCAAGCTACATCATCCGACGACAAGCTGTCAGAGGCAGCACTCGCCTCTCTGAGCGAAGAAGAGCGTCGCCAACTGGAAGTGGATCGCAAAGTGGACGAGGAGATTGCCAAGGCAATGGAAGCGGCCGGTCGCTCTGGACCCGCGGACGACGACGCATCTTCATCAACATCGCAGCCCACCGGCCACCTAGCAAGAGAGTGGGCAATGGCCATGCATACCAAGGCGGGCGCCAATACTGCAGCCACTTCACTCTTTCGCACCCCTGCCGACACGGCTGCTCCGATGGCCCGTCGATTGGCAAAGAGGCTCGGCATCCCACAGGTGCACCTCTCCCTTTCGCTTCCGCCAGACTTTGGGTTCAATGCTGCGGCTGGAGCGGGTATGGCAGGGCCATCACCGCTACTGAGCTTGGAGAAGGGGATCGAGGAAGCAGTCTCGGGCAACGCGGGCGGACGAAGATGCTGACGTGTATATTAGGGATGGTTCAATAGGTTGCTTCTATGCTGGACTGCGGCGCTGTTCTCATTCTCGACTTTCCTTCAATCATTGGTGCCCTCCACGGCCACCACGTCCCCCTCCTCCGCCGCCACCCCTGCCTCCTCGCCCACGTCCACCTCCCGGCCCACCCCCACCACGCTTAGCCGCTCCTCCCCCACCTCGCCTATTCTTGCCATCTCGAGGAGCATAATGCGTCTTCCACATACCCGTCTCCACCACTGGCCTCTTCGGGTATCCCTCCGGCACCCCTCCCTCGCCCAGCGTCCAGGGATGAGGCACCTCGTTTCTATTCTGCGGCAACAACTTCTTCAATGGCGGGAGCCAGGTGGTCATATACTCTCCCTTGCCGTCGTAGTCCTTTGCTTGCTTGATCGCATTGAACTGGCGGGATGAGCGAGGGTCGTTGCCCACGCCAGCGACATACTGCCAGTTCCCGTAATTGGAGTTGGGGTCGTAGTCCACTAGCAGGGACTCGAAGTACTCTGCACCGTACCGCCAATCGAAGCCTAGGTCCTTTGTGAGGAAGGAGGCCACGTTCTGCCTTGAGCGATTGGATTGGAAGCCGGTCTGAATGAGTTCCTTCTGGGAGGCGTCGATGAGGGGCACGCCTGTCGTGCCGTTCATCCAGCGGACAAAGGCATCGTTGGGGTCGTCGAGGGACTGCGGATAGACCCACGAGGCCTGCTTTTGGTCGGCCGCCTTGGGGTCGAGCTCGCCTTCGATTCCACGTTGGGTGAAAAGGGCAGATCCGTACTTCCACCCCACGTAGAAGAAGTAATCGCGCCACAACAGCTCAAAGATGATCCAGTAGCCTCCACCGCTCCTGGTCCCACTAGCGGCATCCAATTTGTGCGCTCTCTGCGCAATGTCCCTCGGTGACAAAAGGCCGAGTCCGAGTGCGGCTGAGAACTTTGTCGAGTAGTCTGTCCCAAGCAGGCCATTCCTCGTCTCCTTGTACGTCGCTGCAGGAGGTTTGCTGCCGCCAAAGTAATGCTCCATCCTCTCCAGCGCCTCGGTCTCGCCGCCCTTGAACGGTAGAGCGCTCGGTACTTGGTCCAGCTCGGAATCACGCAGCTTGGTGTGGTTACCAGGCGCAGGATTGTCGAAGAGGGGCTTGTGCAGCGCAGAGATGACGGAGTTGAGATCCTGCCCTTCAAGCGAGTAGACGCCCGCAGCGTTCTCGATCTTGGGCAGGGAGGGGAAGGGCATGAGCTTATTCGGCGCAGGGACCGGATTACGGAATCCTCCTCCCTCTACGCGCTTGCGGAATTGGGTAAAGACGTCGGGAAGGTCCTTGACGGAGAAGTCGCTGCGACGCGAAGTGAAAGGGCCAAGAGTCAGCGTGATTGAAAGACTTGACGGCTTGCCATGGCGTCTCGCTTCGCACTTACAGATCCTCGGGGTGAACGAGCGCCTTGCCATGGATGAGCTTGAGCGGCGTCTGGGTTTCTTGCAATGCGCTCTTGATTTTCTTCTCCGTCGTCATCTCCTCAGTGTTATGCTCCCTCGTCATCCACACGGCCTCAATCTCGTCTCCCTGACCCTTGAGCGCCTTGACGATGGCGGCTACCACCTTCTCTGGCTGACCGGCCCAGACAGACAGGTCTGAGTTGCGGGAGCGTAGACGGGATTGGAGGTCGTACACTGAGTGGGTGATGAAGCTGTGCACGCGAGCATGCGGGCAATTGGGTCAGCATCCCTGGCCACTCATTGGCAGTCGCCATCCTTGCGGCGCGCCCGCGCTCACCTCGCCCTGTGCTCTCCACATCTCCAGAATCCAGCGGTCCTCGTCCTAGCCTCTGTAGCTGGTTCTCCTTTCTTAAGCCCGTGAAACCCACCCACCTCAATCATCTTCTGATCGTAGACATAGATGGGGAGCAGGTGCGTGATGGGCTTACGGAAGGCGTTGGACGAGGGCGACGGGTCGGCGGCCAAGTGGAAGATCTGGTTGTCCTGTACTCGCAGGTCCGCACGGAGTACGGCGAGAAGGATGTTGCGGGGCATGGTGACAACCGACAAGAGGTGAGATAGAAGGCGACAAGAAGGTGTGGCTCGAATGACGGCCAAATATTCATTAAAGCTGCACTGGCAGGGGCGGCTGACCTTGATTAGGCCATCTTCGATCTCTCGAGACCCTCGTCAATGCAGGGTCCCCACCGCGGAAGGGCCCACGCGAGCAAAAGTCAAGGCATGCAATGCAGATCGAGGCGACGTCATGATGCTGCGAGCGAGAGCAAAAGAAAGGTGTCTACGAGAGCCATGGTATTGTGTCTACACGCTTAGCGGCCATCGTCGAAGATTTCTGCATTCTTGCACATCGCCTTGTACTGATGGGAAGGGAGGATGGATGGTGTGTTAGATCTACGCCAGCTCTAGTTTCCTCTCTGCGTCGCCGCCCGTCTCAGTCGACTCACCTCGGCGAGGGGCATGTTCTGTACTGCGAGATTGGATGCCTATCAGGAGGAGACCGAGGGAGAGGAGGATCAGAATGGTGACCAGTCAAAAGAATCAGCAGTCACGCTCGCTCACGACCTCGACGACGCTCTTTGGTGCCACCCTCATCCTGTCAATCTCCTTTTTCTCTCCCACCTCGACAGCAAGTAGGCTGCCATCCCTGCTCGTCCGCGAGTCGATGATGAGAAAGCTTGCTGACCAGCTCCGACTGTCTGGTAGCTTTGCCGATGTTGTGTACGCTACGAGTGCTTTGACTTGCTCATCAATCGATGAGGATTGGCTGCAGTCGTCTGGCAGGTTCACAGGCACAACTGCATCCCACAACCCGCTCTCCCCGGGCGGCACCTCGTTCGATGTCACTTCTGCGATATAGCTCGTCGAGCGGATGCCGGCCAAGAGCTTCTCAACCTCTGATGATGACGCGCCTGCGACGTTGAAGAGTGGTAGTGAAGACATGTTGGCGGCGGCGTGCGTGGTGATGATGCGCAGGAATGACAAGTGAGCTTTGAGCTCTGATTTCTCCACTCCGCTTCCCGCCCGTTTCTCATGGCTGTCGAGTTGATCCATCTTGCCCCGCAATCCACGCGTGGCGCGCACGAAGACGAACAAAGGAAGCCACCATGGCCATGACGAGGACAAAGGAAGCTCAAAAAGAGCTCTTAGAGGCCTTGCATCCGTCATCAGCATCTTCTCGAGCTCCTTCGTCATCCTGCTAGTCGCTTCGTGGCTATGTCACTCCTCCTCTACGGCTTTGCCTTCGTGGGCCTGCTCCTCTACTCCATTTGGCCAAAGCGTCGTCTCGCCCCCGGTCCCCCGCGACTCCCAATAGTAGGCTCCTTGCCATTCATCGATCAGTCAAAGCACCTGCTTGAGCAAGCACCTGCGTGGCGAGAAAAGTACGGCGGAGTGGTCCAAGTGTCCCTCGGAATGGCCGATTGGCTCCTCATCACCAAGGTTGCGGACGCCCGACAGCTGCTGTACGGCACAGCGGTGGAAGATAGACCGAGACTGATGCTCTACCATGACGAAATCCATCCTGAACGTTGGCTGGGACCCGCCGCCAAGGCAGACGAGTGGATCCTGGCCACACGCCGCGTGACGGGCCAGCTGGTCCGTACCGTTGGCGATCACGGCGGCGAACATGCTGCCAAGATGATGCTCGAATGGCTCGAGTTCCATCTCAAGGAGCAGCCCGACTTCGAGCGTACCCTCTGGCACTTCGCCGTAGCCAACGCTCTCGAGTCGGCGTACGGTATCCAGCTAGAGTCCGCATCTCAAGCAGCAGAATTCGACGAGCTCCAAGACTTGATCGATACAGGCAGACACATGATGACAGCTTTCGATCCCCAGAGCGAGCCAACGGTATTCTTTCCCTTCGTGGAGCATCTCAATCCGTCCAGAACGAGGACAATAAAGGCAAGGGGTGCCGCAATGTATGCCGAATGGGAGACGAGGGCAAAAAGATTGGGTGGGAAGGTGAGGGAAATGGGCAAGAACGCTAAGGCGAGTCAGTTCGATCTCGCTGGACGAGACAAGGAGTATAGCATGACGGAGGATGAGCTCGATTATCAGGGGGCATTACTGCTCGTCGGTACGCTCGATACAGTCTACCATACGAGCGTGCTCGCTGCCGCGTGCTTTGCGTACTTGGGAGATGCGCAACAGCAGATACGCGAAGAAGTTGACGCCCTTTCAGCTCAAGGCGCACCAGCGTCACAGTCACCCAAGCTCGTAGCCTTCCTGCGCGAGACTCTCCGCCTCTATCCCTTCGCGGCCACGGGTTTCCCCCGCCAGACGAGCAAGCCCCTGCCACTTCCAGGCCGTAGCGACAAGGTCCTGCCCGTAGGGACGGTTCTCGTGCCGCTCACTATGACTCTCGCCCGTGATCAAGAGTACTGGGGCCCCGATGCCGAAGAGCACAACTATCGACGCTTCATGGAGGACGACACGCTGAAGGCGCAGCCCTTCCCGGTCTTTGGGTACGGGTATGGGCGCAGGGCTTGCCCCGGGTATCGGCTTGCGGAGGTCATGATGGCAAACGCCATCGGAGGCCTACTGAGCCGCTATGAGTTGAGCTTCGAAGGGAGAGATAGCGGTGAGACAGATGCGACTGCCACGCTGGATGAGACGCTACGAATCAAGTTGCGGGGGAACGTCTTCATGATGGATCTGCCTCGATGTCGGACTACGAGGCGGCGAGACTGTCCGATGTAGCGTAGCTAGTGTGTCCCATCAATATGTACCTTTAGCTTTCTACGATCTCCACCTCCTACCGTAGATTGATTGTGGGCGGGTCAACGTATCGAGTGCGCTTGGGCCTGGGCGGACGCGGACAGAGAGCCAAGGCGAGGCGAGCAAGTCGAGACTGATCGGCTGGGCGCAAGCGGAGGGCGGGCGATGGATCGAGTGAGCCAATGGGTGCTTTTCGCCATCGGCCATCGTCTGCAATCTTTCACTTCCTTTTCCATCATCTGCGCCGCTAGCCAACATGGCACCAGCTGCTGCATCATCTTCATCTTCATCATCTTCAACGATGCCCACCGCATCGACCTCGACTCTCCCCTCAGCCTACCTCAGTGCCCCCTTCATCTCCTCGAAAGCCGTTGGCGAAAACCAGAGCACAGTGTCCGCCACGCCCGACAAGCGCAGCGAGGATGACCCTGTCCCTTCATACCTCTACTCCAACCTCGCCCCACATCTTCTCCTTCCCGATGGGACGCCAGATTACTTGCGCATGTCCCTATCAGCCGACATCTACAGCCTCGTCAAACAGACCCCGCTGCAGCGAGCGAACAACCTGTCTGCCAAGCTGGGTTGTGAGATCTTCCTCAAGCGTGAGGACTTGCAGCCCGTCTTCAGCTTCAAGCTGCGTGGAGCTTACAATTTGATGAGAACACTGGAGGGAGAGCAAAGGTGGAAGGGAGTGATAGCGTGCTCGGCGGGGAACCATGCGCAGGGCGTCTCGCTCTCAGGACTATCCTTGAGCATTCCCTGCACCATCGTCATGCCGCTCGGCACGCCCTCGATCAAGGTCTCATCTGTGCGAGCGCTGGGAGCAAAGGTCGTTCTCCATGGACAAGACTTTGACGAAGCCAAGGCTGAGTGCAGTCGACTGGCGGAGACGTACGGCTTGAAGGTCATCCCGCCCTTCGACGACCCGCACGTTATTGCTGGCCAGGGCACGACTGCCGTGGAGCTGCTCAGGCAGACGAGCATGGAGGATCTCGAGGGCGTCTTCTGCTGCGTAGGTGGTGGAGGGCTGCTCGCTGGTGTGTCGGCTTACACAAAGCGTATCGCTCCGCCGACCACGAAGGTCTTCGGAGTGGAGACATTCGATGGCGATGCGTTGACGAGGTCGCTGGAGCAGGGCAAGCGGCTGACGCTGTCCGAGGTGTGAGTACCGCGCTCCTTTCAGTACGATGACCATGATGTTCTCGAGAGCTGACTTGGTCTCGCTCCTCCCCTCTCGCAGTGGCCTGTTCGCAGACGGCACGGCAGTCAAGGTCGTAGGCGAGGAATGCTGGCGCATCCTCAAGCAACCCTCCATGGTAGACGGCATGGTCCGCGTCGACACGGACGAGATCTGCGCCGCTATTCGAGACGTCTTTGAGGATACCCGCTCTGTCCCTGAGCCCTCTGGCGCCCTCTCCCTCGCGGGCTTGAAGCGCTACATCATGCATCACAACTTGCAAGGCAGTGGAAAGAAGTTCGCTTGCGTGGTATCGGGGGCCAACATGAACTTCAGCAGACTCAGATTTGTGGCGGAGAGGGCCGAGGTGGGTGATGGGAAGGAGGTCATGATGATGGTTGAAATTCCGGAGGAGCCGGGCAGCTTCTTGAAACTGCATTCTCATATCCACCCAAGGTCGATCACGGAGTTCTCTTACCGATACAACGCTGCGGCTGAAGGAGTTGCACACATCTACCTGTCCTTCCTGCTCAATGGCTCGACGAACAGCGGCGGCAACCCTCAAGCGACGGGCTCAAGCACTGCAACTGCCTCGACGACGGCAGCGGCAGCGGCAGCCGTATCAGCTGCGTCGCACAGCGTACCTCCGCGTGAGACAGGTGCCTCCCACACTACCAATGGCGACGCAACGCTCAATGCCCCCTTCGTCAACGGCCACAACGCGAGTGCGGCCTACTCTACCCACTCGACCCCGAACGCGGCCAATTTCAACCTCGATGGGCTCGCATCCCAACTTCCGGCCTCCTCAACCTCTCCCACTACCCCATCCGGCAACAACGGCGGCGGCAACCCCCCTTCAACCGCCATCCCGCGCACAGCGCGCCAAGTCGAAGTCTCCTCCATCATCAACGCCTTGTCGTCCTCCGGGATGCGCGGCACTGACATCTCGACGAATGAGATGGCCAAATCACATGGACGCTACCTCATCGGTGGCCGACAACGAGTACCGCACGAGCGTCTCTTCCGCTTCGAGTTCCCCGAGCGACCGGGGGCCCTTCGCAAATTCTTGACGGGGCTGAATGCAGGGTGGAACATCTCGTTATGGCACTACAGGAATCAGGGGGGTGATACGGCCAAGGTTCTTGTGGGGGTTCAGGTCAAGGAGGAGGAGGGCGAGGAGTTCCAGCGATTCTTGGATGAGCTGGGCTACTGGTGTGTCGAGGAGACGGGCAATGAGGTCGCGATGCGGTTCCTCTAAGCTTGTCAAGGGGTACGGGTTACTCGACTACTGTACGCTTCGATGCTCAATCGCTACGAGTATTTGCTGATCTATGACGACGCGAACGTGGCGCGGATGTGTTTGCATTGCAAGAAAAGGAGCAGGGACGCTCCGCGGAGAGAAAGCAAAGAGGGAAGTGAGAGTGGGACGAGTGTAGAAAGAGTGAAGCATCACTGGCTTGGTGCCACGATGAGGATGGATAAGGTAGGCGGCGGAGAGGAGGCCAGGCGACGTTCATGGGGCATCGATGAGACAATGTGCCGTACGTCAGCCCTGGGTATCAAAGGAGAAAAGGGGGTGGGGTCGGACCGTCGCACCAGCTTATTGCTGGACGGCAGTGTGGCCCTCCGAGGGAGAGACGCCGTGGCTAGCCTCGTTGATGGCAGGGGCGGCGCCCGTGTTGCCGGTCGTGGGGCCAGTGGTGCTGTTGGCGGCGGCGCCGTTGTGGTGGCCAGACTCGAGAGCCTTGCCGGAGACGGCATTGTTGACACGGTTGCCGCTCTCCTCCATGTAGGCGGAACGCTTGCCCGACTGGAGGCCGAGGACATCGTAGTCGAGCTTGCGGAGGCCCCACAAGTGAATGACGGCGAAGACGGGCTTGGCGAGGAGGTCGAGGATACCGTAGAAGATCATCTCTCCGTCAGGCGAGATCTGGTTGCCACCGTCAGCGAGACCCCATGCGATCGGGTAGAGGAACCAGAGGAAGGTGAGCATAGCCGTACCGCGGATGTAAGTAGATCCGAGGCTTGCATCGAGCTTCTTGGCCGACGACCAGCCGACGAAGTAGAGGTCGTAGAAGACGAGGAACATGGCGACGCAGCCAAAGACGTAGAAGCCCCACTTGTACTGCGACTCGACGAGGGAGCCAATGAGGCCCGTCTCAATCATGATGATGTCCCAGAAGATGACGAGGAAGACGTTGCTCAATGGCATGCCCGAGACGAGAAGGAGCTCGAGAAGCAGCAGAGGCGTAGTGATCGTCCAGTCGATGTAGCGTGCGTACCAGATGGAACGAGTGGGCACAAGACCGCCGGTGCGCTGAAGGTCGAAGCCATGGAGGAACTCGACTCGTACCGGCGTGGCACCGAGGTCAGCAGCCATGGAGAAGTAGGCAACGCTAGCGGTTCCCGTGATGGCAGCAGAGAGGTAGACAAAGGCGCGGTGGTGGCGGGGGACGAAGAAGTTGGCGTAGACGAGGATGCCGATCGTGGTGAAGAGCATCACGGCGAAGACTGTGCGCACGCAGGTGGAAGATAAGGCATCAGCGGGGGATGTCAACATGGTGGATGAGCGAGAGTGGCGTCAAATGAACTTACCTGCCCAGAGCCAGTCGGTACCGTTCGTGGTGATGTCGATGTCAGCGACGGTGGGGTTGCTGCTGATGCTGGAGCGGGCAGCGAGCCTGGCGGCCATCTTGCGGTCGATGCCAGCGTTGAGGGCGTCGACGCCCCTGCGAGCGAGGTCTCCTCCGATCATCTTGTAAGCGTTGGCTTGGGTGTATTGGGGTGTGCTTGAGGATGAGGGGTATTGGTGCGAAGGGAGGAGCAGAGATAGTCTCGCGAACGAGGGAAGTTTGGTCTGATAGGATCAAGACGAAAGAAAAAGCCGAGTTTGCATCCTGACTTATAACGACGTCAACCCAGGCATGCGATGATGACGTTGTGCCCTCTCGGGCGTGGCTCGACGTCGAGGGCAGGACAGGCCGGCGGATCGTTCTTGCATCTGGCTCACAATCGCGGCGGCGACGGCATGGTTGGCGGGCATGACCACCCAGGGTGTCATCAATCAGCCTCATTGAGCATCGAGCTACAAGCGCATCTAGGGCAGTCAACGAGTGGAGCTGAAACACAAAGGCGGCAGCTTAGGAGCGGCGCGACGTTTTCTCCGCTCGTGCCGCCGTCTCGCTGGTCGCCGGTTGACGAGAGGGAGATCGAGATGGACCCTCGCTCGCTCCCTCCTCTGAAGCCACTCTGCGCAAAAGGGACTTTGTGCAGCGAAGCACGGGTCGCCGATCGACGACGAGCGCGGGCGTGCGCATCCGTCGTCCTCGACCTCGTCGTGCGATCGCGCCGCTGACGTTTCGTTTCTGCGTAACTCCAGCAGGTAGAGAGTGGAGCTGCAGACAAAGTTGAACGCTTCGCAGGGCTGGCAGGCGAACGAACAGAAATGCGTCCAGGGTCTAGTGGAGCAGTCAAGGTGCGGAATGGCCTAGCCGAGCCAGGGTTCAGTCAGCGCTGCCCGATGCGAACAGGGCGGGAGCACAACGCTGAGGTCATCACTCAAGAGCCGCCGTCGCCCGATGGCATGACTGCCTTCGAGCCAGAGCAGCAACTTGAGCAAGCTAACGATGGGCGAGCGACCTTGAGGTGGGAGAGCAGAAGGAGAGCAGAGAGAGAGAAGGCCAAACGAATGCGAATTGAGCCAGGACGGGGGGCGGAGCGGGGACGAGAGTGGCCACACATGAAGCTCCACTCGCAGCTCATTTTTCGACAGCCTCGCGCCTCGCACGCTAGCGTGGTATCGGTACCACAAGTCAAGCTTGCGCCATGCCTGCCCTCAGCTAGCTCTCTTACGTAGTGAGATCCTCGTCATGTCCTGGCTGTACGGCGTCGAGATTGATTTTTCGCTTTCGCATTGAATTGAGGCTGGGTGAGTTGGCGGCCTCTTGTTTTCCGCACGGGCTCCTCTGCATCCAGGGTCTTGTCCAAAGTCCATCTCGGCAGTCGACGTCATAGGCGGCACGGACAGGCGTTCGGCGTTGGCGACCGTCAATGCGTGGCTTAGGAGCGCGATTCACACAGCTGTGCAGCGAGGGCGGCAAGCGGCGACAAGACCCTTGTTCGCTCATCGAGATCCGCGGGTCATTTTGTTGTCCATCACCATCCCTTCATCTAAGCTAGCAACGTCTTGCGCATCGCCTTGCTCATCAGGTCCTTTGTAACTTGCTCTCAATGTCGACTTGATAATATCCTACAGCGCGCTCGCAACCACACTGCCTCGAGCGCACACAACGGCATGAAGGGGATCACACCGTCTAGCGCCCCGTCACGGCGCTCCTCACCCCGCAATCAACGTCTTCACGCGCAGCATGGCTACCTCTCAGGCAACTACGCCCCCGTGGAGAAGGAGTCGCCTCTAACACCCTGCCGTATCGTCTCTGGCACGATCCCCGCGGAGCTCGCCGGCGGCCAGTACGTGCGCAATGGGGGCAACCCAATGGCCAACGCCAACCTCGAGCGCGAAAGCCACTGGTTCGACGGCGACGGAATGCTGCATGGCATCTTCTTTGGCGTCAGCGAGGGAAACCAGATTGCACCCTCTTATGTCAATCGATACGTTGTCACAGACGTCCTGGCCGGGACGAGCAGCAACGCCACAAGACCTATCCTCCCGTCCATTTCCACCCTCTCCTCGCCGTACGTCTCCCTCCTCACCATGCTCTATGAGATTCTCCGCTCTCTCGTGCTCTGCCTCTCCACTTGGATCCCTTGGACTTGGTCATTAGCAAGAGGCAAAGGGACTGAGCGTGTCAGCCGCATCTCTGTGGCCAACACGAGCGTCTATGCGCACGACAGCAAGGTCCTCGCTGGCTGCGAGTCTGGTCCCCCTATGCAGATTATACTTCCCACCCTGGATACAGCCGGATGGTGGACGGGTGACGAAGGTCGCTCATGGGCCAAAGGACTCGGACCAATGAAGATCTTCCACGAGATGACGACGGCGCACCCGCACACGGACATGTCAAACAACGAGCTGTTGCTCTACCACTCTTCCTTCATCGCGCCTTATCTGCGCATCTCGGTCATTCCGCCTCGTCGCTCTCGTCAGGAGGCCGTCATTGATGCTGTGGTGCCGGGTATGAAGGAGGGGAAGCTCATGCACGACTTTGCTGCATCAAGGACCAGGACGGTGGTGCTGGACTTGCCACTCAGCCTTGACCCACGCAACCTGCTCAAGGGCAAGCCCATCGTACACTTTGACGACAAGGCGCCGGTGCGATTTGGCATCTTCCCGCGGAGGGAGCCGGGAAGGGTCAAGTGGTACGAAGATCCGACGCCAGCTTGCATCTACCACACCGCCAACTGCTGGGATGAGGAGCAGGAACAGCAAGCAGAGAAGGATGGAGCACAGAGCAATGGTCAAGCGATCAACTTCCTCGCTTGCCGTCTCAACTCGGCCACACTCGTATACTCTGCAGGCAACGTCGTACCACCCGCATCAGCTCGTGCACCGCACGGCGAAGTCGAGCGCTGCGAGCTCTACTACTGGCGCTTCGAGGACGCTCCTGTAGCCAGCGGTAGCGGCACGACCCACCGCAACATCAAGCCCGAACCCTCTACTGGACCGCGCATCTCGCACTCCTTCCCCCTCTCCCGCGTCCCCTTCGAATTCCCCACAATCAATCTCTACCACGCGCCTGCGGCCGGACTAGGCCCCAATCGCTTCATCTACGGCTGCTCGATGCGCGAAGGGTCCTTCGATGCAGGCATGGGCCGCAACTCGGCCAAGATTGACTGTCTGGTGAAGATGGACGCGCAGAGCCTCGTCAAGAAGGGCAGACGACGTGCGGCTGAAGGAAAGTTGCGCAAGGGGGAGGCTGTTGATGAGCGGAGCATGGTACAGGTGCTTGCGGATCAGCAGACCCAGCAGGGTGGGAGTGATGACTCCGACATTCGCGTCTTCGAGCTTCCCTCTGGATGGTACGCTCAGGAGACTAGCTTTGTGCCCCGCGCCAACGCCGAGCGAGAAGACGATGGTTACCTCCTCTTCTTTGCCTTTGACGAAAAGACAGGGCTCGACACGCGAACAGGCATGGCTTTGCCTGATGCCAAGTCAGAGTTGTGGATCCTCGATGCCCGTGACATGAAGACGATCGTGGCTCGCATCATGTGTGCGCAGCGCGTGCCGTATGGGCTTCACGGCAAGTGGTTCACGGCGAAGGAGGTGAGGGATGTGGAGCATCCGCCGGAGGAGATGATCAGGTACCGCACTCTGGGAGGGAATGAAGAGGGATTCAGGGAAGGAGAGGGAAAGCTGGGACTGGGTGTGCTCAGGAGCTGGTTGCAGAGCATGGTGCCGTAGGTATGCTGCGCGGCGATGCTTACCGCGGACACGTCGTGTTTTTGTTCTTTTCATTCTGTCGTTGGACGCATTTTGCAAAAGCCATTGATACCCTGGCAGGAAGGTGCGAAGGACAATGCCAATCCCACTCATTTAGACTAGACCAGACCAGACCAGACCATCAACGAGTGACTGAGGTGAGCCTGCGTAAGAGCGGACCAAGCTGCTCCACGCTCGCTCGCCCGCCTGCCCGTCCACTCCGTCTTCGCCCCGCCTCTCCTCTCCGCTCCTGCGTCGAAAATTTGGTCGTCCGGCCGCGAGGGAAGCGCCTGCGTCTGTCTTGGTCCGTTCCTCACCACCTCGACGACCAGCATCAACTAATCTTCAACGACCGACACACAGCAGAGAGTGGCAATGGCGACCACCATGCCCGCCTCATCAGCAACAGCATCATCATCATCATCTCAGCCCACCCCATCCAGCCTCACTTCTTCCCTGCGCAGCCACAACAGCTCCTTCCTCTCGCTCCTCTCGCTCATCCCTCCGCAATTCTACCTCTCCCAGAAAGATGAGGATGGCAATGAGGACGAAGAGGAAGGGCTCGATGCGGGTCAAGCGCACAAGTTTATGAAGAACACAAAGAAGGTCAAGAGGGACGATGCGAATGAGCGCAAGGAGAGGAAGAGGGCCAAGCTCGATCCTGATAATGTGGCCAAGACCGTTTTGGATGTGCAGGAGGAGAGGAGGAAGGCGGCTGAGCAGATCGCAGAGGACAGCGATGACGATGATGACGAAAGCGAAGATGAAGAGAAAGAGGAGGACGACGATGACGCAGACGGCGACGAGACGGTCGAGGCTCCCCCACGCTCTGCGCCTACGGCAGCCCTCACGCAAAACGACAGCATCACCTCACTCCGTCAGAAGCTGGCACGCCGAATTGCCTCCCTCCAAGCACGCCGCGGTGGACCTACAGGCGCAAACGCCGTTGCCATCGGCGAAGACTCAACGATGGACGCAGATGACTCTCTCGACGGCGCTTCATCGGTCGGTGATGGGTCTATGGCCTCTACTCGGGACGAGCTCTTGGAGGAGCGCAGGAGAAAGCGCGGTGAGATGCGTGACCGCCGTAGGAGGGAGCGAAAGGAGCAAAGGAGGGCAGAGGCGGCAGCTCAGGCTGGTCAAGCTGATGCTAAGGGCAACAAGGGCAGCAAGACCTCAACAACCAACGCAGCTTCAGGCTCCAAGTCGACTGCAGGTCGATCAGTAGCTCCTTCCCTTCTCGTCTCAGAGGGAAGCAGCAAGAATTCGCGCACCAACGGCAGCGACTCCGCTCCCACCCTTTCGAGGGATGTCACCTTCTCCAGTCTCGAGTTCGCAGGCGACTCCGACCCCAACAAGAAGAAGCGAAGAGATAAGAATGCCCTTCCTGCCAACCCTAAGCAAGCCTTGGAGATCCTTCAGAAGCGCAAGGCCAAGGCGGCAGAGGAGGGCGATCATGACGACAGCGACGCAGCCGAAGCTGCTCGCTGGTCCGCAGCCACCTCTGCCTCCAAGGGCGTCAAGATCCGAAACGATGAGGCGCTCCTTCGCAAGAGTGTCGCACGCAAGGAGAAGGCTAAGCAGAAGAGCAGCTCAGCCTGGGCGGAGAGGCGAGAGGACGAGAAGAAGAAGATTGCGGACAAGGACAGGAAGCGTCAGGAGAACCTGATGGCTAGGCGAGATGCCAAGAAGGGCGGCAAGGGGGGCAAGAAGGGGAAGAGTAGTACGACGAAGGGCAAGGGGGCGAAGAGTATGGCCGTAGGGAGCAAGAAGGGGGCTAAGAGTGGCGGAGGAGGAGGAAGGGCAGGTTTTGAAGGCAAGAAGTTTGGGGGTGGGGGAGGGAAGAAGGCAGGTGGCAGCGGTGGCGGGAAGAGGAAGTAGATGTGACGACATGAAGCATCGAGTCAAATTTGATCATAGCGTATCAAGAACAACAGAGAGGAGCAAAGCAGAGTGTGTGAAGCGATTGTGGCCGTCTTTCCCGCCTAGTCGTCCCGGTTTCCATTGAGGAGTCGCAGGATCGACAGGAAGAGGTTGATCATGTCGAGGTAGAGCGAGATGACTCCCAGTACCCACTCATCCGGGCTGAGTCGCCTGGTGATCATGTAAGTATCGAAGACGATGTAGCCCGAGAAGACGAGCGTGCCTGCTCCGGCCATGAGCATATCCACTGTATGGCTGAAAGGCACGAAGAGCTGAACCAGCCCGCCTCCAACGAGGAAGAGGAGACCACCGAAGAGCCAAGGCGCCATACCGCTGAAGTCTCGCTTGGACTGGAAGGTGTAGAGGGTCAAGCCGAGGAAGACAAAGGTAGTGATGAGCAAGGCCTGGAGGACTACGTGGCTGTCGACGTAGGAGCAGACTGCGCCGAGGGAGAGGGATTCCAGTAGGGTGAAGAGGCCGAGCAAACCCAAGTTCAGCGGGTGTGAGTGGCGCTTCCAAAAGAGGAACCCCATGACGATAAGGGAGGCAAAGGATGGAGCGATGAATGCCCATTGGCTGTGAGAATGCAATGGGCTGTCAGCTTCTGTATGATGGGCCCAAATGGTGACACAAACTGGACTCACTTCTCTCGAACCCAAAGGGAGATGTTCTCCGTGCTCATGATCGCGCCTACGATAGCGGTTCCCAGTACTTGGATGAAGAGGACCGAATAGATCTGCAGAGGGCCATGTCAGCTATGCGTCCCTGCTGCGTCTCTCCTTGCTAAGCCCACTGACCTTCTTGAGGAACTGCATCCTGATCTCAGCACTACACTGATCTACGGTGACACCATACTTGAAGTCATCGCTCTCCGCATCCCCATCGGTACGCGGCGCCTCTGGATCGAAGCCGTACTCGGGGGCGGCATACCCGGCCGGTGCTGCGCTACCCTCAGCATCGGATTGAGGGATGGCGCTGTAGCCCTTCTTGTTTGCCGGGGCTGCAGGAGTGTAGGATGGGGGAGCAATTGTGTGCTGCTGCTGAGGGATGGACATGGTGGGTGTCAAGTGGTGGTGGTGGTGGTGATGGTGGCGAGAAGGAAAGATGTGAGCCCGTGCGAACACGCACAGCCGCCCCTCGACGCTCGACTCAGCAGACCGAACCGCTTTGGCTCCACCCGCTTGCTTGCTGCAGCGCTGCAGGGCTGCAGCTCACGTGGCTCAGTCCGACTACCAATGCCTCCCGTGGAGGCAGGCCTCTGTCTGTGCCTTTGCTTCTTGACCATCAACCATCCTTCTGCAAGCCAGCAAGTGGACCAGGTACAGGCGCAACGCAAGCATGTCAGCGCGACAGCGCTTGAATGCAAAACGACCGGCAAGGCGAGATCCTGGATCACGGGCTCAGCTGCTCTTGAGCGATCAGGATTTTGAGACGCAGGTGCAGGAGAGGTGAGTGAGCGGAAGGAGCGACCTGCGTTCAAGGTCAAGACCAATTGACTGACACCTTCACCTTCGTCCGTTCAGTTTCTCACCTCCGACCACAACGCACGCAGCTATCCGTCAGCTCAGCCTCACCGTCCAGCGACAGCGGGATGGCGACTCCTTCCGCCTTCCAAGTCTCGCATCTATGTGTCTACAAGTGGCGGCGCACAACTTCCTCACCCACATTCTTCCATCGAGGGACGTCTTCGAGGCTGCATCGAGTGGCAACAGACCTGTGCAAGTAGCGAGCCGCTCTTCGAGTGCGTCTTCAATGAGCCGTCCTCGCGTCGTAGGCAGAGGCATAGGCGGGCGGCGGATCATGGACGAGGAGACCGAGGCTGGACGTGATTGGCGTCCCCCAAAGAAACAGAAGCGCGCCCGCGGTGGGCGGAGGGGCAACTCAAGCGACAGCGATAGTGACAGCAATGATGGCAACGAGGTAGGCGTGGCTGCTACCCCGAGATCCATGAGGACTACACGAGGCCAGACATCCAATACCGCTTCACGACCAAGGAATCCGGCTCCCTTTACACGGCCAGAGCTCGACGACCTGACACGCTCAAATCACCAACTCCTGAAAGTGATGCCCGACCGTCATATCGTAAAGCTTCTCCGCCTTCTTCGCACGCACAGCTCCTCTGCTCTCACGCGCCACGTCTTGACCACCTACTTCGTCACAGGCCGATCCGACGTCGAGTTGGATGCAGGGATGACATTACTCAAGGACAGGCCACAGGAGATCAATTTGATGGTCAAATCGCTTGCTTCTCCCTCCGCAGGGACGGGGGCGACGCTCAGACGACTGAGCCTCTCAGGGCTCACTAGATTGGATCCGACCGCTCTCGCCTCTGCATTGAAGCGGTGCGACTCACTCGAGGAGCTGGTATTGAAGGGATGCGTGCAGGTCAACTCGACTTGTGTAGCCGCCTTGACCTCCACCGCCTCACGCCACACGCTCCGAATAGCAAATTTCAACTTCACCGATATTGGCCTGGAGGGCTTCACCCTGCTCGCCTCCAAATGCTCAAATCTGGAAGTTCTCAAGCTCGCCAGCGTCACGGGGCTGACGGACAAATCTGTTCCTGAGGCCCTGCGAAAGGCCACAGAGACAGCAGAGGGATTTCCCCCTTTGGCAAAGCTGAAGACGCTCAAGCTGAGGAAGACGGGCGTTGGCCCGTTGGGCATCTCCGCTTGTGTGCAGCTCTGCGGTAAGACACTGGAGAACCTCGACGTCTCCTCGCTAGGCTTGATGACCGAGAGTGGCATCAGGACGCTGGGAGCTGTCCTCGGTGTACAGCACCGCTCTCAGCACGCCGACAGCAGCTATGATCTGCCTCCCTTCGGCTCAGGTCGCACCCAGTCTACTGTCCTACCTTCCTCCCCGCTGCGACCTCAGCTGCGCAAGCTCAACCTCTCAAGCAATTTTGCGCATCAGTCCACCCTGCACATCCGGTCACAGGAGGCTACGTACGCCATCGAATATCTCATGCGGTACCTGCTACCTGCCTTCGCAGATACACTCGAGGTGCTCTTGCTGGATGATCTGGCTATCACGGGGGTGGAGTGGGATGTGCTAGAGGGCGAGTGGTGGCCAGAGAGGAAGAGGAGGGAGGCTGAGCGAGAGGAGACGATTGAGTCTGGTGCAGGTACTGCAACAGGCGACGCATTGGGCGGCACAGTGGTAAAGACGGAGGATGGCGGTACCGAGGTCTACGGCGGCGTCAGCACTATTGCTCCTTCACTCTCAACCAGACGACCCCTCGCAGCGCTACGCCGCCTCTCCCTCTCAGGTAATCAGCCCAGCATTCTACGCTGGCTCGATCTCTGGCGGCTTGACTATCTCTCTGTATCCCCCACCGATTCGCCCCGTCTTATGTCAAGCGTAGAAGAGCTCGATCTCTCCCGCATTGATCTGCGCTCATCCACTCAAGCCCGCTTCCGCGGACAGGGCGGCAGCGCCTGGTCGTACTACCAGCGACCGGCCGGTCACAGCACGGAGGACGCGACGCCTCCGTGCCCTCGTAGTTGGGCGAACTTGCGCAAGTTGGACTTGTCGGGCACGCAGCTTGGGGACAGGGAGCTGGATGTGCTTCGCACACGTCTCTGTCCTGCCTTACTGCGCTCCGCTGAAGCAGGCACGACCACGCTAGGTACAGACGACGAGACCGAGCCGCATGCTGAGCGAGGCTGGGTAGGGGACGCGGCCCCTTGGGAATTGTATACGCGAAGAGAGGTGGAGAGGCTCGGCGAGCCTACGGGGGAAGCGCTGCTGCGGTACGAGAAGTCGGCATTGCGCTCTCTGTCCCTTGCTGGAACAAATGTGAGCGGAGAGGGGGTGAAGAGGTTGGTTGCCCCGCAGCAGCAGAAGGCACCTTGCCCCTACGTCGAGGTGCTCGACCTCACGGGCTGTCGTGGTGTGGCGGTGAGGGAGCGAAGAGGAATATGGGACGTGATCGAGGCGGAGGCTGAGGATGTGGCACAATGATCGAGAAGAGATACCACGATGGAAGGCATTGCAGAGGAGGGACATCTCGCATTGATATCTACAGGTCACCAGGCTTCTCCTCCCTCCCACATTGCCCTGTATGTACCTTAGAATTGAAGCAAATTAACGTTCTGCCCCTGCTGCTGGCCGTTCTGCTGTCCATTCTGCTGCTGCTGACCGCCCCCAAAGGACTCCAAACCAAAGCTACTCGTCGGGACGAAGGGCTTCACGGTCGAGCCGCCGAATCCTGTTGCTTGAGGCTGCATCTGGGACTGTGGTTGCTGCTGCTGCTGCTGCTGCTGCTGTTGCTGGAAGCTGAAGGGCGTAGCCGTTGATTGGGGTTGCAGTTGGCCTGCAGTGGACTGCTGTTGCTGTGGTTGAGATTGTGAAGAGAAGCTGAACGGCATGGCTGTGTTCTGAGCTGGGAGACCCGTCATCTGCTGCTGCTGCTGCTGCTGCTGAGGCATTCCAAAGGGGTTGTTGCTCGGGGCTGCCGGGGTTGACGTCGATTGCGGCGGCATGCCCGTCTGCTGCGCGGCCAAGGTGGTTCCAAAGGAGCTCGAAGGTTGGAAGGGCCGTACAGAGCTACCGCCGAAGCCAGTAGCTTGTGGGGACAGGTGCGCTGACGTCGTTTGAGGGCTGAGCGACGAACCAAAGCTGGTGGACCCTGGCCCTCCACTGTTGAGGGAGAGAGAGGAGAAGCCATTACTGAGCGCTGAGGAGGTGGCGGAGGATGGGCCAGGTGATGAGGGGGGCTGCGGAGATGAGACACCGTTGCTCGCACCCATTCCCATTGCTGAACGACCTGCGCCCGTGAACTCTGAGGCGACACTGCCTAGCAGACCGGTTGCCTGCGGTTTAAGTCCACTGCTGCTCGGCGCTGCGCCATTCTGCTGTTGCTCCGGCTGCTGCTGTCCTGTATGCTGACCAGCACCATTCCAGGCCCCGGCTCCCAAAGCGTAGTTCCCTCCCCCTCCTTGCGTGGGCCCATTCATTCCCGCACCTCCTCCGCCGCCTTGGCTAAAGGCCAACTGCGCCAAGCTTGGCCCCTGCGGCTTTGGTGTCGGGGGTGTCGGGGCGCGCTCCTCCGGTGGTGGGGCGAATGGGTTGCGCGAGCCGGTCTTTTGAGGGAGAATCTTCGCAGGCGCAGGAGCTGAGGTTGCCTGCGGGGAGAGGAAGTTGTTTTGTTGAGGTGGCTGCTGCTGCTGTTGCTGCTGTTGCTGCTGGCCTGACGCCTCGCCATTCTGTCCACCATTCTCCTTGGCCTTCTCCGCTGCCTCCTGCTCACGCTGCATCTTCTCCATCCTCTGTCGCTCCATCTGCTGCTGTACCTGCACCGTGTATGGCGTGGCGTCGAATGCACCGCCAGGACCCATGCCTGTAGCTTGTGGGGCCATGCCCCCTGGGAATGCCATACTTTGCCTGAAGGGGTTGAAACCCGTCGCTTGGCTTTGCATGGGGCTCATCTGACCAGGCATCGCGGTCTGTTGAGGCTGAAGAAAGCCGGTCTGCTGTTGTTGAGGTGGCTGCGGCTGGCCGAAGAAGGCGGCCCCCGTCGGCTGCATACCCATGCCCATGCCCATGCCGAATGCGCCCGTGGCCTGCGGCGCAAGGAAGGGGTTGTAGCCCGTCATCTGGGGCTGCATGCCGCCGCCGTACATGTTCGGATTGGGCGAGCCGAACCAGGCCATTCCTGTCGCTTGGGGAGCCATCGAATACGGGTTGGTTCCTGGCCCGCCTGACGAGCCGGGCATCTCGCTCTCGAGTGTGCTGAAAAAGTCTTGGATGGCTTGATTTGAGGTAGGCGGCTTAGGTGCCGGAGCTGCTGTAGGCTTCTCCTCGCTTTTGGCCTCCTCTTTCTTTGGCTCGGAAGCCTTGGACGGCTCTGTCACCTTTCTGACAGGTGCAGATGAGCTGGATCCCGAAGCGTCTGCCCCGTCGGCCACCCTCTTGTTCTCCTTGTACTCGCTGCGATTCTTCTCAAAGTTTGCGTCATCCAGATACTCCTTGAGCGCTCCTGCCAAGCTGACGGGCGCATGTTTGAGCTGCGGTACGGTCATGTTGAGGGAGTGCGAGGCCTTTCTGGCTGCTGACAGGTAGGCCACCACCTTTTCTGTATGCCGACAGAAGCGATTGTAGACATCGAGGGCGCGAGAGGCGTCTGTATGCGACATTTCAAAGTAATGCTCCAGGATGTTGATGACCCCTTCGTTGATGGCGGTGTAGAGGGCGAGGATGTCCTTCAACACCATGCGGAAGGCGCTGACATTCAAGTCGTCACCCAGATTGTCTTGAAAGAAGGGGCAGTCGAGTGCTCGAGAGAGGACTCTTTGGGCGTAGGCGACCTCTCGCAGCAGGCCCTTTTCAACCCTGAGCTTGCGCAGACGATTCGTGTCTGACCGCGAGCCATCTGCGGATCGGATGACGTCGTGCTTAATCTCGCGGAAAGTACGGATGCGCTCATCAAGGTAAGCTGCGTAGGGTGGCAGAGTTGCCGGTGCATCGTAGCCTGGTAGAGATTCGATGAGCCCAGTGTCAGTCTGCTGTCTTCTCTATGCGTGACCTGGCTACGTACCACCACCACCTCCGCCTCGCCCTCTACGGTTTTGACGCTGATACGTCGAGGCGTCGCCCTCTCTCAATTCAGACTCGAGCCACTGCTCACCTTGCCAGTTGCCTCCTTGACTGACGTTCTTCAACCTGAACCCAGCCTGATCCGCAGCGAGATGGGAGAGGACATTGTCGACTGCGCCATTGCGGATCATTGTATGCAGGATGATGAGCGTCTTGAAGACGACGAGGGAGCTCGATTCGCGTAGGCGTAATGAGAGTGCCTTGCAAACGTCTGCGAGAGAGCCATCTTGGCTGAAGCTGGCTGCTAGAATGGGGTCGATGTACTTTGGCTGCGGGGTCGAGTGAAGGTGAGCATCAAGTCGTCAAGCAAATTCTTCTCTTGCTTCAGCGCCTCACCTTTGGCGCTCCTGGTTTTGGCTTAGTAGCATCGCGTACGAGCTTGTTGTACGTCGAAGACATGTTGTCGTCGCGACCTTGGGTATCAATGCGTGGAAGGATGGATTGGGAAGTGGGAATGGTCCCCGCGACTACGACGGCAGCCACAGAGCGGCAAGGCAACCAACCAACTCAGGCCCGGCTGCTCAGGGCAAGACTCCGCCCTCTCCAACGTCACAGAGCATCGACGGCGAGAGACCTTCAACCACGTGGTCGCATGGCCTATTCCCGCACGTCTTTCGCGTCACGACCAACGAGCTGCAAGGCAACCAACACCACCTCGACTCGCATCCACTCCTCGAATTTCCCCATCGTCACTGCCACCTTCATCATCGCGCGGCATGACCGCCCGCGCCTCTTCACGCGCGCTAGCCACGCTGGTCCAATCGACGAACCCGCTCAGCACTCGAGCATCACGCTCCGATGATGCAGAGACGGCCAAGGACAAGGAGGACATGCTGCAGGACCTCATCGAAGTTGCGAGGAGGACACTCGCGCAGCACCACTCGACCAAGCAGCCAGACACGCAGAGGTCTCTTGAGAGGATTCGGAGACGCTTGTCGCGGTCTCCAAATGGAGAGGCGACGCTCGCGCAGGTGGACGCACTGCTCGCTCGACTTGACGAGCTGGCCGATCAACCTGGAGAGCTGCCAGCTATTCTCGCCTTCCTCTCTCAACTCACACTCTCTGGCCCTTCATCTTCATCACGCACCGCCCTTGACGTGCCACAATCAGCAGCGAGTGCTCGAACGAGCGCAGCGCCCAGCATAGCCACGGGATCACGTCCTGCCTCTCGTACTGCACCGCGTGGTAGTCTTGAGTCCACGATCACTGGCGGTGCTGCTGCTCAGCCGCCTGTTACACGGCCCGATGACGAGCGTAAAGTGGCAGCAGCAGAGACGGCAGCTCGGGCTCAAGAGGTAGACGCTGGTAGAAAACGCGCAGAAAGGGTACGGGAGGAGCGTCCACCGCTCGCTCCTGTGGCTCCAGCCGTAGCTGTCATCGACGACGCAGATCTCGGCATAGGTACGGTACCCAAGTCGGTCGTCTTAGAGCGCTGGAGAGCTAAAGCGTCACAATCGCACGTCTCCGAGCGCGACTTGTTGCGCGACGTCCTCTATCTCCTTCAAGGCATTAACGGGCATCACGTCCGCTTCGAAGAGGAACGCCCGCAGCCGGTGCACGACCCCGGCGTCATCTCAACGCAACCGTCCGACCCCGAGCCAATCGTCAAAGTCAAGATCGTGGACGGCATCGACGGGCTACGTATTCCTCTACCTACTCGGCATCTTATCCACCGCCTGGCAGAAGCGGGCAAGCACTACCAACGGATCACCTCCTTCATTCGTGCTCAAGCCGTCGAGGAGAAGACGGGTCGAGTGATGCAGAGCCTCTGCCGCTTCCTCGATGGTGAGCTGCATGGCTATTACGAGCTTATCTGCAACCTAGAGGCCCACTTCAATCGCGGTGCTGCGCAAGGACCAGAGGGCGAAGCGGCGTTGACGCTCAAGAAGGTCTCAGTGGACATCGAGCCCTCGTTACTTCGCATGCGGCTCATGTCTTCGCTTGTCGAGGGGGCGCAACATGCCCACGGGGGAGCCTTAGTCTCGCTCATTCACAACTATACCTTCAACGGCGACCCACTCATTCGCTCCTTCACTGAGCGCCTGCTGCAGGATGTATCTCGCGGCTTCTTCGGCAGCTTGGCAAAGTGGATCTACGAGGGAGAGCTTAGCGACCCTTTTGGGGAGTTCTTTGTCGCGCGTACCGACTCCTCAGCAGCTACGAACGCATCGAACATGCGCCGCCCAGCAGACGAGATGGGTCACAACAGCGTCGATGCGGCAGCGTTGTGGGAGCACAAGTTCGTTTTTCGCTCAGACCTCGTACCCACTTTCCTCGCCGAGACGTTCGCGCGCAAGATCTTCTCGGCGGGCAAGTCGCTCAATTTTATCAGGGAAAGCTGTGGGGACGAGGATTGGAAGGAGGCGCGCACTGCTGTCTTGTCTGCAGCGAAGGCCGAGGTGCCGACATCAGGCGAAGAGACTGCACCGACGCTGCGATACAGGGATCTCGTGGGTCTCGAAAGGACCATCGATGCGGTGCACTCGACCATCTCCAAACGACTGCTGGACATCTTCCTTGACAAGTTCAAGCTGCAGGCTCACTTGAGGGCTATCAATGACTACCTCCTATTGACGCGAGGAGACTTCTCCGAAGTCCTCATGGAGTCGTGAGTACGCGTGTTGCCTCTACTCAACTTGTAGCAAGCTGACAATCTCCTTCCTGCCTCGCGCCGAAACCACAGCCTCTCCCCGATTCTGCACAAACCGGCCTCCCTCTTGTATCGTCACTCCCTCTCAGGGGCCCTCGAGACCGCGATTCGCAGCTCTAACGCCCAGTACGATGACAGCGAGATTCTGAATCGACTAGACGCCCGCGTTCTCGAATTCTCAGGCAATGAGACTGGCTGGGAGACCTTCACCTTGGAGTACCGTGTCGACTCCCCCGTCAACACCGTGCTCGATGCAGGGGCCATGGCGGAGTATCAGGCCATCTTCCAGCACTTGTGGAAGATGAAGCGGGTAGAGACCAATCTGGCTGCCAGTTGCGCGAGGTTGATGGGCGCAACGAACGCGTTGAGTAAGGCGGTGTATGCCAAGGGGGTCAAAGGGAGGAAAAGACGTGAGGCAGAGAAGGATGAGGATGTTGAGGGTGAGTGGGCATCACACGATTCACAGATGCCAATTGAGCTGACCACCAAGTGCCCCTTCACCGCTCGCAGCCCTGCGTCTCGAGTCACATCGCTCCCTTCTGCTACTCTCTTCGATGACCCACTTCATTCGCCAACTTCAAGGCTACACCGATCTTGAGGTCATCTCTTACTCCTGGGCGGATCTCGTCTCTTTCCTCAACAAGCGCCAAGGAGACCTCGATGTCCTCATCGCAGCGCACAGGGGCTACCTGACCAGCTTGCACGGCAAAGTGCTGTTGCGCGGCGGCAGTGGTGATCTGGCAGGGGAGCTGAGGCACAACTTTGACTCGATCCTCAAGTTTACGCGTGCTTGCGATCAGCTGACGGTTTTCCTTGTTGACTTCTTGGCAAGAAGGGACCTCTATCTCAATCCGCGCATGCTCGAGGAGGATGGAGACGAGGATGGAGAAGGAGGAAGACGACGTCGTGCCGGCGAGGATGAAGAGGACGAGGCCACTGCGAGGCGGCTCTCGAACATCCTGCGACTGCTGGGAGATAGCGGGCAGGACTTCAAGGAGAGAACGGAGGCGATCCTGACGAGGCTAGAGAGGCACGGCAATCTTGTCATTCGAGATTTGAGCGTGAGGCTGGACTTTAATGGATACCACGCGAGGACGCGACCTGAGAGGACGACGGGTGGCCATGGGGGAAGGAGTAGCGGGCTGGGCGATAGAATGGTGTCGTGAGAGCGCGAATGCTACAAGGACTTTGCAATGTCATCAGCTGCGTAAAGCAAACCGCTCTTCTGCTCATCGACTTCCTCGTACGGTGGCGGGTCTTCCTGCTCCGCCGCGTCGCGCACGTGGCTGGAAGATTTGGTCGTGGTCGACATCAGACTGAGAGAGCAACTTTGGCTCTTTGACTCGGTTCACCACCATCGCCCGCTATCGCCTTTGCGCGTCTCGCACGCTTCCCCCTCATGTCCTCTCTTCTTCAGCTGCCTGGCTGCGAGAGTCACACGGCTGCCCAGCTCAGTCGTCTCTTGCAGCGTCTCAAGGCTGCGGCTCCCTCTCTGTCCGGCGTTGAGGCTATCGAGGCGCGCTTCGTCCACTTTGTAAACGTCTCGTCCAAGGCGGCTCTCGACGACCTCACTGCGTCGTCTTCTTCCTCTTCTCCGTCATCACATCGCGTCATCCTGGACCATCTCCTAGCATATGGTCACCCAGCTGAGCAGTTCGCCGAGGCTGCATCGGGCACTCACCTCTACGTGATCCCTCGTCCTGGTTCCATCTCTCCTTGGTCGTCAAAGGCGACGGACATCCTTCATCTATGCACCCTCAAGGACCATGTCACTCGCGTCGAAAGGGGAGTCGAGTACGTCCTGCACGGCAAAGACGTCCCAGCTCTGTCGTTTATCCCGGCCGCGGCTCTCGACGTGATCCACGACCGAATGACGACAATTGTGGTCGAGCGCTCGCCGCGCTTCGACGACATCTTCGCCGAGTCGCCTCGCAAGCCTCTCGAGTACGTAGACATCCTCGCAAAGGCCTCTTCGGCAGAGTCTGCTGTTGCGGAGCTCGAGGCAGCCAACAAGGCTCGTGGTCTGGCCTTAGCGCCAGATGAGATCCGCTACCTCGCTCAAGCATACACGCAGCTCGGACGCAACCCGACGACCCCCGAGCTCTTTTCCTTCGCCCAGGTCAATTCGGAGCACTGTCGTCACAAGATTTTCAATGCCGACTGGACCATAGATGGGCAGCCCCAGCCCAACACCCTGTTCGGCATGATTCGTAACACGCACAAGGTCACGCCCCAGGGCACCATCAGCGCTTACTCGGACAATGCGGCCGTGCTCGAGGGCAGCGATGTTGCACGATTCAGCTTTGTTGAGCAGCAAGATGGCACTGTTGCCTACGCTCAGTCTGAGGCAAAGGAGGCGCACCCCATGCTCGTCAAGGTTGAGACGCACAACCACCCAACCGCTGTTTCGCCGTATCCGGGTGCTGCGACTGGCGCAGGAGGAGAGATCAGAGACGAAGGAGCCGTGGGCAAGGGATCGCGACCCAAAGCCGGCCTTGTCGGGTTCATGACCTCCAATGTCACGCCGGCAACGGAAGAAGGCGAGCAGCCCGTCGACACCTCCCTGCCTGCTCACCTCAACCCGGGTAAGCCAGCCCACATCGCCTCCAGCAAGGACATCATGCTCGAAGGTCCCCTCGGAAGCGCCAACTTCAACAATGAGTTCGGTCGTCCCGGCCTCACGGGCTTCTGGCGTACTTTCTGCCTTGACACCGGAGCAGAAGTTCGCGGATACCACAAGCCTATCATGCTCGCCGGAGGGTTGGGAAATGTTCGCCCGCAATTCGCACTCAAGTCCCCCATCCCCATTGGCGCAAAGATCGTCGTTCTCGGTGGTCCTGGCATGCTGATTGGTCTGGGCGGCGGCGCTGCCTCCAGCATGGCATCAGGCGCCTCCGACCGAGCCGATCTGGACTTCGCCTCTGTGCAGCGCGAGAACCCCGAGATGCAACGACGCTGCCAAATGGTGATTGATGCCTGCGTGGCGAGCGTAGCTGGCAACCCCATTCAAAGCATTCACGACGTCGGTGCTGGCGGCCTTTCCAACGCCTTGCCCGAGCTTGTGCACGACGCAGGACTGGGCGGCAAATTCGAGCTGCGCGACATCCTCATCGACGACGAGAGCATGAGCCCGCTCGAGATCTGGTGCAATGAGTCGCAGGAGCGCTACGTGCTTGCCGTCCTCCCCGAGGATGTGCAGCGATTCACTTCTATTGCGCAGAGGGAGCGCTGCCCCTTCAGCGTTGTGGGGGAGGCAACGGAGGAGCAACGCCTAGTCGTGACAGACCGGCTTGCAGGGAATACGCCGCTTGACTTGCCTATGTCGACCCTCTTTGGCAAGCCGCCAAAGATTGCCCGCGAGTCGAAGCGCCTCCAGCCTGACCTCAAGCCATTCGATGCCTCTGCTCTCGGCTCCTCTGACGACTTTTCCGCCGCATTCGACGCTGCTCTTGGTCGCACGCTCCGCCTCCCCACGGTAGCTTCCAAGTCCTTCCTCATCACCATCGGAGACCGCTCCATCACAGGTCTTGTCGCGCGCGACCAGATGGTTGGGCCCTGGCAGGTGCCCGTAGCAGATGTGGCTGTCACTCGCACCGGCTACGGGTTCGAAGATGTGCTCACGGGCGAGGCCATGTGCTCCGGTGAGCGCACCCCGCTTGCTCTGCTCAGCCCTGCTGCGTCGGCTCGCATGGCTGTGGGCGAGGCGATCACCAATCTGGTCGCCGCCAGTGTCGGGGATATCACGCGCGTGAAGCTCTCGGCCAACTGGATGTGCGCGGCAAGCTACAGTGATGAGGGCGCTAGACTGTACGAGGCTGTGCAAGCTATTGGCCTCGATCTTTGCCCGAAGTTGGGGCTGGCCATTCCCGTAGGCAAGGACTCGATGAGCATGCAAATGGCTTGGCGCCAAGATGGAGAAGGCAAAGCAGTCACTGCGCCCATGAGCGTCATCATCACTGCCTTTGCACCCGTTGACGCCATTGATCGCACCTGGACTCCGCAGCTGCGCACAGAGGACGATCTCGACCCTGCAGCTGCGGAGACGGTGCTCGTCTTTGTCGACCTGGCTCGTGGCAAGCAGCGAATGGGTGGTTCCTGCCTCGCGCAAGTGTACGGTCAGCTCGGTCAAGATTGCCCCAACGTGGACTCCGGCAACGAGGCGCTACTCAAGGGCTTCTTCGATGCCTGCCACACGCTCAAGGAGCTCAAAGTGCACGGCCGCAAGGCAGGGGACGATCAGCTTGTCCTTGCTTACCACGATCGATCGGACGGCGGGCTCATCACTACCATTGCCGAGATGGCCTTTGCTGGCCGTTGCGGAGTTGAAGTCGACATGGACGTTATTGCGAAGAGTGCATCAACGGAGGACCGTATCGCCGCTCTCTTCAATGAGGAGCTTGGCGCCGTTATGCAGGTACGCAAGGGAGACGTCAAGGCCGTAGAGCGCATCTTCCAGGTCAGCGGCTGCGAAGGCTGTCTCAGCATTATCGGCAAGGTGCTTCCCCGCTCACAGGGCGAAGGCATCTCGCTTGTCTCTTCATCGAGCTCGATCTGGTCGTCGACTCGCAAGGACCTGCAGACCATTTGGGCCGAGACGTCGTACCGAATGCAGCGCGAAAGAGACGACCCCGAGTGTGCTCGCGAGGAGTACTCTCGCATCTCTCCGCTCGCCAACACGCAGCAAGACGGAGGACGCCTCGAGTATGATCTGAGGTACAATCCGGGCGAAGACTCACTCGGCCCGCTGGTCGACCTTCCCCTGCAGAAGCGCCCGCGCGTTGCCATCCTCCGTGAGCAAGGCGTCAACGGCCACCTTGAGATGGCCTTTGCCTTCTATGCAGCCGGCTTCGCGCCCATCGACGTCCACATGTCGGACATCGTCTCTGGCCGCGTCTCTCTCAAGCCCTTCCGTGGTCTCGCAGCCTGCGGCGGGTTCTCCTTCGGTGACGTGCTCGGCGCCGGAGCTGGGTGGGCGAAGAGTGCTCTCCTAAACGTCAAGGCCCGCGAAGAGTTCCAACACTTCCTCGTCGAGCGCAAGGACACCTTCGCTCTGGGTGTGTGCAACGGATGCCAATTCCTTTCGCAACTGGCAAAGAGTGGGCTAGTGCCTAATGGCGGAGAGGACTGGCCTACATTTGAGAGGAACAAGAGTGGGAGGTTTGAGGGACGGGTGTGCACGGTGCAGGTGGACGTCGAGAGTGAAGTAGTCAAGAAGAGCGTCTTCCTGCGCGATATGGCTGGCAGCCGTCTCCCTGCCATCGTGGCTCACGGTGAGGGGCGAGCGCAATGGTCTTCGCCTGAGGCGCAGGCTCGTGCCGCTCAGCGAGGTCTCGTTGCCCTGCGCTACGTCGAGGCCGGCTCTGCTCCCGAATCAGGAGGTGCGACGGCATACCCTACGAACCCGAACGGCTCGCCCGACGGTATCACTGCATTGAGTACGGACGACGGTCGTATCCTCGCCATGATGCCCCACCCAGAGCGCGGGATCACTGCTGAAGCCATGTCGTGGAAGCCTGCAGGTGCAGCACAGGAGTGGAAGGGCAAGGGACCATGGTTGAGGATGTTCGAGAGCGCAAGGCGTTGGTGCGAGTAGAAGGGGGCGCAGGAGACGAAGAGCAATATCCGTAGAAGGACAAAATGAAGATCAATGCAAAGCCGGAGCATCATATTGACCTGTCGTGCGAGCATGCGATTGAATGATTAGACAAAAGACAGAGAGAGCTTCTTCTTGCTGCGCGGATGGAGAGATTTCTGACTGACCCCGCCTTGCTGCCCCTCGCGAAAGAAGCGGCATGCATAGACTATCTCAACGAGCGAGCTCAGCCAAGAGTTGACGTCTCGAAGTCAATTTCAAGACTCGGGGCCTCGCAGCTCCGGCGGCCCGAGAAATCGGCGAATACATGAAATGCACGTTTCCACCTTCCTTCCTTCCCACATCATTCATTCATCTATCTCCTTCCCTCATCCTCAGCATCTTTACGCGCCACGATGAGCTCGGCATCGTGGCTGCCAACTGCTTCGTCGTGGAAAGGGAAGGCGGCCGCGTACCAGGACGAGGAGGAGGACGCTGGGCTGCTCCTCGAGAATCGCTCCGACTGGCAGAAAGGACATCAGAGCATCGCGTCGGCAGGGCCCAAGCGCTCATCACAACGAGCGCCCAAGGTCGTTTTTTGGATCGTCGGCGCCTTTGCCTTCCTATGTGCCGTCGGGCTCATTGGCTCATGGATGTTCGGAAAGGACTCTCACCTCCCCTCACGTGAAGATGGTCCAACGCGAGAGCAGGCCTACCAGCGACGCCTGGCTCAGCTACACAAGGAGCTCGACGTTGCGAGTCTCCGCGATGAATTCAATCTTCACGGCGACATCCCAGACTACACAGCCTACATCGCCCGGCTTCGCTCGACGTACGACAAGTACTTCACCCCCACAAAGACATCGAGCATGGTGGGCGACCCCTGGTCTCACGTCGAGGCTCATCTGGACCCGCTGCGCACCTCTGACTCAAAGGCAATCCCGCACATCGTCTCGTCTTCGGCCAAGAACAAGTCGCAAATCATGCCCGCCTTCTCCTCTTGGGCCGAGAAGAACAAGGGTTGGAAGGTGTCGCTCTTCGATGATGAAGATGCTTCCAAATTCATTGCATCCACCTTCAACGAGCTGGGCATCGATCAAAAGCAGCAAGGCAGCTTTAGCAATCTCCTGACCAAGATGCCCTCCAACATCCTTCGAGTGGATACCTTCCGCTACTTTCGCATCTTCTTCTCTGGGGGTCTCTACGTTGATTCGGACACATCGTGTCGGCATGCGATGGCCGATTGGCCAGGGTTGAAGGGGCCGCACCCAAAGGTCGCGCATGGTGGGGACGACGTGCTTCGCTTTTTGACCTCTGTGGCGCGCGAGAATCTCACCATCGCAGACGACGGGGCCGCGCCACGCTGGACGCCCCCCTCTTTGGTCATGGGGCTTGAGGAGGACTCATTCATGGCTAGAGAGGACTGGCGAGCTATGACTTTTGCCAAGCCGCTTCAGATCACCCAGTGGGCATTCATGGCCGAGCCCTTCCACCCGGTCCTGCTCGATGCCCTCGGGACGGTCATGGATCGTACGGTACACGAGCTTGAGAAGGGGACAGAGGGGGACTACATTAACAAGATTCTTGAGTGGACGGGACCGGGCATGCTCACGGACGCAGTCTGGCGATACATGGGGGCACTGTACGGGGCAACGCCGCGAGACTTCACGTTCAACCAGAAAGCGGTGCGAGTGGGAGGGATGTTGATGCTACCACATATGGCGTTTAGGGCGCCGGACGAGCCCAAGGACGATCTGCTGAGGCCTATCGTGCATCATCACAAGCACGAGTGGTGGTGAGGAGCTCCGGTCAGCCAGCAAAGCGGGCCCCGTCGAGGTTCGGACTTGAACGGAAAGCATGTTGTACACTCTTGCATATCGTTTGGAATCGTAAGAACTATAATTCGCGCCCCTCACGCTCACCACCTCTTGTAAGCCAGATACTTTCCTTCCAGCGTCAGCCTGACTCTATCTCCCTTGGGGTCAGGTACGCGCTCAACTTCTCCGTTGAAGTCAATGGCGCTCATGATACCGTCCCCGAACTTCTCGTGAATCAGGTGCTTGATCGGATGGCCGTACACAAGGACCGCCTCGTAGAGACGGTAGATTACGGGGTCGCGAGGGGGGAGCTCCTGGATCAAGCCAGCGCGATGAGGCCAGAAGGAGGGGCCGAGGGAGGCGGTGAGAGCGCCAGAAGGGATCTCCAGAGCTTTGCTGAGTGCATCTAGATCTTCAGGGAGGGGTTTGGCTTGACCATAGAAGCTGGCGCGAGGGAGGAAGGAAAAGGGCGTGTGGGGGTTGGTCAGTAGTGTGACGGCTTGTCGGCTTGCTGGCGTAGCGTTGTCTCCACTCACATCGCAGCCGTGTACACCTCGCTCCTGCCAATCGCCTTTGCCACATCCTCGAAGGACATGCCCTTCTTGGCCTTGGCCTCGTGCAGAGCCGCAAAGATGGGGCTGTGCAGCTCCTCCAGAACACGAGGAGTCGCTGGCGTCTCAGAGAGCGTGGACGCAGAGCCGTTGGTTCCGTTAGCTGCCATTGTTGGTAGGGTGAGGTAGGAGGATGAGGAGGTTGTCGTGACGGCGTGTCCTCCGGTTCATTTAAGATTTGTACCCAGCCCCGCTCGAGCTGTGTGGGCTTCGCGAGAGATAAGAGCTTCGAGCTTCCCGGCGTCCAAGCGTCCTTGCTTGCTTGGCGGGGGCCCGTGCGGGGAAATGGACGGCGTTTGGTCGCTCTGAGGCGCCTTCGAGACGCGAGAACAGCGATGTCGTCGATCAGCAGCGATAAGGCTTGCATGGAGTGAGCATACCAACAAAGCACAGAGACGGCGATCGACATGAGAACGGCGAACGGCGAATGGCAATGGGATAATGCGGCGAATGGTTCTTGACGAGAGGCGGTTGACTGAGGTGGGTGACTGTGAATTCGTATTAAGGATAAGCATGGAGGGGGCTACAAGACTAGCGAGTGGGTAGGAGGGGATATAGGGCAGGCTACGCTGCTGCTTGTACGTATTAGAGGGAGGTAGCGCGGAATGCACGTCTAAGTGGTGGTAGGTCAGGCGGCCTGCCCCGCGCTCTTCGTCCTCGTGAGAACCGAGTTGCCAGACTTCGCATCGTCTTTGCCGTCTCCATCGCTGTCCTCCGTCGCCATCCTGGTGGTGCGCTCCGTCAAGGGCAGCGTCGGCATGCCGCTTGTACCATCACGACCTTTGCCCTGCCCAGAACCATCATGACCATCGTGGTCGTGATGCAGCTTGAAATCGTCGGTGGAGAAGATCTCGTCGACCTCCTCCAGTGTGAGGCCCTTCGTCTCGGGCAGGAAGACGGCAATGATGGGCACCCAGGCCGCGTTGAAGACGGCGAAGAGAGCGTAGGTTCTCCAGCCAATGTTCTCCAGGGCTGAAGGAGTGAACTTGACGACGGCGAAGTTGCAGATCTAAAAGCGTTGCGGGGGAGAAACGCTTTGTCAGTCGGTGATGAGAGTGAGCCAAGCAGCAATCGCGGCCCCGTCAGCTCACCCAGTTGCTCGCTGTAGAAAGCGCCGAACCCCTTGTCCTGATGCTCAGCGGTAGCACCTCACTTGGGATCATCCACACCGTGGCCTGGAACCCCACGGAGAAGAATAGCTCGAACAAGAAGAGCATGGCCACGGCTCCGTGTGAGTCGCTACGGCTCGCCGTGCCCTCTTGGATCTTCTTGACCAGGACCGTCTGCACAATGAAGACGAGGGACATGGCTGAGATGCAGGACAGTAAGAGCGGCTTGCGCCCGAGACGGTCAACTAGGAAGATGCTGACGAATGCGCCGAGGATGAGCACCATGTTTAGGCCACCGGCCAGCTGGGCTGATTGCTTGTTGCCCAGTTTGAGCGATTGTGAGAAGAGGGTCGAGGAGTAGTAGATGAGGCTGCGCAGGTGCATGGTAGGCAGGAGCGTGTCAGCCTGGTCATTCTACCAGCCAGGGGAACTCACGCACGCATTGATGCCACCAAGTTGCTGCGCAGCCTGAATGAAGCAAGCGAGCAACAGTCTCCTTCTCGTTCTCACGGCGTCGTCCCTCCCTTTACCTCCCGGGCTTAGCAGGGTAAGGAATGTGTTGGTGTGCTTAGCTGCCTCCTTCTCGTGCGCGATAGCCTGCTTGATCTGGCTGTACTGATCCTGCACTTCGTCGTCTTCCTCTCCCTTGTTGGCCAGGCGAGCAAGCACCGCAAGGGCCTCCTGATCGCGACCGCGGGCAAGATACCAGCGAGGTGTGTCGGGTATGACGGCCGCGATGAGGAAAATCCCGATGATGAAGAAGGACTGAGCAAGAATGGGGAACCGCCAGGTGACTGTGCCTGTGAGGCCGCTGAAGTTGAAGCCGTAATCTGTGCAGAGGAGCCTTACGATGTGTCAGTCCGGGCGAGGTGACATCGGAGCAGCTGGGACTCACCGGTCCAATAGCTCAGCACGATCCCGCAGTTGAGAATGGTGAGAGACACAGCGACAAGCTTGCCGCGTGAGAAGATCCCCTTGTCCCTCGCAGGGCTGCATTCGGTCAGGAGAATAGGCACCGTTGAGTTGATGAGACCCATACCGACTCCAGCGACAACGCGGCCCAAGATGAGAACGGCGACGGAGCTGCACGCTCCTTGGATGATGGCGCCCACTTGAAGAATGGTAGCGCCCAAAAGGATGGTACGGCATCGACCGAGAGGAGAGCCGATGGAGAAGGAGGCGAGGGCGCCAATGAAGCAGCCGATCCTAGCAGCGGGCGTGGTAAGAGGAGAGTCGAGTCAATCAGGAGGACGTCGATTAGTGAGATGATCTGCAACCGTTCACTCACTCGTAGATGGATACAATATTGCCGACAAGGGCGGCGTCTGGATTGCCAAAGGAGCGTTTGAAGGCCGCAGTCTCGAGGATACCTCCCATGACACCTGCGCGAGGAGCGAGCGACGCTGATGTCAGCCCCACGCCTATGCGGCCCTCGTCTTGAATCTTAGCAACGTCGCAGCCCACGCACCATTATCGTAACCGACGAGCAAGAAGCCTAGAGCGCTGCAAGCAGTGATGGCCGCGAGGAGCGTGTGCCCCTGTAGCCCGATGTCGTGCGTAGGCCAGCTACCTCGAGTGCGACTGCGGTGGGCTGCAAGCTTCGACATGGTTGCAAGGACACGAGAGCGAGGCGTCGCCTTGGTGGTAATGGACAAGAAGGAAGAAGGTGAGGTGAGACAGGGGGGCCAATATATCGCGATCGCCGGGTGCAGCATCGAGACAATAACGTCAGCTGCTTGCCGAGGTCATGCTTGCTTGCCTCCCACTCCAAGTCTTTGCTTGCAAGTGGTTGTCGTGCCGCCGATGATTCGGCGATGTGATGGTGAGACGGCAAGATAGCGAATTGCTTTGCGCCCGCGGATCACACTTGGATCGACGCTGGAGCGAGGGTCAGCTGCTCATCTCAGATGGCACTCGGCGGGCGCGAATGACGGGCCGGCCAGGCCGGATTGCCGTGACGATGGTGCGAGCGAGCGAAGAGGGAAAGCAAGGCAAACACCAACACAGCTGGAGAAGTCACTCCCACCAGGCTGTGAGCACTACAAGACTGAATGTGTTGAGCCGTAGACAGAGTGACTGGAGCCGTGCATACAGCCTTGCCAAGCTTCACTTCTCCCACCTGCCCTCTGCCACCCCGCAATCGCTCCCCTACTTCTTGTCCTCATCAACGTCCGTCCCCAAACTGACACTCTTCCACTTCTGAATGCTCTCGCCATACGTCTTCACTTTGGTTTCCATAGCCCCAAAGGCATCGCTGCCCAGCACGATCCTCAAGGGAGGGTCAGCGTGAACGGCCAAGTCGTACATGGCTTTGCCCGCTTTAGCCGGGTCGCCGACTTGGGTACCGTGCCTCTTGCCCATCGTCTCACGCATGTTGAGATGATCGTACACGGACTCGAGGTCGCGATGACCGCCGTACTCCATGTTGGCACCTGCCCACTCGGTGCGGAATCCTCTGCAAAAGAGCCAGCGAGCAGGAGAAAGGTCAGAAGGGCGCAAAGGAGTAAGATGATGTACGCTGCGCCAACTCACCCGGGCTCGATGTTGGTGAGCTTGATGTTCCACTCGGGCTTGAGTTCGTGCGAAAGAGCTTCCGTAAAACCTTCGACAGCCCACTTGGAGGAGCAATAGATGGTAAAGCCAGGAACACCGCGTTGCCCGCCAATGCTGGTGACTTGCTGAATGACGCCACCTGGAGGAGACTGGGTGCGCATCGTCTCGACTGCCTTGCGTGTCACGGCGATGAGGCCAAAGTAGTTGATCTCCCTGTGAAAGACGGGTAAGAATGGACTCAGCTCTCAATGATTCTTAATCACCGTCGTCGTCGCGCACGCACATCTGCTTCCTGCACTGCTCCTCGGTGAGCGTTTCGAAGGGACCTGAGAGGCCGTATCCCGCATTATTGCAGACAACGTCGATCCTTCCAAACTTATCCTTTGCCTGCTTGAAGACCTTGTCAATCCCCTCTGGCTTGAGCAGGTCTAGATCGACGGCGAGGAAGTTCTTGTCGTTGGCACCGTCAATCTTGAGCTTGGAGCTGGTGCGGGCCGTGGCGACGACGTTGTCGCCTGCAGCGAGGGCTGCCTTTGCCATCTCGTGGCCGAAGCCGGTCGTGGTGCCTGTGATGATGAAGGTGCGTGCCATTGTTGATATCGATGAGAAGGTTGGTAGACGGAAGAAAGGAGGAGTGGCGAGAGGAGGGTGGAGGGCGGTGTTATGAAGTGTGGGGGCGACGTGGGCGAAAGGGTCTCTTGTGGAGGCGCCCAATCACCGCCGGCACGATTGGCCGCTGGTGCAGATCCGGCGGCGGCCAAAGCACCCAAGGGCCCAGGTTGCAGCCAGCCTGCACCTGGGGCCGTCGTCGCCTACTCGGCAGCTTGACTTGGTGCTTGCCATCATTGAGCCTCGACGTTTGCTCTGCTACACACCTCTGTCGCTGCCATCAGCCTGCAATGCTGCACTGAGGGCGAGGCGCTCATGCGAGACGGAAGCACTCGACTTTCTCGCGTGGCTTTCTCCCCGCACGCACATGTGCGACGCAACTCTTGGCGCTTTCCTCCTCGAATGCTGGAGAGCAACACGCCCAACGGTTCCTTGCCTCTCCATCCTTGCTTGTGATCGCAGCATCCCAGCATGTACCTCTTTCCCCTGTCTCCACCTCCTAATCCAGTAGACTATGCGACTCATCTCATCCCCACGGCTTCGTCTCCCATCACTCCAGTCCACCTCTCCAAGGCTACCCAACAGCGCGAAGCCGTCCGCACCCTGCTGCAGCGCAACCATGATGCTTCTTCTTCCACCTCTTCCTCGTCAGCTGGCAGTACGGCAACAATAGAGGCGAAGCTTGTCTCAGCTCTGGAAGAGTATCTACCTTCGCTAGCGGCAATCTTCGACGCGACAAAGACGGACGACCTCGTTGTGCGGGGACCTGCTACCTTTCGATGGGCTCCCCTACTCGACCCCACAACTCCCTCATTCAGCTCCTCTTCTCCTTCTTTCTCGTCACTTAGCACTGAAGTGGAGAACATCGTCCTCCTCTATGCTCTCGCCTTGCACAACCTGTCCATCTTGCATACCCTCTCCGCCGGACCCACGTACGACTTCTCCCCAACTCTTCCAGACGGCGACCGTAAAGCGAGAGACGCCATTGTGAAGCGCGGAGCGGCAAGTTGGGGCACCAAGGCGATACATGTCGCGAGATGGCTATGTACTCATGCGGATGATGTGGTCAGAGGATGGAATGGGGGTGGTGTAGATGGTCAAGGGGCGAGACCTGCTCGGGGTTCGGTTGATGGTCAGGGCGCAAGGGAAGGAGACGACGACGATGAGGATGAGGATGTCGGTGCCGCCGCTCTTACACGACGGCGACGTCTCTGGCATGGTTTCGCCACTCTTCTCGAGCTCGCCCCCACCTTGGCCATGCTTCGCGTCCTCACCTCCGCAGCGAACAGTCATGCAGCGTCTACGGGCACACGCCCGCCGCCTTTGCCTCCAGGCCACGCTTCGCCAGGCTTGCTGGCTAAGCTCTTCCTCGAGGTGCCGAGGATAGCGGATGAAGCCAAAGCAGAGTTTGAAGCAGCGATGCGGGTGCTGCCGAGCAGTAGTGGGGGTAGGAAGGGCGAGGACGGCATTTCTGGACGGCTCAAGCGGCTAGGACTGGGACGAAATGGCTCAGGCGCTGCGGCCAGCATTGCCTCCTCATCGTCGTCGTCATCTTCACTTCGCGTCTCACAGCGTCTCATGCGCTACCTCACAGCTATCGCAGCTTGGGGCCGTTGCACCTCTCTAATGTACCTCGGCCTCCAAGCAGGCGAAGACACTCGACACGCAGAAGCGGCCGTCTGGCTGCGTATGGCCCGGGACGAACTCGTCACGCGTAGTGCTGGGGAGGAGCAACCGGATGATGACAGCGATAGCGACAGTAGCAGTGATGAAGGCGGTCGTGGAGGATCGTCTAAGGAGACAAAGGCGTACGCGGCTGCTTGGGACGAGATGACGGGGCAGAGGCGCTTCCTCAAAAAGCAGGTGAGGCCGATGCTGAGGCGAGAGATGAGGCGAAGCAAGAAGGATAAGGAAAAGCGCGTGGGTGGCCTCAAAGGAAGATTCAGCAGCAAGGAGAAAGCCAAGAGCAATACTGCCAGCCTAGATACGGCAGATGGGAGCGTGTCAACAGGTGCTGCCCTTTCCTCGTCTGTCCATCAACATCCCCTCTCCCACCGACTGGTCCAGTATCACTCCACCCTCCTCACGTCAGGCACAACGCCCTTACTCGCCCACCTCTACAAGACGTACCGCAACCTGAACGATACAATTTCCTTCCAACCTTCACCTGCACGCGCTGACCTACTAGCCAAAATGCCTGGTCCGCGCCCTGTATTGTCGATCGGGGACGCGGGAGCGCAGGAGGACGGGTGGCAGATGCCCAGGGCAGAATGGGGGACGAGGGTCATACCGAGGAGGGGAGGAGGAGAAGAGGGGCAGGAGCTGGAGATCGGGGTGGGTCTGATCGGTGGGACGGGAGGAAGTGGTGGCGGGAATGAGGAGCAGAAGTATGCAGGACAAGGAGCGTACTATTGATACATTGCAATGGGAGAACCGCGCTGTGTCTCGATCTCGATCTCGCTTCTAGACTATGCCTCCTGCTCAGCTTCCTCCTCACCACCCTCGTGCTCTTCCTCGTCCTCATTCATCCTCGGCACAGTCCTGTCCTCCCTAAACTTCCTCAATGTCTTCTTGGGGAAGGGGCTCGAGCAGATGAGACACCTGTTAGGCGGATGGCAGAAGATGCTCAGGCAGACTCCGCAGACGTAGCCCACATCGACGATGGTCCCGTGGCAGAAGCAGCTTGCTCTAAAGTCAACGTCGTCCAATGTGGGTAGGTGAAGGCAGCGGTTACGCAGCCGAGGTGGAGGCAGGTAGGTGCTGAGGAGGGTCTGGAGGAGGGAGCGCTGCGATAATGCTTGAGCCGGTGAAGATGGGCTGTGCGAATCGTCCTCTTCGTCGTCTTGCTTGTCGTTGGGCGCCGGCCCGATGCGAAAGTAGATTCCCCCCGTCAAGTTGGTAGCCTGCTGGAGAAAGACCGTATCCCCTCCATGGAGCTTGAGCACGTCGATCGGGATAGATCTCCTCTGCGCCGCGAAGATGCAATTCATGAGCCCGACGTACTGGTTGGATGCACTCCTTGTCGAGGAGAGGATGAGGATTCGCGAGTCTGAAGACGAGCCAGATCCGTCTGTGCCATTTGCGGCTGAACGGCCAGAGGAGAGAAGTGTGCCCCGTGATGGTGGAAGAGGATCGTTTGACGTAGAGGTGCCACTGGTGCTAATGGAAGGACTGTCGAGACTGATTCGGTTGATGTGACTGAGTGACATGCTGAGCACTTTTGTGAGGGACGTCTCTTCTTCGTCTTCGTCCTCCCCTTCGAGGTCCTCCTCCCTGCCATTCTCCCCTGCAGCACTGCGCCGTCTTTTCTCTCGCGCGAGATGTTCCTCTTCCCTCTGCATCTCTTTGACCATCCGTCTGATGCCCCTGACTACCGCTCTGCCTAGCAGCGCAAAGTGTTGGTATGTCGACGCATCTCGCAGGGGAGAATTGCTGCTCTCCCCGCCATTCTGCTCATCATCGCTGTCTTCCTCCTCACTATCTGAGGCAGCATCGACGTGAGATCGCCTGGAGTGCGCTGCAGTAGAGTAGAGAAGCCTTGCTCTTCCCCTCGTGGCGCAGGCGTAGACTGCCACGCCATTGGAGTGGCTAAGCGCCAAGTGTGAATTGAGGAAGATGAGCGTGGGAGGGACGAGGATCGAGAGGATGGAACTGGAAGAGCTACTCGAGGAGGATGGGTGTGATCGCCATGGCAGTGGATTGAGGTCGAGGATGAGGACGAGGAAGGACGAAGGCGAGGAGGCGGCCATTGCTGCCTATGTCGGTGCAGTGTCGTGAGGGTCCAAGAGTCAAGAGTTGAATCGACGGTGGCCCCGGCTTTGCATTTCGTCGCAGTCCGACGGTCTGCTCGACTCGCGTGGCCGCTTCCGCTTCTTGTGTGTGAGCCTTTCTTGATCCTCGCAGTCCGCCTTTTGGCAGCTTTGCCTTCCTCTCGTTACTCGATCCTCAGCATACAGACACGATGCTCTCGCGAGCCGTCACCACGGCAAGGACGGTGACATCTGCAAGGCCATGCCTGCGTGTAGCAGCCTCTCGCTGCTTGTCCACAACGTCGCACACGGCAGCCTCCTCCTCTTCTTCCTCATCATCCTCGACTCCCAAGTGGGACAATCCCACCCTCGCCTCCTTGGAGTCTCGAGGTCTGCTCGCAGGAACATCCTCGCGCCTCATTGACGAGCATTTGTCACAGCCTTCAAGCGCGCCAAGATCAATTTACCTCGGCATAGACCCAACTGCCCCATCCCTGCATGTAGGACATCTGATACCCCTTCTCACTCTCCTCCACCTCGTTCATCATGGCGGCCATCGCGGCATCCTCCTCGTTGGTGGAGCAACAGCCAGTATAGGTGATCCAACGGGAAAGAATGCTGCTCGCCCTGATCTGGATGGTGATGCGTTACGAGGAAATGTTGAGGCAATTGAGCGACAATTGGATGAGCTGGTGTGCAGGGTGGGTGACTACCTCGGCGCGAGAAGGATACGAAAACCGGCGGGACAAGGCGGAGAAGCTGGGCCCACTCAGACGCCCATGGGACAAGCTGCTGATGCTGGCGTGGGGAAGGCAGCAGAACAAGCTGCAGAAGCGGCCATGAACAGCACGGCGGGGGATGGAGCTGCTACCCCACCTGTGCCGGGGTCCACTCCAGCTACTCAGGGAGCGACGTCACCTTCTCGTGGCACCTCCCTGCTCGCGCGATCTGGTCTTGACATCAAGGTCATGAACAATCGCGACTTCTACGAGGGAATGAGTCTCCTCGACTTCTTGAAGCACACAGGTCGTTACGCTCGTCTAGGCGAGATGCTTGCTCGTGATAGCGTCAAGACCCGCTTTCCCCCACCTCTGGGCACGTCCACCACCCCCAATGCAGGAGGCATGTCCTTCACTGAGCTGACCTATCAGCTACTTCAAGCATACGACTTCACTGTGCTCAACTCGCGCGCAGACGTTGGACACTGTACGGTCCAGCTGGGCGGATCAGATCAGATGGGCAATATCATGGCTGGAGTGGATCTCATTAGGCGGAAGGCTGCGATGCTCGGCCATGAGGAGAGGATGAAGGCTCAACAGCAGGATAAGGGGAAAGGCAAGGAGCAGAACAAGGAACAGGGCAAGGAGCAGCCTGTGCGTCACGCCTTCGCCCTGACCACGCCGCTCCTCACAACGTCTACGGGCGAGAAGTTGGGCAAATCAGCAGGCAACGCCGTCTTCCTTTCCCCTTCCCTCGTGTCAGCGTACGATCTCTACCAGTACCTACTTCGCACGCCAGATGCCGACGTCAGGGGCTTGCTGCAGAGGTTGACTTTTCTAGATGAGGAGAGTGTCAAGGAGCGTTTGACGAAGGGTGGCAAGGACGGTGAGGAAGGAGGAGAGATCGAGGGCATCCAGCCACCAGCGAGGAGAAGATTACAGGATGTTCTGGCGGAAGAGGTCACGAGGATGACGAGAGGAGAGGAGGCGCTGAAGGTGGCTCAGAAGTGAGTATGGGCGCGCTGAGGCGTAAGTAGGAAATCTCCTTGCTGATCATGATGCTATCTATCGCTGCGACAGGACCACCTTCCTCCTGCACCGTCTCCTGCCCAGCTTCACCAGCGCCAGCGCCCTCAGCAGCTACGCGGCGACCTCCCGCCCTCAACTTTGGGATGAACTGCACCTCATCAGCCAACACGAGCCTGCGTCGCTGCCTCGCTCCTCACATCGAATCAGGCGCTTGGACCTCGATCCAGGACACCTGAACGATGGGGCCACCAACCCAGTAGGAATCGACTTCCTCACCCTCTTCTCTCACACCACAGATCTCTGCACCGCAAAGGGTCCCGCACGCGCCATCCTCGCTGGTGGAAGTGCTGGACCCCTCTACATGAACGGGCAGCCACTTGGCCCGTGGGACAAGAGGCAGGTGGCCAAGGTAGGGGTCAAAGAGAAGAATGTTGTTTGGTTGCCTGGCGGGGGAGGAGAGGGGGAGGAGAGGGCGATGATCTGGCTGCGGAGGGGCAAGAGAGATTGTAGAGTATTGCTTTGGGAGGGAAAGAGGGGCGAGAGTAAGCCAGGCGAGAGGTCGAAGCAGGACGAGCAAGAAAGGGAAGAGCAGTGAATGGTCTAGTCCATTTCTAAGTTTGATGTCCGTGGGACGTCTGTCTAGGATCATCTTGCCTCGCCTCCCAGTCCACCGTACTCCATTCTGACCCCTCCCCTCAGACCCCGTGCCTCCGCCTCCTCCTGAACTGTCCTGCCCACCCAAGCCCTCAACAACGCCGCGGGCTCCCTCCCACCAAACCAGCCAGCAGCCGCGTCCCCCAATACAGTCCTCGCCGCCTCCGCAGCGTAGACTCCCGCCCACTGTCCGAGGGAGAGCGAGGGCGCATCGCCGCGCTTGTTGAGCTCTCGCACTCGCTCCAGCACAGTGCGGTCCTTCGGATACTTGATGAGGCGCACGTCTGCGGTGAGGGACATTTGAGGCTGTGGCTGCTGTGCAGCGACACCACTGGCGCCCTCAGCGGACGACTCGCCTTCTTCTTGAGGCGCCGCCTCGCTATCGCCACTGGCCGGCTTGTTCGCCTCCAGCCTCTCGACATTCTTGCGCATCATCGCAACGCCCTGGGTGAGCTCTTCCGCCTCCTTCATCTTCTTGCTGGCCTGCTGCTTTCCCTTTTCGTTCCCAGCCTTCTCTTCGAGCTTTTGTGCCTCGGCTTTCTGCTGAGCAGCTCGCTCCTCAAGAGACTGGACCTGCTCTTTGATCTGCTCAAGGGTAGCGGGCTCGATGGGTCGCTCGCGCACACAGCCTGGTCGAAGAGCTGCAAACGCCTCTTCTGTAGAGGTCAGGCCCTTCTCTTGCATCAGAATCATAGTCTCACGGATGAGGCCAAGCTGGACTGCGTGAGCTGCCGCCTCCCATACTCCGCCGATGGCGTCCACTAGACCTCTGCCGTAGGGTGGAGTGGTGCGGAGAGATTCCTCGACGTGACGCTCGGCGGATGAGCTTGAAGATGTAGCCGCGTCGCGCGTGGCGGCGAGGTGAGCTTCTTGTCCGTCCTGTGGAGATGACGTTGAAGAGAGGCTTGACGCAAGTGAGGATGCCGCGTCGCCCACAGCAGCCGAAAAGGAGGAGGTTGCTTCATCTTCGCTAGCCTCCTCGTTGCTACTGCTCGTGCGACTTCCGCGCTTCCTCAGCTTGACAAGCGTCGTCCTCAGCTCTCCCTCGCGCGTGGCGTCCTCGAGATCCCATTCAGAGAGAGGCCTCTCCGGCTCGAAGGTGACGTCCTCAAATCGCGAGCTGGAGGCTGAGAGACCAAGAGCCTCCTCTGCTCGCCTGACAATCTCATCCGCCGCAGTGCTGATGTTCACTGCACCGCTGCCACCCCTCCTGCTAGCCACACGAGGTCTCAGCGATTCTGGGCTTGTCAAGCTCCACGCTGCTAGCCCAGTAAATACTCGTCCACCGGCGATACCCTCCACGACGTCCCCACTAGTGATGCCGCGCCCTTTGCAGACCTTCTCCAAGAAGTCCTCGTACGTCTCATCAATGTGCACCTTTTGCCTCGCCAGCTGCCCCTCGTCCATCTCATGTAGGAGGCTCTCGGCTTTAGATCCTGTGAAGAAAGACTGAACACGCACACCTGCCCAGTCGAACAGCGGGGCCTGCTTGAGCGTTGGGCGCAGCGAAGCCACACCGATCGATCCAGTGACGGTCGACTCGCTCGCGAAGATGGCGTCTGCGGCCGTAGCAGCGTAATATGAGCCTGAGGCAGCCACATTGCCGAAGCTGACTACTACGGGCTTGCCCGTCGTCTCCTTAACGCGGCGGATGGCATGCCAAATCGAGTCAGACGCGACAACGTCCCCTCCTCCGGAATCGATGCGCAGCACAATTCCCGTGATGTCATCGTCGTCTGCCGCTTCTCGCAGGCCCTTGACCACGGCTGAGGCTGAGTAGTCTCCCGAGGCGGATGAGATGGACCCACGAAGGTAACAGACGGCCACGTTGATCTTGCTGTCCTCGTTGAGGAGCTTGTCTGTTGCGTAGGCTTGGACGCGAGAGTAGTGTGGGAGGGTCTTGAAGTGGAGAGTCTCCGACTCGTCCTGGTCATCATTGTCAGCCTGTTTCCTTGCCTGAGCAGCAGCAGCCGGCGTGAGCTCCCCGGTCGCAGGGTCAAAGACGCCTTTGAGGTCTGGTGTTCCCTCGCGATGCGGGAAGAACATGTTGACGACATCTCCTTTGTACATCCTCCCGTCAATGAGACCGACCTCTTCTGCCTCCTTGGCCGAAAATGGACCACGCTGCATCAGGTCGGCCACCTTGTCCGCCGCCTCATCCGCGTCTTCGATCTCTCTGAACCTGTTGACGCCAATGCCGTACGCCACGCTCCTGTTCAGCTCACCGAGCAGCTGCGCCTCATTCTCCGCCTGAGGCTTCGTGAGTCCGTCCTCCTCCACAAACTGAGAAATCATGCTCTTATATTCTCGACGGGCCTCGGAGTGCATCTTGACGCCCAGCTTGCCGAGCAGACGAGAAAAGAAGGGGACTTGCGCTGATACGCCTACCAGAGGAAGGGAGCCCGACGGTTGGAGATAGACCTTCTCGAAGGCGGAGGCCAGGAGGTACGAGGATTGAGACAGGAATGTGTCTGCAAAGGCGACGGTGCTGGGCAGGTGGACGGGGACTTGCCCGCTAGGCTGTGCAGACAGGTCCGAAGTAACGTTGTCGTCCTGCTCTTTGCCATCGGTCAGGGCAGACTGCGCTTCTGGCGGGGGAAATTGTGCGTCCTTGGCCACCTTGAAGTCGTGGATCGCCTGCATCAGCTCCTCAATCTGCGCCAGCCCCAGACCCTCACTAGCCCGATTGCTTGGCCAGTTCAGTGTTGAGAAGTCGGCAAAGAGACCTCGAATGCGCGGATCCACTTCTGCCCACTTGATAGCCTTGATAATCTCGACAAGCTCCATAGTCCTCGGCGGGTCCTCCCCCGCCGACGGGCTGACCGCCAGATGCGACAAGCTTGGCGGTCCCTTGACTTCAACTATGGAGCCAGGGTAGACCTTCATGTACAGGTAGGTGTTGGGTTTGACCTCGTCACGCTGAGCTGCTTCCAGCTTTGCGAGGGCGTAGATGCCCCCAATGTAGGTGGCGCCCAGCGTGAAGAACACATACCGTCTGTACTTCCATGTGAAGTTGGCGGTTCGACCCACTCGAGAGGAGGCTATTGATTGGTAGCGAGCGTGGGCGTTCGGGAGGCGACGCGCAAACCACGAGGCTTGCGAGGAGGCCATGACGGTCAGCGGCGAGGGGGAGGACGGTCAAGGGAGGGGGAAGGGGAGAGGGGAGTGGGGAGAGGGAGGGAGGGGAAGGGGACGTCCTAGATGAGTCGGTATCCGGACAGGGAAGCGACTTGACCCTGCTAATGCTTGAAAGGAACGGGCTGAGCTCAGGAATATGTGATGAGGTCGAAGTGGAACAAAGGAGCGAATTTGCATCGCATCATGCAACTGAGCTTCTCGACCTCGCACCGACTCGTCATCCCCCACTCGCACTTCCGTCTTTACGTAAGCGAGCCCAACCACCCGCTCAGCCCGTCCAAAGTGGGGTCGGGTGGCTGCTGCGCCATCTACTTCTCACCACTTCAACTAACACTCGACGCTCATGCTGCCCCGCCTGAGGGCATCCCTTCGGCCCGTCTCTACCTCTTCTCCCTCACTAGCACTCCGCAGCATGGCCACAGCCGGAAAGGGCGGCATTGAAGCCTCGATGCGCGCCAAGCTGCAAGAAGCTCTGAAGCCTGCAACGCTCAACATCCGCAACGACTCGGCGAAGCATGCTCACCACGCCGCAATGGCAGCTCAAGGAGGTGGCAATGGAGAGACGCGTTGAGTATCAATCTGACCCTAGCCCGGTCCCACACAAGCTCACAAGTCTTGTTTCGTTGCACTCATACGCCTCCGCGCGCCACCTCAGACTTCTTCGTCGAGATCGTGAGCGAAGCCTTTGAAGGCAAGACGCAAATCGCGAGACATCGCTCCATCAACTCGCTGTTGAGCAGAGAATTCGATGAGGGGCTGCACGCTCTCTCGTTGAGGACGAAGACCCCGGCCGAGGTGCAGAAGGAGCAGGAGCGGATGAGAGGGGCGTGAGGACCGATGAACATGTGAAATAGTTACAGGCCAAAGAATGGTAATACAACACGACAACTCTCACGACAGTCACCACCGTCACGACCTAGCTACCACCCGAACTGCAGCTGAGCCCTCGAGAAGACCGGCGGCACCCAGTTCAGCTTGTCTCCCAAAATCCTCCGCTTCCTCTTGGCCATCTGCTTCTCATGATTCGCCAGTACCGAGTCATTGAGCACAAGGTAATGCTTCCCCTGAAACTGCTTGAGCATGTTCAACGACGTGCAGGTATGCAGCACGTCGGCATGAGTGATGCACGTCTTCCATGCGACCTCGTCAATGCTGGTCTCCTCACCGTCACCCTTGTCCAGCAGGTAGCCTACAATCGTCTCTGCCCAGTAGGCTCTGTAGCCTAGGAGACCGAGGTCGGACAGAGGCTTCTCGGGAGAGCCGAGCTTGTGCTCGCGCTTGGAGAGCTCGTAGCTGAAATCGATGAGGAGACGACCGAAACCTGAGCGCTGATGTTGCGGAAGCGTCAAGATACAGGCGACGTTATAGCCCTGCGATGAGCGACAAGGTGAAGCGTCAGTCGACCAGCCTCAGCTTGCGTATCATCCCCTTGCCACCTCGCGCACTCACCTCAGCGCTCTCTTTCTCTTTACTGAAGTATCCAATCGTATGACATCCCGTATCGTCCCTCTGCACCATGACGTAGTACAAGAACGGATCGACATCGTAGTACAGCGTTTTGTGATCCAGGAAGCACTTGCTCAGCAAGCACAGATTCCTGCACCAAGTCTTCTGCTTGCGCCCATCGATCTCAAAGAAGGAGATATCCTCGTGTCGGTAGATCTCGTTGCCCGGCGGGTGGACTAGAGTACACTTGGTACGATGACGTCCGAGAGTGAAGGCGGACGAGAAGTAGGACAGACACATCTCGCACAAAAAGAGCTTGCCCGTTGCGGCGAGCTCGATTGGGTAGGGAGAGAAGTACCACGTCTCGACCTCGTGCGCTCCCATCTGGATGGCGTCGAAGTTCTTGACCCTAGCCACTTCAGAGACAGACTGGGTCATCGATCCCGATGTGCGGAGCTTCTCAATCTCCTGCTCTTTACTGATTGGCGCAGCCGGTGGGGCAGCGGTGGCCGCCGGGTCTGTCGAAGGGGCAGAAGCGTCGTTTGACAGGTCGACGGATTCGTCTGCTCCTAGCAGCTCCATTGCGACAACGGCGCCGTCTTCTCCGTCTTGTGAGGCTTGAGAGTCTGTCTCCCCGTCTCCGTCCGCCATGGGTGAGTCGGCAGAGGGAGAGGCCATCTCCTCGTCGCCGTCGCCGTCGTCACCTACGCCCTGCGACGCCTTGCGCTTGATGCCTGCAGCCGCCGTCTGACTACCTCCCGCAGCTGCGCTGGCCGCTTTGGTCGCTGCCCTCCGCAGAAGATTGTCATCTTTCGGCGTCGAAGCACCTGCAGGTTGACCAGCTCCGCCCTTGGTAGGCGTCGTCGCGCCGCTCCTCGGTGTTCCCGCGGTTGATGTAGAAGTCTTCGTCGTTCCACCAGCAGGCGTGGCTGCCTTTGTCTTCTTCTGAGAAGGGGTACTGGCTCCATGCCCATGACCTCCATGACCGTGCGACCCGACTCCCTGATCAGCAGGCTTCGGCCACTCGATCTCCCTACTTAGTATCAGCCTAGTCCCCAGCACCCATTCGTCCAACCTCTTGTTGAACTCCTCATAGTGCACGTAGTACTCGTACTTCTCCGCCACATTCTGTTGCCGGTCTCCATCTGCGCCATGCCCTCCTGCTCCGTTGCTACCAGCCTCTCCCGCCTTTCTCCTCGTGCTCAACCTCGATCTCCCCTGGTACTTCTCACGTCGACTGAGCACCTCGGCTCTTCGTTCCTCAATGTCTCCTGTGGCAAGATCGGGCTTCTGTACAAAGATCTTACATCCCGGTCGGACGGACTCGAGTGAGTAAGAGCCGCCAGGGGAGATGGAGTGGAGCTGAGTTGGGTCGAGGTGTGCCGCTGAGGATGGGCCAGCAGCAGAGGCTGAGCCAGAGGGGACAGGCGTCGAGGGCGTTGAGGGGGCGGATGAGCGGGCCATGTCGTTCAGAGATATGTCGGTGACTGTCGAGTGGTATGAGACGGCCACTGACAGTCGACTTGGGATCGATCAAGGAGATGTGAGGTTGGACTAGTGATTGGAGGTGATGTCAAGTCAAGATGCAGCTTCCATCGCCCATCCGCCTCCCTCCCGCTCCGCCAAATCCAAGTTGCCTTCTCCCAAGTCTGTCCGCCACCGCCCGCCCGCGCCACGGCCACACCACTTCTAACAGATAGCTGTGCAGCTCAGAAGCAATGACATTGGCATTTATCATACATGCTCTCACCACCCCCACCTACCAGTGCCCAAATCACTGTTCTCCTGAGAGACATTGTTGCGCGACCCTCTCCTCTGCATCGGCCCGCCCGGTCTCGCAGGCGGAGGTCCAAGGGTCGCCATTTCGTGTTGGCTCTTGCGACGAGGGGGCCCGCCTGATCCCACAGCACTGTCGCCGCTCATTACACTCCCATTGTCAAGTCCATCGGCGCTACTGCCGCCAGCTTGCCCATCTCGCGCGACCGCCCGCCCAGCAGAACGGCCGAGGCTTCGCCTCGCCTCCTCTGCTGAGATCCTCGGTCTGCCCTCTCCACCCCCTCCAACTCCTTGCGGCTGCTGAAGACGCGCAGGGATAGCGGTCGGTGTCACTCCGCTGGCAGCAGGCCAAGCCCCTACTCGCCGAGCGTGCTCCAGCTCCTCACGAGGTAGTGTTTCCCACGCCTCTGTGCGGTTCAGCACCTCCTCGAAGCCCTTTGAAAGAGCTTCGTCCAGCCCCATTCGACCGCGCAGGGCGTCAGAGAGGAGGGAGCGGAGACCTACACCTGAGCCATTGAGCAAACCGGGCGCTCTTCCTTGACCCGCACGCTGTTGGGGGGTAGCCTTACTAGCAGCGGCCGCCGCAGCAGTGGGCACGCTGTCACCAATTGGTCTCGCCCACTTACTTGCCGCGCCGGTATTCGCCGGCAAGCCTGCCGCCAAGTCGTCAATGAAGCGATGGTGAGCTCGTGCGGCTCTTCCTCCTGCCTTCTTTCCCTTGCCAGAAGATGGCGCGCCATACGCCTCTGCCACCCGGCCCTTCGCATAGGCTTCGAGGGTGGGGACGTCGTTCCACCCTTGATAGCCTGCACCGCCAGTGTTGGCCGATGAGGAGACAGAAGAAGTCGCTTGGCGATCTGACCACTCCTGTATGCTTTGGTCCACGAGTCTGAGCGGGCGAAGGCCTTTTGTCGGAGATTCCTGTGGCGGTTGAGCCGCTGATGGGGCGCTACCAGTGGCCTCGCTCTCCTTGTTGCTCCCTCCCGATCCCATGTGCCATATATTCGGCTTCCACTCGTCCACAGGCGGCGATGCCGGCCTCGAAGGTGACTGTGAAGAAGGGGTGGACGACCTGTGCTCCTCGGATCCCAGCATCGGTGTCTTGCCTCCCATCTGCAAGGGTCCTTGAACCCGGGACTCTTCTTCGTCCCGTCCGAGCAAATCCTCCAGCCCACTCTCCCCTGGTCTAAAGCCAGCCATCCCAGGCCCTGGCCCAAGCTTGTGCTTAGGCCGCGCACTAGTAACTTCGTCGTCCCATTGATCGGCAGCTTTCGCTTTCCCCTTGGCCAGGACGTCTGAACGCGGTGCTGCAGGGAAGTGCCCGAGAACTTCTGAGGGTAGACGCCGAACCACTGGTGGGGAGTGGGAGTTTGATTGAGACTGGGAAGCTGAGCGTGAGTGAGAGAGGGATTGAGATGGGGAGGTGGATCGGGAGCGTGATAGGGATGTGCTTGGCCCTGAAGCGGACGGAGTGCTTCGTGCTGCGCCGCCATTGAGCGACCCATTGACATGAGAGCCAGGACCGCTATTGCTTATGCTGCTAGCGCCTCCCTTCAGCCCTAACGCAGAGGGAGTAGCCTCTACCACACTACCCCCCTCGAAAGTTCCCACCTTGGCATCCTCTCGCGTTGCTAGGTCCTTGCACTTGTCCAGTGGCACCCACAGAATCTTACGACTGAGTACGCTGTCGCCAGGCCATAGGCCATTCACCCTTCGCAATGTTGGCACGTCCGTCTTGTAGCGCAAGGCAAGGGACTGGAGTGTATCGGTTGTAGCGACAGTGTGCTGCAGGACGAGGCGGGTTTGCGGCTGCTGTGATCCTGCTGACAAGGTCGAGGTTGCTGACGCTGGTGGCCGTCGAGGCGGCGGTGTGGGGCGTGCAGCTTCATCGAGACCAAAGAAGGATTCAATGCGATGCAGCGGCGTGGGACGGAGCCCTGACTGCTTCTTATCGTCCTCGTCATCTAGCGGTGGAGTGGCTGCAGGCTCTGAGCTGGCGGACGACTGCGCACCGCCTCGCCGCCTCCTTGGCGTGAGACCACCGCTAGGCGAGTCTGTTCGTGAGGGAACGAGGTAGGATGTCGAAGGCTCGCCAGGGGAGTTGGGACGAGAGGAGATGAGGGGGTGATGCTGCGTCGTCGATGACGGGTTGAGTGACATGATTAGGAGCCACAAGGGCTTGCTTATGTGACGATTCTATGAGCAGCTGCTCTGTATGCTGGTAGTCATGAGATGTCAAGGATCGGCAAGGAGCAATGATGTAAAGGGCAAAGAGAACTCGAGTCCGCCAGACAAGGTGTTGCTTGAAGCCAACAACTCACCCTCGGCGCCCCGCTCGAGCCACGTCCAAGATTGCGCCGCCCGTCTCCGCCGAAAGCTGCCCGACCTCGATGCTCAGACTTTCACCTTCTCTGGGCTCAAGCCTGCCAGTATGGATGCTACTTTATTCTATTATATGCTGCAAATGCTCAAATGAAGCCAACTTTCCTCCAGTGCTCCAGAGTCAAGCGTGCCAACCTAGCATCCATAGCCTTTGCCTCCCTCAAGGCCTGACTCTCCTCTCTTGCAACCTTGGTCTCTATCCTCGGCCCACTCTCAGCTCCCTCCATGCTACGCCAGATATCGATTAGCGCCCTGCCTCTGACCTGTCCTCCTCTCTCCTCCACCTTCGCCAGCCACTCAGCCAGCGACACACGATCGAAGCTCCCACCAGCCTCTTCAAGCCAGTCAAGCCAATGCTCCCACTTCGGCGCCTCTTGCGCATCGCAGGGTAGGCAGACGTGTGCCACGACGGGGGGCGGCGTTGCCTCACCACTCTCCTTGACCAGCCCGATGAGCTCAAGAAGCGCCCGAGCGCAAGTGTCGACAGGCAGCCAGTCCAGCACTTGCTTCTTCAGAAGAGGCATAGCCCCGACCTCATCCTTCCTCAGTCCCGCGCGAGCCATCAAAGGCCACGCCTCCGTCTCGTTCCATACGCCCGTCTTACTGTCTGAACAGAGCTGGCCTATGCGAGCGATGCATGTCCTAGGTAGACCGAACTGCTGAGCAGCTCGGGCGACAAGGGCCTCTCCCACCCACTTGGACTGTGAGTAGCCCAAGGAGCCTGCTGTAGAAGGGTCGCTGGACAACTCTTCGGGCAGAGTCATCGCTCCTGCTCCTCCCTGGCTGGACGCGGTAGCCATGACCGACGCTGCAGATGAGCAGAACAGGAATCCCGTCACTCCCCTGCGAAGAGCGAAGCCTAACAAGTGCGAAAGGCAGCGTATATTATCCGCCTCAAAGGAGCGCAGAGACAGGGCAAAGTTGACTGACCAAGCTGCGTGGATTATGCTGATTGGGCGGTGCGCGTTGGAGCTGAGGATGTCCTCGAAGGATTGCGTCGAAGAAACCCCTAGTTGACCCTCATCACCCAAAGTGGCGGCAAGGCAGTGCACATGCTCCCAGCTACCCTTGCGAGTGGCGAGGTCGAGCTTGCGAGATGTCACGGCCATACGCACGCGACGTCGTGCTTCCTCGTCGTCCTGGGCGCGGACGAGGCAGATGACTGGCGATGATGCTGGGAGCTGACAGAGTAGCTGTGAGCCTAGGGCACCCGTGGCGCCAGTGAGGATGATAAGCGGGGCAGCGTCTTCCTTTACGCCGCTGCGTGCATTGTAGTCGGGCAGGCCCCTGCCACAGCGCTGAACGATCTCCAGCATCTGTGCGCGTGTGTCAGCAGTCTCTTCTCGCTCGGGACCGCCCTCAATCCACTTTGCCAGCGCCTCGATCGTCGGGCAATCATAGACGATGTTGCCCTGCAGACGTCCATCCTGTGCTGCCTTGACCACGATGCTTTGATTGACCGCAGCCTTGAGGCGTGTTGCACCGATAGAGTCGAGACCAGCGCGGTGCAGATCGTCCTCGTACCCATTGACGGCCTGCGGCAGTACGCCATTTGCCAGCTGGAGCAATCTCTGCCGCAATGCCTCGCCCCGCAGAGCCTCCTTATCCGGGTAGCCAGGCAAAGTGCCACGCTCATAGTCCCCGTACACCTGATCAAAGAGACCTTCCAGCTTGCGATACGCCTGGCCTCGCTGTAACGTTCCTTTTGAGCTTCGTGGTATGCTGGCAGCAAGCTCCTCATCGGCTACCACGATGAGCTCGGGCGCCAGTCGCGCGTGCAGCGGTAAGCTTGCATTGAGCTGCTCGTCGAGGAAGGGCCGCAAAGATTGCGCAAAGGCGAAGCGCTTCTCATCGCTGCGCATCTCGGCCCTGGCGGAGAGTTCCGGGATGACAATGGCGCCCACCATAGCCCGATTGGATCCAAAGACCACTGCATCTTCGACGATCTCATGACCGCGCAGCTTTGCCTCGATGAGCCCCGCTGCAAATTTCTTGCCATTCAGCAGTACGAGCGTATCGTCCACTCGCGTGGCGTACTGATAGCGTCCGTCCTCCCGCCTCACGTAGAGGTCCTCCGTGCTGAATCCTCCTCCATCAATATTTGCAATGAGCTTGGTAGGCCATTTGCCCGTCACCACCAATTCGAAGAGCCCAGGATTATCCTCATTCTCCCTCCAATCCAGCAGCAAGTCTTCCCCGACTTTCTCCTGGCCCCAAAGCCAGTTCCATCCCTTGTCTGTGTTGAAGTCGCGGTATGAGCTCATGAGGAAGCCGCATTCTGATGAGCCTAAGCGGGAAACGAGGGGGACACTGTGCTCGACAACGAGGAGATCTCCGATTGCTTGTGGGAGCGGAGCTCCACCTGTGGATACAAGGTGCATGGATGCGAGGAACGAATGGCCGGAGGAGTCTTTGGAGAGCATCTCAAGGATGAAGGGGACGGTCAAGAAGTAGGCCATTTCCTTGGCTGCAGCATCGCTTGCGGCTGTACACCCATCAAGGATTGCCTGCGTGCTCAAGCCTGGCCCAGTGATCGGATGGAAGAACAGGCTGCTCCCTGCTTGCAAGCTCCGGAAGAAGTCGGACATCCCGCCATGGTAGAGGGGCGTCGTCGTGTAGGCTGGGAGGTCCACGCCGGGTGCGGTACTGAGGGAGTGTAGCCAGAAGTCATGAATGTGGTAAATTGGCTTGGGCAGGCCCGTTGAGCCGGAGGAATGAAAGATGATGAGAGTCGAGTGGCGGTTGATGTCAGAAGCGGGGGCGAACGACGAGGAGGAGGAGGAAGAAGAAGCTGCGTCGATGTGTTCCCTCTCCACCATAGGTACGAGGGTAGGTGCTTGCTCTTGCTCGCCCTCCCAGAGTTGCAGAGTCGCTTGCGCAAGCTCCTTCTGCTCTTGATGGGCAAGGATGGCGCATGCTCCAGTCTTGCTGCACAGGTTCTTGATCCCCTCGGGCGTGGTACCGAGGGCGATGGGAAGCAGTGCGAAGCCGCTAAACCAGATCGCGGCGGCGTGGCAAAAGAAGTCATACCCAGAGGGGCAGAGGATGGCGACCACCGGTGTTGGCTGGAGAGGTGGGAGCTGAGGATCCGTCGGGGAGGTGCGTCTGGACGCTTCAGTCAATGTATGGGTGAGCTGCGATGCTACCAAGCGTGCGAGCGAGGGAACCTGGCCGTAGGCTGCGGTCGGGGAAAAGAAGTCAGCCCATTCGAAAGCCAAGGATCTTCTCTGCAGTCACGGCTCACTTATAGTGCTGCACCTCCATTTTCCTCCCTCGTCATCTAGCTCTGAGAAGCCCACAGCGACTTTATCCGCCTGATGCTTAGCCCTGTGCTCCAACAGATCCACAACGTGCTCGTTCCTCTGCTTTTCTGGCGCGGCTGGCTTGGGTAGCGAGAGCGCCTCTGGTATCGTCAACGTCAGGTAGGGCCCCTGCTGGGAGGGCTTGCCTGATGTTGCCATGTTGGATGGTTTGTCAAGGGAGGCAGAGAAGGTCCTGTCTCGCCTGAAGCCTTTTGCAGAACTTCTCGACGGCCTCACAACGCACGGACGTGGGTCAGTGCGTAAGCCTGCACCCTGATCGACATCCGTCAGCCACGCGAGCAAGACGACAGGACACCCCGGTGGACGGCAGTGCAGTGTCCAGTGGAGAGCGCCGAGGACAGGCAGAGGCAGCAGCAGGGTCCAGGCCTTAAACCTGTTGCCGCCTTCTCACGCTCAACGCTCAGTTCGACGCTCGGGCTTCTTCCCCTTCTTCACTTGGTACCACATCTCATCAACTTCTGTCAACTGGTCACTCATCAAGGATGGATCCCACTCAGCCCGCTCCCTATCCTACCTACACGGCCGACGGCAACGCTTCCAATTCTGCCGCTGAAGACTCTACGAAGCCTGCCGCCTACCCTTCGTACCAGGAGGGCGACAATGTTCCGGCCTCTTCCTCAACGTCAGCGTCAGCAACGTCGTCCGCCCCAGCGCCGGCGCCACCAGCAGCAGCTGCTCAACCTCCCCCTCATCCTGAGAGCAGCATACCCGAATACCAGTCGGTTGGCTCCGGCTTCACCAATCCCTTCTCTACTTCATCATCGGGCTCGTCCTCCAACAATTCTTTCCCACCTCGAGCACCTTCCGCTTCTTTCGTAGCCGCACAAACAACGACTCCAACCCCAGCCCCAGGCCCGACCTCAGCGCCACCCCCATCCGCTGCGACGGCAGCAGCCGCGGCGTCGATCAATCCAAATGCCACACCCTCCAACTACTCCAGCTCTACCACCTCTTCCTCTCACCAAAAAACGCCCAGCTCCTCGTCTACCTCCTCGACCGGCAAGAAACCCATCCCTGCCTCCGTCGTCCGTCCAGGTCCATCCCCTGCTGGCCCACCAGGCTGGGAGGAGGCTCGCCTAGCCAAGGAGCAAGCGATACGCGACGAAGAAGAGGCAAAGAAGCATCGCAGGAGGAGGAGCAGTATCAAAGACCTGTTTCGCGGAGCGGCAGAGAAGGTCTCGCTGGTTTCGGCAAAGGAACCGCAGAGTGAAGAGAAGAAGGAGGCGGCGGTGCAGGTGAGTCAGATAGGGAATGAGACAAGGTTTTCTGTGAGGCCTGAGACGCTGACCAACGCTCTGTCTGATCTTTGCCCCGTAGAATGCCTCTACCGGGCCCGAGTAGGCTTCGAGTACCATCCACCTTCCCACAGGCTGCCTCTTGAAGATCGGAAGACCTCAATGCGCCTCTCAACATATGTACATACCAGCCCTTCTGGAGCAGCTCCCTACTACCAACTCATAATTTAGGCTCGCTTCATCTCGCCGTCGTCTTCAATTCGTAATCGCAGCAATTGAAAGCCACAAAAGTGCAACGACTTCTCCTGCCTTGGCGTGTGTGCCTGGCCGCGTCAAGCGTTAAGATCATGCTATTGAAATAGGACAGCAACGTCGATATGAGAACGGAGCAAAGACGTCGAAGATGATAAGGCCACCCGCACCTGCGTTGCGCGCCTCTTATGATCACTCGAGCAGCTCGAAACCATCGTCGCTGTCATCGTCCGCATCCCCATCCGCTGCGTCTCCCTCTTTACCATCCCCTCCACCACCCGTCGCACCATTACGATTCCTCAACTTCGACATGAGCGTCTGTGCCGTCTTCTCCTGCTGCTGATCATCGTCCATCAGATCAGCCGTGACTGCGGCCCCGTCCGCCGGGTCTGCCCCCGCAGCAACGGCCGCCTTCGCCTTCTCCTCCGCTGTAGCGTCTCCATTTGCCACGCCGTTGACTGTTGGCGCAAGGCCCGCCACAGCCCTCTTCTTCTCTACGCCCGATACACGTGCCGCAAGCTCCAGTTTCTGCTGCCCAAGGGCAAGAATATCCTCATCGATTGTCCCGCGCGATATCAGTTTGACGACGTTCACCTCCCTCTCCTGCCCGATACGCCAACAGCGATCTTCAGCTTGCTTGTCATTCTGCGGATTGAAGTCCTGATCCAGCATGATGACCCAATTGGCCGCCGTCAGATTCACTCCTACACCTCCAGCCTTGGTCGTGAGGAGGAAGACAGTAATGTCCGGATTGGTCTGAAACTCGTCGATGACGTCTTGGCGTTCTTCAACCTTGGTGCGGCCTGAGAAGGCAATCCATGTCGTGTTCATCTCGTCCAGAGCGGCCATGAGGAGGAAGAGGCACATTTCAAACTGGCTGAACACTACCAACTTCTCGCCTCTACCGCGGATCTCCTCTATTAGCCGACGGAGGGCTAGGATCTTCCCGCTGTTGAGCCAAGCCTCGCCGGGCACCTGATGCTTGCGAGTCGCAGGGTACTGGGAAGCTAAGCTGCTCAATTCGGCGTCCGAGTTGATCGCAAAGTCTTCCTGTAGACGCGCGAGGTCCTCATCCATGAATTGAGGCTCCTTGACGTAGTCCTTCGCCAAAGCACGGATACGCTCGGCGGTGAATGTGGTGCGAAAGAGCATTGGATGGATCGCAGCTTTGCGGAGACGCATGAGAATATTGGCTGATTGGTCCTTTTTGCTCTTGGGAGCGTCACCCGCCGCTTGCTGCTCGAGGTCTACGCGCGTGCGGGCCAGGACTTTGCGGTATACCTTGCCCTGGAAGGGGGTCATGTCGCAGTATTCCACTCTAATATTCTTAGGGGGGAGGCTGAGCACGTTGTCCTTGAGGCGGCGAAGTACGAAGGGACCCATCATTGCCCTCGCCCTGTCCACACGAGACTTGGACAGCTGAGACCCTCTCGCGGTAGCAGCGCTCCCCTTGGCTTTGAAGATCGTCTCGAACGCCTCCGTCGTGTCTTTGAAGTCTTTCGGCATGATGAACTTCAACAATGACATGAGTTCGAGCAGATTGTTCTGCAAAGGTGTTCCCGTGAGCAGCAGTCGCCATTCAGCCCTGACCTGCATCAAATTCTTGTAGTTCTGCGTAGCCTGATTCTTGAGCTGGTGTCCCTCGTCGTATACGCAGCAGTTGAATCCGAACTTTTTGAAGAACTTGAGATCCGTCTTGGACGTGGCGGAATTGTAGCTCGAGAGAACCACGTCGAGATCAGGGTGGCGATCCTCCTCAATCTCGAAGCGGATCTCGCGCCTCTCATTCTGATTACCCGCAAAGACGATGAAGTTGAGCGAGGGGCCGAAGCGTTTGAGCTCGCGAGACCAGTTTTCGATGGTCGAGCTGGGTGCCACGACGAGATTGACACCTTTTTCGCCACGAGCTTTCAAGTCACAGAGGAAGGCAATGACCTGGCACGTCTTGCCTGTTCCCATGTCGTCAGCCAGGATGCACGAAGTTGCATTGCGATAACGCAGGCTGAGCCAGTTGACGCCGTCCAGCTGGTAGTCCTTAAGGTCGAAGTCGTCTGCCATACCCTCCGGCTTCCCCTTGAGGTGCAATTTGTCGGCGGCAATAGCTTCCGATGAGGAAGCCTTTTCGAGCATCTCTGCTCTACGCTCACATCGCTTGAGCACCTGATCCACCGTGTGAAACGAGGCGAGCAGGTCAATGTAGTCTGTAAAGAGCTTGCCTGTTACGCCTTTTGTCCTGCGCAGCTTCTCCTCGGCATCGTCTGCATCGTCGAAGGGACGCAGGTTGGCGATGGTCTTTGCTTGGGCGGGTGAGCAGCCGATCGTTTCTATCAAGGTTTCTTCGGTTGCAGCGTTGAACCAATGGACGGCATTCCTCGCCCTCTTGGATTGCTCGCGGTCGCTGTCCTCCTCGAAACCGCCGCCATCTGAGCCTGAATCGTCACTGGCATCTCTACGCCTCTTGGCCTTGAGCTGGGCTTTACTGCTGGAGGCATCGCGCATACGACGAAGCGACTCTGCCGTCGGCGCAGGAGACGATGCCACACTTGAGGCTCGACTGGAGCCCAGGCTGATAGTCCTGCTGGATGGTGTAGAGCCATCGATCTTGAGTCGCTTGTTGAAGCTGCTGCTACCAATGCTGCTTCCCCCCGCGCTACTGCTACGTCCCATACTCGACCCAGAAGCTTCAGCACGTTCTCGGTCGCGTAGGATCCCGACAGCAGTCGAATAGCCTCCGCCCTGCCTCAGAGCATCTGCGCACTTCTTCATACTGAAACGGCCCTTGAAGAGGTCGTGCAGCCTCTGCAGAGCTGGATTCGTCGTGGTCTCGTCTCCCGAGTCGGAGACGTCAATAGGCGACGAGGACGAGCCGGCTCTCGCGGTGGTGGGCCTTGTTTTGACGGGAGAGGGCGATTCTGAGGGAGGTTTGCCGCGCTTGAATTTGCGCCTGGGCGCCTGTCTGCGGGAGGCACCATCATCATCACTGTCCTCGTCACCGGAGGAGATGCTGACCGCGCGAGCAACATTGGTGGAGGTGCCTCCTCTGTTCTTGGAGCTGTTGACGCTGGTGCCGCTTCCATTAGCGTCTCGAAACTTGTACTGATCGAGGTTGAGAGAAGGCACAGACTTCATCTTGCCGGCGTTAGGGAGAGCGTAGGGAGATTGTGCGCCGCCAAGGAGGCCTATGCGCGAGGTTGGTGGCTTCGCAGAGGAGGATGCGCCCGACGCGGGACGTCTAATACCCTGCGTAAAGCTAGATCCGAATGACGACGAGCCAGAGGGCCTATGCGTGCTGTTGCTGCCGCTACGACCTACTCCATTGCTGGATGACGAGCCGCCTACGGAGCCGATTGCCGTGCGCGTGCTAATGGGGCTCGAGTCGGGCGCATGTACAACCTTGCCATTGCCATTATACTGTTTCGATGAAGGGTTGCTCATGGCGAGGTGGCCTCACAGAGCACGAAATGGCGAGACGAAGTGACGATGAGAAGTGTCAATGATCAGATGGTAGGCAGGCTTGACTGATCATCCAGGACCCCGCTCGCTCTCCCTCGTCCGACGGCAATTTGAGCATTCGCGTCGTCCCGTCGCCCTTCGCGCCCAAAAGCCAACTTTTGACCCGGAGCGGGAGCAGGGAGGGGGGCTCGAAAGCACACGACGTCGGGGGCCTCGCCCTCATTGCTCACCGTGTCATATAGCTTTCGACCAACCATCGACAGCCTTCAGAGGGACATCAGGTTTTCTCACGCTCCTGCCATTGTTGAACGATTGCATGCAATGTGTCTCTCAGAGTGGTACGCTTCTACGGAAAAGGGGACGACGATGACGACGGGTGCTGAGGGAGAAAGGCGCCGAGGGCCACCCGGCTAAACGGCTACAACAGTAAGAAACGAGACCGTACGAGTGCAAAGGAGCCACTCAGGGCAGCGAAAGGTATCTATCGCCTCCCTCCAAGCGTAACGTTGGAGTTGCCCGACCCACCACGACTCATTGCTCCCCCAGCAGTAGCCGATGACCAAACCCTCTTAAGTCCCTGCACCGGATTGGAGCTCGCAGCCGCGGCGGCCGCCTCGCCCAGAGATGTAAGGTGTAGATGGGACTGCGACTGGCCAGAGGAGCGATGAGCCGGTCGCTGATAGTTCGGCGTCAATCGCCCCCCGGCGCTGCTGCCGCTACCAGTGCGAGGGCTCGAGGGCGCAGTCATTGATCTTGTGGCTCCCCTGCTTCCTGCTGCTGCTGCTCCTCCGGCCGCAGGAGAAGCCGAGGAAGTCGTTGAAGCACTTGCCGCAGCAGCAGCAGCAAGCGCCGCCCTCGCAGACGGCCTCAGGGCCCTGTCCAGCCCTTCGCGCATAGGATCAAAGTACCTCCTCGTCATCTCATGAGAGCGATGCGTGGACAATACCTGGCTCGTGAGCGCTATGGCCCGCAAAGTGGCCGGTTCTGCCATGAGGGACGAAGATTGGGAGGCAGACATTGATCCAGATTGAGGATGTTGATGGTGACTAGCGATATCGAGCGTCGGGGCATCTGCCGGGTCCAACGGAAATGGCTCAGGCGAGATTGCCGTCAAGCCGTGTATGAGGTGAACCGGCGTGGCGTTTGGGCCGTTGACCGCTGCGGAGCCGCTGAAAGACATCGTCGGGTCGTGGAAGGGGGTCCCATCCTCCAAGAAGTCGGAAGACACTCCACCTGCGCCATGACCACCGGCGATGCCCCGGCCGTGTGAAGTGCGAGCACCTAGGCCTGCTGCATTCGCGAGTGCCGGCGCCCAACTGGCCTCGAATTCATCGCCATCGAAGCTCGGGGCAAGAAGCGCGTCATTGAGTGGTGTCTTCTCGATAGGAGGGCCACCAAGACCGTAGAGGCCAACGTAGCGGGTGCTTTGCCGCTGCTGCGAAGATGCAGCCTCCTTCCGTCCTTGTACCTGACCACTAGAGATGAACTGTGCCGACCAGACCGAGTTGGGCTTGACAGCAACGGCAGTGGGCTTGCCCCTGCGCTCTTGCTCCTTGGCAAAGATACTGACTACAGGCTTCGAGTGCCGATTACCTTCCAGAGAGGCATGAGCCAACGATGCAGACGCGCCGCTTCTTGCTGCAGAAGCGCCCACGTATGCACCGCCACTGCCGCCTCCGCCGCCCTGCTGCTCATCCATGGCATCCCTTGCCTGACGCAGCTTCGCCGCTAGCTTGGCAGCGTCTGCTGCTGTGAGGCTTCGTGTGCTCTCAGTGCGCCGTCGCTCTACTGCCTCGCTGCTGCCACTGCCACCACTACCAGAGCCGCCATGCGCTCTTGATAGCTCAGGCGGAATCGGCGCTCGAGAAGCAGTAGATCTTTGAGCATACCCGACAGTGGCCGAACCGCCGGGCAGCGTGATGTTTGACCCAATCGATGCCGAGCTTCCAATTCTTCTCAGCGACTTGCCTCCGCCCTCGTGCAAGTACGCAGGCGCGCTTGGACTGTGCGTCATCCCCGTTGAGAACGAGCGAGAGGGTACGGACATGAAGTCGTCTCCTCGCCTCTCCTGAAGAGCTCCCAAATTGCCAGCAAGCGCGTTGTGTGTGCTCAGCATGGGTGGGGCAGCTGCGTGGCGGTCTCTCGGCATGAGTGAGAGGGTGCGGGACCGCGTCGAGAGGCGAGAGAGAGTTGAGGAGGGGCTGCCTGTGAGGGTCTTGTTTGAGGCGCTTGAGCTGATGCGGAGGTGAGGCTGCGGACGGCCTGGGCCTTTCAAGGGGGTGCTCGAGCTGGACGACGTTGCCGCTGCTGCAGGCACGTTGACGTCTGGTGTTCTCGTGGCGTCAGAGGAGGACGTCTGTGTTGTAGAGATTCCGTTATTGCCGCCCAACGTGTCGTCCGAATCTGATCGCCCCCGGCGGGGAAGCGGTAAGGAAGAGACGTTCGCCATTTCCTCCCGACCTCGAGGGAAGGCAAGAGAGCCAGCCGGCTCGTCGCTGTCGGCAACGAGTGTCTTTGACGTGTCTGACCTATTCATCGATGGTGGCGGCGGTGTTGCTTCTTTCCTAGATTCTGGAGCAGTGCGAAGCTGTGGGGCTGCCCTCGCAGAGCTCAACGCGGGTGGTGCCGCTGATGCCGCTGCTGCTGCCACAGCTGGCGCTGCTGTCGGCTTTTTCCTGGCGCCCATCGTCAAGCCCTCGTCATCCTCATCACCAGAAGCTTGCCTCGCAGGACTGTTTGGCGTGCTAGGCTCGGGCGTAGCGCTCGCCCATCCATCCTCATTGCCGCTCCCTGTGGCCTCTGCGTCTCTCGACCCCTTCGATGCGCTCTTCTTGCGCCTTCCTGCGCCGCCGGCACCACCGCCGCTGCCAGCACCACCGCCACCGCCGCCTGCTGCGGCTAGTTGTGTATGAGATTTGTTGCGCTTTCCTGCGAGATGTGTAGAGCTGCCAGCATTACCGCCCAATCGATGGAGTCTGTCTGACGACTTATGGTTACGCTTGACGCGAGAGGAGGATGAGGTAGCTGGTGGCGAGCGAGAAGGCCCTGCGGCGGGGCCTTCGTTGCTGGTCATACCGAATGCTGGATTCATGGGACTGAGAGTGAAGGAGTGAATTGATGCGCGAGAACAGACAATTGTCAGCAAAGTGATTCCGCGTGCGATCTGCTGCCGACTAATTGTCTCACTCACTTGTTTCTGCGTGAGTTCGTGCTACTTGAGCCACTGCTGCTGCCCTTTCTGTGATGATGCTGAGACGTCGAGGCGTTTTGACTTGCAACCGACTGCTCGTCCGATGCTGCAGACTGCGCTTCGGTGTTGGATGCTGTGTTACTGCTGTTGCTGCCACTCGCCCAGCTAGGCCCGGCAGCTGATGCTGATCCCGATCCTGATGCTGATGGCAGCTGCCCTGCCGATGTAGTGGTCATTGTGGCCATGCTCGCACAAGCGTCGCGAGATCAATGATGAGTGGAGAGAAGAGAGAAAAGGAGAGCGGAGCGTTGCGTTGCAATCGATAGCCTCGAGCGAGCGGAGGCGGAGGCGCCGGCGCATTGCCCGTTGCTCGGGCTGAGCAAGCAGGCAAGGGCGCGTCCAGTCCAAAGCCAAGGCGCCGCCTGCCCTGCCGCCAGTCCGATTGAGGCAGTCGCGCTCAGGCCCACTAGTTCACCAAGCATACCTGAGCAGGCCAGCGGTGAGCAATCCAAGGTCAAGTCGAGCATCGTCACCCAGTAGCTTCAGCCAAGGCAAGGGATCACGTCGAAGGGCTGGCAATTGAATAATTGTAAAGATGAGATGAGATGAGATGAGATGAGAACGAGAAAACAGGTAGAGAAACGGTGTCTTGGATGAGTCCACTGTCGGGACGAGCTTGGTTGGGCTCACTTCGGCGCAAGTTGGTACAAAAGAGAGAGTGTGGGAGACAAGACAAGGAGACGAAGAAAGGGCACGGAGAGGGAGGTGACGCTGATTTGCAACAAGTGAAAGTGAGGGGAGGCGGTGATCTCGCCGCACCCTCACGCAACCGTGGTAGTAACGGCGCGAGGGCTGCGCAGCTTGCTGAGGGCCTCCTTGCGAGTACGAGCATTGAGGCGCGTCGTGAAGTTGAGAGCCTTGAATTCGGTGGGAGGGCCTCGAGGTTGACGACTGGCTGGATGTACCAAAGCGGCAGGCATGGGGCTAACACTGCCGGAACCAGAGAAGGAGCGAGGCGTCACGAGCAGGGGAGCAGGTGGCCCCCCAGCCGATGCGTTGGCAGCCGGCGAAGGGATGCGGCCAGAGCGACCGAGGCTGCCGTACTGTGGCTGCTGCTTAGCAGGAAGGACGTTGCTGGGCTTGCCAGGAAGATCAGCAGAGAGAGCTTGGATGTGGTTGACGCCCTCCTCGGATGTCTGCGGCGTCTCGTCTGCACTGTTGAAGCTCTTCGAGCTGCGCACTGAGGGCGAGCCTTCGTCGCTGTCCTTGTCATCGCCGGCAGTCGCGGCTCGGCTCCGCCAGCTAGAAGCCTTGTCAGCATGGCTGACGGTGCGTTCGCGAGGGAGTGAGGTGGTAGCACCGCCAGAAGGACTGCGACGCTGACCGTCTCCAGCCTGGCGAGCCGCCTGCTGCTGGAGCTGCTGAAGCTGGAGCTGGTACTGCTGCATCTGGAGAGCCTGAAGCTGTTCCTGTGTCCTGGCAAGCTGGGCAGCAGCGGCCTGGCGCTCGTACTCCTCTTCGACGACGTCGATGGCGAACTGCCAGAGGTCGCGACCACCGAGCTGACGACGGTCAAGGCGGCCGAGCGACTCCTCCTCAAGGAGCTGGGCGTAAACGTGCTGGACCTGGCGGTTGCGCAGATTGGCCTGGATCGAGGCCTGAGCAGCCTGGCGCTGCTCCTGCTGCTGCTGACGCTGGGCCGACTGCTCGCGCTGACGCTGCTGACCAAAGTTCTGGAGATGGGCAAGAAGATTGTTGGAGTGCTGCTGAGCGGCTTCCTGCCTGCGCAGAATCTCAAGGTGCTGCTGCTCGTGAAGCTCAGCCTGACGCTGCTGCTGGTAGTACTGGGCGAAAGCGTCTTCCTCGCTCTTGTTGTTGTACTCCTGATAGCGGTGATGCTCAGAGTGAGGCTGTCCTTGCGTGACGCCGTAAGAGGCGGCGACGTTGGGGGTGCTGTGCATGGCAGACATTTGAATAGCAGCGAGCTGAGCCTGCACAGCGTCGAGATCGCTTCCATACTGGCGCTGCTGCTGGTGCTGCTGATGCTGCTGGTGCTGTTGGTGCTGATGCTGGTGGTATCCAGCAGGCATGAAGACGGCAGCATTGGGCTTGAGCTGCTGGGCGAGCTGCTGGTGGTGATGCTGCTGCGCCAACATGTCCTGATACTGGGCGCCGTTGCTGGCGCCAGGCGAGTCTCCACGACGAGTTCGAAGACCCGCCAAGAGGTCTGCCCGATTGGACTGCTGTCGAGGATTGGGCGAGGGCCCGCGCTGAGGAGCGCCGTTGCCGCCTCGCTGCTCGTACGAGCGGTCGAGGCTGAGGTGGTGAGGCACTTGCTGAGCCATCATCTAGTGACGAGTGACTTGAGCGATCGGTGTGATGGAGGTTACGAGGTGGGTATTAAAGGGTGCCGGACGAAGCAATGCTTGTCTGACGCTGTTGATGCGGGTACTGGTGTCTGTCTGTTTAACGTCGCGCGAAAGGCGTGCGATGAAGCGTATTACTGGGATTGGGTGGCTGCAGAGCAGGATGCGCAGCAACTGCAAGGACGACTGCAGAGCAGCGATGGTGTTGTAGCTTGGTTGATCCTCACAGAGGTATCTTGTTTTAGCAGGTTGCTGTTTGCGTGTGGGGGCGACAATGACGATGGGAAAGGGTTACGAGTGGGTGATGACACCTGTTGCTATGTGCGCGCTGAGAGGTGTGTAGTCGTGGCACCAGCAAGGCTGGATTACAAGAGGGTGACAGAAGTCGAAGCAGGGATAAGGGGGAGGCAATGCCGTAGCGCGATGACTCGCAGTGCGGTTGAGGCCGAGGCGGTATTGAGCGGCCAGAGGCTGTCTTCGCTTGGGCGGAGTGAGTGGCGAAGCGGCAGCACAGATGGTGTGACTTGCTACTGATATTGCTATCGCCGTCGTCGTTCGCTGAAGACGATGTTGAGGGAGGAGGAGGTGGGGTTCGCGCGTAGAAAGCTCGGGGGCAAAGGCGTTTGGGAAAGAAAGGAGGAATACGATCAAAATGGTGCAAGTGTCGAAGAAGAAATCTTGTGGTAGGCCGGGAACAAAGATGGGAACGAACTGGGGGGTAGGAAGGGGGTCTTTAGGTGGGGGAAAAGGGAAAGGGTGGAAAAAGGTAGAGAGGGAAAGGGAAGAGGGTGCGAGCTGGGACAGTGACGAGGAGGACGTCGACTCAGCGAGAGCCAAAGCGAGCCAGAGCAAAGCAAGGGGGCGCAGCGAGCGACTGGGCAGCTGGGCGGGCGGGCGGCAGGCAGCAGGCAGACGGCAGGCACAGGGCGGGACGGCGCCTTTTGACGGCAAAAGACCAGAGGCGGAGGCACACACAGAGAGGCGTGGGCGCGAGACCGAGTCGAGACGCGATTTTGACGCCAAATCCACGACAATGCGACAGCGACGAGGCGACGACAACGAGCATCGAGCCAGAGAGGAGAGCAAAACATTGGCGGCATGGTATTGCGAGACATTTCGAGGCGACATTGGTCCGTTTGTGTCACGGCCTGAGATTTGGGTCACGCTCGGGCCCATCTCGACTGACGTTCTTCGCTCGCAGTCTCAGCCTCATCGGCCTCATTGACTTGTCTAAGAGCAGGGGCGGCGGGAGACGCGGCGGCGGCGGCGGCGGCGGCGGCATCCTCACCTGCCAGACGGCCATTTGCCCCTGAGTGTAGCTCCTTCTCCTCCTTCCAAGCCGATTGATCCTGCCACTCGGAGACATTGACAGCAGCGTCTGACCCTGCCGGGCCGTTCTCCATCTCGCGTGCCGTCGCGACACCGGCTTTCTCGAGATCATTTCTTTGACCGCCCACTGGTAGGATGGCTTGTTGTGATGGCTTCCTGCCGCCTCTTCGGCGGTATGCCTCTCTGGCCTTGCGACCATACACGCCGAGCTCCGGCCCAGGGAAGGTGGCCTTGCGGACGTCCTCGGGCGGGAATAACCACCAGACTGGCCAGCTACGACGGCCGAGGTTGATCCAAAGAAAGGCCCAGACCAGCATGATGGCTGCCGTGAGCATAACGACTGGAACATACCGCCAGCCAAGATGAACGATCGGTGGCGACGTGACAGCAAGGACTGCAGTCGCACCACCTGGCGGGTGAATAGTGCGCGTCACCTGCTGTACCAGGATGGCTGTACCTGTCGCGATACCTCCCGCAATCCAGACGAGGCTCCACGAGTGGTTGGTGTTGTCGACTTGGAAGTGCGAATTGAGGGCAAAGAGCTTGGTGATGATTACGCCGACCAATGCTGAGAGAACCTGGCCGAAGAAGAAGGAGCGTGGTTGGGAGAGCGGGGACATGGGCGCACCATAGAGCAGCACGGCACTGGCTCCGAACGAGCCAACGATGGCCGGAGACGTCCAGGCGCCTTGAGGGACGTCGATCGAATCAGTAAAGGGAGTGGGACGAGTGAAGACGATGATCACCCTGGGCGAGCGAGCAAAGCTGGGTCAGCTCTCGCACACGACATGCCTCTAGTCAGCCTCGGGCGCTCCCTCACAAGCCGACGCCAATGGTACCTCCAATCCAGCCCCAAATGTAGCCTTCGAGCCACATAGGGATCTTCTTGAGAAGAGGCTCGAGCGGAGACCTGAACTTCCTGGAATACCAAGGAGGACGGGCCTGTGGCTGGCCAGCGGCGCCGCCCTTGCCCTTTTCCAGGTCGCCGGCAGTTTGAGTCGCGCCCGCGCCAGGTGGTGATGAACGTGCTGCAGATGGTGCTCTTGCCTTCGACAAAGGCCGCCTAGATGACGATCTCAGTCTTCCAAAGGCCTTGACACTCCGTGATCGCGATCTGTCATCGCCATCGTAGCTTCCCCTCACCGTCCTACTCTCTGACCTCCATCGCGTTGTGCTGCCGCCAGGGGCAGCCGTCGCTGTCGATGACAGGGATGTCTGCGCTTGCTGTGGCGGCGGCGAAGACATGCTATCGGCAGCGGCGAGCGCAGACAGGGAGATCGGATAGCAGAAGAGTGAGGAAACGAGGAGCAGAGCTTGGTTTTTAAAGAGGTGGATGCAGCGGAATGGCGCCTTCGGCGACCCAACGAATGACCTACCCCGCATCGATCCACTCGAAAATGCAAAGGCCGCCGGCGGCCGTGCCGAAGATGGCCGACCAAGGAGTACTGAGCTCGCCGCCGGTCACAGGGCACGATGACGCTGCAAACTGAACGAGATTAGTGACGGGCAGAGCTCAGGCGTAATAGATGTTAGTCTCAGTGAGCTGTTCGATACCATGCCTGTTGAGCAAACTAGCTCAAGAAGGTGAATGAGACACGACGTTCCGTTCCGGCGGGGACGATAGTCGCTGCATCGCATCGCATCTCGCTCTGTCGTCCTCGTCCGTTCGATCCGTCCGTCCGTCCGTCCGTCCACCCAAGCAGCATTGGTCTCGCTCCTGACCCACCCCTCACTCGCACCGCATCGCAAGCGCAGCTCAGCATGGTCAATCCCTCGTCCTCAAGCGCAGCTACCTTCGCTCCTTTCCAGCCCCCGCCAGACGAGGCACATCAGCAGGCACAGCGCTACCAGCCTTCACCGGCAGTCGCTCCTCCCTCACCCCCACCGAAGCAGCGTTACATGGATGAGAACCCGTACGAAGACGACCCGCGATACGCCACTGAGAGCTATCAGAGTGGGTCGCTGCAACATCAACAGCAGCAGCAGCAGCAGCAGTTTCAGCAAACGCAGCAGGGGGGCTTTGGTGGATCTCAAGCGCAGCAGTCTCTCTCATCGGCCGGTATGGGATCTTGGGGAAGCGGTGTCCAGCCAGATGCTGCGAGCTACATGACTTCACAGGGAGTCAGCATTTCCAATCTGTGCTTCATGGCTTGGGCCCTTCCGCCTTTCAGTGGAGTCTTTGTCCTCATCTTCGAGACGACGAATGTAAGTCCACCACTAGACCCGTTAGCTGCAGGAGGCTACCTCAAGCTCACTCAAACTTCTTTCCCCTCCCTTCCTCCCTCACCCATCCTCGCAGGACCTCGCTCGCTTCCATGCCTATCAATCCTCACTATGCGGCGTGGGCATGATTCTCGCCCTATACATCCTGCGCTCTTGGTTCGGTTGGTACACGCTCAGCATCATCTTCGGCATGGGATCCTTGGGAGCCTGTTGGGTGGCCGGGTGAGTATCAGCGGCCGCACGGAGGCTTGACTGAACGTCAAGCTCAAAGATTGTCTCTATCTCTCGACCGCTGTCACAGAAACAACGCACATCGAGCCGCCCCTACACTGGGCAAGGAGCCCTACTTGCCGTATGTCGGACCGTGAGTATTGCCCCCACCAGAGGTCCTCAAGATTGCCTGCTGACTTTCTTCACGTTCCATCAGGCTGGCGGAGGAGTGGGTAGGATCTGAATGAAGGGGTGGACTCCGAACAAGCGATACCCAGTAGCAAGAGACACAACTGCCATCTTACTTCAGTCGCGGGCGCCTGCAGAGGCAAGGACAACTATAGACAACGTCAGAGGCACCTGCCTCATCCTTAATGCTATCGTACTGCTCAAGCGCTCGCACACAAACGCATTGCCTGTTGGTATATGTAGCGTCGCATCGTTACGCTCGAATGGCAAATGCCGATACTGTACATATGATCGAGTCCTGCGCGAGAGATGGCCGTGATGTTGAAGGGGTCAATTCGAGTTTCTACTACCCAGGTCGAACGCAAGGTCAGGAATTTCTCACATTGGAGCTGAGTGCGACCCGAACGGCGAAGGATGGACAATCGTCAGCAGGCATCCACTCCTCTTGAACCTTTTCCTCGCTCGTACTCACTACATCTCCTGCACAACCGCGTCTCTCTCCTCCCAATGGCAGCTCATGTCCGCTCTCCCCCCTTGACCTAGATTCTCCACTAGCTGAACCTGTACAACGTACTTGAAACCCCTCGGTTCCACTTCGATCATCTTGGCCTTGATCTGCTGCGCCAGGTCCCGCGTCAGGGAGCGCTGCGCTGCTTTCGACTCGGGCGAAGCGCTGCGGTCCCACGTTGTAGTGAAGAGGCGGGTGGAAAGGAGAGACCTGAGTGTGAGTTGAAAGGGTTCCGTTGGGAATCTAGACGGGTGTAGAAAGGGTGAGTAGACGGGAAAGTGAGCCCAGGGAGCGGGATGGGGCCTGTTTCCATCGAGGCTGCTCATCGACTTACTTGGACCTCGATGATGAGGAGGAGGAGCCCAGCGCTGCGCCAGCGCCGGCCGCTGCTGAGCTACTGCTGCTCGAGGACGGCGGAACAGGGCTTGCCATGCAGTTCTTGGGTCTTGTATGAACCTGCTTCTCCGGGCCTTGATGACGGATCTCGAAGTTGATGGAGGTGTTGGTTGCAACGGACACAAAGGCGTCCCAGTCCGCTGCTCGTCTCGCTCGCTCCGCCCTCTGTCCCTCATCCGCTCGCCACGCGCGCTGAGACGAGCTGAGTCCACTTGATCGCTTGCGCCGCTCGAGCCACTTGCCCGTCCTTACGTTGTCGTCCATTCGTCCCTCGCCCTCGAATCACCAACGAGACCAAAGGCGACGAACGATGGCAGACACTTCAAAGGCGACGGCCACCGGCGCCGACGCCGATGCCAACAAGGACAACAACGGAATGGACATCGATCGACCGGGCTCCTCGGCTGCTGGTGCTGTCTCGAATGCTAAGCAGCAGAGATTTCAGGTCAAGAAGGTGAGCAGCATAGCCTCACCCTGTGTCACGGGAACAGGCACTGGCGGTAATACTGATACATTTGCCCTTGCTTGCTCGCAGTGGAACGCCGTGTGCTTGTGGAGCTGGGACATTGTCGTCGACAACGTGAGCAGCGCTTGCCATCTTTCCTGAGACCTCAGCTCAACTGTTTGCCATCTGCCCCTTTGCTACTCAGTGTGCCATCTGCCGCAACCACATCATGGACCTCTGTGCGTCTTCTCTCTCGCCGCATGCAAGCACCGCCGCACACTGACACGATGCTCTGCCGCTCCTCTATCCTCCTTCATGCTCGCAGGCATTGAATGCCAGGCTAACCAGGGGAGCGCTACCAGCGACGAGTGCACCGTAGCTTGGGGTCAGTGCAACGTGAGTGTATCATGGCGTAGGAAGCAGCGACCTTTCAGTGTCACTGACCCGCAATTTCCACCATTCGTCGGCTGCGCAGCACGCCTTTCACTTCCACTGCATCTCCCGCTGGCTCAAGACTCGCCACGTCTGTCCACTAGACAACCGAGAGTGGGGTACGTACACGCTCAATGCATACCAGTCACGAGGTCGATTGCTCACGCTACATCCCTCACTCTCCGACCTGTCAGAACTCAACCGTTACGGCCGATGAGCTACTCAGCGCAACAACAAGCTCCAGGAAGCAAGCAGGCACAGGCGCCGTCCTCTTCCTCACTTCATCTCATCCGTTCAGCCTTCCACATTCGCGCCCACAGGCGCTCCTCACCACGCACGAAGCCACCTACCGACCTAGCGACCGACCGAGCATACAGAGCGCAATGTATCAACATCTTCCGAAGAGCGCGGCTTGTATCGAGGCCCCCGAATGCGAGCGTGAGGACGATCGAGAGCACCAGACCAGATCAGTCGAAGCCAGTCGAGAGCAAGTAGACAAGGCATCTAGAATTCGCTGATGATGGAGAAGACCTGTAGGTGATCGTATATGTGTCGCCTTGCGAAGCACGTGTCATGAGACAGCAAGAGAACAGGAAGCATCGAGGCGCCAGGCCTGCCGCTACCGCCCCCCTTCTTTCTACCACGCCCCGCTCCTCGTTCCCTCCTCGGGCCTGATCCGTGCTCTGCCCGTCAGAGCAGGCAAAGCAGGAGCAGCTCCTGCTGGTGAGCCTCCCTCTCCTCCGACAGGAGCCCTCTCGATCGAGCCTCTGGGGCTACTCGACGAGCCTCCATCCGTCATTCCTGGCCCGCCACTGCTCGGTGACGTTCCGGAAAGTGTCGCGAGGACATTGTGAGAGGAATGCCTGGGGCTCCTCGGCGTAGCATGAGAGCGGGCAAATCCGCTCGCTTGCGCCTTCCGTGTGTAGCCTGGGCCTTCCCGCTGTGGATGATAGCTGTGGTGAGGACTGGGTACGGCGAGAGAGCCACCACTGCTGCTGGTCTCATCACTCATATTAGGTAGGCCGGAGATGGCATCCTGAAATGAGGCATCGCCCGCAGCTGAATCAGACTCGTCCGAGGACTCGTCATCGCCGTCGTCTTCCGAGACGCCGTGGCGATTATGGTGGTGGTGGCGCGGGGCCACGCCGGCGAGATCGGCAGGCGGGCTAAAGCTGCGTCTTACAGATCGTCGCGTATGCTCACCGCCTGCTCCACTGGTGGTACCTCCGATGTGCTCGAGAGCAGGCGCAGCTCCTGTAACTGCTCCTCCCTCAGCTCTCGACCCCGCGCCCGTCCTTCTTCGCCTTCCGGACCCCGCAACAGCTCCCATCGCCCAGTTGCCCGACCCTTCCACCTCCGCATATCCTCGTCCTTCGCCTCCGGGCTGGCGATTAAGCACATATTGATCCGCAATAGAGTCATCATCATCCTGATCCGTATACGGGTTGTCAGAAGAGCTCTGCGCCGTATAATAGCGTGAGGCAGTGGTGCCCGTCGTGGCCGTGGAGTGGTGCCCACCGCTTGTGTATCCTGCAGTAGATTGGCGAGAGCGCGGAGCTGCGAGCCCGCCAGTATTGGTGCCACTTTCCGTGCTCGAGAGTCCGGCAGAGGTGGCGCCAGAGCCTCGCCCGCCTGCAGCCATACCGCCACCTCGACTTGACCGCTTGCCGGCCGCACTGGACATCGCAGCTTGTTGCTGCGTCACGCCCCTCAACGAAGCCTCAGCAGCCGCCTCGCGCCCCTGTGTGCTAGCGATGCGACGCTGTGCCACCTTTTCCGAGTCCCTCGCCATGCTTGGAGCGTACTGATCCCACACGTTCTGGTAGCGGTCCACCAGGTTGACGGGCATGCTGCCGCCGCCTGAGTGGTCCACAGAAGAGGGCAAAGAGGGCGAATGGCGGGGAGGCTCGAAGCGGCCACTTGCTGCGGGACCGCGAGCCAGGTCCGGCGAGGAGGACGAGGTGTACGAATCCCCTGGGAAGACGCGAGTCGCCGTTGGCTGGCGAGAACGCATAGCCACACTGGGTGATGGTGGCTCCCTCTGCTGCTGCTCTTGCACCTTCGTCTTGGCGGGCGTGTTCTCCCAGGGGAACACCTTCCCCACTTTCCCCCCGTCAGGCCTCTCCGATCCCAAGTGCTGATAATCGTGGATCGCCTTTGCCTCAGGCGGAATGTACCCCACAAAGCTCCTCCCTTCCGCGGTCAGATTGGGATTGAGGAACAAGCGACGACGATGCTCCATTTCTGCTCTTTCTGCCGGTGTGAGTGAAGAAGAAGGCTTGTCCCACGCATTGGTGTAGAAGGTGTCAGGGGCGTTACGCCATGAAGGAGTCGAGTCGAGGGGAGGGGAAGAGACGGTTGCGTCCCATTGTACGCGTTTGGTGGGAGGAGTGATGCTCGCCGTTGGCGTAGAGCCGCCAGAGTCGAGAGGTGAAGCAGCCTTCTGTGCAGCGGTGAGTATACGCTGCAGCTGCGGTGGAAGCAGGTCGAGCCGTCCGAAGAGAGGCAGGCTCTCGTACCTGCCTTCGCCGGTCCTGCCGCTGCGCTGCGGCCCTGCTCCTCCAGACGATTGGAAGGTTGCCCTGAGCTCTTCCAGAGTACGAGATGCCCCTCCCGCCACCGCCTCGTCATTTTCAGCCCAGGCCGCTTGGTATACAGGAATATCGATTCCCTTGGGCGCTGGCCTCTCAATCACCTCCACCCCCTTTTCAGTAAATCTCACCTCGACATCGCCCTCCTGCGGCGTGCTCGTCCCCGAGAGCGGGTAATGCGTGGTATACACATCCCACCACTTGGATGTCAGATTGCCTGAAGCAAGGTCACGGGCTACGGCTGAGCGAGAGGGAGGACGGCTGGTTCGCCAGGGCTTCTGCCCACCGATGAAGTGCGCCACGCTCGCACCTGACCCGTAGCGTCGGTACGCGGGCACATAAGTATATCCGCCCAGAGCAGTCATGTTGTAAGTGAAGGGCAGCCTTGTCCACCCTCCACCAGCTCCTTCTGCTCCGCTGCCCTTCTCACCGCCAAAGAACTCGTTGATCAGCCCTTGGTCTGCCCCATCCCAGGTCCCGCTCGATGCTGCCAGATTGAGCAGCCCCTCGAACGTGTCCTGCGAGGGCTCAAGAAGCATCACGCCCGAGTTGAAGATGTCTGGCCACCCTGTGTCGGGCGAAGCGGCAAAGGTTGCCGAGAGGTGGAAAAGGTGCGAGAGGGGGCGAAGCACAAGCGAATCGGCGTCAAGGTAGACGACTTTGCGGTAGTCGGTCAGGCGCCAGGCGTGCAACTTGGTGAGGGCAGCTCCTTGTGACTCGCCGAGGTCCGGTCGGTCCAGAAGAGCAAGGTTAGCGTCACTCAAGTCGACGACTGCGTTGCTGTCGTCTCCGTCCTTGCTTGCGGTATCAGCAAGCTGCCCCTGCTGCTGCATAGCTAGGATGCTCGGGATGCCCAGCGGCTCAACGCCGATGACACGGTCGTAGACGCGGAGAAGCGCTCGTATTGACTGGACAGACAGGGAGCCAGGAGTGACGAGAGCGACGAGGTCGATGTCTTCGCTGCGTGGCTTGGTTGCCGGTCTCTTGGGTGAGGTCCATGGTCCGAGGGTCACGCCGGTGAGGCCGCTCTTATCTTGAGCATCTGCTGCTTCGTGGGCAAGACGCAGCGAGTGGGCTACGACGAGGGCCGCGGGTAGATATTCGTCTGTTGTGACCAAGGTCGTGAAGGCGTACGAAGCGCCTTTCGAGGACGCCGACGAAATTGACGTTGACGTCGATGGCTTCACAGGCGCCATCGTGCGATACTGCTGGTACGTGCGTCCCGATAAGGTCAAGGGTGTGAGACCAAAGGGAGCCGTGTGTCTAGGGTCGTCAAGGGTATCGTCAACCTCGTAGCAAAGGTTCGCTTTCGCACGAGGGTCAGGTTGAGATGAAAGATAGATAGCGCATTGGTATCGATTCGGCGAGTCTTGAGTCTGTCTCGTATGCTTTGCCCTCTCGTTCCTGTGGCGGCTAGCGGCGTTCAAAGTGGCACTTCTTCGCAGGCACGGAAATCTGAGTCTGGCTCACTGTGCGAGAACAACGGGCCCCACAACGCACGCACGCCTAGGCTCGCACGCACACGCACGCAGGCAGGCAGACAGGCAGGCGTGAGCTTGAGCGGCGCCCCACGCTCTATTTAGCCTGAAAAAAAGAACGACGCCTGCGTGGCCGTGTCACGGCCAGACGGCTTTGTGGGATGACGATGAGCAGACGAGGCAGACGTGCTCACAAGAGAGTTCCATTACGATTGCTTGCACTACAGTATCACGCATGTACGACGACTATCTGTGCCCTCCCGTCTCGAGGTCTTGGTCGAGGAGCTCTAAAGGATCGCCCTGAGTCGTCTCGACGACGACTCTGTCTTCTTGGTTCATCAACGACAAGGCCTCGGCGCGCGTCATACCGCCATCGTCATCGCCCAGCCCCTTCGGTAAGCCCGTGAAGGCTCTATCGAGTGGCCAAGCTGAGTGAGCAAGGACGGCTCCCGCTGCACTTTGGCCTTCGTGAGCACCAGTCGACCTTGCGCGTGGGATGAGCGAGCAAGGGACGGTACTTGAACCTTTTGCCGGGATAAAGGAAGCAGTGGCATGAGACCAGAAGGTGCGAACTGTGGTGAGGGGGCTTTCAAAAGGGTATAGATTGATTAAGATCGACTTGCAACTTTCACGCCTTTGGCGCTGGCGGTGGCGGTACGGCTGGGAGTTGGGCAGCCTCAGCAGCAGGCTTCGGGGGCGGTCGCGGGGCTGCGTCGTCTGGTGATCTCCAGCCAGCAATTTTTTCCATTCTCCTCTCGAAGAGTGGGCTCCTGATGGGTTTGCGACTGGCTGCCAGACTGGCTTCGGAGGGAGGTGGTGGTGGAATGTTGGACTTGGAGGGGAGGAGAGGTTGCGGCAGGGAATGGAAAGGATTGCAGATGTGCGAGAGGTAAGAGGTGTGCATTGCGCGGAAGATCTGTGGCAGGGGGGGAGGAGGAAGCTGGATCAGGAGGAAGCAGAAGAGAAGCACAGCCGAGCATGCTGGCGGCTCACCGTGATGAGGTCGAGGTCGCGCACAATGGCGTCTGAGATGGTGATCATGACGAGGAACTTGACACGGGTCGATGTTTGGAAGCCATATCTGCTCACAAGCGGAGAGAAGGTCAGGGACGCAGGTCTAGAAGTCCTCATAGTCTGGCTGCTCACACGGCTACGTCTTCCAAGGTAAGAAGGAGGCCAAGGTACTGCTCTGAGGCTCGATTGCCGGCTAGCGTAAGGGCGAGAGAGGTCAGGCTGTGGAGGGAGGGTCTCTACTCTTGTTGCGCTCGTTTTGCTTACCCCTCTCCTCTACAATGTCGAGGGCTCCATGGGCAATGAAGTGGAAGCGCAGATCTGCCTGTTGCGTGTCTTTCTGTCCAAAGCTGCGCAGGTACAGGGGAGCATTCGATGCCGAGATGACGGCTAGACATCGCTGCGGAGGGGGCGAGAGTGATGACGGATCAGTCAAGTGATGATATGGCGACGGCGTCGTGAAATATGTCTCACGATCTTCGTTGTAGCCATGTCGCCTTTGCTTGTCAGGATGAGCTGGTGGTCATGGACGGAGGACGGAGAGAGACTTGATTGGTTGCAGCTCGAGTGAGCTCAGTCCGCTCAGTCGTCGTCGTCCTGGCCGCCGCTGCCGAGAGATTCACCTTTGCTCCATCCGCCACTTACCATCTCTTCATCACCCACACTCCATTCTTGCAAATCGCCATGGCACCCACAGCTACCGGCAGCGGGTCTCGCGGTGAAGGTAGCAGCGGTGAAGGCTCGGCCCTCTCGCGCAAGAAAGAGCGCTATATGCACGACTTGCCCATGGATGTCGAGGATGCAGGCGACTCGGACGACGACGAGAACGGCAATGCTCGACCAAAGAATCCGCTCGACATCTACTCTGCTCCTCAGCATCTCCTCAACGAGTTTGCAGACGACTCAGAGGATCCTCTCGAGGAGCGTGCAAAGTCGAGGCAGATCGCAGCCAGGCAGAATGATTACCATCTTCGCCGCTTCAATCGGGATGCTGGACCGGAAAAGGGAGCAGATGCCATTGCTGCAGAAGGCGAAGGAGGATACAAAGAGGCGATGCGAAGGGCTGAGCTAGAGAGGGAGGAAGACCGAGTGAGGAGGTTGATCGAGCAGAAGGAAAAGGATGCCGCCGACAAGTCGCAGTCACGTCAGGACAGAGATGTCACCCCGCCCATGGATGACCAAGGGGATACCACCCCGAAAGCAGCCGCAACCACACGCAAGCGCAGATGGGATGTTGGACCACCAGCCATGGATGACGGTGCTAGCACCGCTCCGCCTCGCAAGCGCTCCTCTCGCTGGGACGAGGCACCTGAAGCGACGCCCGCAGAGCCCAGCAAGCGATCTCGTTGGGATCAAGCGCCTACCGCTCAAGACGACGCCAAGCCCACATCTTCTCTCATCGCCTTTGACCCTCGCAACCGCTACTTGAGCGATGAAGAGCTCGATCAGCTTTTGCCGTCCGAGGGCTACAAGATCGTCACCCCTCCCCCCGACTATGCCCCCATCCGCACTCCCGCTCACAAGCTCATGGCTGCACCTGGCCCCTCTGGTGGCGGCGGCTTCATGATGCAAGACGAGGCGAGCGCCCGAGCCGCCGTAGAGGAGCTCGTCCCCGATCTCCCTACGGACATTCCCGGCGTAGGTCAACTAGCCTTCTTCAAGCCAGAGGATCAAACCTTTTTCAAAAAGGTCCTCGAAGACGATGGCGAGCAAGAACTGACCCTCGACGAGCTCAAGGAGCGCAAGATTATGAGACTGCTACTGAAGATCAAGAACGGCACGCCGCCAATGCGCAAGTCGGCTTTGAGACAAATCACGGACAAGGCGAGGGAGTTTGGCGCTGGTCCGCTCTTTGACAAGATCTTGCCACTCTTGATGGAGCGCACACTCGAGGATCAGGAGCGCCACTTGCTCGTCAAGGTCATCGACCGTATTCTCTACAAGCTTGACGACTTGGTCCGGCCATACGTCCATCGCATCCTTGTCGTCATCGAGCCCTTGCTCATTGACGAGGACTACTACGCACGAGTCGAGGGGCGCGAGATTATCTCCAACCTCTCCAAGGCGGCTGGTCTGGCTCACATGATTTCTACGATGCGACCGGACATTGATCACGTCGACGAATACGTGCGCAACACGACCGCCAGAGCCTTCTCCGTCGTTGCCTCTGCGCTGGGCATCCCAGCGCTCCTGCCCTTCTTGCGAGCCGTGTGCAGGTCCAAGAAGTCGTGGCAGGCACGCCACACGGGTATCCGCATCGTGCAGCAGATTGCAATCATGATGGGCTGCGCCGTGCTCCCACACCTCAAGAACCTCGTCGACTGCGTTGAGAAGGGTCTCGAGGACGACCAGCAAAAGGTCAAGACCATGACGGCCCTCGCCCTTGCTGCCCTCGCCGAAGCCGCAGCCCCTTATGGCATTGAGTCCTTCGAGAATGTGCTCAAGCCGCTCTGGGTCGGCACTCGCCAGCATCGCGGCAAAGGGCTTGCCGCTTTCCTGAAAGCGATTGGCTTCATCATCCCGCTCATGGACTCCGAGTCGACACTCTACTTCGTCAAGGAGGTGACGCCCACCTTGATTCGCGAGTTTCAGAGCGCAGACGAGGAGATGAAGAAGATTGTTCTCAAGGTGGTCAAGCAATGCGCTGCTACCGATGGTGTGACGGGTCAATTCCTCAAGGAGGAGATGTTGCCAGACTTCTTCAAGAACTTCTGGGTCAGGAGGATGGCCCTCGATCGCCGCAACTACAAGCAGGTGGTCGAGACCACTGTCGCTCTCTCACAGAAGACTGGCGTGACGGAGGTGGTGGGCAGGATCGTCAACGAGCTCAAGGACGAGAATGAGCCTTTCCGCAAGATGGTCATGGAAACGATCCAGAAGGTCATCGACTCACTCGGCGCGGCGGACGTTGACGAGCGCCTTGAGGTCCAGCTTATCGATGGTCTCATCTACGCCTTCCAGGAGCAGACCGTCGAGGACAATGTCATGCTCGAGGGTTTCGGTACCGTCGTCAATGCGTTGGGTATGAGGATCAAACCCTACTTGACGCAAATTGTCTCCACCATTCTCTGGCGCCTCAACAACAAGAATGCCAAGACGCGCCAGCAAGCCGCCGACCTAACCACCAAGCTGGCAGTAGTCATCAAGCAGTGCGGTGAGGACGCTCTGCTTAGCAAGCTCGGTGTTGTCCTCTTCGAGCAGCTGGGTGAGGAGTTTCCCGAGTCGCTCGCGAGCATCATTGCTGCCGAGGGAGCCATCGCTGCCGTCGTGGGGATGACGCAGATGAACCCGCCCGTCAAGGACCTCCTTCCCCGTTTGACGCCCATCCTGCGCAATCGACACGAGAAGGTGCAAGAGGCCTGCATCAACCTCATCGGTCGTATCGCCGATCGAGGCTCTGAATTTGTCTCGCCGAGGGAATGGATGCGCATCTGCTTCGAGCTCCTCGACCTGCTCAAGGCACACAAGAAGGCTATCCGTCGTGCAGCTGTCAACACGTTCGGATATCTCGCCCGCGCCATCGGCCCACAAGATGTGCTGCAGGTGCTCCTCACCAACCTGAAGATCCAGGAACGTCAGTCACGTGTCTGCTCCACCGTGGCGATTGCCATCGTAGCAGAGACCTGCGGACCCTTCACGACCATCCCGGCCATCCTGGCAGAGTACCGAACACCGGAGCTCAATGTACAGAACGGCTGCCTCAAGTCCCTGGCCTTCCTCACGCAGTACGTGGGCGAGATGAGCAAGGATTACGTCCCCGCACTGGTAACAGTTTTGGAGAATGCCCTCGTGGAGCGCGATGCGGTCCACCGCCAGACGGCCGCCGCAGTCGTCTCGCACGTCGCGCTAGGCGTCGCAGGCTTGGGGCAAGAGGACTGCCTGCTGCATCTGCTCAATCTCGTCTGGCCTAACCTCTTCGAACAGAGCCCCCACGTCATCAACAATGTCTTTGACGCTATCGAGGCTATGCGTGTCGCCCTCGGGCCGGGCATTTTGCTCAATTACTCGATGCAGGGCCTCTTCCACGCCGCAAGGAAGGTTAGGGAGCCCTTCTGCCGCGTGTACAACACAAACTACGTTGGTGCACAGGATGCTCTTGTGCCGTTTTACCCAGACTTGAAGGAGTTTGACGAAGGGCCGAGGAAGTACAGGAGGGAGGAGCTGTACGCTTTCCTGTAAGCGCGAGGAACCACAGTGCAAGAGGAAGGCTGCCTGCGCTGAGTCTTGCCATGTGTCATTTCAGTTGCGACAAGAGAATGTCATGTCTTGATTTTCAGTCATGTCTCGTTTTCATTCCTGGTGTGCGTAAGACAGAAAGGGTGGGATGGAGTTGCTGGTGCGACCGTAGACAGGCGAAACGACATGGACACTGAGACAGGTGACAGGCAGGCGAGAGAGACAGAATCAGTCACACAAGTCGAATCCGGGGAGAGGAACTTGTATTGTAGGAGAGTATGCATGAAGAGGTAGGCAGTAGGGGGATGACAACAGACGTGACGAGAGATCAGCGCGCGGGCTGCTGCGACGATGCCGAGCTGATGACAGCGGGGTCGGATCGCTGCGATGCTGGACAGCCAGGGAGCTCTTTACACATGCGCGTTAGATGAAAGCGGTAGATATACAGGAGACGAGAGTTCGAGACGTAGCAAGAGGGGTGACGAGCAGGAAAGGCAGCCATAGCATGTCCCGCTGTGAGTCCTCCGTTGGATGTAGTGTTGCTGGCTTTAAGGCTGCTGCTGAGCGTAGCCTCCCTGCGATAGAGCACCGGCAGCCGCAGCCGCAGCCGCAGCCGTAGCCGTGCTGTCGAGGGGCGACGAGGTCGTGCCGTACATTTCACCCCCCTCGTGACCATCGCTCCCGCTGTTGCTGGCTTTGGCGTCCTGGCCCTGATGCTGCTGCTGATATTCCGGAGCGTAGTAATGCTGGTAGCCGTGGTGAGGCTGCTGCTGGTACGATCCACTGCTTCCCTGTTGGCTGTAGGGCTGAGGGTGGTGGTGATGCTGCTGGGCGTAGGCGCCCGGGTGAGGGTAAGGCATGAAGCTTTGAGATTCAGCAGCCTGGTGCTGGCCGATGGGCGAAAAGTGCTGGTAGTGAGAGAGCGTAGGAGCCTCACTACCAGCATACATGCTGTTGGTGGGAGGCGACATCGTCGTGTAGCTCTGGCTGTCAGCGCTCGTTGTCGTCGCGGGGCCGTGACCTCCAAGAGGGGTGAGGGTGGGGAAGCTCTGCGAGTGGTGCAGGCTGTGGCCGCTGGGCATTTGGCTAGCTCCTGCGGTGGCGTTGGAGAAGCCGTAGGCGACGGCACCAGAGTGGACTGCGGGAGGGATGCTGTAGCCAGCCGAGCTCGTGGAGGTGGAAGCGTCCTCACGGATCGAGTACGTCGAGGAATCGCGCGCGTGATGATGGTGAGAGGGCCTCTGGTAAGGAGCAGAGCCAACCGAGGCGGTACGACGGTGAGTGGGGCGACGACCACCGCTGCTGGAGCTACCCTCGCGGCCATTGACGCTGAGCTCGTCGACGAAGAAGGGCGTAGGGTTCGAGGGCGAAGGCTCCGAGGTAGCGCAGTACTTGTTGACGATCTTCTTGAGAGCCTCTTCAAGGACCTTCCAGGGAAACACTTTGACGTCCTTCTCGATGTTGCGAGGCTTGGGATTGACGAAGCCCATGACCCGTTTGAAGAGGCGCTCCGTCTCCCACTTTGTCTTGGAGAGGGTGATGGGCCTGAAACCTTCCAGGTTGCGGCGGATGCGGTTCTTCTCCTCGATGACGAAACGCGTATGGATGATGGCCTCGAGGAGGTAGATCATGTCGACGCTCGTGATGTAGCATTCGTTCTTTTCCTCGGAAAAGATGCAGCTGACGACGATGGTGCTAGGATCATAGGCAGAAGGATGGAGGACATCGCAAAGGATGGTGATGTTGGTGCCGCTTTGGTTGCGCCAGAACTTGACGAGGCGACGACCGTCGTTCCACTCTTCTTGGCTCCACCCAACGGTCATGTCGTTGAGGTTGTTGCCTACTTCGAGCCTGGCGCGAGAGCCAAGGCGGCCAGAACCAATGGTGCGAGGGATGACGGGGGTGTCCTCGAGGATAGGGACCGACGTGAAGTGCGGAGGGATGATGGCCCGAGTAGCGTCTGGGTGTGGCTGCTGCAGAGGCCTGATCAATGGGCCGCTGTTGCCGCTCGTCAGGGGAGCTGGAGGAGGCATCATGCTGCCGCCGCCGGCATTCGAGGGACCGATGCTGACGCCGAGGCCGCTTCCAGCTCCCATGCTTGCTCTCATCGAGTTGGCCTCGCCGCCATGGATCTGGCTGCCTGTGAAGTTGGTGTGCCGGGCGTTGTCGCTCATGCTGACACCGAAGTCTTGATGCGAATAAGGCGAAGGTGGAACGAGGAGCGACGACGAAGACGAGTGAGACGCCGAGTCGTGCGGGTGTTGCACAGACGGCACAGACGGCTCCAACGGAGGCCGAGTGACTGCAACAAAGACGTCGCAGTTGAGTGAGGGAGTGAGTGACAGAGAAAGGGGGGAAGGATTTTGGAAGTGAGGAGTGAGGATGGAAGAGAAAGATGACAAGGTTGCAAAGTGAAGGGAAGACGGAGAAGAGATCGTGTCAGCTCAAAGCCTCCTCTTGTAGACATGGCTCAATGGCCTTCGCTCCTGCCATCGCCTTGTTTTCGACCCAGAAAAATGACGCCGGACCACGGCGCCGCGGCGAATGCGAACGCGAATGCGAACGCGAATGCGAATGCTCTGACTTGGTCGCATCTCGTCGGAGGCGAACATCGACGTCTACGTTGAAGCAACGCAGTTTGAAACACAGGGACCAGGGGACCAATTGACGAACAAGCGACGGTCCCAACAAGTAGGCCGCCCTCGGCTGACGAAGGCGCTCAGCGGCCTCAGAAGTTGTCGTTTGAGGCCGGTCTTGGTCGCCGTGAGACGTCGACGTCGTTTCTGCTCCCTGAAGTCGAGCTGATGGCACGTCACTCGACTCGGGGTGCGTGCGGCTGGGGCAAGCGGGCGCACATCAATGCACGGGCAGGCCACTCCACTTCCGTCGGCGCTCGTACTCAAGCCCGCTGCAGCTGCGTCCCTCTTCTCACGACAATGCGCACAAGAATCACTCACCTTCTGAGCTGCTGCCATAGTGCAAGGGATGCTGGGGATGTTGCTGATGATGCTGCTGCTGGTGGGGCTGACCGTAATGGGCCCCACCGACAGCGGTGACCCCACCGCTGCCAGGCATAGAGTTTTGTCTCGCAACACCCAAGCCACCAGTACCAAATGGAGGCATTCCCACGCCTAATCCGATAGTCCCCGCCGCCGCGTTCGAGGGGAAGGGACCATCCATGTCTGGGATCGTGGATGTCAGTGAACCGTCAGCCCAATCCGCAGAGCATCCAGAAGAGGAACCTGCGCTCGCGGAGCCATACTCACGTAACCTCCGATCAATTCCCCTAACGGGTAAGGATGACGATGACGATGACGATGATGATGACGAAGACGGCTGTGCGGGCATGGATGAACCAGCTACTGGTCCGCTGCCTGTCCCTGCAGCTGTTCCAAATCCTGCGTGGTAGAAGCTTGGACTCGCAGGAGGTGGTGGTCCTCCTCCCATCGCGAAGTTGTGCGATGACAACGACGATGATGACATCGACGATGGTGGCTTTGAAGAGGAAGGCGGGAAGCGCAAGCTTGAGCCAGGATGCGGTGAATTGGAGTGAGCCTGTCCACCGCCGCCGAGGGACATGGCAGCAGTAGCTCCCGTCATCGGTGACAAGGACGAGGGTCCAGCAGCTTGGTGGCTACTGCTGGTGAGACTGAGGACGGGAAATGACGCTGGACGTCGAAGACTTTGCAAGCGGACGTCATCAAGCTCTCGATCGCCAGATGTACGCTTCAGCGATCGAAGTGAGGACTCTGAGACAAGGGAGGGTCGGACGAGAAATGGCGTGTGAGCAGGTAATGAATGAGCTACGCTCTTCGCTACATCATCGACTTCCATCTAACTTGTTGACACTCACCTGGACTGAAGAGCGAATTCATCATGCCAGGCGACTTCGCATCAAGAGACATGCCACCAGGCTGGTACAGAGGAGCCGCATCACTCATTGATGAACTGTAGGAGGCGCTTGGTCCGGCTATGCCGCCACTGCTGCCTTGGCTACGAGCTTGGTAGTTGAAGGTCGACGGCGTGTATGGACCGGCGCTGCCCGGCGGCGCTTGGGCCTGTTGCTGGAATGAGGATGCTTGCAGCGGAAAAGGGCGAGCAAAGCTATCAGAGGTAGCTGGATACCTCTGTCGTCCCGCAGCCGATCCGCCCTGCTGCTGGCCGTAGCCCGAGTAGTTGGGCTCCATCTTCGCTGGATTTGAATTGCAGCTGGAGCTTGCACTGAAGAGTGAGCTCTGGTACAAGTCAGGAAGTCCACTGGGGCCCGTCGATGCCAAGAGCGAGGTCAAGGACAAAGGCGGTGCAGCCAACGTTGTATCGCCCAGCTTCGACGAGGACGACGAAGGCTGGAAGAGGCGATGGCTTGTAGTGAGGTCGGCACCCAAGGCAGGCGGCGCGTGGAGCATAGGATGACGATCCTGATACGGTGTTACAATGGCGTCACGCGTCGGCGCAAAGCGACCTCGGATCGCGATGGCGATGGCACCAAGGTGTGGCGCAGCGTCACGACTGGTGCAGCTGGTCGCCCTTGGACGTGGGCGTTACCGAGGAGGACGACGAGGAGGGGCCGCCGGCTAGGAAAGGTGGTCCGACGGCGTCCAAGGTGATGCTGTCCGCTGTCGTATGGCAGAGATGCCGTCGAGAATATACGAGGGAAAAGCAGGAACAGGTTTCAGAGGGTTCAGGGAGACGTCGACAATGATGGACGAGTAGGAGGAGGAGGAAAAGGTGACAATGTACGGTGGGGTAGCAAAGATGGGAAAGACAGAGGCGAAACAGATTAGTTGGTTGACGCAAAGTGAGATGAGACTGTCAGCATGAGCGAGACAAAACTGCAGCTGACACAAGGCTCAACGATCTTTCACTCACCAGCTACGACGGGCGGCAATCGCCCTAGTATGACGGCGTCGTTGGCTCACCGTACAGCCGCTTGCGGACGGAGGCCCAGGCGCGTCCTAGTGGCCAAGCAAAGGCAGTAACGTGAATCCAGCTCCGCCGGGCAGAGCCTACGGTAGGCGGTAGCTTCTCGCCAAAGTCAAAGTGCCACTGGGTGAGATGCGGGTTACACCACCACCGCCGCCGCGTTCAGCTCAACGCCGTCGGAGAGACGTGAGGAGCCAGTGTCGCTCCGCTACAAGGGGTTGGCGAACGCCGTTTACGCCCAGACTCCTGGCGGCAAAAGTTCGATGAAGGCTACTCCGCCTCCAGAGCTGTTGGCTCATCGAGTTCTAGCAGAGAGAGCGCCCCTTGAATGAAAGTTCAAGATGCCTCGCTCCCGGACGAATCGGAGGTTAGCTATGGAAGCTCGCAACGCTCTCCGCCTGGGCTTAAGGTCTGGCGGCCCACTGGATTCGTTCTTCCTCGGGGGTAGCGAGGCAGTGTAGCAGGAGCTGGTACTGCGCCGTCGGAAAAATGTAAGCCTTTGGACCCAGAGGTCGGAGGTGAAAGAGGCGCAGCCTCGTAGCCAGCCCCCCTGCTTCGTTGTGGCGGCACTATCGACCCAAACAAATGCGGTCGCGAGCGAGGAATGCGCGCGATGACACTACACCAGCGACGAGCGACGAAGACGCACATCCCGCTCAGTGTGGCTGTTCGTACATCGGGTGCTAGCGTTTCCTTTCACTGTTGAGTCTCCTGGCTGTCGTCTGACGCAAGTCAGTAGCTATCGACTCTCAACCCTATCCGGCTGATACAGAAGACCAGCCTCGTGTGCTCGTGTCTCCCTCACGCGGTCGTCCCTTCCTTCATCCAGCTTTCCCTTCCTGCGCTCTGCCCTCCCTGCCTCGCCACGTACTTTGCGCCAGACATGCACGCTGCCAGACCCATCTCCGTCTGTGCGTCCGCAACTTTTCGTCATCATCGTCGTTTGGGACGCTGCTGGAGGGGGAGGGGTAGTTGAGAACACGAGCCTCCCTAAGCGTCGCCGGTGTCGTCTGGCTTTCGCATTCGCCGCATACGGAACCTGGGGCGGGCTAGGCCAACAACTCCGCTGCAAGGCCGCGCTGCGACTGGCGGCAATCGCTGGCTGGCGAGCGAGGGGGCAGCCGCGGCACACATGAACGCGGACTCGCGCCGCGCTTTTCTCTTTCTGCCATCCGTCGTCGGCCTCTCGTGCGCTCCCTCACTCCCAAGAATCTGGGAAAGGCGGCAGGCGCATCTTTCTTCGAGGCAACAATGACACCACGGCAGCGCGCCTGGCGTCCTTTGATTTGATCGTCTTCCCTGGCATTTCAAAGGCCCGCAAATGCCGCGCTGGCCAAATCCCTACCAGCTAGCCAGCCAGAAACGTCAAGCGGCGGATGGAAGCAGCACGACATCGACTGAATGGAGTCGTTGTTACGGGGTATGGTCGGCCTGCTCGGCATCCTTTGACGACCTCTTGTCTGCTTGTCATCCTCGCTCGTCTATCTCACAGGTCGCTTGATCATCTTGACCCTCGCGCGTTTCCTTAGTTCAGATCGCTCATCTGTCTGTCCCATTGGCCTGGGAGCGGTGGCGGCGGTGTCGCGGCAAATGCGTGCGGAAGCGAGCGCAATACTCCTTGCTCGGCAGCCTTCGTCGAGACGACCTCGGCCCTCGCCACGGGTCTTTGTCTGCCCGGCTGGGCTATGCAATTGTCAGTCCTGGGTGTGGTCAAGTCGTGATCATTTGATGAGCGAAAGGATGAATGAGAGGACGAGGAGGTCGCCATACGCGAGCGAGCTTGGGCGCTGAGCAAAGAGAGCAAGGCGTAAGAGCTCCCTTTTGATCGGGAGCTCGGTCGCAAGCAGGATCATTATCATCATTCATTTACAAGCGCGCGAATCCCAGTTGAGATCCAATTGACACCGCCGATCGATGGTCGAGCATCTAGTTGCTGCGATCGCGAGCGAACATCGACGATGAGCTTCGTGCTACCACAGTGTCGTCTTCACCGCAACCCGCTCACAGTTTGCTCTTGGCGAACCAGTTGGTGAGTGCAGGCTCCGTCTCCTCCCAGATATGCTTCTTCTCGATGTACTCGTCGCTATGTGCGCAAGCGAGAGAGAAGTTATACATGGTCAGCTTTGCTTGCGAGACTCATCGCGTCGCCTGACACGTCGAACTCACAGTCCAGAGGGGCCAAGCTCCCTTCCGTTGCCGCTCAAGCCGTAACCTCCCCACTCTCCCGCGGGAGAGAAGGGCCCATAGTTGTTGATCCAAATCGTGCCGTGGCGCATGCGACGAGCTACCCTGTGCGCCTTCTTCGTGTCGCCGGACTGCACACCGCCGGCCAGGCCGTACTTGGTGTCATTAGCCAAGTAGATGGCCTGCGCCTCATCGCCATCTTTGAAACGCTCTACAGTCAAAATCGGCCCGAACGTCTCCTCCTGTACGATACGCATCGAGCGATCGCACTTGTCGAAGACGGTCGGAAGGAAGAAGAAGCCCTTGGCCAAGTCTGGGTGCTGCTTGGGGTCAGGACGCGACCCACCGCACAGCAGCTTTGCTCCCTCGGCCTTTGCGACGTCGATATAAGCCTCGACCTTCTTGAGGTGGGCTTCCGACACAAGTGGGCCAGTCTCGGTGCTCTCGTCGAAGCCGCTGCCCATCTTGATCTGTTTGGCCTTCTCCACCACTCCCGCCACGAGCTTATCGGCGATGCTGTCCTCGACGATGAGGCGAGCTCCGGAGGAGCAGACTTGTCCCGAGTGAAGGAAAACGGCTGTTGTCACATTGTCAATCGCGAGATCGAGGGGCATGTCCGCAAAGACAATGTTGGGATTCTTGCCACCCAGTTCGAGGCAGCAGCGCTTGACACCCTCTGCGCACGACTTGATGATACGGCGGCCCGTTGCCAGACCGCCAGTGAAGCTGACAAGGTCAACGTCGGCGTGCTGGCAGATTGTGTCGCCGATGTTGCTGCCGGCAGCCGTAAGGAGCTGCACAGCTTTGGCGGGGAAGCCGGCCTCGACGAGGAGCTTAGTGAGGTGGATGGTGGTCAGTGGGGTCACCTCGGAGGGCTTGATGATGACGACGTTACCCGTCGCGAGAGCGGGTGCGAGCTTCCAGCAGATCTGGAGGAGCGGATAGTTCCAGGGCGAAATGAGTGTGCAGACGCCCACGGGCTCGTTGCGAATGACGTTCTTTGCAGACGAAGGGAGGAACTCGCTCTTGACGACTTTCTCCTCGTCAACTTCCAGGGCCGCCTTTGCGTAGAAGCGGAAAGTGGCAGTGACATCGTCGACATCTCCCTCTGCCTCGCGCATCGTCTTTCCAGTGTCATGCACTTCGAGCTTGGCCAGGATAGCCTTGTCTCGCTGGAGGAAGTCTGCGGTCTTATTGAGGAGGGCTACGCGGTCTGCACACTTGAGGTGAGGCCAGTCGGAAGTGTCGAAGAAGCGCTTGGCAGACTCGATGGCTCGCTCTGCGTCCTTTGTGGTCGCCTCGTCGACGTAGGTGTGGACGCTGCCGTCGTAAGGGTTGATGACCTCGCGGGACTGGCCGTCAGATGAGTGGCACCATTGGCCATCAATGAAGAGGGTAGGCTCAGGGGCCTGCTTCGATGAGGTTGACATATTGCGGATGAGCTGCGGAGAGAGCAATGGGAGTCAGGACTGTGCTCTGGTGTCTACAAGGACTGCGCTTGACTTGTCTGCTCCGTCGCTCCCGCTCCTCCGCGGCATGCATACATTCAGCTGATACACTATCGCAGCATGCTCGCCGGATCGATGCCTCGGCGAGCTAAGAGTTGGATTGTTCACGATGTTTACGGTACTTGTTTCATCACAAAAACTGCCGCCGGAGGAGCGAGGAGCGCTACAGTAGATACTCACAATGTAGTGAGAAGGTTCCGAAGCTGTGGAGGCCGTCGAGGGAGGAAGAAGCGGCCAAGGTCGGGGCTTAATAGGACTTGCTTGTCGCGCTACTACTGTGCTGATACAACGAGTGCGTGATGCAGATAGGCTGAGGCGATTGAGAAGTGAGGGTGTCAAAAGGGGTCTTGTCGAGATGGACAGCATTCAACCTCTGTTCTCTTTGAATCATTTGGCGACAAGTTGCTGCAGCTCTGTGGGCCCACCGCCCTTGACAAAAGTCGATTCGGGCCTCCGTCTCGAGGCAAGTTGGCCCACGGCCCCCCGAGGCCGAGGGACGGGAGCATGGATTTTGCGATGCGAGCAACAGTGGACGGAGGAAGAGGGAGCGAGAGGCAACGAGCGAAGCTTTGCTTCTGCTCATCAAAGCCACAGGCCTGCCACTCACAACTCACAACTCAGCATGCCGGCTGCGTTATCTGGTCATCCTTCTCTGACGCCGCCGACGGTCTTGGGATCGTACGGTTTGCCGCCTGGGCGAGCGGGTGACTCTCTACTCCAGACATCGGCCGCTTCATCGTCTCGCCTCTCTCATGCTGCCATTGGGGAGGCAGTCAAAATCTCCTCCGGTACTGTTAGGAGGGCAAGAGGTCTCTTTGCGACAATTGTGGCCGGCAATGCCGTCACACTCTATGATGTGAGTATCGTCACTCTCTCAGACGTCGCCGTGAAGCCTGTATCTGACCTGCCCGCCCTCGTCCACCAGGCCGCTAATTTGACGCCAGTCCAAAGCTTCACCCTTTCCCCTACGGCACAGCCTTGCACACCTCCTCTCGTCACCCTTCAGTCCATCAGCAAAACCGCAACTCTACGTACCACGTACGTCGGCGTCACTTCGTCCACAGGTCAGGGCTGCGAGTTGTGGGCATGGTCAGAGCGCCTCGAGACAAGGGCAAAGCAAAGCGCTAGCGCCAACAAGGTCGTCGTTTCCCTTGCCGAGCCAGTAGCATCGCTCCATGCTCTAGCTTCAGGAGACATCCTGGCACGGAATTCGAACGGCCAATTCGGCATGATCAGCAGGACAACTCCCCTCGATGCTGAGCCTTCTCAGTTCGCCGTCTTTGCATTGCAAGGCGAAGCCATCCAAAGCCAAGCGTCGAGCTCCAGTCATTCCGTGGTGCACTCTCTGTCCATCCTGGACTCCGCCGCAGCCGCACAGATGATGGCCAATGGCGGCAGCTTGGGCGAAAATGCCGTTGCCGTCGTCGTCGCAGTCACGTCAGCCGGTCACAGCGAAGGCGCGAGCTCAAATACAGCCAAGGATGCAAAGAAATCAAGGAGGAGAAAATCAGCAATGGAAGTTATCGATGCTGCAGAGAGCAGCAAGTCAAGTAGGGATGCAATCGCTCCTGTCGGTGAATTGCTTATTACCGCGAGCATCATCAGCAAGACAGACGCTGGCCAGGCGGTCAAAGAGCTTGGCACCGCCGCACTTGCTGGCCAGAGTGCCGCTTCGATTATCGACCTACACCTCTACCATGACGGAAAGCTCTCCATGTTGACAAGGCACGGCGATATCAAGCTCTGTCAACTCAGCATCGGCGCCAGCGGCGTCTCCATCACTCCGACACGGACCACGTTATTGGCGCACATTTCCCCCGCTCCCTTCCCCTCAAGACCTGCCGCCGTCATCCGTCTCTCCTCCTCACATCTTCTCATCCTCCTCCATGCAGTCAGCGGGCCAAGCTCAGGCAAGCTTGCGGCATTGATCTGGGACACAGAACTTGATGCTGTGCTTGTCGCCTCTGACTTCCCCATGCTGGCCGCTGCCGGGTTGACGGACGATGAGCAACGCATTGCGATCAGTCTCGCTCGTGTCGGCGGGTCTCAGGTTGTGGTCAACGTCAGCTACTGGGGCCATACGCCGACGCAGGAAGCGGTGTTGAGCGTCTTTTGGGCCTTGCCCTTCTTCATTCCAGAGGGAAGCGTGCTGCGCCATGCTCTTGGCAAGGGGCCGCTCACCAAAACCTGGCTACGTGAGACTGAGAGCGCTGCAATGCCGGCGTCCAAGAAGGAGGAAGGCTCTGCTACAGGCCTCCTGCCTTCCCAGTCGGATCTCCTGGTCAAGATGCAGAAACTATCTAGCCAGGTAAACGAGGCAGCATACACCGAGATGGACATTCTCTTCACTGCCTGGCTGGCCGAAGAACAGGAACGCTTGCGTCTGGCGTGGGAGCAGGAACAGGCCAAGCGTGCGCAAGACGAGGCAGACGAGGCGGCTGCAGCGAACGGCGGAGCTGACGAGGACAGCGAAAGCGAAGGCGAGAAAGCTGCGGATGAGGGCGGAGAGGCACAGCGCCAAGCTGCATCGGCTAGTCGCAAGTCGAACCGCGATTCACCGCCAAAGCCGCAGCTTTCCTATTCATTCGTCAAAGCGCTACTAGACGTGGCGCTGCCGCCTGCCAAGAGCGGAACGTCTTCGTCGTACGCACGCAAAATCGTCTCCTACCTCGTCGAGCGTCGAACTCTCAGCTGCGGGATGTTTACTGGGACAGAGCAGAGCCTGATCGGGCGTCTGCGAGCACGCAATGACTGGCAGCAGATCGTTGCGGTCCTCCGTATGGTATCGGACGTGAGCGAGTCGGAGCTCGTTAGCCTCCTCATCGAGGTGCTCAAGAGCCAAAGAGCCGGCAGCAATGGCAGCGAGGGCGTTGAGGCCAAGCCGTCCCTGGAAAGCTTCCTCTCCCTCTTCCTGTCCCTGTCGGTCTCACGGCCCCTCCTCCGCAGCACCCTGCATGGCCGCATAACACAAGTCGACGATGTGGTGTCCCTCATCCAAGTGGTCACCACCTGGCTTCAAGAGAGAGCCGTCGAGCCGTTGGACCTGAATGCCCTCCTCGTGGAATTGCCTCAGTCATCGTCAGGCAAGCTGAGCAAGAACCAGCGAAAGCGTCTAGGCAAGGAGGGCCGCGTCAAGGTGCCCGCAACCCCCGACTTGATCCAGTTCGCCATGGACCTGATCGACGTCTACTTCCCGCTTCTACTCAACTCCCCCTCTTCCCTTCCTGCCTTGCGAGCCCTGGAGAAGCCCTTGGCCGTGCACCTCGGGACATGCGAGCAGCTTTCCCTCCTTCGTGGGCCGCTCGACGCTTTTGCGAGGGTAGAAGCTGATAGAAAGTTAGCCGCGGAGTATGAGGCAACAGTGAGGCACGCCCAGCAGCAACAGCGTCATCGTGATCCCAGGATCGCGAGGAGGGCCGCTGCAGAGGGCGGAGTGGAAGAGAAGAGTCAGACTGGTGGTGGAGCCACCGTGGCTGGGGCGATGAAGAGTGCTAGATTGCAGGCGCTCGAGAACAGTGCGCTTGTTGGGCCGTACAGTGTTGAGACGCTCGAAGTCTAAACCTGTGACAATGCCAATTGTACCTTCCGGAGCCTCGTCATCACCATATTCAATAATAGTCGCGTCTTGAGTACCCAAAAATATCGAAGAGTGACACAGCGACATTGGCCGGCTGTGGACTCGGGTCACGTCTGAATGTTGAGCGTTGTTTCTTGCCTTGGCTTTGGTGGGCAGTCTAGAGACGGATCGATCGCCTCTCGACCTCCTTGCTTCTTGGTCGTGCTCCGCTCCTCATCGCAGTCGTGGCGGCGTGGCCAGGCCCTCAGGCCGTCTGAATCTGGGCGGCTGTGGAGCCGCTTGGAGCCGTCACGGAGCCCGTCAACCCACGCGCCAGCACGACGCAAGAGGCACGGCGTCAGTCTTGTGTCCGTGCGCCGCCCGAATGAGGCGACTGAGTGAGGCGGGCGGGCCAAAGGCAGAGGGGAGACAATCCTCCGTCTCGAGTGTGTGAGCCTTGTTTCTTCTCGTCAAGGATATCACACCCTCCAATTCCATTCTCCTCATCACGATCCTGAAGCTAGATAGACTCAAGGCTACCCGACAATCGCCTTCCGCTCCTATCACCAGCCGCTGCACCGCAAAGCTGCTGCTTCGTTGACGGGTCAGCCACGAGCGGTCAGACGAAGAAGTCAGATCCTTGACGAGGTAAGTTGTGTGCTCAGTTGGTTGGCGACGACAATGAGGCGTCAGGGAAGTCTCCACTCTCCTACAATAGCGGCATTCTGTGGCTCTCTTCAATGTCGCGCTCGACCGCATATACTCACGCCCTCCCATCTCCACTCTCGCCCACAGCCTCCAAGATAAAGCGCCGACGCTCCTCATCCCGACTGGCGGCAGAATCCAGTGCACCTCTGCCCCACTCGCAAACGACGACGACCACCATCACTACTGCACCTACTTCCTTTTCTGCCAATCACGACGCCAGGATGCCGCTCCCAGCCGAGTACACGCATCTTCTCAACGATCTCAACCGCGATGTGATGCGGGCGGCTCCCTCGGACCCACTTCAATTCTGCGCAAATTGGTTCAATGCTCGCCTCGAGCAGCAGCGTAAAGCTCACCTCGGGCCCTCGGGAACGGGTGATGTCAATATGCTGGCACCTCACGAGACAGCGGCGCCCATCAGTGCTGGTCCTTTCGCCCCTTCTTCCTCGTCGTCCTCGTCCGGGCCCTTCGCCTCTGCCAACCCATTTGGCGCCGCACCGGTCAACGCCGCAACGGCCAGCAACGACATGGACGACTCTGCGGACGACGGTGCCCCTTTCGCGCCTCCTCCGGCGTATAACTTCGGCCGTCGCACCTCCGTCTCTGCCGAGTCTCTAGCTCCCGCCAGCAGCGGCCTCGAGACCTCCGCTGGCTCGACGATCGCCAAGACTGTCATTCCGAAGACGGACAGTCAGATGAGCCGCATTGCCAAAGCTACAGAGGGCAATCTACTGTTCCGCAACCTCGAGGAGGACCAGTACCGGGATGTTCTCCTCGCGATGAAGGAGGTCAAGGTTGATGCGGGTACAGCAGTCATTGAGCAGGGAGCGCAAGGTGACTACTTTTACGTGGTCGAGAGCGGAACACTCGATGTGTACATTGGTCCCAACTCCGGCGCATCGCGTTCTGCTTCGATCACATCGACCAGCACAGATGACCATGCCGGACCCCGAACCGAGACGCATTCCCACCTTGGCGAGAAGAAGATCTCCTACGGCCCCTCGGCCTCCTTCGGCGAGCTGGCTCTCCTTTACGCACAGCCCCGTGCAGCAACCGTCCTCTCCACCTCGCCCTGCATCCTCTGGGCGCTGGACCGCGTAACCTTCCGCTCTATCCTCATGGAAACCAACAACAGGCGCCGAGAGATGTACGAATCCTTCATCAAGGAGGTGCCCCTCTTCGAGCACCTGTCCGCCTCGGAAAGGGCGAAGATGAGCGACGCGCTTGAGTTGAGGAGCTACGAGGTTGGCAAAGAGGTTGTCAAGCAAGGAGAGAGGGGAACAGAGTTCTTTGTCATTGTGGAAGGGGAGGCAGAAGTCAGGAAGAGGACCTTGGAGCGTGAGGAAGAGGCTGTGGGTAGGTTGGGCAAGGGGGACTACTTTGGTGAGCTGGCGTTGCTCAACAATGCGCCTAGGGCTGCGACGATTGTTGCGGCGCCCGCGAGGGCGTCGTCGGCGACTACGGCAGCAGCAGCAGGAGGTGCGCCATCATCACCAGACAGACTCCGCGTCGCCACTCTCAGCGAGTCGGCTTTCACCCGCCTACTCGGCCCCCTGGCAGGAATCATGGGACGTCATGCCCGCGAAAGGTACGGTGTCTTTCCCTCGTCCTCCTCATCAACGGCGCTCGGGATCTCCGGTCCCGGTGACGTTGCCGGCTCACTCCCACCATCCGCTCCTGCGGCAACGTCGTTTGCAGAGATTGCCCCTCACGAGGTCGGGCCCACTGCTGGTGGCGCGGGAGCCGGGCAGCAACCTGGCGGTGGGACATGGATCGGAGGGTTGGGAACGAGCCCCTTTGGGGCGCAGGCCAGGGCGTGATCGAGCACGGTACTCGACTTGGACGATTGTAACGCGTAATCGCAATCGCACGAGAACCTCTGATCTCTCTCCTCTATCAGATCCGAAAAATAATCTTGATACTCTATTCATGCTGCACCCTTCGAGGCTGATCCGACGAGAAAGCAGGAGCTGCAAAATGGGAGCGGCGGTATGATTCTTGTGTGCTGTCGGGCCTATATAACATATGTAGTCGTAGTGCTGGTCTCGTCGTCATCGTCATCGCGGTCATAGGCGCGGACCAGCCGTCGCCATTCTTGTCGTCATCATCTCCACCTTCGCCCATCCACCTGGTTCCTCAGCAGCAGGACCAGCCATTGTACTTCGCGGCAGCACCTCCCGCATTGAGAAACCCACTTCGACCTCCTGCTCCCCCTAGAATCTGGTCTTGATCCTCTTCACCGTCTTGCGCACCAAGGAAGATGCTTTCCCTCCGCCTCATTTCACTCTGCCTCATCATCTCCTCTCCTTTGCGTTCCACCAATCGCTCAGTGACCGCGACGAAGACCTCCTCGATCACGGCAAGTGCTGAAGGCGAGTCGTCCTTCGAGGACACCTCGGTCAGGAGGAGATCATAGTCGTCCCCTGGAAGGCGACCGTATTGCTGGAAGGCAGAGGAGGACTGACCGAGAGGCGGTGACGAGGGGGAGGTCCCGGACAGGGGGGCCGAGGAGGGTGTTGGGCCCAATGGTGCGCCGGGGGCTTCGCCCGTCGAGCCGGCAGAGCTGCCCGCCTTTGCGCTTCCACTGCCCGCGCCTCCTGCCGAGGCGGGCAGAGCAATGCTGCTGCTCGACGCATCCGCGGTAGCCACGGCGCTCCCTGCCGTTGGGTAGCGGGAGAATGGTGGACGCTTGATGATGGGGAGGGAGGGGGTCGAGGAGCCTTGGCCGGCCACCGGGGTTCCCGACCCAGTGACAGAAGGGAAGGCGACGGCCAGCTTGGATGCCGCGGATCCCATAGCTAGGCTGCTCAGGCTACTGAGCCGTGACATGGTCGCTGAGGTAGGGAAGCCACCGCCTGCTCCTCCGCTTCCGTTGCTTGAGGCCGCGGCGAGAAGGGCTTGCTGTTCACGTTCCTCTTCCCTTGCATCAATCACCCTCTGGCGTTCCGGTACCAGCCACCTAAGCAGCTGCTCGCGTGCCTCCTCCATGTCCACCTCCCTGGCCCTACTGGCCAGATCCACCTTGGCTCCCACGATGTGCAGAATCAGTCCCTCCATCCCGCCTAGACCGACGTTTCGTCTGAGCTCCTCAATCCACGTTCGCACGTCCATGAAGCTCTCTCTGCTAGTCACATCATACACGATGACTGCCGCGTGAGCATTGCGGTAGTACATGGGAGCCATGCTTCTGAATCGCTCCTGACCCGCTGTGTCCCAGATCTGGAGGCGACATTTCGTGCCTGAAATGACGAGCTTCTTGGTGAGGAAGGAGGCTCCGATGGTTGAGGGGACGGAAGAGGTAGAGCTGAACGTGCCTGCGGTATATCGGTGCACTATGCTCGTTTTGCCGACTCCTTGAGCGCCCAGGATCACCACCTTGGCTTCCAGGCCAGAGAGGGCGCGAGCAGATGGGAGTGCTGCCGTGGACGGCGACAATGTCGAGGAGGAAACTTGCTGCTCACTGGCCGCTGCATTGGCATTGGCCTGCTGCGAGAGAGATAGAGGCATGCCCCCAGCAATGGTCTTCGACCTCACGAGCTTGGAGTCTGCAGACGGTAGACCAGCTACCGTCGTTGATGACCCTCTGCGTGCCTTTGGACGACTATGAGACCACGACAAGGAGGGAGGGCTACCAGCGCTCAGTCCTGCGCCAGATTTTGCTCCCGTCTCCGCCGCTGCTGCTGCTGCCGCCTCTTGGAGCGACGTATAGCGAGCGGCAGGCTCCTCGGGGAGTATCTGGTTGCGCCGCAGCTCGGCCAGGTTCGTGGATTGTGTGCGTTTGCGCACATAGACGTCTGCAGAAGGGGGTGAAGAAGGGGAGCTGGGGAAGCCTGCGCGATGTTGCTTAGCGCCGTAGTGCCGTGAAGGGGATGAGATGGTCGTTGCCCTGCTGAGAGACTTCGAGGAGGAGAGGCTGGGCAGCGTAGTTGCACTTGTGGAGAATGACGTGGAGTATGCTGAGGAGCTGCCACCACTCTCTGACGCTGCGACGGAGGCCGCTGCCTGTTGGAGTGAGCACAGTGCTGTGCCCCGTCTTGGAGGAGACCGTCTTGGTTGAGCGGATGCCGTGAAGAGCTGGTCTTGTGGGTGGGACATGGATGGTGCTGTTGACCTGATGAGGCTTAGACTGTGCGGGCGAGGACGCGGACGTGACGTTGACGGAGGCGAAGAAAGCTTGATGGATGCGTCTGCCTCGCTAGAGGATGCAATCGATGACGACGACGAAGGAGGGGGCGTGGCCTCCGGCGCCTTACCCTCAGTCGGCGATTCCAGCGGCAAGTCTTGTAAGGGGGCACGAGGGGACGATCTCGTGGATGAGCGTATGCTGCTACTTCTCGATGGTACTAACGGACGTGCTGATGACGACGCCGCGGCTGCTAGTGTAGAATCAAGGGGTGCGCCATGCTCAGACTCGAGCGATGGCGCAGCTGGCATCGCAGGGGACCAGCCTCGCTGCGATCTAGACGTAGACGCCTCATCCTGGTGTTGCTGCAGAGGTATTGCGATGGACGATGGTGATGGTGTTGGAACTGGAGATGGAAATTGCACGGTGGCAGTCATTGCACGGCGCGACGATGCTGTGTTGACGGTGGGACGATGTCCCTAGGGCAATCTTGAAGGTGCGTGCGTGTTGGTCGAGGCGCGGGCAACGACAGGAAGGCTGCGGTGGAGCAATCGGGTGAATGTGGCGATCCCTGCCCTCAGTGACGTTGCCGTCGGTCGTGTATTAACGAAACGGAGATCGAGAGGAGGGAGCAGAAAGGGGGATCGAAGGGAACCAGGGAAGAGGGGTCGTGAGGAATGGCACGTCCAAGTGTTGCTCTCACTCTCTCGTCCAAGCTCTAGCTCGGGCTGGGCTGGCTGAGCCTCCTCGTCGCCCCCTGGACGCCAGACTCGACTCGCATCTCGCTTGTGTTTGGACTTTCTTTCCTTAACGTCGCCGGCAGCCCGCCACTCTCACGCTGGTCCGTTCATCGACGTCGCCAGGGCCACCACCACACGCCCAGGGCGGGGCGGAGCGGAGACGGCCACGAGCAAAAATTCTTTCCATCGAAGTGAGCTGAGCGAGTGGAGCTACGGACTGGGAGAAGGATTGGTGGTCATGGACAACGACGATGAAGCTTCCCATCGTACCACTGACCCCGTCCATCATGTCCGGCATTCTGCACCCACCACCGTCAGAGAGCGAGCTGGAGCTGCTCAGCTTCCTCAGCTCTGACAATTGGCAAGTGCGCCAAGTCGCCCTCTCGAACCTGGCAGGCTTCTCAGCAAAGACGCACCCAAGGCGAGGTCTGCTTCTCCTCCAACAGGACAAGCTCGACGTCCTGAGCGACTTGAAGCGCCTCACAATGGACTTGACCCCAACAGCACACGACGCTTTCTCCTGCTTGATCAACCTCTCTGACTCCATCCTCGTCTCGAGGCGCATCGCCACGCCTGACTACCTCTCCTTCCTCGTGACCTACATCTTCCACCCCTCGTCTCTGCTGGCAGACCTGGCAAGCATGCTTCTCTCTAACCTCACGAAGCTTGATTCGGCAGTCAAGCAGCTCGTGGAGATGAAATTGCCCGGCAGCAGCCTAGGTATGCCTGACGAGGAGCTCACAGCTCTCGAGCTACTTCTGGCCGCTTTTGACCAAGGCGCCACAGTCAAGGCCTCGGCGTCAAGTGCAGCGATTGAGGAGATGAAGAAGCGAGCAGGCTCTGCCATGTCCAGCGGAAATGCTGCCGCAGCAGAAGAGGCAATGAAGAACGAACCGAAATCTGCAGCCGCGCAGGCAGAGGGCGATGAGCGCAAATCGCATTGCAACTTCCTCGCAAGCGTCTTCGCAAACGTTACCGTTACGCCCAGCGGTAGGGAATACTTTACCACCCCGCTCACCCCGCCCGACTGCGCATCAATACCGCTCGGTCGTCTCTTCCCTTATACGGAGCATCCCGACCTTATCAGGAGAGGAGGCGTCATCTCCTCGCTCAAGAATGCTCTCTTCGTCAAGTCCGCTCACCCTGCGCTCGTGGCTGCTCCTGCCTCAGGCTCAGATATGACTCCGCCCCTCGTGCGACCTGCGGCAGTCGAGTCCTCCACGCTGGACGTCTTGCCAGCCCTCCTCCTGCCTCTCTGCGATGGGTCCCTTTTCTCAGGCTTGGACGACGAAGAGCAACTCAGCCTGCCGGACGAGCTGCAATTCCTCGAAGGCGAAGGCGAAGGCAAGCACGTTGAGAGAGATTCAGCTTTGCGCGGTATGCTCGTCGAGTCGCTGCTCCTCTTAGGAACTACCTTGTACGGAAGGAGATGCATGAGAGAGAGAGGCGTGTATGTCGTTGTCAGAGAGTTGCACAAGAAGGAGCATGATGAGCAGATTGGAGAGTCGATCTTACGCTTGGTGAATCTCCTCAAGAGAGAGGAGTCGGCTGCGACGTTGGCTGATGCGGAGGGCGGGGATGATGACGAGGGAGAGGACGGGCAGAAGTCGAAGGATCAGAAGGCTATTGATGAGCTGATTGGCGCAGAGCAGGTCAAGGAGGACGATGAAGACGACCTCGTCATCGAGGAGCTGTAGTATAGTAATGCACCCCATTGCGACCGGGGACGATGGGGCTTGCAGTTGTCTGATTTCGCTCTATTCTGGTATTGTACAAGCTCTCGCCATCCCCTAGTCCACCCCCGCTCAATCATCCGCCGGTGGTGCCTCCTCGTCCAAGAACTTGACCAGCCTGACTCGCAACTCCGTCTGCTCATCGCCCCTAAGCACATCAGACACAAAGTAAGGCGCAGTCTGCAGCTGGACCATCTCTAACGCCCCGCGCAGGACGCCCACCAGCACATTGCTCCACCAGAGGCCTCCCTCCCGCGCATCGGGGGGTAGCTCGACGAATTCGGAGAGGGGGTTCTCGTCCAAGATGAGGGAGAACTCTTGCCCGCCGAGAGCGGGGGCTGCTGTTGCTGCTGATCCATTTGTGTTTGCTGATGAGGATGAAGATGCTGCGCCGCCAGTCGTCGATGATTGCGATGAGGCTGCCCCTGGCGCACCTTCACCACCGGTTCCAGACGCCGTACTTCTTCCATCATGATGCACCACGGCGGGTGTGACATTGAGAAACATCTTGAAGCCTACTTTCGCTACAATCTCGCCAGTCTCGCGGAAGTCGCTGCAGCGTGAGATATTGGAGCGGGCGAGGAAGTCCTCGATAAGGCGCACGCCAATGTTATAGCCCCTGCGGAGGCGATGGGAGGGAGAGGCAATGGGGCATGTCAGGAGGACGTGGGTTGAGAGTGCATGTCGACACGAGCTCACATCTTGTCTAATTGCTTGTTTACCTCGGCGTAGTCTTGGTAGTCTTTGATGAGCTGGATGACGAGGGAGCCGTAGGTCATTGTGAAGAGCTCGGAAGACTGGCATAAGGAGCAAGATAATCAGCGTGAGATCTTGCTCTGTGGTCGCGATGAAGCTCACGATCTTGTCCGTCTTGTTCTTCCATACATCGTCGCCCGCTGCCTTGAACTGCTTTGCTGTGGCCGACATGATGGCGTGAGGAGCCAAATCAAAGTGTTGGTTGGGACGAGACGAAGCTGCAGCCGGCCAAACGCTCCAACTCGTCTCGTCGTGCTCTCCCGTCCGTCCGTCGGTCCGTCGTCGATGGAAAGTCCCTTTCCGTCGACTACGCTTCCCCACTCGCATCCTTTCCCTCCTCCCTCTACTTCCGGACGACGATCAGCATCATGCCTCGCAAATCAGAAAAGCTCTACGTATCCCAACAAGAGCTCATCGGCGCTCACGGTAGAGCTGCTGCCGTCTCATCAGCAGCAAGCCAGTCTCAATACCAGAATTACGTCCCCTTCAGCAGCTGCGCCATTTCCCTCCAACCTTGGTCCACGCCAGTAGCAGACCGCAACGATGGCACAATCTACGAGCTGACCAACATCCTTCCCTGGATCCAACGACATGGTCTGAGCCCGGCATCAGGGCAAGAACTCAAGCCTGCGGATCTGGTACCTTTGAAGTTTGCAAAGAATGAGGCGACAGGTCAATGGCATGACCCGGTGTCTTTCAAGGCATTCAATGACTCCACGCACTTGGTCGCAATCACTACAAGCGGCAACGTCTTCGCTCACGATACAGTGCATCAGCTGAACGTCAAGGCCAAGTACTGGTCAGACCTGGTCAGCGGGGAGACGTTTGCACGCAAAGACATATTGACGTTGCAGGACCCGAGTAACATTGCTGCCAATCAGCAAAAGGCGGCCGATCTGCAGAGATTGAAGGACAAGATGCGACGGGACGTGGCGGATAGGGATGAGGTGAACATCTCTGCGACGGGGAGCGCGGGCAATCTCTTGAGAAAACTGAAAGAGCAGAAGGAGGCGGGAAAGAGGGAGAAGGAGCAGGCTGGGGACAAGGCGCTGGCCAAGATGGAGGCTGCGAGGGAGGAGAGCAGAGCTACCAAGAATGCCGAGGCATCGACGTCAGCATCCGCAGCATCATCATCATCATCATCATCCGCGCCTTCCTCGAGCTCAAAAGCCCAGCTCGGCCGCTCCACAGGCCTCACCGCCGCCTCCCTCACCTCAACGTCCCTGTCAATCCGCACCGCAAACGACCGAGAGCTCATCAGCGAGGAAGAGACTATGTACAGCGACATCAAGGCGGGGCACAAGAGCAAGAAGGGCGCCCATGCTCCTTACAAGGGGTACGTCCGTCTTGTGACCAACTTTGGGCCCCTCAATCTGGAGCTACACTGCGATCGGGCGCCCAAGACGTGCTACAACTTCTTGACGCTCTGTCGGAGGGGAAAGTACACAGGGACGGTCTTTCATAGGAATATTCCGGGTTTCATGATTCAAGGTGGTGATCCTACGGGGACGGGGACGGGGGGAGAGTCGATGTGGGGGCCGGGCAAGCCATTTGGAGACGAGCTCTCAAGTGGGGCAGATGGTCACTCTTCTCGCGGCTGCCTGAGCATGGCCAACCGGGGCCCATCAACGAACACGAGCCAATTTTTCCTCACCTACGCCCCCAAATCTCACCTCGACAAGAAGCACACCGTCTTCGGCCGATTGGTAGACGAGCCCTCCGCCACGCTCGACTCCCTCGAATCTGTACCTACCGACTCGGCTACGGATAAGCCACTGCGGACAGTGACGGTGCTGGATGTGCAGATCTTCAGTGATCCATTCCAGGATTGGTGGGAAAGAAGGAAGAGCAAGGAGCAGAGGGGCACTGAAGCGGAGGCAGAGAAGAGGGAGGAGAAGAGACGCAAGAGGGAAGGGGATCGGATTACCTGGTTTGGGACGAAGGTCGGCGAAGAAGGCCAGGAGGAGGGACTGGAGGCTATTCACCAGGCGTCGGGGGGCGTGGGGAAGTATCTGGCTCTGGGAGCTGGCGCGAGAAGCGTAGAAGACGATGCAGAACCGGAGAGTATGCGAAAGAAGCGGAAGAAGGCCGCTGCTGGCGATGGAGAAGTGGGGACTCCTTCTTTCGGCGACTTTTCAGATTGGTGAAATGTCCGTCGACGATCAGATCACAGTACAGTCGACGGACAACCTTCGTATCTGACATGACGCGTCATTCACCGAGAGCAACGCAGAGTGTCGCCCGAGCTATCAGGCTGAGGCGCATGCGTGAGCGTATGGTAGCAAACCGTAAGAATGCGCCGAGGGGAGCTAGCTGTGACCCCACTTGTAGCGTCGATCACGGTGCGAGCGCAACTTGCGCTATGGCTCAGTGATCATTGCGCACGGCGTCTCTCGACACGCACTGTGCCGTCTGTCGTGCCTTGACGTCGCTTGAAGTGGGACAGGCGGACGGGTGAACTTGTGCCACAAACCTACTACGCCTTGCACCTTTTTTCGTTGACGAACCGGCCCTCTCGCAAGTAGAACGCAGCCTCTACACTTGGATTTTTCAACACAGATGCCAGGGATTCGGTGTCGCTCATCGTGGTCCGATCGTAGTTCGATGCGGGTTCTCCACTGAACAGGGTCGTATGATCGCTGAGCCCGGACCTGGCTCCTCTCAGACCATTGCCCTCCGCCTCGGCAAGCAAATGGAATTGAGGCGGCGTTAGAGTGCGTAAAGTAAGGACCAAGGAGAAAGTAGCGAGCGTTGAATCCGACTGCCTGGACTCTCGGCAGGCCAAGCAAAGCCAGGTTGGACGAGCTGATCTGACGACACTGCTGTGGATCTCAATGTGATCAGGCTCTTCAGTCTGTGCTCGCAATCGCGGTCGCATTTGCGGTCCTCCTCGTCATTCTAGCCTGTGTGCATGGCGGGCGCCTTGTATCACACAATCAATGCCTATCCACATTTCAATCCGTTCGGCTTGGATCTGCCGGCCCGGTCGGACACTGAAGGGACATCACCACCACCACATCACCACTTTCGTCGGAGGTGTCGCCCCACTCAGACGACTCCCTCATCGCCCTTGCAGCGAGCGAGAAGACAGGTCCCCAGCTGCAAAGACAGCCCGTGCCTCTGTCTTCTCACGGGCTCGCCCTCTAGTGGTCGAGTGAGGTCTGGGTGTGTGTGTGTGTCAAGCTGTTGTCACGAATATGCTCAGAAGTGGAAGACCGCGACGACAGGCGGACAGACGACGCCTTCGGATCATCAAGGTTTGGTCAGCCCTGGCGAGGGCGCAAGTCTAGCCCTGGAAGGGGTTCAAATCAGACTTGTGAGTCTTGGAAGACGTGTGTGGGAGAGAAATTACGGCAGGCGAGGGAGAGAAGCGAGAACAGGACGGAGGGGGGAACGAAGCAATTAGAGGACCACGCAGCGGACCTCATCTCAAGGTCCGCCCGCACTGGCCCATGCGACATGCGAAGCAGCCGAATTCAACTCCGCCGAAGCTGCAACAGCCTTCGCAGCACGCAACCGTCGCAGCATCGTCGCAGCTTCCGTATCACTCAAGGATGTCCGAGGGCCGAGAAAGGGTGGGAGAAAAGGGCCCGCAAGATCGACAGGTCGTCATGCAACGTCTTTTTGTCACCCTTTGGTGGCATCCTTTGTGATCGACGTTTGTCGTTGCTGCTTCCTCGTCATGGCTCTTCTGTCTCTCTTGTCAATCCCTTCCAGCAGCGCCTTCTCTTCCTCTGCCTCTGCCTCGGCACCACCATCTCGCGCTCAACATCTACGCCATTAAAGCGCATCAACTTCATCTTGGCTGTCACATTGGCAGCGCGGCGCATCATCGGCCATCCTCACGCACGCACGCACCCTCAGGGACGACGCATCTGGACGCAGCAGAGCAGAAGCAGAAGCGGCGGCAGCAGCAGCAGCAGCCGTCTTGACGAAAGCAAACACGACGCGACTGTGCAGGCGACAGGTCCCTTTGATCCTTCAGCCCACTGTGACTCGTCTCGCCTCGTACTCGTCTGTTCTCGAGCACAAGGCCAGGAAGGAAAGCAAAGCAACGCATCGCGTCGTTGTCGTCGTCGTCGTCATCGTCGTCGCCGCCTTCATCAGGGTCTCGGCCCGAATTATTGACAAGGCAGCGGGCATAGAAGCGCTCGAGCTTGTGTTGCAGCGCTTTTCCCCTCTTCTTTCTTTCAATCGTCGGCCGGACGCCGTCGCACGACCGACCGAGCGCAACACTTGGTCAGGGCATTGACAGGTCGTTGCCTCCATCAGGAGAGAGCGAGAGCGGTGAACGGGCGAACGGCAAGGGCGTCAGCACGAGCAGCTTCTTGACAGACGCGTTCGTTGGCTTGAAAGCAGTGGGCGAGCGCTGCACAGATCAAAGGCAGGTCAGTACAGAGGCAGACGAAGGAGTTCTTCTCTCTGTCGTCGCCGGAAGAGACGGGGCGGCCAACATCACCGTCCTGATCGGGCACTGGGCGTCTCTCAGAGGAAGTCGAAGCACCTTCTTCGTCGACCCATCGACCACACGTCAGCATCCCTCCTCCCCTTAATTTCTCGGCGCGGCGCTTCCTGCGACACTGTCGCTTCGCAACTTTGCAGAGCGGGGTGAGCAAAGAGTAGAAGTACTAGAGGGGCCCTGTCCGACTCGCCGTCGCCGTCCGTCGCTTGGGAATCCCGAGATCTACACGACGCCGCCGCCCGACAGTGAACTTACCTAGAACTTCCTGTGAGTCCAATCGAGTCGAACCGTCGAAGCAGACTGCAGGTGAGGCTATCTTGGGCCGCCGAGCTCCACCTCGGCCTGCATCTTCTTGCTCACTGACACGACCTTTCTTCCCCTCTTGACCATCTTCCAAACCTTATTTCATTCAGCTGATCGCGCCCTCCGCTTGTCTACGGCATCTCAGCCAGCCCCAGTCCTCGGCCGGGCACTGCTTCCGCTCTGCCGTAGACGCCAGAGCCTTACATTCTTGTTCAAGGCTTAGCGCCGAGGTCTACACCGTGCCGCCTTCTCTTATCATCTTCTTCATCACCCTGAACCGCTGGCCTCCCTCGTCATTTGTCACCGTTTACCCACTGTGTCATCCTCGGCACTTGACCAAACTCATTGGTTCCGGGATCGCATTACCTTCCCGCGACGCGGGACCCCAGCGGAGCATCCCGCTTCACGCCAAGTCTCCCTTGATCGGCCTTGTCGGCTTGGCCTTGGCGACTCCTGTCACCTGCTGAAACATAAGAATATCAGCTGCGGGGCGAGGGTTAGCAGCAGTCAGTTCCCGCTGGGCAAGAGCGGCAGCACGTGCACCGCAGTACGCGACGGCATTGCTACCTTGTCATTTGTCCCTTTGGCGGAGCAAGCCAGCGACTTCGTCCCGTCGACTCTCCGTCGCCCAGGTCGTTGTACAACGCACGGAACCGTGATCAGCTACTACGACATTCAAACGCGCCTCTGCCACCTCTTCATCGTCATCACCGAACTCCTTTGTCGGTGGAAGTCTCGACCACTTTGCTCTCGGGCGGTCGACTTTATCGTCTTCCAATTCACAGCGCGGTGCGCGGTCCTCAATCGACCGCCTCGCAAGGATCTCTCCCCGGTCCGTGGCTAGCACCTCACCTTCAGGCCCGCAAGCCGGTGAGCGAAAGCAATCTTCTTCGCCGCCGTAAGCGCCGTATCCTCCCGTGGCCTCCCTCAAGAGTGCCTACAGGTCCGAGGTTGAGCAAGCCGTATCATTCGGATCCATCCCACTGCTTGATCAGACAGCCTCGACGAGGCTCTCTGTTTCACGCGTGAGTCATCTCACCAGTCAATCCAGCCATGGATATCGGCAGGCACGGCTATCGATCGACGCCTTCTCCGCCCCCTTCGACGCCTCCGCCATCAAGGTACGCACACCGTCCTGAATCGCCGCGCACCGCTGTAGACGACGGCGGCGACGAAGGACACCGTCGTCGGCCAAGATCAATGACGTCGCCGAGGCGGACGCACACGCATATTGGGGAGGTCTTTTCACCGGTAAGTTGGACGAGGAAAGCGGGAGGATGATATGATGCGGCAATGGATGCTTTGAACGGAGATCAAACTTGAGATTCCGATCGCCTTTACTGACCTAGATCGTCGTGCTCAATCGCCCTCTCTCTTCCCTCCCCTCCATAACAGTCTACTTCACAGCAGCAAGCTCGAGGCGCCCACGACTACGACGGGACAGGTGATCAGCAACGAGTCCAGCAGCACCCTGCTCAGGTTAGGCTCATGCAAAACCAGGAGTGGCCCGCCAACGCTCGTCCCAGAGCCGGATCCGGTGGGGAAAGCAGCGCTTCGGGCGCAGCTGGCTCTTCCTCTGCACCTTTGCCTCCTTCCCATCCCTATCAACAGCAACAGCAGCAGCAGCAACAGCAGCAGCCTCCATTTACGGGAGGTGCCCCTTCCTCGACCGCCTATACCCAGTACGGCGCAAGCGGTGGTCTAAGTGGTGGCGGCTACGAGCAATACGCTCACGGCATGACCGTTCCCAGCAGCGAAGGTAGCAACGAGGACGTGCGCGGCGTCAGCAGCAGCGGCTACTACGGCTCAGCACCGTGGGCTTCTGGCTCGACCGGACCGAACCCTCCTCCTCAATCCCACTACTACTCGCAGGCTCATCAACCGCAAGGACAACGACAGCGGCGAATCTCACTCAGCGGCTCCTCGCGCGAGCAAGATGGAAAGCGATACCGCCTAGTCGTCGTCCAGTCACCAAGTCGAGCCCGCATGTGTGGCTTCGGCGACAAGGATCGTCGTCCACTGAGCCCAACTCTGATCGTCAAACTCATCATCTACGATGTCCAGTCAGGAAGAGAGCTAGCAGCCACGGACGTGGACACTTCAGCCTTCTTCTTGGCGTCGGACTTGGTCCATCCTTCTGAGCTTGATGCTGCGCCGAGGAACTTACTTGTCCATCACCATGCGGCTGCCGTCTCTGCACAACAAGCAGGTCCGTCAGGCTATGGTGGACTGGCAGGTCATGAGCAGCTGCGTAGCCGTTCTTCATCCGACCCGTACGTGAGCTTGGACTACGGCGTAGCTGGCGGCATGCCGGGTGGTATGGCGGGCATCGGAGGACAATGGCTACCTGGCACTTCTTCCTCATCCTCGGCTTCATCACCACTGGAAGGCCCTCACGCTCCACCCACTACCGTCATGACGGAGACGTACACGCGCAACTTCGTCGGCGCCTGCGTGGCCTCCGCCAACATCCTCAAGGACGAGTCCGAACAGCTGGGCATCTTCTTTGTATTGCAAGACCTCTCAGTCCGCACCGAGGGCGTGTACCGCATCAAGTTGACCCTCGCCAACTTGTCCTCCTCCACCGACGGACAGATCAGGCAGGGAGTGAGCGAAGCCCTCGCCGAGGCGTACACGGATCCTTTCACTGTGTATACGCCTCGCCGCTTCCCAGGAGTAATCGAGCCTACGGCATTGAGCAAGAAGTTTGCGGCGCAGGGTGTCAAGATACCCGTGAGGGTGGACAGGAAGAAGAGGAGGCGGGGAGCAGCGGGCGAGGAGGAAGGCGAAGGTGGTAGTGGTGTCGGCGAAGGACCCTCGGGGATGGCGGGAGCGGCCGGTCCATCATCGATGGTTGGAGGGAGCATGCGAGGAGGTGGAACTGGTGGTGATGACTACGGCGAGGATGACGAGGGTGATTATGAGTGAGTCTGGACGCCGTGAGCGCCGTTCTCCATCGGACCTGCTGCCATCGTCAGGCACCCGTCCCCGTTGTTTGCCGATGAGCGTCACCAGCCGGCCCGTTGTTGTGGCTGCGGGCCGCCCCGAGTATCCATCCGTCTCCCCTTCCCCCTCTCCCTCATCTCGTATCTCGACTCCAAGCCCACATGCTCCCGTCTTTCCCTCTACTCTAGCACTCATCCCCGTACTCATCTCATCTCACTTCACATCGTAATCATCGCCACGACCAGAATCGAAAGACATCCTCTATTTCAACTCTACACCTCTCGACCATGCTGTGCGGTCACACCTTCCTCCAACACAAAATCCCCCGAGCAGCCTCAGCCACATCCTCGTTGACATTCTGTGCCAGCAGGCCCAACTCCCACGCCACGACCTCCCCTGCCTTCAACGGTCGCGCAGCCTCTACATCATCTTTTCGTACGTCGAACGCCCCATTCTTCGCCCTGTCCTCCGTATCAAGCAATGCCTCCAGCTTGACGTCCCGACCCATCACCGAACGAGCCACTCCGAGGAGACGCAGAGAAGTCTGAGCCGGAGTCTGGAGAGCAGCAATGAGGAGCCGCTTGATGAATGCGGCGCTGCGTTCTGAAGGCAGTGTGGAGGGGCGTGGCCGGAGCAGAGCCAGGTCCAAGGAGCGGAGCAGAAGGTCGGCCGTGCTGCGAAGGAGGTGGGTTGATGACTGGAAAGCAGCACCGCCACGACGTCCGCCGCCATTCTGCTGCTGCTGTTGTGGAGGTGCGACTTGCGCTACTGGGTCCTGCGGCACCTCCTCGATGCCGGGGAGCGTGCACACAGGCAGGACGAGTGCATACAGGTGGTTGACCAGGTCCGAAAGGTCGATAATGAGGGCTTCACCTTGTCCTGACAGGAGCTCGAATGCCGTCACGAGGCAGAGCAGGGCTCGACGTAGGTGCGACTCGCGACGGAGCTCGACGTCCGCTGCTGCGCCTGCCTCTTCTTCCTCCTCATCCTCTTCGCTCTCGTCTCCTACATCTTGCTGCCCATCAGCAGCTTTCCTCGCTTTCTCAATATGCGCTCTAAGCACGGCGAGCAGATCCCTGAAGAACTCCACGTTGACGCGATGCGCGAATCGCGACAGTCCCTCCAATGCCGCCCCGAGCAGCGGGCTGGGTGCAGCAGGAGCCTTGAGGATGGAGAAGTAGAGGACGAACAGCAACTTGAGCGTCTCCGTGTGGTTGCGCTCCCTCTCCTCAACATCAACCTCAGCCTGAGCCTCCTTCATCTCCTTCTCCACCTCCTTCACCTCGCGAAGTTGCTTGACGGCCTTCTTGCTCAGATGCTGCCCCTGGCCCTTGCGAATCTCACGAGGCTTGGCTTTACCCTTGCCCTGTTGAAAGCGACGCTGCTTATCCCCATCGCCGTTCTTCTTATCGTCCCCATCGCTCGCACGAACCGTGTCCGCTCGCTTGCGGCCAAGCTCGTCCTTGAGCCGCAGATGCAGTAGCAGGTTCAACACCTTCGCGTTGACCTGGTAACTGCGCTCCTTGATCATGCGATTGAGCAGCCTGACCACCTCCAAGCTTACCTCCCCATTCAAATCCCGTTTCAACACCTCCGTCAAGGCCTCAGCGCACTGCTGTGAGTCGTCGGACCAGCCCTTGCGGGAGAGCTGCGATACAAGTGAGGAGATGAGGTTGGTGCGGAAGTTGAAGTGCGTTGCGCGAGTGAGGAGGAGACACATGCTTCGCAGGGCAACGGAGGAGACCGTGGGTGACTTGGAGCGGACGACGGATTCGCAAGCTTGTAAGTGAATCTTGTAGACCTCGACGAGGCCTTGCTCCCATTCGCGGCGGCGAGCCGTCTCTTGGTTGACCTTCTCTGCTGCTTCCTTGTCGCTCAGAGCACGAATGCGGTATCCAGGGAGAATGTCGACAAAGACTGCCGTGAGTGAGAGAATGGCTGCGGATCGAATCGCAGGATCAACCTCAACCTTGGTTGGCAGGCCCTGCTCCTTGGCCATCGAGTCGTGCTCGGGCCTCTGGATATGGTCCTGCGCAAAGACGCTGAGACGCCGTAGCAGGCCAAGGGAGACTTCAGGATCGCCGATGATATCCGTTGAGAGGCGAGCAATCTGCTCGCGTGCGGCAGCGATGCGGGCTGATTTAGGACGGGAGAGCATGATGGTGTAGGGGGCTTGAAGGCCGAAGCGTGCGCCTGAGGTGATCGTCGAGGCCGGTTGGGCACGACGTTGGGCTGCTGCTTCTTTCTCTCCCTCGTCTTCCTCTTCTGATGAGGAGCTGGCTTCGGCCATGCGCACCTCACGAAGAACCCTGTTCTCCTCTTTCCTTGCCTTCTTGGCGGCAGCTGATGCAGCGGCTCCTTCGTGATCATCCTCATCTGACCCAACCTCATCCTGCCACCTGCCCTCGTTGCCTCTCACAGGCAGTCTCCTCTTTTTGGCGTCTTTGACCTCGTTTGCCTCCTCCGCTCGTTCTCTCCTCTTTCGAGCCCTAAGCACCTCAGCGTGGCGACGCTCCGCCTTGTCTCCTCGGTCCTCGTCATCGCTGCTGGACTCCTCGTCTGAGAATGACTGAGCCGAGTCGAAGTCTTCATCTGATGCGTGGATCCCTGCGAGGGCATCATCGCTATCGTCGTCACCCATGTCGCTGCTCTCGCTGGCTCCCTCCATATCTGTACTCTCCGCATCGCTGTCCTCGTCGAGGCGGGCCCTGCTTGACGAGGGACCGCTGCGATCTTCGCCTGCTTCTTGGCGTTGAGCTTTTCGCTCGGCCTTGCTCAATCTGGCCTCTTCTGCGCGTGATCTGAGAAGAGCAAGTCGGGGCAGGGGAGGTCAGTCTTGATCCCGCGACTGGCCGTACTCTGGCCTTCTCACCTGCTGATGGCCTTCTTGTCGAGGTTGAGGAGAAAGTCGACGCCCTTGGCATCGGTAGCCCGTGCCTTACCGTTGCTCTTTTTGGTCGCAGGGGCCTTGACTTCTTCCTCACTCCCATCGCCGCCCTCATCGTCATCGTCTGATCCAGCCAGCATCTCTTCTGCTTCCATGGCTCGAAGTGCTTCCTCTTCTTCATCATCGTCTTCAAGTCCAGCTGCATCTTGGATGATTGCCGTTGGTCCTCTGGCCTTCTTCTTCTGCTGCTGACCAGCGGTTGCTGCCTTGGCTTTAGCCGCTTGTGATGGTCCCGTCTTTTTCAGTCTTTTGAGCTTTGCGCCCATGATTGCAGATGATCAACGAGGGCAGATGGAGTGGTGACGAAGAAGTCAAGGTCCCAGGCGGACTGGAGAGCCTCGAGACCAAATTTCCTCGACGACGGACTGGCGGCTCTCCGACGTGCCGAGGCTCAGTCGACGTCGAGGTTCACCACTGACTCCATCTTGTCCGTGCATATATCCCACTCGTCATCAAGCTCATCTCGCTGAGCTGGAGACCACCATGTCAGCCCTTGACTCGGCCACGCGCCGCTGGATCGGCGACCACTGCATAGGGCTCTTCGGCCAGTCGAGCTCCATAGTCGTCGACTATGTCTGGGCCTCAGCATCAAAGGCCAAATCCGCATCCGACCTCTTCTCGTCTCTCACCGCCATGGACCTGCCGAACACTCCTGAGGCGTCACGCTTCGTGAAGCAACTGTGGGAACGAGTGGAGAAGAGTGGTCCCGGGGGCAGCAGCAGTAGCAGTGGTGCAGCGGCAGCAGCCGCAGCAGCGAGCTCCTCAGTGGCCGCCTCATCGAGCAGCAGCAAGCGCTACGGCCTCCTCATGGATGACGACGGGCAGGAGGAGCTCGCCATTAAGCCAGAGAAGCGTAAGAAGAAGAAGCGCAAGGAAATCTCGGTCGATGCCGATGACGGCGTAGAGGGACAAAACAAGAGGCAAGCTGCGGCTGATGGGGATGACGATGAGGTAGATGAGGCTACCCGCATAGAGCGCGAGAGAATACGAGACCAGCTCGAGAGGGACGAGTTTGCAGCACGTATGCGCGAGAAGGACAGAGGCTCCACGAAGCGCCTGGTCGAGGATCATTCAAGATCCAAAGCGGACCCAGAAGCAGCAGCGAAGCGACTGCTAGGCGAAGACCAAGAAGCCCGTACAGCGGCTATGCCCAGCCTTCGCGATCGCTCTCGTCAAGAATACCTCGCCAAGCGCTCTCAGCAACAGATCGATCTGCTGCGCCTCGAGATAGCAGAAGAGGAGCGCTTCTTCAAAGACGTCAAGCTCAGCAAGCGCGAGCAACGGGACCTCGACTACAAGAAGGAGGTGCTTCGCCTCGCAGAGGAGCGGGAGAAGATCCACGACGACGACGATGGGTATCGTATGCCCGAGGACTACATCACCGAGCAGGGGCGCATCAGCACCAAGAAGAAGGAGGCAGCGCTATACAAGCGCTACGACGATGCGAAGGCGGAGCGCCTTGCGCAGCAGAACCATGTCACCGATCTGGAGCTTTTTGAGAAGGAGCAGATCGAGCGCAGTCGCCTGGTACCAGAGAAGGGACAGGCATCAACTGCAGAAGCGAGCGTCGACTCAGGCGAATACGATTACGTCTTTGACGAGGAGCAGACGATCAAGTTTGTCATGGACTCGGCGAATCGCCTGGCAGGGGACGTCAAGCCAGAGGACGTCGAGCTGCAGAAACGTATCGCCGATGCCGAAGCCAAGGCATCTACAATCGAAGAGACGCGCAAGACTCTACCCGTCTACAAGCTGCGAGACGACCTCATGCAAGCCATCGCAGACCACCAAGTCCTCATCGTCGTCGGCGAGACAGGCTCTGGCAAAACGACCCAGCTGCCTCAATTCTTGCACGAGTTTGGCTACACAAAGGACGGCAAAATGGTAGGCTGCACCCAGCCTCGTCGCGTTGCTGCTATGAGCGTCGCAGCTCGAGTGGCGGAAGAGATGGGCGTGCGCCTGGGCAAGGAGTGTGGGTTCAGCATTCGCTTCGAGGACTGCACGTCAGACAGCACGGTCGTCAAGTACATGACTGACGGTATGCTTCTGCGCGAGTTCCTCACTGAGCCCGACTTGGGCGCCTATTCCGCCCTTATGATCGACGAGGCCCATGAGCGTACTCTGAGCACGGATGTCCTCTTCGGTCTCGTCAAGGACATCGCGAGATTCAGGCCGGATCTCAAACTCATCATTTCCTCCGCCACGCTGGACGCAGAGAAGTTCAGCGAATTCTTCGACGATGCGCCCATCTTCTACGTCCCCGGTCGACGCTTCCCCGTCGATATTCACTACACACCGCAGCCCGAGGCCAACTACCTGCACGCGGCAATTACCACGGTCTTCCAGATTCATACGACACAGCCGCTGGGTGGGGACATTCTGGTGTTCCTGACGGGACAGGACGAGATTGACTCTGCCATGGAGAGTATTAAGGAGACGGCGCATGCGTTGGGCAAGACGGTTCCCGAGCTGATTGTCGCGCCTATCTATGCGAATCTGCCAAGTGAGATGCAGGCAAAGATCTTTGAGCCCACTCCGAAGGGGGCTAGGAAGGTGAGTGCAAGGCGAGGCGTGATACAGACGAGACAAGTTCTGCTCGAGCTGACCATCGTGCCCTTTCCCTCGTTCCGCGCTCGTGCAGGTCGTTCTGGCCACCAACATCGCAGAGACGTCCATCACAATCGATGGGGTCGTCTACGTCATCGACCCAGGCTTTGTCAAGCAGAATTCGTACAATCCCCGCACGGGAATGTCTTCGCTGACCGTCGTGCCATGCTCACGAGCCTCTGCCGACCAGAGGGCAGGGCGTGCTGGACGAGTAGGGCCAGGGAAGGCGTTTCGTCTCTTCACCAAGTGGGCCTTCCAAAATGAGCTCGAGCAGAATACTACGCCGGAGATCCAGCGAACCAATCTCTCGAACGTGGTCCTCCTCCTCAAGTCCCTTGGGATAGACGATGTTCTCAACTTCGACTTCCTCGACCCGCCGCCAACTGATACGCTCATGCGCAGCTTCGAGCTTCTCTACGCCCTCGGCGCCCTCAACGACCGTGGTGAGCTGACGAAGATGGGCAGGCGCATGGCAGAATTCCCCATGGACCCGCAGCTAAGCAAAGCGGTTCTTGCGAGCGAGCAGTACGGATGCACCGACGAGGTACTCAGCATCGTGGCCATGCTGTCGGAGAGCTCTGCCCTCTTCTTCAGACCAAAGGACAAGAAGCTACACGCGGACCAAGCAAGAGCCAACTTTGTCCGACCAGGTGGGGACCACTTCACCTTGCTGCAGGTGTGGAACGACTTTGTCGAGTCCAATTACTCGCATCAGTGGTGCGTCGAACACTTTGTCCAGCCCAAAGTCCTCGGCCGCGTACGAGACATCAGGGACCAACTCGCCTCCCTCTGCGAGCGTGTGGAGGTGGTGGTGACCTCCAATCCCAACTCGGCGGACATCTCCCCCATCCAGAAGAGCATCACTGCAGGCTACTTCCTCTGTGCCGCTCGACTGGCTGGTGACTCTTACAGGCCTCTCAAAGGCGGTGCAGCGACGGGAAGCGTGTACGTTCATCCGAGCTCCTGCCTCTACAAGACTGTGCCTCCCCAGCGCTATTTGGTGTGGTTCGAGATTGTAGAGAGTAGCAAGGCATTCATGCGACAGGTGATGGTGACCAAGCCCGAGTGGTTGAGGGAGGTTGCGCCGCATACGTACAAGGTGGGGGACTTTGAGGAGAGGAGAAAGGCTGGGGGCAACGCGAGATGAGGGGATTAAGTGATCGTAATGCTCTGCTTTGGGGGGAAGTGTTTCTTCATCTTGCGATTCCATTGCGTCAAACGAAAACTTGGGCGTGAGCTCAATCTTTACATCTGACCCTTCTTCAGCTTTTCGAGCGTCTGCTTCCATTCCCTGAAGAGCGCGATGCTGCGAGCGAAAGTATCAAAGCAGAAGCGAACAGTCAGCACCTCCAAAGCTCATCACAATCACCAAAGGCTCTGTCGCTCTCTCGCTCGTCAACTCACCCCTCCTTGCCTTTCTCGAATCCACCATCACTCGCCAGGGTTTCCCTCTCCCCCTGAAACAAGCGGATCACCTCATCCAGACTCCCCTCGAGCTTGTTGATGGCCTCCTGCAGAGCGTACGGGTTCTCAATGGACTGGAAGATGGAGGCACCCTCCTGCTTGGGTGGAGAAGGGTCGGGCTTGTTGTCCGTAGGAGGGAAGACGCCCGCTGGGTTCAGGTCCGAAGGGCCGCTCCCCATGTTGGGGGTGGTGGTAGGGGGAACGATCTCTGTGAGCAGCAGCAGAGGTAGAAAGAGGGAGTGTGGTGGTGAGAAGGCGGTGAAGGAGAGGAGAGGAGGAGGAGGAGCACTCACTGGCGTCATCGGGGAACTTCCTCTGTGGATTGGTACGGCGGAGGAGAGGGAGCGTGGTGTGAGCAGCCACGCTCAGCTGAAAGGGCGTGACGCTCATTCTTCAAAGATCAGCGTCAGCTGACAGGCCAACTCACGGTGTCCATGATTGCAGATTGTAGTTGTTCGTAATGGTCAAGAGAGAAGTTGCAGACGTGTTGGAGCCTGCTTCTTCGCGTGGACCCTAGATCTCATTACCAATTGTGGGCCCTCGATTCATTGCGCCGCCGCTGCGCCCGACGTCACTCGACATGTGTGAGCGCACCGGCCAGCCAACTTCATGAGGCCATGCATCCGCCTCCTTCGCAGCGAGCCAGACCTTCGCATCTTCGCATCACCGAGACAGATGTCATTGGATGTAGCATTCGGTCCTGAAACTTAGTCTACTCTATACCGCAGTCTCAACGCCTTTGCCTACACGCTCTCTGTCCCCTTTCCCTGCTTCGCCGCTCCCAGACCTCTATGCTCCGCCTCCCTGTCGAGCACCTTGGCCGTCGCCCTAACCAACCTCTGCAGATCGCTGTCCCCCTCCCCATCAGCAACCTTGACATCTTCCACTCGCCTCTCCTTCTCCAGGAGACCCCGCATCTCATCGGGGAGAACGTCCCGCTCAAAGTTGAATGCCACATCCGCCGACGAGGCAAGGGACGAGGTGACGGCCTCGGCGAACTTGGCTGGGTGGGCTGTGCTGAGGATGATCTGCTTGTGAGAGCCCGAAGCCTCGCGAATCCAGTTGGCAGCCTGCATGCCAACCGCAGTATGCGGGTCGAGCAAGTAGGACTTCTCCGGCTTGGAGCTCGAAGACGAGGTAGCTGGCGCAAAGTATCGCAAGATCGTGTCCCTTGTCTCTCCATCGCTGACGCGCTTCGCAGAGAAGTCTCGCTTTGCTACCTCGAGCTGCTCCTTGCTGACTTCCATCACTCCCTTGCTCTTCAGATCAGCCATCCACTGATTGACCTGCTGGCCTGCTGCGGTCGCATCGTTGCTTGAGGTCTCGAAGGCGATATACCAGAGGAGACGCTCGAAGTTGGAGGAGACGAGAATGTCCATTGCAGGCGAGAGGGTCTGTTTGACGCCGCCCACTACTTGGGCCTGAGCCTGGACCTGGGCACCATCTGAGGACCCCGCAGCAGGTGCAGTTTGAGGCACGTCGACCTCCTTGGCCGAAGATCCGGATGCCTTCTCGTACTTCCCTGACGCCCAGAATCGCTCCAGAATGTCGTTCTCATTCGTCGCAACCACTAAGCCGCCCTTGATCGGCAGACCCATGCGCTTGGCGTAGTAGCCGGCAAGGACATCTCCAAAGTTGCCCGTGGGGACAACAAATTGCGCGTCGGGATTGGAGGAGGCAGGGTCGATGTTGAGCTGCTTGCAGAGCTGGAAGTAAGCTGAAAAGTAGTAGACGATCTGCGCGAGGATGCGAGCAAAGTTGATCGAGTTGATGGCGCCTAGGCGGTGTTTAGCGTTGAAGTCTGGCTCCGAGAAGAGGGATTTGACGATGTCCTGGCGGCGCAGAGGGGAGTATTCGAGGATGAGGCATCAGTAGGGGCATATCGGGCAGCTCATCACTGCGATTGTTTGCTCACCTGGCAGTCATCGAAGCTGCCTTCCACCGCCAAGTTGTGGACATTCTCATCCAACACCGTAGTCATCTGCGCCTCTTGAATCGGGCTGACTCTTCCCTTTGGATGAAGGATGAAGATGTCCACATCCTTCTTGGACCTCAGCCCAGCAATGGCCGCCGATCCCGTGTCCCCAGAGGTGGCTCCGAGAACAGTAAGGCGATGTCGCTGGTCCGAGTCAGCGGGCAGGTCGGCATTTCGGCGAGCGAGAAAGTACTCGAAGAGGTTGCCCAGCAGCTGCAGTGCAACGTCCTTGAAGGCAAATGTCGGGCCGTGCCACAGCTCGAGGACGTACTCTCCATCGCGGGTTTGTACGAGGGGCGTCGTCTGCTGATGACGGAAGGTCGAGTAGGAACGGTTGATGATGGCCTCGAGGTCAGAGGAGGGGATGCCTCCTTCTGAGCTGGAAGTTGGGATGAAGAGGGAGAGGATACGGTGCGACAGCTGAGGGAAGCTGAGGTTGGACCACTCGCTTGCCCAGTTGATCGGGAGCGAGGGCATCGAAGAGGGAATGTAGAGACCACCATTGGGGGCCAGACCGCGAAGGACAGCCTGCGAGGGCAAAGGGAGGTGGTCAGCTTTCGTCACCGCTCGCTACTGCTACTGCCGTATTCACCTCCTCGAAAGAGAGCCTCTCCTCCCCGCCTCTTGTGCTAAGGTACTTCATCTTTGAAATGTTGTGCGTCGTGGGGTGGTTGGTGGGAGAGTCACCAATGACCTCGTGCACGTCAATCGAGTCCAAAGTCTCTTCTTCCTCTCCGCCTCGGCTTCTGCCCGCGCCTCACCTCGACAGACCAAGTCAGTCCAACTCCACGCGGACAGGTCAAAACGGAAGTAGGAAGCGGGTCGTGCGTGCTCCTTGGCTTGGATCCACTCATCACCAATGATGCTCACAGCCAGCTGCAATGCCTGACAATAGTCGTCCGACGATCTACTCGCAGCTTCACCAGGCTCAAGCCTCACTCGAGCGGCTGAGAGGCGTGCCTGCGCATCGCTTTCACCTTCTTGACGAGCAGGTAGGCTCGGCTCTTCAGGCTTCCTCATCGTCTTCGACGGCTGCGCAGCCTTCTCTTTCACGGCACAACTTCCAAAAGGTCATCTCCTCGCTGCGACAGGCAACTCGCTCCTTTGCGAACACGACAGTCAAGGACGTGCAAGCTCAGTCAGCTGGTCAAGAAGCACTGTCAGGCACGTCATCGTCGTCGTCGTCCAACTTGGATCGTTACACCTCACTCCTACGTGAGCAGTCGCAGCACGTCGCTCAGCTCGCCTCCTCTCTCGATCCGCTTGAAGACCTATCCAAGCTGATCGGTGAGGCAGACTCTCGAGTTCTGCCACCAGCCCTGCATGTAGGACCTCTGCGTCCCTCAAGGATAGCTGCGGGGAAAAGGAAGCGCGACGACAGCCCCGAGACGTTGCAGCCAGCTTCGGTCGACGAAGCCGCCGCTATAATGGCCGCCCTCTCTTCTTCCATCGACACGCTAGCCAAGGCTTTGGGCTTGGAGACCTTTGCGGAGGCTCACACCGTCGACACCGCCAAGGCAGACAGTGACGAGTACGAGCTGCATACCCACACTCTCACCCAGGGAGGCCGAATTCTTGTCATTGACCTCGATCTTGGCGCATCAAAGCGTCAAGGCATGGTGCTACCTCTCGTCAAGGTACGCGTGTCCTTTGCGACCGACAATTCAACGGCAGCATCCAACAGCATGGCCAACTCTCCACCACCGAAGCTCTCCGAGTCAGGCAGTCATGCTTCTAAGCTGTCTGCATCTGACTCGAGCAACAGCCTGCACTTTAAACATGCCAAGCTGGCTAACGCACTGCGACAGGATCTTGGAGACATTGCTCAGCTCCTCTTCGGCCTCTCCCAAGATGGTGAGGGACAGACAGACGGCGGCATGTCTACTGAGGAGCGCCGTATTCGCCAGGCTGTTGCGGCGTGGCAGAAACTGAGAAAAAGCATTGCCGCTCTCGCGCGAATCGATCGATTGAGCAGTAGTAGCGCCAGTAACGGAGGCAAGGAGCCCGTCAACCTCTTTACTCACATTCGTCAAGTGGGAGAAGCAGTCTGTCACGCTGCAAGCAAGCCAGAAGAGCTGCCCTGCGGCCCGATCAGCGTCACGGAGGCGGCGCCGTTGACTCGCATACTGTTGTCTTCACAAGCCCCAAAGATGCCACCACTTGCCCTCGACCTGAGCATCGACGAGTACGACCGATCTGAGGGCGGCGAACAGCTGCAACGCGACGAGCAGCTTGGTACCCTGCCATCGTCGCAGCTGAGCTTCGTAGCAAGATTGGAACCGCCGCTTGTGCTGCCAAGACGGCTAGCGGCAAGGTTGGGAAACATCGTGGGATTGGCACCGACATCGACAGCCTCGCTGAACAGTAGACGGGACGACCAAGACATTACGGCGCTCCTGGGATCGTCAAATGGAGCAACAAAAGACCCGTCGTCGTACGATTCGCTCCTCTGCCAGCAGCCTGGACCCTCCCTACCACCGTCACAGTCAGTTTCCTCCCAGCAGGTCACGCTTCGACCCTCCCTCTTCCACGCTCCAAGTCCAGCAATCCTCGTCTCTTACTTTCCCTTCTCAACTCTTCGCCAGCTCTGGGAGGCAGTCGGTGTGCTACAGCAAGGTTGCGCGCTTGCTAGGCTGCTGAGGCCGGTGGTGATGCGATGCGTCGATCAAGAAGCGGCTGCGGCACAGACAAATCAAGCGAATCAAGCACAAGCAGAAGTCACGCTGGATGATTTGCTTCGTCCCCCTTCGGGGCCTACCGTGATGGATCTTACGTTGGACGATGCCCGTCACGCCGCAAGCACAGGCATCAACCTCTCCTCTCACCTCTTTGACTCCAAATCGGGGCAGATGCTCCATCTCTCTGCGACGATCCGCTACAAAGTCCACGAAAACGAGTGGAAGATCCAGGCGAGGGTGGCCCGCGACTCCTTCATGCTTGGAGGCAGGGGTCAAGGCTTTGTTGCAAAGGAGATGGACGAGCAACGAGCTGCAGACATCTCAGCAAAGCTGGCCTCATCAGGGGGCTTGACTGATGCTTGCGAGGACATTGTGAGGTGGGCGAAGGGAGAAGAGGCTGAGAAGGGGAGTCTGACTTTTGAGCCGCCAGGTGCGGTGGTCGGGGCTGAGGAGGAAGATGCCATCATGGAGTCCGTAGACGTGCCAGCATCAGCGACAGCGCTGTGCGCTGCGGAGGAAGACGCTACCATGGCATCGAAGGGTGCAGAGGCAGCTGTCGCTACGAAAGAGGAAGCGGTACCATCAGCTCCCAAACAAGAGGAGGAAGACGCTCCCTTGCCCTCTTCATCAACAGCCGCTCACTCGAAGCCAGCGAGGGGCTCTTCTCCCCCTTCCGGCCGTCCAATCCTACCCCGTCGTAGATCGAGCCAACGCTCCGCTGACGGTACCACCGGCAACGAAGTTGCCAATTCGCGCTCGCCACCTCCTCCTCTCACTATGCGGGGCACTTCACCCCCTGCGTCGAGCAGCTCAGCAAAACTTGCCTCGCCTACGTCGCCAACCACGGGGATGAAGAGGAGGGGTAGTCGACAGGGGACGGGAGAGGACGATGCTGCAGCCCCACGCAGGTCGCCTACAACGAGGAGAAATGCCGTCAAGAGGGAGCCGGATGAACCAATTCTGGGGCAGCGGCAGAGCTCACCTACGTCTGGGGCTGGGGCCGGTGGGCCGGCGACCAGGAGGAGAAGTCATAGTTCGAGGGGGACGGGAGTCTGACGCTGCCGTGCAGGTATTGGATCTGACTGGGGCACTCGAATGTCATGATACTGCTGTATAATCGATCACGTCCGGTCGCTTGATGTCGCTCATTGCTCCTCAGCTACCCAGTCACTACCACCAGCCGTGAGCACCGCGCTTTTCCCCCACGTGGCGCACACCGACGCGTCCGGTCAGTCCGACTAGTCGGTGCGTGTTGGTTGGTTGCCTCGTTCCCCCTCTCTGGCCCTTTCACTTCTCTCATATCATTTGCCATCCAACTCTCCTCCTCCTTCTCCTCGCAAAGACACAGAATGGCTCCTTCTGCCTCGCAGCAGCCAACAACAACAGTCAAAGAGCGCCACTACGCTCAACTGTCCGCTCGTCTGGCCCACTTGGCTCACAATGTCGCAGATGTTCATGGGCATGTCGAGCTGGCTGCAGAGCATAGCTTGAAGACTAGGGTGCTTGCCGCGAATCAAGGGAGTTTGTGAGTTTTCCTTCAGGCAGGCAGGAGAAGGGATCGAGGAGGCGGGGATAGAAGGTGGAAGAGCAACGGCTGATCATATCTCGCATCGTCGCATAGATTCATGGCCGCTAATGCGCAGGAGCTCGACAGGCCTAATCGAGCTGGTGCTGCTGGTGGGGAGCAGGCCTAAGCTCACAGCGTCGGATGGCGATGAGAAGGTACAAAGACGGAACTCTTTGCAGCCTCGTCATGGACTCAGCGCAATCAGCCTCATGCTCGCTTTGTGGGCGTCTGCAAGCCACCAGGAGAAGGCGATTAGCCAGGTGTCCGCCTAGCGTACGTGTAGCATTGTGAACACCATCTCCCTGCCCTGAGCGATGCCACACTCGCGGCCTAGTGGCTGTCAGGCTTTATCTCACGACGCTCAGCAAGGCGAATGCGATCAAGATGACGGAGTCACTCTTCACCGCCATCTTGTCTTCGGCCGGCCCTGATCGGCTTGCAGAATGCTCACTTGCGCTCGATCAATACCGGGACGGAGAGCCCAATCTCTCGGCGATGACGATGACGAGTATGCTATTGAGGACAAGAGGTGGTCACGAGAGGACAGAGGAGAGACCAAGGGGTGGGGAGCGTCTTTCGACAGAAAGGCTCAACGGCTTTGAGGTAGCGCTGCGTCATGCCATTGCAATTCAGAGGGTCGAGTAGAGGGAAGGAAGGGAACAGGCAGAAGGGGAGGGGTATGTATCGTGTATTGTCCGTTGACTCTTGCTCTACCAACTATGCTGCATTGCTGCTACTGCATGCTGCCATGCTACGTCGTGAGATGTTCATCGTCTCGTCCCAAGTGCGGCCTATACCATCCTGTGAATCTCATCATCCCTCAGATGCGCCACACTGTCGGCATTATACCCCTCACCGTCCTTCTTGTTCTCGAGGAGCAGCTTCCACCACGGGAAGAGGAATCGCTTGACGATGAGCTTGAACCAAGGCGTGAAGGCCTCTGGGTCCAGCTCGTCCATGAGGACTCGCAGCTCTTCAGGTGAGACCCACTTGGTGTCGCAGACCTCGTTCTCATTGGGTCGCAGCGTAGGCGAGGCTGTGATGAAGAGGATATAGTCGACTGTAGGCGTTGGGAGAAGAGGAGTCAGCTTGGCTCTTTGTAGGCTCCGCTGTCTCGAGGCTGCCGCGACTACCCACTCTCATGCTCGCCCCATACGCCACCCTTGCACTCTGCCAAGTAATGGATCCTCGTCAAGTACTTGAAATGCTCCAAGGGAACGTCCCCTGCTGGGATCCCCAGCTCATGATCCAACTTCCTCTGCGCCGCCCTCCTCACGCCCACATAATCCTCGCCGACCTCCATCTCCCCCTTGACCGCCAAGGGGTGAGAGCAGCAAGTGTTCGTCCACATATCCGGGAAGGTGATCTTCTCTGGCGCTCGCTTTTGGAGTAGAAGCTTTCCTGTCTCTGGATGGAAGAGGAAGACGGAGAATGCTCGATGAAGAAGGGAGTGAGGGGGGAGAATGTTGCTCATGAGGTGGCATTCCTTCTTCGAGCCGGCACGCAGAGGTTGGTCGTCATTGGACACGACGATGCATTGCTCCTCCATAAGGCGGATCTGCTCCTCGTCATGACCTGCGAGGGCGAGGGAGGAGGCATCGGCGGCTGCAGAGGAGGAAGCCTCGCCGGTAGGCAATGGAGCGTTGCCGTTGGGCGCCGCAGTGCCGTTGAGCATGGTCGTAGCCGATGACGAGGAGGATGTAGCCTGCTCTGTTGAAGTGACCGTCGTTGCCGTTGTGAGGAGTTGTTGGGAGGGCAAGGAAGATGAGAGAGAAAGGGAAAGTCTAAATGTCGCTCGTGTGGCTGCTTTGGCCGGGGAAACGCGAGCGGCAGTCGAGACAATCGCCGCTCCGTCTCACGTGGCTGGAACACACGCAGAACAAGAGACGAGGGATTGACGGCGAAAGACGATGGTAAAGGGCGCATTGGCCCCGAGGGATGGCAAAGGGGCACAACGATGAGAGGGACAGCACATACAACACGATGCGGTCCTTTCAATCACAAGAGCGTCGCGCTGAATCCTGCCACTCCCACGGGGACCCTACCTCGGGTCTCTCCCTCTGGCCCTTTGGATCCGACCACTGAGTGACACTCGATCCCGTCTCATCGTTTCGCACTCGCACCAGCGCTGATGTCATGCATCTTGATCAGGTCATGCGATGTGTGTGTGTGTGTGGATTGAGGCATATACTCGATACAAGAGAGGCGCGGTCATGGCGTGTGCGTGTGCGTGTGCGCTGTGGCGGGTGAGGCGCGGTTGAAGGTCGTGTGTGTGGTGTGACGAAGATGAGATGGTGTCGTGGCAGATGGGTGTCTGCTCCTTGCAGCGCTTGCAACTGCGATAGCAGCCAAACAGTAGTCTGCGATCCCACTGAGAGGGAGGGATCGCATCGCGACAACTAAACAACCACCGCTTTCCATCTTTCCTCGCATCCAATTGTATCCACTGTCACTCCAGCCAACGTCTCTCCCTCACGGATGTCGCACACTTAGTCGCTCCCACTCCTGGTGTAGAGCCACTGGCCGTGGTGATGGATGACCTTCTTGATCTGGCCCTCCCTCTCCAAGTGGCGCATGGCAACACGAGCGAGCGATCCGTTGATCTTCATACGGTCAATGAGAACCGACTGCGAGATCATCTTGAAGGTGGGCACCTCCTTGACAATCTTGTCGTAAGTGGGCTTGTCGAGGACGACCATGTTTTGGGCCTACGCAAGAGGGAAGCGAACGGAGCACGTATGGTCAGCGACTCGGGAAATCTCCAAAGTGTGAATTGCGGGTCGCTGCTACACACCTTGTCCTTGACCTTTCCCTTGGACCACTTCTTCTTCTTGCCTCCTGACTTGGACGCTGCGGCCAAGATGGCTGCCTTCTTCGGCGGCATGATGTGTTATGTGATGAGGGTGAAAGGGGTGGGGGGTAAGAGGACGGACGGGACGAAGTGACGAGGCCCAGTCGACTTGGACGAGCAGCCCGCCCGCTGGTGCCTCCGCAGTGCAAATTTGTCGGAACGGCGCTGGAGAAGCAAGGGCCACGTGGCGCGGCACAGCGCCTACGGTTCGAGACTTCATTGTACGCCTTTCTCGAATGCTTCCTTACTTTCTACTTCAGAATGCTCAGCATGCTGTGAGATTCTCCACTGCTCAGTCATAGTATCGTACGCAAGTTGAGGTTAGCAGGGGGACGTAGCGCGGCAGAAGGACGCGCAGGCAAACAGGTCGGGTCTGCTTCGCTTTCGAACGAGTGAATCAGATGCTGATGATACATCTCAAAGGACAACGCAAAGGATATATAACAAGGCACGCTGCCGTACACCTCCTCCCAAGGCTCTACCCCATAAGCGTAGCCAATTCCTTCCTCCTGTCGGCCTTCTCCTCCGCCCGACTCTTCTGTTGCCCCTTCCTCCCCTCCGCAACTGCACTGGCCAGCTCAGCCTTGCGCTTCTGCACCTCCAGCATCCTCTCCTCTATACTCGCCCTCGTCACGACCTTTGTACTGATGACAGGTACGACCTGGCCCAAGCGATGTACACGATCCATCGCCTGCTGCTCTTGTGCTGGGTTCCATGCAGGCTCGAGACAGTAAGCTCTGCATGCCGAGACGAGGTTGAGACCAAAACCGCCGGCGCGAAGTGAGATGAGGAAGACTTCGACGCTGGCGTCGGATTTGAAGCGTTCGAGCGCTGCGGCTCTCTCAGGACGCTTCATCGTGCCGTCTAGGCGGACAGTTTTGATGCCTGCACGATAGAGTGCCCGCTCCACTCTGTCCAACATTGAGGTCCACTGGCTGAACACCACACTCTTGATCGGCCGGTACGCTGCACCATCTTCGCTCTTCGTCGACTGGCGAGGTACAGCCACCACAGACTCGAGGTCGGGCCTTGCGTCCTTCTCCTGCTCAGTGGGCGTGTGGTGCTCGATCTGAGGCGCATCAGCATCGTAGAGCATCGAGCGTCTGTTGCACTGCGAGAAGGGGAGCAGGTCCGAGAGAAGCCAGCGCGTCTTGTGTGAGAGGCCGATGCGCGAGTCGATGGGAAGGAGGCGATCGCAGCCGAAGTGGTGGGCTGAGCGCTTGCTGCCCTTCCTGTCCTCCTCGTCGTCGCCGTCTTCGTCGCCCCAGTCAAAGTCATCGGCGCCGCCACGAGCGCGCTTGGAGTGACGAGCATCCGGCTCAGGCCCAGCCAGATCTGCAGGGTCTAGCTGCACAATGTCCGTCAACAGAGCCAGGGATGTATCGCAAGCCGGACAGTCTGCTCGATCCTCAGCCGTGAGGGCCTTTGGCTTCTTGTACGCCGGCACCTTGGACGCAAAGCATCGCGAGCAGATGATGTGGGTGCATCGTGTGACCACAGGGCGACGGCTGCCTGCAGCTTCATCGGTGGCCGCCTCGCCCCTCACGCCCGTATCGTCGCCTTCGGCGAAGCGGGCGATATCGGCCCCACACTCCCAGCAAAGCGCCTCTTCACTCTCGCTGTACACCTCGAACAAGCCCGCAGCACGTTCGCGCGTCATGCCATCCTCGCGAATCGCGTCCACAAAGCCCGATCGACCCTCAGTCCGCCGCTTGTTGTCCTTGCTCGCGTCCACCAAGCTGGGATCGTCGCAGCAGATGCGCAAGTTGCTGATCTCCTGCAGGATAGTCGCGTAATTCGTGCCTACGGAGTTGGTGGCTTCCATCTCCTTGAAGTCCTCCTTGTAGCGCTCGTGCAGCTCCTTGTACTTTGTGCGCTCACGCTCATCAAAGTCGATGGTGACCACCCTCACATTCTTAGCGGGCAGCTCGAGTAGCTTTTTGCCCGAAGCGGTCCGCGTCTCCTTGGTACGGCGGAGAGTGAGAAACTTCATCATCGTTTGCACCTTGACAAGCGCGATGCGCTCCAGTGGCTCATTGTTCTGGTTTGCGTTGCTCCGCTGAGTCAGGGAGCTCTTCTTCTGCCGCTGACCACAGTGCTCGTTCCAGATCAATCGGTCGCTGAAGGGCTCGAGGCGCAAGAACTTGATCTGGGCATAGAGGTCGTCGAGCCTGTTTTGGACGGGCGTGCCAGTGAGAGAGAGGCGACGTTGTGCGCTGAGATTGCAGACGGCGCGACATTGCATTGTGCGTACCTCCTTGATCGTGTGAGCCTCGTCCAGGACGATGCGGAACCACTCGATGCGTTGCAGGGGATTCGGAGCCTCTTTGCCGCCCGTGGCCTTCTTGCGCTTTTTGCCTTTGCCCTTGCCATTCGAGGCGCCGGTGCCGTTGCCGTTGTAGTTCGAGCTAGAAATTGGTCGCCCTTCATCGTCGTACATCTCAAAATCGTCTTCGCCGTCGTCGGCAGCCTCGTCGTCCCCGCCTTTAGCAGCTCCCTCAGTCGTGTCGACCCAAATGCTCTGCCTCGAGAACTCAGAGGCCAGCGTCGAGTACGTCGTGAGCACGACATCGTGATTGGCAATCATCTTGGGGTCGCTGCTCCTGTTGCTACCATGGTAGATGTAGACGCTCGGCCTACTCTTCTTTGCCCAGTGCTCCTTGATCTGCTCCTCCCAGTTGGCGACAATGGTGAGCGGCGCAACGATGAGGGTAGCGCGAGACTTGGCGACTAGATTATCACGGCGTGCACGCTCGAGGGCGTCTTTGGCTTGCGCCTTCTTTCCTGGTTTCTTCGAAGACGGGAGGACGACTTTCGCCTTCTTGTTCGCACCAGCGCCTTGCAGGCCGGCAGCCATGCTCGCGAACCCGCCGTCGTCCTCATCGTCCGTGTCGGAATCCTCGTCCATCGCGCCGACGTCTCCGGGCGCAGCATTGGGTCTGCCGCGCCCAAATGCCTTGGCCTCCGTCATGGTGCTTGCAATGACAGAAATGACAGTGATCGTCTTGCCCAGTCCCATGTCGTCTGCCAGGATAGCTCCTCGACAGATGCCTGGCTCCTTCTCCTGCTCTTGCTGCGTGAGCACGTTGCGATAGGCGCGGATGCTGCCGTCGACTTGAGACCGCACGACCTTCCAGAGGCCGACGGTGTCCTTGGTGAGGTCACCCGTCTCCGCGGTCAGATCGATCCTTTTCGTTCTTGACGAGCCAGCTTCTCGCGCATCGCCTGCCTCCTCGAAGCTGCGCTCCCTCTCGCGGTCCAGGAGGAAAGTCAAACCTTGCTTCTGGTGGGGGAAGAGCGGCGTGACGACAAGACTACTGGGGTCGGTCAAGGGTAAATCTTCGCCCGCAGTGAGTTGATCGTACACCGTCTCGATCTGTTTGCGTCTCTCCTCCTCAGTCATCTCCTTCGACTGCACATACCGCGGCACCCCTCCATCACCACCGCCGTAGAACATCGCCGGCGCAAAGTTACCCCTACTCGGACCCGCAGTCTGTGCAGGCTGTGGCAGGTAGCCATTGTTCGGCTTGACGAGGGGAGGCTCGCCATTGTAGTCGTACGGCGAGTAGTGGCCCGGCTGAGGCTGGACGAAGCTGATTCCAGCCTGAGCAAGCGACTCGACGACGTAGCTTGCCTTGGGCCGAGCGCAGAAGACAAGAATGTCGCATGAGTGGGCATACCCGCCTGCAGATGCCCGCGACCTGATGCGACAGCGCGCTTCGAATGTGACGAGGGATGCTTTGATTAGGGGAGCCAGTGCATTGGCGTATTTGCCAGAGAGGATGCCAAATGACTCCTTGACGTGTGGCACAGCGTTACGCTCGTGAATGGGAATACCTTGCCTTCCCTGCTCTCGCTGAAACGCAAGGGGAGAGAGAATGGGAGAGACGGTGATCTCCGGGTTGGGGTCTGCGTTCTGTCTAGCTGCGTAGCTTCCTCCCGAGCTCCAGTTGGCCGAGGTAGATCCGAAGTTGGGGCGGAGAGGCTGGCTGAGCCTGGCATAAATGGGACGATACCCTGGGTGCGTGATGAATCTGCTAGCTTCTGGCCAATTGGACCTCTGCCAGAGCGGGTCTCTGTCCTGCGAAGGGTCCATTGCAGCTGGCCCATCGACGGCAATTGGCTCAGGCACGCCATACATGCAGAAGACGGTAGCTTCAATGACGCCCAGACAGACTGAGCCATTGTTCTTGACCTCGTCCGCTACAATGTCGCCATTCTTGATCTTGACGAGCTCAGGCTCATCACCATCGCTGTCGTCTGCGGTGAGGTCGATTGCGGGCTTAGGAGGCGGTCTAAATTCGCCTTTGGAGTCGAGCATCTCGGTCGGGACGCGAGCGCCACTCCCTCCGATGGTGGGCAGAACGAAGCCTCCTCGAGTATCCCCATTGGTGCTCATGGCGTTGACGGCGGCCGCGGCCTTCTCCTTCATCTCGCGCTCCCAAGGGCGCGGCGGCGGGATCCAGATGCGCGACGAAGACGACGAAGATGCTGAGGGGCGGCTAGAAGACTGCAAGGGTTGCTTGCTGGGTATAGCGCTGTTCGATGAGGATGAGGATGAGAAGCCGGCAGGGAGGGCGCGGTGCTTGTTTGATGGTCGTTGTGCTGCTACTTGCTCTGATGCTGAGTCAGACGATCTGCCGTTTGAGGGCCCTGCATCGCCTGGCAAGATGACGCTCCTGTGAGACGATGACGACGAGCCCTCGCCATTGTTGCGAGCACGGATGAGCTCAGTTGGATCGTCTACGATCTCGAAGGGGTCGTTCGATGTGTTGCCCGACATGATCGATGTGGCGGCAGGCAGCGGCGACGACGACGACGGAAGCAGGCAAAGACAAAGGGGCTGCAGCTGGTAGCTGCCGCGGCTGGCAGGACCAGAGATCTATGTTGATGGTCCAAGACGGTCGTCAAGAAGGAGTAGAGGTCAAAGTCTGAGCCATTGACGATGGCGACGAGGACAAGTCGCTGCGATGAGGATGAGAGAGGGAGGAAGCCAGCTAAGGGCGGCACGAGAGTGGCGCGTCAATGCAGGCAGTCTGATAGCCAAAGGCGCGAGCAAGACATCGAGCAATGGACCCTTTCCGCCCATGCATCTCAACCACGTGGTTCGACCAACTCGAAGGCGGACTGATCCCGCGTTCGCAGCAGGCACTTGCACTTGTTCTTGACATCCACATCGTGATCACTCAGACAAACTAATCCGCTTCATCGCTGCCATTTGTACCCAGCCATGGGCACCATCGGCATCCCTACGAAGCTCCTCCACGAGTCACTGGGCCACATCGTCACGCTCGAGCTCAAGGGTGGCCAGTCGTACCGAGGCAAGCTCTTTGACGCAGAGGACAACCTCAACTGCTCCCTCAAGGAGGTCCTTCTCACTGCTCGTGATGGCAAACAGTCTCATCTGGACTCGGTCTACATCAGGGGCAGCATGATTCGATTTATTGTGGTTCCTGATATGCTGCAGCAGGCGCCTATGTTCAAGAGAGTTGGACCGAATGCGATGAAGGGGAGAGGCATTGGAGCTGCTAGAGGAAGGGCGACGATCATGCGAGGTGAGCAGGCCGGACACGGCGAAATGCTACCATCGAGACTGACACTGACGCTCCTGCGCCCCCTTCGCTCCCTACTTGCGCTTTCTGTAGCACAATCGCGTCGTGGCAGAGGAGGACCGCCCCGAGGGGCACCGTTTAGAGGAGGGATGTAATGACGCGATGGAGAGCAAAGCAACGGCAACCATTACGCACGACATCGACTCGGTGGATCATCAGAAGCGGTACAAGGCATGCATTATCGGCTCAATGTAACACGACTCACTTTCGCTACGTACGGACTTCATTGCCTTCGCGCTGCGCCCCCTCAACCAGTCTGAAGTCAAATCGACGCTCACTCTGCCTCCCACAGCCTTCCCTCGTGGGAGACACCCCATCAGCATCCAGCACATGCACATCCCTCTCCACGAAGCTCACTTCACCACTCTGACGCACCAGAATGACTGTGCTAGTCCGTGTAGCGTACCATGCTGTCTTGGGTCCAGAAGCGCTCCCGCCCTTCTTGAAGCCCAGCGGCGTTGCGCTTCGACTTATAGCGGGTGCAGCGGGGGCTGCCGGATCAAGGTGCGCAGAATGAGGGCTATCAAGCATCCGTGACTCACTACGTATGGCTGCGGGCACTGATGGGCTGTGCATGGGTAGCTTGAGGGGAGGGATCAGGACGCTTGACCGCATTTGAGTGCGGGTGGTAACGGGCCCAGGCGAGGATTCCATGGCCTCAAATAGGTCTTCGATGAGATGCGCTTCGCCCTCTCTCTCGTCGTCTCTCCTTGCCGCTGCCCTCGCCACGCACTCTTCAAAGCGCTGCCTGCCCGTCGTGACTTTCGCCCACGGCTCGGTGAGAACCGAATTGGAGAGTCCGCCACTGCATGCTGAGCCACAAGATGTCGTTGAGAGTGCTTCCTTTCCATCCACGTCGCTGCCATTGCTGCGGCTGCTGCTGCTGCTGCTCGGCCCACCGATAATCCACTCCACACCACCAGGCAGTCCATCTTCTCCACTATGCAGCGCATCGCCTGTCGTCCCGTCCCCCGACTTAGTCCTGTTGCTAATGTACGCGAGCTTGGGCTTCTGCCCTACCTGGCCGAGCAGCACATTGAAGCCTGGCCATTGGTCTCGCACCTCTGCTATGCCTCGTACGTATTCCTCTAGCGTGACATCAGCGGATGATCGAAGCCAGTCCTTGACCAGCTGCCCGCGTGAGCGATAAGGCTCTCCCTGTAGCGAGGCAGGCGCCGGTGGTGGGCCGGCTTCCGTGTAATTGGTAAGGGCGCCCCATCTCCCATCCCTTGTTACGCCAAGCCATGTCCCGCCGCCCGAGGGGTGAGCATCTATACCACAGAGGGCGTAGTGCTCCACTGAAGGATTTTTGCTCGTTGAATCGGCTGAAGAAGCTACAGCGAGAGAAGGCGAGGAGGGGCTCGCTCGGAATACAGTCGGAGAAGGGAAGGAATGCCAACTTGCTTTCGCGGTGGAGCGAGCCAAGAATTCGTCGCGGTTGGAGGCTATGATCAGCGTATAGGGTGGAGAGGACGACAAGGAGAAGAAGATGCAGCACATCGCTGCCGAAGTAGGGTAAGCACGGAAAGGGAGGATGCGGCGTGAGGAACAGGAGGAACCAGTTCAAAAGAAGGAAGCGCAGCTCTTGAGAGCAAATGCGGGTGGCTCGAGCGCTGCGTCGTGGTCTGCCTTGAGATCGACCGTCGCCCTTTTGAGTCGAAACTCGCACGACTCGTCTTTCCTTCGCTTCGCAATCTCTTCCTTAGCATGGATGTGGCCTGGCCAGTCAGCATCATTTCCCCCGTGGGCTACTTCTCGTCAACTTGCGGGTACTGCCGCCCCAAAGATGGACGGCCACGCTCCTCGTGTCCGAAAAGCAGTCGCTCCTTCGGCATGTGGCTACACCAGCTCTCCCCTCTCGACTATCAAGCCTTGTGCGACCAAGGGTGGCGAAGGAGCGGCAACTACGTGTATAAGCCGGACTTGGAAAGGACGTGCTGCAAGCAGATTAGTATCAGACTAGATGCCAGGAGATTCGCGATGTCCAAAGGGCAAGGGAGGAGGGTGAGGGCGGTGATTCAGGCGCTGAGTGAGCGTGGGGATGACGAGGTACATAGGATGGTGTGGGGAAAGGGGAAGGGGAAGGGGAAGTATGCGCAGCCCATTGATCTAGAAGCTGTCTTCAAGGTCCTCGGCGGAGAGCAGGTCGAGCAACGGCCGGAGGCTGCATTGCAGAACGCAGCTGCGATGAACAGATACCACGACCAACGCCGACAGCAAGCAGAGAAGCGACGTCGGTTAGCTAGAGAGGCAAAGACAACCTCTCTCAGTCCACCACACATTCCACCAGTAGCCGGTCCTTCCATCCTGGCCGGGCGCGACCTCACATCACACCTCTACACGCAGCTGCTGCCCGCCTCCTCCACCGGAGAAAAGTACGCTCTCTTCCGTCGCTATCAGATGGCTATACATCGCGAATCAGAAGATGAGGTCAGCGATCGCAAAGGATTTGAGCGCTTTCTCTGCAAGAGCTCGCTGCGAACCACACCTGTGCAGGGTAAGACGAGGGGAGGCTCAGTGATGAAGGACGCTAATGGGGACCCAGTCGCGTATGGGGCGTATCACATGGAATGGCGACTACGCTCCTCTGGCTCAAGCTCAGGGCAGACCAATGGCGATGCACATGGCCCTGCACCTGTCGACGAGCTGGTAGCAGTCGGTGTTCTCGACATCCTTCCCAGCGCCCTGTCCTCAGTCTATCTCTTCTACTCGCCCTCCCACGCCAACCTACAGCTGGGCCACCTCTCCGCTCTACGTGAGATCGTGTTAGCACGCCAGCTTCACGCTTCTGGGCTGTTGACGCAGCCTAGATACTATATGGGCTTCTACATCGAGGACTGTGCGAAAATGCGATACAAGGCTGGATTCAGGCCTAGTGAGGTCTTGGATGTTGATGCTGGTGGTGAAGGGAAAGCCAGGACAGAGTGGAGGGAGGTGAGCGAGGTGGTCGAGAGGATCAGAGAGGGTCAGGCTTATGGCTGGAGAGTAGCGTCGCCATCAGCAGAAGACAGGCGTATCAACGAGAAAGAGCAGGCAGCGGAGCAGCCCAAGGCCGGCTGCGAAGAACTCGAAACCTCCAGCAGCGATGACAGCGGTGACGATTCGGATGAGGACGAAGACGACTTTCTGCCCTGCCCCTCACCACCTGGCATACTCGATCCTGCAAGCATCACTCCCGCCCAAATGGCTCGCACCGCCGTCCTTGAAGCTTCGGCGCAGGAGGAAGGCGTCAAGCCTCTAATGATAGCCGGTCTAGGAGATACGGAGCGACGCCAGGTCATCGAGTGCGTGGCGGCTCTGGGCCTCGAGCTCGCGCAGCGAGTTGTCTTCTTCACTTGATGCAGGAAGGCTGCGACTGCATGCAAGTGACGTGTATTGCGACGGCGGCACGAATCACCCTCTATCACCTCACCAAGGCAACAGGTCCCTCCTTCCTTGCCACTCTCAAATCCCTCGCCCTACTCTTCACAACCCAAGCCATCACGCTCGTCACCCCACGCAAGAAGTCTGGTCTGAATCGCGCCGCCGTTACGACCACGCCCGCCGCCAGTCCGAAGACTACTCTCTCCGCCCATACGGCTCCTCTCTGTCCCTGGCTCAACCAACCGGGCCTCGCACTCTCTGCTAGAGCGTAGAGGGCACGAGGAGCAACGTACAGGGCCATCTCCGCGCGCTTGCGGCGCTCTTCGATGAAGATGGCTAAACCGCAGGCGAATGAGCCCATCAAGGGCCCGAGACCGCGATCCCAATAGGTGTGCGGGATTGACGGGAAGAGACGCGGTAGGACGAGCGTGCGACCGAAGCATACCATGAACCTGCGAGTGAGCGAGGGGAAAATGGGAGGTGTGAGCATCGTTGCTGTACGCACCTGGCAATGCAAACCTCATCGTCAGCAGCACGTACCAGATCGATGCGATATAAGTCGCCAAGAAGCTAGCGCTCCTCGCGCTGCCCACCATCACTTTTCCGACACTCTCCGCTGGTCGCTTCATGAACTGGCTCGGGTTGAAGAGCAGTCGTGGGAGGAGATGCACGGGCACATAGATGCCCATGCAGACCTTCCACCCCCTGATCCAGCGCAGACCCGCATTCTTAAGGCATGAAGCACCGCCTACGCCGCAGTGTACCAGCTCGCACGGGATTCCGCCCATCTCGCCGCGACCGCGAGGGCCCGAGGCGCCGGAGAGGACATATCCTGGTTCTCCACCAGGGTTGCGAAGGGTGTCCACCTGGGCAGGGGAGCGACCTTCCTTGCGAGCGAGGGCATTGCTCCTCTTCGCTTCTATGAGCAGGCGCCTTGCCTCAGCTGCGGAGCGAGGCAGGCGTGAGGGGTCGCCCCATTCGTATGGGTGGCCCAGGGATTCGGACAGGCTGCCGAGAAGGTCTACTGCTCCGGCATCTATACTGGAGTCGCCGTATTGCCATCTGTAGGGTTTGCCTGTGCGAATGGACCGGAGAGCAAGGAGCAAGCGTTCGTCCATTGTTGCGCTGCGAGGCGGAGGAAGGATAGGGTCAGCCACGTCAAGCTCTCAGTATTGCCGAGCCCCATCGTAGCACGCACAGATTCGTGATCCACCTGACGTAAGTCGGAGGTAGCCTTTCCGGCGCATAGAACCATGACCACATAATGACAGCGCAGCAGAGCACAAAGGTGATTCCTTCGGCCTGATTGGCAGCGCCTCGCAATATTGCAGCAGGGATTGAGGACTCCGCTACTCTGGCTGCAGCCGCAAGGCGGCGTCCTGATCCGATGGAGGATCCCAGCGCTTGGCGTGAGCGCTGTCTGCCGATGATGGATGGGCCTGACGAAGAGGTGGGAGAGATGGCTGTTGCGGCTGCAGTTGCGGCCGTGGCTTGGAGGCCCTTTGCCCCGCCTGCTTTGGATGCTGCTGCGCCTATGAAGAGCGGGGCTGCCCGCACGAGGGTGTCAAGTCCACGCACGAGAGCGAAGAGGGTCAAATCCACAGTAGGTGATGGCTTTCCCAACGCACGAGGCGCGCTCGCGTCATGCGCTGCGCGTTGAGCCGTCTTCTTGATCTCGTCGCGTGACGGGGGAAGCTGGGCAGATGACTCGCTCTGGGGCGTAGCCGTGGCCAGAGGCGAAGTTTGTGGCGCTGGTGAGCGACCGGCTTCGGAGAGTCCGAGGGAAGTAGACTTGGATGTCGTGGGGCTTCTTGACCCGTCGGCCTTGGGCGTGCCGGGGATAGACAGGCTCGTGAGTCTGGCGAGGAAGTGACCTCCCGGCGCAAGAGGCGTGGGCAATGAGAGTCCCTTTTGATTGTGGCTCGATGAGAAGCGCGAGACAACTGATCGCTTGAGGTTGCTGAACGACTCTGACGGGCTCATGTAGGGCTCGCGGATCGTGGGACGTGAGCCCGATGCAGTCTGTCCGTCTTTGTTGGAAGATGCGAGTGTTGCGACTTGTAGGAACATCAGTGACGTGCCACTAGCCAGAGTGGCGGCGATGAAGCAGGACCAAATACGGACGAGCTGGTTGCGGGTGCGTGAGGACGTTGAAGGGCGGCCGGCGATGTAGAGAAGGAGCTTGGAGAGTGCCTCGTCCAAAAGACCCCATCCTAGCATTGCGGCTGCGCAGGCTGCTGCCATACCTTGTGGTGACAGCGAAGCGGCAGTCGCTCGTGCCATGTCTGCGCCGAGACCTGGAAGACCAGCCAGTGTGGGCGCAACGAGATCCTCCCATGTCTTGACCTTGCCAGCAGCATAGGTCGATGAGGACGATGGCGATCCCGCCTTCTCGCGATCCTCCCTCGCGGCCTTGCGCTCCTCCCTTGCCCTCTTTTGTAACGCCGTGATCCTCTTGACCTCGCGCGTGACGAAGCGTAGAATGGCTTTGAGTAATGAGGGAATGAGGTCGAGGACGTATCCGACGAGAAAGGCCTTTGCCGCCGGAGTCGCCAAGGAGCGTGCTGCGAGGGCGGCACGCGGCTGCGTAGGCTGCGTCCCTGGTCGTGACGACGACGGCGGCGACAGCGGCGGGGTCGCCATGACTGGCTGTGGTTTGTCAAGCTAGATGGATGTGAGGATAGGTAGCTAGGAGGGAAGGAGGAGACCAGCCTCGTCGCTGTTGTCGTGTCTTCCTCGCCTTCTCGTGTGCCTCTCTCGCGAAGTCGGGAAGGACGAGTGGACAGGCAGGCTTGCGCAGCCGGAGTGCCGGTGAGCCGCGAGCAATCACGCGGCGCACGGACGCAGGCACACGGCCGCCGGCGCTGGGCCCAAAAAGAGCAGTGAGCCCTGGAAGAGACACCAAGAGACCTCAAGCCACCTGTATTGGGACCAATTCGGCCCCTAAGATGATCATGAGACTTTGAAGGCTGAGGGAGATGACCAACAATTGCTTTGTCAGAGCCACTCAGCCAGAGCAGCCAATCTGGCCAGATTCTCCTCTGCCAGCTCTGCCAGGCCACTGTGGTCCCGAATTTGAAACCCAGTCAGGCTCCGGGCAGGCCGCGCACAGGCAGCAGAGCAGTGTATCGGCCCAGAGCGGCTCCAAAGTTTTCATTTGGCTGGTGAGGCAATGTTTCTGTGCTGCTGAAGGATGTGCTGAGCTGTTAGCAGGCCGGCTCAGCCAGTGCACAAAAGGGGGGCAGCCAGCACAGCAACTTTTCTTTCTTCTCCCTCTTCACCACACAGTCACCTCCCCTCACCTGGCCACCACCAGGAGTATCTGCTCCAACTGTTTTGCAAATTGCTCCACATCACCACATCCATCAAGCAAGCAACAACTTCTTTCCCGCAGCCCACTCCCTCCTGATCCTCATCGTCGCCTCGCATTGCCGCCGTCGCTATCGTCCACATCGCAATCACAGCCTCGTGGATCTGTAGTTGACACGCCCTCGGCGTCGTTCGCTGCGACACTTGCTTCAGCCTAGTAGTCCCACTCGTCGCCCTCGCCGCGTCGAGCCCTCCACGCCCTTTCCGACGCGACATCTTCCCGCCGCCTTCCTCATCCACCACAAGCTCGTCAATGCCTCCGTCCGCGGCGGCAGTAGCTGCCAAGAAGGAGGAAGAGGAGGACGATGACCTCTGGGAGGGATCGGAGACATCGGACGATGAGATGGAGGAGCCATCGGCCTCAGGGTCGTCCAGACCCAGGACCAGGAACAATGGACACACAAAGCCAAGGTGAGTCCAGTCCTCCCGCTACTCCGATTGAGAGGGTGAAAGCGTGAAGCGTTTGCCCAGTGGCACTGACACACTCCCACCTCGCGTCTTCGTTGCAGCGAATTCGTCACCGGTCTCGTCTTGACCACGCCGCGTATGATGTCCCGGGGAGTTGGCGACCTCTTCAAGGACATGATGGACAATGACATTGATCTGGAGCCTGACTACCAGCGAGGCGTCGTCTGGACCAAGCCTAAGCAGTCTGCCGTCATAGAGTCGCTCCTTTCCCACTATTACGTCCCGCCAATTCTCCTGTCTGAGAAGCGCGACGCCTATGGCGCCGCCAAATTCACCTGTATCGATGGCAAGCAGCGCTTGTCCTCTATCAAGCTATTTATGAACAACGAGGTGAGTGCGAGCAAGATGAGGCGCTCAGGTAGGCATTAGAGCTGCTCAACTGACATGACTGTACTTTCCCCATGCCCAGATTCCCGTCAAGGATGCTCATGGCACTTCCTTCTACTTCAACCACCCCAACAAGCGGTCCCTCCCGCCTCAGGTAGCCAGGCGCTTTGAGAAGGAGGCACTTCCCACAGTCATTTACACCAATCTTCAAGACTCCGAGGAGCGCGAGATGTTCCAACGAGTCCAGATGGGCGTCACTCTCTCTGGTGCCGAGAAGCTCTCTGCCCTCCGCAACGCCTGGACCATCTTCGTCGACGAGCTGGCGAAAAAGTACATGGACCCAGATTCGGACGGGTACAACCTTACGGGCCTCATCGGCACGCAGCGCTCCATGGACTGGATGTCGATGGCCCAGGTTACTATCACCATCGCACACGGCAAGGAGCGCTACGTGCCCAACCAGGCCCCCATGCGCCGCTTCATGGACAAGGATACTAAGGGTCCATCGACGCAGCTCCAGGATTACGTCCGCCGCATTATGGCCCGCTTTAATAAGTTGGCCAACGATGGACGCTACAACAGCTCCGTCAAGCCCCGTCCGCAGTACAAGGCTGCTCATCAGCGCCTCTCCCCCGTCGAATTCGTGCACATTGCCTGGATGATCTGGCGTTGGCCCCAGGCCACGATGCAAGAGCTCAGCGACTGGATAGAGGATATGCGCGACGGGCTGCATGTTGCGGCTCCCTCGCAGGTACGCATGAACAATTTCTGTGTCAATTGGTGTCGTGAGTACATCGAGGGACTTCGCCCTCAGGCTGTCCTGGATGGGGATGAGCCCGGCAGGGGCAACAACAGCGCGGCCGGCAGCAGCAGCAGCGGCGGTGCGAGGGGAGCAGGGCCTAGCGGCAGTGCGTCGAGTAGCTCACGCAAGCGTCCCGCCGTCGACAATGAGGATGAGGATGACTTGTACGAGGCCGCCTCGACCAGTAAGCGCTCCGCGGGACGTGACGCAAGGGGGGCGAGCACGGCCACGCGCGGCAGCACGACGAGCCGTGATCAGCTGTTCAACATGAGCCCGAGCCCCACGCCTGTGCCCCCCACCGGCCATGCTCAGCAGCAGCAACAACAACAGCAACAACAGCAGCAGCAGACTCAGCAACGACAGACCTACTTCGCAAGCAGTAGCGGTAATGGGGGAGGTGGTGGTGGGCAATCTGTCGTGCCCAGGCAGGAGCGGTTCACGCCCAGGAATCCCTACCTTTGAGGGGGGAGGGAGCGAGAGGAGCAGGAGGGGCGTATAGCGTTGAAGGAGGGGCAACGGGGGAGGTAGTAGCCAAGTAGGCTCTCATGACATCTTTCAATTAGCCACACCCCCTCACATATCATTCTGGGCATCATCGACGTGACCTCATCCTTGCGTTCAGTCTTTGTTGAGCGTATCTGTTGCATACATATTGCTACGAGCTGCTTTCTGCCCGTCAGCCCTCCGCGGTCTCTCCCAACTGGCCACCACGGCTGAGCAGGTTATATCTCTGCCTCAGCACCTCTCTCCTCGCCTCATCCTCGGGCGACAGCTCGCCGTCCTTGTCGTTGTCTCTCCTCACCCTGTCGTCATCCTCTCCCTTCTCATCCACCAAGTACGGACTGAGCATCGAATCCTCCCTGGCCCTCCTCAATCTCCATTTTTCCAACTCTTTCCCCCTCCTCTCCCTTCTTTCTTCTCCCTCCCTCATGCCCAACATTCTAGCCCAGTCCCACTCCCATGGCCATCCACTCCCTCCAGCGACCCCAGGTCGAGAAGCAGGGGCTGGTGTCGACCCATCGGGGCGTGTTCGGGAAATGGGTCCAAATCGTGAAGGCGGGTAGAGGATGTGAGACACGCGGGCGGTGAGGAGAGCGAGGGGGACAGGGCCGAAGTGACGGGAGTCTTGCGAGGTGTCGACGTATGTTGACGATGAAGAGAATGAGCGACGCTGTTGCGACACCGAGGAGGGCGAGTTGGTCCCATCTGCCTTCTTAAAGGCGGACGAGTGCGTCGACCCATCAGCCATCGACATTACTCCCCCACCCTTCGCTTTGGCAAATACGCTCGAATCCCCTTCAACCCAACAGTGGCCTGGAGGAATCCTTACTCTGGACCACACCGCTTTGCCCTTCCCTTTCGCCTCTGCTCCCCGGCTTTGCATCTCCGGGTCCACGAATCTCACCACATCACCTGGCAAGCCTAGTATGCGCTTGGTCAAATGCATGTTCGGATCGCGCGGCGAGACGAGCACGACGACATCGCCTACTTCCCATTCGTCTAGCTCTGCTGTGAAACGATTGAGCAACACAACGTCCCTCGGTGCAGAGATACCGTGCGTGGAGTAGGCGGGGTTGAGAGAGGGCGTCATTGACCCGCCGTTGATGAGTCCGAAGAAGAAGATGTGGTCGTCTACGAAGATGAGGACAGGAATCCAGGCGAGCACGCCAAGGAGGGAGTATCTGAATGCGCGTGAGGGACGAGAGGAGGAGTTTTCTCCTGCAGATGTTGTTTGTATCCGGGGAGTAGGTCGGGTAGGAGGATGACTGGCATAGCTGCGCCTGCCTGTCGATGGCCTCGCCTTGATCGTACAAGGGCGCGGAAAGGCCAAGAGAGCAGTGTCATGACAGCGAGGCAGTCTTGATGGTCCTGCTCTCGGCTCGCAGAGTAACGGTATTGCCCTTGTAAGACTCCATCCCACCCTCTGAGCCATGAATCAATCGCCTTGCAGTTTGCTTGCCCTCCTGCTTCGCCTTGAGGATGAGAGTGGGGAAGCGGCGCGAAAGCTGTGCCTCTCAATCGTCCATCTCATCTCGGACTGGCCATCGGCACTGTGCTGAGTCAGCAGTCGTTTGACCCGAAGTGGAGCGAAGTAGTCAGGTGGACCCTCTTGAGCTTCTTGTATTAGCACCTTGCCTCACTAGCCCACTCCACTACACAATAGACAAACAAGCATGATCGCCCGCACTCCAGCAACGACATTCCGAGCAGTCAGCTCCCTCAGACAGGCACCCAGTAGCGTAGCGCAGCGCTGGCAATCTACGGCGACGACCAGGCCCGCCACTCCTCTCCGCCTGGCCAATGCTTTGCCCCGCGCTCGCGCCGCCGCCACCACAACCTCCTTCAGCGGCCGCCCTGGCTTCTCAGCAGCGGCATCATTTTCTACTTCGACTCCCAGCTTCAAGTCAGCGCAGGACAAGGAACACCCGCAGTCCCTCTGGTACCACTCCCTTTCCAACGGCAAGTACGCTGTCACCTACTCCTCCACCCCACCTCCCTCCGCCGAGCATCCCTCGGTCATTGCCTCGTTCAACGCAGACGAAAAGGTGGACCCGATCGCGCATGCTAGAGAGAATCCGGACGATGTTCATGCCAATGGTCCCTTCTGGGACCTGCTGCATAAGACGCTGAAGGAGGATGTGGTGGCTAAGGGGAAGGATCCGATTTTGCAACAGGAGGCGGATCTCCGAGAGGAAGGATGGGCGCATCTGGGTGGTGAGTAGCAGAAGGGCAAGACAGACAGAGCTGTATGCTTCTGCGCAGGCTGACACTCTTCCTCCGCACCTCTTCGCCGCAGACGGACGACACCAGACGATGCCTGGACGAAGTGAGTTGAGCGAGCGTCGCACATCGATATCAGAGCATACTCTAATTCTGGGGCCTGCCCTCCTCGCCCCTCGCCCTACAGTCCCGACTCCAGACGCAATTATTGCCTCTGTCTCCTTTACAGGCGGTAAGCTGGCCCCAGAGTCATACACGGTCAACGGAACGCATCGCGCCGTCACCAAGGAGGAGGGCTTCGTGGTGCTGCGTGACACCTGGTTCGAAGCAATCAAGGCTGCGTTGAGCAAGGCCAAGTAGAGACGGACGACTCGTGATGGGAAGACAGGGACGTCTGAAAGACGAATCGTAAAGTCGTATTATCATTGAAGCGCCAACGGCTTAGTACATCTCGAGGTTGGCTCCGTCGTGGATCTCGTCTGCTCGCGTGTGTTAGAGAGGGCCAAGGGTCAGCTGCCGATCCCATGTATACGATGAAAGCTGCCACACCGGCTCACAATCGCCCAACGTGATATGGTCCTTGAATACGGTGTACCACTTCTTGAGCTGTATCTTCTCCGGGCTGGTACCAGTCTGGGCGGCAATGAGCTTCTTTAGGTCGCCCACTGTATCGTCTGGACTGCACTTGACGCGGACTGTTGAGCGCATGGCCCGACAAGACGGCAGAGTGGTCGGTCAGTTTAGGGGAACTCTCTGGCATCTCTCTCAGAGCTTCTCTGATGCTCACCCTTCCTGCCCAGACGATCGTTCGCCGTGATCTCGATGAGCGACGGCATCCTCGATGATGGTGCTGAGGATGATGCGAGCGACCCCAGGCGGCCAGGACGGAACTGGAGTCGGTGGGCGGATCGACTGAGCGCGCGGCAAAGGCCTTTGCCATGTGGGCCGAAACTCTCTGGGCAACAGAGAGAGGCCTCGAGCTGGACCTGTCCTCCCTCTGCGTCTTCGACGTCGAGCTACAACTCCTTCGTCCTCCTTTCCTACCGTCTGCTGCCCATCCAGTCCTTCCTGCCATCGCCGACGATCCCAGTGGCAAATATCCTACATCACAGCGCGAACAAGCTCAGCATACAGACTCAATCTCAGACTCAAGGCGCAGGACCGTCCTCCGGGTCTCGTTGATCATCTCTCAGCCTACCCAGATCGAAGTACTTGTACTCTTTTCATCCTGTCTCGCCTCGCTCCATACCCACCTCTGACCCAGTCGTAGCTGCCGCTGCTAGTCAGGGCATGGCCGCTGCCATGATGATGGACAACCGTAAGAGGCCACTCGAAGGCTCAGCGTCTCAGTACGCATCGAGCAGCGACCCTTCACCTGCAGCTAAGCGGTTGCAAGTTGAGCGAAGCCCTTCCTCGAGCGGCCTCAATGGCATACATGCGCCACCACCGCAAGCAGAGGATGACGAGGAGAATCCGGCATACAAAGGCTTGGAGGTGAGTTTTCGATGCGAGACAACCTCAGAATGATTCACAATTGACCGTACTCTTCCTTTCTTTCTGCTCGCTATCAGGCTTACCGCAAAGAGGCCATATTTCGCCAATTGCGAGAAGCTCAGCGCGACCTGGCAAGATCAAATCGAAGGGCAAGATCACTGCAGCAGGCTGTCGTCGATGTAGAGGAGAGGACCGGTGCATTCAATCATTTCTGGGATCTCGTGAGTAGGCAAAGAGATCTGCCATGCTACCAACGCAAGGGTTATCTGCTGACCTCGAGACTACTCCTTCTTGTTCGCCGTTCTAGCTCGTCGAAGACATCACAGTCCTCTTCTCAAGGGATGACGCTGTTGAGAGTCATCGATCTGGTGAGTCGCGATTGTCACTCGTATCGCCATCACCTTTCCCGCTGACGCCGATCATTTCCAAATCCCTCCTCGCCAGCTCTCTTCGACGTCATTCCCTTCACGGCTGGCCAGCCAAGCAAGAGCGCCTTTTCCGCTTCGATGCAAGAACGAGGCAATGCCGTACGCGCTGTTCTCTCTCGCCTGGCATCTGTCGCTCCTCAGTCTCAGTCGCCAGAGGTTGCCGAGCTTCAGTCCCGCTGCCATCAACTAGCAGATGAAGCTAGCTTGCTCAGACAAAAGTCACTCTCAGCAGAAGAGCAGCTGCGTAAGACTTCAGAAGACATCGCGGAGCTTACCGAGAGCTTGAGACGAGCAGAGCGCAAAGTCGACCGCCTGCAAAGTCGATCTGTTCAGCTGAGCGAACGCCCCTCGACGAAGGCGGAGGAAGAAGCAGAGAAGGCAAAGCTCGAAGCCGCAGAAGCAGAGCACAAGGCTGCTCTACAACGCAAGGAAGCAGCAGATGTTTCAGCTAATGGCAGCGCCGCGGTCACTGCTGCGGCCGTCAATGGCGAGCAATCCGGCGCAAATCGCGAGGAGCTCGAGCAAGCGCAAGCCCTTGCGCAGACCCGGTTGGAGGAGAGTGAGTCTCTTCGCTCAGAAGTGATTCAGCTACGCCAGCAGTGCGAAAAGCTCCAGCTCGACCTGCATCGTATACCAGAGGAGAGGACGAGGGAAACTTCTCTGTACCGCGATCTGCACGGCCACTTCACCCACGCTCAGCAAGAGCTTGAGCGCTTCAAGGGCATTCACGACGCCATCGAGTCAGAGAATGTCGAGCTTCGCGAAAAGCGCCTCGAGTTCCAAGCAGCGGCCCAGCGCGAAGGTACAAGCGTGGCTGATCAGTTGAGGGAACAGCTTAAGTTGCGCGACGCCGATCTGGTCAGGCTGCGTACTGAGCGCGATGGTCTACTCTGGGATGTGGCCGACCGCAAGCAAAGGGAAGGGGTGAAATTTGCTCAGTGCGATGAGATGAAGAAGCTAGTCGCAGCGAAGGACACACGGATTGAGACTTTGAGGAGCGAGGTCAGGAGGTTGCAGATGACTTTGGCTGCGCAGGCAGGGAACGATAAGCTCCTGGAACAGCTCAAGAATCAGCAACAGCAGCCGGCAGAGAGTAGCGCCGTCGCTGGAGAAAGCCACAGCGGCAGCAACGGCAGGCATGGCGAGGACGTGGAGCTCATTGCGTCTCTCATGGCCCGACTCAAGGCTGCAGAGGAGACTTTTGCCGACCTCAAGCGTCAGCTCGACGCGCGCTCCTCTTCGACATCAGAGGCCGACTTGCTAGCCAAGGTCTCCAATCTGGAAGCGCAACTCAACTCTCTCACCGTCATCCTTGGCAAGAGCAGTGCTGAAGGCGAGGAAGCAGTCAGCGGTGAAGAGGTCGCCACCCGTCTTCGCTCGCAAGAGTCGCGCATCTCACAACTCACGTCCGAGCTCGCCGCCGCGAATGAATCGACCACCGCCCTTTGCGACGAGGTTGAGAAGCTCTCCCGCGCGTACAGCGACATGGATGCCCAATCTCGCAGCAAGATCATGGACCTCTCCCGTATGGAAGACAAGGTCTTGCGCCTCACAATGGAGAAGGCAAAAGCGGACAACAAGTACTTCGGTGCCGCCCGAGCAAAAGACGGGGTGGAAGGCGAGCTCCGTACTGCTAAGCGCACAGTGGAGGCTCAGGGATCTGCCTTAGAGGGCATGAAGCGCGCCGAGGAGGGGTTCAAGGTCCAGGCCACCATGCATGAGCGTGAAGTTACGCAGCTAAGGCGCATCGTCGCGGCGTGTCAACAGAGACAGGCTGAGGTGGAACGCGATCTTGCTGCGGCAAGGGCGAGGGAGCATGATGCCGTCCAGGCGAGGAGGGGAGTCGAGGAGCGTCTCAATGCGGCATTGGCGGAAGCGGAGCAAGAGAAGGGAAAGAGACAACGCCTCGCCGAGTCTCAATCCAAGCTAGAACGCGACGCGGAGCGAGCAAAGAAGGCCGCCGCCACTGCAGCCGCAAAGGCGTCCTCGTCATCGTCCGGCTCGGCAGGTGGAGCAGCAGAGGAGATCGACTTCCTCCAGACCTTGCTGCGTTGCTCGTCTTGCAAGGATCGATATAGGGACAAGATTCTGGACAAGTGCAAGCACACATTCTGCTCTCCGTGCTTGGAGAGTAGGGTGGCCACGAGGCAGAGGAAGTGCCCGCATTGCGCTGCGAGCTTTGCTGTCAGTGATGTGCAACCGCTCTACTTCCAGTGAGCTCGCACATTCGGGTCGATAATGGAGAGAGAGAGGGAGGATCAGATGGCAAGGATAGCATAGGAGAGAGAGAGAGAGGAATGTGCGCAGAGGTGGGAGCATGCCCGACTTAGTACATATTTGACTGCTCGCCATTCAATTGCCATCGCCACGAGCATGTACTATCATGGAAGCATTGACGCGTCTCTTTCAGGCCTGAATGATCTACTCTGCCGCCTTCGAAGTCGATGAGCTCACTTGCAGCGTTACCACCGTCCCCGCACAGTAGATGAGCAAGATGCGTCGTTCGATGATCGTGAAAGCAACATGGTGATGATCGGTCATGCGAACCTGCCCTCTCTCCACCCCTCCCTGTCCGCCTACTCAGGCCCAGTCTTGCCCGTCTGCTCGTTATCCTCATCGACGACCCTCCCACACCCACAAATCCACTCTGTCCACCAAGGTTGTCGGCCCTTGCCCTCCCTGATCCTCTGACGGTCCTCCTCCGCCTCGCGCTCGGCTTCGATGTCTCGGCGTCGCTGCGAGCGGGCACGCTGAGCTGGCGAGATGGATTGGCGATCGCCACCGCCGTAGGAGAGGGAGGACACCGGAGGAACATCGTCCTCTTCGAGTACTTGACTCTTGATCTGGCGACGTCGACGTCTTTCCTCGCTGTCCCCTCCCCGTGCTTCGTACTCATCATCCGACGCATCGCTTCCCTCCTCGTCATCCAGCCCAATCTCCCTGAACTTGGACATGGACATCCTGCTCGAGCTGCTAGGCTGCAAGGTTGTGACGGTCGATATCGTGTCGGAGGTAGCACTGCGTGCAAATGGAGGAGGGCGGGCAGTTGCACCCGATGAAGAAGTTTTGGGGGTGCGTGAGGAAGAGCCAGTCGTCTCTGCTCCGTCGTCTTCATCCTGATCTGTTTCGCTGATTGCCGTGAGCGGATAGTTGCCCCCGTTGGCGGAGGCAGCTTCGTTTGATGTGAGGAAGGGATTCGTGGGGCCGGCGCCTCCTGCTGAGGATGGCGAAGCACTGCTGCTGCTGGCTTCATTTGCGCCTTTGCTTGCATCCACGTCTGTGGCAACGATGATGCTCGGCGTACCTGCGGGGGTGCGCCTGATGCTCGGTGCCCGGCCTGGCGTAACAATGGGGCGCGTCGCGGTAGGCTTGACCGAGCGTCGCCTCGCAACTGCAGCGGCAGCGTCGTCTGCGCCTGCGGATCCTCGTCTCCCCTCCGAGGGATCGGAGAACGGGCTTCCCATATCCCCTCCCTCGCCGTCCTCGTGGTCAAGCGCCCGCGCTTTGCCCTTGCGATCCGCCCCTGTTGCCATTGCCGCTGCAGTTCTGCGACCCCTCTGACTGCCGATGCTGGAATCGACACTACTTCCTTCGGTCAAGTAACTCTCCGCACTCGAGAAGCTCTGCGTTGCACTGAATCGTCGCAGATTCTCCGCCGATGAGGATGATCCGTCGTTGTCGTAGCCACTTCGCCCATTGCTGCCGGCGGTCAAGCCTGTGGTGGGACCGCTGGGCGTGCGGCGTCCGAAGGAGGACAATCTGCGCGCCAAGCTAGTGGTAGCAGAGTCTGCCGGTGGACCTAGGAGGGAGTTGGTCCGTGATGACCGGGCTGCTTTGCGTCTTTGTCGCTCTGCTGCAGCCCAGCGCTCGAGATTCTGCGCGGCGATGACGGGGAAGAACATCAGGGTCAGCCTTGCTGCAAAGGACGTCAGGCTCTGATCAAATCGCAGACTCACCTGCTCAACCTGCTTTGCCTCGTCATCCCCCTCTTCGTCTTCTTCCCTACCTCCTCCTCTCCTCAGCGACGACGAAACCATCCCAGGGCCAGCCGAAGACGAAGCAGTAGACGTGCTCTGCGAGCTCATCCTCTTGTAGCTGGAAGGTGTTGCTCCGTACGCATGACCATTCCTACCACCCGCCTTGCTGCCATCTCTCTGCTCCGTTAACCTCTCCGTGCTAGCGTGCGCCATCCAGCCATCCTGGGATAACATACTGATCCCATTCTCGCCTCCATGTCCTGTTTCGCTGTCCTCCCCAAAGGGCGATCCCAACCCGCCCATGGTCGTACTAGACGAGTCCGAGTACTCTCTTCGACTCGCATAGCCTCCGTCTCTCTGCAAAGGCAGCGGTGGGGAATGCTGTAATGATGATGAGGAAGAGGGGGACATACTCGCGCCTGGAGGCTGGATCGTGTCGCTTGAGGAAGTCGTGTCGCGGGAGATGACCCGCTTTGCTGATGACAGGCTGCTGCCATTGAGAGGGTCGTCGATGTAGTCTTCTACTACGACGGCCGTACGTGGCTTGACGACGCTGCCGTTTGCGTGGGCGTGACCGTTGAGGGCGGGCATGGTGACTGGTAGATTCGGGCAGCGATCTGTTGCTCAGCGTCTATGCGCGAGCTGCGGGTGAACCAAGGACGATGATGAAAGAAGAATGGATGCAACGTTGCGGGGCGAAGAGCATGCGATGAATCAGAAGAGTAACTTGTGGCGATGGCGATGTTGGCAGTAGGTGGTCTGGTCTGACTCGGTCGTTAGGGGGATCGTCTCTTGTCCTTGTGCTGAAGGTTGCTGGCGGCGGCGTCGTCCCTTGCAAGGCGAAGCTCGCTGGCTAGCAGGCTTGATGCTGCGTCGTGATGGTTCTCTCCTCTGCACGCAGCTGTGCAATCGACGAGAATTGGCTGGAGTAGAAGTCGCTGGTGGAGATGACAAGAGGAGGAGCGAGCGAGTGATGAATCGATGGATCGATGGATCCGTTTCCCCGAGTCGGGAAGCACACACACAGAGGCGCGGCAACGGCGGCGCCTTTGTGCTTGTTTGCCGTCGCAGGCAGCGTCAAAAGGAGTGCGTGCGGCCCTGTTCGTGTGGCGGAGGCAGAAGCACAAGCTGGCTGCCAAGCGACGACGACGACGACGATGACGGCAGGTAAGGCTTTCCAGCGGGATGGACAGGGATCTTGGTGTACAAGGAATCGTAGAAAAGCAGGCAATTCCAGCCAACGAGCAAAGAGAGGAGGTGTGTGTGTGCGGCAGCGAAACAAGCCAGGCAGATGAAGCACGAGCGGCCGCCGCGGCCTCGGACCTCGCTCTCCTTGCGAGCGAGAGAGCCATTTCTGGAACAGCAGACCAGTCGATTGGACGGCCGGCTGGCCGGCGCGGACCACTGGGCAGAGGCGGCGGCGTGCTCGAGCGCTCCTGCGAGCGCTCCTGATCGAGACGTACCTTCTTCCCAATACTCGACTGCCCCGCTTGATTTTGCATCTACGACGTATGAGAGGGTGGTTAGACTGGCTGCTGGTACTCTATGGAAAAAGGCATGGAGCGAGTGCAGGGTGCGATAGAGGAGCAATTGATATTGCGACGGATCAGAGGACAACAAAGCGGGGCTGGAGGAGTAGGGTAGTACAATTGGGACACGGGACGCCATGAAATGCATAAGGCACGGAGAAATCAATTGAGAGCGCCAGAAGGACGTGCAGTTGGCGATGAAGGGTGCTGCTCGCGATCAGCAACGTGTCTACTTCTGGTACGTCGGGGGCGGCTGGCTCGGGGGAGCGTACGCCTGTCCATCAACCATCTCCGGCTGATTCGTAGGAGGTGGTCCTGACGGAGGCGGGTAGGATGAATTGGCATTGCCTCCTTGGTTGGGGTATCCACCACCGTACTGCTGTGCACCAGGCTGCGCCGTGGACGGGTAACCGTATCCTGTCTGCGGCATGTAGGCTTGCTGCTGGTAGGCGGGCTGGTTCGTCTGGTAGGTGGGGCGGACAGAGGACATTTGGCGCATGCGACGCTTGCGTGCTGCAAATCCAAGTGCGAGAACCAGGAGAAGAACCGCGACTGCGATAGCAATACCCTGTGCGAAGAGTAGGTGGAGTACAAATGGTCAGCTTCCGTCAAAAGGGACTGATATCGGAGCCAGCCTGACGCGTGGAATGACTCACGATGCCTACACGACCTCCGTATGAGAGGCCGCCATCGCCTCCGTTGCAGTAGTTGTTGTAGTATCCGCAGCCATACAAGCGCTTCTCGATGGGTGAAGCGGGGGGCATCGTGAGGGTGGATGCAAGACTGGGCAGTGAGTGGCTATGGGAATGGGCCGCGGAAAAGAGGGCTGTCTTGGGGCTGTGTGGATGCTCTTGCGTTCAGAGCGACGATGTTGCTACTCTTTTGCTGTCCAGACGATTCGCTGTTGATGTTTAAGAAGCAAGAAGGTGGCGAGCCAGACTGGGTGGTTACAGCGACGACGATTGGCTGCTCCGCATCGTCTGCGTGGCTCGAATTGACTTTCAGCTAGGCTTGGCGCGAGCGGACGGGCAGGACGGGCAGGCGGGCCAGAGGGCGGGGGCGGTGGCAGTGCAGCCCTCGCTGCTACTTGCGCTCTCACTTTCCGCCCTCCACCTCACCTCACCGCCGCCTACGCCGCGCCCCGCATAAGGCTGACGATATGCGCGGATCGGGCAGAAAGATGATGATGCTGGTGACGGTTGCCGCCGGTCACCGAGATGGCGGTATTGGAAGGTGGAGATGCTTCATCACAGGGAGGTCAGACAATGGGAAGATGTCTTGAGTAGCGATGGAGCGGCAAGATGAGGTGCGGAACGCCGAGCAGCGCCCATATCAACGCTATGGAAATCGCATCGCGGCTGCATCGGCGTCGCGGCGGCCATGCCTGTGCTATGTTGATTCTCGTGGAGCTGAATGATACGCTTTCCCTTTGTTGTGCGCTCGTTGGCATGCGGCAGTCGCGGCATGGCCCTAGCGACAGCCTTGTCCTAGCCTGGCTGCTGCCTTGGGGTATCGAGTGACAATCGCGTCTCACAAACCGGTAGCGACTGCCACCGTGACACCACGAAGGTGATGAGAAGGAGGAGCGATGTGCGAGAGGACGTCGGGAGTCATCACCGTGGCTATACTTGCCCTGAAAGGCGAGCACGAGCAAAGAAGCGTCCAGTGGAGCTTGCTGTAGGTCTGGCTCCGCAAGCAGACACACGTCTCTAGCATGTGGTTCTTTTCCGTGTCGCTGCCCTCCGGAGAGGCCTCACTCAAAAGTCAACGGAACAAATGCGACAGCGAGGAGTAGATGGCAGCCCCAATTGTTCGTACTGTCGTCATGAGAAGTGCTGTCCCCATTTGTCTACTCTAGAGACACTCTTTCGGACTGCAAGCTACACAAGTCGGTCGCACCGGACGCAGTCTGACTGACGTACACAGCTCAACGATTCGACCAGTCGAGCTCGATCGACGATGTCTCTCGAACGCTGCATCTGAGGTGAATTCCTCGGACTTGCCCGCACTACACGATTGGCAAGAGGACTGCTTACTCCCACTGCCTGATCATGTGTCTCGTCAATGTCATGGTCGTCGCCGTCTCACCGTGGCGCGCTCGAACAGATCGCGGATTCCAAAAGCCGCTTTCCGCTCGTTCCTGAGCGAAGTGCGAACGCGGGTGCAGCTGCGCGGTCGCTTGACATGCAGCTGTCTTGCTAATGTTACTTGCAATGCCTCCTGTCCCTGCGAATCCTTGTACATAGCATCGAAGAATGACGAAGACGTCTTCCAGCGCCTCGTCGGTGCATCTGCTGGTAGCGTGCCATGGCCTTTGGGGCCAGCCGATCCACCTCAACTACATGATGAAGAAGCTGGCCGAGGACAAGGGTGGCGAGATCTCGCCACTTGGCGTGGATCCTGGTGAGGACGAGGACGATGATGATGCCGGCGATGTCAGCACGAGCAGCAGCAGTAGCAAGAGCAAGGCCAATGGCGTAGACAAAACGACAGCAGCAGCAACATCCTCCAGCAGCACCTCCACCGCAACAGCTTCAGCACAACCGCAGCTAGTCATCCTCATGAGCAAGACCAACATGGACGCCCGCACCTACGATGGAGTTGACTGGTGTGCGGAGCGCACAGTACAAGAGATCGAGCGCGAAGTCAGGCGGCTGCGCAAGAAGGGCAGGAAGATCGTCCGCTTCTCGATTCTGGGCTATTCGCTCGGCGGGCTCATGGCTCGCTACATAGTAGGCCTGCTCTATTCGCGTGGCTGGTTCAAGGACGTGGAACCGTACAGCTTCACCACTCTAGCCACGCCGCACATTGGCATGCCCATGGCAAGCGGCTGGTTCTATAGAGTTGCAGGCGTAGTCGGACCCAGGCTGCTGGGCCGTACAGGACGCCAGCTGTACGCAAAGGACAAAGGCTGGGACACCTCAGACGAAGGTGACGATACTCCCTTGCTGCTGGCAATGACGCGCCCGGACTCGTCCTTCATCAAAGGTCTGCAGCTCTTCAAACATCTAGACATCTATGCCAGCGCAACAAGTGATACCACCGTGCCGGTCAAGACGGGCGGTCTAATGAGCGTGGACCCGTGGAAGGGCTGGCCAGAAGGAGGCGATGAAGATGTAGACGGCCGGGGCATCACGATCGAGCGAGACCCCAAATACCCTGCTCTTGTCACTGCCATCAACATCCCCTCCCACCGGCCAAAAAAGCCAAATCCTGCCACACGGATTTACAGGGCCGTCGTACCAAGACAGTTGCCCTTCCTTCTCAAGCCCTCGGCGTTGCCCTTTCCCTTCCCTCTTAACTGGGTCTACGTTCTTTTGGCCCCCGTCTCGATCCCACTGTTCTTCACCCTCATCATCGTGCGTCTCGCCAAGGGATCCCAAGAGAGTGACCGCCGCGTCAAGGAGATCGAAGCAGAATGGCTCAAGGGAGACCATGCTAAGGCGATCTCGTCTGAGCTAGAGGCAGATGGGTATACCAAGCAGCACGAGAGGAGTAGAATCGTCGCTGTGCTGGCGGAGAAGTTAAGGGAGGCGGATGAGGACTACGTCAGCGTAGAAGGCGGGACCTCTCTGCCGAACGGCGCTTCACACCCAGCACCGAGCAAAGACCATAAGGACGCAGCAGGCAACGTGAAGCGTTCAGCGACATCACCTTTGCATTTCGTCATCCCGTCAGAGGAGAGCGAAGCCTACCTCAGCTCAAAGCAAGCTCCCCTTTCTCCCATCCACCAAGAGATGCAAAACAACCTCCACGGCAATCTGCCCAGGATGCGCAAGCATTTGGCCTTCTTCGAGGGAGTGAGGAATAGCCACGCCATCATTGTATGCAGGACGCCTTCGATGCCTGTGCATCAGATGGGCAAGCCGGTGGTGCAGCACTTTGTTGACCACTTTGAGGTGTAGACTAGTCGGCACCGCAACCAAGCACGAGTTCCTGTTAATGACGCTTCGAATTTGCTGATAATGTCACATATGAAACTGAGGATCGCCTTTCCTTCTCTGCCTAGCTATGCTCTTTCAACCTGTTGTTCCCTCTCTCTCTCCTTCTCGACCTTGATCCTTCCTCGCAGCGAGTGCTGACTTGTTACAAAATTCGCGCAATTAGCGACCACCGTGGCCACCGCCTCGGTGAGAGCCAGCAGACACGACGTTGGTGTTGTTCTTGGAATCGTTGGTGGTGCTGTACCCATCCTTGACGGCTGCGAGGGGGCAGGCAGCGGACTGGTTAGCGCACCGTCTCTCCGCCCAGAACCCAGATCTCTCCGCACTCACCACCCGACTGGATCTCTCCCTTTTCGAGGATCTGCGTCACGACATCCACGTCCTTGTGCGTGCCGAAGTCATTCTCGAGCTGCTGCTTCGAGGGGTGGCCCATGATGCCCTGAGTACCCTGTCCGGTGTGGAAGATCTGGAACGAGTCAACGACGTCGGTGAGGGGGATCGTCTTGTCGCCTCCCTTCCACTTCTTGTAGATGTCAGCGTCGGAGACGATGACCTGGTAGAGGTCGGTGGAGTTGATGTCCGCCTTGTAGACGACCTTAGTGAGTTGCTGTGATGAGAGGGCAAGAGACGGGCAGTTCAGCGTCGGGCGACCTGCACTGGCAATCGCCTCTACAGCCGCTTAGCGCTCACCCTTCCCATGATGTTCGTAGTAGTAGCTGTTGTTGTGGTGTGATGGAGAGAAAGGCAAGGTAGGTCTGGCCGTGCGCTGCATGCCAGCCCATTCGTGGGGCTTCGCTCTGTTCCGTCACGCGAGCGCGGCTTGGTCGCGCCATGACATCACGCACAGGCCAGCGCCAGCAGCAAAGAATAGCCGTTTGGTCCACACCGGGTCACACAGCCAGCCGCAGAGAGGAGGCTCAACGGCAAGGAAGAGCAAGTTGACTCAGTCATGCATTGATCATCAAGGCGCTCGTCCTGGGCTGTGCTGAAGCATCGTGAGCGCTACGCTCTGGCGTATCGAGCGAGCAGCGGTGAGGTGGGTGAGATGAGATGCTGTAGATCTTCTTTCCGCGTGGAGGTCTGTCTCAAAGCCCTTCAGCGTCCGGAGTGTCTCAAAGCCCTTCAGCGTCCGGAGACGCAATGAGCCAAGGGACAGTTGTCAACAGAATTCTTGTGGGACTGTCTAGCCAGGTCGTGAACTTGTGATACTTTCAATGTACCCTCTTCGAGTAGCACTTCACAGCATATGCTGCTTTACCCTGGCAAAGGAGCAGGGTTATTGTGGAGCTGTGGAGCCCGTCGGGTGGTAAAGCTGGTCTGCATCCGCCCTTTCTTCCGCCGTGCTGCCGCGACCGTCCTCTTCTGATGGGGAAACCGCGCCTGCCCTCAATCGCAGACGGACAGAGAGAGCGCGAACGAGGACGCGCGGGCTTCGCAGACATTCTTCCTTCGTCAATCTCCGTTGTTGCATCTCATCCTCTTCATCATCATCTCATCATGGCGACGACCAACACCGTCCCTGTCACATTCACATATCGCTCAACTAGCGCGAACAAAGTTGAGGTCTCGGGAGACTGGGACCAGTGGACCAACCGCGTCGAGCTGTCCAAGGTTGCCGGCGTACAGGAAGATGGCCAGGACCTTTGGCAGGCTACCAAGCAGCTCCCTGCGCAGACCAAGATTGCCTACAAGTACATCCTCAATGGCGATGACTGGCATGCTCGAGAAGATATTCCCACTGAGCAGGACGCTCAGGGCAACAAGGTGAGCAGCGGCAGGCAGGTCGTACGTTGCAAGCCCGTATACTCACGCTCTTCGCGACGCGTAGAACAACTTCATCACCACGCCTGAAAAGGAGCACGCTGCTACTGACGAGGAGCAAAAGGAGAAGACGACTGGTGAGCAGACTGCTTGGGCAACTCCGTAATCGCGCGTCGGAAGATGCTGAACCTGTGCCTCCTCACTCACCTGCAGCCGAAGTCGTAGGAGCAGGCATCACATCCACCGTCGGCGCCGCCATTGCGACTGTCGTCGGCACGGATCCCTTTGCAGGCCACGATCAGACCGTCAAGTCCGACACGGGCCTCACCGCCTCGTCGAATGGAAAGCTCAACAGTGACGCAGAGAAGCAGTCTGCTCTCCTCGACTCAGGTGCAGGCGCTCCAGCAGGAGCCGCCGCGGCCGGTTCCTCCGGTCCCGTCCCCACTGAGCAACTCTCCAACCTCGGCCTCGCTGATGGCAAGAACCCTGCCGACGCTGGGGCTGCCGCGATTGCCGCTGCCGCCGCCGGTACCACGGGCGCTGTTGCTGCCGGGCAGTCGACAGGGGAGGGCGCCATCAATCCTTCCTCGCTCGAGACCGTGCAGAAGTCAGCCGATTCGACGAATGTGCCTGCTGGTACGATGAGCGCTGCTCCCGTTCAGAAGCAAGGCATTCTCGACCAACAGGAGGCCGTCAAGGGCTTGGATGCTGGGGCCTCGGGCGACGCTCCTTCCACCGGTTCGACGGTCGATGGCGCTGCCTCAACCACAGCCGGTGAGGCTGGCAAAGGTCTAGTTGCGGGTGCTGCGGGGGTGGGCGCTACCGTAGCTGGGGGAGCTGCCATTGCCGCTGCAGCAGCTACGCAGAAGGCGCAGCAGGCCAAGCAGGTAGTCGACGAGAAGATGCAGGCGAACGGACAGAATAGCGCAGATTCGGGAAGCGCGACCACGCCCGCGAGCAAGGAAACTACCCCTGCCTCCGGCATTGCAGCCGGTGTCGGCACCGGCGCAGCTACTGCCGCTGCTGCTGGCGGCACGGCTGTCGTCACCTCCAAGGAGAAGCTCAAGCCCAGCGAGACTGAGGCGAAGCAAGAGCAGCTATCTTCCGGCCCTACGTCCACCGCTACCAAGGGACCTGCCACTGCTGCTGCTACATCTCAGGCTTCGAGCGCCACCACGCCGGCTGGTCCATCCAGCAACGTCGCGAAGGAGGCCTCAGCGGCTGCGGCTGGAGGCGCAGGTGCTGCTGCCGCCCCACCTGCCGCACACAAGCCGACCGAGACCGAGAAAAAGCAGGAGCAGCTCTCATCCGGTCCTGCGGCTGCGGCTACTAAACAGCAGCCCCTCGTTGCGCCCAAGGATGAGGTCAACGCATCTCCGTCGCCCGCCACTGCCCACGACAACGGCAGCGCCAACAAGAACTCCACTGCAGCTCCCACCGCCGCTGCAGCTGCGGTAGGTGCCGGTGCCGGACCTGGTGCTGGAGTCGCATCCGCTCCCAAAGCTGCAGCTCCTACCAAGCCCAGCGAGACCCAGCTCAAGCAAGAACAGCTGTCCTCCGGTCCCGCAGCCACGGGTACTACCGCGCCCGCAGCAGCCCCTGCTCTTGCCAACCAGCAGCAGCAGATGGGTGCATCGTCTAACACCGCTCCTACCACTGCTGCTGCCTCTGACTACTCCAGCTCCTCTACAAAGCGCGGTTCCCGCTTCGGCACCTCCCGCAACAAGAGCAATAAGGGCACTACCACACCGCCCACGGGCGGCGACTTTAGTCAGTCAGCAAGCGCCTCTGCCTCGCCCGCTGCATTCCCCGCCACCGGAGCTTCGACAGACTCTACACCTGAGCGCAAGAGTCTCGAGAGGTCCAGGAAGAAGAGCGGCTTCTTCACGAGGATCAAGGAGAAGCTGAGTAGCCCTGCGAAGGGTAAGGAGTAGAGGGCTGGCGGCGATGACGCATCCGCTCTCTCGAACGGGATCGATTACCTCAAGGGCAGATTCTTCGGCCTCGAACAGTCTTGATACCACTTCCTCGATTACCATCTTATTCTTGCTGCTCCATGGATGACCCATATTTCGCGGCACCTCGACGGAACTCCGTCTTTTTTTTCCCTCGTCACCCAAATCCGGCTCGGCCTGATAGCCTCTCGCATCTGTGTGTCGTATCGCTGCACCATTGCAATGTGCACATCATTTGTCTGGATTTCTCATCCTTGCTCTGCTCGGGATTCCATTGTGTCACGGCCGTCGCCGGCGTGGTCTTTGCGAGAGCCTCGAATCCTCGAAGACGATCAGGCCGCTGCTTCGCTGCACCTTCCCATTTCATCGTCATTGTCATCGTCACTCGTCGTCATTGTGCCGAAGCTCGTACCTCTATCATGCTTCATGCTTCGTCACCCACTTTGCTTTCCCTCCTTACAACAGATAGCCTCTAGATTTACCGATTGACCTCCTTTCGCGCTTCCCCTGACGTACGTGACCCGACCTCGCTTCTGCCTCGCCTCTCCACGCCCTCGCGTCTTGTACCACCAACGGAGATCAAGGGCACAGCGGACATTTTACGCTCTCGCTTCGAAGGCTAGAACGACAGATTGACGTCGCCAGGCGGCGCGGTCTGCCCCTGCTTGGCTGCCTGCCTGCCTGCCTGGCCGTCATTTGCGGGCCGTCGCCGCATCCCCGAAGCGCGACTTGGCGGCCATTTCTCACTTCCTCTTGCGGCCGCGGACGGGCCGCCATTACGGAGAAGGCGATGTAGCAATAGAGAAGAGATGGGCTTGAGACTACTAAAGAGGCAGGGGTGTGAGAGCATTACCCTTTCTCTCCTCAACTTACTCCTCATTTCGATCTTCCTCCTGACATTCGCGGTCTCGACACCTCAAGCATCCGCTCAGCCATCGCCTTCTCTTCATCTTCTCAGCGACCCTCTCCAACATCCTTCTCGGTGCGAACATGCCTGCAATCCGCAGCACCCTTTCAACGGCGGCTGCGCTCCTCGTAGCATCGTCATCAGCCTTTCCCATCTCACCCTTTGAGCCAGCCTCATCCTCTCTGCTGACTCGAGCAGACGGCAACGCTACCGTCTCGAGCTCATTGCAATCATGCCTCAGCAAGACGGGCGTCGAGCTCTCCTACCCGGATGCCGACTCTTTCTCGACCCTCGACACTCAGCAGAATGCTGCGCTACCCCCTCGCAAGCCAGGCGTCTTTGCCATTCCATCCGACGAGACCGGCGTAGCAGCTGTCGTCAAGTGTGTTTCCGCAGAGAATGGCTCGCAGAAGATCAGTCCAAGGAGCGGAGGGCATAGCTACACGGGCTACACGCTTGGATCAGAGGACGGTTGGGTCGTCGTCGATCTCAAGAAGCTTAACGCCATTGACACCAACAAGGATGCCAAGACGGCCAAAGTCGGTGCCGGTAGCAAGCTCGGCCCCATGGCCGCGGCTTTGGCCAAGGACGGCTTTGCTCTTCCGCACGGTACCTGCCCCACCGTAGGCACGGGTGGGCACGGCCTCGGTGGCGGCTACGGGCTCACCTCGTACCAGTGGGGCTTCCTCATGGATCACATCAGTTCGATGCGCCTGGTCAAACCCGATGGCACCATTGTCACCGTCAACGCAGATGAGGAACAGGACCTCTGGTGGGCGCTGCGTGGTGCCGGCTCCAACAACTTCGGCATCGTGACCGAGTTTACCTACACCCTTGAAGATGCTCCCAAGAACGTCGTCAACTACGCCCACCAGTTCAAGACCAACGACGACTGCACCAAGGCTTTCCTCGCCATGCAGGACCTCACCACGGCAGAGTCGGCAGACGCAGGCTGGAGCAAGAACATCGGTGGCGAGCTCCTCATCACGGGCGATACGGGCATCGGCTACTCGTGCGCTCTCAGCGGCCAGTTCCTTGGCACCAAGGATGAGTACAAGAAGGCCATGAAGCTCTACAATGACGCCTGCTCCGCCCGCGGCGTGACGGCCAGCTCTGTGTCGGCCAAGGAATTCACCTCGTGGGCTGACGCCTTGACAGACATCATGGGCAAGCTGGACACAACTACCGTAGCCCCCGAAGCATACTACGCCAAGTCCCTCGTTACTCCCTCGGACGTGCGCTACGACTCAACCTCCTTTGGCACGGTCATGAGCGCAATCCAAGATGCAAAAGACTATGGCACTTCGCTCTCCTATGCCTTCCTGGGCCCGCACTCGGCCCCTAACCAGGTGCCGATGAACGCCTCGTCTTACGTCCACCGCGACAGCCTCTACTTGAGCCAGTTGTACTCATACAACTTTCCCAAGAACAATGACAACGGCGGGCAGGACGCGACTTACGCCGCATTCGACAAGATCATCGATGCGGCCCAGGCAGTCAAGCCTGACGCTAAGTGGGCCGGTTACGTCAACTACGTTGACAACCAGCTGCTGGTTAAGATCTTCGACTGGGGCCACTTCTACTATGGCAGCGCAGTGGACAGGCTGCAAGAGATCAAGAACAAGGTTGACCCCAACATGGTATTCGACTTCCCCATGGGCATCGCGCACGCGTAAGGCCCGAGAGAGCTGAGGATGACGTTGAGCTGGCGTGGCTGAAGAAGCCCCCCTCGTGTGATCCTCCTCTTCTCAGCTTCCTTTGTGCATGAACACTTCGTCTTCTCATCAGCATCACATCTTTGTTCCCATACCCTAATCAATGTCTCAATTTCAGCATCATCTCTCTATTCACGTCTGACTAGTGACTGTTGCATTGCATTGTACCATGGAGCGTACCATCAATCATCACTTGGCCTCTTGGTGAACGAAGCATTGAATCTGAGCAACCGATTGATATCCCTGACCCAGTCATCCTCTCCTCTATCCGTTGTCCCACTACCACCGCTGCCAGTAGGGATGTCGGGTATCGCCGTTTTCTTCCCCTTCCCCTCGTTCTCCCACCTCTCCTTGGGGAGGGACCGATTTACGCACGGGATGGGGTAAGGACTCATCGAGACCTGCAGGTATTGTCCCGGCTTGAGCATCCTGGGCACCCCTTGCCCGACTCCTCCTTCCTCATCGTCCAACTCGCGCTCCCCATCCTCCCACCCCGTTCTACCATCCACGGTAATCTCTGCCGGGCTGCGAGACTGAGGGCTTACCCGTAGTTGGACGGTCGTGTCGCTTGGTAGAACAAGGGGACGGAAGGAGAGGGAGCGTGGGCAGATGGGCGTGAGGAGGAGAGATTGTACGGAGGGATGAACAATGCTGCCCCCGGCGGAGAGTGAATAAGCTGTCGAGCCTGTCGGGGAGGCTATGATGAGGCCGTCGGACTAGGTAGGCGCGTGCGGAGGGGCCACGATCAGCGAGGCCCTGGTATGTGTGATGCACGCGGACGCGATACTCACAATGGCTCGGGTCAGATGCTCCCCATCCACATACGCATCGATGGTCGTCATATGAGGCTGGCTGCCCCTATGCAAAGTCACCTCATTCATCAGATGAACCTCACAGCTCGGCCTGCCCCCTTTACCTCCCTCGGCAGCAACGAGACTCCCATCCCCCTCGTGCGTACTCAGGCTCAACCTCATTCTCAACAACAAGGTCACCTTCCCGCCCAAGACGTCTCGCAGTGCCTCCTTCATGGAGTCGATGTGCCACGGCAGGAGGAAGCCGAGCGTTCCCATGGAGAAGGAGAGGACGGGCGGGACAGGAGAATGGGAGAAGAGGGACGAGGCGTGTAGGATCGTACCGTCTCCGCCTAGGGTGAGGATGAGATCGATCTTGCTTGAGAGGGGAGAAGCCGAGGTTGGGGATGAGGTGGACGTGCTGGGAAGGATGACCAGGTTCTTGTACTCCTGATCTTGCAAGGCAGATGCATTGTGCGCCTCGATGACGATGTTCATTGAGGGGTAGGCTTGATTCACGTGGCTGCGCGATGATGGCACTCGTGAGCCTCATTCTCTTCACGCCTTCCTCGGAACGCGCATGCTCACCTCACCAGCCCCCTCAACTTCTCATTCACCTCCTCATCGCAACGCTTTGTCACCACAAGCAAGTTGCGGGGCTCCTCGATCCATTGCAGAGAGTGATTCCCGCCGTATGAGCTCCCTACACGCGTGGTGATATCGTGCGACTCGCGGGCGGGGAGAATCTTTGACAGCCTAGCGAGTTGACGTGGAAATGACGAGGATGAGATCAGGTAGAGTGGTTGATTGGGCGGGGTTGAGGCGGTGACGAGTGGCAATGCGCATGCGAGAGAAAGGAGCAAGTGGTGACGGTGATGATGAGTATACATTTTGCTTAGTCTTATACATACATATGAGAGCGGTGATGGCAACGAGCACAATGGCTGCGTTGAAAAAGATTCTCACCTTCCAGCAGGCCCAGTCTTCAGCTTGACCTTATCCGGCAGGTCCGCGAGAGTGCGAGGGGCACTGCGGCAGGGAGCCGATGTAGTCGAGAAGCCGCGCGAGCCCTTGACGCTCGGAGATGTAGCCGCAACAGGGCGTGAGTGGATCGCCCTCGCAAGTCTTGGCGCCCCCGCCGCAGCGCTAGCGGCAGTAGCTGACCCGCTCGAAGCTGCCGCGGTCACGCTTGCGGCCCTCTTCGCACCATCCACCATCCTCCCGACCGGCAAAGCTCCGGGCACCCTCAACGTTCCCCACAGTGCCAGCATCACACTCAACAATGCCACAGAGCCAGCTTGATGCGCGCTCGCCAGCTCGATGGGCACCATGTAGATCAGCGTCGTAATCCCGAGTGTGGCCTGAGCAGTTGCGGCCCCCAAGGCCAGGTATGCTAGCCTGGGCACGGCGGGAGGCAAAGCGGTGCCGGCAAGACGCATGGTGGCCGAGAGGTTGCGAGTCTTCCATGCCAGTGCAGCTACATGCGCGAAGGTTGTGATGGCGAGGCAGCGATGCACGAACTGAACAGTGACAGGGTTCTGAGTCAGGTTGTGCAAGACGAGTGACGATGATGATGCCTCGTCGTCGCGGCTGCTTGCGCCGCTTGATCGGGTATAGCGCTCGTCGAACATCTCATCGAGGGGCGGGGCGATCCTGCCATCACCCATCGTGGGAAACTCATTGTACACCAGCCCAGCGTCTAGCCCAGCAACCAGCGCGCCAGACATGGCTGTAGCGAACACGAGGCCGGTGACTGCCCCCACGAAGCGACGGTAGCGCAGCACTTGCGGCTTGGAGAGGACGGCGACGAGCTTGTCGCGTACGCCAGGTGCGGCCTTAAGCCCACTGGCTTTGCCGACATTCATGGCGAGGTTGTACTGCCTAAGGACAGAGAGCCCTGTACGGAGCATGCCAGCGTAGACGAGGAAGGCAAGGCCGAGATGAGCTGCCAATCTGAAGTGGCTGACACGGGGTGTCCAGGCCGCTGGTGTGGAAGACGTCTTGGGTGGGGCGAGGGCGTCTGAGTGTGGCTGCTGAGGAGCTGCCGTGCCCTCCGTTGCGGCTTGTTCGGAGACGTGAAGGGTTCCCTGAGGAGCAGCGAGGCCCGACTTAACCATGTACCAGCCCATGGCTCCCTGAGCACCAATACCGAGACCGATGAGGAGCAGCTTGGATCTGAAAGGAGATTTGACCATTCCTCTCGCAACAAAGAAGGCGGCGGGGAGCACGTATGCCAGTCCGATGACTCTTCCCAGGATGCGATGGGACCACTCCCACATGTAGATGGTCTTGAAGTCTTCCAAGCTCATTTTGCTGTTGAGAAGCACGAATTCTGGCGTCTGCCTGTACTTTGCCCATTCGCCCTCCCACTCGTCGGTGGTCGTGGGCAGCCACATTCCCTTGAAGCCTGGATTCCATTCTGTGATGCTCAACCCGGATTCTGTGAGGCGGGTGAGCCCACCTACTACCACAATGGCGTAGACGAGGAAGGCGAGAAAGAGGGAGTGATAGCCTACCCACTTGGAGGTGGGCTTCGCTGAGGTGTCTGGTTGAGGTGAGGCCGACGGTGAGGGAGGAGTCGTGGTGGCCGGATCTGCTGGAGCGGTGCTTCGTATTGACGTGCCGGTGGTGAAAGAGCGGATGGACAAGGCCAGGGAGAGAATGGAGGGCGGACGGAGCGTGCTTTGACGATGTGAAGATGATGATGGCGTGACCTTGAAGCTCGCCGGGCGAGTCGAGGTGCCAAGTTGCTGAGATGCTACAAAGTGATTCAGAGGAGGGCGAGCCAGAGCCATTGGTGGTAGTCTGCAGCTCTGAGCTCGAGCAGCCAGACCGAGGCCAAGGGTGCCCACTGGCCTCAGAGCCATGATTCTTGCTTTTGACTCGCTGATGAGGATGACGAGGAAGGAAAGGAGGCAAGTCGTCTAGCTGTGTTAGTCAGAGTCAATGGCGCTTGCTTGGAAATTGAGCTCGCCCAAGGCGGACTGGCGGCGCGTCTGGCTGGGTCTCAGACATCGGACTGAGCCGCCTCGTCGTCTGAGACAGCACGCGGCACCAAGTCATCCTCTCTGTCCAATACCGTCATCACCACTGCTCTCATCATGCCTACAGCGTCAACAAGCACACCAGCTTCTGCCTCACCTGGACCCTCATCAGGCCCCTCCTTTCTCGAATTGCACAACCAGCACGCAGCCCCGAAGCCCTTCAAACGTGTGGAGACATACAGCACCTCGTCTACAGGTCGGAAGCGCAACTTGAAGCAGATCCTCGCCTTTGAACAGGACGCGGCATTCGAGCTTGCTGGCATCGGAGGCTCGGGGAGAGGTGGTGCAGCAAGGGGAAAGAGCCATAAGAAGGGGGCCAATGCGGCGGCCGGAGGTAGCAAGGCCGGTACAGGAACCTCGACGCCCACGGGAGTCAAGGCAGCTTCCGGGTCTGGAGGGGGCAAGCAACTTATTGGAGCTGCGGCAAAGGCTGCTCGAAAAAGGGAGGAGAGGCTGAGGAGGGAAAGAGAGAAGGAGGAGGCCGCTGCCGCCGCTGAAGCCGCTGCCGCTGGCGAGGACACACCTGTACCCCCGACTGGGGAAGCTGCCGCAGCCGTTGATGGTGATGAGACGATGGGCGACGTAACGATCGCAGGTTCGGAGGCTGGCGCAGCGCCGGAGGCAGACGAGAAGACTGAGGAGCAGAAGGCGGCAGAAGAGAAGGAGAGACAACGGAAGCTCGCTCTACCGACGTGTGAGTACGCGGACTCATCTGCAATCATCTTCCTCTCTCTCCCTACTCACTCACAGCTCCTTAACAATGCTCGCACGCAGACCTCAACATCGAAGCTCCTCCCTCACTCCGCCCTGCAAAGAAGTACTGCGACGTCACTGGCCTCCTCGCCCCCTACACAGACCCAAAGACAGGGTTGCGATACCACTCGGCTGAGATCTACGAGGTTTTGAAGACTTTTGGACCTGGAGTTGACCAGGCTTACTTGGGCTTGAGGGGGAGGAAGGCTACGCTCATGTAGGCTCCGCCTCTACAATGACACACGCATTACGACTGATACTGGCCAATGATTCTGTTGATTGAATGATTCGCAATGATGAGGACGAAGCGGGAGCGACTGCAGTACAGAGCGAGCGAGTCGCTAGTCCCGTCGAGTGTGCTGCTACAAGAGAAAGGAGAGTGCATTGTCGTATGCGTGAGAAGAGGAGGGAGCCTTAGGGGGCAGAGGAGGGGGAAGGGAACGAGCTGAATGTAAAGAGAACGGAGGGAAGACGAAGAGGGGGCAATGAATAGGGAGAGGGTATGCAGTGGCATAGAGGCGTCAAGAGAGGGGCAGGGGGAAGGGGGAAAAGGGTCGTGTATGAAGCGCGAAGATTGATGAGTCCATGTTGAGGTAATGTTCGTCTCGTAGACTTTTTGTCCCGCCATGCTAGCTCCTGGAGCGATACATCGCCTGTGGCCTACCATACGGGTTGTTGTCGGAGTATGACGCTGCGGTCCCGGCTGGGAAGCCTCTCACGCCCCTCCTACCATTCCCGGGGGCGACCTGCTGATGGAATTGACCTGGCCTCGCCGTCTCGTATGTCGCGCCGTTTTGCTCGACGTCAAAATACTTCGTAGGCGAGGGGTCGCGTTGCAGGCCGTTCGAGCCAGCGCCCGGGTATGCAGGAATGAAGTTGGGTCGCGGTCGCTCTTGCCATGCTGGAGCTTGTTGCTGTTGAGGCTGGTTGTACTGCTGAGTGGCTGCTGCTGTCTGGGCCCAGCGCGGTGGCGGCTTGCGCTGTTGCTGCGCGTCAAAGTAATGTTGCTGATGCCCGCGGTCGTAGGCTGCGTGGCCGTGACCGTCTGCACTGGCTGCTCCTGCCGTTCTTTTGGAGAGCGGGTGGTTGCTGACGGGCTGCAGCGCTGAGGAGTGGTCAGATGAGGAAGCCGAGCCAGATCCTGATGCTGATGACTGGGAAGTGGCGGCAAAGAGTGGCGTAGGTACATGCAATGCCGGCGTAGCGAAAACGTCTTCCTGGTCAAGCAGATTGCTCGACGAGTTGCGCCTGCTGTGCTCCCCCGAGTCGGTGTTGTGTCGCTTGAGATCGGACATGGGCGACTTGGGATCGTACACTGCTGCCCGTGCGCCGCGTGAGGCGTCCATCCATGCTGGAGCACCAGACATTGAGCCCGGTCTGGCTCCAACACTATCGCCGACGCCGCCGTGATGGCTTCTCGTTGAGCCTTTTCTCGAAACGCCAATGTCCGTGCCGCGGTAGACGCTGGTGCGATTGTTGTTCGGCCTGGGCTGCGTCTGCGGTCTCCTTGGTCCGCCCACACGCCCAACCATGTCATTGTAGACTCGGGGCTTTGATCCCTCTGCAGATGAGCTCGAGTCTTGGCTAAAGGTGGTAATCGTTCTACCCTGAGCCATCAGCATGGGCACGTCTACCATCGACGACATTGAATTGTAGGTGGAATCCATGTTGTCTCGCTTACTTAGCGAAGGGCTGTACATTTCCTTGGGATTGGAGCCAAGTGCATTGATGTGGCTGTTCCTCCTCGAGTAGTCCTCAAAGAAGTGGCGAGAAGCAGTGGGCGATGTAAAGGGAGTAGATACTGCCGTCGTGTCTGATGTACCCGCCCCTCTTGTCGGTGTTGGCCTGGAGACAGGCTGCTGGGCGATGCCTCTTACTCTAAGGTCTGTCTTTGCCTTTGCTCGCTCTGCCATGATCTGTCTGCTCGACGACGACGCCTTGCCTGAGCCCAGGACTTTGATGACGACGAAGATGAGGGCGACGAGTGCTACGCCGAGCCCGCCCAAGACGAGAACGATGGGCCCCTGAGGAACTGAAGTCGTGCCCAATCTCTGGACTTGAGCATCACTCAAGTCGGCCTCTCGTCGCAGCAAGTGGCGTGTTGATGTCGCCGCAGCTGAGGCTGTCGTCGCAGCTATTGAGATGGATGCAGCGAGGTAGAACCTCGCAGCTAGTCGCCGCTGCATGACGAGTGAGGAGGAGGAGGAGGCGGCGGTGGGAAAGGGGGTGGCGTAGCCGCTGCTGCCGTGAAGATGAGGCCTTCGTAGTCTTTGCAAGTGATGACGAGGAACGGGAATGATGAAGAGGTTGCAGAAGATCGACTCGTGTGCGTTGAAGCAGAAGTTCGGAATGCTCGAGAGCAATACTATCAGGCTAGCTCGCTCGCTCGCAGCGGCAGCAGTCGTCGAAGTTGCTTTTGGCGCCAAGCCCGGGCGGCAAACGCAAGCGGTGGAATTTCAGACAGTCGTCGAAGGCGATGGCCAGAGGAAGCCTTTGATTCCGATGTCGATATGATGGGGAATGGCCGCGGAGGCAAAGACCGAAGTGCGTCTGTGTGTGTGTGTGTGTGTGGTGATGACAGAGACGAAAGAAGGATAAGATGGGGGGATCTGAGCGCTGACACTGCCACGCCCTTCTGAGAGAAGAGAGTTGAGAGGGAGGAGTGGGCGGCCCTGATGTCGGGAGAGAGAGGGAGGAAGAGAGAGCGATGCGGGATGATGCAGGCCCGTCGTGCGCCTCAGCCTCAGAGAGGGGTCTCTTCCGCACCGCTGAGGGCTGGAAATAGAGGGTACTTGCAGCAGAGAAAGAAGAGGGGAGGAGGACGAGGGGCCCTCGTTGCAGATGAAAGATGGACAAATCAAGAGGAAGAGAGAGCAGTGCAGAAGTGATGATGAAGCAAGGTTCGAGGTATTTTGCACACAAGCAGACGCACGCTGGGCCTGGCAGGTTAAAGCAAGCTTGAGCGAGCGAGGTTGAGTACGTCAAACGGATCATGCCGGACGCCGCTGCCTCTGCCTGCCGGCTGCCATCGCGATTCGATCTCTCCTCCTTGAACGCCGCAAAGTCCCGCCAATGGGCCCTCCAGAGCGGTCCGTCAGCTCATCAGTCTTTCAGTAGAGTTGAGTCGAGTTCGAGGCGAATCATGGCAGGGCGATGGGTTGGCTCATGGCTGGGCTGCCGACGGCAACGCAGACGTTGGTGGCTGGGGCGGTCTACGAAATCCCACAACAGACAACTTGGTCTCTTTTCTCTTGTCCTCTGTCGCCGTGCTCCCGGTCTTTGACCCGCTCTGTGCCGTCATGCCGTCGTGTGATCCACCACCACCGCCCGCTGCCGTCCCATCTCATCATCGCCCATCCGCTTAACAAGCATTCTGCCCTATCCGAGAAACGAGCGATGGCATCAGCAGGCGGGTCGATCTGAACGAACACCAGTGGCAGTGAGGCGAGAGAGAGGCTGCAAGACGGGGAGCTGCGAACTGGACCCTTGCCCTAGCTCGCACCGTCTGTCGATATCACACACTGCTCCTACGCCTCGTACTGCCTTCTCCGCACTGCCACCTCGCGAAAACGACTGCGTAGCGAATGGGGTGGTGCTGGGCTCAGTGAGCGGGATGGCCCGCCTTCGCATTGCGACTCAGGGCTCAATGGCAAGGGCAAAGCACTGTGCATCATGAATGTCGTGTGAAGACGAGAGCTCATCCACGCCAACGTTCTCCAGCCAGAGCTGGGAGGGTAAGGCCTCGAGAAAGGGGGCTTGCAACGAACAGTAAGAGGACGCATAGCGTGCCGAAGTGGCGCAGCGCAGCTTCACCGCCTCCTGCCTCAAACACCTCCCTTTTGCCGACGGCTATGCGCGAGTCGAGTCCTAGCAGCAGCAGCGGCAGCGTCAGCCAGGAGAGGGCGTCATTGCGTTCGAGAGCGTGAGCGAGCGAACTGATGAGCATGCTCAAAGGCAAGCAAGCTATTTCAAGCTGTTGGGTATTAGCAGCAATTCAGAATTGCCCGGCCGGTCAGTCTTTCGCACGCTTAGCTTTGCGAATGGGGAGCAAAATGTAGATTACAGCCGTTATAGCGATGAGCACATGTACTAGGCTCGAGCGTACCGAGGAAAGATAGGATGACGAGTAACAGAGATGACGACTGACTGACTGACCGAGTGATGTAAGAACGAGAAGCCACGTCGCGTCCGGCCACTTTTATCAACGCATGAGTGCCGAGGAGACAGTGGCCGAAGGAGGGAACGTAGGAGAGTAGTCACCGCAGCGGCCTGATCCTCCCTTGCCGACGAGCAAGACCTTGCTGCGTGACTACCGCTATCCCACAGCCACGGTCCTCCCGCTGCCGTCTATCAACTCCCCAAACAAGCCCTGCGCACTCTCCTCGCTCCTCATCTGCAACATATAGACAATGCCCGTCCGATTCCCCTGATCGCTGACCTCAACCGCAACACCCACCTTCCCTACCCTCTCCACCCCGTCCGACAGCACAATCGTCGAAATCAGCGTTTTGCGGTCATTCTCAACCACGAGCTGCTTATGATCAACGGGGAGGATGTGGTACAGCTTGAGCCTGGCATTGCCCAAGGACTTCCACTGCGCGTGGCTCTGCTTCAGGTAGAGGCGACAACGCATCTGCGCCGAGACGGTCGAAGTGGTCGGACCTTGAGCTTTCAGCTGAGGGCTGCTTGGCGGGCTGTATTGTGGGCCGTGTCGCAGGTCGCCATCCTTCATCATGGCAGAAGGAAGCTTCGCCGGACCTCCTGTCCCGTTGGAGCCAACGGACGAGGCGGATCGTGTGCGAACGGGAGGAGTCATAGCTCCGTTAGCTCGGTCGCGGAGATTAGGGGCGGAGGGACGTCTACTTGAGTCACGTAGCATCTCCGGTGGTGGTCGACCCTGCTGCGGTGGTGGACGGTTGATGAAGTCGGGGCGAGATGGCAGGTGACCTCCGCCGCTACCGCCGTTGCTGCCCGGTCCTCCCGGTCCACCGGGAGATTGAGGTCGACCGAAGCCAGAGTCAGGACGCGGCGGAGGTGGACGACCATATGACTGACCAGGAGGAGGCGGGCGTTGCCCAGGCGGCGGGCGAGGGAATTGCTGCTGCTGGGGAGAAGGTCTGCCGTTCATCATGCCAGGACCGGGGCCAGGTCCGTTGTGGTAGGGCGGCCGCATCGGTCGAGCACCAGGCGAGGCGCCCATTGGTCGAAAGCCGGGGCTGTTGGGCCCCGGGCGAACTGGACCCGTGGGCGGCGACGTAGAAGAATGGAAAGAAGCATTGCTAGGTGACGATCTTGGGCCGAAGCCAGGTGACATCGGGTCAGATGGTCCTCGTGAGCTGCTGCGTATCTGCGGGAATGAGCCAGTCGAGGTGACTGAGCCGTCGCGAGCTAGACTGGAAGGCGCTCGGTCTTGACTGCTGCTCGGCATGCGAGGAAGCGATTCTGACGGGGTGACTGAGATCGTGGGCGACATCATCGAGTTGGCAGAGGCGAAAGGGGCCCCTGAAACCGACCCGGAGCCGGAGCCGGATCCTGAGCCATCGGATCTAGAGCTGTTTGCAGAGGCAGGAGGTTTCGGGATGTTCTTGAGCTTGAGGCCCATCTGCGTCGCAAAGTCGTTGCAATCCGCAAATGCCCGCATCCACGCCTCCTTCTCTTCTCGCGAGTCGAGGTGGATCGTGAGGGTCTCCTTCTTCAGAATCGTAATGGCGAGCGAATGACCCGAACCCGGCCTCTCGGCGACTTGGACGTGCTTGCCAGCCAGGGGAGGGAACAGCAGCCACATCCCATCGGACCCCATGCCTCGCTCCGCTCGCTCAGACGGCGTCATTCGATCGCAGATGAGGAAGAGGTCGGTGAGGAGGAAGATGTGGCCTCTGCGCCAAGTCAGCTCTTCGCGCGTTGACATTGGCTTGAAGTCGATGACTACATCTGCGCTCTTCCTCATTCCTCGCTTGAAGGGCAAAGTCTCCGGATTGATGCGCAGCTGACACTTCTTGGGCTTCATGGTGAAGAGGTCCAGCACGCGGCTCATGTCCAGAGAGCGCTCCAGTTCATCAGCTGAGGGCAGCTCCTGATGGTTGGACTGCGTGACGATGTCATCCGCTGAGAGGGGCTGTTGGGCAGTGAAGGGTGGGATGAGCGGAGGTGGAGGCGTTGTTGCCTTCTTGGGTGAGAGCTCGCGCGGGGCAGCTGCAGAAGGCGTAGTATCTCCGCCTGGTGAGCCAACACGACCGCCGAAATCGAGATCCCCAATGCGCGCCAACAGGTTGGCCGATGAGATGTTCTCCGTCGGCGAGACTGGTGAGAGAGGTGAAGGTGGGGGCAGAGGGGACGACCTTGCTTCCGAACTTGCGCGCCCGTTTGCGCTGAGGTTCTGATTGTTGATAGCTTCTTCTCGCTCTCTCTGCGCCATCGGCGAGTCGTCTAAAACACTCATGCTGATCCGCCTCGTCGCCTTCTCCAGCAACTCGTCCAGCTTCTCGTTGGCGCTCACCAGCAAGCGATGATCGCTGCGTCCTGGATTTGTGCTCTTGAGCAAGCGAGCGTAAAGCTTCTTGAAGTACTTGAGGCGCAGCTGAGGCAGAGCAAAGAGGCCGTCGAGGGTCCATCTGTCACCCAACTGACGCTTCTTGTCAGAGAAGCCTTTCGTAGTTGCCTCTGACGTAGCCGGGTCTGAGATTTCTGTGAGGAGCTCAAGGAGGCGGCCATTCGACTGCACTGCTGGCCAGGTATCAAAGTCGGTAAAGTAGTTTTCGCAGTAGCGAGCGTAGGGCGCCTCGAGGTCGTCGATCCATCGCATGAGGAGATCTCCCAATGCTCTTGGTGACGTCGGCTCTGGCCCAATCTCCTTCAATGACTTGAGGAAAGCTTTGTCGACTCGATAGATGGACTCGATGTTGCGGAACATGATATCGAGCTCTGCAGGTGGGAAGTTCGATCTGTTCCAGGCAGAGGCGACTCTCTACGGGAGTGCAAAGGGGTCAAGGCAAGTAGCGATCAGTCAGTACGGCGTCGAAAGCCCTCCTCTCCTGAGCGCAGGCGCAACTCACTCGAATGATCATACTCAGCTCAGCGACGTAGGCCTTTTCAGTCTGAATGAGGTCCTGCAACGGATTCGCCTTCTTTGCCTTCTCATTTGCCTCGCTCGCCGCCTGCGCGCTAGCGGACCTTGATGACTCTGTAGCGAAGCTGTCGTCCCCGACGTCATTCGGAGTCGGAGGGACTACCATATTGGGAGAGAGGTGGCCCGAGTTGACTCTAGACCCTCCAGCAGCAGAGCCCGCAGACGTCGATCGCGATCCTGATCTTGACGGGGCAGAGAAGGTGGAGCCGCCGCTACCGCTGCCTCCACCGTTGAGGAGCGGGCTAGTGGTGGAGAGGAGGTGATCTGAGTAGGCAAAGACAGCACTCGATCCTCGCACCGAGGCCGTGTTGGAGGCAGAGACCGCCGAAAGGGATGAATCTCTGCGATCTGGCGAAGGCCCAGCAGGCGGCGGCCACCCTGAGCCGGCGCCGAATGCCTTCTGCTGCTGGTGTTGATGTTGCTGCTCCAGGGATGCGTTTGGCGTGGTGAGGGCAGTTGATGGCCCTGATCGACCAGAGAAAGTCGAAGACGACTCTGCAGATCCTCTTTGCTCTGAGCGGACCTCTTCCTCAGAGCTGCCGCTGGAGAAGAAGTCGTTGCTGGAAAAGTCGGTTTGAAGGCGAGGCAGTTGAGGAGGGCCTGATTCGCCGCCGCCGCCACCACCGCCGAAGCCCTGATGTGAGCGAGAGAAGTGGTTGTGATTAGGCGGCGATGATGGGCGCTGCTGCTGTTGCTGCTGTTGTTGTTGATGATGATTGACGTCTTGCTGAGGGAGGACTCGAGAACGCAGGGCGGCCAGTCCACCAGTCAGGTCGAAGCCAGACATGGATGTTGCTCAAGAGCTAGCCTTGCGAGGCGTGCGCGTCGTGTTGCTTGCTGGGTAGCTACGATGCGACGTCGCAAATTAGGAGGACGAGGATGAAGGGGCGTTTGTCGATGTGATAGTGGAAATTGCTCGAGGCCCCTGGCCGCTATGGCGCGTTTGAAAAGAGCGACGGGTTCCGGGGCTGGGCGTAGGATCAACACACAGAGGACACGCCCGCACTATCAAAGGGGAGCGGCAGCTGAGGCGGAGAAAAGTCGAGGTGAAGACGAAGAGGTAGGTAGGACAACACCGGCGAGAAGGAGCTGTTGACGACAGGACGCCCGCGATGATGGATTTGGATGCAGGTCGTCGGCCGTCGTCGTCGTCGTCGTCGTCTCGAGAAGCGATGGATGGCGGCCACAGCCAAAGCGGGCCAGGCTTCAGACGCAGACGCAGACGCAGACGCAGGCGCCGCCCGCCCTTGCCCCCTTCAGACTTAACGAGCGAGCGCAGGCAAACAGACCGAGGCTCCCTAGTCGAGGCGAGCGGCGCACCCTCCGCTCTCTTGCTCCTCGTCGTCCACCTCACGCCCCTCCCTCGCCCCTCGTCCGTTGCCCCTCTTTCTGCACGACGCAGCACGACGCGAGCCATTTTTTGCCGCTTCAGAGAACGCACGCCTCTGACAATGACCCCCACATCGAGCTCAAACATTGAGAAGAGCGACGAGCTAGTAGATGGCAAGAGGAGAGATACAGAGCAATGGTACAACCAGGACCTGCGAAGCATCACCGCATTGCGCTGCTGCTGGACCTTGTCAATGACTGTGCTGTGCTTGAGCATCCACGAGCGAGTGACGACGGTCAGCAACTATATTGAGCCCTCGTCCTCCTTGCCCTTTGTTCTCCCCCTCGTCTCTTCCCTTCTGGACCCGCTCCGCTGCTGCTGCTGCTGCTGCTGCTGCTGTGTCTTCTTTCCTCTGCTTCGCTCGCAGCGCATCAGCAGCTACGTCGCTTGTTTAGTGATCTAGCTCAGCTCGCCATCAGAGGGATGGAGGAAGGGGCCAAACAAATAGCCAAGAAACGCTCGCATAGTAGCATCGCACAGGTAAGCCGTCGATTCGATGATGGATCGACTGAGAAAAGATACTCCATCAATCGCTGCGACGGGACGTTCAAAGGCCGTTTACGTGCGTCGAGTCGAGGAAGCGTTCTGCCCAGGCGAGCACAAGGCAGGCAGCGGGCGTGTTCGATTGAGTGAAAGACCCGTGAGAGCCAGGCAGGCAGGCAGGCCGGCGATTGAATATGGACGTCACAGGGTAGTCGCCGTACAAAGCTGTCCGTCGTGGCTTGGCGCGCGCATCTTGAGGATCGCCGTTTGACGAGCTTTGAACGACATTGGACTGTCTCTGCAATGAAGCCCAGCGTTGACACAAAGGAACGGCGATGGAGATGATCTTCGCGATTACGGAGCAGCGCTGTGGAAGGAGCATGGCGTCAGCTGCCGTGTCAACGTCAGTTTTGGTCGCCGAGATCTTCACACGACTCCGAGATAGCCATACTCTTCCCACCCTTGTCTCGAACAGCTTGTCCGTAGCCCTCGAGATCAGCACTCATGAAAACAGCCTTCTTCGAGCTCATGATGCTCGTTGAAACCGCCTGAGTTACCCGTGTTCGCCGTCGGCCTCGATGCGGCCGCCAGACAGAGCGGCAGGGCCACAGGCTCGTCATTGAATGCAGCAACGAGGCCAGCCTAGGATGAGGACGACGGTGATGACGCTGGTGACTGGTTGCCATTGTCTGTCTCCATGCAACGCAAGTCCTTCGACGACGACGACGCCTTGCCTCCTCCTGCCCTGTTCGACGCATCGAAGACGCACCACCAATTGACGAGCACCAGCCTTGCCACGTGGCGCATCTCCCTCACTCTCGTGTCTGTCTGTCCGTGCGTCCAGTCGTTCCGCCGCCACAACGGCATATCGCTCCAGCCATCCTCATCATTACCATCAACGTCTGAGCTTCCCTCGTCTCACTGCGACATTTTCTGAGACTCAGCATCCACAGCGTCCGACTCGCGCTACGCTGGTTATACGACCGCATCGACCGCTCTCCCGGCGACCTTGTCAGGTACACAGTAGCAGTGGGCGGCCGCACAGGGCACTGCCTGACCCGCTCGCACGATTGATCCTCGTCCTCGCCCAATCTCTCTGCTCTCCTTTGCGCATACAATCATGGACATACCAAACTCGGCCGCCTCGTCTTCGGCAACTCGTGACACAGCCGGATCATCGCAGCTCTCCCACCAAACGTCGTCAACATCAGCATCTCTCTCCCGCCCAGGCTCGCTGCGCCGCAAACAGCGAGACCAGCATTCAGCCTCACACACGCCCCTCACTGCACCCTCGTCAATGGCGTCATCGATCGCCGCTGGAAATAGTCGCAGCGTACGCAGCGCCAGTACCCGCGCTTCAGCCTCTCACACCAATCGCCCTCGCAGACCGCGTGATCGCCATGCGTTGGCGCTAGAGAGCATCCGCCACTTCCTCAAGGCGAGGAGTACCTACGACGTGCTTCCTGTCAGCTTCAGGCTCATCGTACTGGACACTCAACTCGTCGTTGGTCCTGCGCTTGATGTTATGTGGGGGGCTAGCGTCGTTTCTGCCCCCTTGTGGCATTCGATACCGGCGCCTAAGTCGTCGGATCGAGCGGCGGGAGATGACCCAGAGAAGGCAGAATCGCCGCCAGTCTCAGCATCTGCTCCTGCTATGACGAGTGGCACGGCATCCTCTTCATCCTCCTCAAAACCCGCTAGCAGCGTCAAGCCGGGTTTCGCGGGCATGCTGACAGTCAACGACATAATCCACTTGATCCAGTACTATTACCACCACTCCTCCTACGAGACAGCAAAGGCGGAAGTTGAGTCCTTCAGGCTTGAAGGGCTGAGGGACATCGAAGCCAAGCTTGCTGTCCCTCCCCCGCCACTCCTTTCCTGCCACCCACTGCGGCCTCTTTTCGAAGCCTGCCAGCTGCTGATGAAGACCCACGCCCGCCGTCTACCGCTGCTGGACCACGACGAGCAGACGGGCATTGAGACGGTGGTTAGCGTGCTGACACAGTACCGTGTACTCAAGTTCATTGCGATGAATTGTCGAGAGACGGCCTCGTTGCACCGGTCATTGAGATACTTGGACCTGGGGACGTTCGTGGCGAGCGTCAAGACGGGCCCAGGTTCGGCGGTAAGTGGGGGCAGCAGGAGAGGCAGCGAGAAGACGGATGACGGTTCCGTTGCTGGGGCCAAGGAGAAGTTGGGGATCTCAGCGTCCGGCGACACGTCGACTGCGGGCGCTGGACCGCCCGTCGTGGCAGAGGGCACGCCCGTCGCCCCCGGAGTACCAGAGGACGAGACACCGACACAAGAACACTCAGAGGGCCCGCTAGCCAGCGCAGCCGCCGCGGCGGCAGCCTCTCGACAACAGCAACAACAACATGCAGCATCCTTGTCCACTTCCCTACCCAATCCGACACCTGGCCCTACTTCAATTCCGCGCACCACCTCCCCATCCTCCCCATCGACGAACCCACACCACCCCCTCTACACCGCGACCCTCAACACAACCGTATTTGACGTAGTCCACATGTTCTCGGAGCACGGTATTTCCGCGGTGCCCATCCTGGACGAAGAGGGTTACGCAGTGGACATGTACGAATCCGTCGATGTCATCACCCTCGTCCGGTCGGGAGCGTATCAGAGCTTGGATCTCACCATCAGGCAGGCATTGGAGAGGAGACCAGCGGACTTCCCAGGAGTTTATGCTTGCTCCCCAGAAGACTCCGTGGCGAATATCTTTGCGCTGCTGAGAAAGAAGAGGGTGCATCGCTTGCTCATCGTGGAGCCGGATGAGGAGCCGGAGGATGCAGCGCCCCTACCTACGTCGTCGCTGGCGCTGGAGGAGGAGCTGGAGAAGTCTGGTCCTCGCTTGAGAAGGCGCGGCAGGCTTGTGGGTATCTTGGCCCTATCTGATCTGCTGAGGCATATCATCGGGATGGACGTGAAGCCTTCCTTCGGGACGCCCAGTGAGGCCGGGTCGGGCGCGAGGAGGAGAAAGAGCAGCGAGGATGCTGGAGCCACCCTTGCCGCTGCCGGCGTCGCCCCTCTCCCACCCACTGCAGAGGCAACTGCGGATACAAGCTTGGGTAGCAGCGCTGTAGCGGATGAGACGGTGGTTGAGACGCCGATGATGGAGCACATGCCCTCTCTAGCGGCTAGTGCTGAGCGGGTAAAGAGGGAGGGCGCGGAGGTGAAGGAGGGACAGGAGGATGATGGGATGGAGCCGTAGCAAGTTGAGCGATGCAGGGGGAGCAACGGTGCACTTTTGGGAGGTAGAGAGCCACCGAGATACCTGGCGAATCACCCTGTCTCTCTTTGAGCAACGCAACGAGACACGTATACGAAAAAAAGATGGTGCATTGAGTTTGGTCCCTTGTCCACTCTCTCTGACCCACGCAAGTAGCGACTCCTTGCCCTCTTGCCTTGCGCCTCAGGTTCTCATCCCTGCTCCTCTCAAACCCGTCGCACCGCCAGCGTCTGCCCAAGTTCTCCGTCGTCTGGCGGCCATCCAAGCTGCAACGCTACTTCGTACAGTGCTGCGCGCTTGGCCCAGGAAGGTACCCACCACTGCCCATATTGCTCCTTGTACCAGTGGGGAGAATATCTGGTCTCGGAGGGTGAGATGGAGGAGGGGGAGCCTGAGCGGCCAAGTGGTGCAAAGAGATGCTAGGCGTCAGCAGAAGGAGTGCTCGAGCCGCGCCATTCTGATACCGTAAGGAGGAACCCGGCGCCACGCACCAATCAATCCTCAATCTGCCTATCCAAAGTTCGGGCTCGCCATGTCCTTCTTCCTTCTTGACAGCTTGTGTCCTTGCTTCTCTGCCCATCCCAGCCTTCTCATCTACCTCGTCATCATCATCATCATCATCATCCCCAACCCTACCAGCCACAACCAAGCCATCAAGTCCCTCGTGCGCCTCCTTTTCTCCTCTCCTCATCCCACGCCTGACCGCCTCGTCTTTTTCCCTCTCGGCCTGCTCTGGGCTCAACTCATGAATAAATCCTCTTACGCTGGCGAGGTAAGACTGCTCAAATCGCAGATCCGGGATGGTGGGGAGGAGAGAGGCGGCTGTTGGTGGAGATGCTTTTGATCTACGACGGCGAGATGGACGACGGGAGCTGCCAGCTGAGGAGGAAGAGGAGGAGGAGGCAGCAGAGGAGGAAGAAGCAATTGAAGACGACGGCGCAGATTTGTCCGTCGAGCGAACAAAGAAGAAGGAGCCACCGCCAGCGTTACTCATGACCGTGAGGATGAGGGGATCGAAAGGCTAAGGTTGAGTCTCGACGGGCTCGGCTGCTTGGCTCGAGCGTCGTCTCTTGCTCATCGAGTCGACTCGCTCGCTCAGTCCGCCGCCCTTTTTGAGATTGATTTTCTCGAAAGTGGATTGCGTTGCACACGACGTTGCAACACTTCAATCCACCCACTCTCTCTTCGACGAGTGCGCTCAGCAGGATGCCACGCCAAGTCGTCTCGTACGACGATCTAGACTATGGCGCCGCATCAGGAGCCAGCGGGTCATCCCAGCCTTCGACGAGCAAGAGCGCAGCACCGGCGACGGCTCCCCTAGCTGCCCCAACTGGCCTCGACGACATGAGCACAAGTGGCCTCGGCGGAGACAGCGATGATGATGAAGACGCTGGAAGCACGGGATCGTCTCCAGGTCCTCCGCATCCGGATGCTAGCAGCCAGACGAAGCAGAGCTACTCGAGCAAGAAGAGGGCGAGGAAGAAGAGGAGGCAGAGGGAGAGGGCAGAAGCTGCTGCGCGAAGTGGTATGGCGGAGACGGGCCCTAAGCAACCCGCAAAGAAGGTTAGGATAGAAGAACCTGCCAAAGTACACAGCAATGGCAAAGCTGAGGAAGCATTAGAGAAGGACGAGGCGCAGCCCGAAGGCGAAGGCGAGTGGGTGGAAGAAGACGGGCAGCAAGTCTTCTACTACTATGATGACGATGAGGGCGACGAGGACGGCTACGACGAGGACGAGCCATGGCAAGCACAACACGGTTTCAGCATTTCCCTAGCTCAATTCTCGTCCTCATCGTCAGGTCGAGTCCTGCAGCATGACGAAGTATGGGACGACTCTGCTCTCGTCTCAGCTTGGGACGCTGCTCAGGCCGAGTACCTCATCTTCCACTCTAGGCGGGCCGAAGCTCGCAAGCACGAAGAGCAAGAGGGGCAATCAAGCAAGAAGAGTGCTCTTTGGTACGAAGCGCCTACGCCAGGGTCTAAAGAGGCCATGGAGGCTGCCAAGATCTCGCAAGGCAATAGGGAGGCGAAAGCATTGCTGGCTTGGCAGAAGAAGCAAGAGGAGGCTCAACGGCGGGGTCAGCAGCTCAATGGCAATGCATCGCAGACACAGGCAACGCCTCTTCAAACGACAGCCGGCGCAACGAGCTCGACTATCACCACCGGCGTCATGCCTGACGGCGCCGCTCCCAAGCGGTACATACCCCCATCCATCGGTCTCGAAGGCAATGCAGCGTGGCAGCAAGCCTGCGCTACTGTGGCGGCTACGAGGTGTCAGATTGGCCGAGCGCCCGCACCTTCAGCTCCTTCAGTAGCTGCCGCTCCGGCAAATCCGCCAGCGACGACAGATACAGCCAATGGCGCCAATACAGAAACAGCACAGACGCCGCCGCAGCAGCAGCAACAGGGAGCCGCTTCGCTTCTACCGGGGATGGACGAGCAGACCCAATCCATGTGCATGAGCTGGTATTACGCTGGCTACTACACGGGCCTTTGGACAGGGCAGAGTCAGGCGCGCGGGGCTGGGCAGCGACATGGTGGGGCTGAACAGTAGAGGGCCTAGCTTGCAGGTCAGCAGCTCGCATTTTCGTATTCCCATCAATGCAATAGCAGCTCACCCTGCTTTCGGATGCCAAGTCAAGCGATCATGTCTGCTGGTATTTACACGTCTAGAACGTAATGACTGTGGCGTAACAGAGACGAGGGAGCTGTAGCCTTGCCTCGTATAGTGATCGTCCCTCTCGTCACGCCTTCTCCGCGAGGCCGTCACTCGCCGCTGCAATCTTCTCCGAGGGAGCGGCGTCAGTCGCAGGGAGAGGGGGCGCTACCTTTTCCTGCATCTGCGGCGGCTTCATCCCATCTGACCTCTTCTCCTGCTCCTTCTCCTCCGGACCCTTCCCCGTGCCTTCAATCACGGGCATCTCACCCACTTTCTCAAATCCCCTAGGCAATGCTTTCCACCTCATTGGCCGACAGACCGCGCTGAGGAACTGCACAAATCGATCCCCGTACTGGCCCGGCGGAACACTACTGATACCCCTTGAGTCTCTGCCGATACTCTTCCACCAATTCTCCCCACGCTTGATCCCATTGTAAGGGGTGAAAAGATCGATGATGCCCAGATAGTAGATCCAATCCCCTGGTTGGTTTTGAGCGTCAGTGGAACGGAAACCGCCCTCGTCTTGGTAGAAGAGGAAGTGACGTCGTTCAGAATGGTCGTATGCTGGCAACTGGACGCCAGCAGTCGCTGCGGTTGACTTGGCCGCTTTGGGCGCGGCTTGAGTCGAGGAGCGTTTTGTGGCCGCAGTGTTCGAGGCAGTGCCGGTCGCAGTTGGAGGGGCGGGAGACTGTAAGCCCGTCTCAGCGTCGTAGAAGTCCTCGTCCCCGCTGGTTCCCATCGTCGTCGTGCTTCCCCTGCGAGGCATGGGCGAGGGCGGGTAGGGGTGATGAAGATGCATTGGCACTTGCGGATGGGCTGAGCCATTCGCCGCCGCAGCAGACGCAAATGCGCTATGTGACGTCGACCCGGTCATTGTCTGCCCCGTAGGCGCAGGCCCGCCCACCGCAGGGCTCGGCAGAGGACCATTAGGCGCCGCCTCTGCCTGTTTCGCCGTCATGGCGCCCGCAGTCGTAGAGGACGGCTGGACGACCTGAAGTGCCTCTTGACGAAGGTTCTCTGAGTTTCCCTTGCGCATGTCGTGCAGCCCGATGAGGAGCGAGTAGTCCATGATCTTCAGCCGCTTGAGAAGAGCGACATCACTCTGCAGCTGCGCTTCGAAAAGACCGCGCTTCTCTGGCCCTAGCTCGAGCTCGCGACGGCGTCGGATCCAGTTGATGTCTTTGAGCGTTGCGCCCTTCTTGGTGCGAGCTTTCTCTTCGGGGTATTCGCGGCCGTATGAAGAGCCCTGTGGAGGTGGGCGAGGAGAGGCAGGGTGGTCAGCACATTGTATCTGAGTTCTTGCCGCATACGCTGCTCACCTTGAGGTCGTACGTCTCGTGCACGTCTCGATGCGGGGGGAACAGATTGTTCATGATCACGAAGTGAATCTTCCGCCCATGAGGCAGCTTGACCCGGTGAAGGCCGTAGAACCTGCTCAGCAACGTGTGCGGGTTCGCCTTGACGTGCTCGTGGTAGTCCTTCAAGATGCGCCTCAAGAATTTATGCTCCGAGTGCCGAATAGTCTTGATGATGAAGCGGTAGTCTCTCGAGAAGTAGAAGAAGGACCCAGACTTGCCCGGCGAGCCCAACTCGCTCAGAATGTACTTGGCTGTGAGGGAGAGTAGGTAGTCGGCAGGATCGAGGTAGAAGTACTCCCTCAACTCCCTGAACACCCACGGCGCATAATCCTTGAACTTGAAGTCATACTTGGCCGACGGTGTCAGCTCGTTACCAATGATATCAAAGGTGAACTTGTGCTTTGCCTGGTAGTCCTCGTCTCGAAGCGGGCGCTTGAGCTTGGCTTGGCAGCGCGACACTCCGATGCGGATGCCCGTGAGCATATTATACATGAGAACGTAGTTGACGTGGCCTTCGTTGATGATGTTGCCTACGAGCGCTTTGGGCTCGACATGTTCCCGGGCGGCATTCTCTGCCACCGCTGAAGACGCGGGAGCGGCAGCGGTCCCGGTCCCGCCTGAGGAGGAGGCGACTACAGCTCCGGCTGCTGCTGAGCTGGTCGTTGGGGCTGAGGTGGCCGCTGTGCCCGGTCGTCCGTCTGAGACGGACGTACCACCAATGGCTGGAGCGGCGCCTGTAGGAGAAAGGGGACCGGAAGTCGTTGCTGCCCGTTCGGCGCCAAACTTGCCCAAGCCAGACATACCCCTCTTGAGGGCAGGCATGCCGACCATGCCACCGCTGACACCAGTCGTGCCAGTCACCGCCGCACCACCCTTCTCCATTCCCTTTTCTGTCTTATGGCTTTCCTTACCAGTCTCCTCCTCCCTCCGTGCCCTCTCCTTTCTCTTCCTAATCAAGGCCTCCTGCCTGGCAATCTCCTCATCGAAACCCGCATCACCCGTCCTGAGGGGTCCGCCAGAGCTCATAGACATGGAAGTAGAGGGAGGGAGGGGAGAAGCGTGACTAGACGGGCTGGCTGTCAGTTTGTCTCCTGCAGCAGTACCAGTAGACGTTGTGCCGTCTTCCGGCCCCTTTCCAGGCATCCAAATGTCCTTCGACATGCGTCGCGTGATGCCACCGCTGGAAGAAGGACGCCTGGCTGCAGATCGCGAGCCTGTTCCATTCAATGTGGCTGAATCGGCGTGCGAGCTACTGGTCGAGTCAGCCGTGTTGCGGCGCAAAGGCTGGAAGCGGGAGGTGCTGCTTGAGGAAGGAGAGGTGGAGAAACTTCTCTCCTGACCGACAGGCCGTGCTGAAGAGGGATGAAGCAGCCCTTTCTTGGGCGGAGAGGAGCTCAGGGCTCGACTTTGGCCAGGCGCAGCCATTGGTCCTGAAGGAGATGGGGAGGTGGAGCGTCGGAGAGGCTCAGCGCTGTTGCTGCCCGTCATCCTAGTGGGGCTACTGGACAGCTGCGCGGACAGGCCGGACAGAGTGGTAGATCTCTGCTTGGGTGTTGTCGGTGTCTGCTCTTCGTCTTCATCCTCGCCGTCAGCGCCAATCTTGCTACTGCTCCCGGACTCGTCGGCACTCATGTACACTGTCTCGGCCGTGCTTGCTTCGGATGGCTGTCGACGGGCCTGTAGCCGCTTCGGACGCTGTGTTTGAGGGACATTCTTGGTGTCGATCATGGGCAGAGGAGCCGCCGCCGTCACCGCCGCCGTGCCTCCAGCCATGACGGCCTCAAGCTGACCACTCGTGCTTTCATTGCCGGCCTGTCCATCGATTGTGAGGTCGTCCTCCAGCGGCGGTGAAGGTGGAAGCTCGCTCATGACTGGGTAGTGTCGCGGCGAGGCAACGAACTGCGGCTGAGGAGGGATAGGCTGGTGTGCCATCTTGGGCTGCTGCGAAGCGCTAGAGGACGAAGCGGGCGCACCAACTGCCTTGACGCCCGAGGGAGACGCCTTCTTTGAAGGGCTGGAGGTTTGGCTGGCAGGCAGCGACGCCTTGCTGCGACTAGAACGAGTCTCTCTGCTTGTCCGACGACCGAGCTGCAACGAGGATTGCGCTTGATTGGCAGCAAGTGTGTCGTGGTATTGCTTGTTGAGCTCTTGGAGCTGTGCGCCTCCTTGACTAATGGGCGAGGTCGGGGTGCGAGATAGCTTGGTGGCGTTTCCTGGGAGGAAAGTGCTCATCTTGGAGCTCTGTGGCTTCTCGTGCTGTTGCGGCGCTTCGTTCTGACCGGCACCATTGACCGAATTGACATTGGAATGCCTGCTCCTGACAATGGCTGGCAGCCTGAGCATCCTCATCGACGACGTCGAGCCTTGGGACGGCGATTGCTGAGCGCTGCTACGGCCTGATTCTGCGGCATCGCCATTCTGCGTGGGTGTGCCATTGCTCGGCGATGGCGATGACGAGGACAAGGGAAGGACGGATTGCAGCTTGGAAGCCTTGATGCTGCTTGGCCGACTGTTGCCCTTGACAGAGCCACTAGCACTCGTTTGTGCCAGAGCAGGCGAAGGTCCCTTTTCTTGAGAGCCTCTTGCACCCCTCCGTATTCCCTCATCGTCGTCACCCTCTCCTCCAAAGCCTTCTGGGTATGGCGTCCCCTTTCCTAGCTCGAGCTCGTAGGACTGGCCAGTCGATTCGTCCTGCACTCGGATGCGTTGCGACTCCGAAGCAATGGCATTTCTGATGCTGACGAGTGTATGCTGCGGAGGAGTCGAGGATGAATGCAGGTAGGATGGCCGAGTCGACGTTGATGACGAGTCGAGCATCGCGATGATGCTACCGCTGCCAGAGTGGGCGCTGGTCTGCTAGCCAGCGTGCTGCAGCGAGGCGTAATCAAGATGAGGGGGACAAGGCTACGCCGAGACCAACCACCTCGATGTGTCACAGGTACGGTATTGACCAAGAGGAAGAAGAAGCAAGTCGACTCAACTCGTAGACGTGGAACAGGGGCGATGGAGGAGGACGATTGGTCTCGTCGAAGCCAAGCCCGGCCCGTCGTGTCGCTCTCATCTGAATCTCAAGCGAAGTTCAAGCAGCGCGGGGCAATCGGCCGGCGACGAGCGTCAAAGAGCTCGAGGGACCGGACCCTCTCTAGCCTCCCTATTTCCTTTCCTTCTGCACCGCATCTCATGATTGACTCGCGGATAGCCTCGTTGCACCCTTCGACATCAAGAGAAAGGAAAAGATAGCGAGCACAAGGAAAAGAAGTCGAGATGTATGGGCGATGAGACTCCACCGGGTAGATCGAGACCTGTCTCGCATTCACCTGCTGCTCCAAGTCTTACGCTGTGCAGCTCGACTCGCCATTTTCGCCCCCAATGACATTCACCATCTCATCTTCGTCCTCGTCATCACCGTCATCCCCACTGTCTCTGCCGTCGTGCTCGTCAGAGGCAAGCTGGAGCTCGGGCATCTTCTTGACTCTTCCATTCATCGCGCCCGTCGTCTTCGGTCGGCCGTCATGTATGCCTGTTGAGCTCATGATGGTTTCCTTGACTCCAACCCCTGGCGAAGTCTGCCCCCTCTCTACGTCCTCCACAGCCCTCTTCACCAACTCGTGATTCGCCGCTAGTCTCTTCTCGGCCTCTCCTGGGTCGTTCCTCTCTAGCTGGAGGGCGTTGGTCAACGGGCTGGTCAAGGTAGGCTCGGAGGCACCGCTGGCCGTCGTCGGCTTGAGGCCGGTATTCATCGAGGAGCGATCAGGCTGCAGTGGCACTTGTTGCGTGGGTGGTGTTTTCCAAAAGTGGAGTACGTGCGCTGCATCGTAGTGCGCTGTTGTCAGGTGAGAAGGATCAATCTGACCCTCGCCGCGATCGTCGTTGCCGCCGTTGCGGGGCATCTGGATGGCGTCATGGTACGAGCTGGGAGTTAGGACTGGCGTGGCAGGATGATACTGGGATGCGACGCCCGCTGATTGATGGACAGCTGTTGCCGGCGCTGAGAGAAGGGGGACGTCTACCGAACCTGATCCCAGCTGCTGCTGCGGGGCAACTTCGGGGGGACTATGCCCGAACAGCCCCGCCTGCCTCTGCTGATTATGGCGCTGCCAAAGTGCGACCCAGGGGTCGTTGCTGACATTAGCATTGTTGCCAGCTTCGACCTCTTGCTGAGACCCCGGACCGAACCACGGCTCAGAGTGGGATGTCCCCACCACTGGAGCGAAATTGCCGTCAATACCTTCGCTGCCCGCAGACATGAGCGTCGCCCTCGCCGCAGCGCGTAGGATGGTGGGAATGCCGTGAGCTGTTTGAGCTCGGCCTGCTGCAGCAGCGGTGTCAGCAGTCCCATCAAAGAGCATGGACATGCTTGCAGGCACGGGTATATCGTCGCAGATGCGTCGAGACTCTACGGCTGACTGCCTCGCTTGAGCCTCACGCTCAGCTTCGCTCTCGACTTCGAAAGAGTCATCGGGAGGTCTGTACGCGAAGGGGTTCTCGTCTTCTATCTTGACTGCCCCGCCAGGTGCTGCGGATGCGGACTGCGTGGCCGAGGCAAGATGGCTGTCGGGGTGTGGTCTTCCGGGGTAGAAGGGCTCTGCGCTCGGCAAAATGGCGTTGTTCAGGCCTGATTGGCCTGCTATAGTAGTCTCGTCCATCGGCATCCCTCCATGATCACCTGTAGCAGTGATCGCGCCCGTCTGGCATCGCGAGTCCACGCCCGCAGCCACGCTTGCGAAGCGAGCAAGGGTTGAGTTGTGACGATCCTCTTCGTACTCATTGCCCATCTGCGCAGACGACGCTCCATTCTCCCAGCGCTCGGTCAGCTCTTGTATCGACAAGCTTTGACGACGACGCTTCTGCGTGCTCGGCCAGGAAGGTGCGAGCAAGGGCGCAAGCTGCTGGCTGTTTGAGTAGTCTCGGGCGATGCTGGCGGGCGACCCGCGAATGGTGGGCAAGTTGAGGGGCTCAGCGTACGAGAGAGGGCCTCGTTGGGTAGTTAGGGCCGGACCACCAAGCCAAGCAGAAGCATTCTGCTGCTGAGGCAGAAGCGGATGAGAGTGACCATTTGATGAGGAGACATGCAGCTGAGAGTGCTGATGAGTATCGGGGCGAAGAGTCTCTTTGGCTTGGACCTGGCCGCGAGTGTACGCGTGCGTATAACTCGCCGGACCCACCATGCCACCGTTGAGAGGCAACATGCCACCGTCGAGAGGCAATCGTTGAGACCTCTCCGTCCCTGCATCGCCCTGTCGTGTCCTCAAGGAGAGAGCGTGCGGACTCTGAGCTTCTTCTTCATCCCGAGCCTGATACGTGCGTCGAAGTTGCGACGTCCTCTCGTCTTGTAGAGTAGCCGCCCAATGAGTCTGCGACCCCGATTGAGCTCCTGGGCCGCTACCCTCGTAGATGGTGCGCATCGAAGCCGCTCGCGTGCGACCCACAGGGGTTGGTGCAAGCCAGGTCCTCTCCTTGTTCTCCTCTGAACCGCTGTACGGCGGGAGAGCTGGCTCGGGGTTGTGCAGCCCTAGAGCTCCACCTCCGCTTGGATGCACCAACGAGTCGCGAGGCTGGTCTTGAATGTGGCCAGCGCCAATCGATGACCTCGGAGCCGCAAGCTGATGGAGGGAGTGGGGCTGAATCCGATTTCGATGGCGGTGGTGAGGAGCCAGATCGGGGAAATTTGGGCGTCCGCGAGGTGACTGCTGATGGGGCGAGGAGGCGGAAGAAGACTCATTGCTGTCGACGAGCACCCGCTCATGGAAGCCCTCAGGAGAGGCGTTCAATTTCAATGAGCTTGACGATGTGCCAGCATCAAGCTCACGTTGACGGCCATTACGCTCGTTCATAAACAGCGTGTGAGGCATGCGCTGGCTGGGTACGTTGGCAGTGGAGTGCTGCACGTAGCTGATGCGCTGTCCGTAAGACAGTGAGCGCTGGCGACCTCCCATGGCGAGGGGGCGCGGGGCGGCATGATGCCAAGGTTGACCGGATGCTGCCAGTGTGGACGGAATTGTGCCACCGACTGCAACCATTGGCACCGACGTGACGCGTGATTGAGGAGCGTGCTGGAGGTACTTTGGAGAGCGCCCTTGACTGGCCAGGGAGAGGCGGCGTCCTGGTAGGCTGTCGCTGTATGGATGCTGCTGGGATTGAGGAAGCTGACCAAGGTGGAGCAATCGCTGCTGCTGTTGGTGATGCTGTTCATCGTAGTGATAGCGCACCTGGCCTGGATGTGAGTAGGCTGCACAAGCACCACTGGCGGTCAAAGACATTGGCGGTGAGGAGAGATCGCTGAGTTGGCGTCTCCTACCGCCAGGCAAGTGCTGCGGTGTAGCATCCCCCATCGCGTACATCCCTTCCGCCATTCCACCCACCTCGACGTTCCCCATGGCGGCCAGCCTCTGCTTTTCCAGCCTTCTCTGCTTTGCAGCCCCCTTCGGTCCCCTCGTGAACTTGTACTCCGGATTGGCAGCATCGAATTCTGCCCTCAGCTCATTGGCTTTGGCATGGAAGGGGCGCTGAGCTGCAGTGCTAAGGCGCGTCCACTCGTCCCCAAGGGCTGCGCTGATGTCGGAGGGCTTGGGACCCTTCTTGCGCTTCTTGGTGCCGTCGGACATTACTACATAGCTGCTGGGATCCTCGGAGTCGGAAATGGGGAGGAGGATGGGGAACTTGCTTGTGTCCTGTGACATTTGCATACGTCGCCAGCGGGCATAGATCTGCGGCGTGGAGAGGAAGGAAGCAGTGAGCATTGAGGTTATCCAGCTTCGTGACAGTCGTACGTGCTCACCAAGAAGGCATTCATCGGCCGACGTGGCCCTCCATCAGGTCGAGGCTCTTGATACAGGAGCGTACCACCAGCGTCCTGTAGCTCGCGCGTGACTTGCTCGTCGTAGCTCAGTCCCTCGCCTGTCCTCCTGCTGGAAAGCGCGAGGGCCGCTGCGCTACCCGACGAGAACTTGTCTCGCACAGCCGGGCTCGAGCCCGTCTGAGAGCGCTGCGTACGGTCAATGTCAGTGTTGGTGAGCGTGTTCAACCGTGCCATTGAAGTGTGCTCTGCGGACTTACTCGTTCAGGAGGCATTGGAGTATGGTGACTGAAGAGAGGGGCAACGACCGAATTGACCCGGTGATAGAGTCGAATCGTTGAGGAGCGTCCGACTGAAGTGAAAGGGCGCCACCTCAGCTCAGTTGAGTTGAAGGGCGAGGGGGCAATACCCGCTTGACTTGGCGGCAAACCACTTTGGCGATGAGCGCGCTCGGGGCGTAGGCAGCGGTGCGCAGCGCCAGCGAGGCTACTGATGACGGTGACAACTCTCGAGGGAGGAAGCCGATAGGAGCTCAACAAGTGAAGAGGGGGCTCAGGATGAGAAGAGGAGGGGCCTGCCAGCTGTACAGAATTAGGATGCTGCGCTCCCTCGCTCTTGTGATGGTCGGAAGAGCGACGACAAAGCTTCTCTTCAAGCGGCACGCAGATGCTGAGCGCGGCCGAGAGTGGGAGCGGCTGCGATTCAGGAACAAGGAGCCGTGAGTGGGGCTGCGCGGCGTCGAGTAATGTGACGAGTCAAATGCGATGATGGATGATGGTGGCGGGGACGGCGATTCTGGCGAAGGTGATCTCAGAACAAGGTACGAGGGCGCGAAAACGGTATGTAGATGGTGGACGGCGCAGCCGTACCTGTCGACATGGTCGTGGATGAATTCGGTTCGAGCTACATATCCGCTGTTGGCGCTGCTGACGACGACGATGCCCAAGCATCCGTCGACGATGCTGGTCGGCTGGCGGGACTTACCGCACCCCTGACGCTGTCCTTTTTCTGTTCACTGCCGCGTCCGCCAACGCCATTTTCGCCGCTGTTCCCTTCTGCTACCATTCTTCCTCGGGTCGGCGTTGCAGCCAAAGACGAAGCCGATGACGAGGATGCTCTCGCCCCTCCACCGTGCCCAAACGCCAAGCTAGGCTGCCCGGCTTGCTGATCAGCGAGCAAGCTAGCCTCAGCATAAAGCATCTTGTATCGAATCAACTCCTCCTCCATCTCCTCCTTCGCAATTTTGCTCATCACTGCATCTTTCACCAGATCGACATGCTCTGTCTGGTTCTGCTGCAGCTGCTCCTCGAGTGACGCCACTCGTGCTGCCAAGTTGCGATTGACGAGGCGAAGGGCTTCTACTTCGCGTCGGTGCGCGTTCGCTGCTTTTACTTGCTCCTCAAATTCGGCGGCGTATCCGTCAAGAGTGAAGGGAGAGATTTGCACCGAATAAGCTTCTCGAGCAAAGGAGTCCACATCGTAGCGCGGTGAGGCGTCATTGCTACCGCTTGCGACCTCGTATCCATCCCACATATCTGAACCCTTGAGGTAGGCCAAGGCGTGCTCAAATGACAGATTGATGAGAGCATCCTCGTTGCGGCGCATGAGGGCGAGCGCGAAGCGGAAGACAGCTTCGATGCCCTCTGCAAAGACGGAGTCGAGAACCCGGTAGACGAAGTCGAGGGGGAAGCGGTAGGAGAAGAGGGTCATGAACCACTGGCTCGCGTACATGCTCGTCTTGACTCCGTGCCGGACCAGATGGCGATGTAGGAGGGGGAGCGTGTCTTCGAGAAGACGGTCGAATTGGAAGAGGCGTAGCTGAAGAGCCGGCATATTAGGGACAAAGTGGCCGCGGAGACCGTACTGAGGGCGATGAGGAAGACGAAGATGTCAGTATGCGCGGGATAGAGTGTCGCAAACCGCGATGGCACGCACGCTCTTCATTAGCCTGACCAGAGTTGAGAAGACCTCCTCGTCCGGCATGTTGAGAAGTAGTGGGCCGACGATGAATTGCATGCCTGCGCGGGCGTGGAGCGAGGTTCAGTACAGCCGTGAAAGAGCTAACGCTACGCACTCTCACCTTGGCAGTATCCAACCTCCTCGTCATAGAGCGAGTAAGCCTTGACAACATTGTAAAGATTCTCTTGCCCTACGCCCCTGTGCCAAGGAGAGTCGCGCCGTCAGCTCCAGTTTCCCTCTGCTCTCAGTTTCGCTGCGCATCACTCACTTGCCATCCTTGAAATATTCTTGCTCAGGGAAAGTTCTTCCCAAGTCCTTTCTGATCTGCTTCTCATGCGGACTCGTTTGCCGCATGTTGTAGGCATAGATGAGCTCCATCTCCTCATCCTTGCTCGCTGAGAGGAGCTGCCAGCAGAGGCCTCTGAGCTGAGCGGGGATGCCCGCTTGGATTGCGCGGCTGAGATCTTGAGGATGGTTTTGTGCGACTTCGTGATAGTCTGTGCGGGCGAGAGACTCAGATCAGTTGTCTCATTGCACGTATGCTGTGAGCAGCGAGCCGACTCACTCCCCATGACCCTCCCCCAGAAGTCCCAATCGACTCCGTCGTCTCCCACATTCATCTCAGTAGGCGTCGTATCTGCATCATCGCCGTCGCCGTAGCCGCCATCGCCTGTCCCTGTGTCCGCAGCTGAAGCGGTCGCCGCCGATGTCGCCGAGGCAGCGCTGTGCGTCCTGGAATGCTGTTGATGGAGCCTCTCAAAGTTCTCACGCAGCTTCTCGATGCCTTGCTGGCTCTGCCGACGACTTCCGTTCCCTTCGTCCCCTTCGAGTCTAGAGCGCATACGCTCTCTCAGCTGCGCGGAGTCGCGGTGTGAGGAGCGAGCGGAGGCCGAGGCAGAGGCGGAGGTGGGGTTGGGGGCGATGGTGGACGATGAAGAAGATTGGCTTACAACTTCACCCTTTGGCAAACTACGCGGTTTGCCATTTGGACCATCGCTGCTTTCGCCATCGTCTTCTTGCAGTCCAGCTACGCTCGTGATCGTCGATCTTTTGCCTTGCGGCGCGTCTTCGAAGCTGCTCTGATCAGGCGCGGGACTCGACAGACTGACCTCAGAGTATCGCTGGCTTGACGAAGTCGGGCTAGGTGGCACCGTTGCCGCCGCGCTGGTGCTTGCTGTCATGAAGGAGCTTGAGCGCGCGACAGGAGTTGTAGCGCCATCCTGGCCGAAGGGATTCTCAATCATGGTCTCAGGATCGATAAGAGATACGGCGCCCTGTGAAGGGGACATGGTGGTGTTGGTGTGGGACGATGGGTCCACATCTGATGTTGTGGGTGGTGTACTAGGTGGCGAGGCTCGAGCTAGCTTGGGCGAGGGGACTGTTGGAGTAGAGACGCCGCTCTGTGTCGCCTCATGAGACCTCTTCGATGCTTCGGATGATGAAGGTGACGACCCCGACTTGGATGATGACGATGAGGGTGTCTCGAAGCGGGCCTTGAGAGCGTTGACGCCGCTGACACTGCTAGGCCCTTTGGCAGACGAAGGCGTCGAGGGGCCAGAGGATACACTCGCTGACATGGCGTTGCTCACTGCTGTCGTCGTCAAGTGATGTCGCGTAAGAGGATGTCAAAGTGGGAGAGAGAGAGTGTGTGTGCCTGTGTCAGGACAGGGTTTCGCTCCTTGAAAGTGTTGCTTTCTGCGCCACGCCGCCTGTCCGCCGCTCATCTGCTTGCCCGCCCGCCTCGTTGGTGGCCCCTGCACAGAACTGTCAGTTGAGCCTGATGGCGCCCCCCTCCGCCTCCACGAGGCTCCGTCACTCAAGCCGCGCGTCCGTCGAGGTCAACTGGACCTTTCTTCTCAACTTGACACAACTCAACCTGCCATGGCATCATCCAGTGCATATAAGCTGTCAAACCAGCTTCAAGGGCATCAGGGCGATGTGAGTGCCCTCCAAGGCGGGCAAGACCTTCTCAGCTGACCCCGCTCTTTGCCTTCTCGCCTTGTCCAGGTCCGAGCTGTGGCCACTCACTCCCACTCGAGCGGCTCTTCCCTCGTCATCTCTGCCTCTCGCGACAAGACCGCATCCGTATGGACAAGACGTGCAGGTGGTCGCAATTTTGAACCTCCAGAGACACTCCCTGGTCATGGAGGGTACGTCAACTCGTGCGCGTGGCTTAGTGATGGGGCAGACGGACGTAAGTAGCCCGACATTCATCATGGAAGCAGCCGCCAAGCTCACCGGACGTCCTCGCCCCGCCTTTGCCCAGTGTTCGCTCTCACCGGTGGGCAAGACAAGCTGGTGAATGCATACCAGGTCAAGGTTGGAGGCGACGGCAGGGCGATACCGTCAATCAGCGCAGACTTCACTTTAGTAGGGCACGAGGACAACGTATCGACGCTCGATGTTGGGCCAGGAGGCTCATACGTCGTGAGCGGTAGCTGGGACAAGTGAGCAGCAATGCGGCCAAGAATGATTCATTCCTCCTTTTTGAGCTCGCTGACCCTCATTGCCCACTTACCACCGTCTTTCAGGACGGCCCGAGTCTGGAAGAACTGGCAATGCGTTGCGACCCTCAAAGGCCACCTCCAGGCAGTCTGGGCCGTCGTGGCTGTCGACTCAGATCGCATCCTGACTGCATCAGCAGATAAGCTTGTGCGTCTCTGGTCCATCTCCAGGCCGCAAGAGCCCATCGCAGTCTTCGCCGGCCACTCGGACGCAGTTCGCGGACTACACCTCCTGCCAGGAGAGGGATCCTTCGCGAGCTGCTCAAACGACGGCAATATCAACGTGTGGTCCATCTCTTCGCCCCACAGGCCAATGCAGGTGCTCTCGGGGCATACCAGCTTCGTCTACTCGCTGACCGCCCTGCCGACTGGAGAGCTCGTTAGCTCGGGGGAGGACAGAAGCGTTCGCATCTGGAGGGAGGGGAGCTTGGTCCAGACGCTCACTGTCCCTGCTATCTCGGTCTGGACAGTCGCAGCCTTGAGCGACGGCGATGTTGTCTGTGGAAGTAGCGACAACTTCATCCACATCTTTACCAGGGATGCCAGCCGTGTCGCAGAGGCTGGCGAGATCGAGGTGAGTGTGGACAATGCAGGCGGTTGACGAGGGCCTCTCACTCACATCTCACTTCATCGACGACAGGCATACGACCGATCCGTCTCATCACAGGCCCTGAACAAGACGCAAGTAGGCGACATTCGCAAGGATCAGGTGCCAGGTAAGGAGGCACTGAACAAGGCGGGCACACGTGAGGGCGAGACCAAGATGGTCTCCGCCTCTGGCGGCGTAATCGAAGCCTACCAATGGTCCACTGCCAGTTCCTCTTGGGAAAAAGTAGGCGAAGTCGTAGGTGGCGTAGGATCCGGCACAAAGAAGCTATACGAGGGAAAGGAATACGACTACGTCTTCGACGTCGACATTGCGGATGATGCACCTCCCCTCAAGCTCCCGTACAACCTGAGCGAAAACGCCTACATGGCGGCGCAACGCTTTTTGGAGAGGAATGAGCTGCCTATGAGCTATCTTGAGCAGGTGGTTGGCTTCATCGACAAGAACACGGAGGGTCAGACCCTCGGTGTTGGCCAGGATACGAGTACCTACGTGGATCCTTACTCCGGAACCGGGAGGTACATTCCGCCGCCGGCCGGAGGTGCAGGGGGTAGTAATGGGGCTGCGCAGCCTGGAGCAGCAGCGGCGACGAAGGCTCTGGCCATATTGCCCGTCCGCGAAGCGCAGTCGTTCAAGCAAGCCAACCTTCCTGCCCTGGAAGGCAAGCTGAAGGAGCTAAGCGCGACTCACAGCGGCGGGAGCGTGGATGCGACGCAGACTGTCGCCCAGCTCACTGCGGCGCTTCAAGCTGGCGCCGCTGCCACTCCTATAGACCTGAGCCCCATCCTGTCCGGCCTAGAATCATGGCCCAGCTCGGCACGCTTCCCGCTCCTCGACCTCGTCAGGCTCGCATGCCTCTTCCCTACCACTCCAGCAGCAAACGAGCTTCTTCCACTCATCCTGTCCGCCTCTGGGTGGCACGCGGCTTCCTGGCCATCAACTGACAGCAAGGCGGCAGAGACGAACACAATGCTTTGCGCCCGCGCACTAGCTAATGCCTTTTCGTCTTCCACGGCAACGGGTGGCTCTGCACTTCTCTCGAGCTCGACGGGTGCGGCAGACTTGCAGCCGCTCCTGGCATGCCCACACTTCGCTCACCTCAGCAAGCCAGGCCGTGTGGCCTTCGCAACCGTCTTGCTGAACTTGTCGACCAACCTTGTCTCCGGCAGCAACGCTATTGACTCCTCTGCTCTCTTGGAGGCAATCAATCGTCTCTTGACCGAAGAGCCCGGAGACGATGAAGTGGTCTATCGCACGCTGATAGCGCAGGGCAATGTGCTGTTCGCGGCGGGTGAGGGCAAAAAGAGCGGCAAGCCTGTGACTTTGCCTGTGGGAGCCGTTCAGCTGGGAGGGGATGCGGCTCAAGCGTGGGGCCAGAGGTTGGGCGGTGGGTCACCCCGAATAAAGGAAGTACTGGAGGAGATTACGGAGGTGGGAAAGAGGCTGTGAGCGTGCCGGGTAGCATATAGAATGAGAGGAGAAGGGGCAGAAGCAACAGTGTAGAAGGAATGAATACATTGGCTGGTATAATGACGTTGATGACCGCACCGGCCCCCGCTCTGAACGATGCCGGTTCGACTTGACACTCCTGCTGAACGCTTCTCTACTCTCCTCTACGCCGCGAAGATGAACCCGCCAGCAAGCTCGGTCCAAGACCAGCATCGTCTTCGCCAAAAGGCGGGATGCCCGTCGCTGGCGCCGCCACTGCAGATCCTGACGTTGGAGTCGCTGCCGCGGACGTCGTCACCGAGGACAAGGACGTCCCACCTTGCAGTTGGCCCATCCGACTCTTTGCTGCGCCCCAGGCCGGCGTACCACTCCCACTCCCACCACCACTCCCGCTCCTCCCGGCGCGAGTGGGTGTTCCCTCCCTCCTCCTTACAGGAGCAATCGCTCTCGTCGGCACCGCCTCTCTACCTTGCTCCTCAGCAGGAGACTCGTCATCCTGGGTGCCACCCATGCCCAATCCATCCAGATTCGACAGAGGGCCCCAAGCCGCATTGGCAGCCGCTTGAGCCGCCGCGTCCCTATGAGCGGCCAGGCGAGGGGCAACGGCTGAGAGGAGTGGACTGCTTGATGAGGCTGCTGCAGCTGCGGCCGAAATTCCAGCCGGGCCGCCGCCGCCGCCATTGGGTGCCGTAGAGGATGAGGTCGAAGAAGCGGAGACGGAAGCTGGAGGGAAGTAGCCACCATTGAAGGTTGCGGTCGGGCTAGTGACTGAGTTGCGATGATACCAGGACTGCGGCGCGTGATACCTTGCGGGGCTTGACGCACCGCTCCCTCCACCTCCTGGGCCTCCTGCGCTTCCACCTTCTGTTGCTTGCATGCTGCTCATGCTTCCTGACCCACTCCCAAGGCCTAGTCCTAGACTCATCAACGGACTCAGAGCGCGACGTTTATGAGCGCTACTTATGTAAGGATCGTACCGCTCCCCTGCCCCGCTGGTACCGCGCTCCGAGTTGGCATTCCCGCTACTACTACTCGATCCACCGGGAGAGTCAGAGCCAGTGCCGCCGAAGCCGAACTTCCTCTTCGTGCTCGCACTGGTGACCGCACTAGCCAAGGTGGGAGAAGAGGCTCGGCTTGTATTGAAAGCGGCCACTCCTCCAGGGTACGCACCACTCGTGCTCGCGGCGGGCGATGTGGAAAGGCCACGACTAGCTGCGGCAGCCAGTGCAAGATCCTTCGCTTTACTGTGATGATGATGATGGTGGTGATGCCGAGCATGCCAGCTCGCCTGATAGCCGTGCAGACGATGTTGCTTGCGATCGTAGCTGCTTGCTCCTCCTGCTCCTAAGCTGCCTGCGCTTCCGCCAGGCGTGGCACCATCTCTTCCCGTGGCGGCGGAAGATGAGGTCTGGCCGGGGGAGTTGCGGAAGTCGGTCCATGCTGAGCCCGTTCTCTTGCGGCCAGTTGTGCTGCTTGTTGAGATGCCGCCACGCATGGGCCCGGTGGTGGAGGGTTGGGTCGGGGTCGAAGTGGTGGAGGAGGTGCTGGGAGATGAGATGGAGAGGCTGTGATTCGCCGCAGCCGGTGCTGCTTCCCCTCCAAGCCCAGCAGCAAGAGCGCTCAGCCCCATTGGGGTGCGTGGCGCCTCTGTCAAGCCGCGATTGAGTGGGTGCTGACGTGCATCCCAGGGGTAGCCGCCGCCGCGCTCATTGACCGGAGAGACGTTGGCTGACGAGGGGAGAGATGGGGTTGAAAAGCGTGGTGGAGGAGTCGAGATGGCCGAACTGGGGAAGAGGGTGGACGAGGAGGCGGGGCCAGCATTGTGACCGGCCAGAGGTGTAGTCGATAGAAGCCCGCTCCCAGCATCAGCGCTCGCGCTATCGTCTTGCATAGCCTCATCGTCTCCCTCGTCCATTTGCATGTCGTTGGCAGGCTCCAGTGTGGCACCATCAGGGCCGTCAGGCAGTGAGGCAGGCGTGCTCGCAGGCTCGTATCCGGCATCTGAGTCTATCTCGTCACCCTCATTTGAGGAAGGACTGCTCAATGCATCAGAAGAGGACTCAAAGCCTACATTGTCGAGCAGATCGTCGTCCCCAGAGGACAAGGCCGCATTGCGTTGTGCCTGTGCGTGCGCTTGCGAGACGCTGAGGTTGCCCGAGGCGGCATCTGCGTCGTGGACGAGGGTAGAAGATGAGGATGAAGGTGTAGCAAAAGGGCTACCTTCGCGCATACTGCGAGAGGCCGCAGCCGCTTCGTTGATGGCGCCTAGGCGTTTTGTGACTTTGGCTTCGCTTGCTACCTCCCCTTCGCCAGGTTTAGACTCTTCCTTGAGGAGTTGAAGGACACGCCGTAGTGGCGGCGCTACTGCATTGCTACCTCGAGGTGCGAGTGAGTGGTTCTCAGCCCTCTGCACCGCAACTCGCTTTGTCGGGGAACTAGCCGTAGACTCCTCGTCGTCATCCTCGGCCTCCTCCATCCTCATATCCATCCCGTCCAAATCCAGCTCCACGTCGTCTTCCCCTCCGTACGATGATGCTGCATCCACGCCTGTACTCCAAGGCTCAGGGCTCAAATGTTGACGACGGGACATTGGCGAGCTCGCCCTCTGCCTGTTGCCCATACTGCGGGCAAAGGGCGATTCACGCTCCCCACCGCGCATCGAACGAGGGGAGAGGGGAGGGTTGCTTCCCATGCGCGAGTAGGAGGATGTGAGACGTTCGCGGCTTCTATCGCGATCTGCCGCCGAGCGATAGGACGTCGTATGAGAGGGGCTTCGAGGCTGACGATGTGGTTGAAAGGGAGAAGAAGAGGAGGATGTGGGCCCACGATCGTCGTACCCTCCTTTGGCTGTGCTGCGCCCTCCGTCGTCATCTTCGTCGTCTTGTCCATCGTCGGGCGCTGCTGTGATGATGTTGCGGGACAGCGAGGAGCGCGGTCGCAGTGCGTAGGAGCCCAAGCCGCGTTGTTGTGTTGGTCTGGCACCAGCTGCCGTCGTCGATGCCAGAGGAGAGAGGACGGCAGGCGATGGTGAGGCCGAGCGAGTGGGTAGAGCAAAGTCTGCCAGAGAGGTAGTGAAGTGAGGGCGACAGGTTCGCCCTGGGCCTGCGCCTGGCTCTGATTGGCTTGCGCTCATCGCTCGTCGTACATGATTGGCGAGAATGAGAACAAGCCACTCTCAACAAGCCACTCTCTCTCTCTCCTCCACGAAGTCCGAGTCCAGTCGGGGTTGGACTGCAAGCGCGAAGCGAGAAGTCAAGACGAGTCTCCAAAGGCGGACTGAGCTTTGTTTCCTCCTTTGCCCTCCTTCCTTCTCATCGCCACCCACTCACCATGCCACCTTTCCCCTCAAATCCCTATCCCTCATCATCAAGACGCTCCAAGGCTACCTTCATTAATCGTATCATCCCTTCAATCCGTCGACAGCCATTTCTCCTCTTTGGCCTCCCCTTTACCCTCACAATCGTAACAGCCGCCTATGGCCTCTCCTACCTTACTCAGACCCGCTACGAGTACAATGCCACCAAGGTGTCGGCCCTGAGCAAAGAAGAGGAGCTTGGAATGAAGAAGGACAGGAGAAAAATCGACTTGAGGGAAGAGTACTTCAAGTTGGGCGGTGGTACAAGGAGTGGCGCCGGCCCTACCGCTGGACAAAGCGACGAGGGCGACGCCTGGGAGAATTGGGAGCCCAAGCGTGTACCGCGGCCTGAAGGAACAGAAGAGTGGGGAGTTGGAGGCGGAAGTACAGGGTCTTACGTCGAGTCTGCGTCCAACACGCGCGACTACAAGGGCAAAAGGAGAGCGACGGGACCTATTGCGGCTGAGGGGCCTGAGGAGGGCACGCCGCTGCCTGGCGGCAATCGAGTCATTATCACAGAGAAGGGCGAGAGGCTGGTCATTGGTCCCGACGGGAAGCCATGTCGCTCTTGTTCGAGCAGACTTGCCTTCGCAGATGCCATGAGGGGCTCAGGCGGCGGTGGGTCCGCAGGCAAGACGGCAGGAGGCGTGGGGTTCGGCGCAGCAGCAGCAGCAGCAGCCTCAACCTCTTCAGCAGCTTCTTCGGACAGGTCAATCTCGCAAGTGAAAGGTTGCCCGCCAGACGTCGAGGAGCTCGGTCGCTCCACGTGGGACTTCCTACACAGCGTAGCAGCCACCTATCCGGAGAAGCCCACAGAGACCCAACGCTCAGCCCTTCTCTCCCTCCTCACATCCCTGCCGGTTCTCTATCCCTGTGGGTATTGCGCCGACGCCCTGAGCGAAGACTATGCTCGCCGAGCAGTGGAGAGACCCGCGGCTGGTACCCAGGGGAAGCCTCTGGAGAACATGACTCTACAAGAGGCGACGGAGAGCAAGCGCAGCGCAGCGAGGTTCATGTGCTCGATTCACAACGAGGTGAATGTGCGGCTGGGGAAGCCCGTCTGGAATTGCGATGACCTGGGCAGATTGAAGAGGAGATGGGAAGATGGTGGGGAGAGGTGCTTTTAGCAGAGTAAAGGAGAGCTAATCAAAGCCAAATTTCAAGAGGCCACGCTATGCTAATTGCTATTTGCAGGACGATTCCGTGTGTAGAGAGGCAGATAAGACGGCTATGCGGGAGTGTATGATACAAGATTTGAGGGTAAGAGAGGGAAAGGTCAAAGGTCCGGGCTCACGAACATTAGCAAAGGAGCGCTTGTCCCACAACTGCTGCAAGGACGGCCATCACGGCGAGCTGAGCAGCCATCGCCTTGTGCTGCGCTGCCCCCGACGTTGTGGCAGGCTGCGTCCTCGCGACCGTCGTACTCGAGGCGCCGCCGTCGTTCAGTCCATCCGCAAGCGCAGCAAATCCAACTCTCGCCGTGTCTCCATTCTGCATGATGGTGTAGACCGACGAAAGGAACGCGTCGCCCACGATCCACTGCAGCGTAGAGGCAGATGTGGACCCAACGGAGAAGAAGGCGCCCATGCAGTATTCTCCTGACGAGTCGAGCGCGGCCACCTCGAATTGGTCGCTGCCCAAGCTGTACTGCTGGTTACCAAAAGTTAGGGTGGCATTGACGGACGAATCGCACGGATATTGGTAGTAGCCATCCGCGCCCTCGATTGCCGAGGCTCCATCAATTTTGCTGTACATGGCGGCGATGACCGACTCTGGCCCACCAATCAGAGTTGTGCCTGAGTCAATGGCAGCCTTGTTCGTCGACCCGATGTCGATGGAAGAATCTGCTACGGAGACGCCGCCGAGAGTGATGAGCCAATAAGTCTTGGAGATGACGTTGCTCCAGTTGATGTCGCCTTGGTACAGAGAGGTGTTGGTTCCGCCGAGGGTGAAGTAGCCGCCTGCCACCGTCGAGGATGACGAAGACGAAGACGAGGACGAGGACGAGGTCGATTGGCGGCGGTATGGCCCACTGCTGGGTCCGCCGGTCCCTCCTTGACCCCCCTCACCGCCACCCGTGGAGACGGTAACATCGTCCGTGCTGGGGCTACGCTGCAGGTAGAAGCTGAACTCGCTCTCGTTTGCGGCCTGCCAGAACGGCACGGAATTCGCACTGCTTAGTGCTTGGAAGCCCAAGCCAGCGATTCCAGAGGTGACATCGTCCTCCAAGTTGGACGACACCTCCGTCGCAACGGCAAAAGGCATGCCAGGTACTGTATGCCCCGCCAAGGTGAAGGTGTCCCTCGCCTCGTACCCATTGACCGCCCCTGAGCCATAGGTGATGGAGAAGGCGGAGGAGGCATTACTGAAGGTGGAGGAGGCCGAGGGCGTGAAGTTGGAGGCGGAGACCCAGATGTCTGACGAGCCCGTGTCCAATACAAGGTTCAGGGCTTTGGCAGGTGTGCCGACCTCGAAGGTGGCGTACCAGGTGGAGTCGTGTTGGTAATTCACCAGGGGGGCGACACCCACGTCACGTCGCTTCGAAGACGAGGAGGTGGCAGTCTCGAAGCCGTATTTTCCTTGCAGGTGGGAACGGTGGTTGTTCGCCCATGAGAGAAGGTCATCGCCGGTGCGCGTCGGTGTGCGCTTCTTGACGATGGGGTAAGTGCGGGGTGACTTGGATGACGAGGAGACTGAGACATCAGGGGATGGGGCAGGAGCTGCGTAGGTGGTGGCGGCTGCGGCGAGGCACAGGAGGAAGAGGCCGCGAGGCGAGAGCGGTGAGGTGACCATGATTGCGAAGCTCTGAGATGCGAGTCCGTAGATGAGTGAAGAGGGATGGATGAGGGATGAAGGTGAAGTGCGAGGATAAGAGACCCGAGATGTCAATCTATGAATGGTTTCTCTTTGGTCTTGGTTGAATGCGAGACAGCGTCTTCAACCGGCGGCGGGCTGTGACGTCTGCCGATGGATGACAGAAGTGCAAGGACGAGGAAGCTAGATGCCGAGAAGAGAGGAATGGAGAAGGAGGGATGTCCAGAAGAGGTACAAATCTCACGTACGGGCGGAAGCTTTGATGTCGTACGTTCGTTCGGAGGGCCCTGCCGACTGGCACTGCTGACGACGACGAACGATGGACGACGCCTCATTCGGCGAACAATGCATTCGTGCATCGCTCTCTCTCTCTCCCTCTCCTGATGATGCGTTCATTCGGCCCCCCGCCGCCTAGATCGGCCTCCGCGTTTGTTCCCACCAACTCCACCCCGCCTTTCTCTCAACTATACGCAGGCGCAAGCCATGGCTGCCGCCGTCGCCGCGATTTGAGGCGACACAGCCGGGCAGCCGAGGCGGCCGGGCAGATCGAGCCTCGACGCAGACAAAAGGGGTCGTAGTAAGCCACGCCTCTTTCTAGCGCGCCGATGCAGCACAGCAGCTGCGAAGAGCAGCGGCGGCGGCCAGGCTAGCGGCTCGTTCAACTGCGCCTTGGCGACCGCGACTTTGACTTGCTGCATTCGGCAGGAGGTTGCGGCTCAACCGCGAAAGGGTCCATTAGGAGCAAGGAAGCCCAATCTTGATCCGTTGATCGACGCCGCCGCGGCCACGAGGGGAGGACTGCCCGCGCGACAGGACCGTAGCATTCAGTCAACCTGTTAGACAACGGACTGGATAGGGCTTGATGCCGAGTCAACACGGTGGTACCATGCCTTGGCCTCTGAAGCTCGTACCGCAACGCTGGTGCAGGTGCAGGTGATTTTGGACGGAGAGTCAGGACGCATGAGCCAGCCCAGCGCTGCGATGGAGATCCAGGATATCCTTCTCTGCCGCGTGCAAGCTTGCCCCACAATTTTACTGATCAAGCAAAGCTCGTACGATGCCATTTCACTCCCATCTCATCTGGAGTCTTTCCGCTCGTCAATCGTAGCGGTTGGTGTTGCTCGCCATATTTGGCTGGACTGGCGGACTGAGGGTCGACTGGCTCGATGACGTCCGTCTGCAGCGCGGATGCGGGAGCGGCTGGCTCATCATGTGTCAGCCCCGGAGTGCGGAAGACGAAGCCAGGCTGCACGACTCTGGTCGAGTGGAGATTTTGAGCTACGATGGAGGGCTTTGCCCTACGAGATTAGACGAGGGCGAGACGTCGACGACAGACAGCAGCAGCAACAACGAATCGGTCACTACGAGGGCCTTAACGCTCTTCATCACCAACCAACAGCAGTTGTATTTCCATCGCCGTCCTCTCACTGTTCAACGGCGCGCGAGCCCGTCTTGCTTGAATCGCGGAAGAGGGCCGGCCATTCAGGCACAACTCCACTTCAGCATCATCTTACCCCATCGGTCCATTACACTGCAATGCAGCCCGAGGCTGCTTCGACGGGCGCAGGCCATGACTTCGTCCTCTTCGACGACAGCTATGGCCCCGGGGGGATGCCGTCGTCGTCCTCATCAGGGTCGACTAGCACACTGGCCGAGGCAATGGGTTCCTCCTCCGCGTTCCCGTCGATGTCGAGAAGCAAGCCATCCTTCACAGAGTATCGCGGACCAGCTTCAGTCGGGGGAGGGAGTGGTGGAGGTGATTCACCATTCGGCAGCCCAGCATCGCGACTCGAAGATGACTTCCCAGTCACAGGAGCAGGGGGTGGATCAAGGCCTTCGTCGGTGGGCAGCCATGGTAGCGGAACATTAAGCGCAGCAACGGGCATACCGAATCGCAAACGTCAACGAGGCAATGACGGGCGAGGTCATTCGAGTACGACTTCTCTCACCGGTCTCGCAGCTGCCATGGGCGCTACCTCGAGCAATCCGAGCCACCAGAGACAAGGCAGCGCATCAAGAGGCTATCGTCAGCGACATTCCATCTCAGACGACAGACCCATCCCGGGTCTAGCAGACACGACATTAAGCAATTCGGGCGACGACTGGTCACTCGCAGATACATCTCCTCAGAACCCTCCGAGCGGCAGCTTTGGCCCGCCGATTGGCGCATTATCACTCGGAGGAGGAGATGGATCAGCGGAACAGTTCGCCTCTCTCTTCCCAGAGCTATCTCAGCAGCAGCAGCAACAGCAACAGCAGATTCAGCAAAATGTCGCAGCGATGAAGTTCCAACCACAAGCGCACATGGCCTCCTTCCCAAACTATGCTGTGCAAGGAGCCATGCCTGGCTCCAACGCCATGTTCCCAGCATCGCAGCCAACTCCAGCACAAGAAGCATTTGCTCGCCAGCAAGTGCGTCAAGAGCTAGCTTCGGTCGACCAGCGAGCACTCCGAGGCCCTCTGCGCGACCTCGCGCAAGGCAACAACAATGTCTCGAGCGGCGGCTTTATGCCTACAGCGCCCGCTCAGCCAAATTTCGAAGCCGACTTGATCGCTGCAGCTCAGAGCTTCGCAGCAAACAGTCAGGCCAATCGTGGGAGAATGGGAGACTCAAGAGCGCCGGGCATCGGTTTGGGACCGAAGCAGGCTGATCCCCTGGCCCTCAATCAACAGCAAGGCAACGTCGACCAGCAACGTAATCTCCTCTTCCCCGGTCCAGGCATCAATGGCGGCGGTACATGGCAGCCAGACTACGCTGCGCCCGTAGCCTGGTCGCAGGCCGACCCTGACCAGCAGATGCAGCCCTCGCCACCAAATCAAGGTGGTCCACCACATCGTCCTCCCGTCGGCCCGAGGAAACGCAGCAATAGTTTCGATGCCAGCTTCCTGCCAGCCTCACGCCCCTGGTTCAGCCAGTCACCGCCTCAGCAACCGGACATGGCAGCCCAGAATGCGCTCGGCGTTGCACCTGCAAACAGTCTGCAAACGGGACCCGGAGGCGTAGGCATGGGTACAGGGACTGGATGGACGGGCGAGCCCACGAACAACTTCAACGCCTTCGACTTGAGCGGCGGTCAAGCTCTGGGTCAAACGAAGCCTCAGCGCAAACCATTGACGAGGGATCGTTCCGGTCTGACCGTCTCGCCCAGAGAAATGTACCTCGACGCGTCGGCGAGCGACGAGGGCAAGAACGGCCTCGCGGGCTGGTCTGGTCCGCAATTGGCAAACATGGACGCCAACCAGATTCTCAGCCAATTGCTGATGTCAGCAGGCAAGGATGGCTCCCAAGTCTCGACGCCGAAGGGTCAGCCCAACATGCCAACCTATCTCAGCAAGCCGCCCATGTTGCGAGCTGATACCATCCGGCCGAGCGACAGTCAGCCGGCAGCGCCAATGATGGGCGGCGATAGACATGCGCCTCCCACTGCAGGCTCATCTGCGAGCAGCGGATTGAGCCTATTCAGCCCAGCGAGCAGCGATACCACGCCTGATACAGACGACTCCGACGAGAAACCCTTCCACGGCTCTAATGACAACTTCTCGAGGGCAGATTACGAGGCATTGCTCAGAGCCCAGCCTCAATTTGCCCAGCCTCTGCCACCTCCGCCTCCCATTCAACAATCGCAGCGAAGCACTGCCCCCACCCGCCGACCAGCAAACATGCCGCGCTTCCTGCCCTCCTCATCAAGCAGCAGCGAGGACGAGGACGAGGACAGTGGTCACCTGGTGCCCGGCCGCGTCATGGGTCCTCACGGTCCGCAGAGCGTCAATGGTGGGCGTGGCGGAGCCTTTGGCGGCTCATCATCCGCCTCATCTTCGGGGGGCGGTCAATCTTCGTACCTCGACAAGCCCCTACCTTCTCAACCACTCGGTCGAGGACGAGGCCTGCAAGGCGGCTACGGATATATGCCTGGCAGCGCAGAGAGTGGGCTCGCAATCGACCCTGCTGAAGCGATGAAGTCCAATGCGATCGATGCGACTATGACGCCCGCTAACAATGCAGCTGGCGGTGAGGCGCCGAGCATGCGCGGCAGTGGGGCAAGTCTCAACGGCGGGAGTAGCGAGGCGTCCAACATCGGCGGCGAAGCGGACGATGGATCTATCAGTCCTTCGATCAGGAGCGGCGCACAAGCTATCACACCGCAACAGGGTCAGCAAGGCTTTGCGCGCCAGCAATTTCAGCAAATGCGTGGCCCTCCGGGAATGATCGGGTCTGGGCAAGGTCGAGGTGCGTTTGGCACGCAAGGAAGCCAGATTGCCGCACCGCCCACCGTCACGCAAGCGTCCTCCTTGTCGGCGCCTTCGTCGCGTCGATCCAGCAACGCCTCAAGCAGCAGTAATGGCAGTCAGTGGGAGGGACCAGACGCTGCAGAGGAGGATGACGATGAGGAAGAAGACTACGAGCCCGGAGAGGGAGGAGGAGCTCGGAAGCCTCGGGGGGGCCGCGGTGCGCCCACTGCTCAGAAGAAGGCAGCAGCAGCACGTCGCAGCGGCGGGGCCGGTGCTGGAGGCGCAGCAGCAGGGCAACGCAAGTCCGTCTCAGACAGCGCCCCCTTCAGCGGCGGCGATGCCTCATCAGACCCAGCCCTAGCCGGCTTCCACCCCGGCGGTGTCTCAACGCACGGCTCCGTCACGGTGTGCGAGTACGTTTCTCCCCTCACTGGCTCACGGTGTGGCACCGAGTTCCATCGCCCGTACGACCTTGCGAGGCATCGTGAGACCATTCATGCGAAGGAAGAAGCTTCGCTGGTGAGGCAGGGCAAACTGAGTAAGGAGCAATGTAGAGTCCTGTACGTCGAGGTGGATCCGGCGCGTAGTCAGGCGACGCAGGAGTGGAAGTGCGATGGGCGCAATGGGTGTGGAAGCGTCTTCAGTAGGAAAGATGCATTGCAGCGTCATAGGAGATTGAGGAACCATTGAGGACGGCGAGAGTGAGGCAGGTGGAGCATTAGCGGAACAATCAGTAGGCAGCATTTAGTCTTGAATAATAATCACATTAGGACACGTCGCAATTGGAGTACAACAGGTCATGTCGTCGTCGTTGTCGTCAAAGGTAGCAAGATGGGCCCAAGATAGAGTAGCAGGAATAGAAGCGGAGGAGCACACAGAGTAAAAGCGTTCGTGGATAGTTCGGGGTCGTCCAGCGGTGGTATCGCGTCAGGAAACTCCCTCATCCCTCCTTCCTCGACCCAATACCCAACGTCATCCCAATCCTCTCAATAGTACTCGCCCTCTTCCTCGATTTGACCGTAGAGACCGGCGCTGAGGCGGACGTAGAGATCTTGGACGCGGCTGTCGCAGCCGTAGGCGTCTTGGGATCTGTCTGAGGATCAACGGCATTGCTGCTTGGCTCTGGATATGGCGGAACCATCGATTCGCTGGCAGCAGCAGTAGGAGCGTCGACCATCATTGTGTCTCCATCGGAGCCTGCAGTCGGGAGGCCCTGCAAGCCGAGATCGCCTACGGCGGACGAGGATACCGGAGCGGACATGGTCGACGACTGAGGTTGCTCCTCACCGGAAGGCTGCTCTACATGCACCTCGGGCGGTTTTGCCACAATGGTGCTTCCTCTCTTGCGGTGGAAGCGACTGTTGAGCCCGAGCAACGAGGTCCTCGTACGAGGTGAGGCGGGCGGATCGGCAGGAGGTTGCTGCGGTGAGCCTGTTCGCCCCTCGCTCAGCGACTTACGCCCGCCGCCTGCACGCAGTAGAGAGGAGAAACGGCGTTCATCTGTGTGCTTGACGTCCGAGCCTGGTGTGCCCAGGCTGCTGCCCTGTGGGATCGTGGGCGTCGTGCGAGCGCCTTCGCTCCCGCCGTCGGACATCTCGCTGCCTGCACCTGCAGCAGCGGCGTGGCGTAGCCCTTCCCTGCTCTTCTGGTGGCTCGGCAACAGACCTTTGACGGCATTGCGCGTCTTGGACATGAGGGCCGCACTGATCGAGTTGCGGCGGGAGGCTTTGGTGCCATCCGCTGCCTCACTTGTGGGAGCTGCTGCCGTGGCAGATTGGGTAGCGGTCTCTGCCTGCTGCCCAGCCGGATTGGCCTCAGCCATCTCCGCATCAGCCGCAGGGGGTGGCTCGACCACATCTGCCTCTGAGATCCAGAGCATCGACTCTCCATCGTCCGTGGCGATGCTGCCGTCGCGCCTCGTAGGCGAAGGCAATGAGCAAGGATGCAGCGCCGAGCAGTCGCTCATCGTCATCTGGGACTTGATCGACGCCGCGGAAGACTTCACGCTGCGGCTGTCCGACACGTCGCGATTGTGGATCGAGTAGGCGTGAGAGACATTGCCGTCCGTATCGCCGCCGCCCAGCGTGTGCGTCAGCGAGGTGCGACGTTGTGCTTTGAGAGCTGCGAGGAGATTTGAGGTATTGTGCGACGCCAAGTTGCGGCTGCCGGCTGAGGTGAGGGCTTTGAGGATGGCGTTGGCTGTTGGGCGAGCATCTTGGTGCTGGAAGGCTATGCGCATCATCTCGGTGCAGGCGGGAGAGAGACCCTCTGTCTCGGGTGGCAGTGGGACGCCGGCCAAAGTAGCTGCCGGAGAGAAGACAGGTCAGTCAATGCCACGAAGAACCACGTTGGTCTGTCGGCACTTACTCTTCATCAACACCAGTGGGAAGCGCCTCGCCCACTCATGAAAGCGCGGCAAGTTGTGCTCGCATCTGTGCAGGCGATGACGAGGCTCTGTCATGTCGGTCAAGTCATCGAAATTGAAGCTGAAGGCGCAGACCGTGTCCGAGGGCTTGCGACGATCATGAGGTGCCAAGCGAAGCAGGAGAGAGAGCACCGTGCAAGCCCAGCTCCAGATATCGCTCTTGATGCCCCATCCGCGCTTGAAGTCGCTGTACGCCGCATCGAAGAGCGGGATCTGCGAAGGAGCAAAGTACGCCTCCTTGTGGCGCACGTAGTCGTCAAGGACGGAGCGAGAGATATGGCGATGGTCTACGTAGCGGCCTGCTTGAAGAAGAACTTCGGGTGCCATGAAGAAGGGCGAGCCAGTCAGAGAGCCGAGGCCTTCAGTGTGCACCATGTGCGGCGCTTGAGGTGTGACGGTGCCTTCTTCGAGGAAGCGGTCGAATTCTTCGACGGCGGTGGTCGAATCCTTGTAGAGATTGGGGACACAGACGAAGCGGCGACTTGCTCCCAAGTCGATGATCTTGGCTGCGCCCGTGCGGGCATCGCGCATCATGTTGGATGGCTTCAAGTCGCCGTGGACAACTGCGGTGTGGGCAAAGAAAGAGGTCAGAGCTAGTCACTTCCCAACGCACGAGTCGCTCACTTACTATGATTGGCGTGAAGGAAAGCCAGCCCCGCAGCAACATCGCGTGCGACATCCTCGACCTCACGATGCGACCACTCCCTCTTCCTCTTTTGCCAGCCCTTCGACGTCAGCTGCGCGTCCAGCTCCACCAAACGTTCAAAGGCGAGCAGACGTGGAACTGGCCCGGTCTCCTCCTCCATCTGTGCATCCGTCATATCGGGGCGAGACTCATTGCCAGGGAAAGGCAAGTCGGCAAGTAGACGCACCAGGCCGGTCTTGTTCGAGCTGAGCTTGTCGAGCTTCGATACAATCTGGCAAAAGCGGAAGAGACGAGCTTCTCCTCTTACGACTCGAGTGTGGAAGCCAGATGTATCTCCCTTGGCTAGGGCAGCATCTGCGGCGTGGGCGAGGGAGCGGCCCTGTCCCGTCTTGGGCATCTCGTCGAATGCGCCTGACACGGGCGTCCGGCACACCTTGACAATGATGACGGCTGGTGGGCCCGAGCGGCGGTTACTTACAGCTGAATCAGCTGGGACAGTGCCGGTTGAGGCTTGACGCCTTGCACCAAAGTCCGGACGCATTATGTGGTCAGTTGATGGGTTGCTCAGGCTGCGATTGAGAGCTCGTCGGCCAATATCCCCTGATCCGCCATCTTCACCGGGGAGCGAGACAGTGGTCAGGGCTGGCGACGGGCCCGGCAGGGACAAGCCGTGATCTTGCTCTGGGCTGAGGTGATTGGCACCGATAGCAGGGGAGGCGGTCGAGCTGGTTTCAAAAGTCACGGGGGGCGTGAAACCATCATCGCGCTCGAAGCGGTAGACCGTGCCAAAGCCGCCCTGTCAAGGTGTGAGGGGAATCAACGTCTCTTCTCGGCATTGCGTGCGAGCCTTGGTACTCACCTTGCCAACCTGCGCAGGTTTTGCGTCAAAGAGGGACCCATGTCGAGAGTAGCGTAAAAGCTGCTGCGCGGCGGTCGACGGCGTGAGGGTAAAGTGAAGATCCAGAGGAGGCAAAGGCAATTGCAGCGCATCAACTGGCGGATCGACCTTGGGCGAAGGAATGGGCGAGGGACCCTGGGTATGACTCTCCTTGGCCGCAATGACGGTTGGCAGCAAGCCGGTGGCGGACATGATGGTTGCTAGGACGCCAGAGGATGTCGTCGATGTCCGCTTGGACTGAGGTGAGTGACGAGAAGGGAGAGCAAAGACTTTCGTCGTGGACGAATGGGATGCCTTTTGAGGGATTGCGGTCGACGATCGAGTAGGCATGACGTTAATCCCCGCCAGGCGAGGGGCTAGGAGGTGATGAGATGAAGAGGGGGAAGAGCACCAGCAGCACCTTGACGACGTTGTCGAATGCCAGGTTGGTGAGGCATGATGGCAAACGATCTGGGCGGTGGGGCTCAGACGTCTTGCTCCCCTCCTTTCGACCTTTACGGGCGGATTGCGAGTGCCAATCTACTTCCTCTTCATATCATGGGTGCGTGCGCAGGGACGCTATTACCTTGGCCTCGCCTCACGGCTGACGGCGACCATCTACCGCTCGGGCCGCTCCCGCGACGGAACAGCGGTGAACGGACCCCCGGCCTTGCTCATCGCGCGAGAACATCGTCGTGCGATGGGATGCGCCACCCGTTTGAGCGGTCCGACAGCGGGCGGCATAAGGAGTGACATGAGCATGAGAGGGGTCCAGTTGCATTCGTCGATGATGAGCTCCTGTGAGGTCCAAGCGTCGAGAGGGGTCTTGTTCAATGAAGCGCGATATATGGAGAGGACAGAAGATTGGGCGAGATTAACCTCGCTTGGCCTCAGGATTGCGCTTGCCATCGCACGGCGTTCTCGAGATGAAATTTGGGCCCCGCGCCTGCGTTCAGCCCGCGTGATGACGATCGGCGCCGTGACGCCCAACGCCGCTTTGATTAGCGCCACTTACCACTTGATTGAGGTCGAAGCTCTGCCTTTGTTCGCGATCCGAACGATGACCGCGCGACGCTTTATCTTCGAGCTCTCACGATCAGGACAAAGTGACGTGTCCCCAGGGCTATGACAAGGATGTCTGAACGTATGGCCCTTTGTTCAACCGGCTCGAGACGCGTCCGTGAGACAAAGGGAGCATGGTCGACCAAAACACAATGGCTTCGACATGACCGCTACAAGAGCTCGTGAACCGTATGAGCTTTCGCAGCTCCGTGCAACTGTTTACTACCACTTCGACCCCTCTACTGCTTCACACAGGAGCGGCTGGTCCCTCCTACACGCCTCGGCGATTTTTTCATCGCCCAGCATTTCTGCCAGCACGCGCAGGCCCCCTGTACCGGCTCAAGCGACATGCTCCTGACGCCTACCGCTGTTGCCTTTGTGGCGCTCAACGCCCTTCGTATCCTTTCCGTCGTCTCGCTGATTCTCGTTTTTGCCTCCACGATTGAATCGATGATCCTCGACGGTCGTGAGGTGGCTCTGGCCCAGCCTGACGATTACGAGGACTGCGACTACCTCCCCGGGACGGACGTGCCTACGCACGCCTGGGGCTTGTTTTGGGCACATCTCGATCGTACCTTCATCCTTATTTTGTGCCTGATCGGCGTACTGAGCGAGATCAATTGGGGTGGGATCTGCGAGCGGGGCTTTCAGCATTGCCTTCCCATCTTTAGCTTCGCTTTCGGCCTGGCGCCGCTTGGCTGTTTGCAGATGATGGTAAGCGCGGCAGGCGACCTTGACGCCGACCAGATCGACTGACACTTGATCTCTCTTCTGATCGCCAACGCAGATTGGAACCAACCTCCTCTCGCAATACCTCGACTCCTTTCCTCTGGTCACCTCTTGGCTTCTCTCCTTCGTCGGTCTAGTCAATCTCCTCGTCGGGCTCATCTTCGCCAGGCGAGGCAAAGTGTGGCGCTGCCTGTCCATCAAAGATCGTCATGGCTGGACAGGCCCGAGCGGCATGACTCAGATGATTGATGGGCAGGAATATCCGACCGAGAAGGAAGGAGGCTCGAGCGGTCCACCCTTCTACCGTCATCTCAATCGTGCCACAAGTCAGCTCGGCGGCGGCGCAGGCGCGCAGCCTGTGCGAAGCATCTCGCAGGCTTTTGCTGCTGTCAGAGCGGCCAAAAAGGGTCGCAACCAAGCTCAGGGCGCACCGGCTCATCAGCAGGACCTTTCCCCATCGTACGAAGAAGTTTTGAGGGCGCAGGCACGCGAGGCAAATGAGCGTAGCGAGCGGGACTACTTTGGCTCCCAACTACGCCATGGTGTCAAGGGCAACGACCTTGCCGCAGACTTGGAAAGTGGACGAGTTCTCTCTGGCGCCTTCGTCTACGACAGTGAGGCCGGGCACAATATCGCGCTCGGTCGCCCACCCTCCAGAGGGACCGACACTTCCGACAACGTCGCCGTGCGCTCATTTGGCACGGGGAGCTCGACTACCGCGTATGGCACCACGTCGAGAATGACCTCAAAGCGCCAAGGGAAGCAGCGTGCCGTCCCAACCGCCGCAGGCTATCCCCGCTCGCCATCCTCCCTTTCGCTTGCCTTCAAGCGCCGTTCCCTCGCACTGGCCAAGGCTGCACGTAGAAGGCTCAGCTCCAGCTCCCCAAGCGCAGCCTCCTCTGCCCAGCGTCGCTACCAGCGCAAAGCTGCGCCCGAAATGCCTAGCTTGAGGCAACGTCGCCTTGCTCTAGCTGCTGTCCGCCAGGCGGAGCGTGAGCGTGACCAGCTTCGACGTCTGGCCAATGAGCTTCGACTTCCCAGCTCGGCCAAGCCGGGCGGCCGTACCGACACTAGCTTCCTCTCGCCCACCAGCGAGTATGGACCGAGCGCTGCACCGCCAGCGACAGGAACGGCCAACGCTCCAACAACCATCTACTCGCCCGGTCAATCGACGACAGGCCTGACCTCGATCTCGCGGGCACAACGTCGTTTCGGGCGGGACTCAGAAGGGGCTTACTCACGCTACGAGGCTTGGTACGATGCAGCTACTGTTGAGCCTCCCGCAGCCAGCAGGCCAAGCTTGGAGCAGCCCTTGCCCGCCTATCAGCCTTCCGTCGCCGGGTCGCAGAGAGAGAGGGCGCTGAGGGGTGGAGAGGATCTAGGATTTGGAGCTGGGCGACTGCCCGTGGCTGCTAGATATGAAAGTGAATGGGTCGAGAAGTTGAGATCCTAGTGCGATCACTTTGCTTCAGTCCGTCGATCGTATGCTACCCTGTCTTGGCCATCTATTCGTCTTGGCCCATCTCATCTATATCTCTTGCTCCACCTAGATCGTCGTAAGCTTGGCCTCTTCCTCCTTCTTCACCTCCTCGCCCTCATTACTCCTTTTCCTCCTCAGCACGCATACTCCCTCGACGTGGTATGTTTGAGGGAAGAGGTCCGCCCCTCTTACACTAACCACCTCGTACCCCCCTTCACTTCCTCTCACAATCTGCCCAACGTCCCTCGCCTGCGTATGAACATTACAGCTCACGTACACGATTTGTTCCGGTCCCAAATTTACCAGTTGCTTCACAAACGCCTCGTCACACCCGCGTCGTGGGGGATCGATGACGACAGTTGTGCGAGCGGGAGGGTAGGAGATGGTCCCGAAGATGTCCTCGGCATTGCCCGCTAGGAAACGCACGTTGGGGATGCTGTTGAGCGTTGCGTTCCTGCGCGCGAAGTCGATTGACTCCGCTGTGATTTCCACTCCAGCGACCTCCTTGAAGAGTGGGGCTAGAAGCAGTGCAAAGAGGCCTGAGCCGCAGTACGTGTCGACGAGATAGTGTTCTTGATCCTGTCCCTCGCCAGTAGTGGAGCGAGCGGAGAGAATGGCCTCACGTACGTACTCGATGAGCCCGGGGAGGACTGAGCGGTTATTCTGGAAGAAAGACCCCGAAGGCGTCTCGAAGCGGACATCTTGTACTTTCTCCCGGACTACCGCACGGTATGAGGTGACGACTTCTGAGTCGCCTACCAGTGCTGGAGTGGGACCGCCATCACGCGTCGAGACAGGGTCCTTCGCGCGGTCATCTTCGCTGATGCCAAACGCAGATGCGGTGAGAGAGTCGCGAAGAAGGAGGGTGGCGCCGTTCGGGAAGGAGTTGATGGAGCTGTACGGGCGGGTACGTGTCAGTACCAGGATGGGCTAAGTTACCGAAGGAAAGGTGTGGTGCACTCACTTCTTGACCTTCCTCTTTTCGACAGGCAAAGCCTCCTGCAGAGCCGGAGTCGCAAGGGGACACTCTTCAATATCCAAAATGCCGCTCTTCCCTCCACCCTTGATGGTATCGAAGCCGATGCTGACATCATCGGCCCACTGCCTGCTGAGCTCCTCCAACTCCTCCGGATCCACCTTGTCCAGCACTCCCTTCATCTGCTCACGCGCCTGCCCCTTGCCTTTGCCTCGGCGAAAGTTACCCTTACCACCGCCATGGGTGTTCTTACGCCGAAAGTCGGTGAGGGAGCGTGGAATCTCGAAGTGAGGGGTGAGCTTGGTGCGGTACCCGTATTGCATTGGGGAGGGAAGTGTTGGGAGGGTGGAGGGGAGGAGGGAAGGGTCGAGCCCAGAGTAGTGCGCGAAGGCGTGGGTGACCACGTCCTGTTTGATGGACAGCTGTTTCTCGTAGGTGAGCATCTGTGTGGGCGAGGAGGGGAGAGAAATATTTATGTCAGTTGCCGCTGCGAAGGGCTCACGACTTGATGTGACACCAACCTGATATTGGCATCCCGCACAATCTCCAAAGTACTTGCACCCCACAAGATCGTCTCTTCTATCGTCGCTCTTTTCTAGTACCTCCACCAGATCGCACTTGGAGTGCAGTCTCTCATTGCGATCCACCCTCACCCTCACAAGCTCGCCCGGCAGCACATGCGGGACAGTGAGCACCCAGTCACCAGAAGGGGCAACCATGACTCCCTCGCCCTTTGCGGACAGGCGCAGCACTCGTGACTCAAAGATGGTGTCGCGTTGGAACTTGTCTTGCCATTCTCCTGATCCCTGGCCGTTGTTGGACATGATCTCGTCCACCTTTTCCCTGCCTAGCACTGCGAGGATGTCAAACCAAATGGGTTCTTCACCCGTTTTGCAGAGGGTGGCCTGGCGAGCCTTCTCTTTTGCTTTGACCTTCTTTGCAAAGTGCTTGGGGTCGAGAGGACGCTGAGGACGGCTATTCGGCTGGTTGGCTGAAGCTCCGTTGGCGCCATTGATGCCATTCTGTGGTTGAGCAGATGTTGAGGCGACAGAGAAAGAAGAGGCGGCGGCTGTAGGAGCAGTTGAAGCACGAGGAGATTCAACCCTCTGCCTCTTGGGTGGCGGAGAGGCCGAGGTAGCAGCGGTAGATGACATGGCTCTCAGCAGCCAAGAAGTGGTGAGAAACGCTGTTGCTGCTCTTGGCCTGGCAATGAGACGGCCAATGTGCATAGACTGGTCCTCGTTGGAAGTGAGGATGATGAGAAATGCGACTTCGACGCAGCAACGCAGCCGCCCAAAACTTTGGCGCCTCAGTCCGCCATCCGCGTCCGCTTCGCAATCAAGAGCAAGCGGGCGTGAGCAGGTCAAGATACGAAGGGCCCTGTGGAAGCGCAGTATGGATCAGGCAGCATGAAAACGAGCGGTTGATATCAAAAAGAGAGAAAGAGCCATAGCCACAAGGCCGTCTATACACTGAATCCCATGGCCTGCTCCCTCTTCCTCTCGGCCTCTTTATCCTTGCTCAATTTGCTCTCCAGCTTCGCAAATTCGTCCAGGCTGATCTCCTCCTCCGGATCCAGTACCTGTTCCACTCCCTGGACTTCAGGAACGTAATGCTGCAGCATTCTCTCGACGCCATTCTTGAGCGTCACAGACGAGGAGTCGCAGCCCCTGCACGACCCTTTCAGCTTGATGCGCACTAGACCGTCCGTGTCCTCTCCAAAGCCGCGATACTCGAGATCGCCTCCATCCTCCTGAATCGCCGGGCGCACACGAGTGTCGAGCAGCTCCTTGATCATGGCGACCGTCTCTGAGTCGGTGTCCAGGATGGTGGTATCACTGCTTCCTTGCTCCAGCCCCTCCTCATCGAACAACGCCCTTCCTGCAGTGAAATGCTCCATCAGCCTCGAATAGATCTCGGGCTTCAACGTCCCCCAGCTCGTCTCCCCAACTTTGGACACCGTCACAAAGTCCGGACCAAAGAAGACGGACTTGACTCCTTCGAGGCCAAAGAGGACCTTGGCGAGAGGGGAACGCATGGCATCGCGATTGTCCATGAATTCCGCTGTGCCGCTCGCCATTACTTGTTGCCCTGGGAGAAACTTGAGCGAGTCTTCATTCGGGGTTGATTCCGTTTGGATGAACATGGAGCGTGGCGAGGACGAGGAGAAGGCACGGAGTGCTGGAGTGGCTGGCAATGAGGGTGGCAAAGGTGAGGACGCGGCTGCTGGTCGAGCTGCGCTCATGAGGCGGGGCGTGGTGCGCCAGGCTGCTGTGCGGCTGCTCTCAGCGAGCTGGCGAAGTGTTGACGCTGACGATGTGAGTGCTCTTCGTGAGTTGGCCATTGTAATTAGTTCGTTGATGAATGGTGGAGAAATGCGTTGGAAATGTGAGCCCGACGTCGACTCGACTTCAAAGCCGTTCAGGCCGGGCGTGAGCGTGAGTCGAGTGGAGACGCATGTGGCAGGAACGGAACCAGAGTGAGACGACGAGACGGAGAGACGGACATGGACGACGGATGGACGGAGGACTACGCTGAGCAGTGAGCTGCATACACTCGACCTCAATCTCCATCTCCATCTCAGTAAACCCCTCGGAATGCCAAGGGAGTACGGCGGCCACGACTGGAGGAGAGACGATCGAAGGGACGACAGGCGCGACGATCGATATAGCAGTCGGCGTCGTCGAGATGAGGAAGAAGAAGATCGCGATCGTAGACGTAAGCATCCCGAGCGTGAGGAGCATTCGTCTTCGTCGAGGCGACGTGAGACTGGTTCACCCACACATTCTCGCTCCTCTTCCTCGCGCCACCACTACGATGACGACCATCGCCGGCATGACAGCAGGCGGCACGAGGGCAGCAGCAGCAGCAGCAGCAGCCGATATGACGACGGCAGACGCCACGACAGCAGAAGAGACCATCATCGCTCGCAGCCTACGTCGTCGTCCTCGTCGAGGTCGCGTTGGGATCAAAGGGACGGCAGTGAGGTGAAGAGGGATAGGTATCAAGAGCGCCAGCGAGAGGATCACTATCCCGCAGCTCCTATTTCTTCTACGCCTGCCTCCAGCACTTCTTCGCTGCCAGCGCCACTCGCTTCACTACCAAGTAAGCCAGCGTTTCTGCCCGCCAATGTGCACGCAGCCGATGCCTCAGGCAGCTCATCTTCTGCCCTCAACAGCCCTTCGTCGCCCTTCACACCGCTTGGAAGCACCGAGGACGAAAAGGCAAGAGCAAAGAAGGAGAGACTGGAGGCATGGAGGAAGGAACGTGAAGCCAAGAAGGCCCTCGAGGAGGCAAAGGCTAGAGCGCAGAGTCTTGCTTCGGGCATCGCAAACGGACGTGAGTTGGCGAAAGCTCCGTGGAGAAATCAGACTGCTACTGACGCCAGTTTCGCACCGACAGACTCATCGAGCGGCACGACCAGCATCAACGCAGCTGGATTGAAAGGCTTCGCAGCCAAGGGTTTGACGGCCAATCTCAAAGCGGCAGGCTCGTCAGCCATGGACGATACAGGCGATCAGCCGGCCAAGAAGCAATTCAAGAAGCTCAATCTGCCGCCGATGGATCCACTGCTCAAGCCTGGCGCTGGTGGCAAAGTCGGCTCTGGCTCGGATCTCGAAGACGAGGATGATGATGATGACGACGCAGAGGAGGCTCCACAGCCGCCATCCGCGACAGCAAAGATGGATGTCGACGGCGAGGAAGATGAGGTAGATCCGTTGGATGCATTCATGAACACCGTCAGCTCGGAAGTCAAGACAGTCAATGAGGCGGACCGCAAACGCCTCGGCATCACGGACGAGCCAAAGATCAAGCCGCCAGTCATGAGTACCGATGCCGAAGATGACGAGGCCAAGGGTGAGGCGAGTGCAGACGAGCTTGATGCCGTCGGTGCGGAAGACATCATGGCTCTTGCAGCTCAGAAGATCAAGAAGAAGGAGATGCCCACCGTCGACCACTCCCAGATCGATTACGAGCCCTTCCGCAAAGAGTTCTACCACCCGCCGTCAGAAGTCGAGGAGATGACAGAGGAAGACGCGGAACGGTTACGGATGGAGCTCGACGCGATCAAGGTGCGAGGCAAGGACTGTCCCAAGCCTCTCACCAAGTGGAGCCACTGCGGTCTGCCCGCCACCTGCCTCGACGTCATCAAGAAGCTGGCGTACAAGGCCCCCACACCCATCCAGTCGCAAGCGATCCCTGCCATCATGTCGGGTCGCGACATCATCGGCGTCGCCAAGACGGGCTCGGGTAAGACGATGGCCTTCTTGCTCCCCATGTTCCGCCACATCAAGGATCAACGTCCAGTCGAGAAGATGGAGGGGCCCATCGGCCTCATCATGACGCCTACTCGCGAGCTCGCCGTGCAGATTTTCAGGGAGAGCAAGCCCTTTCTCAAGGCTACAGGGCTTCGCGCCGTCTGCGTGTATGGTGGTGCCCCCATCTCTGAGCAGATCGCCGAAATGAAAAAGACGGCAGACATCGTAGTCGCCACGCCCGGCCGGATGATTGACCTGCTCACCGCCAATCAGGGTCGCGTCACCAATCTCCGCCGCGTAACTTACCTGGTATTGGACGAGGCGGACCGCATGTTTGACATGGGCTTCGAGCCTCAGGTGATGAAGATAGTCAACAACGTTCGGCCAGATAGGCAGACAGTCCTCTTCTCCGCCACCTTCCCAAAGCAGATGGAGAGCCTCGCCCGCAAAGTTCTCCGCAACAAGCCTATCGAGGTCACCGTAGGCGGGAGAAGCGTCGTAGCGGCTGAGATCGAGCAGATAGTCGAGGTACGTGAGGAAGAGACCAAGTTCACGCGCTTGCTCGAGATCCTGGGTCAGACGTACAACAGCGAGGAGGATGCGCGCACGCTCATCTTCGTGGATCGGCAGGAGGCTGCGGACGACTTGCTACGCGAATTGATCAGAAAGGGGTATATGACCATGTCGCTGCACGGTGGCAAGGATCAGGTGGACCGCGATGCTACCATTTCGGACTTCAAGGCCGGAGTCTGCCCAATCGTCACAGCCACTTCGGTCGCCGCTCGTGGCCTGGACGTGAAACAGCTCAAGCTCGTTATCAACTACGACGCTCCCAATCACATGGAGGACTATGTCCATCGAGCCGGCCGCACGGGTCGAGCAGGCAACAAGGGTACATGCGTCACCTTTGTCACTCCACAGCAGGAGCGCTACGCCCGCGACATCATCGCGGCGCTCAAAGCAAGTAAAGTCGCGGTGCCTGCTGAGCTGCAAAGCCTCGCCGACTCATTTGCAGAGAAGGTGCAAGCAGGCAAAGCCCAAGCTGCTAGCTCTGGATTTGGGGGTAAAGGGCTGGAGAGATTGGAGAGCGACAGAGAGAAGACGTTGCGCGCTCAGAGGTCGGCCTATGGTGAGGGAGAGGAGGGCAGCCGCGCTGCGGAAGGAGCAGGAGATGGTCCGCAAGCCAAAGAGCTCGAAGAGATCAAGGTGCAAAAGGGACCGCCACCAGCAGATGATGGGCTCAGCGGCGTACGAGAGATGCAGATCGAGGTCAAGAAGGGAGCCGCTCCTGAGGCCATTCGAGAGAACAAAGTCGGCGCGGGAGAGGGGAAGGCCAGTCCTGCTCCCGCGAACGGCGAAGGTTCAGCCGCAGCTGCGCCGAATGCTGCCGCTCTTGCTGCAGCAAAGGCCTCAGGCGCAGACACAAAGAAGCTGGCCGAGGCTCTCGCCCGTATCAACGCCCTCGCCGCTGCCTCTAAAAAGGCGCAGGCCGCAGCTCGCAATGGCGGTGGCGCCGATCAGCCAGAGCGCAAGCCCAAAGACCCTGACGCGACAGACTACCATGCGATCGTCCCCATCAATGACTTTCCCCAGAAGGCTCGTTGGAGATGCACCAACAAGGAGACCATGTCCATGCTCATCACGGAGACGGGGGCGGCAATTACGAACAAGGGAATCTTCTACGAGAAGGGCAAGGAGCCGGCCGCAGGAGAGCCGCCGAAGTTACAGCTATTGATTGAGAGTAACGATGAGGAGAAGGTGGAGCATGCGGTACGCGCGATCAAGAGTATACTGTTGGAGGCTACGCAGGCAGCACTGGAGCAAGAACAGAGACAGGCCGGACCGGGAGGTGCGCCTGGTGGTGGTGGAGCCGGAGCGGGGACGGGGCAGGCTGTTGGGAGGTACAACGTCGTATAGGGTAGAGAAATGCAGATTCATCGAGCACTATCGTCTATTGATTACAGGACTTCTCCGTCTGCCGCACTTTGTACGGGCGCGGGTAGCTGCCAGAACTCTGCCTCGGACGGATGCGGGCGGCGTACACTCGAAGCGCCGTGCTTGCCAGTCTCGTCAGCCTTGTCTCGCCCACGCCGCCGCCTTGCTCTTCGCGGAGGCACAGCAGTCATGCTGCTCTCAGTCTGTCCGCCATCGCCACCGACCATCTCGGCCCCATGTCGTGCCCTCGTGTTGCTAGCACTTGACTCCTCTGCTCCTACTTCATCCGTTGCCACATCAAACCATTGAAAGCCCAAATCACTCAATGCCTCTCCGGCTCCAGCGCAGGGCTCCTTTGCTCCCACCTCTGGCAGCCAGATGGCCGACATGTGAGGCGCAAGCCGCCACAGAGCAGGCGCCTCACGCGCAAGGCGGGCTTCGTCTGGTGATAGCTCAGCATATCGTGTGAGCCGGTTGCAGAGGAGAGCTGTGTCGTATTGATGAGCCTGAGCCAGCCCTGCGCTAGGCGTGAGTGAGGAGGAGTGTGCAGGGATCAGGGCCGCTCGCAAGTACGCCTCATAGAGTTGACGAGGGCAGTGAGGCATGTATAGGAGGGTACGCGGCCACGATTGGTCTTGGCCAGCGTCGATCGATGGGAAGAGAGCAGTAGGTGCTACTTCGTCCCGCGATGAGGCTGCAACGCCAAGCGCATTGAGAACCTCGGCATCTCTCTCTGTGGAGAGCGGATCAAATGCGAGGAGCGTCGGGCGACGGGCCGCTCGTTGTTGTTCAGCCGCAGCCTTTGTCCCCAGTGGATGCGAATGCGAATGCTCTTCTCCACTGCTTGCGTGACTGCCCTCCATGTTCCTCTTTCGCTCAAAGTAGTCAGCCATGACCAGCAGTAATGCAAGCTGAATCTGTGCACTTCGACTCTGCGCGACGCTCCCCATACCCAGGGCTACGATGCGGTCGGGGACCCATCGGCTTGGACGAGAAGGCCCTGCGCCCGTTGACAGCGAGAGTGACGACAGCAATGAGGCTACTGACTCTTGCCTGGGGCTGTCAATTGGGCTTGAAGCGGATTCTGTCGCTTTCTCTTCAGCATGCGAGAAAGCTCGCTGCGTCCTGGCTGACGCGCTGGCGTGGGAGAAGGCGTCTATGCTTTCGAGCAGCAACTGAGCGAAGGGACCTTGCTGTAATGCTCGCTGCTTCGAGCGTATCAGTCCGATGAGGTCTTCGGTGGATGGGTGAACAGCTGAGCTCCCTCTTTCGTGAACGTTGTCTGCTTGTCTTCGACCTGCCCTCTTGTTGCCCTTCGCCTTGCGACCTGGTTGGCGCTTGCGCTGCACATAGGAGAAGCCACCGTGGCCGCCGCCAGCTTCCCGAGGATCATCTTGTGCCTCAAGTTTATCGCCTTGTTCGTCGTTTGCGCATGGCCGTTGCCCCACCTCTGCTTGCATGAACCGTGGCCTTGTTGAAGTTGGGTTGAGGCGGGCAGAACGAAGAGTGCGCCTTTTTCACGCCTCGCCTCGTCTGGCTGGTTCCGCCCGTGCCGACTCCACAGCGACGTTGCGGGGTTGGGATGAGTGGCCGCTTCCTTCCTTTGCTCCTTGACATCGTCCACTCCCAAACGCACAAATGTCTCTCGACTCCAGCTCAACCAGTCTGGAGAGCGGGAGCAGTCCACGACGTCCCTCCTCCCCTTCCGCCATGAGTGCGACGTCGGGCTCCTCGTCATCAACAACCAAGGCCTCGCGGCTTGAGCGACTTCAATCGCACATGCTCACTTCGCTCCTTTCCCTCCAATCCGTACCTCCTCCAAATCGATTGCCAGTGGCCAAGAATAAGGAGCCGCTGAGCTTGCCAACTACAACGAGGAACTTCCGCGGCTTTGTGCAGAAGAGCGGACCGGTCTTCGCTATTCAAGATGCCGTGCACGAGACGTTGATGTGGGACCACCCCGCGAGGACGCTTTGCGTCATGGGAATATGGGGCATCATCGGTGAGCAGGCTTGGATTCTCATATTTTTGCGGCCACGACTGACGCTGTCATTGGCCGCCACAGCCCTCTACCCCAACTTGCTCGTGCCCCTCCCCACGTTTCTTCTCTCCCTACTCCTCCTTCAGACGTACCACGCTCGCTACCCGACCTTGGCTGCGAATGAGGACGACAAGGTCAAGCCTGCAGACGTGGTCGACCACGCTGTAAAGCACCCTACAAGTACGGGACATGGCAAGCCGAGACCGCCGATCGTGCCCGAGCCGCCGAATGAGGTGCGTGTGCGGACATTAAGCTGAGGATGAATGAATGGAATACTGATTCCCCACCCTCTGTCGCCCTTTCGCAGGGGTCGATCAAATATTACGAGAATCTGAGGGACATCCAGAACATGTGAGGCGGCTCTACCACCTCGCTCTCCTGTTCCAACTGCTCACACTTCTCTGCCCCCTCGCGCGCCAGGATGAAGATGATCACCGACATCTACGATCTCCTCTCCCCCTTTGCGATCCACCTCAACTGGTCAACACCGGACCATACGCTCCGCATCTTCCAGTCTCTCCTCCTCGTCACCCTTGCCCTCTTCTTGATCTCCCCCTACCTACCCTACCGACTCATCCTCCTCGTAGCTGGCGAAGGGGCCCTCATCGCCAATCACCCCTGGGTGCAGCCCACCATCTCCCAGCTCTCCACGCGCTTCTTCTCCCCCTCTCGCAGGGAAGGCCGAGCGCTGAGGTCAAGTCAGAGGAAGATGATGGCCCAGATGCACGAGTGGATGCGAATGGACTCCCTCCCCGATGAGGTGTGGGAGAGGGGATGGAGGGATATCGAGGTCTACGAGAATGAGAGACACAGTGATGATGCCGCTACGGCTAGGGCGGCGGATCGCCATGGGTTGGGACATGCGGGCAAGTGGAGTGGGCATGCGTTGAGATTTGGAGAGAGAAAGGTGAGCAGCGGCGCGCAGCGATCGTTACGAAGGAAGTGGCATGGATTGAATGCTGATCAGCTGATACTTCGCTATTGCAGCCCTGGACTAGAGGGGCAGACGGCTTTGCAGATGCCACGGGCGAGGAGCTGGGCGAAGGATACACCCTTGACGTGAGGTGAGCACACACGGGCGCCGTAACTTCCACCAAATTCATTTCATCCCCAACTGAGCGCTCCCTCTCCCTCCGTCCTTCCTGCATCGCGGCACCAACAGCAGACGTATAGCCATGTCCCTTCCCACCGGCTGGAAATGGGTAGAAGGCGACGAGTGGCGTATCGACTTTGTCGGTCGCTGGACGAGCGCTGCGGCCGGTGGAGTCGAGCTCGATGTGGATGAGGAGGGGTGGCTCTACACGGATGCAGACTGGCATAATCCGGCTGGCTACGCGTACGGGCATGAGGGGCAGCCCAGCGCACCGCCCAAGATTGAGCACGAGGATGACGAGGCAGAGGATGATGAGAAGGCAGAGGTAGCGACTATCATGTCGTCCAAAGGAGGAAAGAAGAGTGGGACATCCGGCACACGGTGCGCTGAGACGAGACGGAGGAGATGGCTCAGGCGAGCGATGCGCGTTGTAGGGGACGAAGACCTGCCTGCACAACGCGTCTAGTAAGGAAGTGACAGCGATGCGCAGCAACAAGCTAGCAGCGATTCAAATGTTGTTGATACAATTACAAGGTGCAGCACACTGCGCTCATCTCTGCCCCAATGGTGCGTTATTCGCCCCCGTCATGAAGCTAGGCGGAGGAGGCGGTCCACCCATGTACTGATGCGGCGGGCCTCCGTACCCATTGACGCCCGGCGGAGGCCCAGAGTACTGCGGGAAGCCCATTGGAGGTGGTGGAGGAGGCGCGCCGCCCGCCTGCTGCTGCTGCTGCTGCTGCTGCTGTTGACCGAAGCCTGGCGGCGGAGGCGGAGGTGGTTGTTGCTGCTGATAGGCCGCGCCTGTAAAACCCGGTGGGGGAGGCGGGGGAGGCTGTCCACCACCGAAACCAGGCGGAGGTGGGGGAGGTGCTCCCATCCCATTCATCGGCGGTGGTGGTGGCGGTGGCATGGCTGGAAGGGCAGGCAGCGCACCATTCTTCCTCGCCTGTGCAGCCAACAATCGCTCCGCCGCAGTACCGTGTCTCTCCCCTCCTTTTCCGTCCTTCTTGATGGCGTACGAGACATTAACCGGCCTGTTGAGCAAGAACTGCCCCTGCAGCTGCTCGATGGCTGCATCCGCCGCCTCGAAACTGTCAAAGGAGACGAAGCCATACGCCTTCGATGCGTTTGTGGATGGGTCGCGGGCGATTTTGGGGAGCGAGGCTAGACCGCCAAAGGTTGAAAATGTCTCCCAGAGGACGCGCTCGTCCACTGCTGGGTCGAGGTTGCCGACGAAGAGATTCGCACCGATGTCGATCTGCTTGCGGTCAGAGGAGGCTTTGTTCACGCGGATGGGCTTGCCGTAGAGTTTAATCCCCTGTGCGGGAGCGATGAGGAGGGATCGGAAGGTAGCGAGAAGGTCAGCATCTTTACGTATGCCATGATGACGAGATCAGCTCACTCGCACTCACATTCATGATGGAACACGCATAGTCGGCATCCCTTGGCGTCTGGAACTCTGCGAAGCCGTATCCCTGATGTTGCGATGTGATCCTGTCCTTTGGCAGATGGACATTCGTCACAGGCCCAGCTTGCAGCATCAGCTCCCAGACGAGGGCGTCGGACGCTCGATCGTCGAGATTGCCCACGTAGCAGGTCGCATCTTGGTTGCGATCTGCTTGCGGTGGTCCGGACATGCCTGTCTGATCGAAGGGCGAGAGAGTGGGGAGAAGGTGTGGAAAGAGAGATGGCAAAAGGCGGAAAGGCCAGACGTCGTTCTCAGTCCGACGGAGGATCGTCGTCGACTCGTGCGTCGAGGGCGGACTGACAGCTTGATAGATATTTCAACGTCACAACCAACACTTTAAAAGGCAATCAGGTCTCATCGACAGCGACTATGGCTTCGGCCATTGCTCTCAGCAGCAATTCGACTGCCCTGTTGCAAACGGACCTCACCTTGCAGCTCTCAGCGCTACGCAACACACCGTCCCTCTCCCCCCGCGGCGTGTACGTCGTCCCCTCGACCGCAAACCCACTCCTCCTCGATGGGGTTCTCTTTGTCGGCTCATCAGGCCCGTACGCAGGTGCAATCTTTCGCTTCACGCTGCAATGGTCCTCTGTCAAGCCTATCGTATGCTTCGACCCGCGCTGCGTGCCTGCTCATCCCCTCGTCCAAGCCGCTGCACCGCATAGACTGAACTTGACGCCGCTCCTGGCTGAAAGCGGCGAGGAGGGAATCACCACGCTGCCCCTCATCCTTGGCTTTGTACGAAGTATCTTCCAACCACAGTACCTGCGCAACGAACTCGTCAAGCGACCAGACTGGTTTACCAATTACAATGTGGACGTGGGCTCGCTACTCGTCAAGCAGTACGGCCAGCATGCCCAATCGCAAGCCGCTGGCGGTATCTTCGACAGCCTTGCAAAGCAGAGCGTACGACTCAGCCTCTCGCCTGCTGTATTGTACGGTCACGGCCGAGGCACAGCCAAGGGGGAGGGCGAAGCGGTCAAGTCGAATATCGTCTTTCCCGAGGAGCTGCTCTCGAAGGGCAGGAAGGCGGCTGAGGAGGAGCAGGAGAGAGAGCGGTGGATGGAGCAACTAAAGCGGGACATCTTCTATGGCGATGAGGATGGAGGAGGCAGCTAGGGATGCAAATGACTCATTGAGATCAGCCATAGATACCCACTGTTAGGCTCAAGGCAAGAATACATGCGGGCGATACCCTCTGACGTACCTCGAGCAGCCACATTGCGATCGCTCATGGTAGCTAGTGGCAACCTTCTAGACGATATTGACGTCTCGCCCGCTCTGCACGCAGGACATAATGAGTCAACGTCTCGGGCAATGTGGAATTTGTTGAAGGCGATGTTCAGTTTATCGATGATGGCTCGTGATCGCCGCCACAGTCACTCCATGACCCACGGGCAGCATGATCATCGAAGCACTCAGCAGACTCAGCGATGATGGCATCGCCGCTGGCAAGGCAGCCAACTCGATCCGATCGTCGTAGAGGCCACCGTGAGAAAAGTGCGAAGGATGATTGCGCGAATATGGTCTGACGAAGCGTCGCCATCGTAATGAGACTGGATCCAACGTCATGATGAGCCCCAGGTGGCTATATTAGTTGAAAGGAGGCTGAGCTCAGCCCAACTGATCGCTCGACGTGGCTTTTCTCAGGTCCACCCCAACGTCAGAGGGTCAGAATTGACAGAAAGCTCCTGCTCGCTTCAAACATTCATCTCGCAGGTTACCGTCGGTATCTGGCTCAGGCTCTGATCATCGCCGGTGTGGTGTTGATCGATCGAGGTGGTCGCAGGCACGGAGCTTGAATCTGGCGCGGCAATTGATTCCCTTCGCCAGGGTCCATCCATGACGTTGGCTGCATCTGCCTCCACTGCGCGACCCAGCCTTAGCGCCGCCGCACTGAGTCGGTGAATTTTGCCAAGTCGGGGGCGACGCGATGCGGGCGGCACAAACGGGCCGAGGTGGCACGCTTTGGTCAGCTTCTGTGGCTCGTCGAACCACACTCGGAGATACGTGAAGATGGGACAAATTCATTCAAAAGGCATGACACAACTTCTGCCCGTCCACACCCACCATCCATCTCTCACCCTCATCGCCCTTGCTTGCCCACGATGAAGGACACCCTGCGCGAGACGTTTGTGGGCCAGATTGTGTACCAGCTTTCGGGCAAGAAGCTGCTTCGATATCCAGAAGAGGAGCCCGACTTTGTAGTCCCAGAGAAGTATAAGAAGGGGTACAAGGAAGGCCTTGCGCAACGTAGCAGCAGCAGCAACGACAAGAGCAACGAGAAGCCGGCGCCGGCTTCGGTACCGGCGTTTGAGCGCCAACCAAGCGGCCTCAGCACACCGGGTACCGACCGTTTCTTCGACGCGCACCATGACCAACGCTCCCTGTATGCAGCAGAAGGAGCACCCACGCCAGCCAACGAGAAGCCTTCACCGCCGACTCCGGCCAGCAGCGGCAGTGACGCCTCGTCGCGAACTCTCGATGGCGCTGCCACCTCAGGCGTGCCCAAGGACGGCGGCGACCATGGTCGCATGCTCGAAGAGAACCGCAAGGCTGTCGAGCGACAGGACAAGGAGGCCAAGGGACAAGAAGACCCCTACATCGTTGACTGGTACGGTCCAGACGACCCTGCAAACCCCTTGAATTGGAGCATGTCGAAGCGCATGTGGGTCACTTTCAACCTCTGCTTCCTCACGTTTTCAGTGTACGCCGGCTCTTCCATCGTCACGCCTGGTCTCGAAGCATTTGCTATGGACCACAGCATCGGAATGGTCCCGGCATCGCTCTCCATCTCACTCTTTGTGCTGGGGTACGGAATCGGGCCCATGTTCCTCTCTCCCCTCTCGGAGATTCCATCCATCGGCCGCAACATGCCCTACATCATCACGCTACTCATCTTCGTCGTGCTGCAGGTGCCCACCATCGTCATCAACTCGACGGCAGGATTTTTCATCCTGCGCTTCCTCGCCGGCATTTTCGGCTCCCCTGCGCTCGCCACGGGAGGCGCCACGATCGGCGATATGTTCTCGGCCAAGTACCGTTCGACTTGGATTGGCGTTTGGGGTCTCTCCGCCGTCTGTGGTCCCACGCTCGGTCCTCTCATCGGAGGATGGGCATTCCAGGGCACCATGGACTGGCGCTGGACACTCTGGCCGCTCCTCATGGCCTCGGGTGCAGCGCTTCTGCTCCTCTTCTTCACCCTCCCCGAGACGAGCTCCACGAATATCCTTGTCCGCAGGGCGAAGCGTCTGCGCAAGTTGACTGGTAACGAAGAGCTGCGCAGCGCTGGAGAGGTTGCTCAATCACAGATGACTGGAAAGGAGATTGCAATGATGACTTTGGTCAGGCCCTTCCTCCTCACCGCGGTCGAGCCGATGGTCTTTTCACTCGTAAGTATGGTCGACGCGACGCATGTCGCGCGCGCGCGCATATGACATCTACGGCGCTGACCTACTTCTCATTCGTCTTGATACCATTAGAACCTCCTTATTGGGCTAGTTTATGCAGTCCTCTACGCTTGGCTCGAGGCCTTCCCTCTCGTCTTCAATGGTCCGTACGGCTTCAACTACGGTCAGCTGGGTCTGGCCTTCCTCTCTCTCTTCATCGGAGCAGTGGTGACCTACTTTGGCTTCGTCGGATGGGTCAAGGTCCGCCTCGAGCCTCTCTACGACAGACAAAATGGCCAGATCCAGCCGGAGGTCCGCTTGGAGCCCTCCATGTTCGGCATCTGGTGGTTGCCCATCTGCCTCTTCGGTTTCGGCTGGACGGCAACTGCGTCGATTCACTGGATCGTGCCCCTCATCTTTGCCGCGTTCTTCAGCGTTGCCACATTCCTTGCTTTCCAGTCAGTCCTCAACTACCTCGCCGACAGCTACCCAGACTACATCGCATCGATCCTGGCTGGCAACGACTTGTTCCGTGCGGGGATGGGAGCAGCCATGCCTCTGGTCGCGCGAGCCATGTTCAACAACTTGCAGGCGAATGGACCCAAGGCCTTCCCCGTTGCTTGGGGCAGTACGCTGCTGGGCTGTATCTCCCTTTTGTTCATCCCGCTACCCTTTTTGCTCTACAAGTACGGGCCCAAGCTTCGCAGCTACTCCAAGTATGCCACGTACGGCCAGTAGGCGCGCCCTGTTTCGATGTCCCGTGATATCAATAGATCTGTTGGACGCCATTGCATCGGTGTGAAGCGATTGGCCAGCGTCGTGAGAAGTCTATATCGTCCATGAGTTATTTTGTGCTGCGCCAAGGCTGCCCAACATATTCGGTGACATCCAGGCGGAGATGTCACGCGACTGCGCAAGACAGGCGCCCGAGAAGACGGTGTGAACGAGACAAAAATGCTGTTACACAATGCAGATGTACAAGAGTAAAATGATACCGTCCTGATGCAGTCCCTAGCAATGTCCTTCGATCCTCATCCTTCTTTGATATCCTCTCTCCTCCTCGTGTTACGCAGTCCTCGAAGCATCTCCCAACCCAGCCGGCATCTTTTGCTTGCTGGCGGGCCTCCATCTGACATTGGACCATCGCCACGGCCTATTGAGAGGCGACTCTGATCCCGTGTAGATGAGAGCGTCGTAGATGAGGCAGCCGAGCGGCCCACCGATGAGGGGCCCGAGGCAGGGTGTGTAGCTGTGCGGATGAGGAAGGGTCAGCAGGTGCGCACGATCCAGCAAGCCACGCCGACTACTCACAGCCAATAGAGTAAACCTTGCGGACCGTTGCCCCATAGGTCTCTGTAGCCGACGATGCTGAGTGCGATACGGGGTCCAAGGTCACGAGCCGGGTTAACGGCATAGCTGTTGGCGCGGTATGTGAGGCGCGGGAGGGTCAGTCCGCGTTGCGAAGCATGATCCCCAGCACATCGTCTACTTACGCAGTCTGCCATCCGAGTGTGGCACCAATACCCGTGATGAGCCAGAGCAAGACGATGGGAGCCATTCCATCAGGAGGAGGAGTGTTTGACCCGTCATTGATCGCCAGAATGACGATGAGGACGACCGCAGTGGCGTAAATCTCGTTGTAGATGCCGACCAGGCGTGTCCCGCTTGATCGAATGAATTCGGCAGGGTACGTCGTGAAGTACTGAGCTGTTGCTTCCGTCTTTGCGGGGTCGATGATATTCACCGGTACGTGGTACAGCCCGTAACTGAAGTGCAATGAGAGGTCAGCAGAGCCGCAGCAGGGTCCACCGGGCCGTGTCGCCACTCACATCATCAACGCGCCGAGGGTAGCGCCGGAAATCTGAGCGAAGATGTAGCCGGGCACTTTTTTCCAGGGGAACTTGCGGAACAGAGCGAGCGAGAGAGTAACGGCAGGATTGATGTGGCCGGAGACTCCTCCGCACACGTAGACGGCCATGCAAACAGCGATACCCCAGCCTGGCGGGTGAGACGAGGCACAAGGAGCGGTGGAGAGAAGGAGGGTGGCGAGTGTGAGCGAGTCAGGATGGAGGAGCAATCATCAGCTTGCATTCATCAAGGTGGTTGTCAAGACACTGCGCCTGCTCACCGAAGGACACGGAGAGGTAGCTTCCCTTGGGCGCCGACGCATCGTAGTCGGACGAAAACCTGCGAAGGAGGGTGCGTACGGTAAGAACGCGTTGCGGCAACTCATCAACCCTATCATCAGGATACTTGCAATGCCTGCACGTTGATTCCGTCTCCAAACGTCATGAGGATGGCGCATCCTAGGAATTCAGCGAAAGGCTCCCTGTAGGTATATCTGAACTTGGCCCACGGATTCGGGAACTCGTACTCGTCCGCGTCCGAGATGTCGCCCTGATCGACCCCGCGCTCCGCCTCCGTCGGGTCGAGCACCGCCTTGCCACCACCTTCCTTCGAGGAGATGTCGGACTGCTCGCTCCCAGTGTACTTGACCACGTCTTCGCTCTTGGCTACGGGCTCGAGCTGCTCGTTGACGACCTTCTCCAGGTGCTCGGCATGTCCGCGGTTGGCAGAGGAGACCTCCTCGCGGACGACGACACGTAGACGCTCCACCAGTGCGGCCACATCCGCAGCAGAGAGGGAGCTGGTGACTCCGAGCGGTGGCGTGGCATTTCCCGAAGTGCGCACGGAGGTCGGTCTCGAACCAGCCGTAGCTGGGTTGCGCTGTCCAAAGGAATGACCAACAGAAAAGTGCGTCTGAGCGTTCTTTGCATGCTGGTTCCCCTCCTTGGCGTGCGCCATGCTCCAGGGAGGCGTCACCTTCTTGTAGTGCTTGCCCGTCTTGCGATCCTTGACGATGTCGTGAGAGGGGTGAACCTTCTCATTGGCGCCGACGAGCTCAAGACGATGCCCTTCAAAGAGGTCGACACTGTTGGGCCGAGAGTGAGGCATGTCCACCACCGTGGCCACGTCCTTTGCCTGGGGAGCCTCCACTCCGAGCGGAGTCGTTGGGCGTGAAGAGGGCCGCGAAGACGGCCTGGAGGAGGGGGCCGACATGGTGTGTGGGGGCGGGGAGAGTGTGGGGAACGAAGGGGAGATGGTTGGAGAAGTCATCTCACTAAATCTTCTCCCCTTTTGTCAATGGGGGGGATAAAGGCAAGTTCGGTGTCGTCCTCGCCGTCCTCCGGTTCCCAAGCTCTCTCTTTCGCAGGAAGTGACCGCGTCTGGTTCAGCCGGTGCTCCGCTTGACGCTACGACACGACAATCTCTCTTTGCCTTTGCAGTGCCCTGCCTCACAACTGCACGTCGAGCAGCAGCTGTGCAGCCAACGATTTGCTCGCAGCCAGGCAGCAGCAGCAGCAGCCGTCAGACGTAGTGCGAATCGGGTGGAGCAGCCAGTAGTGCCAAGCAGGCGGATCGTCAGCCCCGCTCAGCCACTTGCGATGAGCAGCGCGCTTGGATTTCATTTCGTCGTTGATTTTACTCGGGCGACTCGGCCGCTTCGGCGGATGGGACGAGACGTCGCGACAAAAAAGGAGGGCAAAATCCCCGCGTCCGGTGCGAAAGAGAAGGGGGTACAGGCAGGAAGAGGCCAAGCGTACCAAGCCCCATCAGAGCCTGACCTGCGCCGAGAGCGCAAAGCGAACCATACTCGTTCCCATCGTCGTCGCCTTCGTCGTGCGTTCGGCCAGCAAGCTCGCCGTCCTCCTTTTTTCGTCGTCGAAGAAAGGGTTTCGCCAACTTAGCTGGCCGACAGAAGGGTGGTGACGCAGCGCTGGGTCGGCCGGCATATCCGAAATGAAGCCTTCAGTCGTCGGCTGCCTTAGCCGCCGCGCCTCGCTGCCTTCCTGATTGGCGATTGGCAGGCAGGGAGCCCAATGCGAGATCATCCAGGCGAGCGGGTCCCAGGGCTTGGAACGCAGCGCGTGGTGGGAAGAAGTCGACGAGCGAGAGGATTAGGGACGGCCACGTCGAATGCGACGACGACGACTTCGAAGGGCGAGAATACCGAGCGTGGGACCATGACCGCAAGGTTCGTACGTGAAGACACGTCTAAATCAGTCTGCTTGGAAGGCAAGCGTCGAGTGGATTAGAGCTCGGTGTGAATTTCTGCCTTTTGAGCAAGGCTGGGCGGGGCGGGATGGGGGTCACGGGGTCGTGAGACATGCTTGCACGATTGGGTTCAGAACACTGAGGAGCCACATGACATGGACTTGCCAAGATAGGCTCGCAGAGACAGCAAGGACCGGGCTTGTCATTCCGTGAGATTGGCAGGGAGCAATGAGCAACAAGGAGCAGCCTCGTGAATGAAGGATCGATGAGAAGGCGAGTATGAAGGGAAAAGGAGCCGCGGCTGGCCGACGACGGGAGTGGAGTCGAATGGGAAAAGTTGACCTCGTGGCGGCATGAGGACGACTTGCGCATTCGCCTCAGGGATTATCACTTCACTCAGACATCAAGATGTCGTCGTTGCGTGGCTGCAGAGCTACTCAGCGATTGTGGGCCATCACGAGCACACACACGGCTAGGCAGACGCAGATAGCTGCCACTCGACGCCATCTTCATGCCTCGCCGCTCCTCGGCACCCAGGACTCATCCTCGAGGTCCTCTGGCAAGGATGCAGCAGTTCAAGATGACTATGATGAGCCCCGTGAGCCCCATGAACCGATTGCAGGTCCATCGTCCACAGCTCTCGACCAAGATCCAACGGAAGCCTCACTAAATGACATCATCGGCGGTGGAATGGACACGCCGCCTCAACCTCCCTCGTCATCTAGCTCAGCATTCGATGACCTCTTCAGCGGTCCCAATCCATTTCCGCGAGCAGAACAATCCCAATTCGGCGCTCAGTACGATCCTGTTCGCCGCGAAAGAGGAGCACCGCCGTCTCGACGTCCCACAAACTCGTCACGATACCATTTCGAGGACAGATACAGCCAACGCGGGCGTCGACCAGATCAGAGACTCTCCCCTGCTGAACGCAACCGCAGCGGGCAAAATGCCGAGTCTCGCATGAGCCAGCAGGAAAGAGACACTTGGATGAAATTGCTCGACGATATCAGCGGAGCCTTTGATGGAATGCCTGGAGGCAGCGAAGGAGGCAAGCAGCCTGGTGATCACTTCACTCCGCTGGAGCGCTTCGTCCATCGTAATCAGCTACATCCTGCCGATGCGTCGAGCGGCCAACGCATTCGTAGTACTCGCGACGCTGCATCACGCACAGCCCGTGCCGCGGCCGCAGAAGAGGCTACGCTGCTCCGTTTGGCCTCCTTGGGTGAGCAAGGTGACTTTGGCCTTGCCGCTCGTATGGAGCAAGGGGAGCTCGCCTCTGCTGTGGACAGGGCAGAGCAGGCCATGAACCTCTGCGCAGACGAGGCCGAGCTTTGGGCATGGGCGGGACGGGACGTCTTTGGCTTCGATGCCGACGAGTATGCACGGCGGGTCCGCAAAGCCAAGCTTGATACGGAGGCAAAGGTGGGCAGGAGGATCTTGGGACGGGCTGGCAGCTCGAACCAGCAGATTGAGGAGAGTCAAGCCGCAGCGCCCGCCAGGCAAGACCCGGACATCAGCAATCCTTCGACGCTCTCACCGCCGTACGGCGTCAACACCCCACTCTACGCCCCCGTTCTGCATCGCCTCTTTCTTCAGCTGCGCAACCGCTTCAACTCTCCACACTCAGCGCTTTCCCTCCTCCACATCGTCCGCTCACTGGGCCCGCAATCCCTGGTGCTGGGCTACACGCCCGAGCTACTCGGAGAGGCTGTGACCACAAGGTGGGAAGCAATGCGCGATTTGGGTGGAGCGTGCGATACGCTTCGAGACGCAAAAGCCGTAGGAGCATTGAGCAGACGGCAGCGTAGGAGACGCCCAGCTTCGATTGGGGCGGAGGGGGAGGATGAAGATCGTAGCCCTGTAGACGCGGTAGTCACTGCAGTCGCCAAGGTCAGCGAAGAGGCGCGCATGGATGTATTGCACGTCAGGACGCAGCATCTCCTTGAGGAGGCCGATAGGCGCGAGCGTGAGGCAGAGGAGGGCCGAGTGGCAGGAAAGAGCAAGAAAGAGCACGACGACTTCTTTGCTGACTGGCTCAAAGACGACGAGGACGTCTCGAAGCTCGAGGAGCCTACGGAGCCTAATGCAGCGGAGAAGGCGCCTCCGACTACGGTCACCACTGCCAGCTTACCCCTTCCCGCTCTAGACGCGCTTCGCATCGTAGACGAGATGAGCGGTTTGGCAGGGCTTGCTCGCTCCTCCAAAAGGCGAGAGTCAGCCGCGTTAAGAGGTGACTTATCTCGCCGACGAGAGCGTGGAACTTCTGCTCGTGAAGGGCATCGGAAGAGAGACGGGGAGAGGAGAGGTCCGAAAGGCGGGATCAGGGGCGAGGGACAACGTGATCTCGTCGACTTTGCCCCGTCGCCCAGCAGAAGGGAGGGAGGACGTCGAGAGCGCGATCCGCACTCCTCATGGGGCTTCTTGTGAGCGGTTACAGCCCGTAGCAATGCCTATCGCCCTCTAGTCCTCGTATCGTATCGTACGCGCGTGAGATTGGTGGGTAACCCGAAAAAGAAAACAGAGCGTGAAGCAAAAGCAATGAATGCCAGATGCGCTTGCGCTTCCTCCTGCGCGCTCGCACTACTGCCTCTCCCTGCCTACGTCCAGCCATCGACTATCTCCTACTCCGCTCCACCCACTCTTGCCCTGATGCTCCTCCCTAAACTTTGTGGTCGCCCTGCCCCATCCACTCAGCTCCCCTGCAACTCTGAGATCCCAGGGCAAGCTATCCCTGTAGACTCCTTGGAGGCCCAAATTGTCTCCGGGGCACCAATTCAGAAGATCGGCAATCTCTGGCGCCGAGGTGTAGTAAGGGTGGAACCGTCGGGTGGGGTTTCGATCGCGGCGCTTGGAGAGAAGACGTCCATGGCAGCCATACATGTCTCGCTCGAAGAGGGCAAAGCCTTTGATTTTCTGCGAGCGCGAGCGGGCGGGGCGAGGTCAGGCGTGTGAGTGAGCGTTCGTCTTCGTTGCTGGTCATTTCCCCCCTCGTTGGCGTACTCACCTCTCCCTCGTACTCCGGCTTGGTATCACCTTGGTCGTCGATGCCAACATAGTGGAACCGCTTCTGCCCACGTACGAAGTTCTTGATCGGCCAGCGGACCTGAGGAAGCGAACAATAGATAAATCAGCACTTGCTCGTCAGAATCGTACGCTGCGCTGCACTGCGCCGCTCTACGCACCGCCTTGGCATGCAACTCCTCGAATCGGCTCTTCTTCATTCCATAACCGACCACGGTGATCCTCTCTGGGTAGACCCCGGTGTACTCCCTGAACCTCGCAATGCTAAAGAGGAAGTTCTGGTACGAATCCAGAGCAAAGTTTTCCGTCGTCATCCTCACGCCTGCCAGACCCTTTGCCGTTGGCACTCCAGCATTGGCATGCGCTCCCTTGCCAAGGACGTCGTCGCTGCTTGCGCTAATTGCTTTCGAGTTGCTCTTGTGAGAGTGTGAGGACGTGGAATTAAAGGAGAAGTCGAAGCCTTGCAGCGTGGGGATGTTCATACCCGAAGCGATTGCGAGGGAGAAGTAAGACTCGGCTTCTGTCTGGAGGGAGACGGTGCGTGTCTGGCCACTGCGCGAGCGAGAGCGTGAGAGGATGATGATCAGCGTCAGTGATCGTAGCCAGCCAGGCTTGCCTTTTGGATGCAGCTTTCGAACTCACCCGCTGAAGACAAGTAGCGCCTTGGGATCGGCATCCGCAATCTCCAAACCTTTCTCGATGTGCTTCCAGTAAGTCTCGATGCTCCCTCCCACCTGATAGGGCTCCAGAATCCAATTCTCGTCCTTACTTCTGCCCTCAAAGTCACATCCCGCCCAAATAGCGTGTCCCGTAACAATGACGAGATGATCGAGTCTATTTGACCCGGGCGGTGGGGCGGGCAAGTTAGCCTTGAGCTCATCAGGCGTTGTCCCGTGGAAAGAGGACCAAGATGCGAAGCCTCTCGGTGGACGAGAGGCACCACCTAGGGCGAGGTAGCGTAGGTTGAGGAGCATGGACAACGCTGTGGCTGAAAGGAGGAGGACAATTCCCAGATTGGTGACCCGAGAGCGAGCGGCCAATCGATCTCGTAGAGGAGCATTTGGTCCAGTTGCTGAGCCATTGGAGAAGGCGAGGGAGATGGCTGATTTGCGGGCCCTTTCGTTGGCACCTGATGAGGAGCCAGCCCCGCCGCCGCTCGAGAAGAGGGACGACGACGACGTCATGCGGGGGGCGTGTGCGCGAGCGCGTGTGAGACTGTGGTAGTGTTGGTGAGTTGTTTGGAGAAGCAGGATGGAGTTGGGACGGCGAGAAATCCCCAAGTCGACTTCCAAGTCGATGTGCAAGTCGATGTGTGACGGCCGGGAAGCGGAGCCCAACCAAGTCGCTGCGCCCCTCGGCCTGCCCGCCCTCCCGCCTGCCCGCCTCCTCGCCCGCTCCGCCTCTGCGGGTCGGCGTTGATGGACAGGTGCGTGTGTGTGCGGGAGAGAACAGCCAAAGGCGGGGCGGGGCGGGCTAGCAGCGAGCGAGCGGGCCAGACGAATGTGAATAGAAGCAGCCAGCTCCCAGCTTCAACGACGTCAAGTGTGGCAGGCTAGAAAGTGGTGGTGACAAGGAAACGATTCGTCGCCAGATGGCACTCACTGGGACGGTTGAGCCGGAAACGTCTCGATCGCACGCTCATCGAGATGACTCGCAGCTCGTGAGGAGCGGTCAGGTGTCTGAACGGGCCACGAGACGCGGCCAACCACACCGTCCCAAGCCCTCAGTGCAGGTCATGGGCAAAGGCGGCCCTCACTTCCTCAGCTTCACTAGCATCGATGCTCTACACGCAAATCTGCTTGAGATCATCGTCGACTGTCTTGACAAATGCCTTGTTACGCCGTAAGCTCGTCAACCGCGACCTCAACGCCAGACAGGGAATAGCCGGTACGACTCCTTCTCCCTCACTGGCCTACCCAAGCTGCATCGACGCGGCCACCTTCCCTCGGCACCATGGCGCATCTGGCTACACACACACAAAACAGCTCAGCCTATCACTACTCAAGGTCCGCTTCCACTCATCACGAGTGCTCTACTTGCTATGCCCTGGGATTTCGTCATGCCTAAGCCTTACTTCCTGAACCAACCCCCGAGCCAGCCTCCCCCACTCTTCTTTGCGGGCTGCTCGTCCTCGCCCTCGTCGTCCTCCTCCCCAGCCTCAGCCGCAGGCGCAAACTCTTCGTCTTCCTCAGTCTCTTCCTCGTCATGCAACTCAAGCTGTTCCGCCTCATGGAAGTCATCCTCTTCCTCCCCAGTAGCGCTGACCACCGAGTGCTTTCTGGCACCGCTAGCTGCGACGGCAGCAGACGGCCCCTTCTTAGCCACGCTGCCTCGCGCAAACTCCTCCTGCCAAATCTCATCGACCCTTGACGCCTCCTGCACATCCACAGGATCGAAGTCGACGTGCCTGAGCGCAAGCGAGCGCAACTGCTGCCCAGCCTTGCTCTGCGTAAGAGACATGGCTGCGGGAGGTACAGCGCCCTTGGCCGCGCCGTGTTCAAGAGCCCACATCTCGCGCTGCGTACGCTTGAGCTCGTCTTGCACCAATGCTTCGCCACGCGAAAAAGTCTCCTCGCTCATAGCAGGTGGAACATCTGCGTCCATCTCCTTGGCTACCTCCTGGTCCTCCACAAGATCTGCTGCCTGCCTTGCTTGGCGCAATGAGAGCCCTGCTCGTCGCAGCAAGAGGCACGCCTCATCGCGCTTGCCCGCAAGGCTGTGCGCCCTTCCGAGGTGACGCAGCATTTCTGCACGGTACCACGCAAGCTTGGCGTCAATGACAGTCGAAGCGTCCGGGTCAGACTCGACAATGCTGAGCCCAGAAAGGGAGATGAGAGCCGCCTCGCAGGTGTCGTGGAGCTTGGCCAGCGCCGGAATCGTACGTGCAACGTGACGACGTGATTGGCCCTCAGAGACGAGTTGACGTCGTGCGATTTGAGAACGTTGACGCTCCAGGCGCTGCTTTTTTGCGCCGATGCAAGCGGGGCGACGCTTGCTTGCGCGTGGCGAGGCGCGGGGACGTTTGGCCAATGAGCCAGGTTGGGGCTTGCGAGGTTCCTTTTTGGAGACCTCGCGTCTGGGCTTGCTGCTGCCGCTGCTCTTTGCCTTCGGTGCCAAAGTTCCAGACTGCTGCCTCTCTTTTCTCTCCTCGCGCTTCCTCGCCTTCTCCTCTACCTGCTCTGCCAATCTCGCGCTCCTCCTGACCTGCAGTGCGAGGAGACGGTATCGCAACCACTCGTGAGCGACGCGCAGGTCCTCTCCCACACGCTCGTAGCGGGTAGAATGACTCTTAGCCAAGGCCTCGGCATTGTCGTCAACGAGGCGGCGAGCAACAGCTTCTCCGTCGGTGAGGGCGGCGAGCGCCCCGTCGAAGGGGTCCTTGGTGGAGCGACTGCTTGCAGCTGCCGCGGCGCGAGATGAGCCAGAGCTCTCGCCGTTGTTGGCAGGGGCAGCTTGGCCGCGCTTGCGAGCGTTTCGCTCAGCATGAGAGAGACGCTGCGGCTTGCGATCGGTACGGTCGCGGCGGCCAGTGGATTCGCTAGTAGCTGCGCCGACGCCGTGCTCCTTCAACGATGCTTCCTCCTTGCGCGCACGCTGCACCGCATCGACCAATTCGGGGTTCCTCACAGGCACTACTCTGTCCCTCCACTCAATCTGTACCGCATCCTCCTTGCTATCGCCGACCTTGTTTGCCGTCTCATTCAACGACTTGATCAAGATCGAGTAGTCCGGGCAGACCTTGTCCGCATCAACGCCATCCACCGTCTTTCGAGTCACAACGTCCATATCTTGCTCATCCTCGCCGAGCTGGTAGGCGCAGAATCGCATCTGTGCCTCTCCTGCGTCTACGAACGAGTTGGCGAGGGCTTCACTGCGACTGTCCGGGCTGGAGCGGGCCAGAGCGGCCAAGAGGTTGCGAGCGACGCAGAGGTGCTGAAGAGCCGCCTGCCAGTCTCCCTTGTCAAAGAAGTGGGACGCCTTGATTGTGAGGGTGTATGCTGCGATTTCGGAGCGAGAGCGGACGTCGACGCGAGACGATCCCAGAGATTCGGCGAGGCTCGCGAGCTGCTGAGACCACTGGACAGCCTTGCGTGCTCGACCAAGGCCGCGCTTGCGCAGAGCGGGGTCCTCGCCTTGAGTGTTGGATTGGGACCGAAGGTCCTGGGAGTGAGCCCAGGCTCGTTCGGCCTCAAAGAGCAGGAGTTGTGCGGGGCTGGCAGAGTGGTAGCAGAGGCGCATAGTCAGCTTATGGATTCGCAATGAACTTCCTTGCTAGCTTGCACTCACCGATCGCTGATCATCGCAGCAACATCGATCGTCTTCTCAGTGAAGACGTTACCGCCCTTTGCCTTGTCAGCAGCACTCTGCGTCACCGCCGTCTGCTTCTTCTTTCCGCGCTTCGATTGCTGCTTCTTCTGACCTCCCTTGCCAGTTGTAGCCGGTGGTGCACCATGCTTCTCGTCCTTGTGCGTAAGGTTCAAAGTCTGGCGAAGTCGGTGCGCCTTCTTTGTGCAGAAATGACGGTATCGCTCATAGTCGTGCTGACGCATTCCGTGCTCATTGCGGGCCTCGTTGACGAGGCGCAAGAGGGGCAGCGATATGTGAGCGGCATTGCCGCTCGGCGCCGCTCTGGTCGTGTCCAAGCGCATCGTGGAGGATAAGGAGGATGGTAGAGGAATGAAGCAGCGAAGGAAGGACGAACGGACGGGAGGGCGAGTGACGCCAAGTCGACTGGCTCGAGCGGCGCGCGCCCACGTGGCTTTAGGATCACGCTATGCTATTCAGGCTACGAAGACACGCCCAGCTGCTTTCGCCGTTGAGCACACCGCTCGAGGCATGCGAAGAACATGTCCCAGAGTTTCTCGACCTGAGGAGGTGAGACAGGTTGTCAGTCGGTGCCTCTCGCTCGTCCAAGCGCGCACTCACGTCGAGATGCTCAAGCACGATTGCGTTCCGCCCTCCTCTTCCCCACCACTCTTCCTCCGGCCGTTGGCACGTCTTGGCATAGAAGTCAATGACTGTCGAACCCATCGCCAGACTATGCGCAGCCGTCTCGACTTGTACTTGATATCGCTTCGGAGGCGCGCCCGTAGTTGGACAATTGAATAGCTCCGGAGCCACAACGTAAGCAACAGCAAGGACGTCATGTACAGGCGGGCCAGAAGTGAAACCGAATTCGCTCTTGTATGTGTCGGCGAAGAAGGTGACGACTGATGCGAGGGTGTCACAGAGCGCTTGATCACCACATTGATGCGCCTGAAGCCGCTCGAGATGGGAGCGTCCGAAGATGGCTTGGTGCGTTACGTTCAGGCCGGCCATGACTACGGGGACGTCGAAGTTGAAGACGATGTCTGCCGCTTCAGGATCGACGAGGATGTTGAACTCTGAATACGAGGCCGAGGATCAGCACTTATCGAACGGTGTATTCAGGTCATGGTCTGCTCACCTGCCAGCGGGCCACGATTGCCTCTTGTACCAGGCGGGGCCCCACCCATGATGACCACCTCCTCAATACCCTGCTCGACCAGATCGGGAAAGCCGCGCATTAGGAGGGCAACATTCGTCAGCGGTCCCGTAGCGACGATGGTCATCTTGGGCAGGCCCTTCTTGATGCGATGAGTGAGTAAAGCGTGCCAGAAGACGAGTAGCTCTCCGGGCGAGGAGCGCGGTAGGAGATGTCGTTGCTGCGGCACATCATACGACGCCCAGACCCTCTTTTGCACCTGTTCGCTGCCCAGTGACGGCAGACCAGTCACGCCTCCTAGCCCATCCTCGCCGTGGATATCAGGGTCGCTGCGTGGCAGCTTGTTGAGCGGCACCTCGGAACCGCAGAAGAGGTGTACTCCGTCTGATTCGAAGTCTCGCGAGTGCTTGGGGAGGGCAGCCCCGTAGAGGGTCAAGAGACGAGCCGCATTGGCGTACGTAGCTGCAACAGGAGCATTCCCTGCCACGACTGATACACCAAGGAGGTCAAGGGCCGCAGCGAAATTGCTGCCGCCGGTACAATTTTGCGGGGCAAAGAGTGCAAAGAGCAGGGCAACTGTGCGTGGCACGTCAGCATTGCCTAGGCGCTTCCCCTGCGACTTGTGTTCTGCTCACTCGCATCATCATGCCCAGGGTCGCAATCAAGCCAGATCGGCTTGCCATCGCTACGCGCCATGCTGCTGCTTGACGCTGCTTGAATCAGGTTGATAGAGAGAGAGGATGCAATTAACGCCGATCGGCGGACTCATGGGCTCATGCAGCTGTCGGGAACAAAAATGTTATCGTCTGGCCGCCCCGAAGGGCTTCCTCAATTTAGAGACACTTGGCAGTCTAATTATTTCTTGCAGGCATACGGACCTACGTATAGGTCCCGAATGCCTGAGGAGATCGCTCCACACACTTCGTCAAGCGTCGCTCAGCGGTGGCCAAGCCGCTGGGCTAAGCTCTCCGCGGCCCAGGCTGAAGGAGAAGAAAGCAACCTGATGGGCAGATTCGGCCTCGCTTCGGCATTTCGCTGCCTTCTCCACCTTCGCCGGACCGGTCCGAGCTGAGAAGACCATCGTATCAATCTCAAGGGGCAGCTTCAGGTTGATTGAATCGATTGTGATATATATGGGTAGCAGTCACGAAGAGCGCAATGCATCGTCCAACGCGCTTGACCATCACGCTCCCACCTTGCCGTACCACCGCTGAAATGTATTCGGGTGACTTCTAATCAATGACCTCCACGCCGTGTGTCCAAACTCCTCCGTAGCAGAGCCATGCAAATCGCCTTCTGGCACAACCGTCTTCCTGCCTCCCATCCTCTTCTCAGCATCGCGACTCTCCTCCTCCTGCAATGCCTCTGCGCTCATTTCCCCGCGTGGTATAGGGTCAATGACGGCTCGAAGGGACGGCATCGAAAAGTAAGGCAGGCTGACCCTGCCATCCGGGGAGGGATAGATGTGCACACGATGCGTCGCTGCTCGGATGAGGCCGCTCGATACGCGCTCGAGTTGCTGGCCGAAGTTGACGAGAATGCAGCCGGGTTTGTATGGCACATCGATCCATTGGCCGGCCACGTCTTCCACTTGCAGGCCAGGTTGCTGGTCCGTTGCGAGGAGGGTGATCCAGCCGCCGTCACGATGAGCGCCGACGCCCTGCGGATTGCCTTCGCTTCCGTACTTGACCAACTTCATGCGCTCGTAAGGCAGGAAGCGCGGTAGTGCATCCTCAAGCTCGGCGTCGGTCGGAGGGGTGGATCGCTGCGCGAGTGCCTTGATCTTCTCAAACCCTTCCTCCTTTCCCTCCAGCCCGAGGCAATCGCCTAACCTCCCCTCCTCCACGCCCAAGGCCATCTCAATCGCCTTTGTCAGGTGCACCGTAACCTCCTCCGCCTTCTCCATGTACGACAGCACAGCGTCTCTCAGCTCGGGAATGGACGCTGGGAACTGATTGGGCCCATACAAGTTCAAGTAGTGCGGCTGCAGACCTTGAGGAAAGGCAGGCGACTCGATTCCCAAATCGATCTGTTCGCGGTTGTCGGGTTTGTCCTGTGTATGCTCCAAACCCAAGCCGGACCAGCCACGGAAGTGGCGAGACTTCTCCTGCTCGATGCTGCGCTTCTCTTCAGGGGAGGTGTGGTTGGAGGAGAAGAAGCGACGAGTGAGAGCGAAGAGGCGATCACGTTCTGATTCGAGGGGCGAGTCGGAGAGGTAGAAGAAGCCGAGCCCTACCATGGCACGGCGAAGGGATGCGATGGTGGAAGGGGAGGTGAGGTTCGGATAGGAGAGGACCAATGAGAGGGGTGAAGGGCCGCCGTCATCCTGGGCTGCGTTCGTGTTGGTAGCTGTGGGTGACATGGTTGCGTGTGGTACGAAGTCAAGAGGAAGCACGCGGGCGTAGGGCCGGCGGCTTCTCGGTTGATGCGGGGGCCTGCACGGGCCCAATATTGGCTGCAATGACGTGGGCCAATGGCAAAGTCACGCGACGCACGCACGGCTCTAAGAGTAGATCGATATTCGAGGCATAGGTAACAACAGGTGTATGAGAGTGAGCGAGCGAGCGAGCGAGCGAGCGATGCGATAGTGGGCTTCCGCGCCTAGTCCTCCTCCATCGTCTCGTTGCGGCGCTTCAGCTTGATTTTCATGCCGCTCGACGTGCCAGGGCGACTGCCAGAGGGAGCAGCAGATGCGCCGCGGTTCTCGTCATCGTGACCGCCGTCCTCCCCATCCTCCTCCTGCTCATCATCTCCGCCCGCATGCCCATTTGCACCGCCCTCCGACGTAGGCAGCAGAGTGCCAATCGCGCCACTCGTACCACTCGGCCCCGCAGCCGAGACTGGAATGTCAGGCAAAGGGTCCTCTGCGCCGGGCAACCCACTGCCCGGCACGAGCTGCTCGTACGTCGCATCGAAAGCGCGCTGCAGCTCCGTAGCATCGACGTACACGTAAGACCCTTCTTGATTGTAGAGCTTGGCGTTGCGCACCATCAAGTGGAAGTCGTCGCGGCACTCGGACACGGTCTTGTAGGACTTGGCATCGATGCGGCGCTTGATTTGGCGTAGGGCGATGGGCCGCTGAATGATGACATGGTAGTCGGGGTAGTCACTGGCGGGGCATGAGAAGCGGGTCAGTCTTTATTCATTGTCGCGCGTCTCGGTGCGTCTCGGCGCGGTACTCACCTCTTCTTGGGAATGTCCTGGAAGAGGCGCGACCTCTTGTGCCCGTCCTCAGGCGCCACGCTCCCGTCTGCAGCTCGGTAGCACTGAAGGAGTACCGCAGAAATGTGCTGGCGAACCGGGTCGTCGCCGGCCTTGCGTCGCTTGCCACCTGCACGAGCGTCTTGGCTGCTGTCCACGGACGCAGCGGGGGAGAGAGCATTGCCACGCTTTCTCTTACGCGCCGACCCCGCTCCGTCGTCATCGTCGTCGTCGTCCTCATCATCCTGGATCGCTGCGGGCCTACCACGCTTGCCGCCCTTCTTGCCTCCCTTGCCCTTCGGCTGTGGCGTGCTGGCCGGCTCAGGCGAGGCATCCACACTCTCACCCTGCATGGCCTGCTTAGCCCTACGCTTCTCCGCTCGCTCGCGCTTCTTCTCAACCACGTCCGCCAGATCGACGTCCTCATCCTCCAAAGCGCGTAGGAACTGATCCTCCGTCAGCCCATCATCGTAGTGTACCACGTTGCGCTTGCGCACCGCAGGCTCGTCGTCCGCCACGCTCGCCTCGATCATCTCTGCGTCAAAGTCGCGTTGATAGAGGGAGGGGAGCTCCTGCTCGCTCACGAGACGGTCGGGCACCTTGCCCTTGTTGCCGAGCGCTTTCCATTCGGCCGCCTCCATCTTCTCTCGCTCTGCATCAATCTCGCGGAAGCGTACGCGCTCGTGATCGCCACGGGCGAGGATCTCGTTGAGCTCTTCGTCATTGAGGTCACCCTCTTCTTCGCCTTCGTCGTCATTGTCGTCCTCGAGCATGGCACGCAGCAGGTCTTCGCGCTCTTCCGCAGTGGCCTGATTGTCGAACTTTCCCGCCTGGATGACCTTGCCGTCGATTTCGAGCTTGTACTGCGCGCGGGCCAAGATCTGCTCCTCGACTGACTTCTCTGTCACCAATCGCAGAATGCGCACCTCCATCTTTTGTCCGATGCGGTGGGCGCGGTCCTGAGCCTGTAAGTCCTGGTGCGGGTTCCAGTCGGAGTCGTAGATGATGACAGTGTCGGCGGTCTGCAGGTTCAAACCGAGACCACCCGCACGAGTCGACAAGATGAAGACGAAGTAGGGGCTGTCTGGCCGGTTGAACTCGTAGAGCAAGCGCGATCGGTCGTCGGGCTTGGTATTACCATCCAGTCGCAGGTACGTGTGGTTGCGGAAGCGGAGGAAATCTTCCATGATGTCCATGATGGCCGTCATCTGGAAGAAGATCAAGACGCGGTGACCCGTAGCCTTGAGCTTGGGGAGCAGGCGGTCCAGCAGCTCGAACTTGCCGGCAACGCGGTAGAGATCTGGGCCGTTGCCCTTTGTCGGGTTCATCGTCACCTCGACCTGCTCGAAGACGTACGGGTGGTTGCAGATCTTGCGCAGCTGCATGATGGCGTTTTGCAATCCGCGAATGCCCTGCGGCTTGCCCTTCTTCGCACTCGCGATGCTGTCGTCCCCGCTGATGATCATTTTGTGCTTCTTCATCTGCTGGTACAGCTTGACCTGGAGGGCAGACATCTTGCACTTGATGACCTTTTCGACCTTGTCGGGCAGCTCGGACTCGACGTCCTTCTTGAGGCGTCGAAGCAAGAAGGGACGCAGGACCTTGTGCAGACGCTTGATGATGAGCAGTGCCTCTTCTTCGTTGAGCTGCATGCTGTTATCGCCCGCACCAGCCTGCGCAAACGGCGAGTTGAACCATTCGTCAAAGGACTTGACGGAGTTGAAGATGCGCGGGAGTACGAAATTGAGCAGCGCCCACAGCTCAGGCAGGTTGTTCTGCAGCGGCGTTCCCGTGAGCAAAAGGCGATATCTGCTCGTGTAGAACTGCGTGAGCGTCAGGGTGAGCTTGGACTGGGTATTCTTCATACGGTGTCCCTCGTCGATGATCATGTGCACCCATCGAATCTTGCCCAGCAGGTTCTTGTCCTTGATGATGTACTCGTACGTGGTGAGGAGGACTTGGAAGTCGCCTTGGCGGATGCGGCCCGCCGCGGCTTTGCGCACATTGGGTGTGCCCTTGTACGTCACGACATTAACGCTCGGGGCCCACTTGTTGAACTCGTTGACCCAGTTGGTGAGGGTAGAGAGCGGCACAATGACGAGGAATGGGCCGTTTTGACGCTTGTGCTCGATGAGGAACGTGATGAGCGAGATGGTCTGAATGGTCTTGCCCAGCCCCATTTCATCGGCGAGGATACCGTTGAGGCGATTGTTGTAGAGGGAGACCATCCATTGGAGACCCTTGATCTGGTACTCCTTGAGCTTGCCGCCGACCAAGATAGTGGGCTGCTCGGTGATGCGCTCGGTGATGCGATGCGCGACGGAGTAGTAGTCGGTCTTGTTGCTGCGCGAGTCGCCCTCCTCCTCGTCTTCCTGCTTCTGTGCTCCGAACATGGTCTCGTCGACGACGCCGCCAATCTCCTGGTTGGCCTGCTGGCGTGCCATTTCCTCGGCGTGGGCTGCGGCGTTACCTGCGCGCTCTGCTGCAATGGCGTCGGCGTGCACGGCATCGTTCTGTTGGGCCTGGATGCTCTGCGCCAACCCGCTCAGGTAGGCGTCTGTCTGACGGATCAAGTGCGTGATACGAGTGTCCTTGGCCGTGTCGATGAGCTTGAGGTAGGCCTCCTCGTCGTCTGCACGCAGCGCATTCAGACGCTCTTTCGCGACTCGCTCGATTCGACGCTGCTCCTCCTTCTCCGTCTCGGTGTGGAAGCGATGCATGGCTTTGCCCATGCGTTGTGCGTGGGCGTACGCGGAGGCGTGCGCCTTTTGCAGCTCTTTGCCGTGATTGCAGATTTCCAGCAGGTAGTCGACTTGACCTTGCTTGGCTTGTCGCTCACGCACCTGGCGCTGTTCGCGCTCCATCAGCTCCGTCTTTCGCGCGTCTCGCACGGTAGTCTTCTTCCAGCGACGGTACCCTGTGCGATCCATGCCCAGCGATGTGGTGTACGTGAAGCCGTGGACGAGCTTCTCGCGTGTAGAGCGCTGAAGGTGACGCAGATCCAGCGACTTGAGCTCGATCAAAGCTCGCAGCTTCGCGGAGTCGTGCTCGAGCGTCTCTTCCGTCAGTACGTCGTCCTCCGGGCTGTCCTGGCGCAGGGTGGACGGCAGAGATTCGAGCTCTCTTCGGCGCTGCTCGATGCGCGCCTCGATGAAGCGGTTGCGCTCGTCGTAGAGGGATTGAGGGTCCAGGCCCCGTGGAAGCAGGCTCGGAATGAGCATGCGCTGTTGCTTGGCGAGGGTGACGTGTTGAGGTCCCAGCCCTGGCTTGGACAGGTACGACCATGGCTGGCGGAACGAGTTGTAGGGGTAAATTTCGCTCTCTGGATTGTGGGATGGGGAAGGAGGGCGAGTGATGCCGTCTGCGCCTGCGGAGTGTACGGCGAGGGCGGCTGCTGCGACGCGACCACTTTCGCCCATGTCAGAGTACGGGCTGCGGAGATGCGTGGGGAAGACGAGCACAGGGAGGCAGGAGGGATATGATCAGCGCCAGCAAATACGAGGTTGCTCTGCTCGTACGTACCCCATCTTGCTCCTCAACTCGGCCATTGCCGTCACCCGCCCAAAGATGGCATTTTGAATGTCCACGGGCACTGGCATGTTGCGCGAGATGAGCTTGTACGCCATGATCTGGGCCTTGAGCGCTGCCAGCTGGTCGGGCGTGAAGCTAGCAGTGGGTGCGACAGGGGTTGAAGCTGACCCGTTGGCCGTCTCTGCGGGGGCTGTCGCGGCGTCGTTGCCATTCGTCTGCGTCTGAGATGTGGATGCTGATGAGGAGCTCGCCGCCGGTGTCGCCGTCGCGCCGGCCTGCTGAGCTTGAGCCGCCGCCACCGCCTGCTGTTGCTGTTGCTGCTTCATTGCCTGGTATCGCGAGAAGGTCTGGAACAACTTGAGGAGCTTGGCGTACTCTTGACTGGTGTTCTCATTCTCGCCTTGCTGCTTGAGGACAGTCATTCGTTGGACGAGCTGCTGGAGCTTTTCCTTGTTCATGCCGGCGAGCATGGCTTGCATCTGAGGGGGAATCCCAGGCGTCGATGAGGATGACGGAGCATTGCCGTTGGCGGGCGATGAGGCTGCGTCGACCGCTGGGCCGGATGCGTTGCTCGCCATGATGGGCGTGGGCGCGGGATGACCACGCGTTGAGACGAGGGGCGGATGCAATGAGGGTGAGAGACAATGTGGTGACAGTGCGACTGTTGCTGCGACCAATTGACGTCGGCGTCTCTCTCGCGCTGGTATCGCGGACACGGAAGTGGTTGACGCAGCTAGGTGCGGCTACTTCTCGTCTCGACTCGACGTGCTCGTCGTCGCGGTCGTCGCGGATGGGATAACGAGATGAGAGAGCGAGCAGCCCGAGCAGCCGCGAGACCAGCCACGAGAGCAGCCCGGGGCGGACGCTGTGCACGGGGGCAGAGAAAGCCACGTGGCCTCACGTGCCCGGAACGGAGCCTGATGCCCAACTCGAAATACGGACGGAAGTGGCGCAATCTTGCCTGCCTCGGCGGGCCTTCACGTCACTTTTGCCATCCTACCATCCCCTCTCCTGCGTGCGGAGGCCAGCATGGCCGACGCCTCCCCACGACCTCGTGCGCGGCACGACTACCTCGTCGGGCTAGCCCTTCTCTTGCTCGTCGTGCTGCTCTGGACGGGCTCCAACTTCCTCACCAACTCGCTCCTCACCAGCGGGTGGGACAAGCCATTCGCTGTCACCTACGCCAACACGTCCAGCTTCGCACTCTATATGGTGCCGTTTGCATGCGCTCTGCGGAGGAAAGCGAGCAGGGGCAGGGGAAGAAGTAGGAGGAGTGATGCGGGGGTCGTACCGAGCTGGGCGACGAAGCTGGGCTTCTCGTTGCCGCTTCAACGGCGGGACGAGAGGAGGGACGAGGAGGAGAGACTCATTGCGGGCGGCAGAGGACTGCGCGCTGCCTCTCCAGATATCTCGCGACGGCCATCCTCCATTGACGGCAGACGGCCGCTCACCGCCATCACACCCCTCGTGGCGACTCCTCACGCTGCACAGCTCGCTCCGCTCACGGTGCGCGAGACGGCCATCCTCGCGGCGCAGTTCACACTCGTCTGGGTTCTCGCCAACTACTGCCTCAACGCCTCCCTCGCCCTCACCTCCGTAGCAAGCAGCACCACCCTCTCTTCTGCATCCGGCTTCTTCACCCTCGCCCTCGGATCCCTGACCGGCGTAGAGAGGTTCTCTCCCGCCAAGCTCGTCGCCGTGTGCGTCTCGTTTGTGGGTGTGGCGCTCGTGACCCACGCAGACGCCGTAGGAGCCCGCGCAATCAATGCTCCACTCGGCGACGCCTGCGCACTGGCCTCCGCCTTCTTCTACGCCCTCTACGTCACGCTCCTCAAGCTGCGCATCCAGAGCGAGGACCGCGTCAGTATGCCCCTCTTCTTTGGCTTTGTGGGCCTCTTCAACATCTTTACGCTTTGGCCTGTCGCGTTGATACTCTCGGCCACCGGAGTCGAGCCGCTCGAGCTTCCGCCAGACAGTGCGACTTGGGCAGGCGTCGCGGTGAATATGGCAATCACTTTCGTGAGCGACTTTGCCTACCTCCTCTCCATGCTCAAGACGGCACCACTCGTGGCGACTGTGGGATTGTCGCTCACGATCCCGCTCGCTGTGGTGATCGATGTGATTCGCGGCACACACTCGGGTGGATGGAGGGCGGATCTGGGGTCAGCTGCCGTGCTCTTGAGCTTCGTGGCGATTGGGTGGGATGACAGTCGCGTTGACGATGTGCAGGCTCAGTAATAGATTTCATTGCGAGAGAAGTTGCAGGTGGCAGCGTGAAGGCAGGCTACGCGTGTTGTGGTGGCAGCAGCATAGAGCAAGCTGACTTCTAGTGGGTCGCTATCAATTGCTCTCTGGCAGCGAGCTCTGCCTCACAAAGGGAGAGACCATATCGCTGCGCAGTGCCCTAAAGCCGGGTAGGCAGCCTGATTCGGACGGCATTCGCGATGGTGGGGGGGGCCGACGACTCCAGTGCGGTGCGCACCGCCACGTCACCCGGACTTGACGGCCGACGGGCGTATACAAGGCTGACTCAACCATTGCTCTCGGGTTGCGGCGGCGAGGATCGGCGAGCACGAAGCATGACTCATCGTCTCGTTGGGTCACCATCCACCTCACACCTCTCCTGAGGCCTTCGAGAGAGCAGCAATGCTGAACTGAAGGAATGCACGCCGCTGAGTTGCGCAAGCTACCCTTCGTGAAGAGCAGGAACAAGGATGGGACTTCTCGGCGCCTCGCTCGAGCTATGCCGTCCGTGCACGGCGGCGGGCTGAGCCACGTGGCCGCGACGCGGGTTGGGTTGGGCTGGCTTCATCTCGCTCGCACGGGCTACGCTGGCTTCATCTCGCGCCGCCTCGTCCGCTCAGCTCTTGCCTTTCGATCCTCATCTCCCATCTCGCCGCCCCGCCTCGAGCACACCAATGAGCACGCACGCTGATCAGAGCGCAGCACTCAGCTCGCAGGCATGGTAGCGGTGATCGTCAAGAGCGTCACGTCAAGAGCAGCCAACGCTCCCCCGGTGAGATCCATTGGCGTACGCGGGCCACCACGGATGGAGATCAATCCAAGACGTCGCCCCCCGCACGTTGATGTCAACAAAGGCGCAGCACACCAACGCCATGGCTGCCATTAAACTCTGAGTTTGTTTGCTGGGTGCAAGCCTTCCGCAGTGGTGAGTCAGCTCAGCCCGTCGTCCCTCTCTCATCATGCCAGAACTAACTCCTCGTCTCTCCACCACGCGCAGGGCTCACTCTCGCGCCGCTACTCAGCAAGAGCCACCAATGCCCAGGAAGATCAGCAAGCACCTTATCAATGACGCAAGCCGACGACCCAGTGCTTCCTTCTCTCGTCTCCTGGCCCACCTGCTCAGCAGAAAAGCGATTGTCCCAGCTCGCCATCGCTCAGCACAACCCATCGACAACATGTCAATGTCCTCCACCGCACAGCAAGAGTGCGCCACCTGAAGGCCTTGGTGGTCACGACGACAGCTCGGCCGCTCCCCCCCATCTTGGCGGTCACAGGTACAATGCGTTCAATCTTGGACATCATGGCTACAGCCCTCCCGGCGTCGACGCTGCCGTTCCCACAGTACCCTCTCATCCAGGGCCTAGCAGCAGCAATGGCGCCTCGCCACGCCCTTACCAGCGCAGGGGGCGCAAGAAGGTATTCTGGTCCCACTTCGACTACGAGCTCGTGCTCAAATGCATTAGCAGCAGGGGTGTCCCCACGAAAGGCACGCTCTTCGATTGGACTGGCGTAGTCAGCGAGATGGACAAGAGGGGTCAAAAGCGACTCAAGTCTTCCCTCCGCTCCGCTCGAGCATTTCATCCTGCTCTCTCCGCCGACACTGCCACCGTTGCCCTCACACCGATGCATTACCTCTTCCCGCTCCTCCGTGAAGTCGTCAACGTCGCTGGGACTTTTGCTGCTTCGATCATGTGCCGCCGGCTGGCGGACGAAGCCCTAGAGGCAGCCGATGCTGGCAATACGGACGCTCGTGATCTCACGCCCGAGCTTGGCAAGGCGGCAAACAACGAGCAGAAGGCTTTCGACGACTGGGCTGCGGAGAAGGCTGGATCTCGCTGGGACTTGGGTCAGGACGACTTCGAATGCTCACAGACGTCGTACCGCATCGCTCGGGAGGCCTGGGCATCCGCCAGGCGACCAATTGCCACGTACGCTGCCTCGCCCGTCTCCGGCCCCTCGTCTGGCCCGCCAAAGGTGCTCGCCCTTGGCCGTTTCAGCTCTCCGGCAAACGCGATCAATGTGTGGTCCGAACTGATGTTCGCTTTGATCGCCATCGATGCCCTCCGAGCGAGCTGGCACTGCTTCGAAGCAGCAGCTGGCTGCTACGCCTTCAGCAATTGGCGAGGAGACTGGCACCTGGACGTCGAGACCCGTGTGGGTAGCGCCGTTGCTGGCCTCGCTCGCAAGCAAGGCAGCGAAGACACGGTGGACGACGACAGCGACGACGAGAACGACGAGAAGGACACGCACGCCCTCTTCAACGACATCATGGAGCTATTTGCGCAGGCGACACGCATCGTTCTTCCTGCCGAGGCTGGTCTGGCGTCAGACAAGGAGTCCTTGGCCTTTTTCGTCAGGCACACCAAGGCTGACTGGGTCTGGGCATACATCGACAAGAACGGAAAGATGCGCTACGAGACCTACAGCTCTGCGCAACTGCTGGCCATGTTGGAGGGGCGCGAGGACCCGCCGGAGGGTTCCACCATCCTCGATGCTCTTGCGCGCGGCGAAGCTCGTCGCCAGCTGCAAAGGACAGCATCAGGCTTCTCTCCCTCGCCGCAGCGCCACACAGGGTTCAAGGCTGTGCCCGACTGGCTGGCGGCCTTCAGCAATGTCGCTGTCGCAGCCTCGACTGCGATGGTGCCGAAGTGGACGCTGAAGATGATCACCCGCCACGACAGCGCCAAGAGGCATGCAATGAGCTTCAAGGTCGAGGACGAGGGGGATGAAGAGCTCAAGTACTGCAAGACGTACTGAAGGGATCCAAAGGAGGTGAAGGAGATGCTAGACCAGATGGAGGTCAGCAAGAAGACGAAGAGAGCGGCGGGGATGAAGGCGGAGAAAGAGGATGAGAAGGAAAGGGAGAGGGAGGAGAGATGGAAAATCTGCCCTTTGGGATCAACAAGCTGCCGTAAGTGTCACCTCTGCTGATACCTTGACATGAGTAGCCGCTGACTCTTCTGCACACCTAATCACTCTGACAGTCAACGCAGCCAAAGGGCAGCAGCAGGTGGGACAGAGTAAGGCAGAGTGGGTGGCGGAGCACTGGGCGAAGGAGCACAAGAGCGACCACAGGACGTGTCCTTGGGGGGCAGTGAGGGGCAAGGGCGCCTGCGCGGAGTTCAGCGCTATGCAACAGAAGACGCATAGCACTGTCCTGGAGCACGCCAGGCAGCACGAGAAGGAGGAGGAGGAGACAACGAGCCTCTTCAGTACTGCAAGACTGCTACGCTACCTCTTCGTCGCTACCAGCCACGTGCAGCTCGACCCTCGCTGCTCCTCCGCCACGCCCGTCTCGTCTTTCATTTCTTCTCGCTATCGATCACCAATGCCTGCGACGACCTGACTCCGACAACTTCTGGCGCAAGGGAGAGGTCAACTACGAAGCCCTGACCCACTTCGAGGGCGATCCAAGCTCGGCAGAGGTCGACGCCATGCCTGCTGGCCCGCGCAAGAAGCACAACGACAAGTGAGTACGAGAGTCGAGCGCATCGTAGTCACATTCAAGTGCAGCATCTCAACCTGCTCGTCCGCTGCGCGTGCAGGGTTTCACCATTTCAACACCTGCCTATCCAGCGCCGCCCATTCTCCTACACCTTCATCCACAACGGCAAGGACTACACACATCTCGTCAAGTTCGAAGGGCGACCCCACACCTGCTACGGTCGACGCGTCGCAGCTCACTTCCGCCTCTGCTCTGCTGCCTGACACGGCGGGTCAGCGAATGAGCGGGGCTGGTTTGGATGTCAGCCGCTAGCCAGCCAGCAGTCGAGATGCTCAGTCAAACCAGTCGAGGCGCCCATCCCCCTTCTTGCGTTCTTGTCCTCTCGTCCTTCCCAATCGGTCCCGCCTACACCATGGCTCGCATTCCCTTCACATACACTTTTATTTACAAAGGCAAGGACTACACGCACCTTGTCCGCTTCGAAGGAGACCCTACGCCTGCCGCGGTCGATGCGATGCCCGCTGATGAGCGGAAGAAAATGAAGGACAAGTGAGTACAAGAATGAGTCGAGCGCGTTGTGGTTGCGCCCTCTCACGCCCTCTCACGCCCTCTCACGCCCACTCGTCTGCTCCTCACTCAGGTACTGGCAGCGAGTCAAAGCTGCCAAAAAGGACATCGAGGCCGAGGAGGCCGAAGAGCGGGTGGCCAAGCGCGCCCACAAAGAGGCCAACGCCATCGAGGGCCACCTCCCTCGCCCGAAGGCGCCGAAGGAGGACGCGGAGGCCAAGAGGGTAAGCAGCTGTTGCTCACTACGCCGTGCGGGCCCTTGACTCAGTACAGACCGCGCCTTTGCCTCTCCGTGCGCACCAGGCTCGTCTTGCGGCCGTCGAGGCTAGCCTGCCTCCTGGTCTCTCCGCTCGTGCTGTCAAGCAGGCCAAAGATGACAGCACCAAGGCCCGCCGGGAGGAGGCGCTGGGGGAGGAAGGGCGCAGGCAGCTTGGGGAGAGCAAGGCTGTCTTTCAGCAGCTGTACGTTCATCGTTCCATCCACCCTGCGCATTCGACGAGTCTGACCAAAGCCTCTCCTTTTTCGCACCAGCTTCCACAATGACTCGCGCGACGGACGTCCTGAAAGGCGAATTGACAACAATCGCCGATCCCTCGAGCGTAAGGGGCGGGAGGGCCGCGCTGCGCAGCGCCACGGGCGAGACGAAAGGGAAGGCTATTCACGCGATAACAGGAGTTGCTCGGATCGTACTGCCATCTGCTCGAAGCTACCATATGCGTAGCCCCTCGGCATGGCGATTGATCGCCTTATCTTACGAGCACTCATCGCAATCGCATAGCTGACCGGCGATACGACCAATAGCTTGTGGGCGTATCACTTTGCACAACTCTCGCCTGATCCTCGAAATCGCGAATGATGTGCAGAAGACGATGCAAGAGGACGATGAGACTGTAGATCCTGACGCGCTGCCTCGAAAGACGACAGCTCACGCGGGCCGGTCTTGCCGTGGTGTGCTAGCGTTCAAGGATTCACCGTGCCGCAGCCGTTCCCGGAGCGAGGTGGTCAGTCGGCATCAATGTACGAGGTGTGAAGTCGAGTCCTCGCTCTGCGTCTCGGGCACAGAGCCGAGGCCTCGATTGGAGTTGGTCGCGTCCAGCAAAAGGAGATTTCTTAGACGAGCTGATCGACCATCGCCATCCCTCCGTAGCTCTGATCGCGTCGGCGTGGAGTCACCGCGCATAGCTTCTCCAGCAGCTCTTGGGCGCCATCGTAAGAGTTGCGGCTGCTTTCTGCCCTTCATCGCCCCTGCCTCGTCCGTCCTCTGCTCTCTCGACTTTCCTGCGGCCCCTGCTCCCCTTCTCTCGCTTGCCTTCATTGAGCCAGCACCTTCTTCGCGCTGTATCGCGAGATGGACTCGGCAATGCCGAGTCCATCCGGCCTCGTCAGACGTATCAAATCGAGCTGACAGGCTGCTCTACGCCTCAACCGAGTACCGCATGGCAGTTCTCGTCCAGGACGCTGAATCGACCACGCGACTGTCGCAGCCTGGGCACGTAGCTTCACGCAGCAGAGTAATCTTCAGAGGTCCGGAGTCGCAAGAGATGGAGGTAGCCTGGCCTGCAGAGTGGCGAGCATGCCTCGACTTGACCCTTCTGCTCGGCCCTTTAACCGCTACATAGCGGCCAGGAGTAAGGGGTAGGCAGATCAACATACCATGAGCCTCCCAAGTAGAGCCAGTTCGCATCCTGAAGGGAGGCTATGGAGCCCGTCAGGGCTCCATCGCGTCTATCTTCACCTCCCCTGACCCTTTCGACCTTGACGCGGAGGCCATTCAAGCTCGACTGTCCAGCCGAGGAGCTGCCACTCCAGCGCGCCCGGAGCGCCCGACGTACCTCTTACAGAGCGAGCATTCATAGTCAGTGCTTCTCTCGCTGTCAATAGCCTGCCCACTTGGCTTAGTGGTATGGCAACCGCCTCGTAGTGAAACAGGCCTGGAAACAGGTTTGATCACAGCGGTAGATCGACGGTTCGATTCCGTCAGTGGGCACTTTTTTTGCTCCGCCTACTGGTCCTGCACCTTCACATGGGTTTCACTACTCGGCGGTCGCCATCCCACTAAGCCAAGTGGGCAGGCTATTGACGGCAAGAGAAGAACGGACTATGAATGCTCGCTCTGTAAGAGGTACGTCGGGCGCTCCGCCTACGGCGGAGGCCCGTCGAGAAGTATCGGCGGTGGGACGTAGACGCGCTCCATGGGTATCCCGTCGCGTCTGAGCCGGCGCGCTATCCCTGCCCACCCGAGAGGGAAGCCCACGAGTGCCACTGATTGGCAAGAGAGATTCTCATTCTCAACGACTGCCATGTCCCTCGTGGAGCCGTCATCGTGGTCCGTCATGCCTCGTACAACGAGTACATGTAGTGTCCGCGGCAGGCGAGCGGATGATGCGTCGGTGCGAGTCCATGCGCCAACCTTCCGGTCACTTTTGGGCTCTGGTGCGTACAACTAGGACGCACATTGACGATTGAATGGCCATCGTCGCTCTTGACTCTACCATGGACTCCTTCGAGCCGAGAGCTGCCTCCGCTGTCCTTTCTCGATCACTCTGGGTAGCTCTTCGCTGCGACATCGCCTTAACGCCCCTGTCCGAAAGGTCACGGCTCCTCATTTTTTGGATCGAGGCGCAATTGATTCGCTCAGCGAGCTCAGCACAAGCTCGCATATGTGCACGGCGCCCATGAGTACTACAGTCTGGCTGCGCTGGGGAAGCGGTGCTTGTCACGGCGATGGACCCCAGCGTGCCAGCAGCAACTGGGTTCTTCAATTCGTTGACATGATTCAGCGATTCTTCCCCATTCCAATTCAGCCGCACAAGGATAATTCAAGCAGACGTCAATGTGCTCTGCGCGCTGTTGCTGCTCGGATCTGCTGTTGAGCGTCGTCGTATGAACGCCGTGCTCGCTCGTCTCACCATGGCGATGGCTTGCCACCCGCCACGCGAGGCGACGCCCGTGCGCAACTCAACCGGCCGGCGTTGAAACGGCGCCGCCGAGGTTGCCCGGTGGAGCGGGCGTGGAGCGGGCGCAGCTTCATCTTCTTCCCCTCCTTGCCCTCATCCACACCGCCTAACATGCTCGCCGCAACCACTTTCCGCAACACTCTTCGCGCTGGCACTGCTCTGCCTCGCCTTCAGGCTGCGTCGACACTCCCGCGCCTGTACTCCACGCAGACATACCAGAATATCCTCGTCTCTCGCCCGGACCCTTCGGTAACCCTCATCACCCTGAACCGACCCAAGGCCCTCAATGCGCTCAACTCGGCTCTCTTCCACGAGCTCAATGCTGCGGCCAAGGAGGCAGACGAGGACGATGCCGTGGGTGCCATCGTGCTCACCGGCTCAGACAAGGCCTTCGCTGCGGGCGCAGACATCAAGGAGATGAAGGACAAGGAGTTTGCGCGCGCATACAAGGAGAACTTCCTCGGCCACTGGACCGAGCTCACGAGAGTCAAGAAGCCCATCATCGCGGCTGTGAGCGGCTATGCGCTTGGTGGCGGTGCAGAGCTCGCCATGATGTGTGATATCATCCTCGCGAGCGGCACAGCGAGTGAGTGCGGCTTGCCCTGCGGGTCGCGAGTGCAGCTGACCCTCCCCTCCCCCGGCCCCGCCCCGCCTCTCACACAGACTTCGGTCAGCCTGAAATCAACCTCGGCGTCATTCCGGGCGCTGGCGGTACGCAACGCCTCACTCGAGCGTTGGGCAAGTCTCTGAGCATGGAGCTCAACTTGACGGGCCGCAACCTCTCAGCCCAAGAGGCAGCGCAGCACGGTCTCGTGTCCCGCGTAGTCGAGGGCAACGTCGTAGACGAGGCAGTCAAGGTCGCCGTAACCATCGCCAAGAAGGGCCGCGTCGCGAGCCAAGCGGCAAAGGAGGCCGTCAACGCCGCGTTTGAGCTGCCGCTGAACGAGGGTCTGCGCATCGAGAGGAGGCTGTTCCAGAGCATGTTTGCGACCAAGGACCAAAAGGAGGGGATGGCTGCCTTTGCCGAGAAGAGAAAGGTGAGCAGCGAGGCGAAGGGAGTCGTGCGCCAGTCAGGCAACGCAGCTGACCTTCTCCCCCCGCTCGCACAGCCTAACTGGTCTCACGAGTAAGCAGCGATAGCGTTTGCGACTCAATCTACATTCTCGCGCCGATCTGCACTTCCCGCGACACCCTCGCGCATGTCTACATGCAATATCATTTCGACTCATCGACTGGACGCCTCGCACACATTGCGGACGCCGCCGCTACAGCTGCCCGATCGAGCCTCCCTGCGGCGCCGGCACCTCGCGCACCTCGCGCACGCTCGCTCCCTGACCCTCCTGCACTCCCGCCCCTACGCTCGCCATATCCTGTTGTGTCACACCCTCCACGCTCGGTGGGGGCTGCATCTCGGTGCCCATTCTCTGAGCCTCCTCGTACGCGCGCGCGTGCGCCTGCTGAGTGTGTTGCGCCTTCCTCATCAACTCGTGCACCTGGCGCAGTTGGCGTTGCACCTTGAGCCTGTCCGCGTAAAGCTCGCGTCGGCTGACCTCCAACTGCCTGCGCTCGCTCTCGAGCAGCGCCTCTAGATCCTCGAACTGTCGCATCTTCAACTCCATCTTGCGCATCTGGGCCTCGATGACTTGCTTGACCAGGCGTTGGCACTCTCGCTCTTCGAATGAGGCGAGCACATACGCCTTGGATGCTGCTGCTCCCAACGCGATGCTCGCGGCACGTTCGACGGCGGAGCGTGGCATGGCGGAAGAGGCCTTAGCAGCGTCGGTCACGGTGACTTCGACGGGTCCTGAAGCGGCTGCGGCTGCGGCTGACGAGTCTTCGCCTTCCTTGTCGAGATCCATGCCGTCCGTGGCTGCCTCCTTCTCGCCCTTCTCGCCCTTCTCGCCGCCCTCCTCGGCCTTCTCGCCCTCGCCGGCGCCCACCCGCTTCTTGAGCCCCTCCGTCAACTCCCCAAGCGCACTCTGCGCCGCCGCCGACGCAACAGCAGGGCTCACGGCGCTGGCCAGGAACGCCACCACGCTCATGACGGGATTGTCCGACTGCGAAAACGGCACCGTGTTCCCACCTAGCGCCTTGGGGTCGCGCAGGTACTGCAAAGCCCCCAAATCGCTCTGCTTCCCGCCAGCGCCGCCCAGATACGGCTCCTCTACGGGTAGCTGTACAAATCGCTGTATGCACTCCTCACTCCCACGCGTCCCCACGTGCTCCTCGACGCGCGCCCAGTCATCCCCGTACATCTCCAAAGCCTCCAGCAGGCGCAACGTCTCCGCATCGCTCCATTCCTCGCCGCCTTTCCCGTGCTTGAATGCCGCCTCGTCCACACGCACAAAGTCGCCCGAGAACATCGATGAGGGGAAGCGGCCATCCGTGTAGCAGCCAGGGCAGAGCGCGTAGTCCTTGTTCTTGATGCTGGCGTAGCGCGTCGAAGTGCAGTCGCTGCCGCAAGTGTCGCACTGGTAGGAAGAGGAGGCCCCAGCCCCGTTGGCGCGCGCCTTGTCCGCTTGTTGAGCGAGGGAGGCACCCTCCTCGGCGCTGATCTGACGACTGGCTCTCAGAGTAGTCGAGTAGACGGTGCGACGCAGCTCCAGCGAGACGTCCAGTGATGAGCCCGCGTTGCGCTGCGGTTGCGATTGCGATTGCGGTGCTGGCTGTGCGCGCGTCTCGCTCTTCGTGCCAGGGTGCAAAGGCTGCAGTCCTCGCGGCGAGTCCACCAAGACACGGAAATGCCCCGTGAATGGAGGGCCCAACGCTGCCGGCCTGGTATCCGGGTCGATCTGGTAGTTGATCAAGCCCCACTGCTCGAGGAAACCGTGTACACGCATGATAGAGCACACGTCCCCGGCCAAGTTGCGCCTGCACGCCGTAAATGTGAGATACTCGCTCGGGTTGAGACGATACGTATTCACCATGAAGTCGCGATAGTCCTTGTAGATTTCCGGCGTCTTGCTGCGATTACGCCCGTTGAAGAACTCGGGCAGCGAGCGCCGCTCAAGTGGGGAGATGGCGTTGAAGGAGAACCACGTGCTGTACGACGGAATGATGATCTCTTGCGTCTGCGCGGCCAGGTAGCGTTTCGCGAGGGCGGTGGCTTTGCGGTGTTCCAGGGCGATCGCAGCGGCAGATGGTGGCGCGTCGGGCTCCTCCTCCTCGTCGTCGTCGTCGTCCTGCATCGAGACGTCCGCTGCGACGGGCGCAGGCTCGGACGGCAGATTCCCAATGACTCCCCCGGGCAGAGCCTCCTTCTCGTAGACCTTGCCAGGAATGGAGGCTGCTCCGCCCGTCAAGTCGATGGGCACCGCACCTACCGGCTTGGCGGCGACAAAGATCTTGATCTTCTTGCTCGTCCCCGCGTCCTCGCTGCTGGCAGCGTCGTCATCGACTTCGTCGGGAAGTGGGCGACCGCGTTTGGTCGACGTAGATGCAGTCGTGCTCGCCGCGCCCTGATCTCCAATGTTCAAGGTGCCGCTGGTAGTCGCTGCTGCGTCTTGTGCGCCCGCCTCGCTACCGCTCAACTCGTAGTCCTCCTCATTCATGCACTCATTGTAGCGCACACCGTCCCTCAACCAGCGCGACTCCAAGTCCCATCTGCTCTTGACCTCCGGCTCTGGCTCTGGCTCCGCAAAGCCCGCAGCGGGAACCCACGTATCATACGAATCCGGCCTGTACCACACATGAATCAAGGCTTGACTCCCAGCGCGCGCTAGCGTACGGTGGTAGTCCATCGCCCCGGACCCCCCAGGCGAGGCAGGAGGGGTAGTCGAGGGATGCAAGACGTGCGTCGCGCCCGAAGCATCCGCTGTCCACTCGCATTCGAGGCTCTCTGCCATTCTCTGCAGCGACGCCTTCTCCGCTTCTGTAAAGTCGCCCTCCGTTGTGACCTTGAAGCGCTTGATGTGTCCGCGCTCTCGTAGCGAAGAGCGGATAGCCGCCACGAGTTCGGTATTGTCTACTCGCGCGACATCGACGTCTGTACTCTTGTCGCCGCGCTTGGCCAGGAAGAGCAGGGCAGCCTCCAAGACGACAAAGACGGGCGAGCTAGGTCCTGCAGCATCGGTGCTGGCCAGCGACGAAGTGGTCCTAAAGCAAGAGGCCGGGATGCGAGGAGGATGACGGGCGAGAGCATTGCTAGAGTCAGGATTGGCTGGCCTCTTAGCTGCGTCAGGCCCAAGCACATCATGCTGGTAGAGCTGCAGATTGTAGAGCAACGCCTGCACATCGCTGACGCTCAATGTCGAGCTCGCCGTAGGCGCAGAGAGGCCGGCATTGCTAAGGCTGGCTTCGAGATTGGGTAGAATAGTCGCCAGGCGCGCTCTGATGGTGGCATCATCGCGCAGCGTGGCTGGCGGCCGGCCAGAGACGCTGAGGCTCATGGCTGGCGTGTCGGAAGATGGTGAGATGAGGAACGATGTCAAGCCAGGCAACGAGTCGCGCTTGCATCCGCGTCGCCCTCGTTGAGTGCCGGCAGGCAGATGAGTCGCGTGGCATCAAGGACCATTCCGATCCGATTGTCCCGAGAGGCTCAGTCGAGGCTGTTTCCGTCGTCTGGACTCGCATCTCGCAGCTCGCTCCCGCTCCTCATCATCACTCGCAGCCATGTCTGTTCACCCGAGCAGAATGGGCTTGGTGCCCAATGGTGCAGATTGCTCTACCGAGGGGCAGGAGAGGGAGAGAGAGCTCAGGGAGAGGCTCAGGCAGTCTCGCGAGCAGCGACCGGCGTACGGAGACGGCGAGGGCGCATCGTCGAGCGCATATAATCGTCCGCCACCTCCAGAACGATGGGATCGAAGACCTCCTCCGCCTCAAGAGGGACACAATGGTGGTAGTGGGTACGCGGGAGCTCCTCCGAGCGAATATGGACGACAGTCTCACGGTGGGTACGGCGGCGGGTATGGCGGACCACCGCACGGCGGGTATGGCTACGCCCACCCTCCAGACGGGTATCGCCCACCTCCTCCACCCCGCGACGGCGATGGCGTCCCTCCACCAGGTGCATGGGGTCGTCGCCCACCCATCAATGGCGGTCCACCACCACCACACAGCGGTCCACCGGGAGGCTACAACAATTCTGCGTCCGGTCCGGGCGACTTCATGAGCGCACGCAACGAGGAGCGCAAACGCTCCATCCTCTCCATCTGGCCTCCCTCGCCCCGCTCTCCTTATCAATCAGAAGACGAGGATGAGAAACGCCGCAGAGAAAAGAAGAAGAGGCACAAGTCCTCTCGTCACCACGGCAGTAGCAAGCATTCGTCCTCACGCCATCGTAGCAGTCGGCATCATAGGGATGAGGGTTCGTCTTCTCGCAGACACCGTCGTCACAGGAGCTACGATTCACGCGATGAGAGCGAAGACGAAGAAGAGAGGAGGAGAAGGAGGAGAAAGAGAGAAAAAGAGAGGGACAGAGAGAATGGCTCACGACGTCATCGCTCCCGCAGCTATGACGCGGGAGAGGATGAGCGCGATGGGGATGACCGCAAATCCTCGCGCAGGCAGCGCAGACGTAGCTCCCCTTCGCCGAGCCGTAGTCGCAGCCGCTCACGCTCAGAACCGCATCAGAAACTGTCAGCGCACACCGTCGCGCTCCCCAAGTCAGGCAAAGAAGACGACGCCAACGCGGACGGCTCCCGCTCCTCGTCTCCAGACATCGGTCCCCAGCTCCCAGACTCGGTCAAGGGCAATCAAGTGGATTCACGCGCCTACGGTCGCGCTCTTCTCCCCGGAGAGGGAGCAGCAATGGCTGCTTTTGTTCAAGAGGGAGCCCGTATCCCCCGGAGAGGAGAAATTGGCCTCTCCTCCGATCAAATTGAGGACTACGAGCGAGCCGGTTTCGTCATGTCCGGTTCTCGTCACAGGCGCATGAACGCTGTCCGTGTGCGCAAGGAGAATCAGGTATTGGGAGCGGAGGAGCAACGCGCGTTGTTGAATGAGAGGAGGGAGGAACAGGGGAGAAAGGAGCGGGAGATTTTGGGTCAATTCAGGGAGATGCTGGATGAGTATGGGGCGGGGAGTGGATCGGGGAGGTAGGGAAAGAAGACTGACGCGTAAGATGACACGCAAGCTTGTGACTTGGCTGTTGACCTCTCATGCTCAGGGACTCCAATCTGACGACGAAGGCCCCCACTTCTTGTGTCGCATCGCGTGATGGGATTAGTATTTCTCCTCAATACATCACCAGACCACCGCGCATCCTCGCATGCTCCTTTCCTGCCTCTCCGAGCACAGATACGCTGCGCTCGCCCTCCTTCATGCCCAAGCAGTCCTCTTCCTCCCACTCAGCCCCTCGAGATACTCCCGCACCCACTCCTCCCTCAATTCAGGCTTGTGCCCCCAAATCCTATAGCGCGCATCAGTCCGCAGCACAGCGTGCACCTCGCCCAAAACCCCAGTGTTGGCAGCCACGTCCACCAGATCAGGAAGTTGCGCCTCGTCCGACTCAGGATCCACGTCGCCCACCTCCGCATTCTGATCCAAGGCACGACGCGCCGCAGCCTCCGAATCGTCGTTGCCTGCGGCCTTGAGTTTGGCCTTCTCTGCAGCTTCAGAGCGCAGACGACCCCAAAAGTCTACGAATGAGTTCTCCTTGAGCATCTCGAAGAACTCTCGCTTGGCTTTCTCCTCTCTCAAGCGATGCCATCGGTCCCACTCCTCGCGAAGGCTTCGGCGCAGCGCGCGCTCGAGGAAGAGGCGCATTGCAAGACGCTCATAGTCGTCGTCTGTCTCGATGAGAGGGAGGAGGACGGACCCGTCGACGTTCAGCGGGGCTTGTCGCGGAGTTGCGCTTGCAGCAACCTTCTTCGTTGCGCGGTCGTCGTCCTCGTCATCGTCACTGTCGTCGGTATCGTCTCCGCGTCTTTTCTCGGCAGCTCCGCGCGCGAAACGCTCGAAGATGCCCTCGAGTTGCGCCCGCTTCTTGGCAATCAGCCCCTCTCTATGCTGCTCGAACATCTCCCTCTTTGCACCCCATGGAAGCTCAGCCGATCCCCCGCCGGACCATCTTGAGTCCTTTGTAATGGTTTCATCCCGACTCACATCCTCCCACGTCGCAATTGGGTCGCGCACTAGATCGATGAGCAGCTGACTGAAGATGAGCGAGGCATCCTGCCTCTGAGCCTGGTGCAGGGCACGGGCATTCTGACGCGAGAGGGAAGAGGACTGCTGTTGTACCGCCGCTTGACGTGCCGCGAGAGCTTGCGCTTGGCGTTGCTCCTTTGTGAGGGTAGGGGTGGTGGAGGAGGATGGGCCCGCCTGAGACTGCGACTCGCTGGCAGCTTGCGAGGTACCGTTTGACGGCTTTGCGGCTGTGGGAGGCTGCTTTGCCCATTTTGCAAACAAGTCGGCTCTGCGAGACGAGCTACCCACAGCCTCGTACTCGCCGCGCTTCTCCATGCCTCCGATCTTCTTCACGTCTCGCCACACCTTGTCCTTCAATTCCGCCTCGTCCTTGCCTGCCCACGCAGATCTCTGCTCCTCTTGACCCAAGACCTCCTCCAGCAACCCCTCAAACTCCTTCTCAGCCTTCTGCGCAGCAGCCCGCTTCTCCTCTCCGAGTGTGACAAGCCAGGCCTTGAATACTTTCTCTCGCTCGCGGTCATCCCGCCCAAAGGAGTAGAAGCGACGATCCTTCTTGTGGTCTCGGCGGAAGTCGTCAAAACGTGTACGAGTGGACGTGACCGTGCTGCGAAGGAGAGTCTCGTAGATCTGGCGCGGGTCCTGCGCCAATGAGGATGAAGCCGCCGCTGAGGGTTGCTCCTTTGGCTGAGCCGCAATCCCACCACTCGCGCTTCCATTCGCGGCCGCCAGCTTCTTCGCTTCTCTCCTCTCCCTTAACCTCTCCCTGCACCAATCATTAAATGCGTCCTGCCTGTCCTTGAGCAGCCCCAAGCCTGTATACTCGCTTCTGTGCACGAACTTGGGCAGCTCCTTGTCCCAAGGCGCCATTGGATTGACCTCCTCTCGCGTGCCATTGAGCGAGGTCAGCATACGCATGAAGAGCGCACGTCCTTCCTCCAACGAGAGCTGCGGTACTTCAGGGACAGGAGGCTGGGAGGGAGTAGAGGAGGATTTGCGCTGCGCTGCTGGTCCGGACGGCGGTGGTTGAGGAGAGGAGTGGAAGCCGGGTGGAGGGCCGCTGTAGCCTCCTGGCGGTGGTGGCGGAGGGCTGAATGCTGGAATAGGTGCTTGAGGTGGTTGGTGTACTGCACGTGAGGGCTCCTCGGCCTCTTGATCCTCGGCTGCTGCCTCTGCTGCCATTTGAGCGGCTAGCTGCTGCTGCCACTCTGCGTCGTCGTCGTCGTCGTCATCACCGTGCGCTCCATTGTCATCCTGCGCATCGCTACCTCTTGACCGCTTCGCCTGAGGCTCCTCGTCCTGGGGCGGCTGCGCTAGGAGCTCTGCAGCATCGATGCCAGACTCCTCCGACTCGCGAGCCTTGCCCTCAGCATGTGGCTGACTATTCGTCGTCCTGTCCTCTCTCTTGCGCTTTCCGTCTACCGAAGTCGCACTGCCATTGCCTCGTTGCGGAAATGTCGCTGCCTCTGCTGTTCCTGCGGCCACGCCCGCCTCCATTGCCTCGACAGCCTCGCGAATCTCGTCGGGCACAATCCACTCGCTACGCTTGGTTGCCGTATGCGTGTAGAAGACGTTGCCGAGATTCGTCGTCACCTTGAGCCATCCTTCTGCACCGGGTATTGGCTCCTTGCTCTTTGGCTTCTCCTTCTTTGGCTTGGTTGCGGCTGCTGCTGTGGATGAGGTTGTCCCTTGCTGTGAAAGTGAGGAAGCAGGTGGCTGGTGCGTCGACTGGCCTGTTGCAGCATTATAATAATAGGGCATCCCCTCGTGGGTGTAGTACACTGCCCATCCTGCCGGCAGAGCCTGATCAGCTGGCGCAGAAGAGGGACCGGGGGCAGCCATTGTCGCCCCTGCCGCGTAGTGATGGATCGATTGACAACCCACTCTCGAGCTCAACCTCGTCAACCTTCTGGAGGCGGCTGCCTGACCTGCTTCCGCTCTCGCGCGCCACGTGTCTCAGTCCGACTTGGCTCGTCTGGCCCGCCCGAGTCTCGCGCAGGATTTGGAGACCTTCGTCCGCTCGCATCGCTGCTCCCTTGATTTCCATCCGTCCAACCCGCATCAACGCTACCATGGCCGACGACGAGCGACAGATTTCACGACTGTGGAGGGTGAACAGGACCATTCATGAGCTTGTCAAGGACAGGGTACGTAGGAGGGCGAGCTGATTATTCGCAAACCTCGCTGACATCTGCTCCGGCGCACGCACGCAGGGCTTCCTCGTCGCCGACAATGAAATCGACATGTCCCTCGACCAATTCAAGCAGGACTTTGTGCGTGCGATGATCTTCTCGAGGAGACCTCATGCTGTCGCGCCTGGCTCACCTCCTCACCCTACCCTTCCTCCCCCCCCGCTAGGCCTCCTCCGGCTCAGTCGACAAAGCCAAGCTCAACTTCTACACTCACCTCACCACCAACCCCGAAGACAAGATCCTCGTCTACTACGCCGAAGACGCCAATGTAGGCATCAAGGCCATGCGCAACTTCATCAACACCCTCGAGCTCCAGAACATCTCACGAGGCATCCTCATCTGGTCAGACAAGATGACCGCCGCTGCTCGCAAGGTCATCGATGCCATGCGCCAGCAGTTCAGGCTCGAGGACTTTGAAGAGGCGTACCTGCTCGTCAACATCACACATCATCACTTGGTGCCCGAGCATTACGTCATGTCTGCGGAGGAGAAGAGGGAATTGTTGCAGAGGTACAGGTTGAAGGATAGTCAGCTGCCGAGGATTCAGATCAACGACCCGGTTGCGAGGTACTTTGGGCTGCAGAGAGGGCAGGTGGTCAAGATCACCAGACGTGAGTGCGAAAGGAGCGACAGCCATTGTGACGAATTGGGACAGCTGACGTTCGCTGCCCTCGCTGTCCTCACACAGCATCCGAGACGTCTGGTCGCTACTGCTCGTACCGTATCTGCATCTGAGGAGCGGAACGACAGTCCTGGCTACTTTGTTCGTCTGGCGCCGCACTTCTCCCCTCGTCCGATCTGGCCCCACTCCCACTCGTTGTCCTTGTACTTTTACCCACGCCCTCTCATACGACATGCAGATATTTGCAGCAGCACATCCCCTCGTGCACAGAAGATTGATTGCTCGCTCATCACTCTTCCACCTACAAGAATCGTCCGCCGCCTCCCCCACCTGACGCGCTACCAAACCGATCGCTTAACCCACCACTTGCTCCACCTAGCAGCTCAGCCTTCTTGGCCTCGTCCATTCGAGGGATGAAGGACATGGCCGCTTCACGGTCCCACATCTTGGGTGGTGCTGACCCCGATGAAGATGTGGACTTAGACTTGGACTTGGTGCTCTGGCGGTCTTCCTTGTCCTCTCCTTCGCGCTCACGACGCTTTCTACGACGACGTCTACGCTCTTCGCTGTCCTCGCTGTCGCTACGCTCGTCGTGGTGGCGATGTCTGCGTCGACTGGTGCTGCTGCTCCTGTGGTGGTCGCGATCTCGGTCATCGTCGTGGCGACGGCTCCTGTGATGGCGATCTCGATCCCCGTCGTCGCGATGGCGCCTACTCCTGCTGGAGCTGCTGCCATGGCGATCCGAATCACGTTCTCGTCGTCGACTCTTGCTGCTCTTCTCTCGCCGTGATGAAGCTTCTGAAGAAGAGGACGAGTAGCCGCCCTCATCGTCGCTCTGATCTCTCTTGCTTCTCCGCCTATGACTGGGTCCATTCTCCTGGTCCCTCTTGCTGCTCTTCTCCTTCCGATACTCCTCCCTCCTTTTGGCCTGATGTTCCTCCAACAAGCTCTTTCCACCACCGGGAGCTGATCTACGATTTTCCGCAACTTGCGCTGCAATCTCCTCATCCCGTCTTCTGCGGGCAGAAGCCGCTGCATCACCACCTTCATTTGCAGCTGCATCAGCTGAGGAGCGCGGCCGAGCTCCATCCACCTCGTCCTTAAGCCTCCGCATCCTCTCCTGAGGAGTTTCCGTCCAGAGGCGCATACCTGCTTCGTCATCCCCGCCTGCTCCACCTCCCCCCTTCTTCTGGACGCGCTGAGCTCCTTGCTGGAAGCCTCGAGCTTTCAGAGCGCCTGCGGGTGGCCCGTCTTGGGGTCGTGACGAGCTTGCGCCGCCAAGAAGGTCGGCGAGAGAAGAGGAAGAAGGAGGGGCAAGCATCCAGTCCGGGCGCTGTAGCTTTGAGGTGCTGCTGGATGCTTGGGCTTCCTGCGGTGGGGCGACGGGCGACCATGCATCGAGATGATCAGCATAACGAGCAGTATTCTTGGCGGTGGAGCAGCGACTCACCTCCTCTGCCTCCCTCCTACGTTGCTCTCGTTCAAGAAAGGTCCGCTCAGCGTAGCTCATGCCATCCTCTCCATCGTCGGCAGGAGGTCCTGTAGGGGCGGCCGGGCCGACGACCTCGTCGTCATCCTCGCTGTCATCGTGAGGGGATCTCTGAAAGCCAGGAGGGAGAGAAGGTCCTGCAACCGGCGGAGGCATACTGGACCTCGGGAGGTGTGGCTATGGTGGAATTGAAAGATTGGCCGACGGGAAATGCGCTGCGCCTCGATCTCGTCTTTCTCTCTTCCGTCGCGGTCCGCCTCCACTCTTGATCCTCCGACGACGCTTAGGCCTCTTCTTGTTCCTCTCCATCCTCAATACCACATACATACCACTCCACCATGTCATCAAGCGACGACATCCGTCCACGCTCCGTCGAACTCCTCATCGCCTCACTGCAGAGTGCAGCACCGGATTCCGATCCCAAGCAACTCTCCCAGCTCGCCTCAGAAATCGAAGAAGCCCTCTTCCTAGCCAGCGACAGCGATTCAGGCAATACCTACCGCTCTTCAATCAGAGATCGATCCCTTGTTCTTAAAAAGGACAATCCTGGCTTGGCAAAAGAGCTACTCTCCGGCTCAATGACAGCGCAGACTTTCGCTACGGCCTCACCGCAAGACCTCCGCAGCTCGCAACAAGCGGCTGCTGACAGTCAATTGGAACAAGACCATCTCCAAGAAGCAATGGCCCCTTCTGAGCCAGAGGCTTTGAGCGAGCAGAAGAGCATGGCAGAGACGAGACCGCTGGAGGAGGCACAGCCTGGCGCCCCCATCGGAGAGGACGGGACGGCTCTGGGCGAGGAGGGCGAGTTCAAGGAGCGTAGCCAACCGAGAGTTGGGAGGGCAATGGAAGGTGTGGAGTTTGAGACTGCTGGGGTATAGAGTAGATTGGGGGAAGAAGCGGGGGACAGCTCTGTCCTTCACGTAGGGAGGGCACGAGTAGATATCCAATTGCAATGAGACCTTCGACCGGGTATATGCGTACGAATCCCTTCCAATCGACCGGCTAGCAGCACCCGCCAAAGAGGCGTGCACTATCATCTCCCTTCCCGTCGCTGAGCCTTACCATCCTCCTAGTCTCCAAAGCTACTCCGTCCTCCTCTCCACCGGCGCCCCTGCCTGCCGGACCACCACCGCCTCCTCCTCCCCCAAGCCACCAGCTTCGCCTCTTGTTGAGCTTTCCTGCGCCTCCCTTCTGGCGTCGCGTCGTCCCTTTACCATTGCCAGCAGCACCTTCAGCCATCTCAGCCTCCCCTTCGCGCCACTCCTCGTACTGCCATCGTCTTGCTACCCTGCTGACCACATGCTCGAACACCTCCTTGACATTCGTGCCCGTCAAGCTTGAAGTGTAGAAGAGGGAGAAGCCTTCCATTGGTGGTGGCGGAGGAGGTCGGGCTTGTGGCGATGGCCGTCTAGACGAGCCAGCAGTAGTTGCCTTACCGTTGATCTGGGTGGGCGCGATCACGGTGGGAGGTGCAAGTGACTGAACAGAGGGAGTGGAGAGGGCCCGTATTCTCGGTGGGGGCCGGGCGAGAGGTGTACGATTGGAGGGGGGTGCTGAAGGTTCGCCCTTTGATTGCTTGACGGCGCAAAGGAAGGGGTCTTGAGCGCTGTTGCTCGCAGCGTGGGAAGTGGCGAGGCCATCTTCGTCCTCCTCGTGACGTCCATTAGCGTGCGTATGCTTGACGACAGTGCTCGTCGAGGAAGGAGTGAGAGCTCGCCTTCTAGCCGCTCTCTCCTTTGCTGTCAGCCTCGCCTCATCCTCGCCGCCCATTCTGGTGGTAGAAGCTGCAGATCCGTCCGAAGAGGAGCCTGTACTGTCCCTCCGTCCCATGCCGTGCATTCCTCCCGCAGGCGACCCGTTCATTGCGCCTACATCCGGGCTCCTACTCCCCGCGTCCAGCTTCGAAGAGCTAGCGACCGTGCTACTGCTTCCATGCCAGAAGGTAGAATTTCGTGGCGTATGGTAAACGCTCATTTGCGTGGTGGTCGAGGCGAGAGAGCGCGTCGAGTCTAAGCGATGGCGTGGCATGCCTGCATCGACGGTCAGGGCCCCATTCTGCATCGTGGCCTTTGCGGGAGGTGTGCGAGCTTCGTTCCCATTCGCGGTGGCTGAAGTGGATGGAGCCTCACTGCGAGTGACGGCGCGAGGTGCCGCTGAAGAGCCATTCCGGCCTGAAGGCGGCGTGCGAGGTGGCGAGGAGGATGGGAAGGGTCGGAGCGCGTTCTCCTCCGAGCTGCGGCCATTGACAGTCTTGTCGCCCACCTGTTTGCCGCCCTCCTCGTCATCGTCGGATGTGTCCGCATCTGCAGTAGCCATAGCGGCGACACTTTCTCCCTCGCCGTGCTGCTCAGCGCTCTCCGACACCTGCGCAATCTCCCCATTTTCTTCACTAGTCTCAATCCCTAGTTCTCGATCATCGACCCTGTGTCGCCCCTCCCTAGCCAATACCTCCAGCGGATCAGCAGGTGGTCGATCGCCATGTCCCGGTACGCTGGGCTGTGGCATCTTCGCTGAAGCTGGTGGTGTTGGTCCACGAGGGATGAGGGCGTCGAGCCATTCCCTCACTTTCCTTCTCGGTACCCCCGCCCCACTCGCAGCGCCAGCAGCTCCTGCGTCCTCCTTCTCCAGCCTCAGGTCAGATTTGCATCCCACCGCAATCCAGCAAAAGCGCTTCTTGTCCTCCTGCGACTCAAGACCGGCATGCTTGGCGAATTCGGTGTACCACTCTTCCAGCCCGATCTTTACGGCTTCCGCATCCTCGCTGGAGGCATCAAAGCACACCAATGCAGCATCTGCTCCCCGATAGAAGGCAGAGCCTAAGGCTCTGAAGCGTTCTTGACCTGCCGTGTCCCATATGGTAAGTGTGGCTTTGCGCGGTGCTTCCTCGTCTTGCCCGTCGTCCTCGTCGTCGTCCTCGTCGTCATGGGGAGTGCGCGCGAACCCCTCTGCGTACCGATATTCGACGACCTTGGCTTCGAAGTCGGCGCCAATAGTCGCCTTGTAGTTGTGCTGGAATCGATTCGTAAAATATGCCTGTCGCAAAGAGGTCTTGCCTACTGACCCGGGCCCGATGAGGACGACCTTGAGTGGTCGAGGGGGGCGGAGCGCAGCACGATGCCTCTCTTGGTGGTGGAGTGATGACGAGGGAGAGATTGACGAGACGTGGGACACGGCCGAGATGTTGGAGATGCGGGCTGCTCGTGGAGTAGCATGGCCGACGCCGAGACGTCGGTCCCTCTGCTCCATGGGTATCGGTTGATAGATGCTGGAGATGATGATGGTGGAGCGAAGGAGAAAGGGGGTTTGATGTCGTGTCCAAGCGTCGGAGCGTGCAGAGCTCAAATGCACGGCCGCTCTCTCTGCAGGAACCCAATGGCCGACAAGACGCAGCCGAGTCCCGCCTATCGATGGCGTCGCCTTTGCCGCCGCCAGCCTTCCTTCTGCACTCAGAAGCAAGAACAGGAGCGAAGGCAAGGTCACCGTAGATCGAATCCGTTCACGGCACCCAGGTCAGACCTCGTCGACCTGGTCAAGTGAGGCTCAAGATCCCCACGCCATGGCTGCCCAGCCTTTCGATGCGGCCCAGTTCCACGGTAACCATCCGCATAGTTGAGGCCATCAAGCGACCAAGCCTTGACGCCCTCGTGACTGCCCTCCACTCACACTCTTCTTTGCTCACCCTGCCCGCAGCCCACGTCTACCAGATTGTCCGCCTTATCCCATCGGGCCACGTAACTTCTTACGGCCACATCGCCCGCCTTGCCGGATCTCCCAGCCACTCCCGAATGGTAGGCTCAGCCCTCAAGTACCTGCAGGACGACTCGGTCCCCTGGCAAAGGGTCATCGGCGCTAGTGGGGCGATCAGCGAAAGGGGCGACGGCGGTCAAGGAGCGAGACGACAGGCAGACAGACTTAGAGAGGAAGGAGTCGAGGTAACGGAGCCTCAAGGAGCAGGAGTCGGGGTGGGGGGACAGTTCAAGGTGTCTCTCTCTACGTATGGCTGGTGTAAGTTTGCGAGTCGCGATAGACGGATGGACATGCTGCTCGATGATGCGCTGACGTCCTTCCCTGGTGATATCGCGCTGGCGGCAGTCCCCGAATCGGTACAGCTTGAAGATGAATGACGGCCGCGACATAACACAGCGAACGAGTCCTAGAATCCCAACTCTGTCAGGAGCAACATTGTCACGGCCCTCTATCGCACATTGTCACGACCGTCTATCGCGTGATCTCGTTGACGATTCAATTGTTTGGTGATGACAGATTGTGAATGCGAATGTAGTATGAACAAAGGCGCGATGCTTCGCGGCGCTCGGAGGGGAGTGAGTTGAGAAGGAGACATTGATGCTGAGAGACGATGTGCGTGCTGACGGGGCGTGCATGGGGAGAGAAAGTATTTGACTGTGAGAGGGGGGGAGGGGGGAGGAATGCTGGATCAAGGAAGAAGAGATGGAAGAGTCTATGCTGCCGATGCTGCCGAGTGAGGCGGCATCTAGTAGGCGGCGCCTCCTCCTCCACTAGCGCCACCAAGATGCGAAGGCCCCCGCCTCATGCTGGAGGCAGAGTGACGTGACGAGCCAGCATTGCTCGAAGATCGGGCCATCGCCGCACCGTCGGGCTGCTGTTGAGAGATGTGAGGCCAGTAATGCATCTGCTGCCACTGCTGAAGATGCTGGAGCTGTTGGTCCATGGGCACGTTGTTGAAGGGCATCCAGCGCTGTTTCTCCTCCGCGCTACTGGCGCTAGCGTGCGGCAGGTGACTTGAGGGGAGGGCACTGTGCGCTGCTCGCCCGTAAGAGAGGCCGTAGGCTTCCGGGGAGAGGCGTGGCGGATGAACTGACTGATACTGCTGATGCTGGCGAGAGCAGACGGAGTGCTGTTGATGAGCGGCCGGCAGAGGCGCGTTGGTGCGAGGCGACACGCCATATCCCCCAAGACTGAAGCTTCCCCTCCTGCTCGTCGATGAGCCCACCCTTGACATAGGCAGGGAGCCAGTCGGGGTGGAGTTGGTCGGTGGTGGAGCGTAATGGAATGCCGGTAGCCCAAAGTCTCGCCCTGCGGCCAGCTGGTAGAAGGAGAGGGGACGGTCCGCCTCGCGTGGGGCCATCGTCTGTTGGTGCTGGTGATGTGATGACGAGCCGGCCCAGGCAGGACCGTGCGGACCGGCGTAGGCTTGCATCAAGCGGTCTGGCGTGAGTGGTTGGGCAAAGATTGACCGGGCAGCATTGATCTCGGGAGGGGAGATGCTGTGCGAGGGCGTGGGGCGTGATGCTGTCGAGGTGGGAGCAATCGCTGATCGCTTCGTAGTGCGCTCGACCTGTTCCGCCGACTCCTCCCGCCTACGCTTGTGGCTAGACTGCTGCCATTCGCCAGGACGCAGACACCCCACCGTGTCCCATCGCGCAGCCTCAGGCCTGCTGTGCATCTCGACGGGGGACGGCCACTTGTACGCCTCGTGGGTTGGGCCGGTCGTGAGCGGTGAGATACTTGTCGCTGTCGTGGAGGCGTAGGAGCGCTGCGATGTTGGACTGATGCTGGTGCATTGCGAGCTCTGCACGTCAAAGGGCGGCAGGGCGGCGTTGGCCGAAGTGGACAGGCTGAGCAGCGAGGGAGAGGCAGAAGAGCTCGACGCTGCGCACGCCTCGCCTCCGAGGGGGGGCCATGGCAGATGCGAAAAGGAGTGACGCATGCTGCGCTGTGCGGGAAAGGTGAGCGGGGCCGGAACGAAATTCTGACCTGATGTTGACGTTGGCGCAGGCCAGGGGACGCGAGCCTGCGCTGCTTGAGCTGCAGCTGTCGCCTGCTGTTGTTGAGCCTGGAGGACCGACGCCTTCCTCCTTGCAGCGTCTCTCGCCCTCTTCGCCAAAGCTTGTCTCCTCTGCTCGTATAGATCCTCCAAGGCCTGCTGCCACTCTTCGTATTCTGCCTTGGTGACGTGAATCCGCATCTGCAGACCCAGCCAGAACTCAATCTCCATCTTGGTGACGTCCTTGAGCGGGATGCCGCTGATGTCCGACCATGTCTTGTTGGTGTACGTGTGGTCGTCGAGGAACTTGTTGCCGAGCATGAGAGCCGTGACGCAGAGACGATACTCGGAGCCATCTTGGCCTCGAAGGCGTGGGTGGAGCAGCTTAAGGCGACGAATGTAGAGGAGGGCGAGGATGAGGACCGAGGTCGAGACTTGTGTCGTTCGCAGCGTGTCCCGTACAAAATTGACAAAGCGGTCGCGAGGAGCCAGGCGAAGCTCGTCGGCTGAAGGAGCCTCTTGTGCTGCGGCTGCATTCATGAGGCGGGCATCGAGGTCCAGCGGCTGAAGCGGGCCACGGCGATGGGGACCCGATGACGGCGAGGCGGTCACGGACGAGAGGGATGTGAAGTCATGAGAGCGAGTCTTGGAATGACCGCCGCAGCCGATGCCGTTGCCGCCAGTCCGGACGGCGAGGGGTGAAGGGTGCAGGGGAGCAAAGGGCGATGTCGGGCTACGGCACGGAGTGCCAGGGATCGACGCCCCGGCCAGAGTGCTTGAGGGCGGCGAGAACCAAAGCCAGCTGGGCGAGGGCGAGGGTGACGGCGAGGACGAGAGCGTGAGAGTCAATCATCAATGCCAATCATTATTGCAATGACTCTCCACCCACTCACCACGCCAACTCTGCAAACCACCGGGCCAACGCATCGGTGCTATTGCGAGGCGGACCCTTGGGCTTTTGCGGCGAAGGAAAAGCTGTCGCAGCGGCTCGATGGCCCGGCGTCCGAGTTCCGTTGAATGCAGTCGATGCTGAGGCAGGGATTGGGAAGGGGTACGACGAGGTCTGGTTCCCCGCTGCGCACGACGGCCAGCCGCCCACACCCATACTGTCCGGAGCGTGCGATGATGAGCAGGCGGCTGAGCTGCTCCCAATACCAAGGTCGCGGCTGAGCCCGTGATCATACATTGAGTTGTATCGAGGGAGCTGACGCTGGAGACCGTCGGTATGTCCTTGCTGCTGGTCCACCATCGCTGAGCGCGAAGGGGGAAAGGGCAGAGGGATCGGCGCGACTGCCATTCGAGGCAGTTGATAGTGGGAAGAAGGCGGGGGAAAGATGGGATCGCGGCTGCCACTGGGCGAAGCTAAGAGAGGCGGCGCATCAACGATAAGAAGTTTGTGGGTGGGTAGACCCAGGCTGAGAGGACGATGGTGAGGAGGTTTGCGCAGCTCTAGCTAGTCATTGCTCGGGGTGATGAAGAAGAACAAAGGGGGTTGGGGGCGACGGGCTGAAGGGTGGAGGACGTGGTAGAATGGCAGGAAGCAAAACGATGATGAGAGTGCACTCAATGTGCCAAGTGAACGAGGGAATGGAGAGACCAGCCGAACCGCCCCTTGATGTGAGGTGGGTGACTTTGATGAGCGTGGATAGTGCGATTGCTGAGTGGTGCGGAGTGAGTGAGTGAGTCGGACGAGTGATTGCTCATGGGCCCTCTCATTGGCAAGCAGGTGCAGCTGCGAATTGCAGCGTCCGCTCATTTGCAGCTCTCTCTCGCCCCTCGTCCCTGTCGCTCGCACCAATGTCCCGCGGGCGTCGTCGTCGGCGTCGAGCGTCGAGCATCGAGCGTCGAGCCATCGAGCATAAGGTCGAGGAGCTGCGACAGTGGCTGGCTGATGCTAATGGACCTGAGTTGGAGCGACAAAGTGCGAGCGCAATTGCGAGTAGCGTCGTCTAACAGCCGCGCCCGCGCCGCGCCCGCGTCTAGCCCGCCTCCGCCTCCTGACTGAGCCTTGATTGCCCTTGTCAGCCTCGCGCCGATTCAGCCTTTTCCAAGCCGCCGCTGGGTTCGGAACACAGCCTCCATCGGCGGGCGGCGAGTAGCGGCGTGGCAGGCGCTGGCGGAGACCAAGGAGAGGAGGGGGCAATCGAGAGCGAGAAGGAGGCGCAACCTCACACAAGGCAAAGGCACCGGAGGCGGGCGGCGCATGAAGGAGCAAAGCCGCACGGCGAGCGAGCGAGCGAGCGAGCAAGGCACGACAAGTGATCAGCATCGCAGCATCGCCTCGATGTGTGTCCTCGCCAATCCGACGAATGGCCGAAATCAAAATTGTAGCTCCAAGACCAGGTACAGCGAACGAGGCTGCGAGTCTGCGAGGCTTGCTCACATTGCAGCACGGTTAGCCACGGCCGGGTCAAGCAAGGCATCGCACCCACCTTTGCACCTCCTCGTAATCCTCCTCGCTACTGGCTCAACCCCCCAACTCAAATTTGGCCCCTCTTCAGCATCGCCTTGGCCCGCCACACTGGCAAGGACTTGCACTCGCAGCGGAGCATTGATGCATTCAAAGTACCGCGTCGCCCGACGCGCCGAGCAGCGCAGTTCCACTCTGGTTCGAGACCAAAGGGCCATGCACACGTCGACACACGCAGCCGGAGTCAGGGAGGAGAATGGGAGCTACGTGATCGACGATCACAGCACGCACGCCGCTCGGCGCCTTTCCTTCTCACGGGGTGTGCGCAGACCCAAGTAACGTTTGGACGTTTTGAGACGATGGTTGAATGAGAGCGGCAACGCAAGCCTCGTTGGAAGCGATAGAGCAAGCCGGGGTGACGTGGAGCATCGCAACGCAAACGCAGCTAGGCTATCGTTCGTGAGACCGAGACTTAGAACTTTGGCGCGCAATTCGTTCCTCCAGTGACTAGACGTTTTGCCCGTTTACCGGTTCAATCAGCAGGTCGAGGCGATGCCATGCCAAGCCGCGTCGCGGTGTGCAAGTTGTGTAAACCTCGGCGAACGTCAAGCGGCCAATGGCAGGCTGCACGACGAGGTGGCGAAGAAAGAAACCCAACTCGGTCCGGTCCAGTCGGTGAACATTGCATGCTTGCTCAAAGAGGAGGTCGTATGTAAGCGGGAGCGGGACGTGGGAGCGCGAGCGGGAGCGTCAGGTGGGTTGACCAGTGGAAAGGCGGTCGAGAGCCGACGCACAGGACGCTGCTCTGCACAGACAGACAAAGGTAGCACCCCACCTCACCTTCACCAAGAGCATCGCAGATGGCAATGCTCTGCCGAGGGAATTATCGATCGTGTGCCTGCCCCGACGATGACGACGATGACTGCAATTGCGACGTGTTGGCTGCTAAGCTTCTCAATGATGCAAGGACGAGGCGCGAATGAACCCCGCGGCAGGATCAGAAGAAGAGAGTTCGCGAGGACGACGGCATTTCGAACGAGGGTTAGCGGCGGCCAAGCCGGCAAGCCAAGACAGACTCGCGCTCCGGCCAAGAGAATGAGTGAAAGATGAGTGCAATCTTCTTCGCGCTATTGGGTCGTTGACCCAAGACCTGCTGATGCTTGCGCGGTTGCTCCGCTGCTTCGACGAGAGCAAAGGACGTTGCACGCTAGTCTAATCGCACTGCTCGCTCGTAAAAAGAGTTGGAGGACGGCGCCTGTGCCTGCCGTTTGGCCGACTCGATTGGCTCCAAGGCTTCGTCGGAGGGCGGGTGTGAGGTCTAGCTTTCGCTCAAGCTTTCAAACCTCTCCACACCAAAAGGTAGAAGCAGTGGTCTAAGGCAATGCCAACCGACCAACGAAAGCGCATTGGATTCTGAGTGCAAGGTCCGAGGCGTGTAGCAACCAAGGCTAGCTGGCTAGCTCAGGAGAAGGAAAGTGATCGAACTCCCCTACCTGCTTTAGCCCGGCGTCCAGCCTCGCGGTCCATGCCCGCGGCTGAGCTTCACGTAGCCCCGGCCTCGGTAGCGGGTACCGACACCTTAATTCGTCCCTTCCTCTCCAGACTCCTTCTCATTGCTCATAGCCATGCGGGGCGCTCATAATCTCATAATGAGGAACCGAGTTGACCATTCTAAGAGACGCTGACTCGGTAACGCGCATCACTGTAAAGCGAGACAGGGCGGCGTCTTACGGGGTTACGGTGCGAAATCAAGTCAAGGAAGGATCAATCGAGGGGAGGGGGGACTCCACGTCACTGTGCGTGAGAGCGCGCCTGTCATTCGGCTTTGCGAAGCTTCCTGCATTTCCAAATTGGAAAAACGTACCGCTATCGCTCGCATTGACGACTGCACGTATCTCAGTTCGTCTACGTGCGTAGCCGGACCTCATTGTCGCGACGCTCTCTTGTGGGTGGGCGAGGGATGTTGCTCCATTTGGCCGTCACGTCCTCCTGGTGAGTGACATGACACTGTCGGTGGTGCTGCTGGAACTGAGGCCTTCTTTGTCACCTGATTGGATCTCGGACTTCTCACTTGGTCTACTGAAGGGGGAGGCGCACGATGAGTAGGCCTCGTGGCGAAATGCGACGTCATGGCGAGAAGCAGCCCTTCATCAGTCCTGATGCGCCGAAGCCTGCGCCGCAGCCATCACCCTCCAGCGTCCCTCACACAACGTCGACTATTATGTACTGATACTGTTACTGATTGATTGAAAGTTGTTTGACTAAGGTCTGCTGCGAGCGCACAGTCGGTCGCTGTTTTCTTTGTGAGTGAGAAGAGAGGTGCTGAAGGGTGAATGTACGACCCGAGAGATGTGAGAGTGGGACAAGACGAGAGTGAAGGGAAGTGTTACAATGGGGGAGGCGAGAGGAAGGGGGACGTCGGGAGAGAGCGCCTGTTTTTTGAGCATCGAATTTGCTAGGGAGTAAATGCAGAGCAGAGGGCGGGGTAAAGGGGGGAATGGGGCCCATCAATCGCCTAGCGTCGCCCCGCTGCCCAAGAACTCTGTTGCGTAAACCTGGACCTATTCGGCGATGAAGCGCCGCCACTGCTGCCACCCTGCCTACCGCCACCCTGCCCGCCATTGACCTGGGGACTAGTAGGCGACCACTTCGGGCTCGTAGGACTGTACGCCGGGCTGGCAGGGGAGTACTGCGGGCTGGTCGGAGAGTACTGCGGGCTCGTAGGGCTGTACTGCGGGCTAGTGGGCGAGTAAGCCGGAGAGGCAGGCGAGTAAGCCGGGCTGGTCGGCGAGAGGCCTGGCATCTTGCCCGCAGCAGGGGAGGTGGGGCTGGTCTGGAAGCGTGGGCTTGCAGGCGAGTAGGCAGGTGAGGCGGGAGAGTAACCTTTAGGTGAGGTGGGGCTCCATCTAGGCGATGCAGGGGAGTAGGATGGGGAAGCGGGGCTGGTGCCGTGCGCCGCTTTGGGAGAGGTGGGAGAGAAGCTTGGCGAAGCCGGCGAGTAGGCGCGCGGAGAGGTGGGCGAGTAGCCAGGCGAGGTCGGGCTGAAGGAGGGAGAGGTCGGGCTGTACGAAGGAGATGTGGCGCCGAAGTTGATGTTGGGTGAGGCGGGAGAGTAGCCTGCATTGGGTGAAGCAGCACCACGCGCAACCCAAGGAGAGATACCGCCTCGTCCAGGCGACATGGGCGCATAGGCTGGTGAAGCGGGCGAATAACCAGGTGAAGCACCGTACAGGCCTGCACCGGGTGACTGACCGCCCATGGGTGTGCGCATGGGAGACTGACCAGGCTGAAGCCATCCGTCGTACGCATCTTCGCCTGGCTGAGCAAGCGGTGAGAACATGGCCTGGTCCTGCACTCGGAAAGCATCCTCGTCGAGCGGCGAGCTGGAGTCGTAGGGGGTCATCATGCCTCCAGGCGTCTTGCTGCCGGACGGGTCGATAGCCGCAGCCATCATGGCTTGGACGGGCATGCGATAGTCGACGATGACGTCCTTGAGGGCCTCGACGTCGAGCTTGACGCTGAATGCTCCCGTACCCATGGGCGCCATCTGTCCGAGCAGCACATTCTCCGCCACGCCCTTGCAATCGTCAATGTCACCCATCGCGGCCGCTTCCATCAAGATCTCGACCGTCTCCTCGAAGGAGCAGCGCATAAGCGCACCCTGATTCGTGCGATTGATGCCGTGACGCGTGATGGCCATGAGGACTCCCTGGCTCGTCATAATGTCACAGAGCAGAGCCAAGTGACGGTAGTTGACGTAAGATCCGTCGAACTCGATGACCTGCTTGGCCTCGCGCAGGATGGAGTTGCGCGCAGCCTCGATACCGAGGACGTGGAAGACTTCAACGCAGTTGTTGGACACGGTACGGTGAGGATCGACATGGTCTGCCGCCAAGATCTCCTTGAAGTTGGTGCCCTCCGTTTCGAGGATGTTCTCCTGCACCTTCTCCCACGAACCCGTCTCAGGATTAAGGCGCATCGCGTCTTTGTCCGTCTTGGTGATGAAGACCTTTTTGATGCCCTTGATGCCCTTGAGATCGATGTCGGTCAACATCTGAATGGCAAATTGCTTCAAGAAGGTCTCCTCATCGCCCATGGCCTCCTTGTCCGGCTCGTTGTTGACGGTACGGACTCGCAGTACCAGCTGGTCAGCATTGTCCTCCGAGTGCATCACGAAGACGTCGTCGCCGAACAGTTGAGTGACCTCAGCAGCCACCTCAGCCATCGTCAAGTTCTTGTCGAGCATCTGACCACGGTCGAGGATGAAACGGAGCATCCAAGGGGATTGGCGGTCCAGTGTACGCTCGACGTCCTCGTCTGGCACGGCGAAGAATGACTCGACGAAGTCGCGATCCTCCTCGATGAGCGTGTTTGTCGGGTCGGGGTCGTAGTGGATCTCGACGGCGCCCGTGATCGTCTGCAGCGTCGTGTGGGTGAGCGCGGCTTGAATGGGCTTGGCGAGAGCCTGCTGGTTGTCGCTGTGGTCATGCCATCCATTGTAGGGGGCCTGCAGGTACACGCGCACCATGGGCGTCTTGATGTTCTCGGCGCAGTTGATAATCTCCTTGAGACGGGGCACACCAAGGGTGACATTCTTTGAGGCGACACCAGCGTAGTGGAAGGTGTTGAGCGTCATCTGCGTGGCGGGCTCTCCAATCGACTGAGCAGCGAGGGTACCGCACATCTCTCCCGGATTGGCGACTGCCTTGGCAAACTGGTCCTCGACCTCGGCCAAGACGTACTCGAAGGAGCGGCGATCCAGGCGCAGGTACTCGATGACGTTCTTCGAAGAGAGGTACGCGCGCAAGTGGATCTTGAGGAGGAGCGTCGCGTTGATCTGAGCCTCGCGACTGATACGATCATTGCCCCGCACGACGATGAGGCGGTCTAGCGTCTCCTTGACGCCCGTGACGATCTCGCCCGGAGGCAGGTCGCTGGGCTTGCGCGAGTCCACACGGAACTCCTGCTTGGCATTGAGGATCAGGCGGGCAATGTTGATTGGCAGCTGGACGTCAGAGCGGTCCGTCTTGAAGATGAAGCCGCGCAGCAGACGGCGGTCCTCTTGAAGCCTAGCGTACTCCTCGTCAAGGAGATCCTGCAACTCCGCTGACCAGTCATCGAGACCAGCTTGCAGCGATCCCTTCCTGAAGCCACCCTCTTGCAAGTCGACGCGGAATCGTCGGTGGAACTCGGCATCGGTCAAAGTGTGGGTGAGGAGGTTCTGACGCTCCACCTTGGCACCATCAATACCGTCCTCGCCGTACGCAAACTGAATAACGCTGTTCGTCGAGTTGCGCACAGTACCGTCGTAGCAGATCATGATGTCCTCAAGCGCCTTGACGAGACGACGCTGAATGTATCCTGTCTCGGCCGTCTTGACGGCTGTGTCGATCAGACCCTCTCGCCCAGCCATAGCGTGGAAGAAGAACTCCTGCGGCGTCAAGCCTCGCAGGTACGAATTCTCGACGAAGCCTCGCGACTCCGGGGTGAAGTCGTCCTTGGCGAAGTGGGGGAGTGTGCGATGACGGAAGCCAAAGGGAATGCGCTTGCCCTCTACTGACTGCTGGCCTACACAAGCCGACATCTGCGAGATGTTAATGAATGAGCCCTTGGAGCCAGCAATGACCATCTGCTTGACGTTGTTCCAATCGGGGAGCGACTTCTCGGCATTGGTACCAGCCGAGTCACGAGCGGTATTGAGCGTCTTGTTGACAGCAGCTTCGAATGACTCTCGCAGCGTCATACCTGGCTCAGTGCCCAGCTTGTCCATGCGCGCGTCTTCGATCAAGCGCGTGACCTCCGTCTTGGCCTTGTTGATGGCCTCGGTAACATACGCGGCCGTAGCCTTGTCTGCTACCGTGTCGCCGATGCCGATGGAGAAGCCATTGTGCAGCAGCCAGAAGTTGACGACTCGCTGTGCCCCACCAAAGAAGTCGCGGCATACTACGGGCCCCTTTTCACGGAAGATGATGTCGATCAAGCCGCCGGCCTGCGCTCCTACGATCTTCTTGTTGATGACGCCGAAGAGGATCTCACCGTCCTCGATGTGCACACCAGCGTCTGCCAGATTGTTTGTCGAAGGCTTCAAGTTGTCCGACCCTTGGAAGATGTTGATGCCCTTTGGAATGCACATCGAGAGGATCTGCTTGCCCGACCAGAACGGCTTGGGTCGCAGCACGCACGGCATGGGCATCTCGCCATTCCACTCGGGCACCTGCAGCAGCACCTGCTGAACCTGCTCGAAGTCCATCAACATGTCTCGCACCGTGAACTTACGAATACCGCACAGCGTGTCCTGCACGATACCCATGACTGGCTTGTTGGCCTGCGGAGAGACGATGTTCTTTGCTACCCATGCAATTTGGCTCAGCTCTGCCCTGCTCTCCTCGCTTTGCGCTACGTGCAAGTTCATCTCATCACCGTCGAAGTCGGCATTGTACGGAGGCGTGACGGAAAGGTTGAGACGGAAGGTCGAGTAGTCCATGAGCTTGATGCGATGGCACATCATTGACATCTTGTGCAGCGACGGCTGACGGTTAAAGAGGACGTAGTCGCCATCACGCAGATGACGCTCGACAATCCAGCCGAATTGCAGCGCCATGTCGCCGCGGCGGTTGTACTTCAAGTCGATACGCTCTCCGGTATCGCGGATGACGTAGCGGGCGCCAGGCCACTCGTTCGGACCGTTGCGGACCAGCTGCTGGAGGTGCGAGATGTTGTAAGGCGTGACGCGCTCAGGGTACGTGAGGTTACGAGCCATGCTCTTGGGTACGCCAACCTGGTCGAGGTCGAGATGCGGGTCGCCGGTAATGACGGTACGCGCTGAGAAGTCGACTCGCTTGCCCATCAAGTTACCACGCAAACGTCCCTCTTTGCCCTTGAGACGAGCACGAATCGACTTGACAGGTCGTCCACTCTTCTGCAAAGCCTGCGGGATACCGGCAATGTCGTTGTCCATGTACGTCGCAGTGTGGTACTGCAGCACGTCCTCAAACTCATCGACGATGTGCGCCGGCGCTCCCTCTTGCTCGAATCGCTTGAGCTGTTGCGAAGCCTTGATGATCTCTGCCAGCTTGTACGTCAAATCGTCCTCGCCCTTTGCTGTGCCACCCTCGCTGATGGCCGGTCGTACAGGCGGCGGCGGTACGGGCATGACCGTCAAGATCATCCACTCTGGCCTAGCCCACTCCCTCGACAAGCCCATGATCTCAATGTCCTCATCTGGGATGCGCTTCAAGATGGCGAGAGCCTCTGAAGGGGCCAGCTTGCGCTTCTCTGGCTGCGACGTCTTTGCGCCGCCGTCCTCGCCCTCTTCCTTTGCCTTTCGCCACTGCGTGAACAACTTCAAGCCTTCTCGACGAATGGCCGGCTGCTCCTGCCCACACCCGCCATGACCTGGACGATCATCTTCGTCATTCATGTGATCCTCTTCCGTCTTTGGCTCGTCAGCCTCGCACGTCGAGATCTTGGAGCAATTCTCCCAGACCTTTTGGAATCGACGCTTGCGGTTGTTGCGGGTGAGGCGGAGGTCTTCGGCAAATCGCGGATTGGTGTACTGGTCTGCTTTGAGCTTACCGCAATGCACACAGACGCTCTCCAAGATCTTTTTGACCTTGTTGATGAAGCCAATGTGGTATACGGGTCGCGCGAGCTCGACATGGGCGAAGTGGCCCGGACACTCTGCCATACCTTCACCGCACGTCTGACACTTGAAGTTGCGGTCGACGGTACCAAGACGGGGATCTGAGAGGCCATTGGGTTTGGGTCTGCCGGTCTCGTCTGCCGTCTCTGGATACTCGATCTTGCAGACTGACATCTTGTTCTGCGGGCGAGAACACGGCGAGTCAGTTCGCAGCATAAGGCGGTGCAGCACTTTCGCAGCAACGCACAATCTCTTCAGGACTGAGTACACCGAATTGGACCTCCCTCACAAGCCTCTGGGGCTGCGAGGAGTAGGCAAAGCGATAGCCGTTCATGGCTGCCGAGAAGGGAAGTGAAGAGTGCTAGAAAAGGAGAGTGGTGTCGAGAAGGCGACGAGTGCGCTACCTGTAGCAGGCGGTGCGCTGTTAGCGAAGCTTCATGAAGACGTCTTGGACGCTCATACCCACTGCTCGGATGCGGATGGATCCAATCCAAGTCGATGGTGGCCACCTGCCGTCACTCGTATCTCAGACGCTGCGTCCAGCCAAGCACTAGTGATAAAGCGAACGCCTCCCTCGTGATCTCCTCGCTGCGTCTCCTCTCTCTCTGCGCTCTCTCTCTCTCTCTCTCTCTTGGTCGTCGTCGTTCGCCGGTTGCGCGGCTGATGATGTGAAGAAAGTCTAGGCTGCTGCGCGCTGGACAAACTCGTTCTGCCTAGTCGTAGTGGGGATTGAAATCCGACCCGTTTGCTGCAGGTTCCTTTTGAGCACGGCAGGAATAGCAGGAAGATGACAATGTCTTCTCTCTGCGATCCTCACAACTTGGTTGCGTCTCAAGAGGCTGTGGCGTATATGTGGGCCGGATGGATGTTCCCTCGACTGAGGATGACGCGGTCACCAACGAAGGGATGCGACAAGGGCAGTACGAAGACCAGCGTGTTGCGCTGCTGCTGTGACGACGATCTTGATACAATCAATCGTAGCACGGGCGAGGCGACTTGAAGAGGACGGAGGAGGGAGGGAGAGGGATGGGGGGATGGTAGGAAGGCAGGAGGAGCGGGCGTTGCAGGCGTGGCGCGGACTCAGACGACGTCGAGAGGCGGGCGGGCAGAGGCACCGAGAGGCAGAAGCAGACACAAGAAGGGGCAGCAGCTGTCGCGCGGCTCGCTCCATGGCTGTCGTCGGTCTGTCCCTCTGTCCGCCGGACTCGCGCTCACGCTCAGCATCCGTCGATGGGTCCGGCGCGGGCAGTGGCAGCGTGGCTTCGACGTTGCAGCAACTGAGCGCCAACGACACTCTCAACTCCACTTCTCACCATCATCACTATTTGATTGACCGCATACGCCACCATGTCGTCGTGGTGGGGATCAGATCCCTTCGTCGACTTGGTCGCAAAGGCGACGTCCGAGCTGCTACCAGCAGGGCAAGAGGACATCGCCTTGAATCTCGAAATCTGTGACAAGGTGCGAGCCAAGCAGGTGCCACCAAAGGCTGCCATGCAGGCCATCAAGAAGCGCATCAGCGACGCCAACCCCAACGTAGTCCTCCTCGCACTCGGACTCACCGACATCTGCATCAAGAATGGTGGCGATCACTTCCTTGAGGAGGTGGCATCGCGCGAATTCATGGACAACTTGACATCGATCCTCAAGAGACCCGCAGGCGTTAATCACGATGTCAAGGCAAAGGCGCTGCGTTTGATCCAAGACTGGGCACAAGTAGCTGAAGCCAAGCCTGCGCAGATGGGATACATCACTCAGGTTTACCGCTCCCTCAAGCTTGAAGGATTCGACTTCCCCGCCACCTCTGGCCAGGCATCCGCCGCCTTCGTGGAGACGCTCACCGCTCCCGAATGGGTTGATGGCGACGTCTGCATGCGATGTCGTACTGCCTTTACCACCTTCAATCGCAAGCATCACTGCAGAAATTGCGGCAACGTCTTCTGTCAGCAATGCTCTTCGCACAACATGAGCTTGCCTTGGTACGGCGTCGGGCAGGACGTCCGTGTATGCGATGGATGCTTCAATAAGAGAGCTCCACCAAAGATTCCCGCAGGTGGCAACAAGCTGCAGAGGTCATCGACTACGACGGTTGTGCCAACGGGGCGAGGAGGAGCGGCCGCACAGCGCTCAAACACAACTGGGGCAAAGGCATCGAGTAGCAGACGGAACAAGAGGGAGGACGACGACCTCGCCCTTGCCATCAAGCTGTCATTGCAGGATGCGCCAAGCGGGAGCAGAGCAGGTGCTGCAAGCTACTCAGAGCCATCGCAGCCTCGCGCCACTCGTCAGCCCAATGGCCGGATGCTCGAGGGGACAGACGCAGACGATGACCCAGACCTCGCAGCGGCCATCGCCGCCAGTCTCCGCGACTACGCTCCACCGCAGCCCAGCGCGCCAGTGGGGCTTGATGAACCTTCAACTCCCTCAATGGCTCCCACCCAGCCGGAACCGTCCTCTTCCTCATCTCACTCCAACTTGCCCCTTCCTCCCTCGCTCGATCTACCCCCGCAAGACGTCGACTCCCTCCTCACATTTTCTCAAAGCGTCGCAGCCCAGGACGCACAGGCGCGGCACTACGGTACCGCGCCTGCGCCGGACCACGCAACGCAGGCACTCTACGATAGGGCCACTGCTGCGAGACCCAAAATGGCGCGTAGTCTGGACGAGGCTGGAAGGAGACAAGGGGTGTTGATGTCTATGCATGACAAGTTGAGCGAGGCCGTCAGGCTTTATGATCGGCTGTTGGACGCTCAGATGGCCAGGCCGGCGGGAGTGCAGTACGGATACGCACCTCCGCCGGGTCAGCGAGCGCAGACGGGTAGCCCTGATCCATTCCCTCGTCAGCATTATGCGCAACATCCTCAATACTACGGCCAACAGCAGCAGCAATATCCTGCTCAAAGCGCATACGGGTACGGCTATGCGGCTCAGGGACCAAGCGGCTATCATGAGCAGGCGGCGCACCAGCAACAACAACAACAACAACAATACCAGCCGCAGACTCCTGGAGCCATGCCTAATGGGGTCGGCACCTCCTCGCTCTACCCCTCTTTCCCACCTGCGGCCTCCACGCAGCCTCAGCAGCAGCTGCATCAGCCGCCGTACCCTCAAGAGCCCCAGCTGACTGGCGCATCATCGCAGCAAGGACCCTATGGGGCAGACGCGCCTCCGCTCAGCCCTTCTGCCTCGCTGCATGGTAGCGAAGCATACGCCGCGTACCATCCCCCGCATGGCCAGCAGCAGCAGCAGCAGCAGCACAACTACTACGCGACACACGAATATCAACAGCAGCAGGCCAGTCACGCCCCCGCGCAGCCATTCTCGCCCGCTCAAACGAATGGTGCTCCCACTGGACCAGTGGCCGGGCTGAACCAGTTCGAGCAACTAATGTCCCCTTCCGCCTCCTCGTCCGGAGCAGCAGCCGCTCCAGGCATGGGCTCACCACAGCAAGCCCGCACACCTGCTGCTACCATGCCGCAGCGTCGCCCCTCCGGTCAGGCAGGAGTGGGAGCGCATGGCGGGACGACTTCCGCAGCAGATGGGCTAGCGATGGGCGGGGCGAGTAAGCTTTTCCCTAGCGTGCCGACGAACGACTTTGCAGCGTCCTCTTCCCCATGGACTCCGAATCAGCCGGGCCAGCAGGAGTATCAGCAACAGCAGCAGAGACAGAATCAGGTTGTGCAAGAGGCACCTGCACTGATCGAGCTCTAAGCTGAGCAGTGATGGCGGACCCTAGGCGGACACGCTTTCTGTTTGGTCTAGTCGATGCTCTTTCCCGTCCCTCCTTTTGAGTCTGCGCCCTCCATACCTTACTGGCGCACGGCACTTTGATGCGAGACGATGCCTCTTCACGACACGATGCAATGTAAATCTTCTTATGAGCATTGAATTGAGGTCCTCTCGCAGAGGCCTTTGTTCCTCTCCCCATCCTGCCTTCCTTTCCTACCTCCCCTCCCAACTGACCAAGCTCAAGCCATGCCTTTCCAACGCCCGACTCAACGAATGAACGCATCCAACCTCGTGAGCTGAGCAAACACACCTTGCTCAATCCTGAACCTCAGCATACCCGCAAACATCATCAAGGCTCGCGCCTGGTTTCGCACCTCACCCATTCTCGCCTCCCTCGCCTCAGCACCCTCCGCTTGCCCGGCTCCAGCAGCCCCATTCTCCCTGGCGCGCTTAAGTCTTGCGTGGACGCGATAGAGGACGTCCATTGTGAGCAGAAGGAGCTCGCTGAGATTCCTGCCCACACTTTCGTCGACACGTCGGAAGAAGCCTTCCGCTCGTCTGCTCAGCGCAACCACATCTCCCCTGGCTGCACCCGAGAGGGGGAAGAGATCCGTTGCCTCGAGGACGGAGAGTGCTTGCTCCAACTTGTCTTCGTTGCCTGAGCGAACGAGGTTGACCGCTCTATGGAGCTCGAGGAGGAGCTTGCAAGTCTGTCGTGCGGTTGCGTCCACGCGACGGAGGATATGTGGTTGGGACTCGTAGCTTTGCAAGACGGCTTGGGCGAGGGTGGGGAGGTCGGATGTCGTCGACAAGGTTGCGTTGGGGTTGAGCGCTGACGCTTGCTGTGGCTGCGCGTCCTGCGAGTCAGAGAACAAGCTAATCCCAAGCTCCCTATTGAGCACTCCCACAACCCTGTCATACTCTTCCGCCAGGTTGAAGAGCAAAATTGCGTCCCTTGTCCTTCCCTGCCCCTCACTCTGCTGTGCTGCCGCCTGGACGATGTTGCGCAAGTACTGCTGGTCTCCCTCCATCCTGAGCAGGGGTAGGGCCTCTTCGATTGCACCTGGCACTCGGGCGCCATCCACCCTGACGTCTCCGACAAGGTCGGCGTACAGGCGAGTAGAGGTGACGAGATCCTTGATTGCTGAGTAGCAGCGGGTGCGTTGTTCTTCCTGAATGGCGCGAGATACGCCGGATTGGTCCGAAGGCGAGGAAGAAACGGGGAGGCAAATGAGGTAGAGGTACTCCAGTGCTGATCGCGCATCGGAGGACGAGAAGAGGCGGATATACCTCGTGATGAGACGTGGGAAGTCGAGGGCGGCTACCTCCCTGCCGCTTGAGTTGTCAATCTGCAGAGCGTCTCCGCCGGCGCCCGCGCCCATAAGCGAGCGACCGAGCTGCTGTTGTTGTTGACCAGCAGGCGGGAGCCTGAGCAAGCCGTAGTAGGCAAGCGCAATAGCAAAATGTACCGCGTCCGATTGATGCTGGACCCGCGCGTATAGGAAGGCGACGGCACGCTCGAACTCTCCGCTGAGGAGCAGCACCAGGAAGTAGTGCAAGGGTCGTCGCCCCTTGGGATCGAAGTGCTTCTCACCGTAGCTGCGCAGCTTTCGTGCTAGGTAATCCAAAGTGTAGTCATCTCGCTGGTCGACTCCGTCCTCCTCATCCTCCCCAAGCCCAGCCACAGGAGAGACGTTGGGCTCGCGAATCATCATCAACTGCAGCCACAGCCAATTCTCTGTACTCTTTGTGAGTGAGCTGGGGAACTTGCGAGTTGCGTCTACCCGCCCGATGAGGCGATAGAGGGCCAGCTTGTAGGGATCCACTCCAGCCGCATCTCCGCCGCTAGACCCGCCCATGGCGAGGTTGCGGAACCTCGCATTGAACTCGGCATAGAACCTGTCCCTACTCGACCTCGAGAGGCCCGTACCGCCAGACTCGACCCATTCACGGAACCAGCCCAAGAAGCCAGCGTCTGAGCGTCGCATCCCTTCTTCGTACTCTTCGGCGTGGGCGAGGGCTTGCTGCAGGTGACCGGTGCGGAGGAGATGGAAGACACTGGCCCACACAGGCTGGGGTGCTGCATTGGCGCTCTTGCGGAGCACTTCCAGCTCGGAGGCCCATCGTCCCTCACGTCCCAGATGGCTGACCCGGAGGAATGCGGCCACACGAGCCACAATTCCCGGCTGGCCACCCAGTTGTGCCTTACTAGGATTGGAGGCAATGACGTTGTCCACATGCACCTCGAACTGTCCTTCCAAGAAGCGCCTCGCGCCACGAGTGATGCGCTGCCTCATGTCCCTGCCCTCAGCTGTGCCGTAGTACGTAGCTGGGTCAGAGTAGGCGGCTGAGAACTGCCTCTCGCGCACGGTGTGGCTCCCCTCTTCTCCCAAAATCTTCTGGAGTGCAGTCCAGCATTCTACCAGCTGCGAAGAGGACTCGGCGCTGCTCCCCGATGCGCTTGCTTGGCTGGCTTGGTGTTGCTGCTGTTGCTGAGCGAGGCGGAGGAACTCAGAAGCCAGAGGAAAGGTAGAGTCCCTCAACCTTGCTTGATTGAGGGAGCGAATCAAGTTGTCGAAGGACATGAGCTTCGTGTGCATCGAGAGTGAGCTCAAGGGCGGGTCGGTAGACGTTCCCTCCGAGCCCGTACGAGCGGCCCCTCGTCCCGCGATGGGTCGGAAGGCACTGTCTGCAGAGGAGGCAGCAGCCATTCCACCGCTACTCTGGTGTTGTCCCAGGTCTTCGAAGATGCGCTTCTTCTGCTTTGACCAGCGGGAGTGCATGGTACGGGCGAGGGAACGATTGAAGTCGTCCAGCGTCTCGCGGCGCCCTTCGTCTATTGCGCTAAGGATGATCTGTTGCTGTTCGTGTTGGAGGTAGCCTGGCGAGTGCAGAGGGCACGATCAGCATGCCTGAGTGAGGAGAAGAAGAGGTCGCGCGGGGAATAGCAGACTCACCTTGGACATCGGTATCCTGCAGCGGCTCCAGCGGCTCAAAAGCGGACGCAATGTTCGTCTGGTTGACATTCTGCGAGAGACTGAAAGCGTCGATTCCTGCTGAAGCGAGGAAGTAGTGGCTGCGAGTGTAGAGAATACGATGCCGAGTCAGTCTTGGTTAACCGCGATTCCCATCCCTTCACTCTCTCCGCTCAAGACTCACGCCTTTGCATCGCCCTGCTGCGCCCTCCCTCCAACGCTTGCTCCTCCACCAGCAGCTAAGCTCCTACTCTGACTCTCTAGTTGATCAAGCGCCAGGTTAATGGAGGGAAGCTCTGCGCCCCCAATGCCGCCGCCTGCCCCGCTGGATGCTGCATTGTTGCTTCCTGAAGCGCCGAGGGCTGAATGCCTCTCGCGCTCGATCGCAGAGGTAAGCTTGCGTGACTGCGAGACGAGGTCGGAGAGGGTTGGGGCGCTTCCCCCTGACCGGGAGGCTGACCCTCCGTATTGCGACGATGAGAGCATCGCGTTAGTGATGATGAGGAGAATGTCTTAGGTCGAGTAGCAAAGGAAACACGCACGAGTGGACGAAGGATCGGACGCGCGAGGTGGGCGGACGGAGACGCCACGTGGTTGCGAGGCGGGTCAATGCATTGAGCTACGGGCGAAGACGAAGGGGTGGCTGCTGTTGAAGCTTTTGATTGAATGCGAAGAAATAAGGCAGATGAGGGCGCTGCGACAACTACCGTCTCACTTCGCGCCGCCACCTGGAGGTCTGTTGAAGAGCGCATCGTTCCTCCTTGCTTCTCTCCCTCCCTCCCTCCCTCCCTCCTCCTCCTTGCCCCCCTTTTCGCGCCGCTCAACCTACACCATCACATCCAACCATGCCCCTCCCCATGTCCCTCTTCTCCACATGCTGACTGGCCACCATTCCGTACCCAGTCGTCTGCTTCTCTCCCTCTTTGAGCAAGCGGTCATCCTCCTCCTTCTTCCTCCTCAACCCCTCCACCTCCCTCTCCAGCACGCGGGCTTCGACCTTTGCCCTGGCGCAAACCGCCTGGACATCTTGCAGAAGCTTCTCACCCTCAGCGCTTGAGCGGGCCAGCTCGGTCGCATCCTTTTCAGTAAATGCTTCGCTTCCTTCAGCCAGCACCTCGAGCACCACCCGCAGATTATGAGGCAGGTAGCTCAGCATGGCGCTACCTCCGGTCGCGAGGGGGAACTTGGTCTGCTTGATGATGTACTCGCGGGCAAAGAGCCAGTGACGGTGGCGGAACTCGCGCACTTGGTCTACCAGGAGCAGGTAGAGGGCCTTGGCCTTGGCGCTGCCCCCGTCGAGGCAGAGAGATTTGATGTTGGCGTGGCGGGCACGATGTTCGAGAAGATTGATGTATTCGCGCTGGGTTGCGGGACGATAGGAACCTATCAATGTGAGAGAGCAGTAGCTTTCGAATCAGCGCAAGCTCTCACTCGGTAACCTGCATTCTCCGCTGCGGACTTACGGAACTCGCGGAGCGTGTCCGTCAATTCATTCTTCGGCAGGCTGGCCGTAATCTCCAACAAGTTGTCCAGTAGAGGTACCAACGAGTCGTTCGCTCCACTCTCTCCTCGTAGGTGGAAAGGCTCCTCCCTTACTCCCTCGTATCTCACTCCCTGTGGGAACATCGGATTGCCCTTCTTTGGCGCAGTCCCGAAGATGAACGTGCGGAAGCTCAGATAGTCGGAAGGCTTGCTACGACCCCACATGCTCTCCATGACTGCATTGATCTTGCGATACGTGTTCAATAGCGACTCCATCCCAGCCTCTACAGCAGGCAGATCCTGGCGGATGGCCGCGGCGAGGATGTCTTCGGTAGACGATACTGCCTGACCAGAGAAGGAGACCATGGTGATGTGCACGGCGATGAAGCCGCGCTCGCTTCCATAGGGGTCTTGGAAGGAGCGGATGAGGTCGAGGTTAGGGAATGAATAGCGACCTGCTTCCTTCCCCTCTGGGTGGGAGGTGGTGAGTGAAAGGTCGCGGAACTTGTAGTTCACGAGGGCGTCTAGCGCAGCGACAGAGGGGCGGGTGTCAGCTTGTGTCAGGAGGAGTCGAGGTGGGCTGCTGGAACTTACAACTGGAGGCATACTCCATGAAGGGCTGATGTCCAAGCGCATCAGCCAGCTTCTTGAGCGGGACAGCCAGCTGAGCAGGCAGGACATCCCTTCCCGGGGAGTAGAGGCCGGTCTTGCGATAAGAGATGTCTGTCGGCTCAAACAGGTATGCAGAAGTTGCAAAACAGTAGTCTCGGAACAGGGCAGAGAGCAGGCGTTGATCACCAGAGGCGATGGCCTTATCGACTGCTTGGACCTCGGGCCCGTTGACTTTGAGCTCGGAGAGAACGGCGTCCCCGTACTGACCCTGAGCAAGGAGGCCTGGTCCGGTCTTTTTGTTGGTCAGAGGATCGTACTGCTTGATCGTCATGCGTTTGAGCAGGGAGTCGAGCCTGTCGAAAGCAGGGGGAAGGGTGACGAGTGGGTCCTCACGCGGGAGGAAGCCGGCCTTGCGGCTGATCGTAAACTGAGGGAGACGCTTCAGTCCATCTGGGCTTAGGGTGGGAGCCAGGTCTTCCAGGAGGAAGGGCTCGACCTTGACACCATCGCTGCTGGTCGCAAGAGGATGAGAAGGTGAAGTGGAGTTGACGACGGTAGCAAGGCCGCGCTGGTTGAGGCTGAGACGAGAAGAAGGTGAGACGGCGAGACGCTGCAGGGCAATCTGTCGTCGCATCTTGTCTTGGTCTAGTTTGCTCTTGCCGAGTGCGGGGTAAGGCGATTCGAAGCGCTGAGGCGGACTAGGGCAAAAAAGTGCCAGGGAAGGGGGCTCGACCTCAGGGAAATCGATGTTAGGGAGCAGAGGACTGGTTAGCGGGATGTCCCCTCTTTATGTATCCCTCGATCCTCGATTGTTTGTCATCGGCTTCTCATCATTTGTTGTGGCTGGCCGGGTCAGCTGGGTAGCAAAGCTGGCTTGCTGTGCAATCGCGCGCGCCGCGGCAGGGTGATGGGGTGCGGAGCGCAGTGCGGCGTTGAGGAGCTCCAGAGAATAGGGACGCGTCGGGAGGGCGGTGGTGACTTGGCTGCGAACAAGAGTAGCGATAGCTGTCGACCAGCTCAAATGAAGTGAAAAGAGGCGTTTGATTGCGAAGAGAATGATAACGAGCCTGGCTGGAAAGTGCCAGTAAGGATCTGAGACGGCTCTGAGCCAGAATCATGCGCATCATCGTTGAGCAACTGCCTCACTCTGCTTGTGGGCTGTTGATGGCACGACCAGCTGCCCAGTCGATGACGATTCGCCTCGGTGCCGCCTCAATAGTCAGACTTGCGCCTTCGGGAAAGTCTGCAACCTCGACGTGAGTTGGCGTGTATTTGACGCGAAGAGTTGGAGCGGACGGCTTGCTTGCATCATCTTCATCCTCGTCGTCGCCTTCAGTAGATGGAGAGCCGTTCGTCGTACCGGCCACCTGGCGTGAATCGGCACTCATCGCTGCAGCACCGGCTGCTGCAACTGCCACACCCACATCCATCCTGCGTCTGCTTCCCCGCTCCCTGCGCTTTCGACGACGCTCTGCAGGCGAGTCGACGCTTCCCGACCTTTCGCGGGGAAAGGTCTCGTTGCTTTGCTGCGTGGTACCTACTGTTTGCAAGGAAGCACCGCCAGGCGGTCCAAGGTGCGTGCCTGGAGTAGCAGAATCAATAGCGGCTGCAATTGAGTTAAGGCTTTGTCGTCCCGTGTTGACGACCATCTGCTGCGCAGCTGAGGCGTTGCCCGGGTGTGCGACGCGGGAGGTGTTGAACTCTCCATCACCCTCCTCATGAAAGTCATCATACTCCTCATTCTCGGACTCTCCGCCCTCCCCGAACTTCCTCTTCTTGGTCGAGACTGGCGCTGCAGATGCTGCGCGAGTGGGTTGCTGCCCGCCTTGTTGCTGACGGGCTGCCCTTTGCTGGTCTCTAATATGGTAGACTTGAGCCGACACGGCCTGCTGAGTGCGGTCTGTGTTGGGATAGGTTTCCAAGAACTTCTTTACCGCCTGCAATCGATCGGGTGTGTTCGTCAAAATCGTTCGTAGGGCGTCGCGCTCTTGCTCTGTCCAGGCTCGAGAACGACCCTTGCGCGCGTCGACGCCGCTTTCTACCGCGGGGGGCTCGGTGTCGGGGGCGGTAGTATTGGCGAGCTCAAGGTCACTCGAGAGAGACGACTCTGGATCCTCTTGTGCTCGCGCCTGCTTCTGAATGGTGAGCTGCTGCGTGGTACTCTTGAAGGAGTCTCCCTGTGATGGCATGATTGCAGCGCCTCCGAATGAGCTGGGCCGCTGACCACTGGGACTCTTCTGGAAAGTCTCTTCATTTGACCGCTCACCAGCAGGTGACTGTTCAGCTGTCTTCTCGTACGGAATGGCTGAACGCGTGATGATAGCAGCTCCGCCGAATGAGCTGAGTGGCTGGGTGATCGAGCTCTGTTGAGTCGATGCGGTGGCTCCTGGCTGGCCACCGGCTGACTCCTTCGACATGGCCCTGGAAGAGGTAGCGGGCTCAGGGGGGGAGCGACCGCCGGTGATGGCGCTTGTAGCTTCACCTGGTGAGATGGCAGGCAGATTGGACGCGATCTGCTGAGACGATGAGGGTGGTCCTTGATGACCCTTCGACGAGTGCTCTAGGCCACTCTGAAACGAGCTACCGCGCTCGGCAGTGATGATCGAAGCTCCGTTGAACGAGCTGGGAGGTCCGGTGCCTGTGCTCTGCTGCACCAACGTAGAGGGGGCGGGAGTCATGAGAGTAGAGCTCGAAGTGGTGGGCCGGGAGGACCCATGCTTCGAAGCAGACGCATGAGTCGCAATAGCAGGTCCATCAGAAACAGGCTTGAATGACGAAGCCTGACTCGAAGATGGACGAAGAGTTGGCGGCACATTTGGACGCCCTTGGTGATATGGAAATGATGGGCGAGGGGTAGAGGAAGCCGGTTTGCCAACCGAAGTAGAGGGCGTGTTGCCTCGTGCAGGCTGCGGGAAACTGGAGTTCTTTGGCTGACTGAGAGCCTGGGCATGCTGGCTGTGCTGAACGTGTGCCGCAGAAGCCGTAGACGCCCTCGCTGTGGCCGAGGTGGAGCCCATCTGATCAGAAATCCTTGCTTGGGCTGCAGTAAACGAAGAGCTGGCCGCACTTGTCTGTGCGCTCGGCGTCGAAGCGCGAGGGAAGGATGCAGAGAAGCTGCTACCTTGACCGGCAGGGAAGAGCATGTCAGGCGTGAACGGACCGGTGTAGGGAGCGTTCTCAGATCCTGGCCTCTTTGGCTGGGCGATGCTGCCGGGAAAGGAGCTGACGGACGTGGTGGCCGAGGCGCTTTGAGCCTGCTGAGCAGCTGGCAGCAAAGTAGCTGAAGTAGCGTTTGCCGCTGCTTTGCCGGCCGTCGGAGGCGCAGGAAATGAGGAAGAAGATTCGGGAGGCATAATGTAGCTTGAGCCAATATGCTGGTGATGGAGTTGGTAGTTGTGGTAGAGGAGCCAGGAAGCGAAGCGCGTTGGCGGGAGAGGTGGAGTTGCGGAAGGCGAGCAGGGTGCGGAGCAATGATCACTTCGTGCCGCTCGACTCATCACGATCTTCACTCTCGATCGTCGCTCTTACAGCGTGCAAGCCAAGGCAAGCGGCTCGAGAGGTGCGTCGGGACGACGTGAGGGCAAGCGAGCCGCGAAAGCGAGTGAGCAGGTACTCGGGCACCGTACGGTAGTAGCAGGAGCGACGTGCCACAGTCTAGCATGACGCTGCCCGCTTCGATTATTCTTGGACAAGTCTGGCCCCCTCTCAGAGTGCAGTAGAGCTACACAACCTACCGAATGCCGCAATCTCACCCCGGCATGCATAGGCTTCACGAGAAAGCATTACCGAAAGGGCGTAGACTGGCGGTCCCCTCCCCTTCCGCTCGACCCGCGCTCGACTCACTCCACACTTCTTCCTTCCCTTCTCCCCACCACGGCCAACACGAGCTGGCGCTGATCATCTTCTTGAGCCCATTGCTGGAGCATAGGCGCCGTCGGCCTTCGCCGCCATGTTGCCGCTCTCGACCTTTCGACTGCCTCCTGAAGGGAGTTGCACTGGCAGAGGGGGATCTCAGGGCTCACTGAGCAGCCACAATCAATTCCAGTCCAGCCTCGGCCAGGACCTCACTCAAGCCCAATCAGGCCCACCACCTTTCATCTCGCAGGCCTCGCTGAACAACGTCCCATCTTTCTTCCCTCCCCCACTTCATCAACAAAACCTTCACGCTCACCAACACGGGCTGAGCCAGTTCCATCAGCATCCACCTACCACCCCCCATTCCCGCCTTCTCACAGACGGTAGCGCAAACAGCAATCGTGAGCCGTCTATGACTGTCAGTGGGAGCCCCAACGACCTCCAGCGCGACGACAGTCACATAGATGAGGACGAAAATTCTGAGAACAGCGCTGCGCTCCTAAGCCACGCCACCCCGACTCAAGGCCCCTCGAACGCCAATCTCACTCTCGACCTTGCCCTCAGCAGCCGCCGACGAGCACGCGTCACAAACTATACGACCTCAGAAGACGCCCTTCTCTTGTCACTCGTGGGAGACAGGCACGAACTGACTGCAATAGATTGGCTGGGCATCGCAATGGAATTTGTCCGCCAGACAACCGGCAGAAAACGCTCTCTGGATTCCTTGCAAAGACGTCACAAGAGGCTGCTGGCTAAGAAGCAGGGCACAGCCCTCGACCGACAGACCTCCTCTCGCCCATCAGCCGCTCCACCTCCTCAGCCGGGGGTGCCATGGACTCGTGAAGAGGCGCAGGCTTTGCTCAATATTGCTCTCAAGCACACAGACAAGACGCTACAAGAACAGACCATGGCCATCTACGCCGATTACTGCAAGACTATTCCAGGCTCTACGAGAACTCTTGATGCTGTACGTAACAAGTACCGTCTACTTCTCGCCGGGCTGCAAAGTAGTCATGAAGGGCCAGCACGCGGAACACGAGCAACCACGGGCTCAATGAGGACGGTATCTGGTGGAAGTCAGGTCACCACTGATACGAACAACGAGGGAAGCTCAACTGGGCCTCGCCAACAGCAAAGCCACCTTGGCGCAGCAGGTCCTACGAGCACGGCCCCTATCTCTTCAATTGGCTCCACGCTTGACCTCACGCAAGGTGATACACAGCATTCAACTCACCAGCAGCGGGCGCAACTTTCGCATGCCCCACTCAGTCAGGATCACCAGCAGCAAGCAGAGACGCCAGGCCACCTCGAGCCTGTTGACGTTGATGTGACCATTGTCGAGCCTTCCGGGCTCATCTTTGCCAACTGCCAGCCGGGCATCGAGATCCACATCTTCTCACATCACCGCTTCAAAATCAGGAGCGCAGACTCTCCTCGTGAAGTCAGTCAGCAGCAAGAGTGCCAATCCTCTCCTGCCACATTGGCTGCGGGCTTCATTCTTAAGATCACAGACAACGGGTCCATCCAGGCTACCAGACTACCCGTGGGTACTTCTTCCAGCTTTGCGGCGCTCCAGGTGGGCAACGGGACAAATGAGCACCGCGCCATGGCTTTCCAGACCCGATTTGAGGCTCCTGACGGGCTTTGTGTTACTATTGTCACGAGAGCGTAGAGGCTGAGGGCTCAGAAAGGCAAGCCGTGACGAGGGGAAGGATTGAAGAGCATAGGGACGAAGCGAGTGCGCAGAACAAGAGGCAAAGCAGAAGGACGTCACTTCCTCTCGACGTCTTGACCTCGAGCTGAACTACTCGCCTCGAATGATCCCGAGATTTGACGAAATGAATACACCTACTTCACGAGTAGCCGTCTGCCGCGAGCGAGTGGGCTTTCGGAATTCATTGAACGGCTTGCAAGTGCGGGGCAAGGCGCCTGTGTGTCCCCGTTCAGCCTCCAATCATTCAACGATGCTCGGCCCGACGTCCGATGCTTCTTTCTTCCCTACCATCAGCCGGCGCTTTGAGACCTCTGCCCTTTGAGCCTCGATCACTGCTGCAGTACCTTGCGAGATGGCCAAGAACGACCATCGCGCTCGATCTGTGCGTGGTCGAGGCATTCGAGCGCCCTTCGACACTCGACACCGCCATTGCGGCTCTCGTCCCGCTACCACGGCTCAAGAGTGGCCGCCTCACACCACTAGAAAGCCCATGCCAGAAGTTGAAGGACACCCACGCAGCCTGACTTCCTCTACCAGCCAGTCCACGAGCATGCCAGGAGCAGCTCAACAGAAAGGGCGAGTCCCGCCTCAACCATCAAAAGTGGAAGAAGATGAAGACGACATCCCACTTTCCCGGCTCTTTTCGTCCAAGATCGCAGACTCCGGCGCAGCAGCTGCGAGCGAACGTCTCAACAAGGTCAAGCACGCCTCCGTCGTCTGTACTGAGCCGCTTGCCGCTTCAGTCAAACGATCGTGGTCGTCGAAGGAGGTACGAGTGCTTGGCAACATCCTGGTCGAACATCGGCATTGCGACACAGAAGCCTATGAGGCCTTTCTGCGCGCCTTTCCCACAACTGTGCGCTCTTTTTACGCTGTGCAGAGAAAGGCATACAAGATACTGAGAGAGTGGGAGAGCACGGACGAGGAGTCTGAGAGAGAGGAAGAGGATGAAGAGGAGCAAAGCGGGTCCGGGTCTGAGGAGGAGTCGATGGAAGAGGGAGAAATGCGGGACTCTGATGAGAGTGTCGGCTCGCAGGACGATATGGAGGAAGGTTCAGTCGCTTCATCTCTGACCCCACTGCCAGAGGAGGAGACACCGCAGCTACCCATTTCTCATCAGACGCGATCACAGTGCTCGACATCAACACCCGTCGAAGCTCAGCAGATCGTCGCGAGTTCTGGAGGAGCGAAAGGTTCAGGTGCAGCGCGGACCCGAGCAAATCCCAGACGATACGCCAAAGCAGCCCTGCACGCAAAGAGCGCCTCTGGCTCTAGCGCACCCATAGACCTGGCTATTGCCCACGGCGCCAACGAGGTCATCATTCAAAACTGCCCAAGCGGCTTTACGGTGAGCGTGTACAGCAAGACGTTTGTCAGAGTGACAAGAACGTCGGTCGCACAGCCGGCAGGCCTCATTTCTTCCTTCAGGCCTCAGCCGCCGGCATTTGCGTTCAACGTGTTGACTGCGGACGGGTCTATCCAGGCCACAAATCTACCTTCGGGCACTAAGACTACAATTGAGACTCTTCACCGGCCCAGCCTGTTCGACTACGGCGAAACGCATGAGCTCAGTGGGGGAGAGGTGGTGAAACGAGCGAGCTTTGTGGGGCCCTGCGGATTTGCAGTGAGGTTCGTGTGGGCGGGGACAGGTGAAGAGTGAGTGAGAGCAGGGACATGGAAGCCGCAGTCCAATGTTCGGATAGGCGAGGAGACGAGGAACTAGGGGCAGGAGGGATGCCATTGTATACTCGCCCTTTGCGACTGGTCAGTTGAGCCGCTGCGATACAGTAGCTACAGCTCGTGAGAAAGGGAGCAGCTAGTGCTGCGCAGCCTCGACCACTTTCCTCCTTTCCTTCCTTTGGCGGGCAGACACTCGAGTGTCGCCCCTTCATTCAATCTTAGACAGTCGTCCTTTTCAGCACTCTGCTTGAACAGGATGAGAGCTTGGGCCAGAAGTACAGAAGGGGCCCTGGCTCGAGAAGCTGGGCCTTGTGCAGTGCTCACCAAATGCGAGCCGCGAATGTGGAAGGTCGAACGATGTTGAGCGAGAAACCGCACCGCGTTTCCGTCTTCTTTCCCTCTCTCTTCTCTACATCACCACAACACCTTCGTCCCGTCAATCTCGAGCCTTCTCTCAGCTGCTTCGGAGTGCTCGGCTTCAATCAGCCGCCATGACTCTCTCATCTGCTGAATTGGCGCAAGACAGCAAAGGCGGCGGCCAAGCCATGCGAGCAGCAGGCGGCCAGCAGCTTGTAGTCTCGCAACCGCTCAACAACGGTACGCAAACAGCAAAGTTGACAAAGCAATCTTCATCCGACAATGACGGCGGTTCATTCAAAGATCAAGAACGAGGCGTCCTTGATCAGCGTTTCATCAATGCTCCTACGGGAATGATCAATCAACAGTCGCTCAGCACCCCATCTACTACACTAGCTGGTCCCCCTCCAACTGGGGCTCGAGTCGTAGGTTCCTCTATCCTCTGGACGCGGCAAGACGACTTCAAACTCATCAGCGCTGTCAATAAGTGGGGTCATCATTGGACGGCAGTGCGAGACGAGCTGGGCTGCGCACCAGGGAGCTTCCCTCGCACCGTCAAGGCGATTGAGCATCGCTACGCTCGCCTTGTACAGGAAGGCGTGGTAGAGAGCGTCATGGCGGCCCGAGCTTCATCATCGTCGTCATCGTCGTTGTCATCGTCAGCATCTCGGGCTGCTCCTCGCCCCGCTGCCTACTCTAAGCAAACACCCAGCACAGCACCACCTCCTCCACGTCAGGCTTCACTCAAGGCGGGCTTGGCCAAGTCATCCGCTTCAGCCTCGAAACAATCTCTCACCACCCTCACGACTGCCAAGACAGCTCGTCGTCAGCCCCAAGCATGGACCGAACAAGAGACTGCCGTGGTACGCCAGCTCCAGCGCAAACACCCTGGTGACTCCACCGCCCTCGTCGATGCTTTCGTTGCTACATTTCCGGGCACGACTAGGAGCAAATCGTCTATTCAGAACAAGGCCTGGGACATGAACAGGGGGAAGACGAAAGATCGAGCTGTGGGAAAGAAGTATAAGGGAGAGGAGGACGATGATGACGATGGTGAGGAAGACAGTGAGAGCGAAGAGAATGATGATAGCGAAGAGGAGGAGGAGCAAGAAACCGACGCAGAGCACAATGGCGTCAAGCAGAGTCAGATGCCCAGCGGGCCTGACTGCACGAATAGCCTTCAACAGCAGCTCCCGGTCAATCTCGACACCTCGATCCACTACGAGCCCAGCGGCGTCCGCATTCAGCACCCGCCCTGGGGTTTCCACTTTAGCGTCTACTCGCCCACACACGTCAACATCAGTAGGGCAAAGTCGCAGCAGCAGGCCGCGTTCGCAATCGAGGTCACCGGCGAGGGAAGCATACTCGCTCACAACCTGCCGGTGGGGACTAGATCGACCCTCACTATCGTGCCGATTGAGCTGGACGGGCTGAGTGAAGCTGATCAGGGAGGCGGTCGAGGTACGGCAGTAGAGACGAGCTTTATCGGGCCTGATGGTTTCACGGTCCGATTTGTGTCTAGAACGGCAGGTAGAGGCGAAGGAGCGTGGCGAAGGGGCTGAGACCGGCGTGGAACGGTGATGAGGAAGAAGCGAGAAAAGGTAAAGGCCCTCCAATGTCATGGCTTAATCGAAGGCTTGAAGACGAGAGGCCTCTCAAGCCTTTGAAGCAGGTGACGAGGTTTCAATTGACCCGCAAAGAGGTACAGCGAGTGACAATAAATTGTGCCTCAGATATCTACTCGTCATCCTCCTCGTCCTCTTCCTCCTCGCGCCTCTCTCTCTCCTTCTGGCACAGGGCATACAGCCTTCTTCTCCTCTGCGGCAACGCGTCCGCCCGACTAGCTGCCTCGAAGAGCAATTGATACACAGCCTTGCGCAGCGCGAGTGGTGATTGGCCTGTCTTGCGCGCTGCAGAGAGAATTTGAGGGTAGGTGACATCGTTCTCCTCCTCTTCCTCCTCAGCGTCGGTCTTGCGTCTCTTGGCGCTTCTCCCTCCTTCGTCATCGTCGCCTTCGTCCTGGCTAGCTGCTGCGACCAGGCAATCGTCCAGCAGAGGTTGCAGAACGTTGTCCATAATCTTGTCGTATACCGTAGACGAATGACAAGTAGCCACCGTCCTCGCCATCGGTTGAAGAAGGGCAGTGAGGGAGAAGCTCGCCTCGCTGCTTTCCTCCCCATCCTCCTTCTCATCCTCACTCGCACTGCCCAGTGCTCTTTCCAATTCCTCCAAATATACATCCGTCAAATGGTACGTCAAGCTATCCGGCACCTTCGGGTCATTGGCACACAATGGCCCTCCGCCTTCCGACTTGACCAGTAGGCGTCCAAAGTGCTCCACAGAGGCGGGGTCCCATGCATCACGCGCCAGGAGGCGGAAAGCTGCGTTGATGAAGCGACGGAGGAGGAGATAGAACTTGTTGATCCTGAAGAGCAAGAAGCAAGGACGGGCTCAGAGGTCAGCAAGAGCTTGAGAGAGGTGCGGTGGGAACATGGAGACTCACCGCCACTTGTCTAGTCCACTCCACTCCCGAGCCATGGCATCCCAGAACCCTTCCAGCATGGCCAAGCCACCTCGTACACGCATGGGGATCTCACCCGCTGAGCCCTCGAAGCCAGCGACGGCCGGAGCAGGCACGCGGGATGTACCTGGGACGGTCAGAACAAGGTCGGCCAACTCCTGTGCGAGTGCTTGCTGAACAAGGGGTTTGTCTGACATCCAGAAGCCTGCGAAGCGACCAAGCGCCAAAATAACAGAAGTTCAACAACTTTAAGTGATAGTATATGCGGCTGAGCTCAGGCCGACTCACAGTAGAAGATCCCTTTCCACAATTTGGCCATCTCGAGTCTAGATATGGGCTGGTCTCCCGTTTGGGCCAAGAAGGAGGCCAGGGAGCGAACGGCTGCGTCTCTTGTGCGCTTTTCTGAGAGATGAGGACAAGAACGGGTCTGGTGTCAATATTGGTGGTAAGAAGGGTTGGGCGCCATGAGAAGGCAGGCGCATACACTCACCCGTCGAAGCAAGCAACTTGCCCATCGGCAGAACCGCAGCCTCGGCCGTCTGCTCCTGACCCTTTCCTGTTGTCGCTGCGGCATCGGCCCCCTTCTGCACCCGCTTTCCCGTAGCTCTACTCGAAGACGCTCTTGATCCCGACGCTGATGCTGACGAAGAAGGGGCCATGCTGGTCGTGATGATGATGATGACGGTGGTGAAGATGCGAAGCTCGATTGCTCCCTCGGTCCGCTCGTCCAAAATCTCAAATCTGAGTCCGACTTTCCTTCCCGCCCCACGTGGCGAGGCATCAAGGTGAAGGTCTGTACTTTTGTCTCGCTTGAGTGGGAGAGACGGGAGAGACGTCGAGTTGGACTCACTAGCTTGCTTTGATCCTTCATGATCGGTCCAACACTTCATCATCAGCCTGCCATCGTCGCGACCTAGAGAGGGAGATGGCTAATCGAGCCCCATCGTCCAGTAAGGGCGGCAAACAAGGCGTCATGGATTCTGCTGTCCGCAGGCCGGCCACCAGATCGACCTCAAAGTTGACCACGAGCGCGTTATCACGAGATGCTATACAGCCGTCTTCTTCCTCGTCAGCTCCACCATGGACGCCGGATGAAGACGCACTGATTATCGGCTGGATCATTCGTTACTGCAATGTAGAGGAGTATCAAATGAAGATCGCAGGCTGGTACCGATATTACAGCTCAGTGTGGGGTGTCGAGAGAACGCCTCAGCGCAGCCACATTGAGATCGCAGAGCGTGCCAAGCGCCTACAGCGAGAACGGGACAGTTACAACCTGTCTGTACTGCCGCCCACGCGCTATTGGCAGCAAAAGTCGTTCAGAGAGTCGAGACAAGGTCCGCTCTGGGGCGACGTTGACGAGACCGACTCTTCTGCTGAAGATGAGGAGGATGAGGATGGCGATGGCGATGGCGCGGATTCCGACGAAGGGGAAAGCGAGGCAGAGATTCACGATCACGACAGCGAGGATGAAGGAAGTGACGGCAAGGCGTTGAGCGGTGATGCAGTGGTGGAGCCGCGGGCGGACATGAAGCCTAGGCCAACACAGGTTATCGAGCTGGATGAGGACGAGGGGGACGACAAAGCGGACAAGCAGCAGAAGCAGCATCGGGATGGCTCCGTAGATGTAGGTAAAGGCAAACGCAAGGCAAAGATTCAGGTTCAAGGCGAATGCAAGCGGCTTAGAGTGCAAAGACACTCGAATGGATCCAACACGATCACCTACTCCGGCAGAGGCAAGCTCCGCATCTCCTTCTGATGCTCTAGAAGCAGGCTCGCAACATCATGTGCCACCTGCTGGAGAAGGGAAGGCGAGCAAGTGTGAGGAGACAAAACGAGGACGATTGGCATCCGCAGCAAGCATCGATGTCGATCACTCCTCAACGTATCACCATACAATCTCATACCCTTTTCATCCTTCCTGGACGTGAGATAGCCAAGCCTTGATGTACGCCAGGCGCTGGAAAGCTCAACGAGCGCAGACGATGAGCGCGAGTATCGTCAAACGGGCTACCTTCACAAGAATCCCCCCTGCCATGGCGAGGAAGCGAGACATCTCCATTTGATCTCCTCAGTCTGTCCCAGCATCTTCCATCATGATTCTGATCGCTGTCGAGCAATGACTGTACAGTACAGTGTTGAGTCCAAACATTAGCACGAGAGCGCACAACATCTGTGACGCACAGCCGTCAATGGCGCTGGTGCTCCAGTTGAGTGGATGGGCTAGCTGAAATTACACAGACAGAAGCAGAGGCTCGAACAGGTGAACAAGACATTGAGGGCTGAAGCTTCATACTGCGACGTAGGGCTTACTTTCAGGCCCGGACTCTCCTCTCGCTCGCTCAGAAGTCAATATGAATGGTACCATCTGAGGGCACGTAGCTGACGCGAGTACCCTTCGTTGCCCCTCGGACGCGAAGACGCTTGCGCTTTATCTGAACATCAATGGATCCTTGGGTCGTATTGTCTGGCGAGCTGGTGCTGCGCGAGCTCCTCTTGCTCTTCTTCCTCTTCTTGCGGCTCTCGTTGATGCTCACATTCTTCTGCTGTGTGACGATGTCTGCCGTAGCCACTGACTGCACGTTGGCTTCTTCACTCGAGATGGCCTCGGACGGCAGCCAGAGAGAGGTCTGGGCCGGTACTTTCGAAAGAGCCACTGCGTATCGAGCTGCCTCATCCTGCAAGAGCTTGCACCTCATGATGATGTCTTCGCGGCTGGGAGGAGGATTCTCGTTGATGGCGAAGTTGTGTGCATAGCGGGGAAACTCTGTGCTGATCTTCATGCCGGCCTCATTGACGTCGAGCTGACGGACCATCAGACGCAAGAGGTAAGCATAGTCGTGCCGAGTCCAGTCGCGAGTGTTCGTAGCAGAGGCGGAGCCGGCCGCGGGTGCGGGATCCAAAGCTTTTTCTGTGGCAGCGGCAGCGGATTCACCGCTGTTAGGAGGCACAGGCCTGTCGTCCGGCATTTTGACAATTCGTTCCGTGGCGATAGACGGATGGCACCGCCTTGAAGCCTTTGGTAGAATCCGAGAGGTCACAGCGATTGAGGCAAGACCTGGCTGAGTCGCAGAAGGGGAGCAAAGCCTTTAAAGGAGGTCGATGACAATGACAAAGATGCTGCACGAGCGGTGGCGATTCTGTAGTTCGAGGTGGCGAAGAGAAGTTGACTGAAGAAAGGGCGATGCTTTGCGAATGGAAGGTAGGAAGCGGAAGAGGACCCAGGGCGCGACGAATCCACTCGCATCTTGAGCAAGCCGATCGTTGCCTCCTCTGCTCCCTTTCCGTCCTGGCACGCGTCTCACCTCTTGAACCCTCACTTCACGACCTCAGCACCTCAGCGCCTCTTTGCTCCTTCTACAGTACCAAGACCATGGCCGTCTCTGACTCGCAAGGGTCGCTAGACCCTCGTCTGCGCCCCAAGAAAGCGCTGCCCAATGTTCAGCGTGTCGGCTCCTCCCCTTTGCACGAAAGCAGTGCGACGCCTCCTGCCCTGGCTTCCCTCAGGACAGCCAACGCTTGGAAGCTCGCTGCATCTCTCCCCGACAAGACCCCAACTGGTCCTCGCAGCCTAAACTCTCACCTTGAGAGCCTCAACCAAGTCGCTTCACGTGTGGCACCTGCCCCTTCTGCCATTAGTAGTGCTCCGGTCCCTTCGAAGTCTCCCCCTCAACCCGCGCTTCAAGGCCCTGCGTCTTTCACCGAGTGGAGCCAGCAAGACTACATCGTCCTCTATCGTGCTCTGGCCTCATGCATCCCCCTCGAACTTCATGCGCCAGAGGTAGTCGACGCCTTCAACAGCCGCAGCGCCATCACTCGATGTCGCGAGGATATCTTGGCCAGGGCTCTCGAGATTCAACAGAGGCCCATTGAGCCCGCGCTCAAAGGGAAATCAGACGCTGCTCATGCTGGCAATTCGTCTGTCATCAAGGACGCAGGCACTACAAATGCAGCACAGCTTGCTGGTGTCAGCGCCGCAGCAGCAGCCATGACCCCCATCGATGCAGCCAAGAGCACTGGGTCCAGCAAGCAAACCCTCGATCCCACGGGCAGCAGCAATTTAGCAAACAGTAGCCAAAATGCCGGCCCCCATGGCAGCGAGCACAAGAGAGATGAGCCTCAGCCTGCTGAGCACGCAACCAGCGCCTCAAGCAAGTCACGTTCTCCTCGCCAGCACGGTGGGCGTGACGGCCCTGCCCTCATCCTGGAATCGGACAGGAAGCGCCTCAGGGTCGAAGTTGCACCAAGGGCTAGCAAATTTCTCTACCTCCCTACTGATGGTAGCGTCCGCGTCGAGCTGCCCTAGAGGCTGCTTCGTGGCTCACTTTCGACTGGTTGATGCGGTGGCGTGTGAGAGACAACGAAGGCAACTCATTTTGGAGTGGGGGTTGCGTTGTCTCCTCATCAATGCCCGTCCGATCCAGCAATGTACATCCTCTCAATGTGCTTGCCGGGCAATAAAATCCCATCCATCATCGCCGACGCCTCTCAGAGCTCCGAGTGCACATTATCTGACATCCTCGCCGGACCTGTCGAGGGCAAGACGGACCGAGCGTTTCCCCGCCGGCTCTTTGTGCTGCCTTGTCTGCAAAGATGCACAGGAGCCGCAAAAATACTGTAGTGAGTAAAGCCCTTGACGGAGACGTCCTGTACGAGAAGACAAGAAAAGGATGGAGAGGTCCGTGCAGGGGCCCAGTGATCCCCGCCAGACTAGCGAAGCAGCTTTTGGCCGCTAGGCAAGCCTTCAAGGGCTAATCGCGGCACGGCTGATTGCGACACGGAATGAAGGTCGCTCATCTCTTCCTCCATCACCAGAAGGATCGCTCTCAATCAGACCCGAGAGTCTCGGGGGAGACAACGGTAATGGTTTCTCAAGCCCTGTCTCCCGGATGTGATCCTCGATTGTTTACTGCAAAGCCTTCATCCCCAACAATTTCGACCAGGGGAAAAATAAAGGCCAACATCACCTTTGCGATCGCGAGGAGGCCTCTTGCTTCGCCCAGTCAATCGTGAGCACATCCTTCACTTGCAGGCGGCTGCCTCCAATGCCTTTACAGCGACCTCAGGGAGGCCACGAGGAGCACTACGAGCAGAACGATGCTGGGAGCCCGTGGACCTCACCCCTAACGAAAGCGAGCGGGATCATCGCTATTGCCAACGCAGCGGCCAGCAATTCACCTCCTTGCAATGCCTCGCAGCAGTCGCGAGAAAGCAGCACCGAGCTCACCAGCGATGACGCGTCGCCGCCTGTTCCAACAAAGTGGACTGGCCAAGAAAGCGAATTGCTTCTCAAAGCTGTTGCCCGATATGGCCTGGGCTGGCCGAAGGTCGCGCGCAAGCTAGCCGAACAAGCAGCCGTATCACGCAGCGCGGGCGCGGCCCGCCATCGATACGAGCGCTTGCTCGACAATGGCCAGATCCCGGTCTCGATTCAGAGGGGGTCCGCATTGGCTTCGAAATCTAGTCTACATGGATGCCGAAAGGACAGTACGGCGCAGTCAATGCGCGATCATCGCCCCCGGACCACCGGCAGCTCGGCCCCTTCGAAGGCAGCCGATAGAGGCAGATTCTGGAGCGAAAGAGAGCAAGATGAGCTGTGCAACATCGCTATGAGGCGTGAGCGTATGGGGTTTCGTCCTTCACACGCTGTATATGCTGAGTTCCGCAGGGCATTTCGAGGGACCAAGAAGACAAAAGAAGAGGTCATGAAGAAGTACAAGGAGTTTTGTGTCAAAGGAGATGACAGCTCGAGCGAGGAGGACGAGGAGTCGAGCGGGGAGGAAAGCAACAGCGATGAAGAGGGGACGGGCGCGGGCGAGGAGGATGACGACGATCGGGGCACAACAGACAACTCGACGAGGCGTTCGAGTGGCGCACTTAGCGCTGAAGGCAATGGCAGGAGCTTGACGAGGGTTGCCAATCAGTGCAAGCACCAAGCTTCTACGTCGTCTAGCAACAGTTGGTCCAGGGTGCCCCTCCCTCCACCGCACTCGAATATCACCCTTCCCTCCCCTCGTCCGCCTTCGCTGGCCAGGCTAGACAGCATCGCCCCCTCCGTGCACTACACCATCCATCACACGTCAAACGGGGTCACCTTGACGTCCTGCCCGCCGGGCTTAGGCATCGCAATCTACTCTCCCTGGTCCATCAGCTTCATGAGCACGGAGCAGCTTTCCAGACTAACGCAGCCTTCAGCGGCTCAACATGAGCAGCCAGCCTTCGCCTTCAAGATCGAAGACGACAGGTCAGTGCAGCTTGTGACTTGGCCGAGGGTTACGTCCAGCAGGGTTCAGCTGGTAGAGGAAGGAGAACATGTCGCAGGGGGCGGTAGACGGGGTATGCAGACCGAGATCGTGGGTCCGGATGGATTTCGAGTGAAGCTTGTGGCGTGGGATTGAAAGGGAAGTCGCTTTGACCTCACCTCTTGGTGGTCGGCCCTGGTAATGTCCGTCTTCGTGGAAACAGATTTGCCGCGTGGTCCCAGTGCAGGGCGTTAGGGGCTGCGAAACACTGTGGGTGGGACAATGTCATCACCGCCGTGTGCAATTAGCGCAGAAGCGGACGCAGCACGACCCGAGAAACAAGCACAAGACATCAACAGCTTCCAATGCGCTAGGTCTGAGCTAGGCTCTGCGACCGGACCGCGGCAGGCAGTACGATATCCCCACAAGTGAGCGCCTCTTTGCATTCCAGTTACATTGTTCGATCACGATCCTTGTGTGCTTTCGTGATACTGATACCGTGGAAGATCCGTCAAAGTCGAAAAAGCATGAGAACGCGAACAAAGGAGCCGTGTTGCTTTGTCCCCACGCCCAGCGGCCAAACCTCAGAGAGGCGGGCGGCCGCCCGCAGGGCGGAAAGGAAGTGGCCCGCCCGAGTGTTGGACCACTCGATCTGGCGAGGCTTTCAAGACGTCGTTACACTGCGTCTGTCACCATCTCATCATCTTTTGCCTCACCGACCATTTCTCATGGCAGCGTTTCCTGAGCACAAGTATGGTCTGGGGGACCTTGAGTCGCAGTCCGCCACCAAAGCCAGCCGCACCTTCTCCGTCAAGTCAGAGCCGACAACGAAGACGACGACAATGCCGACGGCCTCGAATGGGCCTCAAGAATGGGCACTGCTGCACACATCGGCCGGAGGCGCTTTGGCTTCCTCCTCATGCCTTCCAAGTACACCTACAGGCGCTGCGGCGTCTACCATTCCCAGCCCTCGCGCAATTCTGAAGGGAGACGGTAGCCCTCCCCTTTTGGCGTCTCGAGCTCGCGTTACACAGTCGCATGAGGCAACGCCAGTCAGGCAGCTTTCGCCTCTATTCTCTACGCCACCTCTGTCTACACGGGAAGCAAGCCCAGGCTTCGAAGAGGTTGAGGTGCGCTTGGCCAGTGTCCCATCGCAAGCACTGTCTGTGCAGGCGTCCAACGACCGATCTCGCAATGACGCTCGCGAAGCCAATCATCCCGACTCGTCAGCCAGTCGGAGCATCGAGCCGCGAGATCTCGACGACAGCTCAGCACACTCAGTCGCCTCGAGTCAGGACAGCGAGTCATTGACCAGTCTCAGCGACCTAGCGAAAAGTGACGAGGATAACGAGGATGACGAGGACGAGGACGAGAGAGAGAATGAAAGCGATGGCGACGCATCAGACGACAATGGTAGCGCACCGAGCTACCCCTGGCCTGGCTTCGATTGGACGCGAAGGCAAGATGAGGCCTTGCTCAGGTCCGTTCAGAAGCACGGCACGAAGTGGACCGCCGTGCAAGAGGACATGGCTGCGGCTGGCGCTCCCAGACGTACTCGCAATGCTCTGAGCATCAGATACACACGAATTCGCTCGAAGCGCCAGAGGGACATCCCCGAAGATGACGAGCACGACAGCTCCATAGAGCCACAAAAGTCAGCAGGGTCATCAACTCAAGGAGACCGGTCAGCCCAGACGGGGGCCCCTGGCTCATCCCGTCGAGAGAGCCAAGCCAGCCCATCGACACCATTGCGTGCCGCATCCCTGGTCCAATTGCTGGGCAGGAGCACTAGAGACGTTCCGATCGGCGCCACCGTAGCAGCTGCCTCTGATCGCCATCAACCGGCCCCGCTCACAGGGACTTATGAATCAACCCGAAAGCGTAGAAAGCAGAGCGACTGTCACACCTGGACACAAGAGGAGAAGGAGGCCCTTCGCGCCATCGGGGACAAGCACACGCGGCTGGGTACCGTCCAGAGGCAGAAGGCAATTTACAAGGACTTCTGTGCCCGCTTTCCTGGGACGAAACTCAGGTCGCACGTCGTCCTCGTCTACTACCACGCAATGCTTCGAAGGAGCGGCAATCGGCAGGTCCCTAGCGAGACTAGCGGGGCTTCAAGAGCAATAAGGGGGACTCTTTCTGCGACTTCTACATCGTCCAGGTCCGGCGACCAAGCAAGGGGCCCGTTCACTTCTCAGGAAGCTGTGGAAGCGCCTCGAGCGAGATGTTCAGAGCATCGCACTCCACCTCGACAGCCACCACCTGGGGCCAAGAGCAGAGGTCGCCCCTTTACGGAGGAAGAGATGGCGGTACTCAAGCTGATTAGGCCCAAAAGCTACGCGTCGGCCAGTTCAAGATGGGACATCAGCGCAGACGCATACCGAGTCTTCGTCGAAAAATTTCCCAACACGAGTCGCTCTGAGTCTTCGGTGAGGCACAAATACTTGAAAATGCTTGAAGCGCGGGGAAGTGATGCCGAAACTAGAGACAAAGATGACCAAAGAGAGGACGGAGGAGACAAAGAAGCCGAGTCAGGAGACGTGGAGCTGGGCGACGAGACAGGACACGATCAGAGCCAGTTGGCAGACACCTCTGCTACGGCCTATGGTAGGAGGCCCTTGCCTCAACCTGGCTGCACCCCGAACAGGTTTTCTTTCAACGCCGACAGCAGCACGCAAGGGCCACCACCATCTCACGGAAACTTGCTTCCGGGAAGAATCGAGCCTCAGCCTCATCATGTCGTGACCGGCATCTCTGCTCCATTGACACGGCCTTCTTTCCAGTTGCCCGATTCAAGCCCGGCCCCAGCCCCAGGGCAAAGCGCTGGGGCGGACAGCATCACATGCGCCATTGACATCGAGCCCAACCGCATCACACTGCGCGGATGTTCGCCTGGCCTGGGTGTGGGAATCTACTCTCCAACCTCGATACGCCTGCTTGGCCGTAAGGAGATGGTCGACGTCGCTCAGAGGCCAGCGAGGGAGCAGCCGGCCTTCGCATTTCGCATCGGCGAGGATCAGACGCGCTCCGTACAATTAGTCAAGTGGCCGCCTGGCACAAGCAGTAGCATGTCAATCCTGCCTGGTGGGGCTGCGGATGGTGTGCAGGAGGGCGACAGGCCGAAGATGAGCATACAAACGAGCGTGGTCGGGCCGGACGGGTTCACAGTGCGCTTCATTGCTTCCTGCTGAGGTGGGAACGATGTCCGCCCGGTCATCTGGCTTAACGTAAAGTGCGCAAACCAGCCTGTTACCCCGCCCTCGGCCTAGCAAGCATCCTACGCCTCTAGATTCGATGACACTGCCTCGGTGCGGCTTTACAGCTTGCCATGCTCTACAGCTCGTGGAGGTAGGCGTCTTGAGCTGGCAGAGCGGGTCAGGAGTGACCGCCACTTCAGGGCCGAAAGCGAGTGGGTCCAGGGGGACAACTTTTGCCTTTCATCGCTTGGCAACGGGTGCACAAGAGGGCCTGGAACGAGAGTGGTGGCGGTCAAGCGAGCTAGGATACGAGAAGATTTTAGGGATAGCAATTCAGCTCCCCATCGAGTCACACATAAGGCCTTACGGAGGGCGACAACGTTTAGAGAGCATAACAAGCGGGAACTGAGCGATGGCGGCCATTGTAAGAATCGATGTGGGCGTCGAGGGCTGCTGATGGAGCCCTCCCGCCCGCTTGCACTTCGCTCTGCCCTCTTGTCCAATAGTCGGTCTATGTCCGTCTTCCTGCTGGGCTGCTCTTCCTCTCGCCCTACCACCGACAACTCCTCCCTCTCATCCAGGCCGATCATGGCGGTACCGCGCACGCCTGCTAGCGGACAGACTTGCAGTCGTCTTTGTTTCTTGGTTCTGAGCCAAGTCAGTGTGAGAGGTCTCCTCTGTCTCTTCAACGCCTCGTATGCCTCTCGAGCACTCGAGAGCTGGCTCTCGCTTCGTTGCTCCCCACGCTTCAGTCCCTCTCTCCGCATTGCCGCTCTGTAATTCAATCTCGTCCAGCCACTTGCCATTACGCATGCGCTCGCCTTAATGTGACAGTACTGCATCACTGTGCCAATGCTGCGGCGTTCTAGGGAGGTGAGGGGTGAAGCAAGGCTGCTCTGGACTCAAGCATGGCTTCTGTAGCCTCTCTGCACGTACGGGACACAGTCGCGAGGCCCGAGCGTCGAGGTCAAAGCGGGGGTCCGGCGGACAGGCACGCGGGCGGAGAGCTGAGCGAGACGTGCGCAGACTGCCTCGTCGCGGTAGACAACATGTCGCGACCTCATCATTCTCTTCTTTGTTCCCTACCACTCAAAGTCACGCTATTTCGCTGAACCTCCACTCCGTCCCCGACTGAAAGACACTCATGGCTTCAGCCGCGAGTGGAACTCAACATCAGAGGCGTCCATCTCTAGTCTCCGTAGCAGGCGACGATTGCTTTTCCAGCAGGTCAGAACCAGCTACGCCCCACTCGACGGGGTCACAAGATGGAGAACTGCCTCAGACGTCCTTCTCCGACCCCTTGATCCTATCTCCGCTTTGGTCATCATCCCCGCCATCCGCCGTGACCTCCCTCAGTGACAGCGGGCCCTTGGCTCCCCTTAGAGGCGGCGAGCTTACGGCATTCAAAGCTCCACTCAAGCTTTCGCTGGATCAGCAGCCACCTCTCAAGCAGCCTTTTCCTTCATATTCGACCGATTCTCTCTCTCCTTGCAGACTTGACTCAGGCTTCAAAGAAGTGAGCGCACACATCGCAAGCGCTTCGCACCCCGAGCTCGCACAAGAGAGCAGCCTACAACGACATCAACGTTCAGCGAGCCACGAGCCCATTGCAGACGCTTCCGCCAGGCGTTCGACTGAAGCAGAAGAACGCGACGACACCCCTGCGGGCTCACTCTTCTCAGGGGATGACAGCGACCTCACCGACGAAGAGGATCCCGATGCAACAGACGATGCGAGCGCAGCCCTCACAGATGAAGGGCACCGACCCCGCAATTCACAGAGTGCCAAGTGGCCCCTCGCCGAAGGCGCCTTCGAATGGGACAAGGCCCAGAACGATCTCCTCCTGAGCTCGGTCAAGAAACACGGGAGAAACTGGATTGCCGTCGCCGCAGATATGGCTGCAGCTGGCGCCCCCAAACGTACCGGCAATGCGCTCAAGGCCCGCTACAATCGAATGTGTGCTGCTGTCAAGAGAAACGCTCCAGCTGGACAAGTGACCCCGCTGCGCACCGCCTCGCTCCCTCAGCTGACTGGAACCAGCACAAGGATCACGTTGGGCAGCAGCGCACTTGCTTCCTCATCTCGAGACCAGCCTATCCCACTCACCGGCCCTCTGCCTGGACCTCGCAAGCGTAGAAGGCTCGAACAGCACAGCTGGACGGAGAAGGAGAAAGATGCTCTACGTCGTATCGCGGACAAGCATGCCCAACTGCCGTACAAAGCCAAGGAGACGGCCTTCTTCAAAGACTTCGCAGCACTCTTTCCCACAACAGCAAAGAAGCTCAGCCCACGCTTCGTCTTCAATTACTACAATGACTCGCTTCGTACGCCCGTAGGGAGCCGACCTCTCATCAGTGGAACAAGCGAGTCGAACAGTGGGCAGGCAGCTTCCACCTCGCAGCAACGGGCTCTGCCTGCTGAGGAGCCTGAGCCACATGGCAACGGATTCAAGTTCACCAATGAGGAGCTGGCCTTCCTTCGGACCATCAGGCCCAAGAGTGAGGGCGTGCCCAAGTCGAGATGGAGCTTGGGGTCAGGTGTCCATCGTGCCTTCAAGGAAAGGTTCCCGGATAGCACGCGTTCTGATGCTTCAGTCAGAACCAAGTACTTGCAATTGATGGATCAGGGTCAGCTTTTGGGGGGAAGTGAGCGCGTTGAGGACAGTCAAGCGTCCAGGAGAAAGAACGTCACTGGTCCGGGACTCACTGAGCAGCAGGCGCGAGCTCTCCTTGCGAAGCAGCCTACGGCAGGCCAGAACATCTCATTGGGCACCACAAAGGCGTCGGATGTCAATGATAGGCAGAAAGGGGTGGTCAACAATGACAAGCCGATGTCAAGCACGACGCTGCTTAGTCGCCAGGGCATTCTTGGCGCCACGGTCGGTACGGCCGGCGCTCCTTCGTCCCCCATTCAGCGTCCAGTCCACTCGTCGCAGGGCTCAAGCTCATCCATCAACTTCTCGATTAATGTCGAGGATCAAGTCATTACGCTTAGCAATTGCCCTCCTGGGCTTGGCGTAGCCGTCTACTCTCCTACGTCGATCCGCCTCCTTGGGCGCCAGCAGATGCTGGACCTCTCCTCAGCATTAGAGCAACCAGCTTTTGCGTTCCGTATCTCAGAGGATGAGAGTCGCTCCGTCCAGCTTGTGAATTGGCCGCAGGGCACCAGCACGAGTATGGCGATTGTTTCTGGCAATTCCGCAGCGGAAGGGGGCAAGGCGGGCGTGAGTGGCAGACTCAACAAGCAGACCAGTGTAGTAGGGCCTGATGGATTTACGGTGAAATTCATCTCTTCGTGCTGAGCTAATCAGACACAGCGATCATGTAACTTTTGCAAGACAGCGACCGAACATTGCGGTAGCAGCCTATCCCGGTGTCACTACCATAGTTGTCGTCTGCTCTACTGTACAGTTCGTCCGGTCGCGTCCTCACCAATCAGCTTCGCTCGCCGCGCTCCGTCGCCAATGCGCTCGCTGTGCCCTGACTCGGGCTCGCCGCTTCTCCCTCGCAGGACCGAAGCAGCTGAATGAACCACCTTATTGAAGAAGAGCGAGGCGAAAGGTCGCCCCGCTTTGTCGTGACCGGGAGTAGGCAAAGTCCACCCATCTCCGTCTGCAAGTCGCGTGGCGGAGCTTGGCGTAGGCGGAAAAGATCTCGTCGCCCATTCGCGTCTGTCGCTTCTTCTCATCACGACCACCACTTTAGCTCCCTTCTTTGCCAGCTTCCAGCAAGACTTGCTCAGTGAGGAGACGGCGGTCGTCACACTTCTTGAAGGCGCCATAGGGACGGCGTGGCTCCTCACTGCCCCATCCTTGGTAGCACCGGCTTCCTCAACAAGCCAGAATTGTTTGTCTCTGCTGCTTCAAGTCAGGTTTCAGCAAGGCGGCCTGAAGTCGTACGCGTGCACAGCTCTTTGGACTTTCACCTTGGCAACAGCCTTCCTCAATCAAGATGGATGCTCAGCCTCGCAAGCGCCGTATTGTCCTCAAAAGCGGTGGAGGCATCCTCTCGTCTGCCATTCGAGTTCCCGCAACTCCTCCCCAGGGAGGTGCGCTGCTGGGTCCTCATTCTTCGCCCTTGTTCCGTACACCTCCTTTGCCCCCACGCAAGAGGAACGCAGGCTCTCAAAAAAGCCAGCAAGACGACATCACCTCGGCAAGACTACTTTCTGGGCTCGCTCTCACTCCTGCACATCCGAAAGAGCCAAGTGCTCAGCATTCAGCCAGCCTCCCCTTTGACGATCGTCACTTCCATGGCGCCGACAACGGCTCGGCCGTCTCCCTCTACGATGACTACCACGAATCCGACTCCTGCTCGGACGATCTCAGTGAGCCAGTCTCCTCTCACGACGAAGACTTCGACCCCACCAACCCCGACAAAGAGCCCAACTACGCACGTGTGGCCCATCGTCACTCTCACGCTTCAGGTTTGGCCATTCCCGCTACCACTCTTTCGGGAACTATTGAGTCGTTTGAGTGGGACAAAATTCAGAACGACTACCTGCTGAGCATGGCTTCAAAACTGAACAACGACTGGCTTGCCGTAGGAAAGGAGATGGAAGCGAAAGGTTGGCCACAGCGTAGCGAAGGCGCTCTAAGGAGGAAATGGCAGCGTTTGATGCGCAAATCCTTGATTGATGAAGCTGAGCAGCTCGACAGCTCGGCAACGGGCATCAACGAGCTTTGCGCAGGAGCGAAGCGTACTGCCGTCAGCCGGCGCAAGATTATCCTCACGACTGGCCGCATCAACAAGAAGAAGCACCCGAATCACAGCTGGACGGAGGAGGAGAGAAAGACACTGCGCCAAATTGGAAACAAGCACGACCGGCTCGGCACCCAGGGCAAGGAGAAAGCGATATTCAAGGACTTCAAGGAGGTGTTTCCAACTACGCAGCTGTCTCCTCATGCAGAGTTCAGCTACTATTGCTCGATGCTGCGCTATGCCAAGTCAAGCGAAGTCGTCAATGATCGGGAGACCATGGCTCGGCTCGGTGATCGAGTTCTGAGTACTTCTCCTCCTCCCCAGCAACAAGGCCATCATCAATCACGTACGATCATCCCGCCACGAGACTCAAAAGGGCCTCATCGAGGGATACCATGGACTCAGGAGGAGATCGGCATCCTTGATGGAATCAAACCTCCACTCGGCGAGGCGATCACGAGATCGGCCGTCTTCAAAGCATTCAAGATCAGTCTGCCTCAGACAAAGAGGACAGAATCGTCCGTAATCCATAAGTGGCAAGCATTGTTTGGTAAGCAAACTCGCCGCCTGACGAGGGGCGGAGGCAAGATTCATGGCGTGAAAGAGGAGGGACTGGGCCCTCCTGCCAGCTCGAGCTCACTGCAGCAAGTCAAGAACGAACCTGATGAAGATCAGCACATTGTCAATCGTAGCATACAGAGCGAGAGCGGAGGCTCTCACGACATTGGCTCTTCATCCCAGAACCTCAACAAAAGACTCGACTTTGCTCTCCAGCTAGACACCTACGGCATCTCTCTCCAAAATCCTTCAGCTGGCCTCGCAGTGGCGATTTATTCTCCCACTCTGGTGCGCTTCCTCGGGTTTGAGCAGATGCACGCTTTGAGTCAGGCCGAAGATGAAGAGCAGCCAGCTTTCGCCTTCCAGGTATCCAAGGGTGGGGATGGATCTGTACAGCTGATCAATTGGCCCATGGGCACCAGCACGAGCGTTGAGATGGTTTCAAACGACGCCAGGGTTGGCACGCAGACCTGTATCGTTGGGCCGGATGGATTCAGTATTAGGATAGTGGCTTGGCCCTGAGGCAGCGGAGGAATTTGTGCACCCATCGAGAGACACAGAATGGCGCTTCCCCTCCCGCTCTGAGAAGCCTTCGTGTTCGTCAATCACTACAGCAGCCATCGCCAATGTCTATCTCTATCGAGTCAGCCCGAAAGTTGTGCGCCTTCACGCTGTCTGAGAGGAGGAACTGAGCTGCCTGGATTGATGAGCATCCTGACACTGTCCTTGACGAGCTCGCTTGCTTGGCTTGGCTTGGTGTCGTAGACGCTCGGACCTCGCCTTGATCTCAGTCCGCGTCGGCCCTCTGCAAGCCGGAAGAGGCCCGTGACACGGCTCGTGATGCGAGAAAGCCAAGCGGTGATTGCTTGCCGAAAGCATCGCTTTCTTGCCTTCCTCTCTACACATTCCTGAATTCTATCCTTCAGAGAGTCAAGCGACAGATCATGGCAACTGCAACTGATGGTGTGCCTGGTAACAAAAGGCGCCACACGCTGGAGCCCATCATCATCAGCGACGACGATGAGCCTGCAGAGGGCAGATCGCGGCCGCCGCGCTTCTCCTCCCCTCCTCGCCAGCGTCTCATGCATCAGACAGGAGATGCCCAATCAAATCTGACCGACGTAAAGAATGGAGATCTCAATTCCTCTCAGCTGCCCAACTTGCCTGATGCCTTGGCTATCAAAGCCTCGCCGGCCTTGCAAGCCCTGACTCGCCAACCATCAGCAGCTCAACAAGGCCCTAGCAGCCCGCATGGGAGCGTTTTGCATGTCCACCCCACTCCATCATCGTTGAGTCGCGTCGCCACCCTGGCAGCGAGCACAGGGTCTCACTCGCCCATTTCAGGACGTATACACTCTGCCTCAGCAGATCGCGAGGCCTCACCCACCAGCAGTCTGAGTGATCTCTTCGACCTCTCGTCAGACAGCGACAGCAACTACGGCGAGTCGGACGGTCACGTCAAAGATAGGAGGCCTCAATGGCCAGAGCATGAGTCCAAGCTTCTACTGAGCTGCTACGCCCGCCATCCCAATAGGTGGACTGCGATTGCCAGGGAGATGGAGACAGCAGGCAGCCCGCAGCGATCAACTTCAGCGCTGCGAAGGAAGTATCAGCGTTTGATGCGTAGGAAGGCTGCGCTTGCACGCAAGGCAATTTTTGCCTCATCAACAAATCCTGCAGCGAACAAGAATCAATCGCGATCGAACCCAGGTCCTTCGATTACACAGCAGCAGCTGCCGAATACCAGCGGCACAACAGCCAGCACGGCCTGTGCCAAGTCAGGCTCGTCTTCATCCTCCAGGAACCCGCAGACACCTCAACGCCTAGTAGGAAGGCCTCGTAGCGATCCCAATCAAGAGACTCACGCATGGAGCGAATCAGAGAAGGCCGCGTTGGTCCTCATTGGAACCATGCATGACAAGGCTGGTACGGAGAACAAGGGACAAGCGGTTTTCGATGACTTTGCACGCGCATTTCCTCGAACAGCGTCGACCATGAGCAAAGCTAACGTTACCTCTATGCTGCGTCATTTGAAAATGCAAGGATATAGAGGCAGGCTCGGCGGAGAGGTCGAGCAGCAGCTGCAGCAGCAATCATCTGGCTCGGCGGCGATGGCGGAGCCAATGGCAGAAGCTTCTACCGCCTCATCATCCTCAACAGCTTTGCCCGAGATGTCTCGGGCTCGTGCAGTTGCAATCACCCCGGCTTCGACAATGGGCAGCCACAAAAGCCCCTCATCTCACGACTACCCACCTCGAGTGTTTCGTCGCTGGACACAGTCGGAAACCCAGGTGCTGCAAAGCATTGCCCACAAGCGCGCCAGCACGGGGCTCGATGCCACTGCAAATGGAGTGGGCTGGTACGCGCAGGCCGAAGTGTACGCCGACTTCAAGCGTAGCTTCCCCGACACACCGAGGACGGACAAGTCGGTCGTGTGGAAGTATCTGCAGCTTGCTCAGAACGGCAAAGCCAGGAGGGTAAGCCACATCGAGCATGGAAGCGGCAGTGACGCGGAGGAAAGTCAGGAAGAGAGCAGTGAGGAGGATGAGGATTCGCAGCCAGAGACTGCGGAGCAGAGCCTCGCGCCTGAGCCGACACCAGCTTTGACTCAGGCATCAACGCCTCTAGTCCCCCGAGCTAGTGCCAACAACCTCATAGCCGTCTGCAACCTAGCGGTCGAGTTCGAGACGAACGGCATCACCTTCACCAACTGTCCAGCCCAAATGGGCATCGCCATCCACAGCCAAACTCTCTTCACGCTGCTAGATCCTCAGCAGATGGATGCTTTGCAGATGACACTCTCGAGCTCCTCTTCGAGCGCGCCTGCCTTTGCGTTCAGGTTGCTCGATGGTGGCTCGGTACAGCTCCTTCAATGGCCCGAGGGCACATCGACGAGCATCTCATTCGTTCAACGTGCGAATGAGGGGAACAAGCCTCGCAGCGCAATGCAGACAAGCATTGTGGGGCCTGATGGATTCACGATCAGAGTAATCACCTGGTTGTGAGCGAGGAGGGTTGTGGACATGTGGAGTATACTGTAGCTACAAGGAGGGAAGTACTGTTTGCAGGCTTGTTCGTCTAACGAGCCAGAGTCCTGCGCTGTCTTCTTACTCTTGAATACATGTCGGTGTCACGGCACTGTACTGTACAGTACTTCTTCGTCGCCAATGCGCTTGTCCGAGCCCATCTTGCCTTGACGGCTGTGAACAGGAGGAAGCGTGTGAAATGAGGCATGGCATTCGTCCAAACTCAGTGCGATCCCTCCTTGCTTATGAGAGGTCCGTTACCAAGCGCCTGTGAGCTGATCTTGCCGTAGTCCGCTCAATTGTAGAATCGTCAGGGCGGCAGCCGTTGAGACGCGACGCGCAATCGATGGACGGAAAGCGAGAAATGGTCGTCTGATCCTTCCTTGCCTTCCTTCCAGACTGTCTGGTACGCTCACAACTCTGCACTCACTAATCGACACTGGCAGGCATTGGCGGCAGCCACGGCAAGATGGCTTCCCCGAAGATGCCTGGCGACGAGGACGACAGCGGAATTGCGCTTGTGCCTACGCTGGGCCATGATCACGGCCTCGTCGAGAGCACGCTACTTCCTGCTCAGGGCGAAGCTCAGCACCCACAAGCCAAGACGTGTTGCTCCACTGGGGAACAAGGACAACCCTCACCTCTAGACCTGCAAAACACCATCAGCTTGGCCGACGCCTCCGCCGCCAACTCCTTCCATACCGCGCTTTTCCAGCCAGGCGTTCGCGCAGCAGGGAAGCCATCACTTGCGCACGCGTCTGGCAAGTACACACCATCTCAGTGGCACCCGATGCCAGGGTCCAGAGGCAGCTCCGCCCATGACTCTGCCGACGCAGCTCTGGAGCGACACCAGACCGGAAAGCCTACCAGTTGCGAAGACCCAACTACCTCGAATTCCAGTGCCCTGTCCAGTCCCGACGAGCTAGCCATATCCTCCGCAGCCGGTAGCGTCGCGGAATCCTCTGTCTGCGTACCAATTCGCCTACCTCGCTGGAAGAAGAGTGAGGCCGAGCTGCTACTAAGCTGTGCCGCTCGTCATCCCGATGATTGGACCGCGATTGGGAGGGAGATGCAAGCTAATGGCAGTCCGCCGCGCACCGAGTCCGCTCTCAGAATCAAATGGCGCCGTCTTCTTGACACCGAGAGAGAGTGCAGGGCATTTTGTGGTCAGGCATCATCGTCTGCGATTCCTTTGCAGAGCCAGGACAACGGTGCTCAGCCCTCCGCGAGCGCTCAGCTGGCACCGTCGACCTATCAAACGGCCACACCCTCCACAAGTAGCGGCTTTGGGCTTGTGACTACTCCTGTCAGCAGCAGTGCAACCAGGCAAAAGTCCACACACGCTCGAGTGATAGCCAAACATCGATGGACCGACGACGAGAAGCGTATTCTTTTAAAGATCGGGCAAAGACACGAGGCTCTCGGCACTGTGGGCAAAATCCGTTTGATCTACGACGAGTTCTCTCGATGTTTCCCCAGCACGACGGCCGACATGAACCAGCGTACGGTCTACACTATGTACTACGGGCTCAAGAATGGTACACATAAGATTGCAGAAGAGTCAGGCTCCCATGCGCAGCAATCAACGTCATCAACATCATCCACACACTCTGTCCCGACAAGCGTTTCGCATCAGCACAGCGCTGCAGCCGCCAGGGCTCGTGGTGAAGCCACCGTCCGCAGCCAACCATGGGAAGAGCATGAGCTGCTAGCCCTCGAGGAGATTGCAGACGAATATGAAGCGGAAGGAAGCGAAGAGTGGAATCGTGTAGGGCATGTATATGGAAGATTCGTCCGCATAGTTGGCCCAACACAGAGGAGCGAGGCTAGCGTGCGCACCAAGTTTATCAGATTGTTTTGCGTGAGTGGAGATGAGGACGAGGAAGACGAAGAGGAGGAAGAGGAAGCATACAAGCCGAGGGCGCCGCGCCGCAGCAAGACAAGCCAACTGGACGTAATCGATGACAGGGCTGATGCAAGCCACAGCAACACAGTGACGTACAAGCGGGGCAGCGATGCCGCCCTTGCGACATCAGCTCCATTCAAAGAACAGCAGGACAAGTCAGGGCTCGTAATAGACGCAACGACAGCTCGAGACATTGAGACAGCTCCCCGCGAAATGATCGCTCCTGCTCATTCCAACGACACCACCCTCAACATAGCCTTCGATCTACAGCCCAACGGTATCACCTTTGAACGTCTCACCTACGGTCTTGGGATCGCCCTGTACTCCCCCACACGCTTTCACTTGCTGGATAAGAAGCAGATGCAAGGCATAGCTGGCGCTGCTGCAGGCCTTGAGCTTCCGGCCTTCGCCTTCTCGATGCAAAAGAACGGGTCCATCGAGCTGCTCAGCTGGCCCGAGGGTACATCGACGAGAGTAGAGGCTGTTGGCGGCTCGGGGCACAAGGTGGGAATGCAGACTGAGATTATCGGACCTGATGGATTTACAGTCAGAGTTGTTGCTTGGCCTTGAGAAAAACTCCAGTCGAGCGACGAAGAGTGTAGCAACTACTTCGAGTTCTTTTCATTTTGTTCATTTCTCTGACCAAATCAATCAATACCACGTGTAGCCTCATTTGCTCGCAATGGGGTTTTATGGCGTCTGCAGAGGCACGAATTGTCCCGGACCAGAAGCCTGTAGAGGGAGGGCGCTCAGCATGCATAGTCAACGGAGGGATGGCATTAGGCTGAGGATGCGCGCATGATGCGGTACAATGCTAGAGAATCACGAAGTCAGAGACAAGCTGCCAAGTAGAGGGGCTTTTAGACTTGGTGTTGGTGATGGAGGAATGCGGTATCGATGCGTATGTGATGCTGGGCGGCGTCGTGTGAGGGGCGCCCCTTTTCGACGGTTGACTGCTGGTGCTGATCGGTCTTTGCTGGCTCTGGATAGCTGTCAAGGATGGTGGCGCGCATCCGGCTGATGGTGGTTTTTGCCGCCGTCTGCGGCACCAGCTCTCTCGCTGCCTTTATCGCGAAGTCCTCGGCCCACGTCTCGCCCTATTTCCAATCCTTGGCACGAAGTCGACATCGACATTTTGCGTATCCCATGCCGTCAGCAGATGATAGATGAATACGCTCTCCCATTTGGCGTTTGAGTTGCCTGCACGAAGCATGCTACGGTCGAGAGCAGGTTGCGAGAGTCCGGCGGTCCCGGAGCCTGTTGTCGTGCCAGCCTGAGGAAGGGCTAGGCTGCTCGCTCCGGCCATCGTAGACCACGGGGGCGGCCTCATCAGGACGGGCGAGAACAAGCCGGCCAGGGTCTTCGCGTCTGCCCCTGTAGCCTGAACGACGCGCTCATCCAAGCAGAAGAGCTGTAGTAAGGCCACCACGTACAGTAGACAGCGTCTGTTGAGCGCAGGCATTTTTGCCTCATTGCGTGGGCTGACAAGCGCGAGGGTGGCTGCGGTTGCGGCGGCAGACGAGTGATTAGAGTGGGCGGCGGCGCTACTGTTTGTGCTGGTGGGCCTGCTACCGCCGCTGCTACGCTCTGCTGCCTGAATGCAGGCCTCGTACATCCCATAAGGAATGAGAGGCTCAGCCAGCTCTTTGAGGAAGAGCTTGAGCAAGGCTCCCACGACGAGAGCCAGCTTGTCCTTCTCCTCTCCGTCTTTGCCGCCTAACCCCTGTAGACTATACTCTCCACGATCAATCCTAATCTTTCCCTCCACCACCATACCCACGTCACCCTGTTGGCGCCACATTCGCTTTACTCCTCTGGCTCCCAGCTCCATCAACTTGTCCCCGAGAAAAGGTAGGAGGACAGGAATGGCCATGTGTGCATACGAGCGCGACTGAGCGGCCATGATTGTGTTCAGGGTTTGGCCGAAGACGATTGGGTGAAAAGCGGATGACCAGGAGGCGCGAAGCTCAGGAAGGGTGGGCGCGAGAGAAGAGGGGCCACGCATCTGTACAGCGATGAGTCGGCGTTGTGCGTGCCGGTGAAGAGATAGGAGACGGTCGGTACTGGCCGTCGTAGCGCCACTGTTGTTGCCAAGAGCCGAGCATGAGTCGGCAATGAAAAGTTGCAGAGCCTCCTCTAATTTCCTTGTTGTAGGCGCCACACTAGCCAGCAGGACGCCAAGAAACTGCCATGCTCTTGCTCTTGTCTGAAATGGTGCCTGATCGCTCAGCCGGGGGAGCAGCTGGCAGAAGACTTCATCCCTTAGTGCTGGCTTGCAGATCAACGTCTCAAGAAGCCAGCGTTGCTCCTTCCAAGTTGAGTCTAGTGACGGGGGAAGGACACTCCCATCTCCATTGCCAATGGAAGTCATCGTCCCCTGGTCTCGACCGAGCATCTCTCGCAATCGTTGCTGAGCGATCCCTTTCTTCCTCTCAGCGCAGCGTCGAAGTGGGCTCTGGGCGCTTATTGTACCCGTCAGGCCCATACCTGTGGGAGCGTACCCAATAGCCACGGGTGGTGGTCTGCCGACGAAAGCCGCCCTCTCCCTTTCCCCACAAGCTCTCAAAACGATCTTGGAGCAAAGCCCTGCTTCGCCATGCAGCTCCTTGGGTAAATTGAGGACGGGCGCCTCAATACGGCCTCGCTGATACTTGAGCGCGTCGAGTATTGACGATTGGCGATGCGAGAGATGGAAAAAGGAGGGCAAGGCACGACGTCGTGGGAGAAAATGGGTATGCGCGTACGAGTGGAAATGGACGAGAGGTGAGGTTGCTTGGTCCCACGGCTGCGTAAGGGTTCCGGGACCCCCTTTGCGTGCAACAGGAGCCACGTCCGCTGGCATCGTGTTAGGGCTCCTGGTCTTGGTGAGTATGGGCTGCATCGACTCCCCGCTGGTGAGTAGCAGCGAGTCTCTTGCCCTCCTCTCTGGGTCCCTGTGGCGTCTGACTGGTCCTCGCACGCTAGCGCTGGACAAGGTGGCGAGGTCGATTGATGACTGGCCAGGCTTGTGGCTGTGTTTCCGTGCTGTAGAGCGCTGCGACTGGGAGGGAGGTTGGGGAACGCTGAGCAAGGAGCTGACGGGAGGGACGAGGAGACGTGGTGTTGCTGCGCGGGCATTGGTGGGATGCTGCAAGGTGGTAGCTGGCTTGCCTGCCGAGGAAGAGGTGCGACGAGCAGTACCGCTGGAGCGTGAAGTCTGTTCAGAGATGTCTCTGAGTGAGGTGCGATGGGAGACTCTGGGAGCCGGATCCATGCCATTCTCCATTTTCGCCTTCTCGAGCAATCTGCGCCGAGAAAGCGAGCGGCTAGACTCATCGGCTAGAGCCACGCCGCTGTCTGCGCTGGTCATGCCTCCCGAGGAGTCATTGCCGTTGCCGCTGCCATTGCAATCGTGAGGCGGGGTATTGTTGGTGTTATGTGAAGTGGCAGAGCTGCTTGGAGCTTGGCGATGAGAAGAAGAGTGTTCAGTTGGATTCTGGGCCTTGACGTCGTTCATAGATCTCGCTCGCGTTATTGCCGTTGTCGAGGACGACATGGAGGTAGAGAAAGGCATGGAGGGGCGCTCGGAGCTTCGAGAGGTGGTAGCTGGCCTGTTTGATACGTTGACCTTCTTCTCATGATGAGCTCCGTTGGATGACGCGGAAAGGTGGCGTAGCGAAGAGGCTACGTCCCCCTCATCCGCAGCTTCCCCGATCCCTTGCTGTATTTTTGCGAGTGGGAGCACGAGCCTCGCACTGGCCGGATACTCCCACTGCGTCTTCTTGCTTGCGGTATGCCAATAGTAAGGTAGACCCACAGAGCCATCCCAAAATTCGAGCCAGTCACCCCCGGGGTCGCGAGGCAGGACAAAGGTGCCTGCGGGCACTGTCCATCGACACTCAGTCGTGGTGGGATTGTAGAAGAAGAGATGCGTTGACTGTGCGGGTCAAGGAGCGAGATTGTGTGAGATCATGACCAATGAACGCCCAAGTCTTGCCTACATGCCGCTCCTTTCGAGCAGCTCACTCACTTTAGGATCCTCGATGACGACCCAGAACTTAGCTCCCCATTTCGCTTCAGAAGTCCTTTGGATGAACTCGCCATCACCGTCTTCGAGGGCTTGACTTGATGTTTCATACGACGAGAATGTGAGACTGGGTGCTGTAGAACGGGCAAAGTCGCTGCGGCTGCTCTCGTCGTATGCGTGGGGCTCTGGCTCCTTCAACTCCTCTATCTCTGCGTCACTATGATCTCCAAGCGACATGGCTCTCTCAATAGGTGTCCACATGGCTGAAGAATTGGTTGAATCGCTTGCCTCTTTGGAATGACCAAGCTTGCCCAGCCAAGTCGACGAATGACCTTCTGAAGCAGTCTCGAGTGCGTCGAGGTCGACGCTGCTGTTCACGTTGTGCGAGCTAGACGACGTCGGCGTCGATGAGCGACCGTTGGTCAGGTGCTGGTGAAGAGGCATGACTGTGCTCGAAGGCGGACTCCTTCTCAAAGCGGATGCCGACTTCATTGATGGGTCGACGGCGGGGTGCCTGAGGGTCGCCTCGCTCTGAGATCGATGTAGCAAAGGCTGAGGAGATCGGAGCAATCCAGAGGAAGAAGACGAGAGGGCATTTTGCTGAGAGGCTACTTGATTAAGTCTTGGTCGCAGTGTCGAGGGTCCAGGTCCTTTGGATGAGCCAAAGTCTAGCTCAGCCTTGTCCTTTTCAGCAAGGTAAGCGGAGGAAAGGTGATGCTCGTGGCCAGAGCTAGAGCTGCTGCCCTGGCGGCGTCGTGAAGTAGGGCGAGGCCGAAGTGGCGTCCCTCCTCGACCGCCTGCTCTGCTTGGGGTGGCCATCAAAGAAGGCTCATTCTCGACCCATGGGACTGACTGTGATCCCCACGCTGAGGCGGATGAGGAGGCACTTCTCTGCCGGGCTTTGGGGCTCGAGGCTGGCGTGACCCTTTCGATGGCGGTGTTGGCCCTCGACCCTCGTCGGAAGTGCCCAGGCTCAATAGGCGGCCGGACCGTGGTAGAAGGTAGAGAGATGGGCATAAGGATTGAGGAAAGTAGGGGAAAAGGGCGGCGAGGCACGAAGAGCTTCCTGAGCTAAGAAAGCAGCGACCGCAGGCTGCCTCTGATAGCGAATCCGGCAGGAGTGCGAGGTTTCATTAGCAGCCCTCTGGGAGTGCGGTCGTTGATCAAGGGATAGAGGCTGGCGAGTGAGAAGGAGAGAAGGGTGGATAGAGTGAGTCCACTCTGCTGAAAGCAGACCGCTGCTTCGGGCCACCCGCTGAATCGAGTAAATGCACCAGTGCGAATGTCAGTCAGATCCTCGTCTTGACCCACCCCGGCTTCGCTCGCCTCGCCGCCCGACTCAATCAGTTGCTCGAGCTTCTGCCTGGCAGCGATCGCTTGCGTAGAGAGCTTACCCATTTTACGCATCATCCACCACCCCTCTGCTCATCAATCCAGCATCTCGTCCTTTCTTCCACACCTCTTTGTTCGCTTTGCCGCCCTTTTTCTTCGGGCTCGCACATGCACGCGACAGGGGCGAGAGGCGTCAAGCTCCGAATGAGTGTTGTTCTCGCCTCGGCCACAGCCAACGGACGGGCCAGGCACAGGCCCTTCTGCTGCTTTTTTCGCCCCTCCTGCAGCTTGGCGTCGAGGTGCCGCGAAGGAGTGAACAAGGCGAGCTAGCGTCGATTCATTTCAGCGCTATTCAGGGTGGCGGCCGTGAAGAGGGCAGGCGACAGATTGACATCGAGCTCAATCACGAGCGCCTGAGGCTCTGCTTTGCTCCTGTCCCTTCTGGCTGTTCCTGAGAATGATGAGAGAGCTGAGACATCGTGTATCGCTTCAAGGGAGTATTTGGCATGACGTCTCTAGACTGGATTCCAGCCGGAAGATGGGTAGAGGAACGCGGCATGATTCGTGCGAGCTGACGGAACGTGGCATGATTCGTACGAACAAGCAAGAAGATACCGTCTCGAGCTCACGCTGGGCGATGATGAGAGTCACATTCGAATTGATACTGGCAATGTATAGATGCGTTGTATTGGATTTCGAGCACAGGTAGGAACAGGAGAGACAACGTGAGAGAGAAGGGGGTAGTGTTGGTGAAAGCGGCTTGATATTGCTGTTGATGGAGGTTGGTCTGTTGCGTAGAGTTTGATTGACGAGGCGAAATGGAGGCTGAACGTCGGAGATGAGGGTCGATGATGAGAAAGGAGAAGAGAAGCGTGCTGTGATGCTTGGAACTTAATGTAGTCGTCGCTTGGCGTCAAGTAGCGTGGGGACTCAGGACGACGGGTGGAACGAGAAGCCGTTGAGCATCCTCGTCATGTCATCCACTGGGCCAGAGGAGAAGCTGCCCCCGCCGCTTCCCCCGCCACCGCTGGGCCCCCCGGGCCCACTTCCCCCACCAATAGGCTGGCGCGGGTATGGGTAACCGCCGGTATGCGAAGACATGCTCTGCGTAGCATGCGGCACACGCGGCATGCTAGGCGAAGGCACATGGCCGCCGTGATGGTTGAAAGGGTAGCTTTGATGCGCAGCACCTCCGTAGCCACTGGGAGTGTGCACATGGCTATGATAACCCCCTGATGCTGGCCCGTACAGGCCACCAGGACCATTGTAGTACGGCCCAGGACTGATGCCGCCGCTGCTGTATCCCCCATGCGGGTGGTAGCCCCCAACACCACTGCCTCCGCTGCCAGCGCCGCCACCGTGGTAGGCTGCCGAGGCCTCAAGCGCGGCTTGCTGCGCAGCGCGAGACGAGATGTCAAGCGACTGGGCCCGGTGAGCGAAGGAGCGGGGCTTGCGTAGCTGGCCAGAGCGGGTGCGCTCATCCGCGCCACCCCCAGGTATGCTGCCGAACGGTTCCGTGTTGCGGTGTAGGAGAGTAGCATCTTCGCTTTGCCTGGCCGTGTGGTGGGGAGGGAAGACAATGCCGCTGGTAGAGGAGACGGGCGAGTGCGAAGGGGTACCCAGGCTCTGCTGCTGTTGCTGAGAACCGACAGCGGGAGGCGTAGGGGTGGTGATGCTGTTGACTAGCCCGCGAGGTGTGCCCCAGACTTCGCTACTGACTCCGCCAGGCATGGCGTCGGCGTAGGGCGAGGTGTACAGGGAGGAGCCCACAAGTGGAGAATTGCTAGCTCCGGCGCCTGCAGTGACACCGCTTGTACCGCTGCTGCCCGAGCCGGAGGTAGGCATACCACCACCGCTGGCAGTGGGAAAGGGGGCTCTGCCTGCTGCGGGAGAGTCGAAGAGGGCTTTGAGGGCCGGAGAGGAGGCAGCCCCACGGAGTCGACCCGTGTCGTTGAATCGCGCAGCAAGCTCACTGTGGAAGCTAGCAGCGTCACTCTGGTCCGCGCCTGCACCTGGGGTCGAGATGAGCTTGGTGGCGAAGTGAGGGAAGGAGGAGGCAAACGAGTCGGAACGGGCTCGGGCAGGGGCAGCATAGACGTTGATGTTACGCGTGGTGAGGAAGTCCTCGAGCATGTCCTTTGCCGTGGGAAGGAAGTCGTGGTTGCTGCGAGAGAGGCGAAGCTTGAAAATTGCCTCGGCGCTGCTCTCAGGCGGGGGAACTAGGCCTGCGAGAATGTGGATGCTGAGGTCCCGCTTGACTCGTTCGGTGAGGGCGACAAACTCCTGCGAGCCTACGACCTGGCCGAGCGAGGCGGCGTTAGGGGTGCGGAACTCGGCTTCGAATGGGACGTGCTCGAGAAGCATGGCGCTCGCGATATGAATCTGCGATTCAGGTCCGAAGATGGCCACCAAATCGGAGGCTGCCTCGCGAGGTGGGAAATAGACTTTGGAGGAAGTCTTACTCTCGATGTCATGGATGAAGATTGCCTTCTCCCCCAGCAAAGCGCGGTGGTAACGCCGAGAGATGGAGACGGTCTCCGTCGTGTAGTCCTTGTCCTTGGGATTGACCATCTCCATGACAGACTGCTTCAAGTTCTCCAGGTTGATGGCGTTCTTCGCGGGCGTGCGAGCGATGACATTATCCTCGTTGTCGAGGTATCCGCCGAGGGCAGCAAATTCCTCTGCATTGGAAAACTTGACGTAGACGCCGTACTTTTTCATGACCTTTTGGATCTGCTTACCTCCTACGCCGATGCAACGCTTATGGTAGGCCTCAGGGACGTGGAAGGAGACTTCGGCGGGGAGCTCCTCCTGCAGGAGGGCCAGACCTTGCAATGCAGAGGCACGGTCGTTGGAGGAGAGCTCCACGAGGAAATTGTAGTCATTCAGCGTCTCGAACTTGATGCGCACTCCGCATTGCTTCATGATCTTGTTGACTTTGCCGCACTTGCGTCCCTGGAGGAATTCGCGCTCCGACGTAGCAAGCTCGATCTGGAAGCGCACCTCGAAGTTGAATTGCTTGATCACATCAAGATCAAGGACCATGCTGATGGCGCCCTTGACTTCGGTCTCGAGGCCGTGAATCTCGAAGCAATTGCCCTTGAAGACGACCTCTGCGCCAGAGCGATTGGCAACGTTCTGGAGCATCGTTGTGAGCTGTGGCGAGTTGAGAGACATCGGCGTGTTCATAGCGCTGTACGCTTGAGGCAATAGCCAGAGCGAGGAAACATAGAACTGGCATGCCAGGGCCATGACAGTACGGATGGTCCTCTCGATGCTAACGCGGTTATCGCCATAGACAGTGACGACACTCGATTGGGCACCGAGGGCGGGCAAGCCAATGAAGGTGCCGTTGTCGATCATGATCTGCCGAAGGTCCTCTAGATGGTCCGTGAGGAGCCAGTCGATCTTGCGAGGCAAGATGGCGGTGTCGCGCGAGATGGTCGACTTGCTCTTGTGGAAGAAGACCTGCGTGTGCGGGAGGGGAGAGTGTGTTAGCATTGTCAAGCAAGTCATCGGGTCGTGTGCGTGCCAGTGCCCGTGCGTCGTTGCAGCTTCTCCGGCTGTTTGTGACGCTCACCTGGAACACCATCTCCCTTGCCCTCTGCACCCCCATGTAGTCACCACTGATATGGATGGTGTTGAGTCTCGCAAGCACAGCGGGATCCTGCGAGGCCCCCAGATTGATGCTGAGCGGCAGCGGTAGATAGATGCTTGTACCCGTCTGCTCCTGAATTGTCTGCAGCACAGCCCTCTTTCTGCCCCCAAGGATGTTGTGGAACTTCTGGTCAATCTCGCACATCATGCTCGTCAAGCCGGAGAGCTCCTCGAGCATGACCAGCGTCTTGATGCGAGCGTACTCTACCCCCTCAAGCTCGCCGGAGATGACGACTTCCACACAGCGCTCCGTCTCAAGCCCGTAGCCTAGATCTGCACCACGAGAATCTTTGCCGACGATGGCGATGTGCGTGCTGGTGAGCTGGGCAATCTCGTCTAGCTTGACGCGCACGTGCGGCTTGAGGTCGTTATTTGACGTCGAGGGCGAGACCGAGTCACCGGAAGAGGAAGATTGCTGCGTCTCTCCCTGCGGCTGACTTGCGGACTCTGTAGTGATCGCGGTAGTCGTGTTGTCGATGATTTCGGCACGAGGTACCTTGAGTGTGACACGGGAGCGAAAGGGCGAGTCACGCAGCACCTTTGCGCGGGCCTCCATGACTTGAGCAAAAGTGCCACTGATGTGGAAGTTATAGCGAGGCATCTTCTGCTTTGCAGCTGCAGTTGCCGTAGTCGCGGCAGAGGAGTGAGCTGCTGAGCCGGCCGCCATCTGGTGATCATGAGGCAGGGATGCGGTGCTCGAATCGAATCCTGGGTAGAAGCCTGCAGCGCTAGCCTCGTGACCAAAGCCTTGAGCGTAATGTGAGTAGGGATAATTGGGAGCGGAGGGGTAGGGAGAGAAACCCGTCTGCTGACGAGCGCTGGCTGATGGAGGAGGGGAGACGTCCTCCTGAGCTGGCGTGCAGGAGACGTGGCACTGCGTTGATGTCATGACCTCGAGGCTGAGCCGCTGAGCTGCCTCTGCTACGTCCTTGGACGTGAGCGGGTGCTGGGCGCCAAGCGTCGTGATGGAGTTGGAGGCAGAGTGGTTGCTGCTGGGAGTCTCCGACTTGGTCTGCCAGCTCTTGCTGCCGGGAGCAGTGCTGGGAGCGGTACTATCGTTGGAGAGAGAGGAGAAGTCGAGAGAGGAGCGGGTGCCAGCAGTCGAGCGGCTGTCGCGCAGATTGGACGACGACGAGGGAGAGGTGGGCTCATCGGTCGTCTTTTCCTCAGGCACTGACAAGGGCAGACTGGAGGTGCTCTTAAGGCGAGACTTGCGCCACTCAGCTGACGAGCGAGCCAAGCGCTCGATTGGTGTCGAGTCCTTGTCTTCGTCTTGCTCCTTTTCACCAGTCTTCTTGAAGCTCATGGGAATGAACGACTTGACCGAAGGTGCGAAGCGAGAACGAAGCCTGCTCCCTACTGGCTGCTGTGGAGCATCGCTCTGGGTGTCCTTGGCAGTATTACTGCTTCCACTGACGGTTGTAGCTGAATCGTCAGCGGAGAACGAGTCTGCCGCAGGGCGAGACAATGCATTCGAAGGTGGAGCATCTGGCAAAAAATGAGTGCCAGTAGCCCTGGGCAGGCTAAAAGAGATGGAGTAGGTATCCATGATGAAAATGAAGCAACAGCAGCACCTCTGTGCGCTCAATCACCTGCTGACGAGCGCTTGTTGGTGCTGAGGCGCGGCGGGCGGGTATACGGGTGTTGGTGGTGTCGATGGAAGAAGGAGCCAGAGCAGCTAATCGAGCTATGACTTTGCGTTCGCGCGATGAGGGTTCAGGGCAGCGAAGCCGGCGAGTGGCTTTGGGTTGATGAGGATGACGAAATCAACCCTGATGCCCGCCACTATCGAAGATGGGTTTGCGTAAGGGCAGGAGGGAAGTGACAAGAGAGAGGGGGGAGGAGGAGGAAGCAATGCACAGCTCTGACCAAAGTCAGGGTCACTCTCGTCTCTGTCGGTCGGACCTCACTCACTCAGCCCGCTCTGCCTGCCGCCCTGCCACGCGCTCTCTTCTGCCCGCGCGCGAGTTGAGTACCGAGCAGCGTTCAAGGGGCCAGCCGAAGGGAAGGAGTCGAACGGGCCAGTTGAGCGAGCGACGTCGTCTCAGACCGACGGCACACGGAGCGGGTCAGGGTACGTCGAGGGACAGGAACAATCATCAGCCAGCAATGACGGGCCTTACGATGCAACGCCGTCGAGGTGAAAGCGAAGTGCAAATGAGTCTCAATAGCCGTCTCAGCGGATCCACAGCAGTGGGCAGCAAGCGGCGCATCGTAGCAGGAACGCTCGGGATATGGTCTGGCTCATATTCAGACGTCCACGCTCAAGCAGTGTCTTCAGCCAACACCACTCAGACGACGAACGAGACGAACGTCGCAGGTGTACGAGATGTTGCCGGTAAAAATCCAGCGAGAGACTTCCACGCGGCAAATCGAGTCGACACCTTCGAACGTGGTGATGTCTCGCTGAGATCGCGCGCTATCCTTAGCGGCGATGAGCCTGGGCAGATGTCATGCCAGACAAAACGCCAACGACAGCCATTGCCTCTCCAGCTAACGAAGCACGTCCTCTCCCGCCGACTCTCACAATGCTACTCTTCTCGTCTACACCTGCGCTCAGACATCTGACGTCTGTGTATGTGCTGTATTGCTTTGCTCTGTCTCGCTGCCCAACCGCCTAGTGATGTCCATCACCGTGTCCGTCGTCATGATGTCCATGGTCTCCGTGGTCCCAAGGATGTCTCAGACCCTGTCACGAGCAAGCACAGCGAAGACCATCACGAGTCAGTCGCCCCATTTGCAATGGCGACCCATCGCCCTCCTCACTGGCCCGTACAAGCGACTCACCAGCAATACGGGCCCGTCCTGCTTTGCCCTATAGAAGATCCAGAACCACATGGTGGCACCGAGAAGCTTGGCGCCCCAACGATGCTTGAAGGCAGGTTGATGAGGGTGAAAGCCGTACATGGGGCGCCAGAAGCGTGAGCCGCCCGTCGACGAGGACGAGGATGAGTGGGCGGGGCCGGCCATGGCTGTGCGGGTGGAGGGATTCAAGATGAATCGTGAGCTTCAAAGGAAAATGAAGAGAGACAAGCTGAGGAGGCACGTACTCACTATCGTCTTGGCTGCCTCGTTGATCGTCGTGCGTCGATTTGGAAGCAAGTTGACCTCAAGTCGAGATGCGTACGTCGACGTCGATGTCGCCGAGTCCGAGCGGGGCGGGCGCCTCGAGCCACAGACCACGCGGCTCCGGTGCTGTCCGACTGGCTCCCACCTGAGCCTCGCTGCGATTGACGATCACAACTTCTCCCTCCTATCCTCCTCCTCACCATCACCACACATCATCACAATGGCCTCGCGCTTCTTCGCCCCCGCGACTCTCCGCTCCGCAGCAGCCCGTGCGCCCTCTGCTGTCGCTCGCAGGCAGGCGCCCACTGCTGTCCCTCGTCGCTTCGCCTCGGGCTCGGCACACAAGGACCCGCTCCTCGCTGAACAGGAGCACGCTACGGAGCACGCCGCTAAGTCTGCTGACTTGTGGAGGAAGATCAGCATGTACTTTTGCTTGCCCGGAGCGTGGGTTGAGCGTGGTATAGAGGCTGAGCTGGACTGTTGTCGCTGACGCCCCATCCCTCTTCCTCTTTGTCATTTCTCAGGCTCGTCATGTCGGTGAGCATCTTCGCGCTCGCCCACAGAAGGCAGTCACATTGGACGATCAGTCATCCTCACACCATCATTTCTTCGCTCACTCGCAGGTCTACATCTACCAAATTGAAACTGCCCACCTTCAACACCAGGCCCACGAGCTGGCAATGAACGGCGGTGAGCTGCCCGAGGAGGGCAGGCCGAACTACGAGTATTCGATGATGAGGAAGAAGCCCTTCCCTTGGGGAGACGGCAACAAGAGCTTCTTCCACAATGACAAGGTCAACTACCTGCCTGAGGCGCAGTAAGAATTGGCTGGAGAGTCAGAAGGGCAGGGAAGAGCCGAAAGAGGGATGTACATCACGAGGAGCACGAGCAATGCAACCCGAAAACTGGCATTCGATGCTTCGCAGTCAATGTACGAGCTCGAGCGAGAGATGAGCGGCGCATTTGGGCCTGCAGTCGTGAATCAAGCCGGCTTGTTGGCCCTTCCAACAAGGCAGCGATGGGCTGGTGAGGAGCCCGTTCGCGTTGTTCGCGTTGCTCAAAACAGTACCAAAGTCGCATAATCTGCAGAGGAGACATAAGGCAGCACGCAGCTTGTCCGAGAATGATGTCCGTTGTGATCGTCGGCTCTGTCCAATGGGCTTGAGGATGATGGCTCCCGAGTGCCCTTGGCGCCAGAACTGGAGAATGCGATCGTTTGAGCTGCTTTGATCTCAAGCAGCTAGGTAAAGCGACGTCTCGTAGACGACGTCGGCTTCTTTCTCTACGATGTGTCTTTTTGATTCATCGCGATTCACCGTGCTCCCCACGTCAACTTCTTCCCGTGAGATCGTCGTCAATCCACAGCTCGAATTGGCACCCTTGCTCGCCTTTCACTCAGCAAGGGCCCGCTCGAGCGTGGGCGACATCATTCGAGGGCGCAAGAGGTGAGCCTCGTGGTCTGCCTGGGTCGAGTGGTCGACGACGAGTCGAGGAATTGGCCCAACGCTTTCTTCAATCTCCGCCTGAAAGCTCTGGCCCTGCTCTGGACTGATGCGTGAGGCCAGCTAGCTACGCGAGGCCAAGCACATTGAGACGAAGGCAACTAGCTGCAGGCGACGGCAGAGAGGATGGATGGAGACGAATCCCCGCAAACGGCCTCCTGCGGGCCCTCACTCGCCCTCGCCCTTTCAATTCATTGTGGATAGCTGAGTGAGCTCATCGCTCCACCGTTCTGATTGCTACCATCCACTTGGTTGCATCGCTCCTCACAGGCCAGCACTTCTTGATTTCGTCATTGATCCATCCATCCGCCCTCGTAAGCTCATCCTTCCTCACCTACGATGGCACGCGGCCCCTTCCCTCCGCAGCTCGTCGAGCTGCCCCTCCTCGGCGCCGTACTTGGCTTCACGGCGGCAATGATGGGCATCTCGGGCGCAGATATCTACGATTTCCAGGACATTCGCAGCCACATGCGCTACAGTCGCTTCAATGGCTTCGTGAACCTTGAGGACAATGGAATCCTGCAGGTCGACCTACTCATGCTCATAGCCGGTGCCATCGGTTTCCTGACAGCCCTCATTGGATTGTTCCTGGCCGCGAGGCAGTTTGGGAAGAGGCGAGGAGAGTATTCGGGCAAGGTGAGACGAGCATATCCACGGTCAAGATTGGAGGCAGGCAGACCGCTGATATCATGCCCCCTCGGGTCGTTCGCAGGGCACTGGTGCATGGCTGATCATGGGTCTCCTCCTTCTGGCCGAGTCCGGTCTGTGGGCAGGAACCGCAGCAGCATACACAGCTTTTACCGTTACGAGGAAGTTCTCCTTCAGCCGCGGACCCAACTACTCTGAGCCGTTCAACCTCGCTCAGCAGGCGTACCTGCGCTCCATTTTCCAGCAGCTTACGACGGGAGTCACCGGGCCACTCACAGTGTTGACGCTGCCTGGTGCTACGGGAATCGATGGAGCGTACTTGGGCGAGTGGGGCACGGTGTACAACATCGACCAGGCGAATGCGCTGCCGAATCGCTACCTGGACTACTCCAACAAGTGGAAGGTGAGCAAGCGCGACGAGACGATCAAGACTGAATATCACTCTGACCGAAGACCTTCGCCTCTCCCTCGACCGACTGTAGGCCGCCACCGCCATCAGCTGGTTTGCGCTGGGCTCCACCTTCCTCGTCATGGTCGTACACTTCGCCCTGCCCTTCGTCTGGAAGTGGCTCGGCCTTCTGCGCCAGCCCAAGCATCAGAAGGGCTACTACAACGAGGTCTGAGGCATAGGATAGCATATGCAGCGCTCGCAGCCAATCGTCGGCAGCTCGTAGCGCAGCCTTTCTTCCCCGCCGCCTTCCCTCGAACCTCAGCCTCCTTGCGTATCCTCCGGATCGCTGCCACTTCGTTCCCTTCTCTTCGATTTTACTCGTGCCTTTACCATGTTGTTTCCTTTTCTCGCTTGTGGGATCGTTCTCCGATGTCGTCGCTCTCGTAATTCACTCTCTTTGATCAGAGCCGTTGTTTGAGGGAAAGCGAAGACAGCCGCCTCTCGAGTGGTCTCAGTCCGCCCTGTAACCGCTCCCGCCCTCCGCAACATCTTTCCTCCGTCTCCTTTCTCACCAACCTCATCACACATCCACCTTGCACAATATGTCATCTCGCTGGGACAGCGGCCCATCTGGCTCACCACCAGCGAGCAGTGACCCTGCTGCTGCCGCTGCCGCCGCCGCTGCCCGCATTGCTGCGCAGTATGGCGTCAAGAAGGAGGAAAGTCCAGCTTCGTCGTCCGCGGCTGGTGGTGGTAGCGGTGGAGCAGACAAGAAGAAGGAGACGAGCGATGCGCCATTTCAGCATCACTTTGACGTGAGACCGCGCGTCTCAGCGAGATAACTGTTCAAAGCTGACCTTTCTCCCTCGAACCCCTCGCCGGCGCAGGTGAACGATGTCAAGAATCGCTACCTCGTCACCAAAGCAGCAACGCAGCAACGCATCCACGAGGAGACGGGCGCATCCTTGACAACGAAAGGTGTCTGGTACCCAGATCGCAATCTGGCCACCGCCGATAATCCTGCGCTCTTCATCCACGTCGAAGCTCAGACGCAGGAGATGCTTGACCAGTACGTCTGCGCCTCTGCCATAGCAATGCAATCAGGCTACTGACGCTCACCCTACCTCCCTCTCTTTGTTGTCTCTCACAGAGCTTTGGCCAAGATCCAAGAGGTCATCGACAGCGAAGCTCCGCAGCTCATTGAGGAGCGCGGCATGCGTGGTCGTGCCCCTCAGCCGTCCCAAGAGCGTCCTATGGGCGGAGGGTGGGGAGCTCGCGGCGGAAAGTGGCCCGAAGAGAAGATTGCTATTGGGCTGGACACGCTCAGGAACTTCAATGTTCGAGCCAAGATTGTTGGTCCAGGCGGTATCTTCGTCAAGTACATTCAGGCTGAGACGGTGAGTGTGGGCGAAGCCTCGGATCAACAGCTTGTTGCGCGTGGGTACTGACGAACGACGTCCTCCTCCCTGATGCCTGAGCAGGGCACCCGCGTCCAAATCAAAGGGAGAGGCTCAGGGTACATCGAGACAGACACAGGTCGTGAGGGAGATGAGGATATGCACATCAACATCGCCGGGCCGGACGAGCAGCAGATGGCTGAGGCGAAGCGGCTGGCTTTGGATCTGCTCGATGCAGTCAGCGACGAGTGGGAGAAGTCAAGGGTCGTGCTTGAGCAGCAAGGATACTACGTGCCGCCGGCGAGGGGAAGAGGTGGGAGTGCTGCGGCTGGTCAGTCGGCCGGTGGAGCAGCGGGAGCGCCTACGGGGCCTGCGGTAGGCGGCTACGGCGGACAGGGGCCTGCCTCTGGTGGTTATGGTGGGCAGGCGGCCGGTGTTGGGCATGGCGGGTACGGCGCACAGCGCGACGGTGCTGGAGCAGCTACCGCTGCCGCTGTGCCCGCAGCGGCAGCCAAGTCTCCCGAAGAGGAAGCACTGGACAAGTACTGGGCCGACTACATCAAGTGGGAGGACAGCTTCAAGGCCTACCACGGTCGGCTCCCATCCAAAGAGGACGGGGGTCAGGACGTACCACCGCAATATCGCAAATGAATTTGACCAACTCTTTCTTGCCCATCTATGCTGGCCTATCCATGAACTTTCATGCCGATCCCGTGTCGGTTCAGGTTTGAGCGATGGACGGCCCGCGATTAGCATCGTGATGAGTGAGCTGGTCCGCAATTGGCTGTCGGACAGCTGTGACTCCTGCAGACGATGCTGAGCAACGAGACTTCCAGTCATGACTCGATGATATTGCCCTCGCTGAGTTGTCTGGTTCACAAGGTCCGAGCTCAGCCCGCGCCCTCGTACTGTAGTCGTCTCGTCGTCGTGATTGACTCCTCGGCCATCTCGCCGCCTGGGTCCTGGTGGACGTGCGAAAGTTGCGTCTGGCGGCCGGCGGCTTCCGTCTCAGAAAAGCGTCGGACCCTCCGTCAGGGAGCGGACCAAGGCAATCGAGGCCGCGAAGTGCTTTTGGTGCCTGAGCGAGAGCGAATCGCTTGCCCTTGACTACATATCTTCCCCGCCTATTCCCAGCATTGCTTCAGCTTCATCCTAACACCTGCTATCTTTCTCACTGCGATTGGTTGCAGGCTACACGCACGGCAGAGCCTTGCCTCGCTAAGGACACCATCAGCTCGAGTCGGCCGCATACTCTGCGATATCAAGACACGCAGCTCGAGACGGCCTAGCATACCAGTCCACCCGCCAGCATGCACTTGTTGGGCTGCTCATCAGTCCTAGGTAGTGAAGATTGGACACCATGCTTTCGTGAAAGGTGAGTACGCAAACAGCAGCAAGCCCATCCCTCTGCTCTGTCTCTGATGTCTCGTCATCCTCCACCTGCAGAGTCCTCAACACCGCCCTGCCCTTGAGTGCCCTCGCCATCTCGCTGGCCGTGTTTCTCATCCAATATGCCCGCTCAAGAAGAAAACATCACGCAGCCGCCGCAGCCGTCGCTCAGCTCGATCCTGATGCTTCGAGCTTTCAGATCGCACCGGCAGCTGCTGCCGCTTCAACATCGGACGCTCAGTCTTCTTCCTCGTCGATCGGCCGTCTCTTCAGCTGGCGGAAGTCGAGCGACTCGCGAAATGGGAAAGCACCGCAGCAAGAGCAGGAGACGATCAGTGCCGCCACTCTGGCCGTGTTCCGTACAGAGAATGCCATGATCCTCAACGAAGTCTTGGCTACACCGTTGCACCACCTCGACGCAGCAGAGCTGAGCCACAAGAGGAGGCTAGACGTCACGAAACGATCAGTCGACACAGTGGGCGCAGTTGTCCTCGCAGCGATGCACGCTGCCGGATGGGCCGTGAACAGTGGCTCACTTTCCGAGGTGGCGTGGGCATTCACTTGGATCTACTTTGCGCTGCTGGGCGCTTTTTCCCTGGGTACAAGCCACAGCCTTTACTCGCACAAGGCGGCCTTCTTCTTCGTCTACTTTTGCATCGCCCTTTCCAACCTGCGCTCCGCTCTGATCAGCGACGACCAGTCACGGGAGGCTCCTCACGTTACCCTCGCAGCTCTCAAGCTCGCAGCGAGCGTCTTGCTGCTCATCCCAACCGTCTTCTTCCCTCTAGAGACAAAGGTGCCCGCCGCCGTGAAGGCTATTCACGAGACAATGGCAGCACGAACTCAATTCGGCGAGCCAACGACCGCTATTCCTACACCAGCAAAGCATCGCTCTCCTGCTACTACGCGGCGCAACTCGACCGATGAGCGCCAACCTCTTCTCGAGGCAGATGAGGCAGAGCGAGGCTTTGCAGCAGCAGAGAAGGCGGGCATCGAGCGTCCGCCTGCTCCGCCTGAAGTCAGAGCCTCGCTGTACAGCCGCATCTCCTTTGGATTTGTCACACCGGCGCTGCTCAAGCATTACAAGGTGCAATTCACCCTGCCTGCCGTGCCCGACTTACCGCCGGGGGACAAAGCGGCCAACGTGGTTGCAGCGTTCCGAGCAGACTCGAGTCGAGATGCAGGAGGAGCAGGCGCGGGCTCGACGCTGATCCCTTCCAAGAAGCCGCTGGCTCTCCGGCTCGTGTGGCACTTCAGCCCCTTGCTCGCCCTCCAATTTGTTTGGGCTTTTCTAGAGGCCATTCTCGAACTATCCCCCGCCGTCGGTCTCCGCCTTACGCTGCGCTACATCTCCGAGCGTGACGCCGAGCGCAACGGCGAAGGCAAAGCGACCACGCCCGGTCATATGGCTGTGCTGTTCGTCATGACCATGGGTCTCGGCCAAGCCGCTGCCGCTGTGTGCGCGTCCCAGGCCTTGTTCATCGGGCGCAGGATCTGCATCCGGCTGCGCGCTATCCTCATCACAGAGATCATCAGCAAGTCACTGAGGAGAAGCGATATCGGTGGCACTCCGCCCACAAAGAAAGATGAGGGTGGTGAAGAGGAGCATGAGATCGACGCGGCGGCTAAGCCCCCCGCTGAGGAGGATGAGGAGGGTGCACAGCTCAAGGAGGGGCAAAGAGCTACCGACGGTCAAGTGGTCAACCTTGTTTCCGTGGACGTCTTCAAGGTGTCAGAGATTTGTGCCTACCTGCACTTTGCATTCCCTCAGGTGCCGACCTCCATCCTGCTCTGCCTCTATCTCCTATACGACTTGCTAGGCCCGTCGGCCCTGGTCGGTTTTGCCTGCCTGCTGTTACTGCTCCCGGCGCAGATCACAGTTGCAAGCTTCTTTGTCAAGCTGCAGAAGCGATTGCTCGAAGCGACCGATAAAAGGTTGAATCTGACGACCGAGGTGCTCAACTGCATCAAGACGTGAGTTGAGGGCGAGAGAGCGTGATGATGACTGGGCGTGAGAGCTGACTCCTAGCCCCACCCTTCTGCCCGCAGAGTCAAATTCTTTGCATGGGAAGAAGCCTTTGCCACCCGCCTGGGCAAAACTCGCAGCAAAGAGCTCGCTGTCCTCCGTAAACGCTCCTTTGCCTGGCTCCTCTCAGCCATCTTCTTCATCGGCACTCCTGTCGCAGTTACCGCAGTCACATTTGCTGTGCACACGCGCATTTTCCGCCAGCCCCTCGACGCAGAGACGGCTTTCACTGCTCTGGCGCTCTTCAACTTGTTGAGAATGCCCATGGATACGCTGCCCGACATGATCGTGCAGATCCTCAGCTCTCTCGTGTCGGTGAGGCGTATCGATACGTTTCTGCGAGAGAAAGAGACGCAAAAATATGAGCAGCTTTGTGGAGAGGCTGCGCAGCGCGAGGAGGGAGACCCGGTCGTCGGATTCAAGGACGCTACATTCGTTTTCAAGTTAGACGAGAATAGCGAGGGGTCCGACCAGGAGGCCACCTCGACTTTCGTTCTGAGGGACCTCAATCTACATTTCCCAGAGGGCAAGCTCAGCATCATCGCTGGGAGTGTCGGGTCAGGAAAGACGTGCCTGCTCATGTCACTGCTCGGAGAGACGCAGCGCGTCGCCGGACGTACCTTCATGCCTTGCCCGATCGCTCGTGCTCTCGAACCCATCGATCCTGAGACAGGCCTTTCGGAGACTGTAGCTTACGTATCGCAGACGGCCTGGCTGCTGGGGACGACGGTGAAGGAGAACATCCTCTTCGGCTCGCCGTATGAGGAGCAGCGCTACAAGAAGGTACTAAAGGCTTGCTCGCTTGAGCCGGACCTGAAGATCCTGGAGTACCACGACGAGACGGAGGTTGGAGAAAAGGGGACTTCCCTTTCTGGTGGACAGAAGGCGCGTGTGGCTCTTGCGCGAGCATTATACTCGCCGGCAAAGTATGTGCTCATCGACGATGCGCTCAGCGCGGTGGATGCTCATACGGCGGAGCACCTCTACCGCAACTACCTGCTCGGTGACCTCATGAAGGGGCGCACCTGCGTCCTCGTCACCCATGCCGTCACGCTTGTGTTGCCGGGTGCAGCGTACGCCGTCAACCTCGACAATGGGCGCGTCACGGCAGCAGGCCCTGCCGAGCAGCTAGCAGCGCAGGGCGTCTTCGATCACGAGACGGGACCGCGCTCCTCTGCCGCAAGTGTAGTGGAGCACAAAGCCGAATGCAATGAGGAAGACGAAGCGCCGCCAACCATCGAGGAGATTGACGAAGAAGCTCGTGCGAATGAGGAGGCGGACATCCAGAGCCGGCAAGAGCGCAAGAAGTTGAGCGATCTGGAAGAGTCGTACGGCAAGGGAGCGGTCGGGATCAAGCAGTACATTCTATACATCAAGTCATTCTTCCCCACGAGGATTGGGACGATCCTCTTCTGGGCTCTGGCGGTCTCGACGTTCCTCGTCAGCCGAGCGACAGATGTCGGGGTTTCAGCCGCGCTCAGGCGGTGGGCTGGCTCGTACTCTGCGGCGCCTGAATCAGAGTCGCTGCTTGCGGTCAGACCTCGTCAACTCGTCGCGGCCTTCTTCGCGCAGCCTGCGAAAGCAACCTCGTCAACAGACTCGTCGCCCTGGGAGGCCCAGTCTCAATTAGTTCTCACGCCCACCTCTCAGCCCTCCGACTCTCTCACCCTCCACTACCTGCACGTCTACGCGCTCTGGGCTATGGGCTTCATCATCGTCTCCCTGCTGCGCGACGCCGTAGTCCTATTCGGCTCGCTCCGAGCCTCACGCAACCTTTACGAGCGTATGACCAAGGCAATTCTCAATGCCCGACCCCAATTCTTCGACCGCACGCCCGTGGGCCGAATCATGAACCGCTTCAGCAAAGATCTCGAGACGGTCGACCAGGAAATTGCGCCCACTTTCCTCTTTCTCATCGACGTTATCCTGCAGGGAGTTGTCATCCTTGTGGTTTCCAGCTACGCTCTTCCCGCCATGGGCATCTTCTCCATCTTCATCGTCGCAGTCTACGGCTCGATCGGTGCACTCTACATCGTCTCCTCGCGCGATCTCAAGCGCATCGAATCCGTGCAGCGCTCCCCGATCTTCACGCTCGTTGGCGAGGTCCTTGGCGGCACCATCGCAGTCAGGGCGTACGGCGACACGGCCCGATTCACGCGACATTGCCTGCGATTGATCGACAAGGCGTCTCGCCCCTTTTTCTTCATGTGGTACGAGAATCGCTGGCTCTCTATGCGTGTCGACACTTTCGCTGGCATGGTCTCTCTCGTCGTTGGGCTGGGTCTCGTATGGAACAAGAGCATCGACGCAGCTCTGGCGGGATTTACGCTCTCCTTTACCATCCAGCTGGTAGATGCAGCCCTGTGGACGGTCAGGATGATCACCCAGAACGAGATCAACTTCAACTCCATCGAGCGCATCGGCGAGTACCTCGACATCGAAGCGGAGCGCAGCGTGGGACAGCAACCGCCCGCTCACTGGCCGACCGCAAGTGGGAACATCGTCGTGGAAGGGCTGACGGCGCGCTATTCTCCCGAGTTCGAGCCGGTGCTGAAAGGGGTCTCCTTCGAGGTAAAGCCTGGCGAGAAAGTAGGCATCGTCGGCCGCACCGGAAGTGGAAAGAGTACTCTCGCTCTGTGCTTCTTCCGCTTCCTCGAGGCAGAAGCGGGTAGTATCTCCATCGACGGGATCAGCATTGCAGGGGTACCGCTCAAGACGTTGCGTGAGCGTTTGACTGTTATCCCGCAAGATGCTCAGCTGTTCAGCGGGACTGTGCGTTCCAACCTTGATCCCTTCAGTCATTACGAGGACGGCGAGCTATGGCAGGCTCTCCAGCGCGTCAAGCTTGCTAGCCCCGCAGGCGCATCAAGAGGACCGAGTCGCGCTCCTACTCGTCCTTCGTCCCCAAGCGGCGACGTCGAGGAATCTCTGCCCTCCCTCTTCCACTCGCTGGGAGCCCCCATAGAACAAGGCGGTCGCAACCTCTCCAGCGGGCAGCGTCAACTTGTCGCCTTGGCGCGCGGCCTGCTCAAGATGCGTGACTCGCGCGTTCTCATCCTGGACGAATCCACCGCCAACCTAGACTCTGCTTCTGATCGTCAGATCCAGCAGACCATCCGAACCGAGATGGCCCCCGGTGCTACGATCTTGGTGATCGCGCATCGACTGAGGACGATCATCGACTTCGACAAGATCTTGGTCTTGGACAAAGGCAATGTGCTCGAGTTTGCGAGCCCGTTGGACCTGCTCAACGATGAGACGAGTAGCTTCAGGGAGCTGTGTGAGCGATCGGGAGAGATGGAGATGTTGAGGGAGATGGCCGAGAAGGCCGCGGAGAAGAGGGCGAAGCAATGATTCATGAGGCGCAGCGAGGTGTTGTGTGACGATCACGCTCTGCAATGATAGATTTATCCCGCGTCTACGAGGCCTGTGAGCGTAACGCCAGCACAAGAGGACGCAATGACGCCTTCACGCTCTCAAAGTTTTTACGAGCCTTCTTTTGGTAGGTAATAACACTATGAACAGTGGGACTGTTGACTCGCTCGTCTATCCTCCTTTTCCCTTTCCTATTGCCCCCTCTCTGCTATCCTGCTGTTGCCTCCCCTATCTGTAAGCCCTCTTGATCACCCACTCTTTCTGCGCGCTGAGCAAGCTGCGCCACTTCCAGCCTCGGGCGCGGTCCGTCATGGTCTGCTCTCATGCGCTTACTGCGAAACGGCGCTGACGCTCGCGAGTAACTCCAAACACCTGGTCCCTTCGCCTTCACTGGTACCGTACTGGCACGCACTGTGGTTGCACTCTTGGTCTCCGCGATCTCCCGCGGGAATCTTGGTGGTTGGGGCATTCATCTGGCTCAACACGCAGCCTTGATGATGCTGCTGAGATGCAGCAGCGTACAGCGCGCTGTGACGCTGACCGCCACCAGCGGGGGCAGGCGTGCTCGTTGGCTCGCCACGCATGTACGAAGAGGGCAAGGCTGAACGCTGTGGCTGAGCGAGCTGACGCTTTTGGCTGTGCTGATGAAGCTGCTGGTGCTGTTGTTGGACGTTGTGCAGAGGGTCGGAGAAGCGTCGCTTGGACGAAGCAGCGGCAGAGGCAGTCGTCGCGGGAGCTGCGGCGGCTAGAGGACAACCTGCCGTGCACCCATGCTCGTCGTCCATCTGGAAAGCCTCATCATCGTAATCGTCTTCTTCGTCGCTTGCCTCTTCTGCCCCGCTTTCCTCATCATCCTCGTCGTCTGTATAGGTGCGGGTGGCTGGAACACCGTTGCTGCTGGCAGCAATGGCTCGAGCGGCAGCGCGTGTGGTCTTGTTGGTAGCGGGGGTAGCCGTTCCTACGATGCGCTGCTTCTTTCTTGCAGCGGGCGCAGCCCTGGGCGGGCGGTTGGAGCCCCAGTGTCTCTTGCGCTTGGGTGCCGCGGCTACCGATGCGGACCCGGCCGTCATGCTGGCATTGCTGCTTGCTGCCTCGAACTCGGGTGAGTGGCTGCTGTTTGCCGTGTTACTCGTCGATGTGGTAGCTGTAGGCGACTGGCTTCGATCAGCCGCAGCTGAGATGGGTGGCGTGATCTCCTCAGACGCGTCACCTCCTTGAGCGGCGAGGAGCTCATGGGCGAAGCGGAGGTGCATCATGGGGTCGCGAGGAGCCGGGTCACCTACGGGAGGGTCGCACTGGCAGAGGCGACGGTAGGCTGCTACCTGAGAACGGAGCTCCATGACGTAGTCTTGCGAGGATGGGCCGACACCAGCGAGTCAAAAGTCAGTTCCGGTGCTTGCTGGCAATGCTTAGTGCCGAGGATGGGAAAGCACTCACCTACGGTATGGGATATGATGCACAGCTTCTCCAGGACCATCTCCTCGCTACACTTTCTCTCTATCTCGGCTTTCCTCTCTCCCTCATCAGTCAGCAAGTTAGCCTTGCCACTGCCACCGGTTCCATTCCTTTTGAGAGGCTTCTTGTCGAGCATCTCCATGACTTCGTCGCGACAGGCGGGCACCATTTCTTGAAGGCGAATGAGGCGCTCATTGATCTTCTCACGACGACGACGCTCAATGACTGAATGATCCGTCTTGCGGCGAAGGACACGAGACTTGCGCGGTTGCTTGAGGTTGCTGGTGGGTGATGTCGAGTCTACGCCGTCCTCCGCTGGAGCAATGGGCGGCTTGCTCGCCGTTGCAGCCGTTCGTGAGGAGGAGCGCGATGGTGGGCTTCGCGCGTCGGATGACTGGTCAGCCGTCGTGGTGTTGGAAGTGCGTGCCGCTCCTCGAGGGTCATTATTGGTGGCCATGAGGTCGGCGATGCTGAACTTGGCATGGGAGGGGTGCAACGGCTGTTGCTGGGCTGGCTCGATAGGCAACGACGAGGATGCCATCGTGTCGTGATGTCCACTCTTGGTCGAGAGAGCGAGAGCCATTTGCCTAAGGAATTTGTCAAGAAGACACCGGATCAGGAGGCTACGAAGCAACGAGACGTGCGTGATGGCAAGGAAACAAAGAAGTGCTGAATGTCGGGAGCGAAGTAGCGTTGAATGTCGTGCACGCCCAAGTCGTCTAGTAGCCTTTGGGCCCTTGAGCCCGTTGGCTCCTTGGGTCACAGGGAGCAATGTCTGTCTCAGCGCCCCTCGCTCGTCGTGCTGCCTGCAATTTGTGAGCACGCACAGATAAGACCAGCCGGGCTGACCGAAGAGGCCAACATTTCCCTCTCTGTCCGCGTGGCCCCGCCCGGCCTCGACGGCGACGACGCCGACTCGCACTCGCACAATTGACATCCCCCGCGATCACGATCACGATCACGCCATCGAGATGCCGTCGGCCGCACCCCGCAGCCTGTAAGCTTGGCTTCGACGTCGGGTCATTGGAGAGTTCTATTACACTTGCACAAGCCTCTGGTAGTACCCTTGTCATCGCAAGCATCCACGCCCTTTCGAATGTGGCTGATCCTCGCGAGCCGCCGGTCTGATGTCCACTCGACCCACCGTGTCGTTACTGCTCTTCACTCAACTTCTTCTGGATGTCTTGTGACCTACATCGGTCTATCTCCTTCCTACTACTGCTCTGCTTGCTCTATCGTCGTGGCCTCGGCGTCATGGAATTCCCCTTCAAACACCACCTTATGTTCCCCCGCTTCCCTGGTCCGTGCACCGCATGAACGCCGCCAGAGAAAGACAAGGGAATTGATTCGTCATTCCGCGCTCTCTTTCCTTTCTCTTCCTCGATACATGCTGGCATCTACATTTTACTCCTCATCAACAGCCCTCTGATGCAAGGCGACCCTTCTTCCACTCTGAGCAACGCAGCATGGCCATCACTCGCGGCGGCCGCAGCTGCTCAGGAGTCAAAGAAGAAGGCTGTGCGATACAGCGTTCCTATGAAGCCGGCAGGAAGTGCTGCAGCGTCTGATGGGCAGCAGCAATCTGTCAGCTATGCACAGACAGCTTCTTCAAGCGGTCAGCATGCGCCAAGTGATGCTCCTGTGTCTCAATTCAGGTCCGTGATATCACCCTCGTATACCAACGGCGTGCAGGCAGGTCCTCCGCCGATGTATCCTCCTGGACTTCACTTTGCTCCGCGTTTGCCTCTCTCACAACCAATGGTGTTGCCGCAGCACATCACACCTCAGCTTCACAGCAATTTGATGCCTTCTCAGGCCCCACTCAGTCAGCTTCAGCCTCCCAATCATCATCCATATCCTCATCTTCCGCCCCTGTGGTACCATCAGCAAGCCCCGGCTCAAGTAATGTCACCTCAGCAACCTCAGATGCAAGCTCAAGTGCCTCAGAACGCCATTCTGCATTATTCTGTGCAAGGCTCTATGCCCTCCCATGGCTTATATCCACCGACTCCCACTCTTCAATCGATGTATCAAGGTCCACACCTCATCCATTCGCCTCCCTCTATGCATGTGGCCCAAATGACTTCGCCGCCGATCCCTTCAAGCCCTCCTGGCCTTTCGCGGTCCCATTCTGGAGTTGTTGGAGCTGCGCATCATCTTTCCCCTCCGCCTGGACTCGAACGCGGCGCTCTTCCCGTCTCGTCATCTTCCTCTGTCATCAGCATGCCGCCAACAACGAGCGACCATATGGTACCTTCCGAGAAAACGACGCTCTCCCCGCCCACGAATATCACTACGCCGCAGCCACCGCAGCCAGTAATTGGCCGGACCTCTCGCAGCTCTTCACCACCTCCGCCTCTGGATCGGTACGCTCGCATCTACGTGCCGGCCTGGCTCAAAGCAGTCAATGCCGACCTCAACTATACGTTGGTCCCGCTACAAGAGGCCAGCGCTGCAGAGGAGGGTAAAATCGACTTTTATGAGTATGCGAGGGGCGTTTGGCCAATGTGGCTGCGGGAAAAGATGCAGCAGAGGGGTGTAGGTGAGGCAATTTATGCCGCGGAAGCAGTCGATGATGGTCAAGAGCTGGAGCGTACGGCTGACGCTTGGCTGCCAGCTGGAGGTCCAGGCGAGGATGACGCTCTGGAAGAAGAGGGACACGTCACTTCTGACGACCTACGGCTGGGAGTCGCAAGCACAAGCAGTGACGATTTCGACCCTACCAAAGCGCTTCTCTCTGCCCCAGTGTCAACGAGGCCGAAGGGACGCATCTATCGACCGGACGACCCAGACTCCCATCTCCCGCCAGCCCTCTCGGGAATTGCTGCCTTGCGCGCCCATTCGTACGCTGAGCACTTCAATCCCCTGCTCTCAGCCGAAAGCAAGCATCGGGAGGAAGAGCTAGCAGATAGCGCCGTGTACTCGCAGCAGCTTCATGCGTACACAAGGCCACGTCCGGGAGCCCCGTCAACTGCGTGGGATCAAGATGGACTGTACAGGCTGGCATTGCCTGGAATCAGAGAGGAGAGGCCGAGATTGGTTGCCGGGGATCGAGCCTTTTTGAGGCCGTTGGCTACGCAGCTCGAAGGTGAGGCCGAGCATGGCTGGCTTCATATCGTCTTCGAGTGCAGGATCACTGCGGTCAGGGCTGTGCAGGGAGAGTGGGTAGTGCACAATGAGCTAGCATGGTGCCATGAGCTGACCTTCGAAACGCTCGCCGCCAGGATTGTCCTCTCGTGCCCCCTTCTCTCCACCTACCTTGCCGCCTACTTCACCAATGTTGAGGCTGCGCGCTTCAATGTCATCTTCGTCTACGATGGGCGGCTGATCTCGGATGCTACCGATGCAGTGGACACGACAGCGCGGCGGCTACGCTCACGCGCGCAGTGGTGGCGAAAAACGCTATTTCCCACGCTGGAAGATGCTCCGTCCACTACCGTTTTCCCGCACGACGCGCTTGCATGGCGCGACGCCACCCTCAATCGAGAGCAAAGAGCCGCAGTGAGTGCAATCGCGATGGGCGGCCACTGCCTTCCCTTCCTTCTCAGCGGCCCACCCGGCACAGGCAAGACCAAGACCTGTGTAGAGGCCATCCTGCAACTCGTGTCGCGCGACCCCACCAACCGCATCCTAGTCGTCGCCCCCTCCAATGCAGCTTCTGACGTCCTAGCACTGCGGCTGGCGGACCATCTTTCCCCTGGGCAGCTTCTCAGGCTCAATGACCCGACGCGCACATTTGCTGAAGTGCCGCAGCGCCTGTCCCTATTCTGCTATGTCGATGAGAGCAAGAACATCTACAGCTTGCCGCCCTGGGAGAAACTCATGGCCGCTCAAGTTGTCGTGACCGCCACGCATGACGCCGCCCTACTGCTGAAGAGCCGATCAGCGAGCAACACAGACGTCGGGGACTTACAGCTCAGCCTGCTCCCTGGGTTACTCAAGGTGGAGCACGCTCGCCCTCTACCTCACTGGACGCACCTCATTGTCGACGAGGCGGCACAAGGCACTGAGCCTGACCTGACACCCGCACTCGCCGTCGTGGCTCCTCACCCTCAGACACAAAGGGAGCTGTGGCCCAGTGTCGTCCTCGTAGGGGACCCGGCACAACTCGGCCCACAAGTGCGCAACAGCGATGCACGCAACCAAGGACTCGATGTCTCCCTGCTGGAACGCCTTTCAAGACGAGCTGTGTACTCTCGTTCGCTGGCTCGCCTCAAGAAAGAAGGTCGCGGAATCGTCCTCGGCGCCGCTCCCTCGTTAACTTCGTCAGCTGCAGCATCCCACTGCGGCCATCTGATCCGCAATTACCGGGCGCGACATCCGGCGCTACTTCACCTACCGTCTACGCTATTCTATTCCGATTCTCTGGTACCTTGCTCCCATCCCACCCCACGGAGCCTCTCAGCGCTACGCTGGTCACGACTAGCCCACAATTCGGCCCGCTCCTTAGCCGACCAGCTTCCTTTGCTCTTCGTGGATGTCAAGGGGCACGATGAGTGGGTAGACGAGGGGGTGAGCTGGTGGAATGAGGACGAAGCCCGTATTGTGGGAGAGTGCTGCCAAAGCCTCGTTGGTGACGGGGTGGTGAAGGCCGAGGAGATCGCCGTCATCACACCCTTCAGAGAGCAGGTCTGGCGTGTGCGCCTCTTGCTGCGCCGGATGGGATTGGGTGGGGTGAGCGTAGGCCCTGTTGAGGCGCTGCAGGGCCAGGAGGCGCCCTTGGTCATTATCAGCCCCGTGCGATCCCGTCCGCGCTTCCTGGCAAGGGATAGAGAGCACGCGCAGGGGATTGTGGGTGAGAGCAAGAGACTCAACGTTTCGTTGACGAGGGCTAGGGAGCTTTGCATTGTAGTGGGCAATGCGCAGACACTGGAGGAGGGGTGTGATGAGTGGCGGGAGCTACTGAGACACGCGAGGAGAAACGGATGGTACGCGGGTGAGAAGGGGGAGTCTGATGGAGAGAAGAAGGATGGAGACACGCTCGGTCAGCTCGTGTCTGCCCTGGAGTCGGCGGAGATGGGTGGTCACGGTTGGTGGAGGAGAATGTTGGAGGAAGGCGGCGATACACTTATATCGAATGGCGACCGACGGCCACCCGCAGCAGTAGAGGACGGTATCGGCCTGCTTGCGGGACGGATGGCGACCGTGCCGCTGCAAGATGATGGCAGCGACCACGGTGGCGACGGCAGCGAGGACGGAGACGGCCGATCATGACGAGCGGCCCACACACAACGAATGGTATCAGGCCATACTGAAATTCACAGCCGTGCTCCACCGTAGAACAACGAGTCTCCTAATCAACATGCCGCTGCTAGGCTACTTCTTGAGTCCCTTGACCAGCGATCCCAAGAACTTGGTGCTGAGGCCACGGTCGAAGCGCAAATCGCTCCTCATGTAGGAAGGTAGAGTGCTTGATGAGACGAGGGCTGCGTCGCGTTGCGGGTCGAGGTTTGGAAGGAAAATGAGGTCCTCCCTGCGTGTACTACTCGAGGCGTCGGAGGTAGCCGAAGGGAGGGAAGAAGAGGATTCCTCAAGGCTGAGTTGGAGGTCTGCGGGACAGCAGATTGTCAGCATTTGAGCGAATGTCTGTCTGTGGTTCGAGCGGCGCTCACCGTGATGGCCCGTGGCAGTAAAGACACCGGTGAACTTGCGGCGCTCCTCATCGTCTGCGTCTTCTCCTTTCAGAATGTCGACGCGCGAGATGACAATGCCCGTCAGATCTTCATAGAGGCGGCGTACCGCTCGATTGTCTGCATCGTTGAGGGTTCCTTGGCCCACGGGAGCTGCGGTACCGCGAGCGGCTGACGAGGAGGAAGAGGCGGTTCGCAGATCTTGCTCTAGGCGTTTGGCTGCGAGCGAGGCGGAGTTGCGTGGGGTCAGTTGATTGGGCAGTCTAGCTGATAGCATCTCTGCTTGCTCACTCTTATCTTGTGCCTCTCTCCTCGCCTTCTTCTCCCTCTCCAGCTCCTCACGCAGCTTCTCAACCACATCGTCCTCGACCTCGAGCCCGGCCTCGTCCTCTTCATCCATATCTCCTCCGCCCGCCTTCTTTGCCTTCCTCTCTGCGCTTTGCAGCCTTGCTTTCAAACTGGTAGCTAATTCAGTGCTGTGCTTCATCTTGGCGTCTGTTGCTCTCTTGTAGCTCGCGAGGGCCGTCTCCGCACTGGTGGATCGCAGGGCCTGAACATCGGTCAGGGAGCGCGACAGAGCGTCGCGTTCCTTTGTCAGACGCGCGACGGTACGCTGAAGATGGTTGATGCGGGTCGAGGGAGGCAGGTCCTCGTCGTCTTCGTCAATGTCAAGAGGTGCGCCATCGACGTCCATCTCAGACGCATCCGCTACTGCGGGCTTGCGCGTCGAGCTGCTGGTTGCGCTAGGTTTGGGCAAGCTGCGATTGGTGGAGGAAGTGGGCGCGAGCTTGCTGCGTGATGTCGCGGCAGATGTTGAGGAGGATGACACTGGCATATTGATTGTCGTGATGGTTGAGGACAGATGGGAAAGAAAGACGGCAGCTTGCTGCAGGCCTTGTCCCTCCTCCCGCCGTGTTTGGTGTTGCTTTGGAGGCGCGTCTTGCCTTTCCGCACCACGTGGCTGCCGCTCTCCGCCCTCCGCTTGTTCGTTGCTCACGCCTTGTCGCTCAGCTGATCCATCGCTAGACTCTTTGTCTCCTCGTCACTACCATCACCGCCACCAACAGCAGCTTGTCCTCGTCGCCATGGCAACTAACAAGGCTGCTACACGTCGCCTGGCCAAGGAAGTCACGATGATGGAGCGTGAACCTCCCGAGCTCTGCTACGCACGCCCACTCGAGACGGATCAGTTCACATGGTACTTCATCCTTCGCGGACCCGCTGACACTCCCTACGCCGGTGGCGAGTACCTTGGCTCTCTATCTTTCCCTGCTACCTACCCGTTCGCCCCGCCGACGATCAAGGTCCAGACACCGAGTGGGAGGTTCAAGGAGAACGAGGCCATCTGCACCAGTTTCAGCAACTTTCATCCCGGCAGCTGGAATCCAGCGTGGAGTATTGCCAACGTCCTCGTGGGGCTGCTCAGTCTCATGACCAGCGAGGAGATGACGACGGGTGCAATTTCGGCAACTACAGAGACGCGCAAGGCATTCGCCGCACGCTCGCACTCTTGGAACTGCTCCAACGTCCAGGTGAGCAGTTGCGACGGTGGGGGACATGAAGGCAGGCACTGACCCTCGTCGCTCTCCTTTTGCCCTCAGTTCAAGAAGGTGTTCCCGGAATACTGCATCGCAGGTGACACAGCAAAGGACCTGCCCAACATGGGAACCGGCGGAGGTGCCAACAGTACCAAGGCGGCAGGCAAGAGTGAGTGACGGGACGACGAAGACGAGACGATACCGGTGCGTTTGATGCGCATCAGTCGTGGCCGCGCTGGCAATGAGTAAATGCGGTCGGAGAGCAAGCACACTGATTTGCACCTTCCTCGCATAGAGCCACAATCACCATCATCACCATCAAATCACAACACAGCATCTTCAGCATCAGCATCCTCAGCCAACGCCGACGGGCCTCAAGCACGGCTGCGAGCGGTACCACCAGGAGGCGGACCGCCGCAACCGCCGCCACCGCTTCTTTCCACTCGCACCAAGGTCGGACTGCTCATGGCCTTCCTCGCTTGGCTCTTTTTCGCTAGATTGATGGGGAGAGGGTGACACGGCTAGAGAAGGCAAGCCGTAAGAAGGCGGCAGCCAAGAAGCGATTGGCGAGTAGGAGCGATGAAAGACCTTGGGCAAGCAGACTTCAACTAATAGAAGACGACAGCGAGGATGTAGCTTGCCTCAATCGATACAACTACAGTCACCGAGCATCTTGCCCAGAGTGATCGCTCCAGACGACGTCTTTGTGTCGTGGTCGTGCTTCCAAGATGATCGCGCCAATACGACAGCCCGATATTCCCTGCTAGAAGAATCGCCTACTGCTAAACCTTGCCGCCCCATGTCAGTCTTCTGGCCCTCGGCCCCCGGGCCAGATCAGATGCACGCACACGCAAGTGGATGCTGAGCAAGAGCCAGACGAATCAATAGCATTGGAGCTGGACGAACAAGACTTGAAGCCGGTAGCAGGAGACGAGTCGGAGCCAAAGAGAGTGGATGCGCCCGCGGCGGTATACGGCGAGGCGAAGAGGAAAGCGAAGGGGGGTTACGAGTAGACTTACAAAGGAGCGCAACGGAAAAGAATGGGGTGCGTGAGATGACCGGGGCAAGTGAAGGACGGGTGAGTCTTGAGACTTGATGAATGGCGGCGATGCGGGTGAGGCCGAGTCAAGTGAGACCGCTGCGCCGGACATGGTGATGCAACTGGAAGCGACCCTGATTCAAGGTAGTCTGCTTAGAAAGCTCAATAGCCTCGTCGTCCTCCCTCCTTCTCCTCCATCTCCTCATCGCGCTCTGAAGGGTGCAACGATGATTGGATGCAGTCGTGAATGGCCGGGAATGTGGTGCGAATGGCCTGTGCGGGCGAGAGCGCAAGAGGACAAGTGAGTAAGGGGGGACGAAGGAACGCGATGCGGAAGGGTCTTCGCAGGGTGGATTGGACTCACATCGACTGCCATGATAAAGTCGAGATGCTGAGCACCCTCGAGCGCTACCGTGTTGATCATCTTGACGTTGCTCTCATGCTGCGCCATGCGGTCCGCCAAGGGCTTGCCCAGCACCAGGTAGTCGGCCGTGCCGTAGACGATGGTGTGGGGCGGGAAGGTCGAGGGGAACCAGCGCTCCTGACGAGGGTCGAAGATGCAGCCACGGTGAGAGAAGGAGGCCATGTACCTGGGAGAAAGGAGAGGGGCCAGGTGCGGAGAACGAGTCCAAGGTCAGCACGAGTGAGGTAGGGCGGAGGCCGGTGACTGAGGAGCCTGGGACCATCAGTACACTTCTGTACTCACCAGTACAAAAGCTCGCTACTGGTGCTGTGGGGCAGCGTCCTAAAGATTTTGCCCTTCTGGCGGTTGACCCATGACGAGTCGTCAAAGCCAAAGAGGTAGTAGCTGCGATGCGTTGCGGAGCGAAGGGAAGAGGTCAGTCGGACTTTCCCTGTCCAAAAGGTACGCCGAGCAACACATACAAGATGACGTAGGCAAGGTGGGCGAACATGAAGGATGGAGCGTACTTCTGGAAGAGCGCAAGTGCTGGAATGAACTCCTTGACTCTGTGAGGCGTCGATGTAAAGCCGGACGTAGAAGAGAGATCAGTGGACTGAACCTACTGCAGTTCCTTTGAACAATCAGCATACACTCACCCGAACACTGTACTCCACCTTCGAGGCAGAACAGAGGAGTTGAAGGGGTGGCAAAGGAGAGAAGGAGGGGAAGAAGGCGTGTGTCAGTCGTTGGCGTCACACAAGCTCCAACGCCCGTGAGACTTACCATTTGCGCCCTCTGAATTGTCTCATCAGGCTGAACGGGAACTTGCGAAGCACAGGACCGGCATAGACTGTTCGACATTGAGGCGATGGGGTGAGAAGCGTGGTTGAGGTAGGGTAGAACACGCGTTCGTCAGTCGGCGAGTTCTCACGTGCCGCAGTCATAGCGACTTACCTGAGGGGCCGATGGCCGTGAAAGAGGAGAGACGCCTGCCGAGCTCTGGGCAGATCCCAGGGCTCAGTGCGAGATACATGGATCCAGACCCCTGCGAGTGCCCGACGTACGCGACTCTAGGCTTTCCCGTGGCGCCGCAGATGAACTCGACGACGTCGCGCAAGTCAAAGGCGAGCTCCTTGAGGCCCCAAGCCCAGAAGCGTGGGTCGCTGCGCGGGTACTCTGTGTGTCCAGCCTCGAAGTTGGCGCGGATGTTGGTGACCCATACGTCATAGCCTTGGTCCACGAGCCAGAATGCCATGCTTCTTTCCTCGCATACGAAGAAGTGGGAAGAGTTACATAGAATACCGTGCTGCAGGATGACTGGATGTCCCGGTGGGCCGCCACGACGTGGGTCAGAGATGCGGTGGGCTTTGAGGATCCAGCCGCCTTCGGTGATGATGTCATGGGTGTCGCAGTGGTATCCCCAGAACTCGGCATAGTACTCTGGTCGGCCAGAGAGACGCTCGCCAGTGATGCGGCGCTCGTACTCTCGGTCTGGCTTGGCGCGGGGGCGCTGCTTCTTGAATGGGTTGAAGTAGGCGGCGAATGCCAGGACCAAGATACCGCCCAATGCTCCGAGAGTCAGACCAAAGGAGAGAGACTGGCGAACAAAGAGGCGCGTCTTGCCTACGATGCCCATCTCGCCGTAGTCTTGAACCACATGGTCGAAGAAGGCCATCTCGAGCGGCTCTTCCTCCTCGTACGAGGGGAAGGTAGGGTCGAAGAAGGGCTCATCGTCACGACGCCCTCCACGAGAGGACTCATCGATTGTCTCCATCCGGTCTGCGCCACCGCGACCATCCTCGCGAACAGACGTGTCCGTGTAGCCATCGTATCCCGTGTCCTGCTCGGAAGACGAGTAGACAGCATCATTGCCGCCATCACGGGTATTGGTGTTGGTGTTGGTGGCAGTCGTCTCGCTGAAGGGGTTCTCGCTTTGCTCTTCAACGGAAGAAGGGGGAGAGCGACGGTTGGCTCGAGAGCCGTAGTTGATGAGACCGCTCATCGCGGCGTGCGTGGCAACGAGGAATAGGTATCGAAGAAGAAGAGGTCAACGGGCGAAGGTAATTTACAGAGAAAGAAGAGGGGTGAGGGAGGTCGCGAGGATGAAATGAGGATGAGCGGCGGCGGCGGCGGCGGCGGTGAAAGCCAGTCGAGGAGTGATGGCGTACGCAGCAGCAAAGTGAAAGCAAGCAAAGGGCTAGGCAAAGCAAAGCGGGCGGGCGGGCAGGCGTATGGCGGCAGCGTCTGGATGCGGGGAACCGTGGGCACAGGAGGACTCGTCGTCTGAGCGATGTGCCATTGGATGGGCGACGCTTCGACTGCAGCAGTAGCGCCGTCACGCCGAGCGAGCACTATGCGATGCGATGCGGAACGAGAAGCGGAGTGCAAAGTTGTCGGCCGGACCCCGCTCAGGTCGGAACGGAAGCAGACGGGTGGGGGAGAGAGGAGGGCGGAGAGAGGATGAGGTCGACGACGACGACGACGACGACGAGGGGGCGGACAGAGCGAGGCGCGTTTCCGATTGGCATCAAAGCTCATCACCATCACCATCACCATCACCGTCGCAATGGCCGACACACTCGACTACGGCGATCCCAATGCTGACAGTCGAGACGACTACGACTCGAGGATGGAAGAGGACATCGATCAACCTAGGGGCTCGTCCTCTACGACGAGGGGCATGCATCGCCCAACGTCGCCGCACATGTATCGCTTCCCTGACAACATGGCAGTAGCAGCTGATGCCAACCGCGGACCCACTTCTCTCCCCACACCTCCTGGTGACGACTCATTCACCGATCCCACTCCTCCTTCGGTCCCCTCGCCCATCGGACGAGGAAAGGATGTCCGCCTCAAGGCGCTCCACCTCACGGGCAAGCCCATTGCCGCCCTGTCTACCTCTCGTCTCTTTAGCTACGTCAGTCACTGGGGAGCTAAGCCCCTCGGTATCGAATGGATCAACGACGAGGCAGTCAATGTAGTCTTTGCAGATGAGGCTTCTGCTCGCATCGCCCTCGAGTACCTCTGCCCGGCACTTCCTACTCGAGCTGCTCCTATCGCTCCCCTCCCCACCATCCAAGACATTGGTGACGCGGCTAAAGCCAACGAGATTGAGGCAGACTGGCCCGACTCGCTTCTCGAAGGCTGTCTCATTCCACGTCGCGCACACCGATTCCCACAGCAGCTCTACACTGGCTTAGAGCGTGACGGGCTCGACCAAGCAGCCGCTGCTGCCAAAGAAGCTTCAGCCGCCTCTGTCCCCACACACTACGACGATGATGTCCCCGCCATCTATCGCGAGCTGGAAGAAGAAGACAAGAGGCGCGCTGATTCTGCCCTTTCGTCCGACCCAAATATCAAGAATGTCCAGCGCCTTCTCGGCACCCTCTGGATTCGGTATGCTATTGAGAGCGCAGATGTCAAGGACAAGAAGGCCAGACAGCAGAGCACTTGGTACAAGGAGCACGGTCGTGACGCCGGCAAGGACGTCGTAGCGAAGCCTCTCGATGTCGGTGCAAAGAGTGAGAAGCGTGAGCTCCTGAGCGGTTCCTCCGAGCCCCGCGCCTTTGGTCAAGTCGAACCCAGTCTGGACGAGTACGCCAGCCCAGAGTCGCCAGGACGACGTCGCCCTTCGTACCCTCTCCCGCCTCATCTCCTCCTGGGCCAGACGTCACCGAAGATCAACCGCCATCAGTTGCAGGCCCAGACGTTCCCCATCGGCGAGGAGGGCCAGTCACGCGACCTCTTCCCGCAGCACCGCACCGACCCGTACGTCGACGCAGACCCCGACCTCATGCGCCTGGGTGAACGACGTTCCGCCTCCCCCGTCCGCGTCCGATCCGGTGGCAATCAAGGCTACCTGCCTGCACTCGACAATGACGACCGCTACAGCCCTAGCAGCAGCCGTCGCGCATCCGGTCGCAGGGACTATCGTCGCGAGCCAACACCCTCTCGTGAGGACCTCGATGCAGAGATGGATGCCTATGCCCGTACGCGCGACTCCACTCCCGATGACCGCGAGACTCCCCCGCCAGCGCCTCAACCGCCCGCACAGTATCATTTTGCTCAACATCGGTGGGCCAAAGAACACGCAGGGGGATACCATTCATCCTCTGGATCGTCGTCGAGTGGAAGGAGCGGAAGCGGTAGTGGATACACGACGCACGGCAGTGGTGGCACGGTGAGGGTCAAGGGGCGCGGTAGGCGCAAGGCACCCGGTAGCTCGGGATTGAGCGGATGGGACGACGAGGATGGAGGGCAGGACGAATACGGGCGTGAGCGGGGATATAGGGGCAGTAGCGGTAGCAACGGTAAACGTAGCCGCAAGAATGGCAGCGGCGGAGGGATGTACGCTGATCGAGAGTACGAGACAGAAGCTTCCGGGTCGCTGGCTAGCAGGCTGGGCGAGTCAAAGGGAGAGAAGAGGCTTCAAGATCGACTGGGTGCCGAGCACAGCAGCTCACCCTCACTTGCAGACAGGCTCGGCAGCGGTGGCAGTGGAGGGATGAGCGGGTGGGATTGAGACAAGTTACCCAGACGTACGAGAGCGCTTGTCAGCCGCAAGACGGCCATATTCGCAACCACCTTCTTTCAGCTCCCCTCAGCACTACTCTCTCTCCAAATGACCAACGTCATCATGTTGAGGGTTGACCCGCGATCACCATCACCACGCGATGCAGACCCCGGCCTCACTCTTCCCCCATGTCACTCATTCCCTTTTCGTAGAGATTTCATCATCATCATCATCATCATCATCATCACCATCATTATCTTCGTGAGCGTCAGAAAGCGCTCGAATCACCATTGTCATCATGATCATCATCAGACGCAAAGACCAGCGAGACGAGACCGTGTGATGAGCCGTGACCTCGCGTGGCTCACTCGCGTACCGAGTTCGTTCTGACGTCGCCGCAGGCTCGATAAAGTGGGCAATTCTCAGCGTCAGAGTGTGTACTCGATCAATCTCAACATTGTTACTGCGACGGTCTACGAAAGAAAGATTGCAAATCCCTAAGGGCGGAGATGCCTCACTTAGGCAGGTACTTGATCGTCGCCGCAGTGCACGAGCTCTTCGTCGTCGAGTTGGTAGGAACGTAGTGTCCACCGACGACGGGCCCGTACGTATGAGCGTAGTACCACACCTCGTCGAACGTCGAGCCTCGGTTGTTGCAGCCCACAAAGGGCTTTGCGCCGTAGTGCTTGGTGAGCGCTTGTTCAAATTGAGCGAGCGTGTACGTCGTAGTATTGGAAGGGGTAATGCCCTCGCTCTTCAGCCAGTTGTACGTGGGTTGAGACCTGAACTTGTTTGCGATCTCTCCAAAGTAGCTCAGCACGATCTGCTCCTGTTGCGAGGGGCCGCCGGGGAAAGTGACCTGGCATTGAGGTCGCAAGGTGTTGAAGCAGGTGGCATGCTTGTCGTACTCGTGCGTCATGAGGGAGGAGTCGTTTGCGTAGATTTGGTCCAAGTAGGAGGCGAGGGGAGGATTGTACTTGCGAATGATAGAGGGGATGCCCGTGAGGTTGTTGCCAAAGGCGATGATGCCCGAGTCGGCTGAGCAGTATTGTGGGTACGTCTTACGACGGGCAAGGGTCGCAGGATGGCGGTCAGCGATGCTCAATGGCATTTGGTCTCGCGCATACGTACCCCATCGCAGTAATCAGGCCAGAGTCCATGAGCAGTCGTGGAGTCCTTTGACCCTCTTGAAGGCTGGGCATCCCAGAACTGGGTCGTCAGGACGAGACCGGACTCCTTTTGTCCAGGCTCGAGTGCGCCATTGAAGCAGCACGAGTCCGTTGAAACATTGTATTTGGCCGAGCAAGATAGCTGCGTGAGATCGCGGGGGTTGCACGAAGGAACGTTGAATGAGGGGAACGCGCTCGCGAGGCCGGCGAGGGTGGTCAGAAGGAGGGTGGGAGTGAAGGTGAACATCATGGCGAATGGGGATAAGGGAAAAGCAGCTATCCTTGGCGGACCCCAGCATTCTTATATCCCCCTTCCAAACCTTCTCATTTCGAAGCACATGCGCTCGCTTGTCGGACCTGACCTGATCGTTGCCCTAGCTTGCCTCGAGCGATGCGAGCGAGGCAATGCTTCGGCCAAAATGAAACGAACGTGCGTGCCTGCGTCTTGTCAACCCAGAAGGAGGGCGGTGACCCGGGTGTGGGGCCGGAGATGCCGGAGAGGGAAACGCGATTGAGAAGAGGTGCGAGGGGACATCAAGGCAGAGCGAATATGCAGAAGCATTGAATTCTATGTATGAGGTTACTGTTCAAAGGCCGCCCCGGCTTCAGTCCACCTTTCCTCGACGCTCCTCTCCCAGGCCTCACTTCCCCCTCCGACCCTCTTCGCCTTCTGCAGTAATCCCACCCCACCCGCGACATCCCCTTGCTTGAGATAAGTCTCGAACAGGGCAGTGAAGACGTCCAGGAGCAGATCTGCCTCCCGAGACACTTCGAGTTCGTCCTTGTGCTGGTATCCAGCACGCTGGTGATGCTGAAGTGCCATACGCTCAACGTGTTGCGCTGCTGCTAGAATGTTGGCGTCGCCCTGGAGGAGGGGGAGGAGACGAGTCCACGCTGCCAAGCTGGGGCTAGCCTGGCTGCTATCCTTCCACAGCTGAAGCACATTCTGCTCCTCCTCCTCCCCACCAAGCTCAAACAAGCAAAGCAGCGCTCCATCGTGGCACCCTTGCAGCTTTTCTCGAGCTTCGGCACTCTCAGCCCTCGCAACGAGGAGATGCTTCCTGCTGAGCTGGACGGCCTTCTCTACCACTTCGGTGTACAATGCTCGTCCTTCTTCGCGCTCTGCACGCACCCAAGGCAGGACTTGAGTTGCGATGAAGAGGGCAGACGTGGCCGCCAGATCGCTGCTATCTGTCGAAGCACTCTTGCTCGGGGTGAGGGAGCGCAAAGAGGTAAGCCAAAAGTCATTTGCTGACTGAAGCTGCTCCACGATGGCGGACGTGCCCTCATTGCCGTCATTCCGCACAAATTGCTCAAAAGTCCATCGCGACGTCCAAATGGCCGCACGAGCAAAGAGGTCGCGAGGTACTAAACCGGACAGCGTCTGAACAGCCAACTCGTCGAGCTTCTCCCACTTGCCTTGGAGCTCTTCGCCATCTGGTCCTCCTGCTGTCGAAAGAAGATCCGTCTCGTGCTGCAGAACTTGACGAGAGAAGAGCAGGCTGGCCGCACTGTGACTTGCTGAGCTCTTGCGCTGTTTCGACAAAGCGCGCTCGAGAAGGGCAGTGACGTACGGAAGGAGCGGGTCGCGGGTTGCTTGCAGGCCGCCTTTCTTCGCGTTTTCCTCATCCTGAGCCTCATCCGCGACAGCCTCTTGATACGCCAGACTCCTCCAAATTGCTTTCCCCAATGTAATGCGTGTCGCTGCGTCCAAATCGCTTGCATTACTCAAGAGAGCCTTTACTGCATTAGCAAGGCCGATCCTCGTCTGATTTGCCGTATCTTTGTGCATCGTCGCATGCGCATAGGCCTGCGTACGGCGGACATCCTTCACCAGCTGGGCGAGGAGGGCGTGCAACGGATGATCGCCGGGTACGTCTTGAGCCGGCTTCTCGACGTCGTCCTCGTCCTCCTCTGGTACGCTGGCGCTCAACAGTTCTTGCACCTGCTCCTCCCCTCTCTCGCCATGAACGGCCAGCCGCGCCGCCGCACTAAGCTCCTCGTTGCGCCGCTTATCCACATCCTCCTGTGGTCGGGACTCCTCGTCTTCTGCTACCAGGCGGCGGTACGCGGCAAATCTAGCCGCAGAAATCGACAAAGTGATGCGGCGCACCAAGTCTGCGGTTCGCGAGGATGCCGCGGTGGCTGCCAGCGAATCCAGCGTAGCTAGGATTGAGCTCAGCAGGCTGCTCCGCAAAGACTCTCCATCGGCGTTGTTGCGCGTCTCGAAGGGAAATGAGAGGAGGAGGCGGAGGACGAGGAGAGCGTAGACGAGCTTGAGGTTATGTGGGAGAGATGGAGTGGAGGAAGATGAGGTTGACAAAGGTCCGGCTGGATTGAGTGCTGCAGAGAAAATGGCTAGAGGCAGAGCACCAGATAGAATCTTGGTGGGAGCTGTCGCTTTTGCGCTTTCGTTCGCGGCAGAGGCTTGAGCATCTGAGCGTTCTGCCGAGAGAGAAGGAGCTGGTCTGGCGGAGGCTGCAGCCTCGTCTTCGCTATTGCCATCCTCCTGTTCGATGCTACTCTCCTTTTGCGCCTCATCGACTACGCTCTTTGCTGCATCCCCGCCTGCAATGCCCAGAAGTGCCCACCGCCTCCTCAGCCTCTCGAGGAAGACGCACTCCATGCGAAAGTAGGCGAGCCATAGTGTGAGGAGGTCGCGTGACGAAGGCGTGATGGCAGCAGGCAGTGTGAGCGGCACCATCGACGTGGACGGCTGAGCATCAATGTCTCCCTCGACATCGCTTTGTTGCTCGTCCTCGTCCTCGCTATCGGCCTCTTCATCGTCATCGCTGTCACTCCCGTCCTGTCCCCTAGCAACTCTCCTGGCCCTCTTCCTCCTCCTGCCCTCCTTCTCTTTCCTGGCTGCCCGTCGCTTCGCATCACTCTGTGTAACTGTATTCAGTCTGATCGCCCTCAACAAGGTCAAGCGAGCAGCACTTGCGTCGAGATTGGCATTGAGCTCCCAGTCAGCTACGCAGATCCAGAGTGGTACGCTGGATGGGTGCAGGCTCAAAGCCTGGGCAGCAATCTGCGAGTAGACTCTGCGCATCTTTCTTGCCTGAAGCCAGGTAAGATAGCGCTGAAACACGGCAGGGTCCCTTGGTCCGAGTTTGGTGACCATTCGTTGCCACACGCTGAGCAGCTGGCGTTCCTGGAAGCGGCGCAGTTTATTGCGGTCCTTGAGTGTGACGACTTCATTACCCTGCTCGTCTTTGCCCGATCGTGCGACGCGAAGGGATGTGAGCTTCTCAATGTCCTCTTCGAGTGCAATGTACTCGAGATAGTGCGGAAGGGAGACATTCTTGCTGATGAGATGCAGCTCGTGATTGCGGCGCTTTTGGGTAAGAGATTGGAGCTCGAGGTGTGTGAAGAGATGAAGGTGTGTGAGGAGCTGTAGGCTGGGCAGAAGTCGCTCCAAGTGGTAGTCGACTCGATCCATGCTGGCGAGTGTAGGCGCAGCGTGGGAAAGGTGGGGAGCCCAAGAAGGACTTGAATCGCTGGTGCGCTACAAAGACAAAAATCTCGACTTGACGACCTGGATCGACGGAAGGGGGAAAGCGCCATGCGTCCACGTGGCCGGAGCCAACGCCGGCGTCATGTTCCGCTTTCGGGGACGGATCCGCCCCTCCGCCTGAGGCTGACTTCAAGATCCACATCTCCAACATTGGCCTTGGTTGACCTTGCATCTCCACGAACAGGGGATCCATCACCACTACTCACATCATGCCGAACCCACACTACGACCTCCTGCTCAAGCTTCTCCTCATCGGTGACTCGGGTGCGTATAGAGCTATTAGGGCTGATTGTGGGGCATTTCGAGCTGACCATGTGTTGCCCCCGCGACTCCTCTCCGGTCATCCCTCGCTCCTCGCTGCACCAGGCGTCGGCAAGTCATGCCTCCTCCTCCGATTCTGTGACGATGCCTGGACTCCCTCATTCATCACCACCATCGGCATTGACTTCAAGATCAGGACAATTGAGCTAGACGGCAAGCGCATCAAGTTGCAGATCGTGAGCAGCGGGCTGCAGCATATACGATCCTCTTACCGCAAAGTCAGCTAACCATCATCTCTTGTCATCGCTGGCAGTGGGACACCGCAGGCCAAGAGCGATTCCGTACAATTACCACGGCCTACTACCGTGGAGCCATGGGCATTCTCCTCGTATTCGATGTAACAGACGAGCGCTCCTTCCAGAATATCCGCACTTGGCACAGCAACGTCGAGCAGCACGCCTCCGAAGGTGTCTCTCGCCTACTCGTGGGAAACAAGTCGGACTGGACCGAGAAACGGGCTGTCAGTCAAGAGGAGGCTCAGAAGCTGGCTGATGAGCTGGGGATCAGATACGTGGAAACGAGCGCCAAGAACAACGATCAAGTGGATGACGCCTTTGTGGGGTTGGCGAGGGAGGTCAAGCAGAAGTTGGTCGAGAGTGGCGCTATCAACCCGGTCATGGGCACGGCGACGAATCAAGCAGGCGGTGCAGGTGGAAATGGTAGCGTCAATGTTTCAGCAGGCGGACAGGGCGCCAAGCAGGGGGGATGCTGTTGAGGAGTGCATAGGCCGATTCGTCGCCCATCTCCTTCATTCAGTCAGCTCATCTTGGGCGTGTCCCTTTGCCCGCACATCTGTTCACACGCTTCACGCCCGACTCATCGTTTCGCCGCTGCCAATACCACTACAGATACACACAAGCGCAGCCATCGAGAGGAAGCTCATCTATTTACATTCCAGGACGCAGTGACTCGGTGCGTCAGACGCCTTGGCATCACTCATCTCTCCACCCTCACCCTTCCCCCCACTCTCCAAACAGACGACCCTCCCCAGGAGTCCGTCGCCCTCAGCATCATCTTGTAGTCAGCCGCCCTTGTACCCGCGCCCGCGTCGAGCCACGTCTTCCATCCTCCTGCGCCACCAAAGGTGTACAGAGCGTAGCGTGCTTTACTGTCCCACTGACTGCCGAGTCGTTTGCGGTTGGACCAGGGAAATGGCCCAGATGAAGTCATGGCCGCCATATAGCGAGACCAGAGAGAGGAGGGGTTGTTGGAAGGCTGCTCAGCGGCCTGGTCGGTGCCACCGCTGTTGATGGCGAGGCGCCAAGCGTGCTCTGGCACAACGGCGCCCTCATGACCCCATGGTAGTAGCGCCCACTCCAGCCTGTAAAGCGTAACGGCCTCCAATCCCATGGTGTGGGTCGCAGGCGCAAAGGTGGTGAACGAAGCCACGCCCTGCACAACCCCATCCAGCTGCGTCACGCGCCGACCATCATCGCCCCCGTCCTCATCGCTGCCTGCTTCGTAGAGCGGAAGAGAGGCGAGAACGCTAGGAGGAGGCGCTGGTGGGTAGGGATTGGGCCGAACGAAGTAGACTGTAGGCGGTGAAGCGAAGGGTGGCGGCAAAGGGGCTCGAAACGCTCGTACTTCTCCTCCTTCTTCTCGCTCCTGCTCGACCTTCTCCTGACCCATACTCAAGTGATGCAACGGGTCACTCCACACCCATTGCGCTCCTTCGTCGTACGGGCCCGCCCATTCTCCCATTTCCGCGCCTGGTCTCGCAACGCCCACCGCAAATTCCCTCCTCCAGAAGGGATACTTTGGATTGCCATCTCCTCCAGGCGGTTTCTCTGGGGGATCAACGGGCTCGTCTTGGTCTAGTGGGACTTTGCTCCTCAGCAGCCTTGTGCTGGCGTGTCCAACCACATAGCCTCGCGGAATGTTTTGTCCCTCGTAAACGTGTTGGTGGTATGGGCTTATGCCTGTGAGGTGCCAGACGAATCCCCAAACGTCACGAATCGAGATGGACCACCCGTGCTCGTCGTTGAGGTGAGAGGAGAGGGGGGCATTTCGACGTATGTACCGGGAGACGTGGACTACCTGGCCAGAAACGGGAGCGTGGACGGGGAGAAGGGTGGAGCGGCGACGCTCCAGCAACGTAAGGTCTGCGTCCTCGTCCCCGTCATGCTCGCCGGCATCGGTATTGTTGGGCGGAGGGGGCAGCCGCAAGCTGATTCCTCGGTTCCACCTCGCCAAAGTCACATCTACTCCGTTCATTGCATCGCCTCTCTGCAGCTTCGCTGAGCGCGGGAGGTACGGGTCATGAAAGAGGGAGCCGATCTGGTTGGGCTCGAGGCCATCGGCCCACTCTCGACGCTCACGACTCGAGCCGCGGCCATCCCCTTCCCTGTCATCTCCATGGCTATCATCTTGATGCTGCTCCGTGCTCTGCTTCCAAAGATAGTTGCTCAAAGGCCAGCTCGCCCGCTTCCTTCTCAGGTGTGCGAGCCAGAAAGCCTGCCGATGCGTCTGGGGCCAGCGCTTGGCCGTGCGTTGATACTGCATTGTCAGCTTGGCTACGACGCTGAGTAGACGTTCGTCTACTTCGTCGTGGAGATCTCCTCGCGAAGAAGCGGTGACTTGGTCGAAGAGCTGTGCGAGCGGCTCGCATCCGGCTCCATGAGGATCGAAGAAGGCTCGGCCGTCCTGTGTGCCTACGACTGCCCGACACTCGCTATCCTTGAGCGAGTCTGCCCCAGCATCTATGTTGTCCAGCTCCCTGCATCCTTCCACTCCTCCATTCTTGCCACAATGTAGCGTTACTTCATCCCAGTCCCTCACGCGCAATCCCGTCGGGAAGTGCAGGACGGCCGAAGAGGTATTGAGCTCTGCACTGTCTTGATCGAGGACTGTGAGAGTAAGAAAGCGCGATGCGGAGAGATTTGGGGCTGAATTGACTTGAAGACCAAGCCAGGATGAGGTAATGAGGGGTCCTGAGGCTAGAGACTGGGAGTAGGTGGAGTTGGACACAAAGGGGCGCTGAGAGGGGGATCCGAAAGCAACGGTCGAGGTGCTGAGAAGCAAAGCCAGGATCAGTAATGCTATCCTCACGCCTGCTACATAGCAGAGACACAATTGTAGCATGACAGGAGGCTTTGAGGGCCTCGCGTCGTACTCGTCGTCGGGATAGGTTGGAAAGAAGCCAAGAAGGCGGAGGCGGTTTGAATGCCAAGTGATGAACTCGAGTCGACTGCCGGCGGAACAAGGACAAGAGAGAGCACGGGCCGGCCGGCAGATGAACAACGGAACTGGCTTCAGAGGCGCGACGCGAGCCTCGATGGACCTCGGATTTTCTCCTTGATTTCTATTCTGACCAACACACCTTCACCATCATCTCGTTGGACAATGCCATCCTCATCCCGTCACCATCGTGGTGGAGGTCAAGGGGGAGGTGGCGCTGCGGATGCTAGCTCGTCCTCGCTCGTCTACGACCCAGCGCAAGACCTAGCCGAAAAGCGAGCCCTGCGCAAGGACTATCGCTCCCTCATCGCAAAGACGGACGAGGCGCGGGCCAACCTCGGGGAGCATGATGCCGTGGATTTGAGAAAGTATATCGAGGATGGCGAGGGACTCAGAGGCAGGCGTGAGTGCAGTGGAATCGCTCGCGAACGCCAAGTCATGCGATGCTGTGCTTGTATGCTGATGTCCATGTCCTGGCTCGCCCTGCCCCCCTTTCTCGCACGCAGTAAAAGGCCCAAACGAAGGTATCCTCGACTCGCGCTTCCTCCTCAGTATATCTGACATGGGTGCACAGCTAGCCAAGAATATGAAGCTCAACGCGAATGCCTTTGATGTGGACGAGTACATTGGGCGAGTAGCGCGATTCATTGGTGGGTCAGCGACTGCTGGGGCGACCATGGCGGGACGACGATCTACGCAACGCACACAGACCCAGAATGGGCGTCGCAGGTCGAGGGGACAGGTGAGCGATGATGATGACGACGAAGACGATGCGGACGACATTGAGGACTACGACTCCTGGAATTGGCATCGCCTCGGCTCCATCGCCAACCGCTTCTCTCGTCGCGCCCCTACGATGGACCACCTCCTCGGGCCACTTGCTGTAGAAGCCCGTACACGCTCTGCCGCTCAGACCGCGGCAGCAGAAGCAGCCGCAGGGAAACGACGTCGTCTTTTGGAGCGCGCCGAGGAAGAAGAAGCGCCGCAGCAGCTTCAACAGGGTGACCTCGAGGCCAACGAAGGCGAAACGTCCAAGCTCGTACGTGACATCTCAAAGCGACTGCGTGACATTGGAGGACAGGATGGATGCAACTTGTTCGAATTTGCAATCGATCCGGAGAGCTTCTCAAATACGGTGGAGAATCTCTTCTACGTGAGCTTCCTAATCAAGGAGGGCAAGGCAGCCATTGATAAGGAGGATGAGCCTGGGGGTCCAATTCTGCGTGAGTACCCGCGTGATACTACACGCACTCTTGTGGGATGGCTGACCTATCTCCGTCCTTGTTGCCACCGGGGACAGTCGACTGCATGCCTCCCTCGGAGGAAGATTACGCCAGTGGGCTACGGAAGCGTCAAGTAGTCCTCGAGCTCGACTTTGCGACTTATCGGGGGCTGATCGAGGCGTACGGGATCAAGAAGTCGATCATCCCGCACAGGAAAGCAGGTGCGGGTGCTGCTGCCAGGAAGGGCAAATGGTACGGGTGAGACGAGGAGGGAAAGACCTTGAAGCGGGGAAAAGAAGGAGGTGACCATGATACCCAGAGCCAACCACAATGCCCAAGAGGCAAGAGTGAGAGAGGCACCTCTCGCGACAGTTGCGTCCACATCGTCACAGCTTCTACACTTCGGTTCCATTTGTCATCTGTCAATTGTCAGTTACACATCTCAGTCACATCTTCCCCCACCTGCGCGCCTATCTCACTTCAATCCCCAGGTCTCTCTTCATCCTTTCGACCACCCTTTCATGAACCTCATTGACTTCGGCGTTGGAAAGGCTGCGCTCCATGCTGCGGTAGTTGAGACGGTAGCAGCGCGACTCTCTTCCCGTCTTTGGGTGGACGAACGAGTCGATGAGGCTGACAGATTCGACCAAAGAGCCATCCGATGCCGTTGTCGCCTCAACAGAGGAAGGTGAAGTCTCTTCTCGGATGAGCTCCATGAGGTCATTTTCGTGCCACGACGTCTCTGGCGCTTGTGGCTTGCTTGATGATGAGGATACGGTGGGTGGACTGCTGCTTGTGGTCCAGAAGGAGACATCTTTGTAGCAAGGCGGGTATCGTGAGAAGGGCTCGAATGTGATGAGCTTTTCCCGCTTCTTGCTCAATCCCCCAGCTGATCCCTTGACATCGCCCCTCAGCTTCCCAACTTGACCCTCCTCGGCAACACGAAACTGTCTCAAGAACCTCTCATCCCTAGACCAAAAGAGCCTGATATCCGGAATACTGTAAAGGACCATGGCGATTCTCTCCAAGCCCAGTCCAAAAGCCCAGCCCAGCTTGCCTTTGCCCGCTTCCCCGGCACCATCAAGTGTACGCTGCATAACGACACCGCAGCCGAGAATCTCGAGCCAGGCGCCTCTGTACCATACCTCGACTTCGTAGCTGGGCGAGGTGAAAGGGAAGGTTGCGGGGATCCACCGGACTCGGAGAGGCTCGTCGGAGCCCGTGGATGAGGAAGCGGCATGACGCGGACCGAAGAGGGAGAGTGCTAAGCCGTTGAGTGTCCCCTTGAGGTGCCTCAGGCTCAGCTCCGCAGCTCGTAGCTTCGCGGGATCACCTTGATGCGACGGCTGCCACCCGCCCGCCTCGTCGAGGCTTACTTTGTCCTCGATCTCGATGGATGCTTGTGCCAAGTCACGCTCCATGGCCTCGCACTCTTTCTCGACCTCGCCTCCCGGAGCGAATGCATCGCCCTTGTCCACCGACCATACTGAGGCCCCTTCCATCTGATGGAAGACGGGGTAATGACTCGCATCTATCTCATCTCGCCTGTAGACGTCGGCCGTCATGAGCCACTTATCCTTGCCGCTTGCAAAAGTGGCCACCTCGTGCGCACTGGTGTGGGTGCGGAGGCACGTCTCCTTGTTGAGATAGTAGGTATCCGATTTGGCTCGGCCTGGATGGTCGGCCGGGAAACCGAGGTCATCGAAGTTGAGCTTCGTCGTGACGACGGGCGAGGGTGGGAGGACAGGTTCGATTCCAGCAGGAGAGAGATGAGACTCAATGTGTGTGCGGAGTAGCTCAAGGGGATGATGTGGTGTGTATGGGAGGACGGGGGTGGGCGACAGCCGCGGGATGAGCGAAGGGGGAACATTGCTGTGCGAGTCGCGTGGGTAGCTTTGCTCCAAGATGGAGTAATGTGAGTCCGATGATGGTGATGATGACAGCCATGCCGGCGAGGATGACAAGTGGCGGATGTGGCAGGACGCCATGCGCTGCGTCCCTCGTTGTGTCGTGGCCTCGCGATGGAGAGGGTAAGAAGCTCGGGAGGACGATGACGATGCAATACCTCTTCGAGCTGTCAAGATCGTTGGCCCTCTCTGTATGGCCTTGGCCCTGAGTAGTGAGCGGCCAGCAAGTGAAGCCATGATCGCCGACTCCTTTTGCTCTCTTGGCGAGAGTCGTGAGGAGAGGAGGAAAGAGTCAACGCTCAAAGTCAGGGCGGAATGAGAAGAAAATCGCCTCAATGGCGACGTCCGTGCGCACCCGGCGTCCACCCGTTCAGTCGTGCCCAAGTCCAGCATGGAGGATAGACTAGGGTAGATTCAGGTGGCTGTCGACGTCCACAGCGATTATAATAGTACATGATTCTGGCAAGCTGCCTCACTCCTCGTTACTCTCACTCAATCCTCACCGCCACCACCACCACCACCCGCTCCCCCTCCAATAGCCCTAAACCCGCCACTCCCGCTGCCGCTGCTCCCTCTCTGCGCATGCCCTGAGCCTCCCCCACTCGTTGGGCTCGTCGGAGTGCTCCCTCCTCCACCACCACTACCGATGGCACCAGCGGTGGCACCAGCCCCTCCAGTATGCCCAATCGACCCCGAGCTTCCCGAAGCTGTTCTTGCTGCGTGAGAGAAAGGCGACGCCCCAACCCCGCTACCAAAGATGCTCGTTGGGGATGGCGCGTGGCGCTGTTGGTAGAATTGATGAACCCCTCCAGGCTGCTGCGGACGAAGGGCAGAGGCGGTAGGGCTAACATTCATCGACCAGATATCATCTCCTCCTGCAGCAATAGGCGCGGTAGTGGAACCTCCGGCCATACTTGCTGACGAAGAAGGCAAGGGGGATATTCCAGACCCCAGGAGAGGGGAGGAGGCCTTTGTCCACGGTGAAGAGCTCACACCTGGACCGGCGGAGCTGCTGGAGTTGGATGGTTGCAGCAGATCATCTGCTGGTCCTCTTGCCCATGGTGAGGAAGACGAAGATGTCGAGGAGGGGAGGAAACGACTCGCCCCTGGAGCAACGCCGGCGGCACTGAACTGCGGTGAGATCGCGCTCGCAGGTTGCGTAGGGTCGAAGGCGGCATCGTCGTCAAAGTCGAGAGGGCCAGAGGGCCGACGCGGGGGTATATGGTGATATGGCTGCTGATGCAGGTGGTAGCCTCCGACGAGTGAAGGGTTGAGTGGACCAAGGGGCGCTGCAAAGGGCGAGTTGGTGTTTGCTACGCCGCCGGTAGGACCAGCGATACCTCCGCCGGGGGGAACAACGCTTGATGGCGATTCCAAGCGGGGACCGTATCCGCCAACGCCAAAGTGGGGATGTGCAGCGGTAGGCGACTCGTTCGAGCCATGTGTGACTGAGTTCGGCCCGGAGGAGAGTCCTCCACTCCCTCCCCTTGCCGAAGAACCACCCATAGTGCGCGAATTCATGGCTGGCGAGAAGTCCGCCGAGGCGGATGGTCCAAATGGTCCGCCCGAAGCCCATGGCCCTGCTCCTCCCGTTGCATTTTTGGACATGATCGGTGAGGCGTGCGTCGAGGAGGACGACGGGATGAAGTCGCTTGAGGCCGGATTGAGGCCGGAAGGGGAGGGAGCCCCGCCTGTCCCGGTGGCGCTCGCAGCACCCGTGGTGAAGCCAGAGGAGAGGTAGGCGTTGTGATCAAGGAAGCCGGAGGCTCCTGCGCCGTATCCTGCTGCCGAGGGGTCTACACCGTAAACGCCAGCGGCCAGCTGCTGTTGCTGGTAGTTGGCGGCCGACCCAGCCGCACTCCCTCCTCCTCTGCCTCTGCGATGGAATGGATGGGGGCCCGAGGCATTGCGCCCGCCTTTTGCACCTCTACCCCCTTGACCTCGCCCGCCTCGACCACCTCCTGCAGAGACGGAGCGATAGCCGCCCGGCGCTGCCATACCAGCGCCATTGCCAGGTGAAGGATGAAAGGGCGCAGCGTGCGAATCGAAGCCGCCTGATGGACCACGAGGCCATGGACCGATGGGCGCAGCATGGGCTGCAGGCAAGGGCGGAGTTGCCGAATTGTTGATCCGGTTGCTCTCAGCTTGTAAGCGCGCAATCTCTCGCTCAAGCTCTGCCAACTTTCCAGTCTGCAACTTATCTACCTCGCCTTGCTTGCCAGCGAGGGCTTTGCCCACCCCAGCCAGCTCCTTCTCAGCCACGGCAGTCTTGTCTTCTTCCTGTTTGACTTGACAGTCATTCTGTGCCTCTAGCCCTTCGACTTCTCTTCTGCGCTCGTCCTCCTCTTTGCCCAATTCGCTAGCCTCCTCTTCCCATGTCGCCTGACCCTTGTCAACTTCGTCAGCTTCCAACCCAACATCCTTTGCAGACTGATTTGCCTGCCTTATCGACTCCTGCAATGCGAGAACTTTCTGCTTGGATCGATGGTCTACAGAGCTCATACGATCTAGAGAACGCTTGATAGCCTCGATCTCGTTGCGAAGGGCTTGCTCAGCGCGTGATGCGTCGCGGCGAGCTTGTCGGAGCTCTGTGGTGAGGCTGGTGCGTAGATTCGTGGCTGCGACGAGGGCTTGTTGGGAGGCATCATTGCCCACGGATGGTGATGAAGAGGTAGAAGCATTGCGATCGGCGGCAGTGTTGAGAGTGCCTGTAGGGGTAACTGCTCCGCTTGAATGGCCTTGCTCGGAAGAGTGGATGGCTGAGCCAGCGCCTTCGAGGGGCGAGGGCTGTGATGAGCTCCCGTTGCCTTCTTCTGGTACGGATGCCGTAGCGGCCGATGTGGAAAGGATGATAGCACGCTGCTTGCTGTCTGGTCCTCCAACGGACATCTCTACGTCATAGGCGCGGTTGGGCTCCAATCCATAGATGACAATGATCGACTCATCAGACCCCTGATCGGCCATGACTACTTGCGACCAACAGGCTCCATTGACGGTGACCGAGACGCCAGAGTCGAAGATCTTGGAGAGAGCAGAGGCGGCGATGCGCGTGGCAGAGGTGGACGCATTCGTCATCTGTGGTGCTGAGCGAGCTTCTGGCAGGTCCTCATCCCGCTCAGAGGCGCTACCATCAACTGCCGTTGCATCGTCGTCGTCCTCTTCGTCTCCATCTCCCTCGCCATCATCATCGTCTGCCTCGTCTTGTTCTGCATCTATGCCGTGAGCTTCGCCGTTGCTGCTCTGTTTTCCTCGCCGTGAGGGTAAATGCTTGCGAAGCTGGGAGATTGGGGGTGGTCTTAAGGACCAGCGCAGGGAGATGGAGACGGGCGAGACTTCTTGTACTTCTATCCTGAAAGGATGATGGGTGAGACCGATTGAAGATGATGGAGAAGCCGGTGGGCAAGTGGATGCTGAGAGAGGTTGCTGTTTCGCTGTTCTCGAGGTGCTTGGGGAGGAAGAAGATGATGACGATGCCATGTCGAGAGCGCTTCTCGACCCGCTAGCCACTGTCGATGTGGCAGCCGCAGCCTTTGAGGATTGGGACTGAGTAGGCATGGCATGCCTCAGCCTAGTGATGTGGTAGGGGAGAACCAATCACCTCAACTGGCGGCCAATTGCACATTGAATCATTCATTCGCCCTTTGGCAGGCTCCTCCCCTTCCGTCCCGTGCGGCTCCGTCTGGCCTTTGGTCTGTCGCGTGGCTGTGTGTGGCTCTCCACACTCCCAAGACGACGAGGAGCGGGCTGAGGGGAGCTTGCGCGTCGTCGTCGACACTGGAACTCATTGACCTGAGCGTACTTCCAATCACTTGCATTTTGCGAGCCAAGAGATAGACCACCACCGCCAACTTGCCTACTACCCTCTTCATCCTCTCTTCTCACCTGCCTCGACTCACGCTTCGCCCCGATGCCGCGAGGAGATGAAGATGCAGCGGCGCAACGCATCGTCGTGCCATCAGACGATCCAGTCGCAAAGAAGAAGAAGGACGACGATGTCGACGTCAAGGACAACAAGGACAAGGCAAACGGCCGCATAGGTAAAGATGGCAAGCCAATCAAGGAGGAGGAGATCAGCGAAGAGGACTTGCAACTCAAGAACGAGCTCGAAATGCTCGTCGAGAGGCTAGGCGAGGGAGACAAGAAGCTCTACAAGCCAGCCCTCGAGTCGTTGCGTACCTTGATCAGGACCAGCACTTCATCCATGACTTCTGTACCCAAGCCACTGAAATTCCTACGACCACACTACAATGACCTCAAGAAGACGCTCGAGTCTTGGCCCTCCCAATCTGTCCCCGCCGCAGACCAGTCTCTCTTCGCAGAGATCTTGTCCGTCTTGGCAATGACGTACGCCGACAATGGCAATAGAGAAACGCTCAAGTATCGTCTACAGGCGTCACATGTAGGTGGCAAACAGGCAGAGGACCCGGGATTGTGGGGCAACGAGTATGTTCGCCACCTCGCGGCAGAGATTGGCGAGGAGTATAACGCTCGGGTCGACGATGACAAGGAGACGAGCGAGTTGGTGCAGCTTGGTCTGCTCCTTGTCCCCTTTTCGCTAAAGCACAACGCAGAGGCCGATGCAGTCGATCTGCTCCTTGAACTCGAGAGCATCGAAAAGCTGCCGCCATACGTCGAGCAAGAGACATTTGCCAGAGTCTGCCTCTACATGGTTTCGTGAGTGCCCTGGCTCAGACGAAGCGGTAACTGTAGCTCCTGGACTGACCTCGTCTTACATTACTCTATCTCTCACCCCCGCCATCAGCTGCTCCAATCTCCTCGTACCGCCAGACGATGTCACCTTCCTCCGCACAGCCCATGAAATCTACCGCAAGCACAATCGCTTTTCCGAAGCTCTGGTCCTCGCCCTTCGCCTCGGGGATCGTGAGCTGATCCGCTCAGACTTCGAGGCCCCCCGCAATCCCGTCATGAAGAAGCAGCTTGCACTCCTCCTCGGTCGCCAGCAGGTGCCGATCGAGTGGCTCCAAGCCAGCGAAGACGAGCCGCTGCAAGATCAGGAGCTCATCGACTGCATCTTCAACACCAAGCTCTCTGAGAACTTCATCCAATTTGGCAAAGAGCTCAGCGTCTACGAGCCTCGCAGCCTTGAGGACATCTACAAGAGCCATCTCGAGAGTGGACGACAGCTTCTTGGCCCCTCGGTGGACTCGGCGAGGGGCAATCTGGCCAGCGCCTTCGTCAATGCTTTCGTCAATGCCGGCTTTGGCAATGACAAGTTGATGGTCGACGCCGAGGAGGGCAAGAGCTGGATCTGGAAGACCAAGGACCACGGACAACTGAGCGCTACAGGCAGCTTGGGCATGAGCTTGCTTTGGGACACCGAGGGTGGATTGGGACACATCGACAAGTACTCCTACTCGGACAATGAACACGTCCGCGCGGGTGCTCTCCTCGCATACGGCATCCTCCATGCCAGCGTCCGAACAGAAATGGATGCAGCACTCGCGCTTCTCTCGGAGCACGTCGAGTCCTCGAACCAGCAGGCCAAGATCTCCGCCATCGTTGGTCTCGGGATCGCCTATGCGGGATCACAGCGCGAGGACATCATGGCTCTCCTCATTGGGCCCATCGCAGACGAGACGGTCCCCATGGAGGTCGCCAGCATGGCCGCCCTCGCCCTTGGCTTCATCTTCGTTGGGTCCGCCCATGGAGAGATCACCCCGACGATTCTCCAATCAATGATGGAGCGGGAACCCTCTCACTTGGACCATCGTTCTGCCCGTTTCATGATCTTGGGACTTGCCCTGCTCTTCTTGCAGAAACAGGACGAGAGCGACGCCACGATTGAGACGCTCAAGGCCATCGAGCACCCCTTGGCGAAGCAGGCACAGGTGCTTGTTGACGCATGCTCGTATGCGGGCAATGGAGATGTGCTGAAGATTCAGCAGATGCTGCATCATTGTACAGAGCATATTGGAGTGGACGAGGACAAGAAGGACAAGAAGGAGGGAGAGGACGGAGCGGGCGCAGACGCAGCAGCGGGCGCAAACGGTGAGCAGGCCAACGCGGAAGAGAAGGATGCCACTCCATCAAGCGACACCTTCCAAGGCTTTGCGGTTCTAGGCATCGGGCTCATCGCCATGGGTGAGGAAGTAGGCGCAGAAATGGTCCTCCGCCACATGTCCCACCTCATGCACTACGGCGAGCCCGTGATCCGTCGCGCCGTCCCCCTCGCGTTGGCTCTCCTTCAACCCTCGAATCCGCAAATGGCTTTGCTCGACACCCTCTCGAAGTACTCTCACGATTCGGATCTCGATGTGGCTATCAACAGCATCTTTGCGCTGGGCATTGTGGCCGCAGGAACCAACAACGCGCGTGTGGGTCAGCTGCTTCGCGGACTCGCCTCGTATTACCACAAGGAGCCAGACACTCTCTTCGTGGTGCGCATCGCACAGGGTCTCGTAGGCATGGGCAAGGGCACGATCAACCTCAACCCTTTCCACTCCGACCGACAACTTATGTCGCGCACCTCCGTCGCTGGGCTGCTCGCCACCTTGATGGCCTTTACCGATTCGCGCGGCACCATCCTCGACAAGGGCCACTGGATGCTCTACTTCCTTGCAAACGCAATGTGGCCCCGCTGGATCGTTACCGTCGACGAAGAGCTGAATAGACTTCCCGTCGCCGTGCGAGTGGGCAAGGCGGTGGACGTCGTAGGGCAGGCCGGGAAGCCGAGGACGATCAGTGGATTCCAGACGCATACCGCGCCTGTGAGGCTCGGAACCATTGAGCGGGCGGAGCTGGCTAGCGAGGAGTATCTGGCCTTTTCACATATCCTGGAGGGAATCGTCGTGCTGAGAAAGAATCCGGGGTACTCGAAGGAGGAGTGAGTCTGGAGAGAGAGGATAGGGATTAGGGACGAGATGAAGAGAGTAATGCATCATGATGACCGTAAACTCGAGCTTGAGGGCAGCAGATTGTGATGGCCGTCTCTCGTTGCAGGAGGGCACGCTTGGCGGAAGTAGAGGGGAGAAAAAAGATTTAATTGGCCCGCACTCGAGCAAAGAAGGACGTACCCGCTGCTAGGGAAGCAACATTCTCAGCGCTGTGTAACGTCTGCTCAGGCAGGGTAGAAGCGACAGGTGATGAGATAACGACGATGAAGGTGGGAATCGCTGATTGCGTTCGTGAAAAATCGATGGCTCTGTCGTGCCTTGGTATTCGCTGTGTGCGTGTGGGTGATGATGAAGGATGGTGATTATGATGATGTTGCTTCGTTCTGATGGTCGTCAAGGGTCTTCAATGCTGCCGCAGCTGGTTCGGCTCGGCCGCGAGCCGAGCGGATTTTTGTATCACGACCACCAGCCATCGCTCGATTTGACTGCGCTCCTGCTCGTCATGGTGCTTGTGACACTCCCAGCACGAGATACCGGGCGCCTCATGCCGTTGCTGTTGTTGCTCGTGTCGCGCCCTCCGTTGTGGACGTTGGGCAAAACGAGATAGGACTGGAGTGGCGTGCGAGATGGCGTGTCGCTACGGTGCGAGCGATCCTTGCCAGCTTTCTCCGTGCGCGTTGGCACCTGCGTTTGATAGCTCCTCTTCGTTGGTGTAGCCATCGTATTTGTTGCGGGGAAATAGACCGAATTCTCGTCCGGGGACTTGGGACGGGCGCTGCCGTCATGACTGCTCAGCTGGCTGTCGCCGCTCTTCTCTCTTGGACGCATGCGCACGGCATAGCTGTCTGCGCTTTGCGTCAAGGGAGTAGAATGCTGCCAGTCGGCGCTGTCGTTGTTGATTACTTTGGGTGACCACATGCTCGACTCTGAGCCCGTGCGTGCGGAGGAGTCGAAGGAGTTGGACTCAACGCCGTGATGCGAGAGCAACAGAGAGGCGTTGTAATTCCTGTTGCGCTCGCTTTGGCTTTCGAGCTCGAGTTGGTGCCTCAGCTCGGTCACCTCGTGCCTGCTGGCCGCCAGCTCTTGCTGTACGCCTGCCAGGACATCCTTGCCGACTACTCTGCCCTTCAGCCCTGTAAGTTCAGCCTCGAGTACAGCCGCAGCCTCGTGATAAGTCCTGTTCGTCTCAAGTAGCTCGGCCCTGCTCCTCTCCGACTGCCCCAGCCTCTCCTCGAGGACAACGCGCTCCTTCTCTCGGGCCTCGAGGTACGAAAGCTTGGCCAAAGCCTGACCCAGCTCCTTTGCTTGCCCCTGAGCTCCTTCGAGCCCCTTGCTAGTCTCCGAGAGGCGTTGTTGCAATTCGACGGCCTTCTGCTTCTGCATGGCAGATACGCTGCGGAGATTCTGCACTTGCTCGTCCGTCTCACGGAGGCGCTTGGTGAGGGCTGAAATTCCCCCCTCTGAACGATGCGCCCGTTCTAGCGTAGCTTGGTGCTCGATACGTGATCCGTTCTGCTGCTCTTCAAAGGTGCGAGTACGCTCGGCTGCCTCATGACGCAAACGAGTCGTCTCTTCCTCCGCCTTGCGAAGGCGTTCCTCGAGCGAGGTCTTGGCCAGGACCGCACTCTCACGTTCTCTGCTACGCTCGTCGCGCGCATTTTTGAGGTCTTGGTCCAGACGATCGAGTTGAGCCTGGAGTGACGACACCTGCTGCTGCTTGCTCTCTGCAAGCTGAGCCAGCTTGCTCTCGGCCTCGACAGCTCTGGTCTCGGCTGCCACGATGCGCTCCAAAGCCTCCTCTGCTCGAGACTTGTGTTGCTCCTTTTCTGTGTCGGCACGAGTACAGAACTGCTCAAGCCGTGCGACTTCGATCTTGAGAGCCTTAGTGTAGCTGTGAGCTGCTACGAGATCTGCGTTAGCCACTTCAAGAGACGTCTTGTTGGCCTCGCTCTGCTCGCGCAATTCTTCGAGTTCCGACTTATCCCAAGATTCCTCATCAGGCGCACCCTTTGCTGTCTTCTCAGCCTCGATCCGAGCGTGTAGCTGGTCGAGCTTGGCGGAAAGCTCCTGTAGACCGTCGCCTCGGGCATTGAGCAAAATGTCGAGCTTGGCGTTCAATGCGGCGGGAAGCTCCGAGATGCCCGCAGCGACGTCTCTGTGCTTCTCAAGCAGCTGGTGGGCGATGGAGCGCACGCTGTCTTGCTCTGCGATGATGGGCTCCAGCAGGGCAATCATTGGGCTGATGTCAGGAGATTGCTGCTTCTGTACGGCTTTGCTGAGCTTTTGAACCAGGTCTTCCTGGTCTGGCGGCCTGTTGAGAGCATTGCGCAGCAGAGGCTCGATCTTGTCAAAGACCTGAGTGGGCACACTCTCTGCGTGCGTAGCATTCATTTTATCGCCGTCGTCTGCGCTCTTTGTGATGAGCAGCGTGACCCTCTCTGCTACGCGCGCGGCAAGTGCATCGATGTCAAGGCCAGCTCCCTCTGTGCTTGCCTCTTTCTGCTTTACGAGAGGCTCCAGGTGAGGCAGGATGCCATTAACCAGCGCAACCTGCATGCGATCGCCCACGCCATCCTTGATATCTGCCAGTGTCCTATCCAAGCCCTCGAACCGGGTCTCGAACCCATCGAGGACCTTGGCTGCGACTGCGTCAGGCTGTGGGAAATTGGCGGCGCCGTCAGACCTAGACGTGATGTCGGCAATGGCGGCCGAGACAGCGTCAGTGACCTGCTTGACATTGGCCCGCATCAGCGACGCAACATCCTCAAGTGTGGCTGCCGCATCCTGCTGCTGCGGACCAAGTGCCATGATCAGACGTTCCTGCAGCTGGATCAGCTTGGTGTCGAGGATGTTGCTGATGTGCTTGGCCGCCTGCTGCTCGTCGTTCGGTGCGTGTGAACCCGTGACTATTTGCTGTTGGGCTCGCTGCTGCTTGAGATGCTCTTGCATCGTCGCATCAATTGTCTCTTGTATCCTGCGAACGAGCGCAGCCTTCTCTCCTTCTTCAATTCTGAGCACAGTGGATTGAGTTGGCATGGCGCTCGCCGCAGCAGGTCTAGCCTGGCCGGCCCTCGTGATTTCATCGAGAATGCGGTCCCCCCACGCATCGAAGACCTCGCTCAGCCGGCCAGCAACATCCTCCACAAAGTCAGAGAGAGACTCTTCGTCGTCCCCGTTACCATCGAAGGCAGGCGGAATGAACCGCGGCGAGTGAGCACCTGCCGATGAGGAAGAACGGCGCATCCTGCAATAACTTGCTCGACGGACGATGCCGCGGGGCACCCCGAGCGAAGGAGAGCGCATCGCGGGCCAACCAGCAGGCTTGGGTGACGCCGGCGGAGGGTAGTCGACGGCAGCATCGCCTGGCGGTCTGCGGATGGGAATAGCCTTGCTGGCTTGGCTGGACACGCTGAAGGTAAAATTGGTGCTGGGCACCTGAGTGGCCGTGGCTTGAGTCGGCGTCGGTGTCTGTTCTACCCTGCTGTCGCTACTCTGTGTCTCTGCTGACTCGTCAAAAATTGGAATGCCCGGTCGACCGTGACCGCCGCGTTTTGCCCACGTTGGCATGAAGGATGGTGCCGCAGCGGGCATGTCTAAATCGGTAGAGGCAGACTTGACAATGCCGCTGGCGCCTCGAGTTGATGAAGGTGCAAAGAAGGGAGGCAATCCTTTGGGATTGAACGGAGGCGGTCCCTTCTCGACCTCTGCTCGTAGTCCTCCTTCGATGGTGGCTGCAGATGCTTGCGGCCGTACTGGGCTCGAAGGCTCCTCTGCCGACGTGGATGCTGCGGATTCTGCAGACTTTCGTGAACGCTTTTCTCGTCCTTGCTGGGGATGCGTTGGGTTGAGCAGCTCGGACAGAGCGGACTGATGAGGCAGCTTGGGCGCGCCTTGGGGAGCATGGAACGTGAAAGCGGCCGACGAGGCGGATGACGCGCCGGGAACGAACGTAGGTGCGGCTGCGTTGAGGAGAGAGCCCCTGCTAGTCTGGCGATCACGACTGACGCCCACGAGCGTTTCATTGCCCGCCTGGCTGTCCTCGCCACCGTGAACCATCGCCGAGGACCCAAAGCTTGAATTGTTGATGCTGGGTAGACGGAAATGCAGTGCATTCCCAATGCCCTCCCCACGGCGATGACCTCCGCTGCCAATCATAGTAGAGACATCTTCAGCAGCGCTGCGCTGACCAAATGTGCCCTCGTCTGCGTCTGAATCGTCGTGGGCAATGTAGCGACCGTGGTTGCTGGCTTGCGCACCTCGGGGAAGAGGTCGTCGTAGGCCTGGACTAGGGTGCAGCTGGCTACTTGCGTACGTTTCGTTCGTGTCGGCTCGAGGTCGTCCTTGTGGCTTGCCACTATCGCTGACTGGCGGTGCGTGTGTCTGGCCTTGTGTCTGACGCAGCGTTCGGCGACGTCGTGGCCTCTCAATGCGCTCCTGCCTTGCTCGCTCTTCGTCTGAGGGGTTACTGAAGTCACCGAGCGAGCTGCTGTCGGAAGAGTCGCCCAAGTCATCCAGACTATCCCTTCGCCAGTGACGGGTCGTAACGTCGTCAGCACCACGCTGTTCATCTTCCTCTGCGCCGGATGCATCGGCGTCTTCTGATGGATTGGTGCGGAGGTCATCTTCGATCTCGTGGCCTTCCTCGGTGACGTCTTGAAGCGAGTAGCCCTGTAGATAGCGAGAATTACAGAAAGTATCAGCACAGGTACGAGGCCGGCGCTCCTTAGTGGTACGATACCCACGAAACCGGCTGAGAGATCTTTCCACGACGGCCTGCCGGTCGTTGAGGATGAGCTCGCCCCGGTAGACTTGACGGCGGCAGCATCAATTTGGTGCTGCGGATCTTGAGATGCGTCGTCATCACTTTGGTCCCCTACTGCTCGAGCCTTGGCCTCTGCCTCAGAGAGACCGAGCGCTGACATTGCGCCCGATGCAAAGGATCCCCCAGACGGACGGATGCTGAGTGACATAGCTCGAGGCACATGACCGGGTGGTGAAGACGAACGTCGGAAAGCCCTTGGAGAATTGGCGAGATAGTCCCTCACCTTCGTGTCGTTGTCGTCTGGCTTTCCAATGCATTCATCGTGAGCTTGAAGTATCGTCTCTTGCAGTGGGCTGCCTTGGGGTTGCATTTGTGGTCGCTGCTCATTCCATTCATCTGCAGAGGGCAGGTAGATGTCGATGCTGTGGGGTAAGCCTTTGACGGCGAGCTCTGGATGCGCGAGCCTAGTGACCATGTCTGCTGAATTGGGCTGAAGATCACAGAGGGCAAAGTCAGTTGTATCGACGGGCGTACGTCGGGTCCACTGGCTGCGCAGCTTGAATCGTCTGACTGCCTCCTGGCCCTTGCGAGCCACGACGTCTTCATCATCGCCAGCTTGGCGGGCTGCGTCCTGCGCCTTGGTCCTGGCAGCCTCTTCATTGTCGTCAGAGCAGTTGGCTTCGATGGGCAGCGATACATGCACCGCTTTACGCTTGGCAGGTTTGGGTGGTTCCAAGTGGAGAAAGCTGATGGATGGCTTGGAGTTATGGCCGGTAGAGCGCAGAGGGGTGTGCACGGGATGAGGCTTTGAGCGTCTTGCTTCGTAGCTGTGACGTCGTGCACTGTTGATTGGCCCCACTTCGTCAACGACAGCCAGCGAAGACGCACTGGCGGGTAAGGTATGCGGGCTCGGTGTACGGATGGCAGGTCGAGGTGAGAGGCTGAAGCCGCTGCTTGCGCCGGGCGAAGATGGGCCGTACAGCGACGTAGTGGGCTGTAGCAGATGAGGCGATGGCATGCGTGGCGGGATCGTACCCGCTGACAACGGGGTCGAGACATGATCGGCTGGCGAGATGGGCTGCGGACAAATGGCGAGTAGGTCAGCTTGTGAACAGCGCCCTTTGCGGAGGATCATTGAACCTACCATGTATCCTGCAGGCATGGCTTGAGGTTGCCAAGCTCCTGCGCTCAAAGATCGCTGCATGGCAGGCACACCGCTCATGGCCATTGGCTCGAAGGCCGGGGCAGCGACATTGAGTGATGTTGGCCTTGCGGCGGAAGGTGTGAAGGAAGGAGCCGTTGGCTGTCAAGGAAATTTTCAGAGTGAGTGTCGCAAAATCCTCGCTACACCACCAATCGTGGCTGCTCTCACGGTGAGGTTGCTCCGTTGTGCGCTCTTGACATTTCTTTGCCTCCCGGGCGTGGCGTCTGGCCCGCCGGGAGAAGCCATTGCGTCAACTGGATACCACGTCGAGCCTTCGCGTTTCTACCTCTCAGTGGTACTCGAAAGTGATGACGGCGGGCAATATTAGGCGTAGCGACGTAGCGGTCCTGGTGATGCTGCTGGCGATGAGGTCTGTGATTAGTGATGAGAAAGAAGGAAAGGCTCAGCGTCCATCGATGCATCAAGGCTCTTTCCTTCCCCCTTTCCTCGTGGCTCGCCCAATGGACTCACGACTGCCGCGAGTGTTAATTGATCCGCACGGCACTTGGCCCGACCATGCAGCTCGTCCAACACCGAACAATTTTTCAACTCCGCTCCAGAAGCTCGTCCGGGGAAAAGGCAAAGCCAGGATGGGCCGTCACGACCTTCTAAATCAGGCAACGTCCCATCGGCGACCACATCGCATCGCAGTGTAGCATTACTCTCGTGTCTCAACTGGGTATCGAACATCAACCGCCATCGCCTCTCTCTGCCATCACGCCTTCCTCCTCACGCTCATCAAACGACTCAGCCTGCCGCCAGACGAGCCGCCCAATGTGCTAGCCCCGCTCGACGAGAAGATGCTCTTCGATCCTGCCCTGACGCTGTGTCCGTCGTTTGACTGCATTGGCGAGCCAGCAGATGTCGACGCTCGCGGCTCACGCGGCACAGGCGTGCCTGCAACTCCTCCTCCACCGCCGCCGCCGCTATTACCTCCTGAGGGTCGAGCTGTCGAGGCGAGCGAAACCGTGTCCATCGCTGGTCCCCTTGCCGCCACTGCAGACGGCAATGCATCCCCACCCGTGACGATGCTGCTCTTCTGACCTGCACTGGCCTGCTTGGCAAGCAAAGCAATATGTCGCTGTAATGGGCTAGTCGCAGAGCTCAGAGCTTCATGCGAATCGTACTCGCGCCTCTGCAATCGGTTGCTCGAGTCCAAGGAGTAGGCAGCCGGACGAAGCGGAGCTGCAGAGGCCGTCATCTTGCCTGCGGCATCGAGGTGAGCCCGTGAGGCCTCTTCGTCTTCCTTTTGTTGGTCGAAGGCCTTCTTCTCGGTCAGCTCGCGGGCCTCTCCTGCAAAGTTCTCCGCAAAGAAGCGCTCCAATGTCTCATGGAAGGGTTTCATCTCTGGTGGACAGAGACGCGCGTGCAGCTTGATGCAGCGTGAGATGACAGTCGCTTGACGGAAGATGCTTTCGCGCAAGCGGCCTGCCTCGTCACCATTGATCACGTCGTTGCCCGAGAGAAAAGCCTTCTTGTAGAGCGGAATGCCGCCATTGACTGGCGCATCTACGGCACCATTGAGGGCCATTGCTAGTCGATTGGTGTTGACACCAGGTTTGGCACGCGCATACTTCTTCTCCAAACTATTGAGCTCCGCCGTCTTACCCTCAATGTCATTGATAGCGTTCTCGAGCGGCGAGATCTCGACGACGTGAACCTCGGCGACTTCGCTTCGACGCAGCACCGTAGGGAAGGCGTCTTCGCAGCGCAAATACGTCTTCTCGACCCATCTCTCCGCCACATTGTCTCCGCCGCGAAGGGGCCGCGAGAAAGAAAAGAGGCTCGTGGCGTTGTGCTCGTAGTAGCTGCGCACGTTGGGAGGCACGTCGGGATTGACGAAAACGTCGCGGCTGCGGTCCGGCTCTGGCTGAAGCATCGTGACCTGAAGGTACAAGCCTTCGGCGTCCGGCGGTTCGGCTGTCTTGATGAGAATGGCCCCAGGATGCTTTTGCTGGAGTCGCTCGCAGAAGACAGGAAGTTTTTCCCAGTCCAGGCCGCGGTAAACGAACATCTTTTGCTGAAGCGAAGCCGGCCCTGCGAGGCGGTAAAGGGACAGGGGTGTTAATTGGGCGTAGTTCTGGTGGATGAGCTGATCTTCGCGTGTACTCACATCCACCGCCGTAGTAGGCCACACGAAAGTAGGCGGGGAAGACGCGCTCCGTGGCTGCAATCTTGCGGAAGAGCGAAGCCTGATAGGTCATCACTTCTGCCAATCGTAGATAGTCGACAGCTCGGTACTCGTACTGCTGTGCCAGCTCTCGGCAGATGTCTATGGAAATCTCCCATGCCTGACCCTTGCCCAGATAGTCGAGGATCAGCATGTAGAGCGTCTCGCGTCGCGCAAAAGTCGATTGGCGCGGTAGGGATAGCTCAGCGATGGGTTCAACGTAGCTGTCTGTCTCCCATGTATGCAGGTCAGCGTGCAGCTTGAGCGTGAGCGCTGCCTCGATGTAGTCGTGGTTGCCGAGGTGCAGGTTGACCAGATTCAAGACGTGGCTTGAGAAAGCGCTGACGCGGTTGGCCTGGCGGAGGAAACCGAGCAGCTTCAAAGTACCAGCAATGCGGTCGTCCTCAAAGCCGGAGTCTAGGGGCAGGGCCCGCACGCTGAGGAGCAGATCGAGGAAGCGATTGACCGATACGAGGCAGGAGAAGACTTGCTCTTGCAATTTCTCGTCAACGTCGGCACCTTCGAAGAGGGCACGCAGCTGGCCAATGAAGAACGCTCGGGAAATCTCGTCGCCGCGTGATCTCATGAGTACATCGAGCTTGTCGATGATTTCTGCCTCGATGACGGAGAAGTTGCCATTGAGGTGCCACTCGGAGGTTATCATGGTAGCCAAGACTTGCACCGCACATGTCCTCAGCTCGTCATGGTGAGAGAGGCAGAGCTCCAGAACAGGCTCTACAAGATCCGGTACGAACTGCACTTGAAAGCCGCCAGTAGTGAGGGACTGTGGGCCGATATGATGTTGCTCCGCCTGTGCATCGCCGATCGAGTTCCAGAGCTTGGCAAAGATGCGCGCACCTTCACCTCGAATGTCGCCAGCCAAACGCCAGACCGCTCGCCTTCTCTGCGGTTTGAAGTTCTCGACCACCAGCTGCTCGCTGCAGAGGAGGGTGAGCAGCATCGTCAAGCACCCTTTCCACAGCGGTGTGTCGAAGGACGATGCTCGGTCTGGCGCAGGTATGAAGTCGCGCACCATGAGCGCGGCCAGTGGGTCTGCCATCTTGAGTATCATTTGATGAGCAAGAACGTTGATGTTCAGCCAGCTCGATGGGTATGCTTCATTGCGCAGGATTGACGTTGCCACCGCAAAGAAGTCGTGAAGGAAGTGCGCCAGCTTCTCCGGTCCTTCGAGGTCGAGCTGCTCCTCTAAGAAGCCAGCGAGATGCTTGCGCGGGCTCAGAGTGACCAACATGGTGAGGATGGCTGCAATCTCGCCCAAGCCGCAGTTCAGGATGGCGTCTGAGCTGGCGCTGTCGTTCGCGTGAGGTGGGGATGCAGCGATGATGGCAAATGGGTAGCTTGAAGGGAAAATGACCGGGATAGCGGACGCCACCGTCGAAGGACTGCGATGACACTCGATTGCTTTGATTGTCTCCTCGCTGCGCAGCTCCTTGTAGGTCTCGAGGAGGCGTGGGATCATAGAAAGGACGTAATCAACGTTGTCCTGCTCCTGTCTGACTTCAGCTGGCGTGGCGGCATCTCTCAGAGCCGTCTGCAGGCGATCCAGGATGATGGCCAAGACGGTAGTGGCGAGGCGGGCGCTATCAAAAGGCGAAATGAACGTCAGCTCAGGCTCTCAGACAGTAGGCGGGCTCACTTTCTCACCTCTCGACCCAAGTGATGCGGGCAGCATCTGTACTGGTAGCCTCGTTGCCTTTCTCCGGCGCAAAGTGCGGACGGATCCACCTTATGACGCTGGGTATCAGATGAGCGCGCGATGAAGGGTGGTCAAACAGCGGGCCTTCACAGACTTGAATGATGTGTAGCAGCTTCCACACGACGAGACGCCCCTTCGTTATGAAGATGGCGTCAGCAAAAGCCGCCTCAAGGCCGATGAGCTCGTCAATGTCGTAAACGCGGGCCAGGTCCGGAAGGATCTCAGCAAAGTGCTGCAGAGCTAGCGTCTGCGTGCCGACGATCGATGGCGGCTTCGTTGCTGACATGAGGCGGTTGATGCTACGCAGCAGAGAGTCGAGGTCTGTGCGGAACTTGGCTTGAAGGTGGTCGCCCAGAGCCCCTACGTCGCGTTGCAGTTCGCGCGATCGCACGATGAACTTGAAGAGGTAGGACCACACCTTGATCGACGCCCTTGTTGCAGACCCAGCCGCATCGTCATTGTTGGCCAGTAGACGCGACATTGAAGCCATTAAGCGCGTGTGTGCCGTCTGTGAGTGGAAATGGCGTTCGATGTAGACGTCTAGAGTGGCTCGGAAGTTGTTGAATCGTCGATCCTGCACGATGCCGAGCACCGTCACCAAGGCATTGAAGACCAGATCGTCGCAGTCGGAGGCACGCGTCACGATTGCGAAGAGGGCGTCGAAGATGTCACGCAGGAATTTGACAATCTCGACTTCGCCGACGAAGGTGAACTTGGTCAATACACTCTTGAGTTCCTCGTGGTCTTCGATGCGCTCCCAGTGCAGGAGCTTCAGCAGGACGTCGTTCTGCGTGTAGCGAGTGGAAACGAGGAAGGAGCGAAGCATGATGGTGTCGCGAAGCGGCTGAATGACCGTAGTGAGGCTGGCAGGCACAACATCGGAGAGGGAGCCATTCGTTGGCACGGTGGCTGGCAGAGAGAAGTAGAGCTCGGGACTCGCTGGTCCACGCCAGAGGAGTAGAGTGTGGGAGCCGTCTTGGATGAATGCAGAGTGCGGGCCGGCTTCGTGGTGTCCAAAGAGGGGTAAGTAGGCGTGTGCAAAGGGAGATGACTCCATCGCCGCGCCAGTCGCCTCCTTCGAGCTGCGGTGACGGAACGTCAAGAAAAGGTGGCACTGCTCCAACGCCTCGTCGGGCAGCTCTAACTTGATGAGTTCTCCCCATGTCGGCGCATTCTGGTGATAGAAGACCATCGAGTCGAATTGCGTCATGCGTGGCTCTCCTGAGCCCCGCGAGATGACTCTCTCAAGCACTCGACCGTCCCTCGTACGCACATCGATGGACACTTGGACATTCTTTGCAGAAGATGCGCCTGGGATCTTGCCCGCCGAAGGGAAGAACTCGCCCGACCATAGCTTGATGTATGCCTCATTGCGGGAGTCGCCGGGAAAGACGACGTCGGGAAAGCCTAGACGCGCGGTGAGAGCGGCGTCGCGTAACAGTGAGGCGTTCTCGCGCACCAGTGACGGGGTGTCGCCGTGTAAGACCTGTAAAGAGGGACTTAGGAGTAAGCGAATTGAAGAGTGCGTCACCTTTGGATACGCTCACTCACCTTGACGTCGACATTGATGACGTCTGCGCGAGGAGACTTTTCAAATTCTCGTATCCTCGATGCGATGATGTCCTGATGCAGCGTGCTGAAGGCCGCCTCGTTGACGGGAACAAAGATGGGCATGACGTGCTCCTTCTTGACCGACGACGAGTTAACGTCCGTCTCGAATTGATGCTCCTGTCCCAACGAAAGTACGCCACACCCGAAAGGTCGTCGGAAGTTGCTCGTCATCGCTAATGAGCTGTCTTCTCGCGGACCGGTACGAACGATGCGGCAGACGACGTTGAGGTCTTGCATATCGCTGGCGCTCATGTCGGTGAAAAGGCACGTCATGCGCTTGGCTTGTTCGGTACGATGGTCAAGCACGACGCAGTACTCTTCTGTAAGGAAGCGTGCCTCTGGCTTGTTGTAGAGGGAAAAGTAGAGCTCGACGGGCGCGTCGAAGCTGGCTATGATGTTGCGCACCTCGAGGAAGAGGTGATAGTATTTGACGATTGGTGCCGGTGCAGGCTGAGCCGAAGAGGGCTCCTCGGACTTCCTCATCATTGAGCCAGCGCTCGACGACGAAGGGAGGGACGACATCGAGATTTGGCGCGTCTGCCTCTTTGCACGAATGCTCGTCGGTGCTGCGGCAAGGCTTGTGGCTGGGGCGACGACGCCGAAGGCGTTGGATGCCGGTGCAGACAAAGCTCCTTCACCGTGTTGGTGTGGCTGCTGCTGTTGCTGGTCTACGTAGGCTAATGCGACTTGAAGGGCGTAGAGGCGAATGCCGCTGACCCAATTCTCGCCGCGCCCACCATCGTCTGGAGTGACCAGACCACCTCTATTCGGGTGTCGCACGATGACATCGAGACCTTGGGCGACGTTGCCCTTGACGAGTCTGGCCACGCACTCCTTGCGTAGCTTTGCTAGCTCCTCCTCACCGAGCGTCTGAGCCAAAAGCTGCCTGCGAGCAGCGTACAGAACATCAATGTGCTGCCTGACCGTATCAAAGAGGGTATAATCGCGACGTTGGAGGTATGAATAGAGGAGGGTGCTCCATTCGCGCAATGCGCATGCAATCTCGTCTGCCAATGGCTCTGCTGTCCCACTGATTGTCTCATCGCCGCACTTGAGGCTGGGTAGCGGAGGTGGTGGCCTTGTTCGCGGTGCAGGTGCTGTTGAAGACTTCTCCTTCTGTCCTACCATGGCAGCTGGACTGTTGGGTACTGCGTTATCCTCATCCTCTTCCTCTTGAAGGGTGTGAAGTGCATTGCTCTGTGGCCCGCCACCTACGAGGCCGCTGGATCCGGCATTGGCCTCTTTGGCTCGAGCATGCATCTCTGCTAGTCGCATTTCAGCATCATCGAGGTATTCCCTCACATGAATGTTGGCAAAGGGGAAGACGCCGACGTAGACCTGAGGCTCTGCAGCGCTGGAGCTCGATTGGGCGGCGGACGAGACGACGTAGCCCCTCGCCCATTCGCTGCCCAATGTCTCGAAGACATAAACCTCATCACCTACCTCGAGGCTGATCAGATGAGCTTCGAGGGCTGCCCTTGAGGCGTCATCAAGGAGACGCTGTGCCTGCGGGAGGATGTCGGCCTCGAGGGAAAACGGGCAGACGGCAAAACCATACTGGATCTTGGGCAGAGGTTGCCATGATGAAGGAGGTGGCGCTGTTGCAGAGGACGAGTGATCGAGAGATGTCGCCGCATTCATCGCCATCAGCGACGAGGTCATCAATTGGCCAAGTCGATCGGTGGTGTGGCTGTTAGCGAGAATGGAGCAAAGAGAGAGGCAGAGACAGCTTTCAGCTCGAGGGCAGGTCGTTGCAGCACGAAGGATGTCCAGTCGCCCTCCGTCTCGCCTCTGAGCGCAGCGCAGCCAGGGACGTGCGTCGGCGCAACGCAAGTCGAGCACGACGCCCATTCGATTCGTCTTCGAGGCGGGGGGACGAGGCGGGCGGACTTTGAAACCAGGGGGGCGGGTTGACGGACGCCCGTCCACCGTAGCTCTTGACGCCACGGCGCTAGCGTCCAACACAGTCGGCCGGTCGATCTTCCGTACAAGCACATCGAATTGCGATCCTGCTCATCATCATGAGCTACAATTCAGATGTACAGGCCTCAGATCGTATCCTGCGTTCTCGAAATCTCACTTTGACCATCTCACGCCCTTCTCTCAAGCCCTCTGCTTCTCCCTCAGTCGCTGGAGCGAGGGGGATTCCCAGCCTAAAGAGCAGATCAGCAGCCCTCGATGAGCTTCCACAGACTCTGCATTAGTGTGAACACGAGCGAATGGTGTGCAGCAAGTTCAGCGTCGCCTTGCAAGGCCGTCGTCCCGACTCCCTGTGCCTTGACGTCGATTGATACTTACTTGTGCATCGCAGAGAGGCCCAGTCGAGGAACCAGCTCAATCGTCGATGCGATGAGGATTCCGTCGTTCTGGTACATTACAACTTTGCTGACGTCTGCCCAGCACTCGGTGCCATCCAATGCGCCTCCCACGTCTTTCCATCCTCTGACTGGGTCGCTACGGTCCTCTGTCTCGCCTCGCTACTCCACGCAAGATCTGCCAGCTTCGGGACATGTGCCGCCCATTCCTGAACGAAGTGCCCTCCCTCCGGTATGACATGACGCCAGCATCCCAGCTGCTTCCCCCAGGTCTGCGCAGACAGGTCGTCCATGACCTTCTCCGGGAAGACAGGATCTGCCGCGCCTATGCAGACGAAGACTTGGAGCGGCGTGCGTACCTGAGTCGATGCTGACGCAGTGTTGTCACTTAGCTGCTCCGGCTGTAGGGATCCGTAATAATGTAGAGCGGATTGAGATTCGGCGACGCCTGCTTGAGAAGGGCGAATGGGGACGAGTTGCTGCGGAGAGGGGCTCGTGGGGCATCAGAGAAGTGCTGGAGTTGCCCATCAATCACTCTCACTTACAGGAAATCGTCGCACGCCGGCCTTTGCACGCCCGTCGTGACTACCCGAGCCGTAGAACGGCAAGTCGTAATTGTCGATTTCCGACTTTGTCATGCTCTTTCGACCTCTGCTGAGCATGCGACCCACGGCAAGGTCGTGAGTCGAGGCCATGTACTTGCGGAAATTTTCCCAGCCAGGCGAGGGAGACTTGCCCAAGCCGAGGGCGGTGTTCATGACGAGGAGATGCGTGAACAGGTGGGGAAAGAGGGGTGGGAGAATGAGGCCCAGGATGCCGCTACCGAGCGAGCAGAGCGTGAGCATGACGAAGGATTGCAGTCTCAGAGCGCTGTTACTCACCCCCAGTCTTGCACGACAAGGACGCTTCTCGTCACAGGAGTCGATCCCTCCCTCTGCTCCACATGCTGGCGCACAAATTCGATGAGCCAATCCCGGTGTGACTGCCAGGTGTAGTACTCATCCTGCACCGGCTTGTCACTGCGCCCGAAGCCAATGAGATCCGGTGCGACAACCCGGCGACGAAGGTAACGAGGCCCAGTGGTGCGTCTGGCAGGCGGATCTTCGAGCCAGCTCTTGATCATCTTGCGGTACAGATAGCTCCATGTCGGCTCGCCGTGGAGGCAGAGTATCGTCTCTGTCGCTACTGATTCTCCCGCGGGTGGATCATGTGGCTGACTCATGGCAACTCCCTGGCGCACATCGAAAATGCCAGATGTCTCATCTATCCAGGCATAACGCAGCCCGCGATAATGTGCGTAGTGAGGCGAGTAGGGGAAGTCTGGCAGCGCTGGAATGTCGTTGCAGCGAAAGACGGTCGAGGGCTTCGTTGACATGACTACTATTGACGACGATGGATTGGGTTTGGTATACAAGAAGAATGGGAAGCGAACTAGGACATACGGCCGTGACAGGTGGAGGCCGTCTTCGGCAAAGCGGTGAAGGAGGACGCAGCAAGATAGGCGAGGTAGCTTGGTCCAACTCCCTCTTCACTCCCAATCGGAATCATCGCTATCATCTTCCTTCGCTTTTGCCTTGGCAGCTACCTCCTCTGCCTTACCCTTAGGCTGCTCCTTGTCATCACGCTGTCGCAGCTCATCCGCATCGACCTGCGAAGGCGCCGAGCTGTCCTTGCTGTGCCCGCCATCCGTTGCTGCATCCTCCCACGAGAAGGCATCCGAGTCCGTCGTCTCTGCGGCCAGCATGCCTTGCGTATCAGATCGTGACGCTACCACTCCTGCTCCTGCTGTCGTCTCCCACTTTGCCTTGCCGTTAGACGCCTCCTCAGCAGGCACGACCTTGACCAGCTCGCCCATCATGTCCTTCCACTCTTCGCCCGCCTTGCCCATTAGATCCTGCCCAGCTTGAAGGTAGCGCTGAGCATACGCCTTGCCCTCTGGCCCGCTCAGCTGACGCAACGACGTCGATGCATCTTGCAATGCTGCCTGAACGGAGCGCGAGAGATTCTGCGTCTGAGTGTTGGACTGGGAGAAGAGGGTGGAGAGGCGTTGTGTCACGTCGGATTGGAGAGAGGCGACGCGAGGATCCGTCGACATTGTCTGCAGTCGTTGGAGAAGCGTGCTAGTGCTGGCTGACTGTTCACCTGAGGAAGCAGTTTCGGAAGGTGCAATGCCTGCGTCCGGCTTATCGCTGCGAGGAGCAGCTTCGCCGCCATTAGGGTGCGCGGCCTCACCCTCTGCGGCCTGCTCATTTCGCTTCTCTGACCTCTCCTTCACATCCTGCGCTTCTCTCTGAGCCTTTGCCTCTTTGCGTGTGTCTTCGAGCTGCGCTTCGATCTTTGCAGCCTCGTTTCGTGCAAATTGGACTATGCCTCCTTGATCTGCGATGCGAGTCTGCGCCGACGCAAGCTGCTCTTGTGTCTGCAGACGAGAGTGCGAGGAGGACTTGGATGTCAGTAAGAGCTTATACCAGCTCTGAATCTTTGCACGTATTCACCTTCTTGCTGAAGCCAGACCACCATGAAGAGACGCTGTTGGCAATGTGTCGGACATCTGCCTCAAGGGTCACGTCCTCTTCCTCTTCTCGAGGAACGCCCGCATCCTCTTCCCTCTGCTTTCCCTTTCCCTTGATATCCGGAGATGGGACACTCCGATCATTCTCGTGTTCTGCTGTGAGGGCGTATGACTCGAGGTCCATCTTCCTGGCTTTTCTGAATGGATGAAGGTCGTGAGTGTTGGTCAAAAAGGAAACCTCGCGACTCTCCACCACGTCGGACGTCGACTTCGGACCGGCGAGCCACGCGAGCGGCAACGGAAACGAGGCAAATCTCAAGTCGAGTCCAGAGATTCAACGACGATCCTCTACTCTTGACCATCTCAGATCAATCGGTAGTGACAAAGACGGTCTACGACGAATGGTGAGCGACGCTGCGCCGTAGCTTCTATTCCGCAACGGAATTCGTTTGCTCATTCCCCCTCTTTGATTCCTTGCGCTCGCAGTCACTGCCCCAACTTCTGGCTCGCGTCCTCATCCAAGGATCGCAGATCCTGGGAAAAGCATTTCTAGAGGCAGGCAGGCAGGCTGGAAGGAATCTCAGAGCTTCACCAGAGGCAGCAGCATCAGCTCAGTCAGCTGGACCAGCTGGATCCAAGATCGATGAGCTCACACGAGCACACAAGATGACAGTAGAGGAGGCGAGGATGATTCTCAACTTCAAGCCGGCCGCCGAGGGAGAAGCAATTGAGGTTGCGAGAGAAAGGATGGCAAAGGTGAGTGACCACCACGAGGGTCGATGGGAGCCAATCAGTGCATTCCTTGACCGTCTTGGCCCTTGTTCTCCTGGCCGCACAGACGTACGACCACCTCTTCGCCGTCAATGCCCCGCCCGCGCCCAAAGGACAAAAGGGCGGTGGATCAGGATCGTTTTATATGCAGTCAAAGGTTGTAAGGGCCAAGCAGAGGATCGAAGCCGAATGGGAGCAGTTGGCAAAGAATGTGGGCGAGGCAGGACAGGGAGGAGGAGCTGCAGCAGAGTCGACATCGGCACCGCCACCGCCGCCCCCTCCGGCAGCGTGAAGGGAGGGGTGTTAGGGTGGCTGGAAATGCTAATGTCAAACACATCACTCAGTAAAGTCGATTCGAGGCAGAAGGGCTTTGCTTCATTGACGGGCGCCGCATCACGCAAGTGCGGCCTCTCTTCCAATACGCCCCGCCATCCTCTTCCCGCACCGGTATCCCACGATGCCAAAGCACGCATATCCCACGCCCGCAAACAAGGCGAGGAAAAGCATAGCGAGCTCACAAGCCCAGATGCTGCACCAGGTAGACGCCCCAGCTGCCTTGCCCGCACTGCAACTCGTCGCTTTGCCTCCACTCATGAAGAGAGCGGCACACAGAGCGGCGAGGACGACGATGCAGAAGCCCGTGAGCCATAGCAGCGTGTGTAGGAGAGAGCCAAGCGCCAAGGAGTGAAGACGTTCCGCCCGCATCCGTGCCAGGAAGCCACCGCCTCCACGACTATGTCTACGGCGACGACGACGTTGGCGAGAGGAGCGGCGGAACTCGCCTGGCAGTGCGTCCCACTCATCATCTTCGTCCGAGCTTCCGTCGTCCGTATCGTCGTCCGAGCGATCGTCTCCCTTGCGGCGCCCACCACCGAGCATCGTCGGATCCACTATGAGATTGACTGTCGGCGGCGCTTGTGGACCCATCATGATCTGTCCCTTCTTCTTTCTGCCAAAGAAACCGCCGCCCTTGCCCTGCTGAGGTCCTGCGCCAGCCAGCACTGGGATGATCATGCCACCCATGCCACTGGCAGGCCTAGCCCCCGGCCCACCATCACCCATCTTCACAGCCTTGCGCCCAGCGTCGCAGCAGCACGGTCGGAAGAGGAAAAGCCACGTAGCCCCTAACGCGCAGATCAAACTGGCCGCATGGACGACGTAAGAGCCCCAGCTGCTCTTGATGGCAGGCGTGTCGCTTGAGGTTGGTATCTTGACGACGACCAGATCTAGGATGGCGCAGAGAAATGCAGCGAGGGCGAAGAGGACAAAGCTGATCTTGAGGGTGAGCAGAGTCTTGCGCCAGGGCAAGACCAGCGTGCCTCGCGACGTCACGCTGCCTGGGTACAGGTCGGCATCTGGATCTGCCTCTGCCTCTTTTGCCTCCTCGGCTCCCTCGTCGCCATCGTCTTCACCGCGATGCTTGACTTTGGGTTTGCCAAATTTGCGCTCAAGCATCTTGATCCGCTCTTCCTTGACAAAGTCGTCGTAGCCGGGCGTGCCTGCCCCGGGTTGGCGATTGTAGCTGTGCTTCCCTGATCGCGTCATCGTTTCGCTCTCCCAGCCTGAGACGCCCGAAGGAGGTCGAATGGAGGTGTAGGCATGACCATTCGCGCTCAGGTGGCCATCATACCACGTTGCACTCCATTGTGGGAAGGAGGGGAGTCGGTCAGCGGCACCCCTAGGCGAGGAGCTGTGCCCGCGTGAGGAGGGTATGTGGTGGGCTGCATGTATGCCGAAGATGGCCGGCGGTGTTTCTGAGGCAGGGGATGCTGGATAGAGTGAGATAGGATGCGTTAGGGTGTGGTCGCTGGATGAGACATTGGATGGAGGTCGCCCAGGAGGGGCGTGGGCATAGGCGTACGGGTCGTGGTAGGTAGGCGCCATCCCATACGGATCATGATGATGATGGCCTGGCGCTGCATACTGCGGCCATGATACCGATGATCGTGGAGGTGGTGGGGGATGAGCAGGCGCTCCTGCAAAGTAGGGGTTGTATGCCGCGACCGAATGTGGTTGAGAATGCGCATAGCCGCCAACGGCTGAGATGCTGTCCGCTACGTCGTCATAATGAGCACCGCCAAAGTCTGCTAACCTTCTCTCCTCGTAGTCTGGATCGATGTCTTCATTGGCGTGAGCGTTCCCGTATTGTGTTGAGTAGCGTGAGAGGGGAGAGGGAGTGTAGCGATGACCCGCGTATGCGTGGTCCATTGCAATGAGGAGCAAGAGGCGACGAGGATAGCAGAGGGGTATGGGCGCGATGCGCTATTCGTAAGAGCTGTCGTCAAGTCGTTAGATCGTGAGATGGTCGTGAAAGCCGTATGCTGAAGCAGTCGTCTAAGTCATGAAGAGAGCAACATTATGAGTGTGGATTTGGATTGATGGACGCGCGGCCGGATCGAGGACACGAGGGGTTGAAGCGGACGTCGGCAACGACGCTCCCTCGTTCCGTCTTCGACAGGGGCCAAAGCCAAGCGCAAAGGGTGATTGAAGCACAGCCGTGCTGCTCCCTTGCTTGACCACAATCACAATGCACAGTCGATCTCACTAAAATGGTCATGGCTATTGTTACATGGTGATATCACGTCGTTCGCTACCTCGTAGTCATCGTTACGCCGTGCCCGAGGGCGCCTCGGCGTAGACACACTCTCTCACTCCGGCGTCCTTTACCACCTTGCCGAAGACTCGACGCCACTCCAGTGGATTGCCTCGAGATCGCCTCATCATCACTAGGCAGATGGGCCCAGTCTCATCACCACCTGATGCACGGAGCCGCTCGATGCGTACCTCGCCCTTGAGGGGACACTTGCGACTATCCATGAGGCCGAGGCGGATACGGATGCCCTTGGCGCCCTCGCTCACTCCAGCTACTTGCGCCGTGCTGTCTCTCCCCTCTGTACCCGTTCCTACCGCTGTTGCAGGTCCATTGGGCCCTGCCGTCACGTCGGAGCCCGACGAAGAGCGCGACATAGCAGCTGCGCCTGTAGACGGCCCCGCTGCCTCGTCCCCATCCAACTCCATCTCTTGGTCGCCCTCGCGAGGAGCTGGCACAGCATCGCGGTCCTCGTCATCGACGTTGGCGTCGCCCAACGGTTCAATACTGTTCTGGATTCGCATGGCGTGGAAGACGGTCGTGAGACGGAGAGCGACGATGGGCGGCGACGAGTGCGAGAGGAAACGAGTGAGGTTCGGCGTGAGGGACAGGGTGGAGCGAGAGAGCGCAGTCGAGGGCTGAGTGAGGAAGTTGAGCGCCTGCGTGAATTGACTACCCTGCAGGTCCATTGCAGCTGTAGTTGGCCTGTTCGCGGTGCTCTGGCTCTGTGCAAAGTTCTCGCGCCTCGTTGTGAGTTGCTGACTGAGACTGTCCAGAAAGTCGCTTCGTCTGACGTTGCGGGGAGCTGCAGTTGATGAGGGCAGCGAGTGGCCGTAGGCGTCTGATGATGAGCCTCCGAGGTGAAGCGTCTTGCTCTGCATGGCCTCTGGCTGAGTGAAAGAAACCGTCTCTGGCACATCCGCGCGTGCACCGTCCGAATGTAGCTGGTTGGCCCTCTCGTCGGCGGTTAGAGGCGCTGCGTAGTCCATCTCTCCATTCATGATGAGGCCTTGCAGAAGACGTTCGGCCAGTGTTGCTGGGTCGTTGCACTGGGTGCTCTTGGCCTCCAGAAGGCTGTTGGATCGCTGGTACCATCTATGCCTCTTGATGGCTTCGAGACTGAGTCGCTTTGTAGGGTCTGGGTGCATCATGCCTCGGAGCATAGCTAGGCGTAGAAGTAGGAGCTAGACATCCGTCAGTGTCGGGGTCTTATCTGCGCTGCGCGCCATGCCGAGCGCACTCACACATCTCATCACCAGGGATCCTGTTCCAGGGGTCGTACTCAAAGATGGTCTTGTCCAGGTAGGCGGTGTACTCTGGCGCCCTGGCGGTGGGTTCATCCCAAGGAGTGTTGCCTACAAGGAGGGCAAAGAGGACGACCCCTGCCGACCAGACATCGACGGGCTCTCCACGGTAAGGCCTGCCGTTCATTTCAGGGGCAATGTATGGCAGAGAGCCGCAAGCACCGCGCATCTCCCTCTCCCTCCCCTTGTGCTTGTAGACGGAGCAGAGGCCAAAGTCTGCAATCTTGAGGTTGCCAGAATTGTCGAGCAGCCTGCGTGAAGGGAGAAGGCGCGTCGATGTGTGAGCTGATGCGGGATGCTGGCTGGACCTACTGTGCTTGCTTACATGTTCTCTGGCTTGATGTCGCGATGAGCTACGCCCTGGCCGTGAATGTACTCGAGACCAGCGACGAGCTGAGTGAAGTAGAAGTGGGCGAGGTCCGTCTCTACGCCTACGTCTGGCGTGATCTTGTCAAATAGGTCGCCACCGCCTGCCATCTCGAGGACGATGTATACACCAGGGAGGTATCTGCCGCGCTCTTCTGCCTTGACGCCTCGCTCTTCGACGCCGAGGAACTCGAGAATGTGTGAGTGGCGGAGGATAGCATGGATCTGTACCTCCTTCTGGAGCGCTCTACGATCGGGTGGAGGATTGCGTAACAGTGAGACGACTTTGACGGCAGCTACGCTATGCGATGGGTGTGAAGGGTTGACGCCGCGAAAGACTCTGTAACAAAGGATGCAACTAGGTGAGTACTAAGTCGATGAATTTCTCTCACGGCTGCCGACTCACTTGGAGAAGCCACCGCCTCCAATATGCTGTTTCAGCGACCAGCCTAGAACTCGCGGATAAGCCAGTCCCGTCGATGATTTCGGCGTTGCCGCTGTCATCGCAAGGTGGCGATGAGAATGGGATGCTGCGTGGTGCTGAGGAGAGAAGACGGAAAGAGCTGCAACTCAGCTCTTGGAAGTGTTGCTCGAGGAGCGTGTCGCGTTCGCGGCTCGACCTAAATTGGCCTGCCTGGCCCTCCCTGACTCGCCACGTGACGCCTTCCGATGCTTGAGCAAGTGCCGCCGTTGGACGGCTGAGCGAGGCGCCTTTCGACATTTCCCATCGCATACGCCTCGCTGCATCCCCCCGATCATCATGTCGTCGTCGGAGCTGGCGAAGCTTGAGGAGCTCGCCGTCGTCAACAAGCTCACGCAGGAGATTGCAAAGTATACGTCCATCTCGGATGGCACGCTGGCTGAGTTCGTCCTTTCGCTCCACCTTGCAGCGCCTACCTTTGAAAGCTTCAAGACGAAGCTCAGCGAGGTCGGCGCTGGCGAGGATAGCGGCTTTACTATGAGCCTCGTCCAATCCATCGACCGCATCATCCGCAGAGGACATCCGAAATTTCAATCGGCTGCCAAAAGGAACGCAGCTGCGTCGTCGTCCAAGGCAGCTGCAGACGACTCCGCCACTCGTAGTAATGATGACGATGAGGAGAAGGCGGCAAAGAGGAGACAATTCCCTGGTCTGAGCATTCCAGACACTCAACTCGATACCGATGAGAAGAGGAGAGCGGCAGCGAGGGACGAACTGGAGGCCAAGAAGGGAAAAGCCAGCAGTAGTGCAGGCATGGGCGGCGTCGACGACTTCATGAAGACGTTAGAGGACATGGAAAAGACGCATAGACAGACTGGTGCTGCGAGGGATGGCAGAAGACGGTCGCAATCGCCGCCATCAAGACGGGGGGCAGAAGATACCGGGCGAGGCTACGGGCGCAGCGATAGTCGCGGCGGCTACGATGACCGCTACCGCAACGGCAATGGCGTAGCTGGACCGTCATCCCGCCTTGACGACAAGCCCATCATCTATAAGTGCTACTCTGGTAGAGTAACGAACATGAAGGACTTTGGTGCATTCGTCGCACTCGATGGCGTCAAGGGAAAATGGGAAGGCATGGTCCATGTCGGCAGCATTGCGCAAGGTCAAAGGCTCAATCACCCCTCGGATCTCTTGGCTCGCAACCAGCCAGTCAAGGTCAAGGTCATGTCCATCGCTGGCACCCGCCTCTCGCTTTCGATGAAGGACGTTGATCAGGAATCAGGTCGTGATCTAACACCGCATCTTCGCATCAAGACTGAAGCAGAGCTGGAGGCTGAACGCAGCCGACTCAATGCCCGCGCCTCAACTGGCGCCAACAGCCAGCCGTTGGGAGGTGGAGCCGGTAGCAGCAGTAGCGGTGGCAGAGGACGCGTCGAGATCGACGACGAGGCAGATCGTCGCGGGTCCCGCGTCAAGCGCTTGACATCTCCTGAGCGATGGGAGTTGCGCCAGCTCATTGCTTCCGGCGCTGCCAAGGCCTCTGACTATCCAGAGCTGCAGGCAGACGAAGAAATCGCTATTCCCTCTGCGAAGCAATTCGGCGCCAGTGCGGATGATGAATTGGACATCGAAGTGAATGAGAAGGAGGCGCCCTTCCTACGAGGTCAGACCTCAGCGACTCTCGAGCTATCGCCGGTAAAGATCATCAAGGCGCCCGACGGCACCCTTAATAGAGCAGCGCTGGCTGGTGCCTCCTTGGCCAAGGAGCGACGAGAGATGAGACAGCAAGAGCAGAACGACAAGGCCGATGCAGAGATGCGCGACACGTCTACGGGATGGCAGGATCCAATGGCCAGCAGTGACCAGCGTCTCTTCGCCCAAGACGTACGCAGCAATTTGGCAGCCGGCGGAGGTCCAGGTCAACTCGACGATCGTCCAGCGTGGAAGAAAGAGACGTTCAATAAAGCCACGACATTCGGCAAGGTCACCAACAAGACGATCAAGGAGCAGCGCGAGTCTCTGCCCATCTTCAAGCTGCGCGAACAGCTCGTCAAGGCTATCGACGACAACCAGGTCCTAGTTGTCGTTGGAGACACTGGATCAGGCAAGACGACACAGATGTGCCAGTATCTAGCTGAGGAAGGTTTCTGCGATGGTCGAGCCGGTGGACGCAGGGGCAAAGTTGGATGCACACAGCCTCGTCGCGTCGCTGCCGTGAGCGTCGCAAAGCGTGTCGCCGAAGAGGTTGGCTGTCGAGTAGGTTCCGAAGTCGGGTATACGATCCGTTTCGAGGACTGTACAAGCCCAGAGACACGCATCAAGTACATGACCGACGGCATGCTCCAGCGAGAGTGTCTCATCGACCCAGACGCCTCCAACTACTCGGTCATCGTCCTCGACGAAGCGCACGAGAGGACCATCGCCACCGACGTCTTGTTCGGCCTCCTCAAGAAGACACTCAAGAGGCGAAAAGATCTCAAGCTTGTAGTCACCTCGGCTACGCTCGATGCTGAGAAGTTCTCGTCGTACTTCTTCGACTGTCCAATCTTCACCATCCCTGGCCGAACGTATCCCGTCGAGATTCTCTACACCAAGGAGCCTGAGCCAGACTATCTCGACGCTGCGCTCATCACAGTGATGCAAATACATCTCTCGGAGCCGCAGGGTGACATCCTTGTCTTCCTCACGGGTCAAGAAGAGATCGATACGGCGTGCGAGATCCTATTCGAACGCATGAAGGCGCTTGGTTCAGCGGTACCAGAGCTCATCATCCTGCCCGTGTACTCGGCGTTGCCCTCCGAGATGCAGACGAGGATCTTTGAGCCGGCTCCACCTGGTGCGCGCAAAGTCGTGCTGGCCACCAACATCGCCGAGACGTCGATCACCATCGACGGGGTCTACTACGTCATCGACCCCGGCTTTGTCAAGCAAAATGCCTACGATGCGCGACTGGGCATGGACTCGCTCGTCGTCACGCCAATCTCACAGGCGCAAGCTCGTCAGCGCAGCGGCCGAGCAGGAAGGACGGGACCTGGCAAGTGCTACCGGCTGTACACCGAGGCAGCGTACCGCAACGAAATGCTTCCCAACCCTATCCCGGACATTCAACGCCAGAACTTGAGCTCTACGATTCTGATGCTCAAGGCCATGGGCATCAATGACCTGCTAAACTTCGACTTCATGGATCCGCCGCCTAGTCAGACGCTGCTCACTGCCCTCGAGAACCTCTACGCCCTCTCTGCCCTCGACGACGAAGGCTTGCTGACCCGGCTTGGCCGCAAGATGGCCGACTTCCCCATGGAGCCTCAGATGGCCAAGATGCTCATCGCCTCGGTCGACATGGGCTGCTCAGAGGAGATTCTTTCCATTGTCGCCATGCTCTCTGTCCAGAATGTCTTCTATCGACCCAAGGACAAGCAGGCGCAGGCTGACGCCAAGAAGGCTCGCTTCTTCCAGCCAGAGGGTGATCACCTCACCCTTCTGACCGTCTACAAGGGATGGGAGTCGAGCGGATACTCGCAGCCGTGGTGTTCCGAGAACTTCATCCAAGGACGATCGATGAAGCGCGCGCAAGACGTGCGTAAACAGCTGCTGGGCATCATGGACCGCTATTCACATGACGTCGTTTCATGTGGCAAGAACTACAATCGTGTACGACGAGCCATTGCATCAGGCTTCTTCCGCAACGCGGCCAAGAAGGACCCTCAGGAGGGCTACAAGTGTCTGGCGGAAGGATCAGGATCCGTCGTCTACTTGCACCCCTCGTCTTCGCTCTTCAACCGCGCGCCAGAGTACATCATCTATCACGAGGTGGTCTTGACGACGAAAGAGTACATGAGAGAGGTGACGGCGATTGAGCCAGCTTGGCTTGTCGAGGCAGCGCCGAGATTCTTCAAGACGGCGGATCCCAATGCCATCTCGAAGCGCAAGAAGGGCGAGCGCATTCAGCCCCTCTTCGACCGCTTCGCCACGGACCAGGATGCTTGGCGTATCAGTCGCGTCAAGCGTGCCACGAAGAGCAGCAGCACCTTTGGATGAGCTGGAGCCTGTGCGATTTGATGAATGTAAAGATGCTCTTTTCTGGAATCTCGCGTGGCCGTCGATGCGAGTCATGTGCACGGGCCGCGTCGGCTCCTCTTGCGCCCCTTTACACCCCCCTCTCGTTGCCCTCGCCCTCCTTGCTCCTGCCACACGCCGCGCTCGCAAAAGTTCATTTAGAGCCGGCGGCAATGTCTGGCCCTTAGAGGGCACAGAGCTGCTTGGCGTTTTGCCCCAACGAGCGACTTGTCCCCTAACCACTCGAAACAATAGCCCCAAGCTCACCATGAAGATGGTTTCCGTCCTCGCCCTGACAGCTCTCTTTGCAGCCAGCGCTAGCGCGCTCAAGCTTAATGGCCGAGAGCTGCCAAAGGACTTCAAGTACGGCTGCGGCGTCTCTGCTTATCAGGTCGAGGGAGCTTGGAATGCTGACCGCAAGTCGGCATCCATCTGGGATCGCTTCGCTCAAATGCCTGGCAAAACTGAAAAGGGTCAGAATGGTAACGTGGCCATGGACTTTTACCATAGCTACGCCAAGGACGTGAGTAGCGCGCGCGGTCGCTTGGTCCTCCACAGCCTCCTCACACGTCGCTCCTCTCATACAGATTCCACTTTTCTTCTCGGCCACGGGCATCAAGACTTTCGACACGACCTTGGCGTGGACGCGAATCCTGCCGCAAGGCACGGGCAAGACGGCCAACAAGGCCGGCATCGACTACTACCGACGAGTCGCCCAGGCCACGCACAAGGCGGGTGGTACCTTTACCGCTACTCTCTATCACTGGGATTTGCCCGAGGCTCTCCAGCAGCGCTACAAGGGCTGGGTCTCGCCCAAGATCGTCGATGACTTTGGCAACTATGCCCGCGTCGCAATGACTGCTCTTGGCGATGTCGTCGACGAATGGATATCGCTGAATGAGCCTCGCACCTTTTGCACCGAGGGCTACGGCCCTGAGCCGGTTTCTGCCCCTGGCTACAACGGCACCCTCATCGACCAGTATCGCTGCTTCCACCACGCGCTCCTGGCCCACGCTCGTGCCGCTGAAGTCTTCGCCGACCTCAAGAAGCAAGGCAAAGTCAAAGGTCGGTTGCATAGAGGCACGGTGGACGGGAACCAGCAGAGGACATGACTGACGTTCCGCGGGTCTCGTTGCTCTCTATACATCCGCATGCATTCCTTTCGCAGGCAAGTTCTCGATCAAGATTGATGGCGCCCCCGCCAAGCCCTTCGATCCGAAGAGCAAGAAAGATCAGGAAGCTGCGACGCGAATCATGGACATGCAAGAGACTGGGTGGGCTCTTGGCCCTCTCACCACAGGCGACTACAGTCACTCCCTTCGCGAGGCTTTCGGAAAAGACCTGCCCCAGTTTACCAAGCAAGAGTCTGAGTCGCTGATGCGGTCGTATGATTCCGTCTACTACGATGTGAGTATGCTGAGCTACAGGACATTACAGTACAGGACGCTGACTCAACACGCGGTGCAGGTCTACACATCCGTCTACGCCAAGCACATCGATGGCTGCAAACGCGGTGACGACACCTGGCCCTTCTGCGTTGAAGAGACGTCAGACAAGAATGGCAAGCCCATCGGCAAGCCTACGGGATCCGACTGGAACTTCCTTGTGGACGACACACTCTACTCGGGTGTGTAAGACCCGACTCATGTCTCGTAGTAGCCGCAGCTGACCTTCGTTGCTTGCAGGCCTACACTACATGCACGACCGCTGGGGTCTGAAGAAGCCTTTGATTGTCGGCGAGACAGGCCTTGCGGTCAAGGGTGGGGACAAGCAAAGTCTTGCACAGAAGCTCAACGACAAGGACCGCGTCGAGTGGTGTGAGTACAGCACAAAGCTTGATGTCTCGCCGAGATTGCCTTGCTTACATGATCTTCCGCCGTTCAGATCGCACCTACTTTGCCCAGATGGATCGCATCTTCAAGGAGGGCAATACAGTCAACCTTCAAGGCTTCACCTTCTGGTCGTGCATCTCCAACTTCGAATGGCACAGCGGCTACGGTCCAGACTTCGGCGTCATCTACGCCCCGCCTGGAGCCAACAAGCCCCGTCACGTCAAGAATTCGGCCCACTACCTGAAGGACGTTCTTGTTCACGGCCTATCTTCTGCCAGCACCAAGTGGGGATGACGTGCGCCGGACGGAATCTCGGGACCTCATCGCCGGACGATGAGGCTAACCCTCTGCCCTGGCTCTGATTAGCTTGCTTGGGGTGCTTGCTTGGGGTGCTTGCTTCATCAAAGACAATATGATCAAAACTTCATATCATGCCCTGCACCCAGACTTCTGCCCGGCTTGCCTTGTCGTCGTCAGCCGTCGCCTACTATCTACTCGGGCCCTCGTTCTCTGAAACGCCGGTCACTGCTGCTCCTCCGGCTCGCTCCTTGTGAAATAAAGCGCCGTGGGGATTGCGGGGCAGAAATTTCCAATCAGGGACCAGCGGGCCGAAGTCTTTGCGCCGCATGCTATCTCAAAGCGCCACGGTAGTCGATGAATGGCCGTCGGAGCTGATTGCTTGCGTCGGTCGACCCTCGCCTTGCGCCTTGCTCTTCCTCGCCCCTCGATCTTCCTCAGGCTCTTCTCACACCAGCTTGCTCCCCTCTGAGACCCCTATCTTCATCTCGAAGCTCTGCCTTACCCCTTAGCTAGCATACTACAGTCACTCTCTTTGACTCGTCATGCCGCCTTTCCTTACATCAGGCAAGCGGCTTGACGCCCTTGCTCTGCTGACTGCTTGGCTCATTCTCGCTAGCTTCTTCGCCATGGCTACAGCCAGCTATCAGGAAGGAGTCTTTCGCTTCGGCTACCATGAACAGCCTGCGACGCATCAGGACATGCTCAAGACTTATATCGAGAGCGCACAGGAGAAGGAGCAAGAAATGAAGCGCTTCATCGTCGAATTCACAAACGCGACGCATTATCAGAAGATCGAGGTGAGTTGTGGTTGACCAACTCTGTGTTGCACGGCTGACCTGAGCACATTTGGGTCACCATCGCCAGAGCGTCTCGGCCACGGTGGCCAAGCACATCGAGAGTCAGGGATACGTGGTCAAGCAGACGCATACCTACGATGATCGTCAAGCTTTCTGGGGCGCAACCTACCACGTGTCGCCGGCTACGAGCGGGCAGAATCACGATCCTCATCGTGTCATTGCCGGGGTGCAACGTGTCCCTAATGTGGCCCGCGTCTGGCCCGACTATCAACGTGTCCCGCTTGCTCACGGCAATCACGGTCTGGCACGCCGTCGCCACGCTAAGCAACCTGTCCCGCTTCACAATACCAAGCCGGCCAATGGAACCAAGACTCCGCCGACTGGAAATGCCGATGATTTCCCTCCTCATGTCATCACAGGCGTTGCACAACAACATGCGCTTGGGCGCCTTGGCAAAGGTGTTACCGTCTGCACAGGTAAGCGAGGGCGGATACCTCATCCGGGCTTGAGCATGCAATTGACCGTCTCCGCGTCCGCAGTGGACACCGGAGTCGACTATAGCACGCCCAGCCTCAATGCTGGTCGCGCCGCTGGCGTGCCTTGCATCGGTCCGGAGTGTCAGGTTCTGGGCGGAAGGGACTTCAGTGAGGCTTTGTTGGGCAGGGTCAAGCAAGACAGTACCGAGCTGATCATTCAGAACCTCCCTCACAGTCACGGATCCGTTCGATGGCGAGACGCCCAAGGAAGGACCTCTCAACTACAAGGACGTTCAGCACCCCGACAGCTCGTGCTGGCACGGCACACACACGGCCGGAACCATCATTGCCAGAGACACCGCGCACGGCTTCGTAGGTGTTGTACCTGAGGCTAAGCTACGCCACTACAAGGTGTTCGCTTGCACGAGTATCGATCCAAAGACCAACAAGACGACGCCCGGTGGCGGTGGCGGGTATTTGTCCATCCTTCTCGCTTCCTACCTTCAGGCCAAGAAAGATGGATGCGACGTCATGTCTCTGAGCTTGGGTGGCCCGGGACAGTGGGGCAAGGACGCCGCGGACATGCTGCAGTGAGCCGCACTGTGCATTCACAAGAGGTTCGTACTTGCTGACGCGACTCGTCTGCAGAACACGTCTGTCCCCAATGATGCCCTTTGTCGTCTCAAACGGCAATAGCGGCGACGGTGGCTTGTACACAGGCGTGAGTCGGGCAAAGCATTGCCCAACCCTTGTTTCCGGAGGATTCTGGAGCTCACCCTCTATGCCCTGGCTCCAGGCTGACTCCGCAGGCACGACCGCAGTCATCGCCGCGGCAGCCGGCTACGCAAATGGATCTGCTTCGTGGGGCTTCTGGCTTGACTCCGACCCCAAGCGGATTTACTCCGAGTTCTCCGAGCTGCCCTTTGCCCTCAACACGACCAAAGAAAGCTCCTACCCAATCTACTTTACGCCTGAAGCTGTCAAGAGCGTCGACGTCATCAACGAGTGAGTGAGGAGAAGCAACAGCGCTGATTGCAAGGTAGACACCCATTGATGACTACACCGCTCGCTCGCAGCGGCTGTAACGTCAAGAACGGCTCACTACCTGATTTGAAGGGACACGCAGTCTTTGTCTTCAGAGGCGGCGAATGCGATGGAGGGACCAAATTTCGCCCCTTCTACGAGGCCGGAGCGCGCATCATCATCGCCATCGCCGACTTTCGGTGAGCAAAGCGCGATTATGGTTTTGCACACGAGCTTGAGCTCACGCCCCAGCTTTGTCTACCAGCGAACCGTTTGCTCTGGCAGCCTTCAGTGAGTCACAGCCTGGCAGACAAGCTGGCATCATGCGTCGTGAGGATGGTCAAGCAATCCGTGAAGCCTTCATCAAGAGTCAGGGGAAGGTCAAAGTGGTCTTTCCTGGCACCCCTAAGCTCGTCTTCGCCCCGGAGCGTGTTCCTGGCACCCCAACCTTCTTCAGCTCACAAGGTCCTAGTGAGTCGGTGCGAAGCCCTTGCCCTGAGCGAGCACCAGCCTGACCCTCTATCTACGTCTTCAGCTTGGAGAGGTGAGGTCAAGCCCAACGTCAACGCACCTGGCTGGAACATCCTGAGCTCTGCCCCCGTTCCTTGGGAGGCCAGCGTCAAGAGTGGCACGTCAATGTCCGCGCCGCTCATCGCCGGTGTCGTCGCCTTGTTCAAAAGCATTCATCGCAACGCCTCGACAGAGGATGTGCGCTCTGCCATCACCCTATCCTCAGTACCCTATCGCGGCATCAACACGAGCGATGAGCTGGCCAGCGTCTTGGCTCAAGGTGCTGGCACGGTCAATGCGACGGCCATGATTGAGCTCACCACCAGAACGCAGCCCACGTATTTTGCTCTGCGCGACTCTGTTCACTTTGAAGGGAAGCACCAACTTGAGATTACGAATATCGGTAAAGAAGCTCAGACGTATTCGTTTGATCACAAGCGAGCCAAATGCCTCTATGCTCTTCACGAGGGCGCACCCAAGTCCGGTGATAGGGACGAGGGCCTTTGGGCTCTTCGACCTGAGGAATGTCCCGATGACACGTCGCTGACGGTGGAGCCCAAGACGATCAAAGTCGACCCAAGCAAGACGGGGACGGTGACGGTGACATTGAAGCCCCCTTCGCCCAGCCCTCGCCTCAAGATGTACTCGGGATGGCTTCTCCTCAACTCGTCGAGCTCCACAGGCGGCGGCGTCATCCCGTATGCTGGCACTGGCGGAGATCTCCAGGCCACGGGGTCATTCGACCACACCTTTGACCTGTGGAATACGACGCTTCCAGCTCTCTTCGATGCAGCAGACAAGGAGCAGATCCAGAACGATACGACGACGTTTGTCGTTGGCAGCAACTCGAGCACTTGGCCAGCCGTGCTGTGGAGCCAAGCTCTTGCCAGTCCTCTGAGCACATGTGACCTCGTCCGCGCCGACATCAACTTCAAGGCTACGCAGCCGATCGTCGAGGCTCCTAGCAAGCTTGGCAACCTCTTCAACAGCCCCGGAGTCCCCTATTACTCGTCAACGAGACGTGCCGTCGTGGAGGCCAAGGACATCCCAGTCGTGGCTCGTTATTGGAACTACACCTTTGCAGACTCTCGCGACTCTGCCGACATTACTCACCGTCGCGGTGCCTATTCGTACGTATGGCCGCGGAAAGCGCGTCAGGACACGATGGCTGACACGAGCCCTTCATGCGGTTCGCAGGTACTCTTTCTGCAACATTGTGAGTTCCAAGGGCGAGGCGCGTAGGCGGAATCGTGCTGACTTCGCACGCCCTCCTCTGCTAGAAACCCGAGGCCTACAATCTTAGCGACCCTGGCTTTGCTGCCTTTAATGTCTCGGACGGCTACTACCGTCTCTTGATCCGCCTGTGCGTATGTGCGGGATGGGTGCAACGCAACCTACTGACCGTATTTACTGACTCTGCTCGCCTGCAGCAAGCAAGTCTACTCCAGCGATGACACCAACCACGAGGACCAGTACACGTCATACCTAAGCCATGCGTTCCACTTTGTGAACAATGTGACAGCCCACGTCAAGAACCACACCGTCGACGCGGCCAAGGGCAAGCCTGTGGTGCCGAGCAGCAACGACGCCCATCCCAACAAGACCAAGACCGGGACGCCTCCTTCCGTTGACGCCCATGTCAACAAGACGGACGAGGGCAAGCCGCCTAGCGGTGACGTTCATGTCAACAAAACGAGCGCGACGGTGCCTCCCACCGACGCGAAGCCGGCGGCCGCCAACGCAACGCCTCCTGCCAACAAAGGCGATGTCACGCCTGGAGCCAAAGTGGTCCTACCTGCCACGGCGATGACCTCGGCCAAGACACCTCCTTGATTCGCCAGCGTCGCCTCTGTCCATTGCGAACGCTCTTTCCGCCTCCTCCTCATCTTCTTCTCACTTGCTTATTTAAGCGTTCTCGTGCCTGGCCTAGCCTAGCCTAGCTTAGCTGCTGCTGGTGCCGCCGCTGTAGTCGCTATCTTACCTTGGCGTGCGTGCTGGCGTGCGTGCTGGCGCGCGTTCTGACTCGCCGACAACTCTTCTTACTCATCCAAATTGATTTAATCTGCTAGCCATTTGCGCGTTTTCACACAGAGAGGTGAGGGCGCGGAGGGCCAAGGGGTGAAGCTTTAGGTAGGAGAAGGGGGGAGGAACAACGGGAGAAGGGAAGCGGGGACAAGAGAGCGCTCAAACCTCGCGTCGGTCGTCGGCACTGGCGGCGAGGGCAGGGGGAGGCGTGGGATGCTGTTGCTGTGCTCAAGTGCCCGTGCATGTCGTGTCCTCTGGCCCCCGCACTCGCGTGGCTGCCGCGCCTTGCTTCCCCGCTTTTTGCTTGAGCGGACTAAAGCTGCAGCTGGGCCGAATGGCAGAGGGATTAGAAACAGGAGCGACAGCAGCACGAAAGGCAGCGAGGGAGCGCCAGACCGGCCTCCGGCTTGAGGAATTGGAGATGGCTCCCCGCTCTGCCTCTTTCCTCGCAGCCTGCACTCCCCGGACCGAGTGTTGCATTGCAGTACAAGAGACGGTCGAGGAGATAGGCTTGCTCCTTCTCTCTGCACGCCACCACCCATCCTAACCCCCTCTCTCCCCACGTCTACTACACTACCATCATGTCACGAGTCATCGTTGTCGGAGGCGGTCTCTCAGGGTGAGTGTGCCACAGTGGAGTGTACCGTCGGACGTCAGGGCTGCTCACACGCCTTTGCCACCAACAGATTGAGCGCCGCCCACACCATCTACCAGCGCGGCGGAAATGTTCTCGTCATTGACAAGGTGCGCAGACCCGCCGAGTTTGTGGCGCGTCGACGTCGACTCACAATCCTCTCACACCCTTTGACGCTGCGCGCAGAATGCCTTCTTCGGCGGTAACTCGACCAAGGCCACCTCAGGCATCAACGGTGCTGGCACCGCATACCAGTCTGAGCAGGGCATCCCCGACAGCGCAAAGGTGAGCGCTCGATACGACGATGAAGATGACGATCTCGCAGACTCGGCCTCTCACATCATCTCTTCTCGCGAACACAGATCTTCTTCGATGACACCAAGAAGTCGGCTGGCGACCTCGCTCGTGACGACCTCATCAAGGTCCTCACCGGACGCTCTGGAGAGGCCGTCAACTGTGCGTCATCCCCCAGAGACTGACAGCCAATCGAGACGACGTTCTGACGCCACTCACCCTCCGCCGCACGCAGGGCTCTCCGACTCCTTTGGCCTCGAGCTCAACAAGATCTCTCGTTTGGGAGCCCACTCTCAGCCCCGTACTCATCGTGGTGCAGCTCAGTTCCCTGGCATGAGCATCACCTACGCCGAGATGTGAGCGAACGCGAGCGCGAGCGCGCACGAGAGCTAGAAGCAAGTGTTGCTAACCCTCTACCCTCGGTGCACCTGCGCAGGGAGAAGCTCGAGGACCTCGCCGAGGCCGACCCTGAGCGCATTCAGATCATCCGCAAGGCAAAGGTCACCAGCCTCATCTACGAGGACGGAGACGTCAAGGGCGTCGAGTACGAGTTCCAGGGTCAGAAGCACAGGGAGCACGGCCCCGTCATTCTCGCCACCGGGGGTTACGCCGCCGACTTTGACGACGTCAACTCGCTCCTCAAGAAGCACCGTCCCGACCTCATGCACCTCTCGACGACCAACGGCGACCACTGCACGGGTGACGGCCACAAGATGGTCGCCGCCATTGGCGGTTCGCTCATTGACCTCGAGAAAGTTCAGGTCCACCCGACTGGTCTTGTTGACCCCAAGGAGCCCGAGGCCAAGGTCAAGTTCCTTGCCGCCGAGGCTCTTCGCGGCTGCGGTGGTCTTCTCCTCGACAACGAGGGCAAGCGATTCGTCGACGAGCTCCAGAAGCGCGACTGGGTCTCCAACGCCATGTTCAAGCACGACAAGTTCCCCGTGCGACTGATTCTCAACGGCAAGGCATCGCAGGAGATTGAGTGGCACTGCAAGCACTACGCTGGCCGTGGTCTCATGAAGCGCTTCGAGCACGGCGACGAGCTGGCCAAGGAGATTGGCTGCTCGCCCGACACGCTCAAGCAGACGTTTGACAAGTACAACAAGATTGCCTCTGGCGAGGAGAAGTGTCCATTTGGCAAGAAGTGAGTTTGCGAGGTGTGAGGCGTGCCACGAAACGATGGCGATCTGACTTCTCTTCACGCCCACCCCGCTGGCAAACAGGTACTTCTCCAACGGTCCCTTCAAGATGGACGACTACTTCTACGTCGCCCAGATGCAGCCCGTCCTCCACTACACCATGGGCGGTCTCGAGATCAACGACAAGTCCGAAGTCCTCGACACCAACCAAAAGGTCATCCCCGGTCTGTACGCCTGTGGTGAGATTGCTGGCGGTGTCCACGGCGCCAACCGATTGGGTGGCTCGTCACTCCTGGGCTGCGTCGTCTTTGGCCGAGTCGCCGGCGACGCATCGTCTGCCTACCTGATGCGCGGCATGTCGACGGGCAAGATCGCCTCTGGCCGTGCTGGTCAGGTCGCCAACCACCTCGCCACGACGGTCACAGTCCACCCGGAGTCGAAGAACGTTCAGCTCACCTTCTCATGGGCTGACGCTCAGGGTGGCGCCATGACCGCCTCTGGCTCTCCCGCCGCTGAGTCAGCCCCACCAGCGCAGACGAGCAACGCAGCCACTTCTTCGCAGCCCACTGGCCAAAAGAAGGACAAGGAGGTCCAGCAAAAGGCCGAGCAGAAGGAGTACACCCTCGAGGAGGTAGCCAAGCACACTGAGAAGGGCGACCAGTGGGTCGTCGTTGAGGACAAGGTCTTGCACGTTGACGACTTCCTTCCCGACCACCCTGGAGGAGCCAAGGCCATCGAGATGTTCGCTGGCAAGGACGCCACCGAGGGCTTCCTTCAGTTCCACGAGCCCACCGTCATTGCCAAGTACGCGCCCCACATTGTCATCGGCAAGCTCAAGCAGTAGGCGTGCGCGCGTGTGACCCGTTCTCCTTCTGTATTTGATTCCATGCTTCTTTGCCAATGTCATGACCACACATGCCACGCACGTCGCGCGATGAGTGAGATTAGTGATGGCGGATAGGCGGGGTAGACCTCTCACCATGACCGCCCCGACGGTTGTCGCGTTTGCGTGTGGCGTTGCTGCAACTTGCGCCCTGCTCACCGCCACGACCACCTCAAAGTCGTGGTTGCCAGCAATGCAAGGCGGGACAACACGCCCCTTGTCAAGCTCGCCCGAGGGACAATAAGAGCAATTTCGTTCACGTGAAGATTCCTGCGCTCGCTGCGCGCAAAGCAGGGAGGGGATGCCTGTCTCCGCGTCGTCACAGGAATGCACTGCCTTGGACGAGAACATGAAGCGCAATGCAGAACTCAGCGAGCAGGCGGCTACAGAGACACAGGTGCGAGGTGCTGATCGATCAAGGTGGGCTTAGGCGACCGTTCGTCCTCTTCTGCTTTTCCCGTCCACGAGCGAGGACCTGGCAGAGCAGGCCCGGCCGTCGCGACTCCCGTACCGCGGCGCTGCCAACGCACGTAGGCGACTTTGCCTACCAGCCCATCACTTTCAGCAACAAAATATCATCCATCATCGCCCGCGCGCTTCACGGTAGCGAGTCAGGCATGCTGCTTCACAGGACGTGATACGGCTTCCTTTCGCGCGATAGACTTCACTGGATTCGCAGATACCCGATGCGCTGCGGAATCCACATCAATGCTAGACTGCCCGCGACAGATCCTCTGAGTGGCGGCATCATGAGTTTCAGAGGCGGGAGTGCAAGAGTCACGTTGCAGAGCGACAGAAAGGACCATGGTATGTCCCGGCCACTCGTCAATCCGAGCAATCGCATCAACTTTTCGACCCAAGGCAGGCGAGAGCCAGTATGTCATTCTACTGCGGAGTCGCCAAACCTAGACAATACAAGCGCTCCGGCTTGTAGCATGCCATTGGGACCGAAGAGTGCGCTCCGGATGAAGGCAAGCGCATCAATCGCAAGCGACGCCTGGCAGCAGATGTTCCTCGTTGATCTGGTAAAGCACGCCGCCGGCATATCGGAACCGCAATTGACGAAAGCGGGGAGGAGCGTGACGGGGAGAAGGAGCGACGAAGCGCAAAATTGCGCCGGCGCGTCACTGAGTGACGCGTGTGACCTCGCATACCACGAAATCAGAACATCGTAGCAAACATCTTTGCAAATCGCCGGAGCAGCTTAAAATTTCATTCTTTCCTTCGTCGCAGCACCAGCAGTAACAGGGCGCACTTCATTCCGGCGACAGACCCACTGCTCCATTCATAGACTTTTGAGCGAGCAATATGACCAATGTCGATATGCTTGCAATCGCCTTTGCTTTGCAGTCCGTTCGCATTTTGCATGCCGCGGATACTCACCGGTCCGCGCCACGCATCAGGTGGTCGCAGCACATCTCACATGTGCGGGCTATCCTCAGCCGCAGAAAGCGGTGGGTCATCAAATAAGGCGATGTCCGTGCTACCAGATGCATTCCTCGGTGTCATGACCTCTTCTTGAGCGATCGTCCATCAAACACACGCGATGGAGGTTGCATGCAAAATGTTCAAATGCGGTCGACAATGTCTGTCTATCTGCAATACAAAGAATGAATGACTCCAACGCAAGCTTGAAAGGCTCATAATACCCGTACGGCGAAGGTGACGTCCAGATGTTGTGTCCTAATGATCGCGCTTGACGCCACAGCGCGCTGCTTGATGCTGAATTTCAATGCTATCCGTTTGCGTCGCCTGCCATGCTGAATCGAAGGACGTAGCGCAATGCCGAGGTGGTGCGGTGACTCGATGATTGCAGCAGGTGCTGTGAAGACTTCGCCTTGCGGCGCAAAGCACGCCGTTGAGTCGATCTTGGTGCTGTGGTGCGGAGGACTGCGATCAATGAGCCTGGCGAGACTCGCTCGATCCATCAAGCGCATCGCAAGTGGATTGCGTGACGTGCTGACTGAGGAAAAGCTGCTGCGGAAATCAGCTGCTTTCAGCGAGATGAAAGGCGTAGGTCTGACAGCAGTTCGACAGTGGGTCGTTGTTGCCGTGCTTGCGACAATGAAAGCTGTGCTGGCCAGATGATGGGGCCCGATGCGAGGAGCGCCGCTTGCTTTGAGGTGTTTTGTTGATACATGCCTGGTAGCCGTGAGGCTCTGTGCTGCGGCCACGCGCGTCTTTGGCGAAGCGTCTCATGTACACTGTCAATTGCGTCGCTGCCGAAGCCATTTCGATAGTCATCGCTGCTGACGCCGTCGACGAGAGTAGCTGCGGGGTTCGGCGGCGGCTGGTCTTCAGCCTGACTTATAGACGCCATGCTCGGAATTGAGACCTTGCGTCGAGGTCATGAGAAAGTGTAGCGGCTCCAAGTTGGTGTGTGTTGGACATGGTGGTGCCGTCGCAAGGATGCGATCGTCGAGCTTGCTCTACTGTGCTTTGAGTCCAGCAGTCTTACAAAAAGGCGGCGAGCGGCGGCGACGTGAACAATGGGATGGGCCCGTGTAAGCCTTTCACGAGGAGCGGCGTAGGGTCTCCAAATCTCCGAGGAGCATCAAACGACACATCTGGGCTGATTGCATGCTGAGGGCGACGCAGACGCAGGAGGGGCGAGAATGGATGGAATGGCAATGAAGGAGAGAAAGGAGAACGCCAAGAGCGACTCGGACCAAGAGACGAGTCTCGTGGGCGAGGGCTGACGCAAACGCGAGGACGTGGGCCTGCGAGGCAAACACACCGAGGTGCGACTGCAAAGCGCGGCCGGCGTAGCTGGCCTCGGGGGGGCCGACCAGGCATGCCATGGCGTGGACCATCCAAGCGGTGACGGCGGGGTTCGGCGCCGAGCCAGCGTCTATCTACGCTTGTTCTCACCGCTCGCCCATCGAGCTTCTCAACGGTGATCAATGTTCATTAACGGACGTGAAGCAGCAAAGACAGTCTACGTGTATGTGCAATTAGCTCTGCAGGATCACCTTGGCGATGGGGAGTATGGCGATACTGTGCGGAGGCAAATGATCGCGGTCAGCGTTCGCTCGCAGCATCCAATCTCGAGCCGCGGTACTCACCCTCCCGACGTTGTACCGGGTACCTGCAACCCGCCTACATCCTGAGCCTCGGGACGCATGCTGGGTACCCCATTTACGAGTTGCGGCGCCGTAGCAGGTTTGCCATCGGCGGCGGCTTCAGTTGCGACACCAGCCTCCATGTCTGCGGGAACGACAATCGTCGCCTTGCCGTGACGGATGGCCTCTTGCATAGCTGGGTCGCGCGAATCATACATGACGATGGACTCCGTTGGGCGCGGTGCGCCCTCCTTGGTGTGGTAGACGACGAACTTGCGACCGAGACGGCGGAAGAGGGATGAACCTACGACGTGGCGTTCAGCTTCCGTAACTTCGTGGTCGGCGTCCTGGCCGAAGACTACGGACGTGTAGTCAAAGGCCTTGAGCATAAGGTAGAAGCCCACAGCAAGAAGCGTGCCGATGAGGGGGCCCACCCAGTAGATCCAATGATAGCCAGGGAAGGAGCCCGAGACGACTGCAGGTCCAAAGGACCTCGCGGGGTTGATGCCGCAGCCTGTCCACGCTACTCCGAAGAGATGGTCCGAGAGGAGGACGAGCCCGATTCCGATGGGCGCGAGGTACGTGGAGCGATGCTTCTCGGCGGCTAGGAAGAGGACGGTGAGCACGAGCGTGGCAGTGAGAAAGGCCTCGATGAAGAGACCTTGACCGATATTGACGCCGGGCCCCAGCGTTGTTGTCACCGATTGTGCTCCGCCGAACGGAGTCAGCGCTGCGACGAGGGCAGCTCCCGCGATTCCGCCTGCGAGCTGGGCGACAACGAGCAAGATGGCGCGCAATGCGCCGAGCCCACCAATGAGCCAGAGTGCCAATGTGATGGCCGGATTGAAGAGGCCGCCGGTGACGCGATAGAAGACCCAGGCGGTGACTAGGAGCGAGATGCCAAACGAGACGGCGATGAAGATGATTGTCTGCGCGGGCGGCGCGGCGCGTCAGCACGTCAGCAGCAGAAAGATCTTCGTACCGGCTCCTCGTCGCGCACCCACCTGGTTACCAAGTGCGGTCTGCAGACCCTCCGTCTGGCTCGACGTACGAGTGTACTGCGCAGTCTTGGCGCCTCCCAGCGCGAGAACTGCGGGTGGAACGAACGGGCGGTCAGCTTAGAGATTAGCTCTCGTCAGTCGATCGAGCTTGAACGCACGCAAAAAGAGCGTCGTGCCCGTGAATTCGCCTAGCGTGGCAATGAGGTCTTGCTTGATTCCCATGACAGACGTGAGGAGGGAGGTGAGAGAGGTGCGGGGCGGGCAATGACATTCCAGCAAGCTGCCCTTTCTATACATGTTCCACTCCCCCCTTCACTGCGTCTTACGTTGAGGACAGCGGTGATGTCACCTCGCCCAACACCGCTTACACGCACGGCCACCAGGAGCGCCACGAACTTTTTTTGCCGGGCGAGGCGAGGGCGAGGAGTCGAGGACCCTGTGCCGAGGCCCTGACCAGACCCTGAGTGCAGCACTTCCGCTGCCCATCTGGCCGATCTGTGAGAAAACGGCGGACAAACAGGTCAAACCCCGCGACGCCTTGCGAGCGAGCCTAGAGGGGCAACAACGATTGCCAATTCAGGCGTCGCTACACACTGGATCTGGTACGAGATAGATTGCGAAGACGAAAACGCCGAGGGAACGATGACGCGATCATCTCTGCGCATGAGGCCGAGGCCGGGGGCCCTGCTGATCGAACTTGCCATGGAAGGGCGGGCGGGCAGGCGAACGAGCGTACGTCCCATACACAGCCTACGTTTACGCCACAGTCGAGCACCTCGAGTGAGCAAGAGCACGCCGCCCGCTCAGGACGTCAAAGCGATGTGACGAGAGGAGTGTGAGCAAAGGACGAGCGCCGAGAAAGAGCGGCAAAAAGAAATCACTCCCAACGAGGGGCTCGAACCCTCGACCTTCAGATATAAATCGTTCCTGTTTCGCAGGAAGACTCTCGTGAATAAGAGTCTGACGCTCTACCAACTGAGCTAGCCGGGATGAGTGACGCTTCATGTGGAGGTTGCGGTCACTGCACATACATATACCCATGTTCTGTTGAACTGCGCATCACCAGCGGATGCGCTCGCTCAGGCCATCTCAACGCCGCCTCACAGCTCGCACGCAGTCAAAGAGGCATGTGTTTCGATGACATTGCCCGACGGGTCGCTCTGCTTCCTCACATACACTCAATCTCGCCAGCCCGCCCACCCGTTGCATCGCTTTCAAGCCAGGGTACCCCGCCCCGCCGCCCGCCTAGAGCTTGGGGAACTCGGCGCGCGGGTACTTGGTCTGCTTCGTCGCAGCATCGTCGGCAAACCAGTAGACGTCTCCAGGAGGAGCCGGCTTGACCCTGCTTGCCGGTAGCTTGAGCTCTGGCTGGTCGAGCGCTTTCGCCAGCGACTCCTGCTTGCCCTCTCCCGCCATAACAAAGGCGATGCGGTGAGCATGGTTGAGGACCGGGTACGTGATGGTGATGCGCTTCGACGGCGGCTTGGGCGAGTCCTCAATCGGAGCGACCCAGCGGTCCTTCTCTTCGAGGAGCGGGTGCGAGGGGAACAGGCTGCAGCAGTGGCCATCGGGGCCCTGATGAACGGCAAGCATTTGGGAGGAAGAAAGGGTCAGTCAGCCGCCCCAATGTGCACGTCGCCGACTACTCGCAGCGCGCTCACCATGCCGAGCAGGATCAAATCAAAGACCGGGTTGCGCACGCTCTCCTTGCCGGCAAATGCGCCGACGAGTTCCTTCTCATAGGCATCTGACAGCTCCTCCGGGTCGTCGAGGAGTGAAGTGTCGATGGTGTGAATCTGCTCGCGCTTGAGCTCCGGTACCTTGGAGAAGAACTCCTTGTCGCAAAGGTAGTAGTTGGAGTCCTCGTGATCGAGAGGTACGAGACGCTCATCGGCGAAGAAGATCTCCCTGCGTGGTGTTTGCGGCGTGTGGGCAAAATAACATTAGCCGGCATAGACATAGCTAGCATCTCAGGTCACGCGGCCACGCACCACTTGTCCCATCGAACGGCGCCGTCTGTGCGGTTGATGAGGTCCTTTGCAAGCATCTTTGGCAGCGATCCACCCGAGGTAGCCAAGGTGAACTTGTTCCTCCTCTCGATGGCTTCGTTCTGAGCCTGGGCGTGCGATGCGGCGTGCAAGGGGAGGAGGTGAGCGGCGGCGAGTCGTGCGCCATTATCATCCACTCGATTTGCGCACGCACCTTGATCACAAAAGCGGCGAGGCTCTTGGAGAGATCGTCGGCATCGGGAAAGGAGTAGAGGGTCGGCGGCGAAGGCGTCTTAGTAGGCGCATCAGGTGCGAAGGGTGCCATCTTTGTATGGTGATCGGGGCGAAATCGTCGTTGGTAGAAGGACGCCTGGATGCTCCTTGCAACCAAGCGGCGATGGTCCCAGACCAGACCCGTCGTCCGTCGTCCGTCGTCCGCCCCGGCGCCCGCCTGCGTCACAGCGCGCACAAGCAAAGAGTCGACAGACGACGATGGCAATACACTGTGGCACGAGCCACCCAAGCAAGGGCGGATAGAGACGAATGAGAGCAGGCGATGGGGGCGAGAAGATCGAAAAGAAGCCTAGCAAAGCAACTCGGTCGAGCTCCTCGGCCGGCCATCCTCGTCCATGGCAGCAAGGCGATTAGCCATCACTGCCACATACCCGCCTCTGATTCGCCAATGCTCACCGCGATGGCAGGTGGTTCGCGCAACAACAGCGCCGAGGCGGCGGCTCTATGCCAGCGGCCCCTCTGCTTCAACCACCCGCTCCATCGCTCGCAGTCCAGATGAGCGTCGAGACATCAAGTCACTGCGTCACCTTGTCGAGGGAGACCACGACTTCTTTGCCGCTTTGCCGCTTGATGCTCATGGCAAGCCATTTTCAGACGTCGCCCTTTCGCTGGATTCCAGGTGGCCGCCACAGGCATCACAGGTCGAGCTCCTCTCCCTCGAAGCTCAACACCCGGGCGCCAGGCAGGCCTTCTGGCTTGTGTCCGCCTATCTCCTTGGCGCTGCTCTCGAGCAGCTCGGCGTATCCAAGCATAGGGTGATGCTCGCTGGCATGCCAAAGCTCCTCGAAGAGACGGCTCAAGGCGGTACAGGATTCTCTTACGAGTATATGCTGCTGAAAAGGGGAGACAACGAGGCAGGGCCGTCGACTACGCCCAGCTCCTATCGCGAGGCAGTGCACGCAGTCGCTACATTGATGCAGTCCCGGGCAGCTAAGCCGGTAGCTCTGACCGACAAGGACAAGGCAGCTACACAACAGCGTATCTCAGAGTGGGTCAACGCCGACGCCCACGTCGAGAGAGCCTTTGTCTCGCGCGCAGAGGCAATCGAGATGTTCGCATCAAATCCGTTCAAGCTGGAACGCATATGGGCTACTGCAGGCCATTCAATACCACTCTTCCTTCTCAAGACTCCCGGTCCGACAGGCGCAGTCATTCATCGCGACCTAGCGCCGCCACCTTCGTACCCTCTTCTTGATCAAACACGTGAGTCGCTGCCAAGGCGCCACGCAAGGCGAAAACAGCATTCTGATCATTTATTCCGCTCTTCATTCCCCTCTGGCAGGCCAAATCGCCGCTCTCGCCGTCACCGACTGGTCGACCGCTACCTTCACACCGACAGATGCCAGCGCCGCGTCCGTGGATGAGCTCCCCACCACCCAATGGCTCAGCAACGTCCGCGGATGGTCACACCCAAGCAAAGAAGTGCTCGAGGTCAGACTCAAGCAAGAAAGGTGAGCAGATGATCGAGCCAAATCGTAGAGGAGCGTCTCGGCTCACAGATCCGCACGCGCAGCGACATGAAGCAACAGGGTCGAGAAGGAGGCCACCTCGCAATTGGCAAATCTCAGTCTCTCTTCATGACTCACGCTCACTCTGCTGGCTCGCCTTTCCTCTTGCCCCACGGCACTCGACTGGCGCGCCGCGTCGAGCGGGTGATTCGCGACCTCTACGATGTCCACGACTACGACGAGGTGATCACGCCGCAGATCTACCGCAAGAAACTCTGGGAGCAGAGTGGGCACTGGGACAACTATCGTGAGGACATGTTCGGCGTCGAGGGCTTCAAGGAGCAGCAGCGCAAGGAGATGAAGAGAGCAGCCAAGGTTGCAAAGGTCATAGAAGAGCGACGAGGATGCTGCGCTGCTCATGATGCTGAGGGAAGTGGGCAGAGCGACGCCTCCACCTCTGCGTCCGCCTCTACATCGACGACTCCGCTCCCGGACATGGATTTCGGCCTCAAGCCCATGAATTGCCCAGGTCATTGCCTCATTTACTCTTCGCAGCCTCGCAGCCTCTCCGACCTGCCTCTACGCTTCTCCGAATGGTCTCCACTGCACCGCAATGAGCCTTCTGGCTCCCTCTCTGGCCTGACTCGCGTTCGACGCTTCGTTCAAGACGACGCTCACGTCTTTTGCGCTCCCGAACAGATCAAGGCTGAGATCGCAACGATGCTCACGATGCTTTCAGATGCTTATAGCGTCTTTGGCTTTCCAAATTTCGAGGTCGTCCTATCGACACGACCCAGCAAGAGTCTAGGAAGACAAGAAGACTGGGACCGTGCTGAGCAGGCTCTACAGGAGGCTCTCGATGAAGCGGGCGTGAGATGGACTTGTAATCACGGCGATGGCGCCTTCTATGGACCCAAGATCGACATTCGTCTCGTCGACTCGCTGCAGCGCAAGCACCAAACGGCGACGATTCAGCTCGACTTCCAGCTGCCGGAGCGGTTTGGCCTCACTTACGAGCCAGGCGCGGCTGCCAGCGCGGAAACGACCAGCGTACATCGCCCTGTCATGATCCACCGTGCGATTTTGGGCTCCGTCGAGCGCTTCCTTGCCATTCTCATGGAGTCGCGAGAAGGAGCATGGCCCTTTTGGCTCTCCCCTCGCCAAGCGTGCATCATCCCTGTCACGACGAGTCCGGAGGTGCTAGCATACTGCGAGAAGGTGAGGAAGCAGCTCAGCCTTGGCCTCGACTATGAAGCCGAAGACGGAGGGGTTGCGCCTCGCTCCCTGCAGCGCTTCTTTATCGAGATGAGTCCGCCCTCGTCGCTGGATATGCGCCTGTCGAAGCGTATCAAGAGGGCGCAGCTCGCAGGGTACAACTTCCTCATTATCGTAGGCGAGGGCGAAATGAAGGCGTCGACGGTCAAAGTGACGAGGCGAGCGATGCAGGCGGTTGTAGAGGGGAACGGCTCATGGTGGAAGCGACTGAGAAGCAGCGCAGCAGATGGCGTGGAAGCGCAGCTCTTCGGAGAGAGTGGCGAGCTGAGTAGCAGCGGCGAGCGGGAAGCAGGACAAATGGAGATGGGCAGCTACGAGGTTGGCAAGCTGCGAGCACTTTGGGAAAAGATGGATCGATGCCACTTGTGAGCACGATTGCGAGGGGCACATTGCATACCCTCCTCATCAATTAATTGATTGCATAAGACGATCATCGCCGCTACGACTTTCCTGCGAACTGTACGACGGCGTATTTGCCATTGACGCGCCACTTTGCATCCTCCTTCTGCACCCTCTCCTCGACTCCCTCACCCAATCCGACGACGACGTCTGCCTTGCACGTCCTGAGGGCCAGAATGTCGATCTTCCCAGCCAAGTCGCCCAGCGCAGTCTCGAATGGCGCAGTAGAGGGCCAGCGCAAGTCGCCTGTCAGCTTGCGGTAGTTGAGGTCGCCCTTGAAGATGACGAGGTTGCTCTTCTCGCGCAGCTCGGCGAGCAAGGCGGGCGCCACAGATGGCATCGCATCGAAACCGACACCCTCGGTCCAAAAGTCGCCCTTTTCGAGGCCAGTGGCTGCGCCAAGCCTTGTTGTCGGTGGAACGGAGAGCTTGAATTGGCCGCTACGCAGGTACGAGGCCCATGTCGCAGCCAAGCGCTGCGTTGCCGTCGACGAAGCCGCGCTGCGAGAGACACTGCGGAACCCACTGGCTGAGCGGCCCAGGCTAGCGGTACGAGCAGCGGGGCGACGTCCCCTTCTCTCCTCCTCGCCGTTGTCGTTGTGCTCCTCGTCGACGATGGCAAGGTCCGAAAAGCTGAGAGCCGTCGAGTCAACGAGGAAGGATCGGCTTGGCGAGACGGTGCGAGAGCGAGATGACTGGAAGTAGGCAGGGTCCATTTGCAGCGACCTTGAACCTGCTGGGACCGGAGCATCCTTGGAGCGACCTCGAGCCTCGACACTTCCCTCTCTCGCCTGAAGCACTCGTGATCCCGCTGGACTCTCTCCCGGCGCAGGAGCGGAGCCATTGTCGGGTTGGTACTGCAAGCTCCTTGAACCTGCCGGCGCAGGATTGACTCCTCCGGCAAACTCACTCACGTCTGCCTGAGCAAAGCGGTTGCGACTGCTCGAGCGAGCCCTGGCGTGCCTCTCTGCCATCTCCTTGGCCTGGACATCACTGCGATCCTCGAAGAAGCGAGATTCCTGAAGCGCTTCGATGGCAAAGGCAAAGTCGGGCGGGGTGACATCGCTGACGAACCAGGGCATGGCCTTGGCGTGGAAAACGACCTCCTTTGCGTGTCCGGTCGCGACGAGCCATTGTCCGAGCATGAGATCAGTGATGAGTTCGAAGCCGGAATTGTCGAGGACAATGTCGACTCGTCCGCCGCCTGAAGCTCGCAGAGTCTCAATGCGCTTCCACGCTTCGTCGAGGCCGCTGAGCCCGGAGAGAATAAACTTTTCACGACCCTTTTGCGCATCTGCACCAATGCCGCCTGCTTGGAGAGTCTGGATATCGGCGTGAGAAAGAGAAGTGAGGAGGGACAAGTCGGTAGCGTTGCCCCAAAGGGCGCTCTGAGCGAGAAGGAAGAAGGTGACCTGAGCGGGTGGGGGCCAGGGACAGAATACCGTCAGCTGAAGTGAGCCAAATTCTCACATCGGGGACGTCAAGCTTACCTTGATTCCCTCTGTGCTGGCCGCAGCTGCTCCTGCCTGGCTTTGCTGTTGGCCAATGAGCTTCTCGAGCGTCTGAGAGAGCTGCTCGATGGCTGCTCCTGACGAGCGGAAGGCGGAGAGCTTCTGAGAAGAAAACGGGTCATAGCTCTTCCAATGTTTGCTGAAGTCGAAGTAGCTGCGCACCTGTGTGAGGGGAGGAGTGACACAAATGAGCAGCTGCACGACCATCTGATAGCTCAAGTTGCTCGCTGGCCTGCTCGCTCACCAGCCTGTAGAGGTAGCACTCGGCAAACAACCATGCGGCCGAGAACCAGGTGGGCTTCTCGCGCTCAAGAATGTCGTTGTAGAGTTTGACATCAGGGCCAGAGTCTTGACGGAGAGGCTCCAGAGGGCGGTCCCTGCCAATGTCATGCTTCAGCTTGGAGAGCCTGGCCGAGGGACAAGAGGAGAGTCGATGAGCGTCAAAAGAAGTCTTGCCTGGGTTGCCCGCTGTCCCCCACGCGCCAACTTACTGCTCAATGATGACCTTGGACTCGTGTACCTTTTCTTGTGTGTCTGTAGCTGAGGAGGATGCTTCAAGGACGGCTGCTGCCTGAAAGAGTGCGTCGACTGCCTGTGTGAGGATGACTGGAATGCGATTGCAAAGCATGAATAATGGCGGGTTGGGTGGGCTGGCACTCGTCATCCTCGTCACTCACTAGGCCACCTCTTTGCGGTGCTCTCGAATGCGAATGACTCGCGGTCTGAGGCAGACCATTCTGGCGGACGTTGCGAAGAGGACATGCTGGTGAGGATCATGGTATGCGGCAGAGGAGAAAGCAACTAAGGCCAAGCCCACCGTCGTCGGCCTGGCGGGTCTCGAGTCCCCAAGGGAAAATGACCAACCACGTGGAGTTGGTCCGTGCTCACCACTTTTGCCCTTGCAGGCCGCCGCTCAGGTGCCTTTGAGTGTGCCTGCGATCATCGCCTCTCTGTTTGGCACACGACGCCCGCACGCCTTGGCGCAGCGAAAAGAGAGCATCGACTGGCGTCGAGATGAAGACAGTCCCCTCTGTCCAAACCATCGACGATGTCACATATCATAGCCGCAGTCGCCGGCAAGGCGACCGGTGAAGGCCCATCATCTCATCAGCCAGGCGTTTCCCCACCCTTGTCACCCAAGAATGTGCGCGACGAGGAAATTGAGCTCACTGCCCCAAAGGCTGCGCTCCCTCGTCCACCTTCAACGGCAACCGACAGGCATTTGCGCGAGCAAAGTGTCGGAGGGGATGCCTTTACCGCAGCCGGTTGGTCTGAAATCTCCAGAATTCCCAGCGTCAGCTATGCGGGAATCACGCCGGGCTCAGAGGAGGGCGACCCGTGAGTCGGCGTGGGCCTATAGCCCTCACACGCCTGGCTGACTGACCCTCCCCAACCCCCCGTCTTTCATCATGCGCAGCCTCCTTCTTCGCTCCCGACTCGTCGGTGAAAACGACCTGCGACGTCGTCCATCTGGAAAGGGCGGTCGCAAGGCCGAAAAGAACGTCAAGCGCTTCTACGAGGAGCAGAACGAGCACATTGAGCGACTCCTCAAGCCTATCCACGCTCATGGACAAGACGATGACAATGACCGTCAGGACAACGCCTTCAAGGTCAAGATTGCAGTCTACGGCAGCTTCGTGAGTGTGGCAGGCGCGTACCCAGCTTTGGCCTACTCGAACTGACTGTCCCTTCCCCTCCCGCTCATGCCCAGGCCGCCAACTGTATCCTGGCCATCCTCCAAATCTACGCCGCCGTATCATCTCTCTCTCTGTCCCTCTTCGCCACGGCGGCAGATTCCGTCTTCGACCCCTTTGCCAATCTGGCTCTTCTCTACTTGCACCGCAAGTCGACTCGCGTCGATGACAGGAAGTGGTGAGTGGACGAGCGCGAGGTCCACTAGGTAGAGTGGACATTGACCAGCCCTGAACTTCCGTCAGGCCCACCGGCGGTTCCCGCTTTGAAAATGTCGGCAACTGCGTCTATGCCTTCCTCATGGGCACCGTCTCATGCATCCTCGTCGTCGAGTCCATTCGAGACCTAGCCACGCACACCAGCGGCGACACCAACAAGCTTCATGTTCCATCACTAGTCGCAGTCGGCGTTGCCTTTTTCGTCAAGCTCTGCCTCTTCTTCTACTGCTTCGCTCTCCGCCGCTTCAGCTCCCAGATTCAAGTCCTGTGGGAAGATCACCGCAATGACTTGGGCATCAACGGCCTGGGAATCCTCACCTCGGCCTTGGGCTCCAAGATTGTGTGGTGGATCGACCCAGCGGGAGCCATGGTCATCTCGGCCATAATTATCACGAGCTGGTCGATCACAGCAGCCAGGAACTTCAGAGAGCTCGCCGGCTACGGAGCCCCGCCCGACTTCTTGCAGCTCGTCACCTACGCGGCATGGAAGTTCCACGACAAGATTGAAAAGATCGACGCTGTCAAGGCGTATCATACCGGGCCGACCTATACAGTCGAGGTCGACGTCGTCTTTGATCGCGATACTCCCCTCTGGCAGTCGCACGACGTGAGCGAGGCGCTCCAGAATCAGCTCGAGTCGCTTCCGAACGTCGATCGGGCGTTTGTCCATTGCGACTACGAGACGGATCATTCTCCCGAACACATGGCTCGTCGCAAAGTAGTGTGAGCGATCAAGACGAGCGAAATACTGTACATAGAAACACACAATCGAACGATAGTCAGATGACTGATGTCGCGCAAGCGGATGTGGCGGCAAGCAGCCGCGCCTTGAGTCATTGTGGTCAGCAGGCCAGAGCGCACGGGCCACTACTTCGGCGCAGATCAACCTTATTCATTCAGCGAGGTGACGGGACCTTTCTGAGCTAGCGTGGGAATCAGTGGCCGTCAAAGGGATGCAAGACTGCAGCCATCTGAGTCGTGCGACATTTGCGGGGCTCCTACACGAAGTGTGCAGGAAGGGAAACAGGCATTGCAACGTCGCTCTGGCTGGCCGGCGATTGCTTCTCCTCAGGTGACCACTGCCATATCGTGACCCTTCCGCGCAAGTACCTCCGATCATAGCTTCCCTCTCTTGCTTCGGCCTGATGCAGTGTGTATCTTTATGCACAGGTGGCCAAGATATGGTCACCGGATCACTGCCTTGTGTGCAAGAGAGGCAAGGGATGTCGCCCGACAGCGAGACGGGCCAGCTAGCTCTGTCCACGTCGCAACCTGCGCTTCGCGTGTATATAGGTATGTATCTCGACTCGATTTGGTTCGATTGATTTCTCCTCTATCCCTCGTCCATCCAATCTGATCACACATCTTCCGCAACTAAACTATCATGTCGTCTCAGATCCCTCAGAACCACAAGGCTGCCGTCGCTGAGAAGGAAGGTGGCTCCGTCAACATTGTAGACGTCCCTACGGCCAAACCTGGCAAAGGGGAGATTCTCGTCCAACTCAAGTACAGTGGGTGAGTGGGCGAGAAGGCGCGGAGTGCAAATCGGTAAGGGTGCTCACCACTGACCGTCCTTGGATGCTGTCTCTCCTTTCGCCGCAGCGTCTGCCACACAGACAGCCACGCCCTAATCGGCGACTGGCCAGCTCACGCCTCCTTCCCTCTGATTGGTGGGCATGAAGGAGCGGGTACGGTGGTTGCACTGGGTGAAGGAGCCGACAAATACCACCAGATCGGCGACCCTGTAGGGCTTAAATGGCTCTACAGCTCATGCCTCAATTGCGACTTTTGTGCCGCAGGGACAGAGCCTAACTGCCAGAAAGCTGAGTGTCATGGCTTTACTAAGAACGGCACATTCCAGCAGTGAGCTCCCACCAGGATCGACCACCGTATTGCGCAGGACTGACTTTCGTTGCTGCGGCGCCTACAGGTACGCCATTACCGACGCGTCTCACGCGACGCCCATTCCCAAAGGTCTCCCCCTGGACGCCGCCGCCCCGTTGCTCTGCGCAGGCGTCACAGTCTACAAGGCGATCAAGGTCGCAAACCTGAAGCCTGGACAGACCCTCGCCATCTCCGGAGCTGGCGGCGGACTGGGTCACTTGGCCTGCCAGTACGCAAGGGCTGCCGGTTTGAAGGTAATCGCCATTGACACGGGAGACGAGAAGAAGAAGCTGTGCGACTCGTACGGAGTTTCTGCTTTCGTCGACTTTGCTGCTGAGAAGGATCTTGTGGCCGCGGTCAAGGCTGCGAGCGAGGATGGACTCGGTCCCCATGCTGCTGTCGTTGCTGCGAGCGGAGCAAAGGCCTACGAGCAGTAAGTAAATCGCGATAGCGCAGTACGCACACTTCGAGTCCATCGCTGATCACTCAATGACCTCCTCTCACGCGCGCAGAGCTCTAGAGTACCTGCGCCCCACCGGTGTCCTCGTCCCCGTCGGCCTGCCTCCCAATGCCACGATCAAGATGGACGTCTTCTGGTCGGTCTTCTACTCCAAGCAGGTACGCCCGAGCTATGTGGGCAACCGCGAAGACGCCAAGGAGTGCCTCCAAATTGCCGACGAGGGCAAGGTCAAGGTACAATACAAGGTCAAGGGTTTAAGCGAGCTGCCTCAGGTCTACGACGACATGCATCACGGCCGCATTGCGGGACGTATCGTGCTGGACCTCGCCCGTTGAACATGGCGTGAAACAGGATCGCTTTGCCGCCAGGATTGTTTGTGTCTGCATCGTCTTGCCCTGTATCGCTCTCGTGAATGGAATGTCATTTTGTTCGGGATCGTAGAGAGACACGCTCACAGGTGCGCCGCTCCCGTCTTCTTGTCCTTCTTTCTCTCCTCATCCCACAGTCCTCCACTCTTCCACGACGCTCCTTGCACAAAGAGCTTGTCCTCATCACCCTGCTTGCCATACACGTCCTTGTTGCTGCTGACGGAATCTTCGCCCTTTGGCGCAAAGGCCGCTCGCATGTGGGCAATGAAGATGTGAGGCTTTTCGGTCGAGGCGAGATGCCCGCCCGTGGGCGACTTGGCGTACCAAGTGAAGCGCGAGGTATTGGAGCGAGAGGCATTACGAGCCCAATTGAGAGGGCAATCGATGATCTCGTTGGGGAAGCCCGTGTAGCCAAAGGGCACATCGACGCGGTACGTGGAATCGAGCATGTACAGGACGAAGGGCTTGTTGAGGGCGTAAGGGAGGAAAGAAGTGGCGGCACTCTTTGTCACCCAGTAGAGGAAAGTTTCGTGGAGGAGCCAGTCGATGTCGAGCTTGCTCTTTGTCTCGCCGCGGTTGGGGAAGATTGCCTCGATTTGACCCGGTCGCTCCTTGACTTCGACAGGAGCGTCATTTGGCTTGTTTTCAGTCTCATCCTGCGTGGTGCTGCGGACCTGTGCCCCGATGTTGATGCCGAGCCCGTTGGTAAAGTTGGCCATGTATCCCAAGATGGCGACGGGCGAATCGATCAGGCCGAAGCCGATTTGGGAGGGTCGCTCGCGCTGAATTTTGTAGTAAGCTGATCCGTAGTTGTTATAAAGGAGGGCCTTGCGTACAGCTTTGCGTTCTTCTTCGCTCATCGTCCAGTCTGCCAGCTTTTGGGACACCGACTCGGGCAGAGCCATGAGGAGGCCACCACCGTACTTGCCGCCAGGCACCGTCGGGAGGAAGTTTAGGTGGACAGCACGACAGCCGGAGCCATCGTTCTTTGCGAAGCGTGAGGCCAGGACACGGGCGTGAACTGATCCCCAGTCACCACCCTGAGCAGCATACCTGTCGTAGCCCAGACCTCTCATCAGAGCGTCGAGGAGGCGGCAGTAGCCGTCGACATCTCCAGTCTCGTGCTCCTTCGTCGGTGGTCCACTCGAGAAGGTATAGCCGGGCAACGAAGGGATGACGACGTGAAATGCCTGAGCGCTGGGATCTTCGGGCTCAGCGAGGGGCTTGGCGATGTGAGCGGCCTCAAGGAACGAGCCAGGCCATCCATGGCAGAAGATCAAGGGGATAGCATCTGGCCTCGATGAAGGCTGATGGATGAAGTGAAGCTGCTTGCACCAGTCGATGGACGTCGTAAAGTGAGGATAAGTGTTAAGCTCAGCCTCAAAAGCCTTCATGTCCATGTTACGCCAGTACTGAAGAGCACCCTTGATGAGCTCAAGGGTAGGAAATGCCTTTGGCTCGACGTCTTTGGACTTGGAGGCCGGGAACATGGGACCATCGGGCAGGCGAGCATCATCGAGCTTGCGGTGGAACTGCTCGAGGTCTGCGTCAGAGAATGAGATGGTGAAAGGGGTGGGCGTGGTGATAGCTGGGACTTCAGTCGGTGCGGCAGTCATGGTGGTGAGGTGGTGATGGTGAGGTGGGGAAAAGCATGTTACGACGGCTCATCCACTCGTCCGCTCTTTTTATTCCCACGCGTGGAGGGCGGCTCTCGGCTCGTCCGCTCCAAGACGACCAGACCCGGTCGGGGATGCCGAGGCCGAGGTCACGGCACAAGGTGCGACCCGATCGTGACATCGCAGGGACTGGATGAAATGTATTAAGCGTCTCAAGAGATAAATGATGTCTCACGGGCCCGCGTCTACTAAGCCGAAAGGGTCGAACACTATCTCGCTACTCTTCCAGCACCGCCTCACGTCGTGATCCATCCACCGACATCGATGATGCTCTCCAACTTGCGACTCACGAGCGACCCAATCCCACTCCCACCCGTGAGCCACAGTTTTGTCAGATCCAAGTATCGCTTCCTGTGCAGCCGCTGCGGCCTCCCCTTCTGCAGTCCAACGTCCACCTCACCATGCGAGTCGAGGTACGGCGAGAAGCTGAACATGCCGTTTGAATAGTAGAGGGCAAATATGACGTTTGCCTTGATCTTGAAGAAGAGGCCAACATTGCCGCCACAGACGGCTACATGGCGATTGCACTCGCCGCGTTCCGAGGACTGGTCCATGCAGCAGAAGTTCTGGTAGCAGACGAGCTCCCCACAGAGGAGGCACAGCGCCGGGTCAGGCGGGATGGTGCGACAGCGTCGGCAGACGGTGCGTTGCGTGTATTGGAAGAGAGTAGTTAGGTCCAGGGGGAGGTGGACAAGCTCGTAGATGGCTGGGTGCTCCAATTGTAGAGTCGGGTGAGAGGGAGAGGCGTGTTGCGATGTGGCAAGGCCGTCCTCGTTGAGGCTGGAGAGGGGACTGGGCGCAATGGGCAAGGGTCTAAACAGCGAAGCTAGCGGTGCATAGCAGTGCTTGATCCAGCCTTCGACGATGCTCGAGATGGGAGCCTGTCTCTCCGCTCGTACGGGTAAGGCTTGCGATGGTGGGACGATCTCGAGGTCTCGAAGTAAGCGGAGGTATTCGACGCCACCATCGCGACCGCTTCCAGCTCCATCGCCCGTGCTTGTGCCGCAGAGCGTGCGCTTCAATATGGCCGCTCTACGCAGGAACGGGAGCGTGTACGTGCAGAGCATCTTTGCCAGGCTGACATCGTCGAGAGAGTCGACACCGAGCGTTATGTTGCCCCTCGCATATCCGACGAAGCCCACGATGTTGCCCACCGTCCATCGCACGTCGGGAAAGCACTCCAGCAGGGCCGCCTTCTCCTCTGCACTCAGCCTCGACGGACCAGAGATGTGCGCGAGCCCGCGAGGCTGCGGTGAGCCGGCCGTGGCCTGTGCACCGGCTTGAGGCCAAACGCTGGGCTGCGCGAGACCAAAGACGGTCTGTACCAGTGTGGCGTAGTACATGAGCGTGGTCACCTGCGTAAAGTACTCCGGTACGATGGCTGCCGCCTCGACTAGGATGGCAAGCGGGTCGCGCAAAAGTAGAGGGAAGCGCACAGCCTCGTCTGAGCTCCAGTGGGGGAGCAGACGCTTGAGAAGACCCTGTCGCAGCGAGGCTTGGCCGCGGCCTTTGGTCTGCAAGGAAGCCACACTGCGCAGCGCAAAGACGAGGGAGCGCAGCAGCCCAACGCTGGTATCGCTTAGCCCGTCCGCAACGTTGTTGCCCTTGGACTCGATGCCACGCTGCGATACCTCGAGCATACTAATCGTGTAGGCGACCAGCTCCTCGGGAATGTACATCTTCCTGCTGATGGGCGCCAAGATGGTACGGCTTTGCCAGGCCACTCTTTGATGACGCGTCGAAGAGGCAAGCGGCTTGAGCACCTGAAAGATGCGGTCAAGCATGATCAAGGTGCTCTCATCGATGCCGTCTGGATTCTCGGCAATGGATGCCGGATCCCACAGCGAAGAGAGGGAGCTGTCAGCGTACCAGGCAGAGAAGCAGCCCGTGCCCGTCGTCATCTCTTGCACGCTGCTTGCTGTGTGAGCGCCAGACGTCTTGAGGATGTCGATGTTGATCTTGCGGAGCCAGTCACCGATGGGGGCGCGATCCAGCCTTTGATCGCCCAATCCTGAGCCTGGAGTTGCAGGCGACGTGGCTGCAGATCGCCTTGGTGGGATGGGGACGGGCAATAGGATGTTGCCCAAACTCTTGCAGAGCGGGCAGACGAACTCGCTCCTGCTGAGGTCCTCGGCCTGATTGCGGGCAATCTGACTCGCATGGCGCTGTTCAATGCTGCGATAGTACGAGTCGAAGCATCGCACATGCATCAGATGCCCACACGTCGAAGCCACGAAACCGCTTTTGTGATCGCCTCGCGGGAAGCCACCACTGGCAGGCGCAGCTTGAGGGTCGAAGGGAACCCCACTCTTCGAATCGCTCATCTGCTCATAGCGCTTCTGCACCTTCTCCTCGTGGTCAATGCAAAGACGGTCGAGCGTGAGAGGCACGTCGTTGACAACCTCGTTGAGTGCGGCGAGGCTATTGCGCGGTGTTGTGCGGATAGTCATACTCGGTGTGACGAGGGCCAAAGAGCCAAAAGGACTGTCTCGACGGAGTTGCTCTTGGCACATAATGCAGGAACCAAGGTGGCTGAGATCCTCGTCCTCGCCTTGCTGTTCGTCGTCCACCTCCATATCGTCATCGACGGCTGTGGCGCCAGACTTGTCCGCCTCTTCGTCATCTCCGCCGAACTTGTCCATGAGCGTCTTTTGACGAGCGTTGAAGTCCTTCATGATAGCCTGCTGACGCGCCTTTGCTGCCGCACGACGTGCCTCCAGGCTATTAGCACCCGATTTGGCCTGCGAGGGCGCTGTCACCTTGCGATGCGTCGAGAGCGCAGCCGCAGCCTGAGGCGCCGTCGCTGCCTCTACCTTTGCCACCTTGTCGAGACACCACGTGATCCTCGCCTTGAGAGCGGGTATTTTCACAGACTCCTCGAGAGAGCACAGCAAGTGGATGGCTGTCATCTTGCCGAGGGGGGCGGCAAGTACCGTTTCGATGAAGGTATCGCCTGCCTCGACAATGCCGATCATGACGAGCTGGAGGCCAGCGTCGACCACAGCTTCGGGGAGAGCAAAATTCGCGCTGGAGGCTCCAGGTGGTATGTATCCCTTGATCAGAGCACAGATGAGGATGCGTTGATAGATTCTGCTGGTGAAGAGTCTGCTGACGCCAAGACTCATGGGCGACGTCTCCTGCGCAAAGCCACCGAGAGGCACGGTGACCATCGAATCGGGGTTACGCCCGGCCTTCTTCTCCCTCGCGCGCAGCTGCTCATCAGCTCTCTCCCGCTGGTTGCGCGAAAAGTGAAAGAAGAAGGGATCGATCTCCTTGTAGCACTCTGCTTTAAGCTCAAAGATGCCCAGATCTGTTGTCCCGTCAGGCGCTTTGAAGTTGCTGACCTGCGCCAGGATCTTCTCAAAGGACGGATGGCTGCTGATATGCTCCGGGATGTGCCGCGTAAGCGCAGAGTATGTCCCCTGATTGAGCGCGAGGAAGTGAACCATCTCTCGTCGAATGACCTTTTCAATAGGCCAGCTGTGGACCATAGACGTCTCGGACAGCATCGTGATGAGGAAGAAGAGGAACTCCTCGGCAAAGAAGTGCTGCTGTTCATGATCGAAAGGGTCGGCCTCGGGCGTGTGGTTGAATCTGCGGATGTCGAAGTACTCGAGGAGGCGATAGCGGTCAATGATGGTTACGAGGAGCTCTTCCGGGTTCTTGAGGAAGGCGAGGCCGGCTTGCATGAGGAAGACGTCTTGATCGTACATGCTTGAACGCATGGCTACGTCGCGGTAGTGGGCGGCCTGACCACGTGTGGATGCGCCGTTGCGGACCCAGATCCCAGCACGCACTTGAGCCAGCTTGACGATGACACGTAGTGGGAAGTCGAGAGCGATCATGATGCGGCTCTGGTCGATGTCTCCGCAGGCGAGGCTTTGAAGAGAGCTATGCCCGATCGTCTGTATGTCCCGCTGCGTCAAGGACGCCATACGCCTGGAGAGCTCAGCCAAAAGCCAATGCATCGGATGATGGAACGACGTCTCCTCTCGCTCTACGGCGAAGTCGATGACCCTGCAGAGCTCCCCTCCCACGGAGACGCCAGCAAGGCGATTAGCAATAGCATGCGTGCGTAGATTAATCCGCTCGACCGTCTTGACAAACGCACGGGCAATGGCAGCGGGTGGGGCCTTCTCGTACGCCTCGCCGAACAGCTTTGCCTTCCTCGCAAGGAGCTGGCATACACCAAAGACGGCCACCCACACCTCGCTCTCATACTCGACGTGGTGCTGCGTCTGCCTCGCCTCGGGCAGGAAGGAGTGGAAGAGGGAGAGAAAGTCGAGGAAGTACTCGAGGTGACGCTCGTCTGCCACAATTTGCTGCTGAACGCCCTCTGCTTGGAGGAGATAGCGAGCATCGTAGAAGACGTGACGACAGTAGATCTGGCGCAGTAGCGTGCACTGAGGATTGGCGCTCGCCATGGGGTCCATCTTAGCTGGGAGCATGAGGGTACCGGTGGGCGGAATGAGCTGTCCGGTGTAGATGCTTTGCAGGATGAGGAGCAGCCTCTGCAAGAAGTTGTAGTGGCGCACAAGATCCGACCCAATGGATGGCACAGAGAAGAGCTGGACGGTCATGAGGACGACGGAGTGCTCCGGCTCGCGCTCGCGGAGGATGAAGGTCTCGATGATCTTTGGGTACATGGCCGCAAAGTGGAAGGCGACGGAGCGACGACCTTCCTTGCGGGCGATGATGGTCATGTACCAGCCGCGAACCCAAGCGCGAGCTTCCTTCCAAAGCTTCTGATCCATCAGCAGAAGCCCGTCGAGGCGGGTGAGCTCACGAGGGTCAAAGAACTCAGTCGACATGTGATTGGAGAGGAAAGAGTCTGCTTGCCGCTTGGAGGCGTCCCACGTCTTGAGAAGCTCGGAGCAGAGGAGCAGTCGAGGGATCGAGGCGTTGGCATTGACAAGGCCGTAGGGGTCGCTGTTGCTGCGAGGGAGGTAGGCGACGCCCTCTGCCAAGTCCTTGATGACGGAAATGAGTGCGTGCGCTACCTCTTCGCAGTAAACGTCGAATCCCGGTCGAATGGTGACCTCGAGATCGATGCCTGCCATTCTGCGCGCAAAGCCGACCATGGCTCGCGAGTCAGTCGAGACGGCGAGGATGTCTCGGCCGTGCACGTCGACGCGCTCAGCGACAGCTCTGGCTTCCTCGTCTGAGACGTCGAGTGCCTCCTTAACCGTATCAATGACCTCGCGGAAGCTGTGCTTCTCATCGTTCCAGAGTATGAGAGCGTACTCGCGCTCGTGACCACCTTGTTGAAGAACTGCGGGCGAGCTCGGAGGCAAAGTACCCCACTTCATGCCAGGCGTCTCTGCACCAGCGCTATTGGTGGGTCCATCGGCGTCGACGTAGAGATCAAAGGCGTCAAAGGCTCCCGGTGGGAGAGGAGTGCGCACTTCTGGCGACATCAAGCTGTCCCGCTCCTTCTTGGCTCCGGCAGGGGCGGACGAGGCGGCTTCTGGCCGACCCCACTGCCTCAAATCGGGCAGGTCGTCGACCTTTTTCGTTGCTTCTTGGGCTGAGGCGCGAGCGAAGGAGCGAGGGAAGAGCTTCTGCTCGTTGGGCGCGTGATTGAGGACGATGAGAATGAAGTCAATCCAGGTAGCCAAGAGTTGGGAGATGCGCGGATGTGAAGTAGGGTTGAAGTGCTCGGCGTGGAGGGCATCATGGACTTCTCGTGCGACATCGGGGGGCCGCGACGAGTCTGACGTTGAGTTAGCTTCCTCGTCTGCTGCCATGTCGGTGTCGCCGCGCTGTACCGAATGATAGCCACAGCAGACATCCTGCTTCCAAGCCTCCTCGTCGCCACAATCGCAGCATCCTCCCGAAGACGATGAGACGGAGAAGACGACGTCATGGCCCTCTCTTACGTGGATTGAGGCGTTGAAGCAAGGAGCGCATTGCACACATGTGTCGTCGAGTGCGCAGTCTCTGCATCTCCAGATGGCTTCTCCCTTTTCGAATACGTGGCCACAGGGCATGCCTCGACGTTCTTCGCCGTACTCAGGCGCCGATGTTGGGTCAATGGGAGCAGGAGTCGATGGACGACTGGACTGTGGAGTACCGGCGGCTGATGTCATTGTACTATTGCTGCTGCTGCTGTGAGACCGATGCTGAGGTGCTTTGCCCTTGAAGGCGGATGACGCCGAGGCAAAGGGGTTGTGAGTGGAGCGAGTCGACTCCTTGTGCTGTTCTCTGAGCTGAGAGATGCTCTGCTGTACTTTTGCCAGTGACCAGCCATACTTTTGTATGGTGTCTACATAGGCTGTTGGGTCTCTAGCTAGTCGTGGCTCAGCCTCTGCAGGGTCGAGTACGAGTCCGACATCTGCGCTGAGGAGGCGATGATACATCTTGGCCTTGAGTGCATCTCTGCTGGCCTTTGTGAGTGGGAGACGATGGTCGAGGGCGTCATTGGCGTTGAGTCGAGCTGGCGCTGTGGGACCGTAATGGGCAAAATGCCTGGAACCCTGATAACCCAAGTCCTTGAGGACCGACTCGATGGGATGCCAATCAGCTGAGGCAGCGTCGAGGGATGCCGTCGATGCATAAGGGAAGCGCGACGACGACGCCTGGCTCGAGGCCAGGAGGTGCGATTGCGACTCCATGTCTGCTAGATGAGCAGCAGTAACAAGACGATGTCAAGTCGAGACGAAGTGCACAGCAGACGGTGATTGGAGCGATGATCAATGGGCTCGAGGGCCACTGACGCCAAAGTGGATCCCGGCCCACCCATCAACGGAACGGAACAATCGACGAGGGCTCGGGGGTTGTGGGCGGGAGGCGGGAGGGCGTCGAGGTCGACTTTCTTCGACTTTGACCAACTGCTCCACGCTCATCCACGATCCCTCACCCTTGTCAACGTCGCAACACAAACGATGCCTGTCCGCCTTCGCCTCGCAAGGCACGGCACTCGCAATGCTCCCTTCTACCACGTCGTTGCCATCCCAGACCACAAGCCCCGTGATGCCCGGCCCATCGAGAAGCTGGGCGAATACGACCCGATTCCTCGTGTTCGCAAGTTCACGCCGCCGCAAATGAGCCCGCATGCCAACATGGCAGTGACGTCGAGTGGATTGCCGAGTAAAGAGCAGCTGGAAAAGAAGGAGAAGAGGCTCGAGTGGAACACCGAGAGGATCAGATATTGGCTCAGCGTGGGAGCACAGCCGTCGAAGCCCGTCGCCAAGATGTTGGACAGGGTGGGTAGCCAGCCAGGCGAGGCGAGAGGGCAGAGAAGGCATTGCGATACTGACTTGCCTCCCCGCACTTCTGACTCATTCCCAGGCCGGTCTCATCCCCGAGGGCAAATGGTTCAAGGGAATGTATCGTCCGCCAGCAGAAGCATCCCACTTCAACCCGCAACTCGAGACAGCCGATGGCGCTGCCTCGGCCTCATCATCGTCAAACGCAGCATCATCAGCAAAACCACCACCACCAGCACCCGCAGAAAAGCCTTCAGCAGCATGAGCGAGACGCCCTTGGTCCATCTTTACCATGTACTATTAGATTCTCGTCCGACCCAATCAACACAGCTTCAGCACAGCTCTGAAGCTTTTACTGAGCAGCCTGCAGCTCGTTGACGAGGGCCTTGAGCTTTGCTTGGAGCTCTGCGTCATCCTCGTCATCTCCTTCGCTGATCTTGGGCAGCTCGAGCCCTCTATTCGCCTCGCCATCAGCGACCACATCAGCCCAAGCCTTTGCCAGCTCGAGCAAAGTCGTCTCCCCTCGAGTATCCCTCGCTGTCTCTGACTTCATCTGCTCCTCTTCCTCTCTCTTCTTCTGCATCGCGCGATAGTGCAGATAGTCCAACGAATGGCTAGCCTTCGCCTCACGCCCAACGAGGTCGATGGGAGCCCCCGCGTACCATTGAACCACCTTCTGCTGACCCTCCCCGCTCCGCGCACGTCTACCGTTTGCTGGTGCTACCGAATCGCCAAATCTTTCAACAGTCTCGTTAGGCAAAGTCTCCCAATACGCATCGATCCCGCCCAGTGCAGACTCCAACGTACGCTCAATGCCCGGCGGAGGAGGCGCGGGTGCCGAGGGGCCGCCACTCTTGCCGCTGCCACCAGCCTTGGGTCCTGGAGTTGCCGTGCTTGAGGGGGGTGGCATGCCTGACGACTGGCGCGGACCGACGGATGGTCTGCTGCTACCTCCGCCACTGCCCTCGCCTCGACCCGCAGCCATAGATCGCGCCAGCACGATGCACGCGTCCCTCAAGCGTACCAGAGTGGGCACGTCGATGGCACCGCGTAACGAGTGACTGACTGCGTACAGATCAACCTGCATGGCCCCCGGCGCCGAAAGGATGCTCGCGGTCCGCTCTACTTCTCGTCGTCCGATGACGCGGGCCATCGTGCCGCAGATATCGTTGTAGTCTCGATGGGCTGCGTTGACTGTCTGAGGTGGGTATCCTTGTGGTCCGGCTGGGGCCAGGTAGGTGGTCGGGTAGCGAACGCTGGAGGTTGGAGCGAGGTGCGCTTGCTGTTGCTGAAGGAGATGCTGCTGCGGAGGATACTGGCCTCGCGACCCGCTGCCGCTGGCTTGGACGTTGAAGTTTGAGTCCGAGGCTTTTCGCTTCTTGCTCGACGACTCAGACGCGGCAAATGGATCTGCGACGCTGTCCGTACTGGCCTTGCCTACCTCACTCTCGTCGCAAAGTCGGCCGGGTCCGGGCACTCCTCTCAAGAACGGCGACTCGATTCTCTGCGGCGGTGGTCGAGGCTCCGAAAAGGGCACCAGAGGCTGTTCTGCACCCCTCAGCTCTTCGGGCAGACAGCTGTTCCAGTTCTTGATGATGTTGTAGTCGTGGACTTTCTCGTTGTACCGCGCCTCGCAGAAATAGATGGGTGCCTTTGGACTCCAAATGGCCGGTGGTGGGCGGCCGCGCGTCCACTTGGTGAAGAAGAGGACGTGCGTCTGCTCGAGAACGTCGTCCACTGCGTGGTCTGCGAAGAGGCCCGTCTTGAATACTTCTTCAAGGGCGAACTTGCGTGAGGGAGGGTGCACGGTCTGCTCTGGGCGGAAGTACCAGCAGCAGGACAAGAGGGGAGGGGAGTTCAGGTCCTCTTCGCGCTTGGAGATCTTGAAGACTTGGGCAAGTGTGGGCTTTGTGGGGTCTGCGGGGTTCATCAGGTGGACCCAGTCTCCTACTTTGAGAATGATGCCTTTGTGGAAGGCATGAGTGTAGTAGATCTTCCCCTTGATCACAGGTCGAGTGGTGAGTTCCGTCCCCTGCTGTCCACGCTGAGCATGCCCGGGGCCAAAATGGACGCTCGAATAGTAAAAGACGGAGTCGCGGGTATTAAGATTGTTCTGGACGTATGCAAGGTCGGAGGTCTGGGAGCGAGGCAAGGTACGGGTCATTCGCTGGTAGAGGCGTTGAAGAATGCAGATGTCGCCGTGCTCTTGCGTCCCCAAAGGATGGCCCCGCCTGAAGGTGGTGAAGACTTGGCAGAGGTCCACTTCGAATGCGCGGGAGTCGGAGTACTCCTGTCGCGATATCCTGGCCTCGACGTCTGCCATGAAAGTGGGCTTCTCTGCATTGTCCAAGAAGCCTGGGCGATCGGCGTACGCTGGATCGAGGGACTGGGCGCATCGTCGGCCGTTGGGCAGTGTGTGGGAGTGTATCGTCGAAATGATGAAGCTGTAAATGGCAGTTGCTTCTCCAGCCGTCGCTGGTGGGGGAAGCCAACCAGAATCCTCTGGGCTGGGCGAGATGACGTTCTCGATAGCCTGGATGCGGGCGTCGGAGAATCGCTTGTAGACTGCCTTGCTCACTCGACCCGACGGTGCCTTCCTAGATGGCTTTGCTGCTTCGTATGGATACGCTCCACCAGCTAAGGCTGCGACTTGCCTATGTTTGGCAACTGCTCCTCGCAGTCGAGCCAGATCGTCGTTGTGGGCTCCTGATTCGTCATTGCCTCCGGCATCAGTGTCATTGCCGGCAGCGTCTTGCTCTTGCTCCTCCTCGTCGACATCTCCTTCTGCATCTTCATCCCCGTCGTCATCATCGTCGTCGTCTTCATCACCTCCATCAATGCGACCGTCTGCGCTTGTCCCTTCTTCGCCGCCTGCTCTGCTGCTCATTGCACTTCCCTGGCGCGTTCTGCCCTCGTCTGCGTCGTCGTACTCGCCGCGGCTACGGCGCTCAGTCAAGTCTCCCGACACTCTAGCAGCGCCGAGGGCGGCATTGCGAGGCGGCCTCGACGCAGACGGCTCCGACGCCATTGCTGTGGTCGTCGTGATGTGGTGTAATGATGGAGAGGATGGAGGCTTCGGAAGGAGCACAGGCGGGCAGCAATCAAAGTCGCGACGCGGACTCGAGTCGAGTCGAGCTCAGTCGTCGACGTTGTCTCTCCGCCGGCCTGAGTGAGTGTCCGAGCACTGATCAAGGCGCGACCGACCAAACGCTTCAGGCTTAACGCTTCAACGCCCTCGCTCAAGCCCTGCTTGCCTATCAAATCATCACATGGAGCCCTCATCTTCACGCCTATCGTCGCCATCAGCGTCACCGCCAGGATCACCGCCAGCGGACACCTCCCCGGCCTACCTTGACGACCTTGGCGGCGAAGCAGCGACGCAATTGCAGCTCTCCCTGTTGCAAAGCGGTCGAGGGTCAAGTCCTCGTTACCACAGCAGCAACGATGACTGGCAACAGATGAGCAGTAGCGCCAACAGCAGCAGCAGTAGCAGGTCATCCAGCCGGCCGCCACTCTATCCACTAAGGCGGCATCAGCAGCAGGACATGTACGCTTCTCGTTCCCCCTCCCCTCCAGGTCCGCCACAAGACCCTGACCCGCGAGACTGGTCGTATCGCACCAACCTCATCGACCCACTTACACCAGATGACGCTTCGTCCTCTGACTCCGACGATGGCTCTGAGGACTCTGACGACTACTCGACTACAACATCGCAGTACATCGCAGAGCAAGAAGCACAGCTGCGTGAGGCATTGGATCAGCTCGAGTTGGCGCTCAAGGTCATCCTGTGCCCGCTGGTGGGGAAATGGTTGGGCAGGCGGTGGGCTTATTGGGGTGAGTACCCACCGCTGAATGGTCATAAAGAGAGGCTCAGCTCACCTTTCCCCCTTCGCCGACAGCCTTTAGAAGATACAATGCTCACGGCGGCCTAACTCTGCGCTTCTTTGGCCTCTCTTGGGTGCCAGAGACCAAGATACCTAGCTGGCTTGCTGTGCTCGCTTTGCCAATAACAGGGGGAGAGTCGTAGCGACTGGAGCGACGAGGAAAGACAATCATAGAGCAGTGGAATCGATAATCACCATTTCATCTGACGCAAGTGTATGCTTGCATCTCGCCCTCACACCTCCCAAACCTTTTCCTGCCCATCCTCCCTCGGCATACCACGGCGATCCATCTCTCCTCCATTAGCCTGCGGGACCAGTTCCTGTAACCTCCGCAGCGCTTCATCTGTCGGGTGCTCTTCCCCAGCGGCGCTGCTACCCGCCCGCGCTCGTCCATTGCTCTCTTGGCCAGCCTTGGCCAAGAGCTCATCGAGTTTCAACCGACTCTCCCTCTCCTGCTGTTCCGCGTCAGTCCCACCTTCATGCAGTTCACGACGCTTCTTCGCCTCCTCACGTCGTTTGCGGTCCATCTCCTCTGCCAAGTGGCGATGGCGCTCCACCTCCTCTAGGATAGCTTTTGCCCCTTTCTCATCGCGCAGCTCGCGGGCGACACGAATGCCGAGTTGGCGGGCGGCGCTGATGTCAGGAATGCTGGCCGAGTGCGTTGTTGAACAAGAGCGAGATCCGTCCAGCGAGACGACGATTGCTGTCAAGGTCAGGGTCAGCGGCGAGGGAGGGGGTAGATGCGCTTGCGTGATCGGGGAGGAAGAGTAGGAGGATGTAGAAGGAAGGGTATCCAGGGGTGATGGATGAGGAGCCGACGCTGAGCTGCCATTCGCTGACGAAGATGCCTTTGTGTCTGCGGCACTGCCATTGCTTTGAACCTCGGCCGCAGCTCTGTCCGTCGCCAGCCGTCTGAGCGAAGGAGCTGCCGTCTTAGTGGCCGGGACAGGGCTCTCTGCTCCCTTGCCACTCTGCAACGCTTCCACAGCCCTTGCTGCAGTCTTGGTGACCGCATGACCTTCCGCTGACGCCTCTCCCTCGACGCCTGTCACGACGTCTCCCTGCTCCCTTCCCGCTCCCTCGACGTCCTCGTGGTCCTCAAACCTCGTCTCTACCCCCACAGGAATAGAGCAACCACCTTCCAGCTCCTTGAGCAGAGCCCGTTCTGCCTCCTGCCTCGCCGTAGCCCGCCAGTCTCCAATCGTTTTTACCATTTCCAATATCCTCGCGTCTCGATCCGTCTTGGGGTCCGCCCCTTCCTTCGGCTTTCGCACTTCGATGGCGAGCGAACCCTGACCGACCGAGTAGAGGAGGACAGGCTTCTGCAAAAATGCGGTGATGCGATGTCCGAGATTGATGCGCAACAGACCCGCCGCAGCGAGGACGATTGCTGTATAAGGGCCTTGGGGGGCGTCGAGCTTTGAGATGCGGGTTCCTAGATTGCCACGCACGTCCGAAAAGACCAAGCCAGGGTAGCGGCGTCTGAGCTGAGCTACCCGTCGCACAGAGCTGGTACCAATGACACTACCTGTGGGCAACTCATCCAGAGTCTTGTACGGCAAGCCCGCTTTGACTACCAGAGCGTCACGCGGGTCCTCCCGCTCGAGGATGGCGCCAATGACAAAGTCGTCGGGTATTGTGGTCGGCACATCCTTCAAGCAGTGCACCACGGCATCGATTGCTCCGAGCTTCAGTGCCACCTCGAGCTCCTTTGTCCAGATGGCCTTTCCCTCTCCGCCGATGACGTACAGTGGAGACTTGAGGTTGTGGTCGCCCGCAGTGCTCATTGATGTGATGGGGAAGCTGGCGGGGCGGTTGGACGAAGAAGGCGCTGATGGGGAGTCTGTGCCGTACCTCTGCGAGAGCATATGGCTGACGTGGCTTGCCTGAACGAGGGCCAATTGGGAATTGCGGCTGCCCAGGACAAACGTCGTCTCGGGATCAGCGGTCCTTGCCTCCTGCTCGGCCAACGGATTGATGTTGGCTGCAGCGAGGAGCTCAGCGCGTGATCGCTCAGAGGTGGGCGTGTTGGTGCCGCTGGCACTAGCACTCTGCACATCGTCCTGCGTACGGAAGAAGATGCAGCGTGGGTCTGTTGGCGGTTTGAGTGAGGAAGAGGGAGCCGTGGCAACTGCCGGGTGGCCAGGAGGGAGGGGTTGCTGAGCTGCATGTGGTACGGGACATTGTGCGTCACCTGCGTGTGGTGGGGCCGGGTTAGATGCAGATGCGGATGCTGAGGCTGTTGATGATTCTGACGATGTCATGCTGTGGTCCTGTATGGGGGGTTGAGGACGTTGAAGAGGAGAAGAAGCAAGGCGAGTGGAGATGCCGGTTGTCGATCACCGTCAGCCGCTCAGCCGTCGGTCGGTCAGGCCAGTCGAGTCGGACCGCGCAGACGGAGACGAGACGAGCGAGTCGAGGCAGAGGAAGAAGAAACCGGGGCTCTCTTCCTCTTCTTCCTGTCAATCCATCTCTCTTCTCGACCATTCCTCCTCTCAAATCTCAGCCACTACCACATGACCAGCCTGACACCCCGCCTGTAGTATCTCAGCCTGTCTCCATCCCCGCAAACCCCCATCTCCCTGCTTCGTACCCCCTCACCCAACGCTCCCCACTACTAGAGTCACCTGCCCTTTCTCTTACACCATGAATGCAGTTCTGCAGGCGCTCGTGGGGAGCAAGACCAAACCACCAACACGCCGCCAGTGCTTCGAATCCTCGAATCAGAGCCCGGATACCAAACTGCTCAAGGTCGTCCATTGTGGACTCTCGAGTGGCCGGGTGCTGGTGATCGCTAGGGGACGACTGTGCTGCGGGGACAAATCTGCGTCTCCTCTTTCTTTTGTCAATGCGACCATACATTACGATGCCTATCTCGCGATGACAGTGTGTGAGACGGCAGGAATTCGTGTGAGATGGATTGGGGGGCACGCCGAGTGACAACAACATGTTGATAAGAACAGCAAGGTAGAGAGGTATGAAATGTAGAGAACGGTCGCCGCCCTCATACCGCAGGTACGAGGGATGGCTGGCTCGTGCCTTGCTGACCGCCCCCAAGCGGCTGAGCCTGACGACTTGTTTCCCTTCCATCGCCATCACCTCCACCGCTACCGCCACCATTCACATCCTCCATCTCCTCATCCTCATCATCCTTCCCACCGCCGGTATCATTCCGCCTCTCCGCCGCCTCCGCTACACTCTCCAAGCTCGTCCGGCATATATTACAGCATACTGCCCTCTCCTTGGGCTGCTGTGAAGAAGGCGGACGCGTAGTACCATGGCTATTTGACGATGAGGACTGGCTGCTGCTTTGACTGTCGTCCGTCGCGGTCGAGCGATTGGAGACTGGCCACCAGATCGGGGAGAAGGTCGTATCGCAACGCACGCAATGCTTGGGGTAGGGTTTGGGGATCTTGGGTGGTGCGGGCGCGCCGTGACTTCGCGATGCGAGACCAAGCGGCGTGCTCGAGATTGGCTTGGAGGAAGATGATAGGCGGGCCGGGGTGGCTGGCGCTGAGGCTGCAGTAGGAGGTGGACCTGGCTTGGGTACCCCTTCCGTCTCGCCAAAGACGGCATCAAAGCGCTTGGCTCGTCGGAGTAGAGCGTACGTCGCATCTCCTGCTGCCGCCGACGATGCTGCTGATGCTGCCGCTGGCGCGTTGGCACCTCCTGCGGCCGCTTGCGGCGGCGCAGCAATGGCCCCTTTGTGCGTCCTCACATACGTCTGCAAAGCCGTCAAGCCCGTTTTGGGATCCACCTCTGCCAGGTCGTACGTCTGCTTCTCCTTGATCAGCTCCTTGTGCGTCTTGCAGTACGCCAAGGCAGACCAATGCCCTTGCTCATTCTTGAACCCTGCCGTCACAACCTGATCTCTCCTAGACGTTTTGACAGGGTTGATCTCAAACCCAAAGCTGTACCCCGAGTGGGCAAACGCGCAAGAGACGTGGAAGGTGCGCTTACATCCCGAATCAGAGCACTGGATGCACGCTCCGCCGGGTCGATTGCAGACCTCGCAAGTAGCAGCATATCTCCAGAAGGGGAGGTTGCCTACTCCTTCGACGAGCTTGAGCCTTTCCGTGTCCGTAAAGAGGACGTCGGGCATCCAGACCGCGCAGACCGCGTGCGCCCAATTGTTGCACTCCGTAGGCTTGAAAGCATCGAGAACGCTCAGCGGAGGCTCGTTGGAGGCTGCAGTGGCCGCGCTGGTGGAGGACAAAGGTGAGGATGTGGGACCATCGGCGTTGCGTGCACGAGAGGCACTCCCCGCTGCACTGTTCGCTGGTGTGAGGGTCTGAGTGGTGGTCGAGCCGTTCGCCTTCGACGCTCCTCCAGTGGCAGCGCTGATCTTGGGAGTGCTTGCAGCGGCGGCTTTGGTGGGGTCTACCCGCTGAAGTGGAGGGCACAGTGTACAGCGAGGTACCAAGGCGGCGTCGAGCGTGCGCTCATTGGTGCAAGCGTCGCAGAACCAGACGTCAGCAGCGACCTCCTCGTCCGTCAGCCCAAAGCAGCCCTGATGGACGCTAAGTGAACATTGGCGGCACTGCTGCAATCGCTTCTTTGGCTCCATCCTGCGGCACATGACGCAGCGAATGGGCTCTAGTCGAGCGGGAGGAGGCGGAGGAAGAGGGGTCGCAGCTGGTGATGAGGCTGCAGCAGAGCTCGAGGACGCGGCATGTGCGCCCGACCCTACCTTGTTGGTCTCATGCGCCTTGAGTGGTACCTTGGCCAGCTTGATGGGCGGAGCCACGCCAAGGCTACTGTTGTCCTCAATGATGTGCTTGCGCGGGTTCGTAGCGACGAGGTCCGTCGGCGACTGCTCTGCTGCATACTTGCGCCAGTATAGACCGCAGCTGTCGCAGAGGAAACGATTTGTCCAGACGCTGGGCCCCTTGTACCAGAAAGCGCTCGCCTTGGTATCGCACATTTTGCAGGCGATGACGGGCGTGGCCTTGACCGTCTTCTCCTCGTGAACGGATAGCGTTGGAGATATAGCGCGAGCTACGGACGATGCACCCGGCGAATCGTCACGATCAGCCAGAGCTGCGGCTCCCTTGCTGCCTCGTGCACCATTCCTGGCCTTCTCTGCAGCTTGTCTCTCAGCCCGGTGCTTCTCGAGTAGCTTCTCATTCTTCCACGTAACAAAGAAGCGGACGATGTCGTAGAAGGGCTTCGTAGGGATGGCCTTCTTGAGCTGCCTCAGCTCGCAACCCCAGTCCTTGACAATATTTTCGAAGGCCTTGCGCTCCTTTGAGCTCCAGTGTACGATGCGGAAATCCTCCTCGGTCGATCGAGAGATCTCCTGGAGTGCGGCAATGGGCTCGTAGTTGTGATCATTGAAAACTTTGAGGGCCCGGTCAATGAAGTCGACGTTGTACGCGTGCAGAGTGTGGAAGTGGTAGGCGGCACTCCTGGTACGAGGATGAGGGGGGAAGGAGAATGGTCAGCCGTTACTCTTCTCCATGCTGTCGGGGTAGCATTCGCACACTCACATCATGTAGGCGTCTTGGAAGTGGTGGGCTTCGCTTCCGGCAGGAAGAGTACTGACGTTGGAGTAGACGTCGACGCTCTCGTCCGTACCTCTCTCAAACTCTCGCACCGGTGAAGCTACAGCCTCGCCCGCAACGACGCCGTCGGATGGCAAGGCCGCTGAGGCGAGAGTCGGTGTGCCCACAGGCGTGTCCGCGTCTGTACCACCGTTGCTCGCTGTTGCTGCCATGGCTGCTGCTGCTGCTTTTGGCGGTCGGCCTCTGCCTCGCCGATGCCGCGGGAGCTTCGTCAAGTAGGCCCTATGCGCGGCTTCGTCGTCTACGAGCGCCGTTGCGCCCGACGTAGATGAGCCAGCTGCTGCGTTAGCGTGTGTATCCGAGTCGATATTGACGGCGACGCCGATGCCGAGCTCTTTCTGCTCCTCCCAAGTTGGCAAGGTGACCTGAAACTTGGGGCCAAGGCGCGTGGTTGAGCGAGGATAGATGGAATCGTGTGCGTCGAGGACATCGGGAGCGTGGGTGTGCTGGCCAAAGTAGCGATACGGCCATCCTTGGAAGCAGCGTGTGCCTCGTATGTCATCCAATGTCTTCTCCGGCGCCGGTGATCCATTTGGCGTGCCGGCAGCTGAAGAGCCGTCATCGACGTGTCGGCGTTTGCTTCCAGGCGGTCGGCCTCTTCCGGCCGCAGCGCCGCCGATGGTGGCCGCGGATCGAGGCTTGACTGAGTGAGAGCCATAGTCGCTGCTACCGCTGCTGCTTCCCGTACGAACTAGGGCGCCTTGTGTGCCGGGGAGGCGCGAGAGATCGTCTGGTGTACCTGATCCAAGCTCAAGTGCTACAGTCTGCTCGTAGCGGCGAGAGCATGGAGCGCAAGTCCAGCTATAGCCTTTTGCCGGCTTCGAGGTGAGGGGAGGGTTGAGGCAGCGCATGTGAAAGTACTTTTTACATGTGTCGCATCGTACGCTCTCGGTGCTGTGCGCGAGCAGGGGAAAAGAGGTGGTCAGCATGAGTCGGCTTTGATTTAGGGGCCTGGCGCTGGTGCTCACGCAGAGGCCCACTGCTGGCAAACGACACAGCCTCGAAGAGCATCGCACAAGTCGCCGACCATGCCGAGCTCAGAGACTACGAAGGAGTAACGCTTGCGGAGGACTGCGAGTACGTCGGCGGGAGCATTTTGCAGCTTTTGAGTGGGTATAACGTCGTAGGTGCGGTGGATATAGCGATCGTAGAGCTGGAAGTAGTAGAAATGGTCTTCACGCTTCTTCCAAGCGCTAACGTCTGGCGCATCTCCGATGAGGTCGCGGTGACGAACTTCGCAGAGTCCTCTGACGTTTTCGAGGTTGAAAACATCAGAGTGCATGGTGGCGACGAGTAGCCGTGAGTCGTTGCTGGTACGATGAGAGATGTCGCGCATGCGGAGGAAGACGTTGGCCCGGACTTGGAGCGTGCCCGAAGAGCTAGCCAGAGCCGCCGCCCCGCTTCTTGATGACGAGGCGGTGACAAACTCCATGACACGGGCGATGATGTACGGCTCGCCCGCGCCAGGAGCCCAAGGTGCGGTGATGTAGATGTGGTCTACGGAAGAGAAAGCGAGAGAGAGATAGCAAGCGCAACAGAGCAAAAAAGGCGGGCGAGAGTAAGGAGTAAAGGAGCGAAAAAGAAGGTGGGGCACAGGGGGGAAAGGGTGGTAGTGAGGAGAGTCAGTTTGCGCTTAGTCGAGAGCATAGATGGCGTAACATTCGATGAAGCCTCAAACGCGACTCACCATTGACTGCGATGCGCTTACCATCGCGGATGGCGACCTTGGTCACTTGGCCACCCGTCAGTCGTGTGCTTGCGCTTGGCCCGCCCAAGCCGCTCCCGACGACTTTGGAGGCCGACATGATGATGTCGAATCAGCTCCTCAGTCGTTGTGCGGCTTTGGCGTGATGCTGAGTACGATGCGCCGGTGTGGCGATCGCGTTGACGAGTTGAGAGAAGAGAGGGGAAGGAGGGAAAAGGGTGCGAGGCGGAGAGACGCGCGAGTGGTCGACGTCGAGTTGGAGCCGATGGGCCCAGGCGAGCGGCGCTACTCGAGCGGCGAGGCTAGCGGCTGCGATGAGGGCGGTGGGCTCAGCGCAGCGAGCTCACAAGAAAGAGAGGAGGGGATGGCGAAGAGAACGGGATGTCACAAGCACGATGAGATGATCGTTGCTCGCTCTGAATGCCTGCTTGGGTGGGTGATTTGAAGGGTGGCGATCAGGATGGATGCCGCGAAAGGAGCGCGCAAAAACTTCGTCGCCTCATCGAGGTCGCAAACTCACCTGATGATGTCGAAGCAGATATACGGATGCTCGGAAGAGTTGAAAAGCTTCACAGCTGCAGCTTGGGCTGTCGTCGCTCGTTTTCGACGGTTGTAGATGTCAGGAGGCGTCGTTCGACACGGCGAGATGGGGAAGCAAAGGGAGATCGGAGAGCGATAGAGCTTTGTGCGCTCCTCTCGAGCGGGACGGCGGGGACGAGGAACGCAACCCAAGTTCAACGACGAGCGGCAGACGAGACCTAGAACACCTCAGCATGGCAAGAAAGGCGTAAGAGAGCGAGTGATTAGCAGCGCAAGTAATCGATTGACCGCATTGAGAGAGGATGACAACAGCTCACAGGCCAGCCTCAAGCAGTCCCCTAGGTAATCTGCCGGCAGCTGGAGGAAGCTGGACCAGTCTAGCATCGTTGGCCGGTCGAGCGCTGCCTCATCGAAGAGGGCTACCCTGTACTCGAATCTCGCAAGAAATGCGAGTTACCGTAGCTTCACGATTGAAGCGCAGACTCGTCGATAGCGTCTGGCGCAACACAGCCATCTGCTGGCGTTTGGTCTTGGTCAGTGCCCAGTAATCACGGTTTCAATTGGACGAAGTGCAGCAGACCACGCTCCTGGCTGGAGTTTAGTGACGAGGCTCGGATTTGCGCCAAGCGGCAGCACCATTGACGAGAGCCAGCGAAGGGCAGTGTCAGCTGATCTTCACGCTTTGAAGCAGCTTATACGGCCGCTCAATGGGATGCGTTTTTTTTTTTTTGGAGAGGTTGGCCGCCCATCATGTCTAGATTGCCCAGTCGTCACCACGCAGAAGTTCCTCTTTGGCCTGGACGTGCAGACAATTGCAATCAGAGCAACGAACAAAACTTCAAGCAGCTGAGATACGACTGAGATGGTAAGGCCGGCGATCTGAGCGTTCTCGTTGGAAAGAGCCCGGTCCAAGGGTGGCGGAGACGCGGCATCGGCGACAGCCACCACGAGAGCGATTCGCATGATGTCCGCGACCGACCAGATACGCGCAAAGCCAATATCCGCTGCTCGCTGTCGCTCATTTGGCTCGGCCTGCTCACTGTCTTCAGTCATAGTCACCAGAGTTCTCTATCCCCTCGCATCACAGTTACCTTGTACTTGTTTGCGCCGAGCACAGACGGGAGTGGACGCGAGGCGTCCCGCGCCCCGCCGCGTGGCACAAGATCGCAGAGAGGTGCTGGGCGGCGGCGACAAAGCGGCCGTCGATTGCAAGCATCTGGGCTGAGCTGGGTGCTGGACCTGGCCGCCGCCTGCTTGCCCGCCCACCCGCCGTCGAGGTGCATCATACCCCGCGAGGGAGATCGACGGGCGGCTCACCCAACTCCACTCACACACACCCAACCAATCAACCAATTGCCTGCGAGGAGGTTGAGCTCGAGAGCAACGAACGCAGTAGCGGCGTCGTGCAACGTCGCCGTCGTCATCACTGCCATCGCATACGCTAGCATTAGAGCATTTCTGGCAGACTGCCCGGTATGACGGCTTCACAGGATGCCGTCTACATCGAGCCGGCGCCCGACGTCATCCCTGCTCGCTCCACCATCGAGCACGTCCAGCTGCGAGACATCCTTCAGCCATCCACGTCCAAGGGCAAGTGCCTCATCTTGAACCGCCTCAAGATTGACGAAGTCGACTTTAACAATACTCAGAAGGGTCAGCGCACATTCTGCACGCTCGACTTCCGCGCCAACTGCCTCGCCACTGCCCATGGTCTTCTGGCTGCCGGTGGGCAGAGCAGCGAGCTGGCTATTCGGCCTCTAATACCACCCTCGCATTGCAAAGACGGCCGCGGTGATGAGGAGAGTGACAGCGACGATGACCAATGGAAGCCGTCCAGATCGTCCGGAGCTTGGCTGCTGCGCACGCCTACAGGGGGCAGCATCAACAATTCCATTTCAATTCACATCGACCCCTCAGCCATTGCCAACTACAAGACGCCTACGACGCTCTCATCTCCGCCTGCCCCGAGCTCAAGCTCTCAGCCGACGTCAAAGAAGCAGCGTAGGCATTCGAGGCTGCCTCAGGGTCACCCTCGCGGGCCTCCGCCGCCAGATGGAGTGTGGCTGCGAGATGAGCCTATTGGGCGCGGCCTCGACGATCCTCAGAGCCATGCCTCGTCCTCTCGCAGCGATATGGAGATGGCCATCGACCTTAGCGACTCCGACGGCGAGGCTAGCATCTTCGATGATGGTGGTGAAGAGGTCAAATGGGGCCGCACAGCCATACCCTCACCCGCGCCCCCTGTCCATCGCGTCTATGTTAGCAACAACGATCAGACGCTCAAGATCTTCAAGCTACGTCCGCCGTCGGGAGCATCCGGAATGATGGGCGATTCATCTTCTGCATCGGGCAAGAAATCAGGCCGCAGCGGCGGAGCAAGCAATGCCTTTGTCCCCCACCTCGAAGGCGGCCTACCCGGCCTCTCTCGCTCCTACACCATCACCTTCCCCACCGCCGTGAATCACACTTCCCTCTCACCGGACGGTCGCTCCCTTGTAGCAGTCGGCGACACGCCGGACGTCTTCCTCTACCATCGACACGACGACGGCTTCTTCACAAAGACGGCTACCTATCAAGCTACGAGCGATGCGAGCTTCTCGACGAGCTGGCATCCTGATGGGACCAAGTTTGCCGTCGCCAGTCAAGACGGCGTGATCAGCGTGTGGGACGTGCGATCCAAGAAGAAGCTGGCGGAGATCAAGACGGCTCAGAGCTCTACGGTGGGACTGCTGACGTCGAATGGGGCGGACGGCGCTGCGCGCGTGGTCAAATTCAGCCCCTGTGGCCGCTTTCTCGCCTTTACGGAGCATCGGCTTTACTTTCACATCTATGATACCCAGACGTACAGCAAGGGCCAGAAGATTCGCGTACCCATTAGCGTGACGGATGGAGCGGGCAACGAGAGCAGCGGAGAAGGGGCTGCGGCTGGAGACAGCAGGATTCGTAGGAGGCAGGCGTCTCGTCCTAGTGTCCCTCCGCACCACCCCTACGCCTTCTCCCCATTCCCAGAGTCGGGAGAACGCAATGCCCCGGCGGAGACCGGAGCCAGGGACAGGTCCTTCTGGCGTCAGCTGCATCTCAGTGGGGGCGGACCAGGCGAAGGAGCAGGTCCAGCGTCAACATCTGCTCCTACTCGGTGGTCGTTGGATCGCGCCTCGTTTGAGGCAGAAGAGCTCAACAGTGGAGGCGGCGGCAGCGGGGACGAAATCGCTGTAGGAACGACTGCGAGCGCGACGGAGAACAACCCGGACAGTGCGGTACGTGCTCTACGAGATGCCCAACGATCTCTACGCAGCGTACGGGAGCGACTGGCGTACCGCGCCTTCCAGCAGGTGCAGCGAGAGAGGGAACAATCCTCGCTGCGGAGAGGAAGCGTCATTCCTCGCACCTCGTCCATTACGACTGTGGAGAGGGCAGCGCTGCATCGCGCCTTGGCAGAAGGCTGGCAGCCGCAAGCCGTGCTCGATGAAGCTGGAGCAGGAGGAGGAGCAGAGGACCAGATCGCTGGCGGCGACGAGGATATCGCGCGCGAGCGGGCACAAAGCGAGGAGGCTGGTTCGAGCAACACATTGCCCATGCTGCGAGCTTACTCTGCCCTCTACTCGCCACTTGGCCCCCTCTCGGGCTGGCCAGACGCGCCGCGAGGGAGCACGACTACGACGACCTCCTCACGCCTAGAAGAGCCTCTCGACCGGCAGCTCAACGACGGCGGTAATGCCTGGCTTCCCTCTGCTCTCCCTTCCCTTGCCCGGTCCATCCCTTCTCCCTCGTCCCACATCCCCTTTGGCAGCATTGGCGGCTTGTCAGCAGAGGAGGAGGCGTGGCATAACATCTCGGGACTTTGCTGGGACCCATCAGAGGATGGGGACTGCTTGTACGTTGCGACGGAGCGACTCGTTTGCAGGTATAGGATCAGAGAGTTGAGGAGAGGGAGCGAGAGGGGTGATGTCTGCTAGCGTCGTGCGTGTTTCCGCCTCATATTTCATCACTGTGTATCACTATCCTGCTCGCTTCATCACTGTCATGCCGATCATGCTTCGCTCTTGGTGCCATGGGTGGTCGTGTGCCATTGAGTGAGCCAAGGTCGCAAATCGTTGGCCCGTGCCTCTGTTTGAAGCCGCGCGGCGGACGACTCGACTTCCTTGTTCGCGCTGCCATTCACCTTCTCTTTGTCCCTTGCCTCGCTGCCGTCCCATCCAATCAGAGGCCACCGCAAACCTCATCAGCTACCTTTCCACACCATCGAAGCATGTCATCCGCTGCTACCACCAGCGCGCGAGGGGCCGGCATGCCAGCCCCAACCCCAAGCATCCCAGCACGCAACGCCTTTGCCTCTCAAGTGCTAGGCGCCTCCTTCTTCGCCTCCCACGTCTCGTCATCTCGCGTGCTCCTCGTGGGAGCAGGTGGCATAGGGTGCGAAGTCATCAAAGACCTGGTCCTCTTTGGTTTCCGCCATATAGAGGTCATCGACCTGGACACAATTGATCTGTCCAACTTGAACCGGCAGTTCCTCTTCAATCGATCGCACATCAAGAAGAGCAAGAGCATCGTTGCTGCGAGCGTGGCCGGCAGCTTTGAGCCAGAGGCAAAGATTGTGGCTCATCATGGCAATGTCAAGGATGGAAAGATGTTTGGGTACGACTTCTTTCGTGAGTACGGCGAAGCTACAGTAGCATACACTCTGCGCGAGTAGGACTGACGTTGACCGCTTCTCGTCCTTGCACACAGAGAGCTTCGACGTCGTCTTGAATGCGCTGGATAATCTCGATGCGCGACGTTGGGTCAACAGGATGTGTATCGCGACTGGCGTATCCCTTGTAGAGAGCGGCACGACGGGCTTTTTGGGCCAGGTACAGCCAATCGTCAAGGTGAGACAGGCGGTGTGCGAGAGATGAGACGCTGATTGCAAGGAGATGACTCACAACGACTTACGTGCCTGCGCAGGATGCCATGGCATGCTACGACTGCACTGAGAAGCCCGTTCAGAAGACCTTTCCCGTTTGCACTATTCGATCCACGCCATCGACGCCCATTCACTGCGTTGTGTGGGCAAAGACATGGCTCTTCACCCAGCTCTTTGGCGAAGACGATGAGACGGAGACGGCTGAGCTAGACAAGGCCGAAGCTGATGGAGGGAATTGTGAGCGCCGTCAATGCTTCAGTGGAAGCTTTTCCATCATGTACTGACGAGTCCCTCTCTCCCTTCGCTCGCAGCCGATGAGATCAACGCACTTCGCAAAGAAGCCGGCGAGATGCGTGCCCTCCGCTCTACTCTCGCTACACCAGGCGCAGCGCAACGAGTCTTCGACAAGGTGTTCAAAGCTGACGTGGACCGCCTGTTGGGCATGGACGAGATGTGGCGAAACCGCAAGCGACCGACGCCGTTGGCCTACGCCGAAGCCTTGAAGTCCACAGCGGCAGCCCCTGCTCCAGCCGCGGCGACATCCACTGCTGCACCGGCCACTACTACCCAGACGCTGCGAGACCAACGCCAGCTAAGTCTCAAGGAGACGGTCGAGATGTTCACGACCTCACTCGACGCTCTGGCCAAACGAGCCGCGGGCAGCAGTACCGCCTTGAGCTTCGACAAGGACGACTCTGACGCCTTGGATTTTGTGACCTCATCTTCCAACCTGCGCTCTATCGTCCACGCAATCGAGACCAAGACGCGCTTCGATGTCAAGCAGATGGCGGGCAACATCATTCCGGCCATCGCGAGCACGAATGCGATCATTGCAGGAGCGCTTGTCTTGCAAGCTCTGCACTTGCTTGCGGGCAGAGGCGATGATAGCAGCAGTAGTGGTAGCGCTGCCGCAGCCTTTGGCCCCTCGCACGCCCACGACGTCATGCTAGGCAAGAGCACACGACACGTCCTCTCGGGCACCGCTCCGCCCAAGCCGAACCCGAGCTGCTCGGTCTGCAGCGACGTGTACGTGCCTCTCATCCTCACTGGCCCTTCGAGCAGCACCTCATCCGCGACCCTAGGCCAAGTCATCACCCTCGTCCGCCAGCCTCGTAGTGAGGGTGGACTAGGTCTAGACGAGGACGAGGAGCTCGGCGTCTATGAGGGCAATCGGTTGCTGGCAGACCCGGACTTTGATGACAATCACGAGAGGTCCTTGGCCAGTCTGGGCGTGGATGAGGGCAAGTTCCTGGCGCTCGTTGACGAGGATGGAGTCAGGCAGACCGTACAGCTCATCGTTGTTGTGCGGGAGGGCGAGAAGATGGGAGTCAGCTTGCCGCCCTTCGAGAGGCTGCCTGCTATCAAAGCCAAACCCAAGACCGAGAAGAAGGAAGAGTCCGATGGGGAAGAGGTCGTCGCTACCTCGAACGGCAAGGCTGCCCCTGCCGTCGAGGAGGACGACGGATTCGAGATCGTGGACTCGGCCGCCGCTGCCGGCACTGCACCGTCGAAGAAACGCAAGGGCGAGGACGAAGCAGAGGAGGTGCTGAAGAAGAGGAAGAGCAACGGCGACGCCAGCGGGGGCAATGGCGAGGATGTTGTGGCAAAGAAGCGCCGCACGGGCGAGGCGGCTGCTAACGGCGACGATATCATCGTCCTCGACTGAACGGCGTCACGATCAGGGCGCGAGCAGTCTTCACACACATCGTCACTAATCGAAACATCTTTACTGGTTCGTGGCGGCTGAGGGCTGATCAGTGAGGCATAGGCATGAGATTGTTGAGCTGAGAGGTGGGCTGGTGATTGCTCGGAGGGAAGCTCTGATGAGCCAGGCACAGGTACGCGTCGAAGCCGGAAAGCGGAGCAGGCTAGCTCGTCTGGCTCAGCAACGGGAGCCGAGCTCGCCCAGCTACTCAACCTCGACTGGCTCGAGCGGCGCTCAGCTTTTCTCCGTCTTTACCACCACTCGCCCATCTCTACACAACTTTCATCATCATCAGCAAGATGCCCGCTAATTTTTGGACCGAGCGAGAGGTCGCTCAGGTCGACAAAAGCGCCCAGAAGCACGTCGACAACCACAAGGTGAGCGGCGCCCTGCTCATGCCCACAAAGACTTTCATCACCGAGGAGTTCTACGCTGCCTTCCCTACCAGCACCAGGACGCCAAGGGCTGTTGAAACCTTCTTCGAGAAGCGTTTCAGCCTGGGCGGCACGCATGGTGAGAAGACCTTCAGTGCCGACCATGACGCATACATCAGCTAACTTGTGGTGTCTGTTGATGGTTGACAGGACCGAAGCGTGCTCCCATGAGCGTTGTGAGTTCTTGAGCGTCCAGACTAGCCGGTGTTCTAGCGAGCTGACAGTGTCCCCTACGTCGACAGACCCCCGTCGCCAGGTAAACTGAGTACGCTCGTCGTCAGAGGGAGTGCCCAGAGTGAGTGCGCGACGTGATCCTTGGCCGCTACCCATTGCTCACACCCACGCGCTCGTCAAACGCAGGGGGCACAGGGCTCAGCAGGACAGGACGAATACCGCTAGGAACAAAGAACGCGCTCGACTCAAGAAGGAAGAGCCTGAGTGAGTGCGTGCGTGATGGAGCTTGGCTCGCTGACTCACGCTCACATCGCTCAACGTTTCGCTTTCAGAAGGTACAAAGTCATGTTGGAGCGAAAGAGTGCTCGTGGGCGTGCAGAATATGCGCGCATCACCGCGGACCCTGACTCTGAGTGAGTGTATGAGAGCTCAGGCTGAAGCGCATCACTGAAATCTCCTTGCTCGCCGTCCCCGCTGTCTGCAGAGAATGCAAAGCAATGAGGAAGAGGCAGAGAACTGAGGATAAGGAGAGGAGGGCGAAGTGACTGCACTGGCGTCTGTGTGTGGCTCACAGACTGCTTCTGACCTGATGGCTCGCACTGATCGCAGGATCAAAGCAGACGAAAACGCCTACGAGGAATACCTAGCCAAGCAGAGCCGTTACAACGCCCGCAATGCAAATGAGAAGCGTGAGAAGCGCAAGGAGTCGTACGCTAAAGCTGAGGCCGATGAGAGGATGGATGCGGCCTTGGCGTGCTTCTACGAGGCATCAGAGGACGAGTCAGAGGCTGGACCATCTTCGATGCCTCTCAAGGGAACGGCAACCAGCGATGCCGCCGCCTCGTCCTCGTTCGCTCCTTCTCGCAAGTGCAAGGGCAACGCGCCCTCGTCGTCGGACAACCATCTCGAAAATGCAGTAAGCAACTACATGGCCGGGCTGTCAGAGTCGTCCGCTCCCCGCAAGGCAGAGCCGGAGCGCACACGCAAGAGGAAGCTGAACTCGGCGCTGACATACTTCTACGAGCCGGACGAGCATGAAGGAGAGACGGCGTCGTCTTCGAAGCTTCGCAATCAGGCGGCAGGCAAGCACGCCAAGGCAGTGTCCTCGCCGACTCCTCACAAGAAGCAAGTTAGGACTCAAGTCAATGTCGCATCGTCGGCCAACGCTTCTCTCAAGCAGACTAGCCGTGCTACGGCTAAACCTCACGGCGCTACCAGCAGTGCCGCGTCGTCGTTCATGCCTTCCTCGAAGCAAGCAAGCAGCGCCCCTCGCATGCGCACGAGCACATCCTCAATCAACCAGGCAACCAGCGCCCCTCGCACGGGCACAAGCACATCCTCAATCAACCAGGCAACCAGCGCTCTTTGCGAGGCTACCAGCAATGTCTGCCCCTCTTCCAAGCGTCCTGGCAAGCAAGCTAGCAATGTCTCAAGCAAGACTACTAGCCGTGCGGGTTCGTCATCCCGCAAGCAGACGAACAGCACCTCTGGCAACACAGCAAGCACGCCTCCTTTCGACGCTCATCCTAAGCAAGCAGCAGGCCCTGCTCCGCTCAAGCACGCTACGGCCAACGGCACGCCCTCACTCAGCCCATCTCTCAAGACAGCCGCCGGCAACACCATAGCCGTTCATCCAAATGACGCTACGCTCAAGCAGGCAGCAGGAAATGCAGCTCGCAAGCGCCCACGCTTGGCCCAGACTGACGTGGCTGCCCCACGCTCATACCTTTGAAGGGTCAAACGATGGAGGGGAGGACTCATCTTCGCTGCCTTGAAAGTGAGGTGGCGTCGAGCTGTCGCGCAAGACTGCTCGAGCTGTTTGAGGTACGACGGCGCAGACTTCAGAGCGGCGCAGACTAGAAAGTGGTGACGATGAAGAAGAAGAAAAAGATTTGATTCTCTCGACTCTAACTCTGAAATCGAAAACACCTATCACTCCTTCGAGCTGTGGTGGTGGGTGAGGTGGTGGTCGACCGCCTCGGGGTCTTCCTTGTCTACGTCTGCGAACCTCTCACCGTCACACTCGTCCCACGCCTCCCCTGGGCAGTCCTTGTGGCCAGCGTGGTGCTCACTGTAGTGGCTGCTCGACCACTTCTTCCACGGCTCGCCAGGCTGTCTCGGCACGCGCTCGCCCCTCTTGACGGCCTCGACTGCGGTGAGAAGGAGGGGAGGAAGGATGAAAAATCAGTACCCTGACGACGGCGTGTTCAAGCTGCGCTATCGTACGCACCGCAGCGGCTTAGGCACAAGCAGCACCAGTCCCTCTTCTTGCGCTTGAAGGTGCCCTTGTGCTTCTTGCTCTGCGACGTCGACGCTTCTGCCTCCTCGGGCGCCCTTTTGCTGCGACCTTGCCCCTGGTTGGCCTTACTGCTCTGGACAGACTTGCTGCTGGGCTGAATGCCCTCAGTAGACGACTGTACAGAGAGGCTGCTCGGGTTTGAGGCAATCGCTGCGTCCGAGTGCGCGACATCAAAGAACAGGTGCTTCTTGATGATGTTCGCCTTGATCTCGCTGCCGGGAAGCTCGAAGGGCTCGATCCAGCTCTCACTGCCGCCGCTGGAGGGGTTGCTGACGATGGCGGAGGGGGTGATGGTGGTGGCTGTCGTCGTGGTGCTGCCAGCCGCCTCCATCCAAACGGCAGCCTCTCCCAGACCGCGCAAGAACTTGTAACGTTGGACTGGCATACCCGCAAGGACAAGACTGGCAAGCCCTTCGAAAAGTCGTTGAGCGTGGCCTGCCTCCATATCCTCGATCAGACGACCTACAGGCGTCATGTCGCCTCTGCACATCGCGACAACGTCTGGGGCCCAGTATTTGTGATAGGCCGGCTTGCCGTCTTCATCGTCGTAGCCATAGACGAACCAGCAGAGCAAGCCCTCGAGGAAGTCGACTGCGATGATGGCGAGACGTCAGTGTACTGCGTCCATGACACACGCCAACTCAGCTCGACTTACCCATAGTCGCCTTGTCACAAGCATAGCCTGCGCGGCCGACAGCATAGACTGCGTCGCAGGTTTCGAAGGTCCGGCGAGTAGACTCCAAGAACTTGTGCCTGTTGAGCTTTGGCTCGGCTAGACTAGCCTGCGCTCAGAACCCTCCTTTGCCCCTATCTGGTCTCTTGAGCTCGAGTATGTAGCTCCTTGAGCTTCCTCCTTTTGATCTATCACTTTGAATCGACGTGCTTCACATTACAGTGCCGGGGAAGTCCGACTTTGCCTCGGTAATGACCGGCGCTACCGCATCCGTCCTTCCACTCCATGACCACCTCGAAGGGCTGTCCCTTTGGCGTCGTTTGCTTCATCAGTGCTGTGACCTCCGGGGTAAAGTCGTACTGCGTGCTGGTCTTGTGCTTCATCTCCGAGCCGAATCGCCCAAAGGAGCCGTACTTCAGAACGGGACGGCCAGTAGCAGACTTGGCTGAAAAGGGCGATGGGGCGGAAGACGAGGGTTGCGATGAGGAAGAAGAGCATGCGTCGGCGGCGTTGGTCGTGTAGCTGCTCTTGCGTGGTCCCTTGTAGTGGGTCTTGGCCATCCTCCAAGCCCCTCGAGCGATGGTGAAGGCGGCGACGACAAGCTCTCGATCTGTTGGAAGCAGCTTCTTGCCTAAGCCGACCTCCTTCTCGAGTTCCTCGATGAGCACCTTTAAGAGGCTCTTTTCATAGTCTTCTGCTTCCAAGCTCTTGAGCCATTTGTCCTTGTCTGCCACGTTGCCACCCCTGGCGCGTGTCTTGACCTCTTCTGAGACAGGCTCAGCAACGGGTGGAAAGGGCTTGGTGCGAGCGAAGTGGTACGATCGGTCCGTCAGGTAGTTCCCAGAGGATGCGCGTGGCATCTTGGGCAGCCATGAGGAGGTAGCGGTTGAAGCAGGAAGAGATCTAAGCTTGGTGAGGCTAATCGTGGCGAGGTGGGCGAGGCTGATGCTGTGCGATGCCGACGAGTGTGGCGTAGTGACGCGCGACTGTCTTGATGGAGGCAGGCGCAGGCGGGCTGTGGTGTGGGGCAGCTACGCAGCGCTGAGCGAGAGTGGGCGTGGTGGCGCTGAGCAACTTGATCTTGAGGAGGGGCGTAGAGAAGGGTGTGGTGGAGGAAGGACGACGAGCTGCCGGCTGTATGCTAGGCCTTTGTAGCGAAGAGGCAGGCTACGGCGTCCTTGGTGGTTGGTAGTGAGGGAGGTGAAGGGAAATTGCTAGCCATGGCTCTTTGTGTGCTGGCTCAGACTTGGCTGAGAGGGGGGCTGCTGCCTCTTTCGCTTCCTCGCCTGGACGGACTGCCAGGCTCGACGCGTCGCCGCTTGCCTCTTGTGCCGTGAGCCACCAGAGGCGCCGCCTGATGGCGGCTTTGCGTTGCTACGTGGCTTCTCCGGTTGCTGCTTTTCGCAAGATATACGAATAGATTTTCGATTTTCTTTGCAAGTCGTCGTAGCTACGTGGATGAAAGAGCAGATGTTGTTGATGGTCATAACGCAACAGCTCCCGCTCATCTCGTCGAGCGGCGTGAGCAGCTTCACCACTCAATAGCCGCGCGCAGCCTACGCACGCCAAGGCCGATGGTCACGAAGGCACAGCCACCAAGGCACAGCCACTAAGGCACAGCCACTCGGAGCGCATGCGGTTTGCCGCTTTGATTTCAATGCGGGCGCGGCATTCACAGCATCTGGTGCATCCTCTCCACCTTTTCGCAAGCGAAGCGATGAGAGCGGGCGAAGCTCACAACCTCCCCATCTCGCCCTGCTCGATCCACCTCCTTCTCCTCTCTCCATCCAACCCTTTGCCCTCTCCCCCATCCTCTCCACCCCAGATCTCGTCAGCCGGGAAGCCCAACACCTCTTGCAGGGCCTGCCAGACGTTTTCCACGTACCTGAACTCCATCTCCGCCTTGACGTTCTCGGGCACATCGTGCTCTACATCCTTACGGTTACGAGCGGGGAGGATACACAGCTTGATACCGGCTCGATGAGCTCCAAGGGTTTTTTCCTTCACACCGCCAATTGGCAGCACCAAACCCCGTAGAGAGAGCTCCCCCGTCATTGCTACCGTAGGCGGGATGGGCGTGCGCGTGTAGAGGGAGGCGAAGGCGCAGGCGATTGCCAGTCCAGCTGACGGGCCGTCCTTTGGTATCGCCCCGCCAGGTAGGTGGGCATGTACGTCGTTCTTTGGGAACGGCGCGTCAGCGCTGCTGGTGATGGCGAGATGGTGGGCGTGAGCTTGTACCCAGGAGAGGGCAAGCTGCGCCGATTCGCGGATGACGTCGCCGAGGGAGCCGGTGAGCTTGAGGCTGCCGTTGCCGGGCGGAAGCAGCAACGTCTCAATAAAGAGCAACCCGCCACTTCCCGACCCTTGGTATGCCAGACCAGTAGCCGTCCCCGGCCTGGCCTTCCTTTGCGCGACCTCTGGCTCGTAGGTCTCCAAGCCGAGGTAGGTGCGCAGGTCTTCCACCTTTACGACGGGAGAGTACGAGTCGCGCTGCCCCTTGCGATGCTCTGCATACTCGACAGCTTTCCCTCGCACCACCGTGGCGACGCAGCGCTCTAGTGAGCGCACGCCTGCTTCGCGCGTGTAGGACATGGCGATCTTGAGCAGCACGTCGTCGCCGAGCTGCACATCCTCGCTCTTGAGCCCGACGGCCTTGATCGCCTTGGGCACCAGGTAGCTCTTGGCGATGTGCACCTTCTCATCGTGCGTGTACCCCGAGATCTGGATCACCTCAGTCCTGTCCAGCAGCGGTGGCGGAATGGTATCGAGCGTGTTTGCCGTGGCGATGAAGAGGACGCGGGAGAGGTCGATGGGGCAGCCGATGTAATGGTCCGTGAAGCTGTTGTTCTGCTCTGGGTCGAGTACTTCGAGCATTGCGGCCGAGGGGTCACCATGAAGCCCGTTGCCGCTTCCCAGCTTGTCGACCTCGTCTAGTAGGAGGACAGGGTCCGACACGCCTACCTTGCGGAGGGAGCTGACGATCTCGCCGGGCAGGGCGCCGACATACGTGCGGCGGTGACCACGCAGAGAGGCTTCGTCGCGGACACCGCCCAGAGACAGGCGTGTAAAGGGGCGACGCAGGGCAGTGGCGAGGGAGCGGGCGATTGAGGTCTTGCCGGTGCCCGGAGGGCCGACTAGAAGGAGAATGGGGCCCTTGTCGCTGGAAGTAGCTCGGCGAACCTTGCGAATCATGTCTGCCTCCGGGTTGGAGGAGCCAGGAGTAGCATTCTCTTCTTCTCCGCCCTCTGACTGCATCTCGGTGCCAGCGGCATCCTCGTGTGCAGGCCTGATCGTCTTGATCGACTTGTCGACCTGCTCGCCAGCTTGCTGCTTAGCCTGCTCTTCCTTTTCGATCTTCTCGCGCGCCTGAGCCTCCTTGAGCTCCAAGACGGCCAAGTACTCTACGAGACGCTTCTTGACCTTTTCCATGCCGAAGTGATCCTCGTCTAAAATACGACGAGCACGTGCTACGATGCCTTCGTCTGAGGCCCCCTGACGCGAGGCAGACTCCGTGAGGGTGTCGTGGCCTGTGACGCGGGCGGTACCGTCCTGCTGAGCGGCCTGCTTGTTTCGCTCAGGTACCTTGACTTTGTTCAAATCAGCCGAAACCCTGTCCCACGGCAGGTCCGCCATCACTTCAAGGTACGAGATGAGGACGCCACGCTCAACGCTCTGTGGCGGGATACGTGCGAGGCGCTTGAGCTCTCGGTCGCAGACTTTGCGCGCCTCCGGGGTGAGCTGCGCAGCCTCGAGCTTGCGTGTCAGCTCGGCGACTTCATCTTCTTCCTCTGAGTTGTCATCGTTGCCACCACCGCCCGGGGCGCCTCTGCCGGTCGGGGGCCCACCGCCAGTAATGCTACGGAAGGGATTGCCGCCGCTCCTGACTAGTGGGCGGGGACCATTGTCGCCTGATGACGAAGGCTTGCCATTGGGCGCGCGAATGCGAATGATGCCGCCAACTCCACTACCGGGCTTGTTGTCGGACGAGGAGCCGTTGATCGAGAATGATCCTGAACTGGTGGTGATCTTTGCGGAGATGTTTGGATTGAGAGCGGCCAACTGAGCGAGCAATGCCTCGAGCTGAGAGCGGATGAGCGTCTCCTTTGCGCTATCATTGAGCGGGGCAGCCAGGGATGTGAGTAGATCCCTGGCCAGTCGGACACGAGCTGCACCAATGGAGAGGACGCGCGCCGAATGACGTACACGCTCCCACTGTTCGTACTCTGACAGGATGGCGAGGCGATCTGCCCACTCGCAGGCGCCCCCCAGCGAACCAACGAGGACGTCTGCGAGCTGTGGAGCTTGCGAGTCGCGAGCTTCACGCACAAAGGTGCGGATCTTGCGAATGAGGGCAGGTGGCATGAGCGGGATTGCCGTGGATCCAAAGACAGCTGCCGATCCGGTGGTGGTGTGCAAGCTCATGATTGCGTCGAGGAGCTCCATTGCATTGACTCGCAGAGCATGAATATGCTCTCGATGCGAAGTGGGCCCGCTGCCAGCACCAGGGTAGACTGCATCATCGCTAAAGGTAGTGCAAGCTGCCAGTGGTACGGGTACGTCGGGCACGGTGATGTTGCGTGCTTGATCGAGTGCTGTGCTGGTCAGAGGTGCGCGCATAGAGAGCCAACGATCGACGCGGATGCGTGCGAGGCCTGTGACTGTAAGGATGCAAGTCTCGGTGGCTGGTTGGCGGGTCATGCGCATCAGGCGAGCTACAACGCCCCATTCGTGGAGATCGTTGACCTTGACCGAAGGCGTCGTTGGTGTTGACGATCCATCCTTGTCGCTATTGTTGATTGCCTTTGTGCTGGGTGGCTGAGGTTTGAGAGTCGGGATGCACGCCACTAGGATGGGCTTCGAGGCGTCTAGAGGTGGCGACGATGTCGAGTCATCGCTAGCCGGCTTGTTGTCCGTCGCCTGCAAGGCTGCTTTGAGGAGGGACAGCGAATGGGCGTAGGACAAGGGGATGGACAGGAGCAGCGAGGGATGCAGCACCAAAGGATAAGGAAGTGGCAACACCGGCAGGCGATTGGGAATCACCGGTGTCGAGTCGGGTGGCGATGACGACATGGCGGCTGTGGCCGGTGGGGATGATGTGGTTGTAGGGTTAGTCTAATCGGTGGTAGGGGTGCGTGGTAATATAGAGGACAAAGTGAAGAGGATGAGTGGCTGAGACACTCGCCGCCTCAACTGATTAGCACCTCGATGACAAGATGCCTCGCCCGCCGTCAACGCCCGGCCATCCGGCTCGCGGCGGCTTCCCCGCGCCCGCCATCTCAGCCGAGTCGCGAGAAGAGTGGAGAAATGGGCGGCAGCGCAGAGGCCACGCCGCCCCCGCGCCACGCTTACGAGTGCAGGGCCAGAGAGAGACGAGAGCCGCCTCGTTAAGCGTGTAGATTACGACGATGCTTGGAGCAACTAGAATACAGTGCAGGGTGCAGACAATGCGATGCTCAACCTGAGCATCCTCTAGACGGTGCCTTGGCGATACTAGCCGCCTCTCTTCTCGCCAACTTCCTCCAATCGCCCGTCGCAGCGCTGAGGCCACTACTCGACGTCACCGTAGTAGCCGCCGCACCTGACGAGGCCAGCTTGGCCTGCTGCCCAGCAGAAGCCACAAAGGGCGTCGTTCCTTTGACCGGCTTCGTAATCCCACCCATCATCTCTCCAATTCCCCTTTGCGTCTCTGTCCCGTGCGAGTAGAGGTGCTCCGGCTTCCTCTTGCCAGCCTCAATTGAATCCAACACCCACTCCACCCGCACAAAGCGCTTTACTCTTCCCGCCTTGAGCTGAAGCATCTCCTCGCGCTTCTTTGCGCTCAATTGCATCTCGCTGATCACATGCGTAGTACCGCCGTGAGGAAGAAAATGGACCTCACCGCCATGCAGGGTGATGAGTCGCATCAGGTCCTTGTTCCCAACGGACTCGCCCGTGTACCCATTGATGTACACTTTACAGCCCCGAAAGAGGTCCGACTGCTTGGCATGGTCCGTCAGTAGTTGGTGCCTGAGTTTGCGAGTGCGAGTAGCCCACCAACCCTCTGGTGCGCCAGAGGGGGTGGCCACACCTACGCGGTTGGCTACCTGGTGGCCCGTCGACGAGGAATTGTAGTGCATCGTGCCGTGCCCTGTGGTAGAGTGAGTGATAGGATTGCGAGAGTCGGCCAGGGCAGTCTTGCTTGTGAGGGCGGTCAACTGGTCTTTCGAGCGAGAGGAGAAGAGGGATACAGGTGGTGGACGCATCGTCGAGGATGTTGATGCCTTCGCAGAGACGTCGTGAGCATCACGAGACGGTTCGGCGCCGTTGGCGTCGTGCTCTCCATCCTTTTGCTGAGCAGCCAGCTTGGCTAGGTAAGCTTGCCGCGGCCGTGAGGATGGGCGGCGTTTCAGAGGTGGCGCCGTTGAAACTGTATTCGCCTCCTCCTTGGGAGGCTCTACAATATTCGGCTGTTGCTTCGTCTCCTTCTCTCCGCAATCTGACGCCCTCTCTTTGCCCTTTCCCTCCTTCTGAGCCTCCTCTTCAGCCTTTCTCCTACTCCTCTCAAACCCAGCGTCCATGGCCCTCAAGATCTTTCTCGCCCTTAGCGGCGTCTTTGCCCTCGCGCCATGCGAGTAGCTAGATGATGACGAAGATGAGCTACATGAATTGAGTAGCGCCGCCATCGGGCATTGCTGAATGAGTGCGTGAGAGATGAAGGGATGTTATTGAAGCTGCTAGGACCGTTGTTTTGGACATCTCGACGCCAGTCCGCCTTGCAGCAAAGGCCTGCAGCCAATTCTCTCAGTCCGCCTTCGAGTCGATCGCTCGCGTTGCTTTCAACTTGGGGCGTCGCGTGGGGTCAGGGCCAAATGCCGGTGGACCGAGCGAGCTTCGAAGGAGCATTGCCTTCTTTTCCTATGCAAGCAAGCAATATCTCAAGGAGCTTTCTTGTATGCTCAGACGTCAGCTGGGCGCATTACTGTTACCCAAACCATCGATAAGGAAACCAATCTACATCCAGAGCTCCAACCACCTGCCTCCACGTCGCGCGACCATGGCGACAACTTCGCAGCCTCAGCAACAGGCGGCGTCCTCTTCCAACAAGGACGACGCTTCCTCCTCCTCGCCTTTCATCCTCAATCCGCTCACACCCTCACTCCATATCTACCGTCCCCAACCTCAGCCCAAGAATGCTAAGCCCCCCTCGGGCGCCCTCACCCTCACCAGTCCGACCGCCCCTCCCCGCATCATCCTCATCTTTGGCTGGATGAACGCCCCGCTGCGTCTCGTACAGAAATACGCTCAGCCATACAGCACTCTGTTCCCCTCGGCAACAGTCCTTGTACTCCTCTCCACTTCCAAGGGCTACTTCCGCGATCACGATGGGAGCATCGCGAAGCTCTGCTCCGTCCTTGGGGAGGAAGCGGGACGTATGGAAGGCCGAGAAAAGATGCGCGCAGAGATGCGCAAGGTCGAGGGAAAGAAGGAGGATATCACCCTGGACGGCGATGTACGGGCTACTGTTGCGGAAGCTGGGGAAGAAAAGCCCAAGCCGTTGGCACCAGCACCGAGGGGGATGATTATCCACTCTTTCTCAGACGGAGGAGCCTCGAACCTGTGCACCTTGCTCGACCAGCTGAAGCGCAGCAGTACGGTGACGGCAGGCCTTGCGGAGCACTTGGCCACGCGCGCATTGGTTCTGGACTCCTCCCCCTCGCTCGGCTCAGCCTGGACGGGGAGTGATGCCTTTACCCTTCCCTTGGGAAATCCAGCTACTCAGCCCTGGCTCGTCCGCCACGTCGTTAGGCGGCTGGCACGCGCCGTCATCTACGTGGTGATGCTGCTAGCGCGTTTCTGGGTGACCAAGGTGCGAGGTAGAAAGACGAGGGCAAGGAGGGTGAGGGAGGGGCTGAATGCACCGACGAGTTGGGAATTGGATGATGGGACTGAGAAGGAAGGCAAGAAGGTGGAAGGCGTACCACCGCGCCTCTACCTCTACTCGCAGAGCGACGCGCTGGTACCATGGAGGGATGTAGAGGCGCATGCGAGAGAGCTAGACCCGAGCATTGAGCCGATTGATGCGGAAGGCGGCGGCAGCAGCGAGGAGAAGTCAGCAGAGTCCTCGTCGAAGGACGGCACTGAGCCGGATGCGGTTCGTCTGGTCCGCTGGAGGAATGCGCAGCACTGCGCGATCGTACGGCATGACCCGGAGGGCTACTGGAAGCAGGTAGAGGCGTGGCTGAAAGAGACGCTGCGCTAATTCCACGCCGAGAATGATGGATCATATTGCATGCCAGGTGGTAATGAGCGGATGCTGGTTTTGTTGGTCGTACAAGTACAATGGCCCCTTGAGGCGGGCTTGTAGTCTTATCTCGCTGTCCCTAGCCCCGTTTCTGTAATGTATCGTCCGCAGCCGATCGCTCATCCATCAAACTCCTCGTCGAGAGAATCAATCGAGCCTTGCCTCGAGATGACGCGACGCGATTTGTTGCTGGCGTTGCCATGGCGAGAAGCGCTCTCATCTTCTTGCTCTTCACCATTCTCGACACGGCTACGACTGCGACTGCGGCTGCGACTTTGGCTCCGCTGACGACGGCTCGCGCTCGGTGCTCTGCTCTCGTCATCACTGTCTGGCGTCTGTTTCTGCTTGCGCTTGCGCCTGCCGCTGGCCACTAGGCCTTCGCCTTCGTCGCTTCTGTCTGCCGTCTCGTCGTCCTCGTTCTCATCGCCTGAATCAGACTCGGCGTAGTATGTCGACGGGAACGTGGAGTCCTCATCCAGTGGGGCGATCTGAGAGAAGCGCGGAGCGATGTCAGCACGAACGCATCTTCGTCCTCCTCTCATTCTGCCAGTGCTCACCAAGAAGTCAAGGAAGCCATGCGATGCTTCCCCTGCCATCCCTCCTGCGCCGTTCCTGCCTGCCCTTCTCTGTTGCCTATTCGCACCAGCATCCTCAGCGCCCCCCGTCCCCTTGGGCATCATCAATTGCACACTCAACAAGCCCCTCTTCCTCGCCACCCTCAAGCTACACCTCACGCTAGCCTGTAGCCCCTTGACCAAGTGGTACACGTGCGCCCAGCGATACCAGTGACTTGTGTGACGTTCGCATGTGAACTTCTCCAGCACGCTCCCAGTCGCGGAGGTGGTGCTTGCAGTGTTGTACGGGAACTCGACGTCTGAAGATCCGCCATTGGGACCTCCATCCCAAGTGAGTTTGAACATTGCTTGGCCGGGGGGCAAGGAAGGGGCGGAGGACGCAGAAGAGGCGTTGGTGCGGGCGGATGAGGTGGGCTGCGATGCGCGCACACCGACTCGACTTTTTGACGCCGCTGATCTGTCTCCTACTGCGCCCGCTGATGGCTCGTAGCTATTCGTAAAAAGGAGCTGCACCTTCTCGCACGCCTTGACGTCTATCCCCTGCATGGCGTCGGCCAGGTGCTCGCTACTCATGATAGCCTGAGCTTGTGTCTCGTCGTGGTGGTACTCGAAGCCGAGTGGGATCGCCGACTCGAAGGTGGAGAGCTCACAGCGTGAAGTTGCGTTGGCCTCGGGGCTGAGAAGGAGGACCAGTGGAACGCCGGGCCCTCGCCATTGTAGGCGGAGGGAGACGGCCGAGGGGGCGCCGGGCAGGCCACCAAGACGCTGAGCAGCTTCGTCGCGGAGTGGGTGAAGACCATTGGTCGAAACTCCGGCTGTAGCTGCAGGCGGTCTGCCTGAACCATGCGTGGACCCCGTGGCCACGCCGCTGAAGATCGTCAAGCATTCGAGGAGGGTGAGGAGACTGATGTCAAAGTCGATGGATGCTTCGTGCCCTTCCTCTTCTACTTCGTCGTCCTCCGCACTGTCTTGCGCTGACTCGGGCGGATTGAAGACAAAGGATTTGAATAGCCCCTCGGACACGTAAGCAACTGCCTGAAGAGAGCGTGCGAGCTCAGTCGTGACACGAATACCGGCATTGCTGATGGAGAAGTTGGCGACCGCCGCAAAGGAGATGGGACGCAGCAGCGAGATGAGAGCGCGTACGTCGCCCAGCTCTGCGCGCAAGACGTCAGGACGGCGTTGGGCTGACGCTGCCGTTGGCATGGCTAGCCGCGGTGCAGGATCGAGAAGTGGACTGCTGAATCCGTAAGGAAAGAAGGCAAACCGGAGGAAACGCGGACCGAGCACTTTGTGGCCCGAGCGAAGTACGCGACCCTACTTCCGTCATCGCGTGGCTGGCCGATGGGTCTGCCTCGAGAAAATTGGCTCGAGGCGGGGCGAAGCGGAGGAGCTGCGAAATGCGAGCGACGAGCAACCAGCCAACCAACTTTTGCTTCGAATCTTGATCATCAATTGGCAAACCACCATGGCCTCGAGCGCGGCGATGAACGTCGCAAAGGCGTCTACGCCCTCAGCAGCCAGAGTCGCCACGGTGGCAAAGCCATGGTCGGTCACAAGCGGCGTCTACAGCCACCCGACCCTCTCGCCTACCTTCTTCGACACAGCTGCGCTTGCTTCGTCATCGAGGAGCAGGCTGCCTGGCCCTCAAGTCGCTACCTCTTCGCCCGCAAGCTACGACCGCTTCACTCCCTCATACCCATTGCGATCATCACAACCGTCTTCCTCCTCACCGTCACCCCATGGCAGCAACTCGATCTCGGACCATGAATTCAACGTCCGCCTCTCCCGAGCGGTCTCCCTCCTCCGAGCAACGCTGAGCGACTTCATGCGCATCGGTTTGGTAGACTACGACACATCACACGTCTCCTCGTCTTCTTCATCCTCCGGTCTCGGCATCCCTGCACTCGACCGTCTAGGTCTAGGCGCGATCCTCGAGGCTTTCGGAGCTCGCTCATCTGCGAAAGCCAAGGCGAGGTCAGAACTGCCAACGCAGCATGGCGCGGACGATGCAGACTGTCCTGTTTATCACCCGAATATCGTCTTCAAATTCAGGCCGCCCTCGGCATCACTGCCCAACGATAGCGGTAGTGCGGACGCGGGGCTTGTCACCTTTTCCGGCCGGGCCATGTACTTTGGCTCAGCTCACGTCTTGCGGATGGCACTGAGCGCCCTCTTCTCGCAAACGAGCATCAATCTCGAGCGGGCTCACCTGAACAAGCCGGGAGACGGCTGCACGGCTGGCAGGGAGGACGCATCGCTCGTGCTGCGCATGACGTTTAACGGCGTAGTGCGAGTTACGCAGCAGGTGCACGAGTACACCGTAGTCTTCAAGTATCGCTTCGACCCAGAGACGGGCATGATCGTGCAGCACACCGTCGACAGGATTGAGCCTGCGCCGGGCAAGAAGATCTATGCAGGGCTAGCAGCAGCATTTGCGAGGTTGGCGGGATTGCAGCCGGGAGTAGCGGAGGGAGTGAGAAATCCGGCGCCGTACTGTGTGGGAAGGGTGGGCGTGAGGGCGAGCACAGCGGCACCTGCTTTTGCGCTGCTGCCGAGGGCGAGCGCAGCATCATCCAGGCCGATCTCTCATGCCGCTTTCATCGAAAGGCAGAGAAGACGGCGTGGGTATGCAACGCAATCGAGGCGGAGCGACGCACCAGCGCACACGCCTGCCGCCAAGGGGCAGCATCGAGACGCTGCGGCTGCGACGACGGCTGCTGCTCCCAGTGAGTCCACTCAGCCGTCGTCCTCCTTCTTCTCGACGCCGACTGGTGCGAATGACATGCCTGGCCCCTCGCTGTCCTCCTTTCTCTGGCCTTGGGGCGGTGCAAAGGCATTGGAGTCCTCGCTGTCGTCGCGGCAACAGCGCTGGGCCCCTTCATCAGACGACCCAACACAGGTCGCCTACTCGCCCTCAGGCCCTTGGATGCACGATCGCCTGCCCTCCAGTCCCACCTCTCTCGCAACATATCGCCCGGCCCCTTCGCCGAGCCTGACCCGCATCATTGCCGGCCTCTCCAAGGCTCGTCTCACCTTTCTCGTCACTCTATCTGGCATGGCAGGGTACGCTCTCTGCCCCGCCACGCTAGCTGCCGCGACCACGAGCGGCGTAGGATCAGGGGTCACCACACTGCTCCTCCTCACAGCGGGCACGGCTCTCTGCTCCGCTTCAGCCAACGCGATCAATCAGTTGCGCGAGGTACCCTACGATGCGCAGATGCAGCGCACGCGCGGTCGCCTCTTACCGTCACGAAGCGTCACTCCTCTCCTGGCGGCCAGCTTCGCCACATCAAGCGCAGTGGGAGGCGTGGCGACCCTCTCCCTCCTCTCTCCCACGACTGCCGCCCTCGGTGCAGCGAACATTGTCCTCTACTCCTTCATCTACACACCCATGAAGCGCACCAGCATCTTCAACACTTGGCTAGGCGCCGTAGTTGGGGCTTTACCCCCACTGATGGGCTGGTCAGCCTGCACTGGTGGGCAACTCTTCGACGTCTTCGGCGCAGACGCTCCGGCATGGGTGCTCGCTGTCGTCCTGTATTGTTGGCAATTCCCGCACTTCAATGCACTCGCGCACAACTTGGCGCCAGAGTATGCGAGGGGAGGGTACAGGATGATGAGCGTTCTCAACCCTGCGCTGAACAGGAGAGTGGCATTGCGTCATTCGATTGCCCTGCTCCCGATCTGCGGGCTCGCCCTGCCGCTGAGCGGGGCCGTCTACCCCTTGGCGTACGCCGTTTTGAGCCTGCCGCCTAACCTGGCCTTTCTGGCAGCTACGTGGCGCTTCTGGAGTAAAGGGGACGAGGGGAGTGCGAGGCGCTGTTTTTGGGTCAGTCTTGTGCATCTTCCCGCGGTCATGATCTTGGCGATGGGTTGCAAGAGGGGGTTGTGGGATTGGGTGTGGGGGGAAGAGCAGCGAGAGGAGGGAGAACAGGCGGGGGATGGGCGGGGAAAGGAGTAAAATCGGAGCACAGCGCGGATTGTCTTGACTTAGTCTGAGATGATACTCTCAATCATACCACTACTTGCGAGTCAGTCTCTGAAGCAGCGAGTGAGTCCCGGTGTCAGATGGTCGCAGGCTGTGAATTGGTGAAGGGCTAGTAAGGGGGATCAGAAAGGAAAGGGAAGTGGTGTGAGGCCAGAGGCGCTCCTTCGACAATGATCCGCCTTGCCTGTCCATCTCCCAACGCCTTGTCATGTCCACGCATCACCTGCACCTCCCACAACTGCTGCATTCGTTTTGAGAAAGGGCCGCCATTCGAGTCGATTACTGCGGGGTGCGGGGAGTCAGCGCTTGGCCTTTCTTCCTGCAAGGACAACAACGCCGAGCTTACCTTGCTCATCATCATGTTCACGAACTCCTCTGCGAGCGCGGGGCGAGGGCCAGGGAGGGTCAAGGGTCAGTATCGCTGGAAGGTATCTTCAGGCTCCGCCTTGCCGCTTTGCACCCACGGTAGTTGATCTGCCCGTCCCCATCGACATCTGCCTCTCGGATCATCTCCTCGACCTCTTGGTCTGAGAGTTTCTCGCCCAAGTTTGTCATCCTGTGGTGTCGTGCGGGCCGCGATTGGCTGTCAGTTCCTTCGCGTCTTCTCCACTTCATGCTGCGAGTGGCCATGCCTAGTCGGCCACGTCCACGCGCTCGCCCACGCCCACGCACACATGACGAAGCTCAGCGGCTGAGATGAATCCGTTGCCATCCTTGTCGAAGACCTTGAATGCCTCCTTGATCTCCTCTTCGCTGTCGACGTCGCGGAGCTTGCGGGCCATGAGTCCGATGAACTGGTGGCGCGGTGTGGCACAGAGCGTTGATGTCAGTCTAGTCCTGCACTCGTGGTATCGCTCGGCCGCACGAACCTCTGCAAAGTCGACGCTTCCGTTCCCATCGGCGTCAACCTCGTTGACCATGTCCTGAAGCTCAGCCTCGGTGGGATTCTGGCCCAAGGAGCGCATGACGGTGCCGAGCTCCTTGACTGTGATGCTTCCATCGCCGTCCTTGTCGAAGAGGGAGAAGGCCTCCTTGAACTCTGTGAGCGCAGCGTGGGGACAGGGGTTGGAGAGGTGGAGTTGGTCAGATGATGTGCATATATGCGGGTGCGATTGCCAAGAGGGACGAGCGGTACTCACCAGCGATTTGCTCTGTGCGAAGAGCATGGTGAGCGAGGGAGGAAGAGAAGTAACGTGAGCACATCATGCCGCGGAGATCGTCGTGCTGGATATGCTGGACACTGCAGGTCGATGCTCACCCTCAGTCTGCGAAGGAGCGCAATCGTTGATCAGCGATCAGTCTATGCCTATGCTGGATGTCTGCTCGCTCACCAGTTGGTCAGCCATGATATATCGTTGTTCGTGCGGTGGTAGTCGTGAGTAGGAAGAAAGCGCTTGATACGATGCAATGGAAAGCGAAGTGTTGAGTTGTGCCTCTCTCTCGCTGGGATCGACGCCGCCGCCGCCGTCTTGTCGTGATTGTGCGGCAGTGCCCTTCGTTGCTGCCACGCGGAGGTGTTGCTCGCCCGCCCGCCCGCCTGCCACGCTGCAGGCCACAGCGCCGCCCCTGCGCCAGACGCCCAATTGGCACTTTGGCCCGCTCGCTCGTCGGAGTCGAGTTGGACGGGAGTGAACGACGAGTCGAAAAGTTAGCAGATGCGATGCGTTCAGTCCAATCATCAGCCGCCGTCAGAGGCCGCATACACTCAGCGTTACCACGATCATGAGCGTTGACGACACGATGGCCGTCGCCGGTCCATCATCATCCAAGGCCACGCCACGTCGCGTCCCCATCTCGATCCTCCCGCCCTCTTCTCCAGGCAGCGACCCCATCTCCCTCGTCTGGTCCCCAAACGACGTCCTCTACCTGCGCTCGCAGCACCGGATCATGGGCATCCTCACGGGCTCCCTGCCCCTCCTCCCGCAACAGAATGCCTACCTTGGCGTGCCGCTACAATTGATGCCAGAGGAGGTGCAATTATTGCTGAGCAGAGATGCTGTGGTGCTGGTAGACGACGAGGAGGCGCATGCAATGGGGCCTAGCAGGGAAGAGTGGCAGAGGTGGAGCGGCGAGAGGGAGAAAGAGCGCAGGGAGGAGAGAAGGCAAAGCGCCATTCAGGCACGAGAGCATCGCATTGCATTCGAAGAGGCATTGAAGAAGGGCAAGGGGGCAAAGGCAGCAAAGCAGGATGCAGCAGAAGCTGGAGGGAGCACACCCGCAGTAGCAGAGCCAACCGAAGAGGAGTTGCGTCTTATCGCCTACAGTCACATCACGGCAGGTGCCTCTGACGATCTCCCCTGGTACTCTGGGCCAAACAAGGCAGCACACGATCGGCTCGTCTCCCTCTACTTCTCTCCCTCCTCCCACACAACTCGCTCCCTCGTCTTCTCCTCCCTCAACTCCCCGCCGTACAACTATTTCCTCTCTTGCGGGCTGCGCTTCGGCGGAGACTTTGTTGCCTACCCGGGCGATCCCTTTAGATACCACTCGCACTATACGCTTACGGTGCCAAAGGACAGGAACGAGGGGATCGCGGCGGGGAAGCTGATTGCGGATGGAAGGCTGGGAACAGCCGTCAAGAAGGTACACGTGCTCGCGACCAAGGATGAGCGTGGAGAGGGGATCGATGAAGGAGAGGGAAAGCCGATCTTCTTCAGCTTGACATGGGCTGGATTCGGTACTTAGGCGTGGACCAGCTACGAGAGGCAGGCAGAGAGTGGTTGGAGAGGAGCGTAGTCCGCATGGCATTGTCACTCTATGTACAATACACATTGTATCGTCACAGCCCGCGCTGAGCGTCACGCCTTGACCTTGATCAAGTTCTTGAGCATATCGAAGCTATTTCCATCCGGCTGCAAGTGCCAGACGTCATCACGGCCACGCAGCGAAGGCGACCACGCAGCATCGTCGTCGCAGCTGAGCGTTGAGCCCGCACTGAATCCGGCTCTGGCTCCTGGCCCAGAAGCGGGTACGACACGCAACATGCCTGTGTCTGCTGCGATGCCCACGATGCGCACCTCCTGTGGCGGTGAGACGGTCGTGAGGAGAGTGGGCTGGTCGCTATGCAGCCATACGTCGCGGTATCGTTGAGCGAGCGACGGACCGCCGAAGCCGGACGGCGTGGCCCATTGTCCCCCACAAGCCAGGAAGTCGGCCCAGACCCGCTCGAAGCTAGCGAGGACTGCGCCCGCTAACTTCTCCTGCGTTACGTGTGGGAGTGAAGCACCCGTCGCAGCGTTGTGATCGTCGATGAGCGCCGAGAGTGATGTCGTGGGCAGGGGATTGAGGCAATTCACCCCACACCCGACGACGATCTGCCAATTGCCCGAGCTGTAGTGCGAGTTGACGAGAATACCGCCCATCTTCGCCCATGACTTGCCCATATGCTTGAAAGCTGATCGCTCATCGCTGCTCGTCTCGGCGTAGATGTCGTTGGGCCACTTGAGGCGAATCTTCCTCCCCACAGCAGCGTACTCTTCGCCCAGACCCTGTCGCACTGCCTCGACGATGGCCAGGCCGGCAAGATATTGCGCAAAGACGAGCTTCGGGCCCACAATCATCGGCGTTGCTCCCAGCGGGCTTGTGGGCAAGACGTGCAGGAGAAGGCTGAACTGCAGACACCCGAGCGGGGAGATCCAGCTGTTCCCACCTCTCCCTCGACCCGAGATCTGGTGTGTCGCGAACGCAACAAATCCGGAGGGCAGGTGTGCGGCTAGACGCGGGTTCTTGTCGAGGAGAGTTTGAGTGGAGGTGACCCGCTCGCCATACAAGATGACGTCGCCGAGTGGTTCATGGTCGCTCGATGATGAGATGAGCCGCTGTCTCGTCTCGCTGAGGTGTCTGTAGTACGCTTCGCAGTCCCAGTGTCGGCAGATGGCCGCCTCCGGGCAGGCATTGAGCGAGCCTTCTCCAGTCCCTCCCGCTTCGCTAGGGAAGGTGAGGACGTACTTGGGCACGCGGTGCAGGTCCACCTCGCCTGTCTCTTCATCGGCAAAGTCTCCGTACGAGGCCTCGTCACAGATCTTGGCTGCCTCTCCCGCCACGGTCTTGCCCCTGCCAAAGTAGAAGTGCAGCGTGTCATTCGCATCGCGCATCGAGAAGAGGCGAGAGTCGTCACAACCGGTGCTAGTTGTGGCGCATTGTCCTGAGCGAGTCTTGATGTGTGGGAGTGGATCGGAAGAGGAGAGCTGTGCGGCTTGCTGAGCTAGTATGTCTAGTGTTGTGCGAAGGGATGCTGGCGGGCCCACGAGGATGAGGAGGGAGAGCTTGCCCTGCGCTGCGAGGTCGGAAGAAGATGCTGCAGGAGGTATGGCTAATGGCACTTGGACGCGCAGACCCAGCTTCTCTAGACATTGCGCGAGGAAGATGCGACGCTCCACGTCGGCCTGCTCGAGCTCTCGTGCGTGCGCTGTGGCTACATGCTCCGCTCCATTGGCGGCATTTGCCTCGCCGTCCGTCGTGAGGGTCTCGGGCGCTGCGGTGAGCTTGACAGGCCTGCTGCCAGGGAGAAGGCTGAATTCGGGGTGCGTGCCGAAGAGAATCGCTTGGCCGCTGTTGATCTGGCAGTGTACGACCGCAGCTTGTCCGGCGTAGCTGGGAGAGGCAATGTAGTGATCGTCGCTCGGGTACTTGGCCAACGTCGTGACGCCCTGCTGATTCGCAGCGTCCATGAACGCCCCGCCGCCGTTGTAGTGCATAGCCGTGCGCTTCCCATCTGCTGCATCCAATCGTACCACCCTCGCTCCCGCATCACTCTCGTAGACGAATCCCTTGTAGACCGTCCCCCTGCACTCGCCAGGGTAGAACTCTAACCCCGGCCTCGGTCCAACGACTTCCATCTTGCTCCCCTCCTCGAAGCTGCACCAGCTCGATGCGAAGTAGGCACCTGCACAGATACCCACGAAGCTCCCACCGTCTTCCGCAACCCAGGCTCGTACGGCATCCTGCGCCGTCACCTCCACGCCGTCCTCTCGCGCTCGTGGTTTGGAGAACTCGGCGACGTAAGGCAGGTCTCGCCCGCCTGGAATGACGACGAGGCACGTGTTGGCCTGCCATGGCTGCAGCGCTAGCTCTTCTGCTGATGTAGGACGCACGTCGTATGATGGACAGAGGTCGCGCAGCGCTTTGCGGGTATGCGCAAGTGCCGTGGTCGAGACGCCGGGACCTGAGTACACGAGGATGTTGGACATGCCGAGGCGAGAGTGTATGCTGGGCTGACACGAGAGTATATGCTGGTCTGTGACGATGATGCTGAGCTGCGGATCAATGACGCCGACAATCACGGCATGTCTTTGCCGCTTTGCTCAGTCGATTGACCGGATCCAAGATTCCGGTGGGTGTTTGGACGATCGAGCAATGGAGAAAGGCGAGAAGAAAGTTGGGGATGCGAGGAGCGAGGCGCGGGAAGGGAAGGGCGGAAAAGGATTCGCCTCGCACGGACGCAGGGTCGCGTGGCCTCAATTAGCGCCACGGTCATGCTAATGTGGCTCCACCAACTTGCAATCGATAATCCGGTGCTGATGAAACATGCACTGCTCGCTAAAGGCTGCGACGATGACGCTCCCCTGATGAGGCATTCTCGAAATGCACTATCGCGAGGGGGCAAGGCTCTACTCGGGGCACGCGGTTGGTTACACGACAGCGCGTCTGCTCGTGGTGAGTGAGGTGAATTCGTGGGAGTAAAGGAGTAGATGTACAAGTTTACGAGAGCCACACGGGCCCAAAGAAGACAAAAGGGGGCGCAGCGGAGTGACAGGTATCGTTGAAAGGAATGTGTCAGGGTGGAGTAGGCGCGGAGTGAGGGGCGGATGAAAACACCCGTGTCGGACATCCCGTAGATGAAGACGTGTTGGGGCGACGGCGAGCGTCTACGAAGCTCTTACGAGGCTTACGAGGACTGCTGGGCAGCCTTGGCCTCAGTTGCCGCGGACCTAAGGTAGTCAGATGCCACGGGTCCCGCGACCGTGTTGTCGTCGCTGGCAGTCTTGGCGCCGGACTTGACGACCAACGCGTAGGTACGGCCCGTGGAGATCTGAGGGACCTTTACGGATCCTCCCTGAATGGGGGCGAACAAAGTCTGGCCAGCCGTGAGGAAGGCGACTTGTTGGCCGTCCTGGACGCCCTTGCCGGAGACCTTGACGTTCTGTCCGGGCTTGAGGACCTTCTCGCTCAGAGTAAGAGCGGGGAAGGCCTTCACTGGGAGTGGCGTGTTGCCACTGGGACATTTGACAATAAGAGGCGCGGCAAGGGAGTACGTCTGATTGAAGTTCGTGGCGACATCGTAGGGCGCGCCAAATCCGTCACTCAAAGCAGCGCTCTGAGGAGCGAGAGAAAGGGTAGGAGGTGCTGCGGTCAGCCAAGGAGCCGCAGTCGCGTCTGGCGGTTACACCCTCTACTCACGGACTGCACCCAAGAGGCGTGACGAGACTCAGTGGTGAGGATAGAGCCCGCTGCAGTGAGGTAGGCAGGCGAAGTGATGTTCGCAGCAGCTCCGAGGTAAGCTGTGAGCAGTTCAGAGTTGTGGGAGGTAAGGGGAGGTATAGTACGGTCAGCGACGCGTCCGCGTGGTAGCAAGGTCCCGCGCGCGGAAGGATCATAATTTCGATACTAACCAGAAACACCAACTCCTTCTAAGAGCTGAGAAGTAGCAATGAAGCTCTTGACATCAGTCACGCCGAAGTTGTAGGTACATTCCTTGACCGCCTGGTCCCCGAGGGCCTTGGTTAGAAATTGAACGTGGGCTTTTTCATGGGAACCAATCTCGATGAAGCGCTGGCGGATCCAGGGCTGGTAGCCGGCCTTGGAGAAGTCCTCGGCAGAGAGCTTCTTGAGAGAGTCGCGGTAGAAGGCGTTCTCAAGGTGCTCGAGGGTGAGAGCGTAGTTGAGGATGACCTGCGCGAGGGTGGTGCATTGCAGGTAGTGGCAGAAGCGATGTGGTAACGCGAGGAGCAAGGGGAGGGGCGTGCAAAGTCAGACATCTGTTGACTTGTTCTCACCACCTTCAGCCTCGCCTCGAAGCACTCACAGTGTCAATGTCAGCCTGGCCGGGAGCGGCACGCTTCTGAGCGGGGGCGCCCTGGACCGTAGCAGCGGCGGCGATAAGAGAGGTAACAGCAGCGAGAGAGATGGCGACCATTGTGTGAAAGTTCGAGGGGCGGATGGGTGGGTGAGAGAGTGGAAAGAGTGATGGGGGAGAGGCATCGAAAGCGACCGACGAGCTCGATCCCGCTCTTTATACCTTGGTTACGCATCACACTGACCCCCTCCTGACCTGACTTGAGACCCGGGCAAGACACAGACACGCTCAGCTTCATTCTGTCGCCGCCGAGCACAGAAAGGGCCGTAGCGTCGTGCGGAACGCAGGCTCACAGTCGGCACATACCTACGACCTATCGACAGCTTGTAAGCGATCGAAGCCGCTGTAATTCCGCTTTGACCCCTTCGTTGCCGTCTACCCCCAGCCAAAGCCCGCCATCGCACGCCTACACCTTACTTATTTGCATTTTGTGCGCCTCCGCCGCCTTGATTTTGCATACGTAGCGCCGAGCGCCGAGCGCCGAGCAACGAGATGTTACGATGCGGCGATGCGGTGAGGCACATACTCAACGTTCTGTGGCTGGTCGAGTTGGCGCGCTGGCGTACGAGCTGTGGTGTTGCGGTTCAGAGTGCGGAACCCAGCTGAGCTTGACGCTGGATTTGGATCGCCGAGGCAACCAAGTCGACTCCTCCTGCACCTAACGGCCGGGCGCAAACGCATGTCCACTTGCTCCCCCAGAGACCCCTCATCCTCCAGCAGGCTAGGAGAGCTTCCTTGCGTCCTGCGCTGCTGCTCTTCGCGTACCTCGAGTGCTCTCTCGTAGCTCGTACATCGTGCCCCGGCGATTGGCCTGCCACGCAATACAGATTGAGTGGCTGGACTGGGCGCGCACGAGCCTTATCGGCTACCAGCAGCAAGTGATCGAGACAGAAGAGTGAAATAAAGCTCGCGTGCGTGCGGAGAGCGTGGGCCTAAATCCAGGGTCCAAGCTCATCAATGTCTGAGCGTCGCAACCATGGCACCTGTGGCGATGAGGATGCAAAGCTTCACGAGACAGTGATGCCGATCATGACGAACGATGAAACGACGATGATGACGAGCGTCTGGTATTTTCGAATTGCAGACAAAGCCAAGACTCGTCGTGCAGCCGCCGTGTGTTCGGTTGGTCTGACCTCGATTCCGCGACACACGCTTGGTTCCGCGCCTGCGAGCCTGCAGTCGTGCGCGTCTGCCGTCTGCTTCGGTGAGTGCGGGCTTGGCGGCTCAGAGTGAGGCTTATCTGATGCGACGCGTTGGGAGGAGCAGCGAGAACGAGGCTGCGTACGGGCGCGAAGCCTCTGAGCCAACATGTCTTCCGCGCTCATCATTCACTTCGCGAGGATGTCGTGACAACCGCAAATCTCTCCTCTTCCTTCGGCGCTCCACCTGCCTAGCGTCAGTCTGCCTTAGCGCTCGCGCCTGTCCACCTCCTTCCCTGATCCTCGCTCACATCTCCTCCTCCTGCCACAATCCTCTCCGACTCGAGATGACTACCCATGATTGAGGTTGAGGTTGTGCGGCACCGCCCGGGGCGAGGCGGACCAGCACAGTGGAACTTGATTGGATTCGCCTGCCCAAAGCCAGCGAGACGGCAGCCATGAGCAGCGCCGGCGAAGAGGATCGACTACGCGGCTACGAGGAGAAGATTGTTCAGGCGCATCAGAGAGATGCTGATTTGTCCTTTGCCGGACTGTCACCATCTTGATGCTGCTATAGTGCTCTCTGCCCGCTGAAAGCCGATAGCAGCACCGCGAATCCAGCGACGACCTGGCTTTGAGATCACAACTTTCGAGGGCAAGACCGTGGACGCAAAGGTTGAGAAGTAGCACAGGCTTGACGTGCAATCGGATATCGCGTGTTGATGCTATTATGGTATTGAATGATAGGCCTTGACAGTGACATGGATCTCTTCTCGTGTGCTACTTCGCCCGCATCGTGTCCTGGACGCAAGCCCGCGCCAGCTCTGTGCGCGCAATCGTCCTCTCTTATCGTGTCTTTGCAACTGCTCAGACTCCGCGTGTATGTCCTTCAAGTGCCTTGTGACCAGTAGTACCTCCCTCGTGCACACTCTTTTTGGCGCGCCTACATCCTCTCCCTCGCACACGTTTCCTTCCCAATGCAGCCTCTGCTCGTCTCTTATTGCGGGACTTCCCCCTCCCAGCCCTCGCTGAAGCTCGCCGCCATCACTGCAGGCAAAAGCCATGTCCTTCCAATCCTCGCTTGGTCGCGGCCCTCACTCGTCCGCACTCATCCGCTCCTATGCCCTAAAATTGCAGCGCACCTGTCGGCAGCGCGACTTTCGGGAAAGGCTTGCGTCCCTTGGACCAGTCCTGCCTCAGCGCATTGAGACAATCGTATTGCGCTACTCGGACAGCTGCCTTGTGCCACTTGTACTGATACCACGGGCTTGCTGGCACGATGTTGTCGCCGGTCACTGCGGGGCGCCTAATCCAGGTCTTGAACTTCTCAGCGCTCCAGCATGAGGGGGGGGAGATGTTCGTGACGAAGTCAGCCTTGAGCTCACCAGCGACCCAAGGCCCTTCGCCGAAAAGTGCCTCCATCAGGGCGGTCGGAAGGGAGACGGTGGTCTTCTTGTCTGGGACAATCGTCCAACTATGCCCACTGCGACGGACGGTCCAGGGGTTCACTGTCACTCCAGCAGGATAGGGGTATGGGCGCGGCGCCAAGCCTGCGATCTCGCGCAAGCTGTTCATCATGAGCTGGGCTCATTATGCGACCTTGCTTCTTGACGTCGTTACTAATCTGGGGAACGAATTTGTGAGTGAACATCCTCCACGCTCCGTTTGAAGCCATGAGCTCAAAGCCCAGATGCGCCTCTTCGGGCAATGGAGCCTATCTATGCTGGTAGTCCAAGGGCCGTTGACCATTGAGGGTAGCACGGACCAAGACGGTAGGGTGCCTTTCCTGACTGCCGCGCGCAACCTTGTGATGACCCAGCAGCGCCCTCATTCGCTCTTGCTCCGCCTTGCGACCCTTGTTGGTTCCGATCTTGACGACGCGGCGCTTGCCATCCTCCTCCTCGACCAAAAGCTGCCTCAAGTCCCTCATGAGCCATCTGCCCGCGACGAGCCTCTGCAAACGAGGCTTGAGGTTGGAAAAATCGGGACACGCAGCCTTGCAGGCCTCGATGTCGGCCTCAATTGCCCTCTTCTGCTCGAGACGCTCGGCCTTGTCAGCATCGCTCCTCCAGGAGAAAAGCTGATCCGATACTCGCTCGTACGGGGCACTCAAAGGTATTTGACCGCTGTGCATCTTGAGAGGATATTTGTCCGTGCCCTTGACCTTGCCATCAGCGCGGCAAATCTCAACGACCATGCCGCGGCGGATGGGGGCCTCCTCCCACCAGCTTGCGACGATGAGCTCGCTCGGGTCGTCGGACGCGTCGATGTAGCGGACGCGTGCTGAAGCGGTGCCAGACGCCTCACCTGGGAAAAGAGCTTCCATCCTGCCGGCAAGCACGACGATATTCAGAGCCTTAAAGACGCTCTCACGCTTCCACTCCTGTGGCATGCCAGCAAAGTACAGGCTGGACATCATCGCCTCCTGCATAGCGCGAGCGTATGCCAGGAATGCAGTCGCGTCTGCCGCTCGCTGCCTCGCCGCCGCCACGTTGCTGGTCGCCGTGTCTGCCACTGCGTTGGCGAGCGTCGACGTCGCCAGGGCCAGCTTCGTCATTCCCACAACCTCACGATAATCGTCGAGGCCGGTGCGATCTGTGAGCTTCGCATTCCCAGGGTAGCGCGGCCCGTCGATGGCCATGTTGCCGTTCAGGCCAGTGACGTTGTGGAGCGAGGGAAGGGCAACGTTGGCTCTCGCCTTGAGAATCCCCGGCAGCCTTTGGCAGGCTCCGACGTTGGCGGCGAGGAGAGGCTCCAGCACCGACAAGAGGAGGTCCTGCTCCTTGAGCGGCACGCGATCGTTGATACGTGCCCAGTCGAAGCAGAGCACCTCTTTCCCGGCTGCGTATTGGTAATGCAGCGGGAAAAACCTGGCACCGACAGCCTCGGCCTTGACGACTTGCGCCCTGTGGTGACCTCCCCTCCTTGCCCAGAAGAAGCTCTTGCCCAGGTAGACGGCAGCCCACGAATTGGCGTCGAGGACCATCTCGGCGTATACGACGCAGCGGGGCACAGCCGAGAGGTCGGAGCTTGCCGTCTTGATGACGCCGTCGAGCGAAGCGGCAGCACGAGAGCGGATTCAGTCGGCGGAAGGGGTCTGGTTGGCGTCTAGCTGGGTCATGATCTCCTGGAAGAAGGGCGTGAACGCGACATCGCCCCTCTTGATGGCGGTCTCGAGCGCTCCGATACCACGGTTGAGGGTGGGAGGGATCTGGCACTTGAGATCCACTTGCTCTGCGAGGCGGAGTAAGGCGCGTGAGTACGGGCAGAACAGCGATTACGCGCGTCTAGCAGACTTACCCCCCGCGATCTTCCTCAGGAGACGGAAGCCCTTCTCCAGCGACGTGCCGGGCTGACCAGTCTTGGGCTCTGGCCTGGCCAAGAGGGTGTACATCTTGCGGCTCTCTCGATCCTTGAGAAACGTCGCCTTTGTCGTGACGATCGGAGTCTCGAACCACTCCGTGCCGTCGTTGTCGACGAAGTCTGGCTCAGCATCGGCTGCGGGCTTGCTGCGCCACGCCTCTTCCCTCTCGCGCACCAGCTGGAGGAACGCCCGAGGGTCGACGCCTACATCGCTGAGCAGGCGAATCTCGTCCCCGTCGCCCAGCGCAGCGCTTGATGTTCCGTCTCCTTGCTCTGCATCCCCTTCTCCCTCTGCCGATGCGTCCCTTAAGGCGCCACAGAGGCGAGCGGCCAGCGCTTCCGTAGCCTCTTTTTCATCCTCGTCGTCTCCTCGGCCTCGCTCGGCTCCCAGTCGCTGTCGTCGCTGTCCGTACCCCCCTTGGATGCAGACTTGGCCGAGCCTGGCCTGCTTCTCTTTGAGGATGAAGCGGCCTGCGGCTTCTTCGAAGACGAGGCCGCAGCGGAGGAGGAGGAGGAGGAGGAAGAAGTGGCAACCCCTTTGCGACCAGACGCGGAGGGGGAGGAGGAGAAGGAGGAGGAGGAGGAGGAGGAGCAAGTAGCGTCGCGCTTGCTGCCAGACGACGAGGAGGAGGTAGCACCTCGTTTGCGGCCAGAGTAGGAAGAGGAGGAGGAGGTAGCGTTGCGCTTCATGAGAGGGACTTGCCTACGTCTCTTGATGTAGGCCTTGTCTTGGCCTTGCAGTCCTTCTTTATCCTCGCTGAGGTAGCCTACATGCCCAGAGGTACCTTGGTCCAACCATGCTGGTCGCAGTTGGTAATGCCACGCTGCTCGAGAAGCTCGTGGAGGGCCTGCTTCCAATGCCGGCTTCAAGGACCTGGCCACAGTGCCCTTGCCCTGGCGACGCTCGCGATACGCGGCCTCGTCGATGCACTGCGGCATGGCTGTGGACGACGAGTGGTGGAGCTTGGCGTGGGCGGTGAAGCTTGGTCTGACGACGAATGTCCGCACGCTTTTTTGAGTCGGTCAGAGCCTTCATGGCGGCTTTGCGAGCCGAACGCGAGGAGTTCATCGTGGGCAGCTTACGACGAGGAGTGAAGACCTCTGAAGTGGCCAGGAGTCACCTCTCCGCCGTTGCTCGACGCCCTACTTGGCTCGAATCGGTCTTGGTGGCCCTCGCCCCAGTCTGGCGCTTACGTGGCTCCTGCCTAGCGTGAGCATCCGCGGCTCAATTCCTTCTCGAGCAATCGACGTTCGGCGCTACCTCTCGAAGCAAGAAGGTCGGCCTGGCCATCATGGCTGCGCTTGGAGATTGAGCGCCCTCGTCGCCACCGGTGTGTGAAAGATCGCTGTCACAGCGCTGTGGGCTTCCCTTTTAACCTTATAAGAGCATAAGAGCACAGGTGCGATGGCGAAGGTGCTGGGCCCGACTTGACGGGCACGAGGCAAGCAGTCGATCAGCTTTGCTGATTGGGAGCTGGAGGAGTTAATTTTGAACCGCCTGTGTACCACCGCGCACAACTGAAGACTACTGTATCGTAGGAAGACATCGCGAGGCAATGCTAGGCGTGCAGTCGAGCACGACATGCTATGAGTAGCCGCGGGAAGATGAGGTTGGTGGGTAGGCGCGAGTATATGCAGGAAACCCACTTTGACGGGTCCCATGCTACTGGCACTCGTCGTGGTTGTTGTGGCCGCAGAGAAGCAGGCGAAAGTCCTTGGGCACGTATTTTCGGCCATTGTGTACGCGTCGTAGTCGCTGTCCTCCTCTGCGCTCCAGTCATCATCGCCTTCGTCGTCCAATAAGGCGTCGGGGTCCTTCACGTCCAGCCAGTCCGCCTTTGGTAGCGCTGTCCCCCGAGCGGCTGCCTGCTCTCCCTGGCTCAACACGACTGCAAGCAGCATCGCAAGCCGGTACGAAATCCAACATTCGTCGTGGTTGCTGTGTCGACGCAGCGCGTTATGACAGCGGAGGATGAGGCGAATGTTGCCGGGCACGTATCCGTGGCCATCGTGAAGGCGATCCACGGACGCCAGCGTCATGGGCAGCACCATGCCATCAGCGCTCAGAAAGGCGTCTTTGCCTGCCCTGCGCTCCAAGCAGAAACCCTCCACGTCGCCAACAGTGAGGAAGTTCCAGTCCCCGCTGCGCTGCTCTGTACTTGAGCTCGTTCCACCGGATGGTGGCGAGCTCGCGGTTTCGCTGGCGCTCATCGTCCAGAATGGGAGGCGGAGGGGAGAAGACGAGGTGCATGCCGGCGTCGAGGGTGCGACCAGGATTGCCGTCAATGGGAGAACCGAAGAGAGGAGTGAAAGAGGGACCAAGGGCTTCGCAAGAGCTGGCGATGTGACGCAGAAGGACGCGAGCCTCGTCCATTGAGCACGTGTACTTGAGGAAGTTGCATGCGTTGCAGAGCATCTGCACGTTTCCCGCAAATACAGCCAACCAGAGACGATCTGGTCCGCAGAAGCATTGTGTGGCTCCGGTGCCCAGGGATGCGTCTGATACCAGTAGACACTGTTGAGCACGGTCCCAACAAGACTGTCGGCTGGGTAGGTGGGCCGAGGAGGCGCTTGGTTTGCCTTGGCATGCCCGCGGACATGACCGCCCGCATCCTCATCTTCCTCGCCATCTTCCATCACCTCCATCGCGCCGGTCAAGATGACAGCGTCCTCATCTAGACCATCTCCCGCTTCCTCCAATTCCCCACTTTGTGTAGCCTCGTCGCCTGTGACCGTCGCTGCCGCACCTCACGCGCCTCCTCCGCCCGGTAGCACTGTCACTGGCGAGAGCACTGCCTGCAGCCCTTTCCCTGAGTTGCACGTCGGAGTAATTCCTTCGCCTGCCGAGCCGCGTCAATTCTGCCCCACACAGCGCGCACTTGTTGCCTTGTTCGTGCAGCTTGGCCTCGAGAAGGTCGCTCAGCTGCTGGCGCGAAGGAGGCGCAGGGTCGTCCGGATTACGCTGACAGGCTTCCAGCCAACGGTCCCGTGCGTTCTTGTCGAGACGCGTCATGAAAGCGCCGTCCCCGATGATGTAGGCGGGCGGGCCTTCGGCAACTCGCTCCCAGATGTCCTCCAGTGCCGTTGTCCATGCCTCCAGCTCACCAGGTCGCAGTAGCTCGCTGGCAGGGACGTTAAGCTGAGCACCTGCGGGCCTTCGAGCCCAGCGACGGATGATGGGCGCAAGTGCGACGGCCGAAATCGCATCCTCGGTACTTCAGAGGGGGAAATCGTCACCCGTGCCGTGCGTGATTGCACCGACTATCCCTCGAAGCTCGATTTCGTCGTACGTCCCGATGAGAACCGACTCCTGCAGGTGGTTCTGTCCCTGGCGCCTGAGGCGGCTACGAAGGACCGGCAGGAGGTCTTGCAGATCGGCGGGGAACGGGTAGCCGTCGATGCGCAGGTGAGGGAGACTGGGCAAAAGACCCAGCGACAGGACGTACGCCCGGAGGGAAGGATGAGCATCTGCTCGAGTAGCTTCTGCCAGCACTGGAGCTGGATCATCTCCCTCCGCCATGGCCAGAAATTGCTCGATGAGATCGTCGTAGCGATCCTCGATCTCACCTTCCTGCGAAGTGAGATGAAAAGCAGCGCATGATTTGGCCGAGTCATCGCATCGTCTGGCAAGAAGCTGTGGGGACGACACCACGCCGGAGATCGCGAGGTACGAGACTGCACCCCTTTCGTCGGTGACACGGGCGCTGCAGCCATTCGAGATGATGAGTGGTAGCGTGAGCGGCTGGCAGAGAGTGATGCTGCCTGTGCGCGTGAGAAGCGGGGTGTGAGAGGAGGCTGCAATCAGCATATGGCGTGTCGCGACTCGGCATACCCAACTTTGACATACCTTCAGCTCGTCTTTCAATCTGCTTCGAGGTATGTCAGAGCCTGACGAGGTCGCGTATGCAGATCACATCGTCTTGAGAGAGATCGAAGGCGCCGAGGATGTATCACTAGTCGCGGAGATGCTTCATAGGTCAGTCACGCGTGTCTTCTCGGCCGAAACAGCTTCGCCCACGACTCACCAGCGGCCCGTCAATAAGCAAAGCGATGCGATTGGTGCTCTGGCCCAGAGACTGGTTTCACCGTATCACTGCGTGTTCCCATCTCCATTAGCTCTTGTGCTTGCAAAGAGCGTAAAACTGGTTCAGACGACGGTCCATGATCTGGGTGGTGTCGTTTGAGTGTCGGTCGCGGAGTTGGACTAGAGCAGTAGTATGATCGCTTGCTGCCAGGATCGAGCGTGAATGACTGAGCAATCTGGCTGTGCTTGACGATGAGTGGCGCAGGCTCAAATTTCGGAGGTCCTGCGATGACGGAAGCAAGGTGACAGGACAAGGCGGGACCGTCTCCATCGTGCTTGACGAGCGAAGTGGGCAGAGAGCTGATAGACTGACTTGGAGTCGCTGTGATTAGCGGTGACGCCTGCTGGCTGAGCGCGCCACCGCTGATGGGATGCGTAGCGTAGTCTTGGGCTGTGCGCGCGGTGGTACGTGAGGAGGCGATTGATGGCCTGGGAGTTGGTCGAAGCAGGGAGGGGCTCAATGAAGTAAGAGGGAGATGGGTGCAGATGGTAGGGAAGGGAGAAAGAGAGCGGGGCCACGATCACAATCTCGACCTAATCATCGAGCGAGCTCAGGCGGTGCGGTGCAGAGCAGAGCGGCTGGGCGGCAATGCGGGCCAGGGCGCGCGCGGCGCTTGATTGGTTCAAGCGAGCGAGATGAGCGGCGGCGAGCAACGACGAGGATCGACGGTGCGGACGTGACTCGAGGGGGCAAAGCAGTCAGGGCCAGCCAGAAATGAGCAAATTGATCACTCCCATCCCCCGAGGAACAAGCATGCAATCAGCTTGGCGGGCCGTCAACATTGATCAAGCAGGGTCGAGAACAAAGGAATCGCGAGACGAGCAGGCTTACTCGCGGTCCATCAAAGTGCAAGAGTCATGGAAGGGAGTCCGGAGCGGGTATCTGGATGAAGGGGGAGGCGAATGGGAAGAATGATCAAGTCCGCTCGCCCTGGTGTTGTAGAGTGTCCGAATTGCTCAATCAGGCTGGGTCGACCTGGCGCCTTTGGCACTGCTGATATTCGCTTTGGAGGGAGTCGTGGCGACATCAGTCTTGTTGACATCGGCTTTGCAGTGAACGACAGATCCTACGCACCTGCTCCAACGAGGTGCTGAGATCAACATAGCCTCTCTGAAGCGCCTCTTCACGCTGCGCAGCTGCATCTTCTCGAGCTCGACGTCTTCGAGTCGCTGCTGGCAGACCGTCAAGTGGTTGGCCAAATCAATGATCTGTCTTCTGAGGACTTGTTCGGCCGCCTATGCGCTCTGCAGGTCGTACTCTAGTCTGTTGATGCTGCTCTTGAGGTCTTTATGGCGCTCAAAGTCTTCTCGGATGCGATTGAAGTACGAGACGGCCTCGAGTTCCTTTGCTTGCTGCTCTTCGGCAAACATGGTCTTGCTTGTTGAGCTTTGGTTCGGTTAGACTAGCCTGCGCTCAGACCCCTCTTTGCCCCTATCTGGTCTCTTGAGCTCGCGTCTGTATCTCCTTCAGCTTCTCTCTTCTGACTGGTCACTCTGATTCGACGTGCTTCACATCACAGTGCTTGAGTCCAATGGGGGAGTCGCAGGAGGCGTCATTGCCTTGTGACGGCCTTCGACATAGGAACAGGAGATGGCAAAGAGGAGGTGGCACCTCGTATGACTTGCGTCGGAGAGAGTCTTGGTAGACAGGACATGAGAGGACAGCAGCAGCAAGATGTGACGAAGACTGGATCAGAGTAACCCTGGTGGCGCCAGCTTGCTCGTCAGATGAATAGCGCCTGATGGTCGTGCGGTAGATTTGCTCGGTGGTGATGATGGTAGAGAGTCAAGAAAGGAGGGGCCGCCGCGGTCTCAGATGATGGCCGCCCCCTCGAGACGCGGCTCGCCTCAGTCTCGCAAGACTCAAACGGCCTCACTCATGACTCACCAGCAGTACGTAGCGAGGCACCAGCCGAATGATGCGGCTATCAGATTTTCCTCCTTGACCCCTCACCATCAGAGATTCTACTCTCTTTCATCGAAGGAACATTGTCCCCGGATCTCGCCTAATGAAAATAGTTGCTGATCTCCCTCTCGTCTCGCCTCTCCATCTCCCTCCCATCTTATATGTATCGTCAATTCGCATGCACATTAATCAGTCAGCTCGACTGGGCAGCAAACACGACCGAGTAGCACGGTAGTCTGAGCAAAACGGATGTATTGGCATGACTTGGGAATAGATGTTGGTGCTGTTTGGTATGATGCGGAGCAATGAGCACTGTTCTTCTGGTCCTACTTTCTGTGCACTCTCCTCCTTCTGCCTCTGCTTCCACGCCTCATCACCTCCTCTGCACTCGATGATCCTGCTTAATTGCTGTGACGATGGCAGCCATGATTGCGGGCTCGCTGGCCAGGAGTTTTGCACGCTTCAGCGTCATCGTAGACGATATCGCAGTCGCAGCTTGCGCCCTCGGTGAGCGCAATGTCGCTGGCTGTCTCGGCCTGTGACAGCGGTGCCAGTAAGTGCGGTGCCGTGATGGGTGAAAAGGAGGATGAAGTCGTCTGTGGCGCTTGCTCGTGGCTGATCTCGACGTTGCGGCTGTTCTTTGCGAAGTTGGGTGGCTGATCTTGCTCAACGCCCTTGTCGTCGGTGGGTGAAGGCAGCATGGCCGCATACAGACTCAAGTCGCAGCTGCTAGTCCTCGTTCGTGACGTACTACACCCCGCAGCACTCTCCCTGCTCATTGTCCCCCACTCCCTCTCCAGCCTGGCTACCCTCGTCTTCAAGTCGCCGAGCTCTCCCTCTTTCTTCGCCTCAGCATCGTCCCTGTCCCTCAAATCCACCTCAATCTGGCCGTGCAGCTTCTCCATGTGCGCCTGTAGAGCCGCAATCCTCTGCCTATCAACGCCTCTCTGGCTTTCCAGCTCGATCACACGCGCCTGTAGCACGGCCGCTTGGGTGGATCTTAGTGCTGATGTTGACTTGAGCTGTCTGAACTTCGCGATGTGCGATCGCAGTGATGTGATTGTACTCCGTAGTGCTTGCTGATCATCCTCGCCGCGAGAAGAGGCAGGCGGATCGGCCATGCTGCGCGTGTGCGTGATGTTGGTTGATTGCGAGGTCAAGAGGCGCGAGGAGAGCGGGCCAGATGCAACGTCGCCCGCCCTCCTCGGCTCGACGCTTCGACACACTGGCGGGCGGGTCGAAATCTCATCTTGTGCGGGCGGCGCTTCGCTTGGCTCGACTCGACTTGATTCCCTGAAGCCACCCACCACCAATGAGGAGCCGCGACGCTCGCTCAGCTCACCGCCCGCCCGCCCGTGTGCGTGCGAGCAAAATGCAAAGTGGGTCCTCGAGATGAAGTTGTGCCCTTGACTTGACTCTCACAACTGACCCTCGCCCTCATCCTCTCGCATCACTCGCGCCACTCGCCATGCCTGGCGCCCGGCCACAGCCACACTCAGCGATCCCTCGCCCTCACCCCTCGATAGCCTGGCCAGACCCACCTCCTCGCCCAGCATCTCCGCCGCCGCAGAGCGCACGACTTGACTCTTTGCCTCTCCCATCATCATCATTACCATCACACCCTCATCCGCCCGTCGCACCACGCTCAATGCTCCCCCCGCCGCACGGCAGCCTACCTTCCAAGCCTACTGTCAAGAAGGGCGTACTAGCATCAGCTCCCCGCGCTCGCCATCTCATCGGCTTCAGCGAAGGACTGCGCAGCGTTCCGGCGCCTAAAGACGTGCAAGAGATGCTGGCTGAGCGTAGGAGAGAGGATGGAGACGAGGAGCCAGCAGCCACATACCCGCCACCACCGCCCGCACCCACCCCACGCTTCTTACCTCTACGCCGAGAATCGAGCATCGCCGAGGAGTGGGATAATGCCACTTCTACCTCTTCTACCCCTTCTGTGACCAACTTCTCCGCTCGAGGAGCTACGGCCGAATGGATCAACAAGCTCGGCGAGGCGGATGTAGCTGCTCACCCTGACGACTGGGCGGGCAGTGCTGCATCTTACCACGAGGACGACGAAGACGAGCAGCAAGAGCATCTCGAACTCGGTGCAGAAGCACGCTGCGTCGCAGAGGCGAGCCCTTCAGCCGCAGAGGTCGCCGAAATGCGAGACATCCAGCCGCGTTTGGAGGCTAAGAGGAATGCCAGGAAGGCGAAGCAGAAAGAGGCAAAGATGAGGAAGAGAAGAGAGAGGGAAGCGCAGGTGGCTGCGCAGCCACAGGAGGCCGTTTATGGTGCGGGAACCAACGGAGTAACAACAGCAGCTTGGAATGAAGCACCGCGCACGAGCGCCGGCCCTGATGCAAAGGAAGCAGCTTCAATTCCTTTCCCAAGCCTGCAGGTTGCGCAATCTTACCAGCAACAGCCTGTTCAGTCGGTCGCACACGCAGCATCAGCGTGGGACGATCCAGCTGGCCTGCTCGACCCCGAGCCTACTGCGTCGCTCAGTACCATCCAGCGCACATCTCCAGCGGATCAGGCACAAGCTCCTCCCCAAGACTCCTCAAGGAATGGCGCATGGGATGAATCCCTCACTCCCGTCGCCCCATCAGCAGCTCCTCGTCACCCTGCTTCAGGGCGACACCAGCGAGGCACCTTCTACAAAGGACAGAGAAGCGGTCGCAACTATGCTCGAGCAGCCGCTTCGCGCGGGACTCCTTTCACAGAGCTGATCGGGCCCCCGTCCATGCAGCTGGATCTGGATGCCTGGGATAGTGCCTACGATGCGCCGGTGAAGGGAGCCTCGATGAAGGCGGCGAAGCAGCCAGCAGGAGCAGATGGTATTGAGGCGGAGGGGAGTGCCAAAACACAGGGCAAGAAGAAGGGCTGGAAGAGCGCCAAAGGAAAGGAGCGCGCTCTGACCACCACCGTTACTGCTCAGAGGAATGGAAATGCAGGATCAGTCGGGTGCCGAAGGGAGACGAAGCAAGCCGAGCAGGAGGTTGGGTGGGATTGATGGGGAGACATCAGCCCGTAGCGCTCTCACACATTTGCCCTGATGGGCTCCACGCACACAAGACCAACAGGCCACCATACCCACCGCATCAACGCACTCGCATATCGCCGCCATCACCACCCACGTCATCACTCAATCAATCACATCGATTCTCTTCGACCAAAGCCTGACGTCACTCCCGCACCCGCACCCAGTCAAAAGCTACTTGAAAGAGTGATATTTTTCAAGCTGCCGCGCGTTGCGCATCTACATACTACTATACAAACTCGCTCGCTCGCTCGCCACGCTCAAACCCTCCCCTCCCCCTCCCTCGCCCCATTCCACCACGACCCCACCCCTCTCCCCCACCCAGCCGCAACACTAGCCGCCGTCGACCCCCACCCCTGGCGGGACGCCTCCGCACCTGCGCCTGACCCGCCTTCCTGCCCAGTAGTCGAAGCCCTACGCTCATACTCGCCCCCACTTGCATCATCCCCCGCGGCCACGAGCGCGGGTACATGTTCCGCGGACGGCGAGGAGGAGGAGGCATGGAAGACGTCTCGCGCAGCACGGTGCGTTCGTCCACTGGATCGACGTGCTGAATGATTCGTACTTGCCGTCCCGCCCAGAGAACCTCCCGAGCCCGCACTCGCGCTCGCGCTCGCGCTGGAAGTCGAGGAAGCGGCAGGTGAGACGGAGCCGTCCTGCGTAGTCGGGGGGAGGAGAGTCTGCTGCTGCTGCTGGCGCGAACGACGCGAAGAGGATCGGTTGGGCGTGCTCGCCTGCGAGGAGGAAGAGGGGCGAGAGCTACTGTCCCGCGGCGGCGGCGGCGCGGCGGCTGCACTGTACGGTGGCGGGCTGGGCGAGTTGGATCTCCCGCCAGGTGCTGCGGTGGAGATGGCGGGGAAGTAGCTGCCTGTTCCTTGCCTGGTCGTCGTTCTGCTCCCACTCTCCGGCCTCGCCTCGCCGCGTCTACGATAGCGCCTTTCCCCACCGCTGAGTGCGTGCAGACTGATGTCCAAATTGTTGGGAGTCGGCGGGTTGTGCGTATACGCTGAGCCCGCCGAGGCGGCGGATGTGCTGCGCTCTCGGAGGTCGGGGGCTGCGTACGCCGTTTGGGAGTCCTCGTCTTCCTCGGAGTCGGTATGGTCGCTTCGCGCAGCCAGGACGGATGCTTGGTGAGAGGACGGATTGATCTCGATGCGATGCTGCCCTGCACGCCTGCCGCTGCTCGAGGCTGGCCCTGCGCGCCTGCTACCTGGGTACGGCGATGCCTCCCCTGGCGGCGTAGGCGGGGGTGGCGGCGTCCTCCTTCCACCGTTGCCCTCTGCCCTCGCACTGGGTCCCGCCGCCTCAATCAGTATGCTCCCCCTCTCCTGACCATAAGCAGGCGGAGGCGCCAAAGTCCCCGTCATGGGCGCGAGTCCCCACTTCTTGACATTCGCTTCGATGAAGACGAAGCCCGCCTGACCTAGGTTGACGTGCACCTCTGCTGGCCCATCGGCGCCTATAGTCGGGAAGACGTTGTAGCGCTGCAGACCTATAAAGGCGTCTTCCAACTTCTTGCCATTGCGCGTGTAGAAGACGGTCCCCGTTCGCGGGCGATAGCCCACCCCGATGACATCGCCTTGCACGTAGCTAGGCCCGTAGGACTGCGCAGCAAAGGGATAGTTGTGGCACTTGAAGCCGTCCTGACTGAAAAAGCCGACTGAATGCTTGCTCCATCCGGGAAGCCTGAACGAGGGGTAGGGCTTCGTGGCGAGACCCAGACTGATGTTGGTAGACGCCGGCTTGGAGAACATCTTGGCCTCCCAGTAGTAGACGTCGTTGACTTTGGGCAGTGGCAAGTTGGACTGCACACTACATCCTCCTCCCTCGCGCGGGGACATGCCCTCTCCATCTGCCACAAAGGTAATCTCCGTGCGCGCCTCGACAAAGCACGACGAGTTGGATTCGTAGTCTGGCTCAAAGCTCCATGCGCTCACGCCCTTTTCCTGAATCGACAAGAATTGGCTGATGGTAATCTCGCTCGCTACGCTCCCCGGCGGGTGGCTGAGCAGCCAGTCTTTCGCCCTCGCATAACCACTGCGGGTGGCCTCGTCCTGCGTGGAGAGCCAGCGCTCTTCGACTCCCTCTAGCCCACCAGCTCCCTCGAGCTCTTCCTCACGGCCAATGTCCAGTGGGCCGTCACCTGATGCGAGCGCGATGCGCGCTCGACGCCGAACGATTATGAGCATGATGAGGAAGAGGAGTAGCAGGAGGAGTAGGGTGGAGAGGAGGACCAGCAGGGGTACGAGGACCGCGAGAACGTTCTCCGTTGGGGTGGTGGGTGGGGCGCCAGGCTGATGAGACGGTGAGGATGGTGGTGGAGTGGCGCTTGGTGGCGTGGGAAAGGGAAGTTGCGGATTGTCCACGAGCTTGACGAGCGAGGAGCTCGAACGCTTAGGGCTGGAGAAGGCAGCCTTTCCCGCCTTTTCGACCGCCCTGCTCCCTGCGTGCTCCTCTGCCAATCGTGGGCTGGACGGAGTGTACGACAGGCGAGGCGTGGATGGTCCTGCCACTGCGCCGCCAGCCCCGTGCTCGTCGACGGCGGCTTGCAGCGTGTCGACCCATTGCTGCCATAGCGGTCTTGATGCGTCATACTCGGAGGGGATGCGAGAGGAGAGGATGTCCTCCCAGGTACGATCGTCGCTTGGCGTCAAGCGTGGGGGCGGGGCGGTCGAGTGCTGCTTGGCTGGTGATGATGCGGAAGATGACATGTCGGTGTGGAAGAAGGATGGTGGGAGGAGTGGGGCCGCCATTACGATGAAGCGGGGAGGATTAGGAGCTGATGAGCCCTCGCTCTAGCGGCGATGGTGCAAGTGGCGGCGCAACGGTGCGGCGGTGTGGGCGTCACTGAGCCGGGTGAACGGATCTCAGCTCGACGTGGTGATGATGCTGAAGACGAAGGCGATAGCGAAGAAGGTGCTGCGATGTCCCTCAGCCCTCGCGGTGATGGTCAAGATGGCAACGACTAAGCCGGCGACTGCCTCACAGTCAGGGTGCTTTGGCCGGCGCTTCACCCGCCCGCCCGCCCGCCCGCTTGCCTGCCCGCCTGCACCGCTCCTCCGCCCAGCCGCCTTAGCGCCGCCTGCGCCCCTCAAGCAGCAACGGGCAGCACCAAGGCAAGCCACTGCGAGCTCACTCCGCACGCGGACGAGGGTCGAGGCTCGCGCCCACCACGCTCATCGCTACCACCTTGATCAACGACGCGATGGCGGCGACTCGTTGCAGTCTATCTTCGAAGGGAATCAGAGGATGGATTTGACCAATCGAGGAGATATTACACGTGGAGCTGGAGACTGAAATGAAATGAAACATGTGACGTCGTGTGTGCTGTGCTGCGCTGGCGTAGATCGTGGTGTCACACCACCGATCTTCATCCTCCTCTCTCATCCTCCCCGCTTCCCCGACCGTCGGTCTAGTCACCCTTGGTATCATGCCGTGCCTCTGACCAGCTCACTAGGCCTTCTGACGCTTGCCTCGAGCAGGCGCTGTAGTCGATTTTCCCTCTTCGCCCTGCCCCTCCTGAGTCGCCGACTGCTCGACTCCACCATCAGCCGCCTCATCCGCCTCCGAGGTCAACCTTGCCGCCTCTACCGCCGCACTGGCAACGGCATCCAGCCCCCTCTCCTCCTCGAACTCATTCGCTCCTCCGCCGCTCGGCCCCGTTTGCTCCCCACCACCTCCTCCCGCTTCCCCATTCCCCTCGCCACCCGCACCGCCACGCAGCATCTCATTCTCCACGCGCAGTGCATTCAGGATTCCCAGCGCCTCGTTGTATCGCGTCTGTAGCTCATTGTACGAAGCCTGCAGTGTCTCGAATTGCTGGCTTCGCGCCTCGAGCTCCTTGACGTGCTTGTCGCGGCGCTCACGAAAGGCGCGTTGAGCTGCACGGTTCTGCGCTGCGCGCTTCGTGCTGCTGAGGACGCGTGAATTGGGAGAGGTAGCACCGCCTGCGCTCGCTGAGGGGTCGTCGTCGTTGTCGCCTTGGGCCGTGGCGGGGTCGGCGGCTTCGAGGGTGGTAGAGGAGGACTCGCCTGCCGTAGACGGGCCTGCGCCTACAAATTGCTGTTGAGCATCGTCGAAGTGCCCTCCATCTGAAGCCCAGGCTGTTGCTGCTGCTGCTGCTGCTGCTACAGCGCTGGCGTCCGTTCCCGCTGATGAGCCGTCGGGCTGCCCTTGGCCGCTTTCCTCTGCATCCCCTCCTGAGGTTATCTTGACCGCCTTTCCCCTTCGCCCGCTTGCTGAGCCCCCAACATTCGCTCGCTTCCCTCCTCTCCCTCCTCGAGAGGGCTTGTTGGCGCCGCTGCTACCGCTGGCAGAGGTCGAGCTCGATGCGGCAGCGTTGTCTGTGTTGGCCGTTGCATCGTGCGTCCCACCGGGAAGGTAGGAATGGTTGCTCGCCGCGCGAGCAAGCTCCATTACTGCGTCCATACTATCTGGCGAAGTGTCAAGAGGAAGGGAGGGATGTCAGGGAGTTGCTCGTGTGCGAATCTCTGGAAAAGGGTCCAGCTTCTCAATCCCCCATCCGTGCGAGGGATGTGTTAGCTAAGCAGGGTTCAGAAGGCGGACAGAGACGCGCATCGGGATGGAGGCGCGACGTCGAGCGCCAGGCGAGGGGACGACACTGCGAGGCGTGGTGGGGCGGTGGGGGCCACTTCGAGGTACTCACGCTGGCTGCGAGTGGTGATGACGGTGGTGGTGGTGAGACGGATGCTCTTGAGCTCAGCGTCGTTGTTATCGCGCCAGGAGAGCGGCCAGCGCGCTGCTGACGCTGGAGATGGGGGAGACAACAGCTTATTGCTCGTGACAAGCGTGACGAGACTCTGAGAGGGAAAGGACGTGCCGCAACAGCGTGGTCGACAGAGTGACGTCGATGATGATGGGGAGCGAAAGGTGAGGATCAGCTCCACGCTCGCGACTGACTCTTGTCCTCGGCCGTCTCGCGTTTTACCACGTGGCTCTCCCCTTCCGTGCGTCCGCCGCCCTTAATTGCTCGACTCGCGACGCGCCTCGTCCATTTCCAACACTTCCTGACATCCTTTACCCCCCCTCTTCTCGTCCCCCTCACCACCGCCCAGCATGTTCCGCACAGCAAATCCAACATCAGCCCTCCCCTCACCGTCAGCAATGCAACGCCATGCCGGTGCGCCTTCTTCATCAGCATCACCAGCCATCGACCGACACGCGACGGGCTCATCGCGAATGGCGGGACCCAAACGATATCCGCATCGTCTCAACTTCTATAACAGACCGCCGACGATGGAGGTCACAATCGATCAGTTTGAGAGCTGGGCGATCGATCGACTGAAGGGTGCGTGCGGCGCGTATAGGCAGGAGACGTAGACGACATGCTGATCCGCTCGCGACCCCCGCTCGCAGTGCTCGCCGAAATCGAGTCGCGCCAGTCGCGCAACAATTCGTGGAAGGAGCTCAAGGAAGGCGTGCTCAAGAAGATGGTGAGCGTGAGCGAGGTAGCGCTGCTGGATCCACAAGCTGACACTCCGCTGCACAACCAGGACACGCACCTCCCCCTTTCTGCCTCGACGGCCTCACGCAACGGCATCGACATCGAGATGGAACGCATGAAGGACCACATCTCCCACTTCGTGCTGCGGCTGGCCTTTTGCAAGACTGAAGACTTGCAGAGACGCTTCGTACGCGCGGAGAATGTCCTTTTCCGCCTGCGCTTTGAGACGGACGACTCCACTGCGCGTGAGGCCTTTCTACGTACGCTCGATCTGAACTGGGAGCCAGTCTCACAGCAGGAGAAGCAGCAGTTCAAGGAGGAGCTACTCGCCGCGACGCCGTCGTTGGGGCAGAGAGATTGGGACGGGGAGGCATTCTTCAAAGTGCCCTGGACGAAAGTGCCAGACCTCGTCGAGAAACGCCGCGTCTTCTTGCGCCGCGGCGTAGCGTGGGTGCCCATGCGCGAGCAGTCCAGCCTCATCATGGCCGAATTCACCAACCGCCTTAACAAGGAGCTAGAGTACACTGCGCGCTCTCTGCCCCGTCTGGACGAGGACGATCGCTTGCTCCCCCTACTCAACCACCTCTCCCTCGGCTTCCTCGCTGGTCTCTCCTCCGACTTCACAAACAGCTCAGCAGCAATGGTAGGCGAGGACGGGCAGGCTCTCGAAATCCGCGCAGAGATGATCAACGCCCTCGTCAAGAAGCACGCCCCCATGTGCATGCGCCAATTGGGCCAGACGCTCGAGGAGCGCAAGCATCTCAAGCACCAGGGCCGCCTGCAGTTCGGCCTCTTCCTCAAGGAGCTCGGCCTAGGCGTCGAACAGGCCCTCCTCTTCTGGCGACGCTCATTTGCCAACATCACAGACGACAAGTTCAACAAGGAGTACAAGTACAATGTGCGATACAATTACGGGTTGGAGGGAAAGCGAGTGGACTACCCTGCACGATCATGCGCGAGGATCATCATGCAGGACACGCCTGGACCGCAAGATACGCACGGATGCCCGTTCCGCCACTACTCGCCTGCCAACCTGGCGTCCACCCTGTCTACCACTTACGGCTTGGGTCAGGCGCAGAGTAGCGAGATTCTGGCGACTGTCAAGTCGGGCCACTATCACGTCGCCTGCACGCGATTGTTCGAGATGACGCATGGCGTGGCGAGGGGCAAGGGACTGGATGGTAAAGGGGAGAGTGTGGCGCATCCGAACCGATACTTTGAACGCAGTTGGAAGTTGCAGCAGAGCGGTGCGGTCGATGAGGCGGGGGATGACGAGGGAGATAGCAAGGCGGGGATCAAGATGGAGACGGGTAATGACGAGGAGCCCAAATGGACCAAGGCGGCGCTCAAGGCAGATACGAGTGCGCCGCGTTCCATCCTGGCGCAGGTGGGTGCCACGCCGGTCGCAGCGTCGTCGAAGCAAGCGGCGCCCATTGACGTCGATGAGTTTGGGGACGATGACTTTGACTTTGATGCGCTGGATCAGGTTGAGGCGGCAGAGTATGAGAAGAGGGCAGCTGCGACGGGCAACAGCGGGACATCGTCGCCTGCTGCAGCGATTGAGACGCCAGGATCAGCTGGCAAGGGAGACGACGGCGAGGGCGAGGGCGAGGGCGCCGGCGAAGCTGCAGCGCCGAGCGAGGAGATGGAGGTTGATGAGGATTGAGTTGTACGACTCACGATTACCCTGCTGGCTGGCTCTCATTTACGCTGTCATGTTCAATAGCATCGCATTCGATATCATCGTAGCGCGCCGCCGGGGTGTCGCATGCAGCGCCAAGGGCTCACGCGTCGAGGCTCGCGCGGCATGCGGACTCGAGCGCAAGACGACCACAACCAACACTTTTCGCCTTCCGTCCTTGCCCTGCAACTCGTCGTCGTATCACGCATCTTCATCTCCCTGCTCGAGCAAAGCCACAAGACGAGAAGGGACGCTCGCTCTGCGCTCGCTCTGTTCATCGCTTGCCCCGTCACCTCGCCACGATGTTGCAACCAAGCCCCGCTCTGGGATCACGGACGATGCCAGAAGACGCAGCGATGAGCAGCGCCAATGACCCGTCCTCCTCTTCCTCGTCGTCGTCGTCTGCGAGGAAGGACATTGTGCATGGTGGGCACAACTGCGACTCCTCCTTTGCTGTCACTTCTTTTCTGAACGTCTTCTACTCCTTCCCGCACACACGCACGCGCAGTTGAAGTCCGTCTTCGACCACCCCACCACCACCACTCCTCCTACCATTCATCAGACTGGCAATCTCACAGCGTTTCACAGCGCGTCGAGCTCTTCCTTCGCCGTAACTGCGTCTCTGTGGACTGCGATGCTCGCTTTGAGGGTAAGCTATGGGCGGATTGTGATCCTTTCCTTGCGGAGAGGGTCGAGAGCATCCGGGTCGCAGAGGCTGGTGAGCGCGGCGCGACGTCCCCCCTTTCGGCTCTTCGCTGACGATCAAAATGAGTCCTGGCTCGATTGCCCGCCCGCCGCGCAGCATCTGGACGCTTACGAGTTCCAATCGAGGAGTGCGAGTTCCGCGTCTACGAGTACGAGACGGTCAACACAGTCGAGGAGCTCTCGGCGGGGGATCCAGAGGGACAAGATGAAGGGCAGGATTTGATGGCCGCAACGGTCAGTGAGCTGCCCAGCAACAGCATTGATGGGACCTGGGAGACGTGCGTGCGACGCGACTGCCACTGTCGAGGGGTGCATATAGGCTGACGTCTGCCTCGCTCGCCTCGCCAGCCTCATCTACGGCGACGATACCAAGCAGAGGCTGCTGCGCTACGTTCAATCTACGCTGCTCTTCTCAGCGATGAAGGTTGACTTCAATGTCATCAACTGGAATCGGTGAGTCCGCTCTGTGCCTTGTCTCACTCACGGCTCATGGCCATCCTCCCCTTTCCTTCGCAGCGTCGTCCTCCTCCACGGCCCCCCAGGCACAGGCAAAACCTCCCTCTGCCGAGCCCTAGCACACAAGCTGTCCATCCGTATGCGCCACCAATTCTCGCACGGCAAGCTCGTAGAGATCAACTCGCATTCCCTATTCTCCAAATGGTTCTCCGAGTCCGGCAAGCTCGTGCAGCGCCTCTTTGCGCTCATCGACGAGCTCGTCGAAGACGAAAAGGCTTTTGTGGTCATCTTGATTGATGAGGTGGAGAGTCTCACTACGGCAAGGCAGGCAGCGGCGAGCGGTACTGAGCCGAGCGATGCGGTTCGTGTAGTCAATGCTGTGCTCACGCAGCTGGACCGTCTCAAGTCGCGGGAGAACGTCTTGATCATGACGACGAGTAACATCTCCGGCAGCATCGACCATGCCTTCATCGACCGAGCGGACATTAAGCAGTACATTGGCTTACCACCACCGGCCGCCATCTACTGGATCCTGCGATCGTGCTTGGACGAGCTGATGCGGGCGGGTGTGGTCGCGCACGAGATCCTGTACTCATGGCAGACGTTGGATGCTGGCGTGGGAGGCGGTGTAGATGGGCAGCAGCTCCAACAGTCAGATCGAGACAAGAGGGCGAGCTGGAGGTTGAGGGCATTGGCCGAGAGCTGTCAGGTGAGCGGGGGCGGGTCCGCGTTCGAGGAGCTACGATGTCCGAGCTGACCTTGTCTACCTCCTCCTCTCACCACGACAGGGCCTCTCTGCACGCACCCTACGCAAGCTACCCATGCTAGCCTACGCTCGATACATCTCTGCTTCCACATCAGCTCTGCCCGTGGGCTTCGACGCCTTTATGGACGCGCTGCAGATGTCCCTCGCTGACAGCTTGAGAGAGGCGCAACATGCGGCAGAGGGGCACGCGGGGACAACGGCGGGAAGTGGGCCGAATGGGGCTGGCATAAACGGCATGATGAGGTCGTGAGCACGCGTGTGCACGGCGTCATCGAGGGCGGGCATAGACGCTCCTTGTACCATCAGTGGCCCCTTGCAAATCTGTACTCGAGCACATCATCGCCATCGCCGCCCGCGATCATCGTGACCACTCTCTCCTCACGACTCGTTGCCCGCCCGCTTGCTCCTCTCCCAGGGTCCCAAGCGACCAAGTGTTGCTTTCTTTGCCTTGCTTGTTCCTATCCGTCTTGGCCCTGAGCTCCGCGCCGCTCGCCCTGAGTTGGCGGCGGCGGTCCTTCTTCGCGTGGCCCTCTCTCTCACTCCGATCTTGCTGGGCTGCGTCGGCGAGGGTGGGTGAGAGAGAGGACTTGACCCTCATCATCCTTCTAACCCCTCTCTTCTCTTCTTCTTTCCCCGCAACACCCACTGCTGGTCTTTGTCGCCGCGAGAACGGAGCATCGACTCTCTAAGGGAGAAGCGTCGCATACATATAGCACGCAGCCAGTAGCAACAGCAGCCGCAATTCTTGGCACGCCGCGCTCCTCGTCACCCTTGATCTCTCACGGGTCGACCTCATCATAGCACCGTGCAAGCACAGCAACACCGCCAAATCCCAACACCACCACCGCCACCACCGCCACCACCACTCCTCCACTACACACGCACACGCACACCGCGGACTGCATCGTCGCATCCTGCAAACTACCCGCTGCTCCCATTTCGTGCTTCGCTCCTACCCCACACACCTGTTGTTCAACTTCCCGCCAAAACCCCCTCTTGTATCAACGTCCTCATCTGTTTCAGTACCTTCACACCTTTGACGTGGCGACAAGCAAGGGCTCTTGACGAAGCAATCTGTACTTCAGGCATCAGCACGACGAGACGAAGCGCCGCCAGCACGCAGCTCTAGAGACACGCGCGCCACGAGCTACTACCACGCAAAGCACACATTCGATTCCCAACTTCGACGCACTCTGTCGCACCTCGGTAGCATCAGCACACTCATCACTTGCCAACCGCAACCCTCCGCAGCTTCGTAGGCATTCGCGGTAGTCAAGGTGAGCGGGCGATAATAGCATATACGCAGACGGCCACACGCACTGACGTCGACAATCGGCATACCGCCTGACAGATCACCCCGGCACATCATGGAAGACGCTGCAGCCAACGGCCATCTCTCAGGCCCTGACTCCCCTTCGGACGCAGCCAAGAAGCGCCTCTCAATGAATGGTCAATCCCCCATCGGATCTGAGCGTGGCAACTCGCCCAACGGTGGAAATCGAGCAGCCAAGTTGATGGCTTCCGTGTCTTCTCTTCCATCAGGAGGCACCAGCATGGCCTCGGCGCCCTCGGAGGACTCGCTGCCCGCGCGCACATCTTCGCAGCATTCTCCCGTCTCGCCGGCTGTGCTGGGCGATGACCTCAGTGGGAGCGGCGTGCTCGACGGCGCGGACAAGGAGAGCTCGATCAAGGCGGTGAGTCCCACACGACGCTTGAAGGTCGAGACTCGATGCTGATCCCTTCTCTGCCCGCACAGCGCATCGAACGTAAGCGTCTCGAGCACGAACGTCAACGTCTCTTGCAACGTCAAGCCTTCGAAGAGCAGATGAAGATGTTGGAGCGCCAGCAGCTAGAGGAAGAGGCCAATCTGCTGCGTCAAGAGGGCACCTTGGCGCCTGGACAAGGTCGAACAGCTTCCTCGGTCAACTTTGCGGCCGCTTCTGCTCCCTCGACTCCTCCTTACTCGGATCGTCTGGCCTTTGCCTCGCGTGCAGGCGGGGCTGCCCCGGCTGCTGCTCCTTCTAGTCTGCGCGGCAGTCGAGTCGCCAGCCCCAATCCGCTCGGCTCGGGACTCAATGATCTCAATGACACCGAGGACGGCTTGAATGGCAGCAATGTGCCTGGTCTCCCTCCCCTCAACAATGTCCGCTCCGTCCCTTCCACACGCCGCACCAGCCGTGAGGTTAAGCCTAGCCAGCTGGGCCCGCACCAGGATGTCGCTCTGGCTCCCGTCCCCTCGAGCGGGCCTCGTCGCAGCATGCCCGGGCCTGGCGACCTGGCCAGCTCCTTCAATCGCATGGCCCTTTCCGGCGGTGGCGCACGCCCGGACGGCCAGGTTCAACAGCCCGGCAACGCACCCAACGCACCCACTGCACCCGCTGGCTCAGGCTTCCAACGTCTCCTCTCCAAGACCGGCGTGGACACGAGCAGCGATGCACAGGGAGGTGTCAACACGGGCATGACCCCTGTCTTCAACGAGCGCTTCCTCTTCGACGACGAGCTCGACGCAGAGGACTCGGCATTTGTCCGCAAGTACAATCTCTCTGGCGATGACGACAAGTTCCCACTGCTCCGTGGAGACAAGTTCCAAGAGATGCCCAACCACCACTCTCAGCTCTCCACCTCCTCTGCTGCTCTGGATCTCGCCCCACTCAGCCAGACCGAGGGGCGACGTGGGCCGGCAGGAGACGGAGCGCCTCACCTCTCGGAGTGGCCGCAGTTTGACAAGCAGGCGGGTGGGCGTGGCCGATCGGAGCGCACCTCGCCGCACGGTACAGCCTTGGGCGCTCGTCCTTCCCCACTCGGCATGCCTACGTCTGGCAGCGCGCAGGGCCTCTCCACCTCGGCCAATGCTACCAGCCCCGTCGCTCGCTTTGCCAGCAACCCAGGCCAGCAAGGTGGAGCAGGCTCAGGCTTCAGAGCTGCCTCTGGAGGGCGCGGCTTCGCAGGCGGGGACCGCTCCTTCCCTTCCTCCTTTGGCAACGGCGGTCCCACATCTCGCCTTCCCAGCAGCGGCGCTCCCGTCCCTTCATCTCAGCAATCGTCACGCCCCACATCGGGCTTCTTCCAGGCCTTTGGCAACGGTACAGGCGTCGACTCGGCCTTCCGTGGCGATTCGAACACTATCATGACGACGGACCCTGCTCTCGACCCACCCGGCCGCAAGGGAGAGCTCGACGTCAACACTCGTCTCGAGGACTTGAAGGGCGAGATCTTCACCCTCTGCAAAGACCAACACGGCTGCCGCTACCTGCAAAAGAAGCTCGAGGAGGGCGTCCCCGCGTATCGCGACATGATCTTCACCGAGACTTTTGCGCACTTTGCCGACTTGATGACGGACCCATTTGGCAACTACTTGTGCCAGAAGATGCTCGAGCATTGCACTGATGAGCAGAGGAACTGCATTGTGGAGAGCGTAGCCAACGAGCTGGTGACCATCTCGTTGAACATGCACGGGACGAGAGCGGTGCAGAAGACGATTGATTTCTTGTCGACGTCGAGGCAGATTCACTCGATCATCCTCGCGCTGGGCATGAATGTGGTGACGCTGATCAAGTGGGTGCGCCCCCAGGAGGCTAGCCGTGTTCTCACCGTATCTGACTTATTCTTCTCCTCTTCGCCACCGCGCAGGGACCTCAACGGCAACCATGTCATCCAAAAGTGCCTCAATCGTCTGAGCGCCGAGGACAATCAATTCATCTACAATGCCGTGGCTGCACATTGCGTCGAGGTGGCCACGCACCGGCACGGTTGCTGCGTCCTGCAGCGTTGCGTCGATCACGCTTCGGACCAGCAGCGTGTCCAGCTCGTACAGGAGATCACCTACAACGCCTTGACGCTGGTGCAGGATCCCTTTGGCAATTACGTGAGTAGGGCGAGTCGTGACTCAGCGCTACCACCGCGCCCCTTACTGACGTCCATTTAACCCCTCTGCCCCCGCGCAGGTCGTGCAATACATCCTCGATCTCAATGACGCCCGCTTCACGGAGGCTATCATTCGCCAATTCATCGGCAACATCTGCCTCCTCTCGGTGCAGAAGTTCTCCTCCAATGTCATCGAGAAGTGCATCCGCGTCGCCGACGCCAAGCTGCGTCAACTCCTCGTCGAGGAGCTCCTCAACCGTGCGCGATTGGAGAAGTTGCTCCGCGACTCCTTTGCCAATTACGTGGTGCAGACTGCGCTCGATTACTCGGAGCCGCTCCAGCGGGCGCAGCTCGTCGAGTGTATCCGTCCCATTCTGCCCATGATCCGCAACACGCCGTACGGGAAGCGCATCCAGAGCAAGCTGCAGAGGGACACCTTCGACCCCTCGGCTGGCCCTGCGGGAATGGGTGGGCCGATGGGTGGGATGGGCATGGGTGTTGGTGGTCACGCAGGGCTCGCAGGAGTCCCCTACCACGTTCTCCAGGCCGCAGCTCACCAGCAGCATCTCCAGGCCATGGCTGCTATGCAGGCGCAGGCTCATCATGGGGGACAGGGACGCTATCCCATGGACTACGGTGGGTACGGGAGGGGTAACCCGTACAGCGGCGGTGCGACTGGTCCCTACCCTAGCGGGCCGGCTGCTGCCGGGTACGGCGGGGGACGGGGCGGAGGTGGAGGGGGACACGCCCTTCCGGCTCCTCACCAGCTGTACGGCGGCAACGATCGTGTCATGAGCGGGCACGGACACGGACACGGCCACGCCGGCGGTGGGATGGGCATGAATCGCTTTCCCTCCGGCGGCGGGCCTACCAGCGGGTATGGCGGCGGCGGTGGCGGCGGTATGGGTGGGGGCTACGGCAATGCTGCTGGTGGGTACGGAGGCGGCTATGGCGGACATCAGCAAGGCAACGCGCACGCGCACGCTCACGCAGCCAATGGACCCCTCAATCCCTCTACCTCGACCGGCTCCGTAGGCGGATTTGGGCAGGGTGGGCCGGGCTTCTAAGCCCTCTTCCCCCCCCTCGCGCCGCCCGCCGGTCACGATCGGATGATCAAGAACAACTTTTTATCAACTACCAGCACCGCTGTAGCATCTCTCTTCGCGTTCGTACCACTTCACTGCGCTCAGACGCCCACTCCAGGCCGATTTGCCCACCTGTTATCTTCTCCTTTCCTTCTCGCCTCGCCTCGCCCTCCTTATACAACATATCGTCCTCATCTGTACTTCGAAGCTACCTCTCATCATCAAGATCATGATCAATTGATTCGAATCATAGTCACGCCACGAGAAAAGGGGGCGAGAGAAGACGGGATTCTACCTCCTGAGAGGTGACAGGAGGCTTGGCTATCGCTCCCGGCGTCGGGAGTCCAAGACCTGGACCTGGACCGCTTCAGCGTGCCGAGTGCGAGGTCAAAGCGCCGGAAGAGGTATTGAGGGGTGGCTATCATTACGCCCAGTCTCGCTCGTCATCATCGCAAACACACCTTGAAGTTGTCGCACTCGTCTTGCTCGTCTCGCCCGTCTCGCTCCCACACTTTGCTTGCTTGACAAGCTCGACTGGTGCTTGCTTGCCTGCTTGCTTGGACAAGTCGATCCCGTCAGTTCGTCTCGGCGGCAGGCAGCTGCAGGCCGTGCGCTCCTTGCAGCTCCGCCCGCACGCCCGCCCCGGGCAAGACCCGCCCGCCGAATGTGTGAGCGACACACAAGTTGCTTCCTGTCCATCTTGACCTTCGTTTCCGGCAAAGGAGAGTGGTATGCCACACGCTTGAGGGAGATAGCCAAGCTCTCCTCCATACCACGAGTACCACGAGCACTACGAGCACCAGCTTTCCATCGACAACTCCCTGCCTCTCGAGCTGGAGAAAGTCATAAGAGGGAGAGCATACAGCCACGAGTTGGCGAGTGGAGCAGTACTAGCACCTCGAAACGCTCCTCACGCACGCACCTCGCCACTCGTCGACAATGGAATTCTTCTGCGGCCCTTCTTCCTCCTCTTCATCCTCGTCATCACATCGCCGCAATAGAGCCTCCACTGGTGGCACAGCCACCTCGTCCCGCGACGAATCCCGCCAGTGGTCTCGCTCCTCGCTGCCCTCTAGCCAGCAGCGTGGGCGTGAGCCAGAGAAGCGCAGCAACGACACTCAAAGGGGCAGCTCTACGATCAGGACTGCCTCCAGTCAACCGCAGACCGCGCCTCGCAGGAGCAATCCCGGCTCGACGTCGTCAGCTGGACAGCACCGAGTGGAGTACGCCCCGGGCGCTGGCTCCTCGTCTTCTGCTTCCTCGACCACATCGACCGCCTCTTCACGAAGCACCAATGCTACTTCTGCTTCATCGTCGACACATCCATCACCTACGACGTCGAACAGCTTGCGCACTCCGCCGGACGTGGGGCCAAGGGGCTCTTACAGTGACAAGACGGTCATTGCAAAGGTGGGCGGCAGCAAGGATCACGCCAACAGAAAGTGAGTACCGCAGTGTGGGCAACGAATCTGCCCTTCGTTACAACGTTCGCCATTGCCACCCGCGCCTCGTCCCCCTCGTGCCCCTCGTGCTCGCGGGCGGTTCAGATCGGCGATGACGGCGGCGGCGGCGGCAGCAAATGAGGCCGTTTCAGCTTCAACACATTTGCCGCTATCGCTCCAGCCCACATCGGCAACACCTCATCATGACCGCCTTGCTGACAACTCCTCCCGCATCGTCGCTCGCAGATCGCCGCTCACCATGGCGGAAATAGATCAGCGCCTCGAGGTGAGTTATCGATCATTGCTGCGTCGCTCTTGGAACCCAAATACGGGTTGCGTTTGCCTTGTGTGTGCCGTGCCGTGGTTCCCGTTCGCACCACCATCTGTTCCGCGGCTGCGTCCGGCGTCGCTGCGTCGCTGCGTCTTGTCTCGTCGCTAGCCCCGCGGCGGCCGCCCAGCGACTTTCGCTTAGCCATGGCTTGCAGACGGGCTAAAGCTCGCCAGTACGGGACCACTCTCGATAGCTAGGCTTCCACAGGGCCTTGGCTGCATGAACGCCGCAAGTGGCGCCACGCAGATGCCGCGGGTGGGGAGGGAGGGCGAGGGTCTGACGATTTAGGCTCGCCCCGCTCCTGCGTCCAAAACGCTGTCTTCCTTACCACGAGAGCGCGAGCTCATCGCGTATTGCCTCATCTTTCTCTTCTTGCACGCGCATCGGCAGCTCCTCGACACGCTGGCCACCGAGATCGACGTCTCTATTCCGTCGCTTCCCAGGAGGGTGGGAAGCGCAGGGGCAGCGCCCTCTTCGGCCTCGTCCAAGGCAACGGCATCCAGTGCAACCATGTCGCGCGACCAGAGCAAGGCAAGCGGTAGTAGCAAAGGATCAAGAGATGCGGACAGCAAACGCAACGGGGTCGTTGCATCGTCATCATCAATCAAAAAGCGGGCATCCCCTGCCGCTGCGGGTGACGATGAAGAGGAGGAGGAGGAGGAGGAGGGATCCATCAGCGTCAAGAAGGAACAGGACCGAGAGCCGCCCCGCAAGAAGACGAGGGGTCGAGCTTCTACCAAGTGAGTACCACAGCTACTGTGCGAGTCTATGACAATTGCTGACCACAGGCCTCATCGTCTGCAGCAGTCGTGATTACACTCCCTCGCCCGAGCCTGAGCACGCAGCCGCGCCTATCAAACGAGAGCCCGAGAACCTCACCAAAGCACCAGTCGCGGCCACCACAAAGTCACCTCCTTCTCCCTCGCCCTCCGTTTGGAGCAAGTCCCGCTTCTCCTCCCTCTCCGCCCACTATCAAAGCAAAGGACGCGAACTCAAGCACTGCGGTGATCGCCGCACACGCGAGGCCGGCTCGTCCTCTTCACAACCCTCTTCGTCCGCGTCTGCATCACAGCAGCGGCAAATCGCCATCTACGAGCAAACTGAGGCGGTACTCCTCTACGTGTACGGCTTTTGGTGCGAGGACGCAGCCGCTACGCTGGCCAACGCATCAGGCGCAGCAGAGGGGTCCGCGTCTCCAGCGGTCATGGTAGGCAATTGGCGCAGCCTCCTCGGGCTGATACACTACGTCGGCTCCTACCACGAGCGTCGAGGGGAATGTGCGCTTGGAGCCCTCTGTCGGCTGGTAGAGGGGCTAGTGCTGCGCCATATGAGTGGGTACGAGGCGAGGCAGGTGGGACGGCACTTGGCGAAGCTGGCAGCTTCTTCCGGCCAGCCAGCAGGTCAGACGGGTAGCAGCGCAGCCCAGTCTCCCGCACCTGGAGACGTCGCGCCATCACCAGCAGCAAGGTCAGACACGACCAATGGGGTAGGTTCCCCTCCAAGTGGCACCGCAGCCGATGTACACGCCTCACTCGCAGACCTGGCTGCCAACCTGGGCCGCGTGCAACGAGATGAGGATCGAGCTGCCAAGCTAGTGGCTCAGGCTCGCGGCTCCAGCGGCGGCAGCGGGTCCTCTTCGATAGCGCAGGGAGTCATCGGCGCCCTCAGCAACGCCTCTTTGGCACGCGACTTTCCTCAGACCTGGGCTACCTGCCAGCGCGGCGCCCTCGTGCGAGGAGATGCTTGGAGCTCAGCGACCGCGGTGGACCCAGCAGCTGTCAGTCGCGCCCATCCACGCGTCAAAGAGGATGGCGAAGCAGATGGAGATGACGACGCGGGCGTCTGGGCGTGGCCTTTCATCGAGGCAAGCGGGCCGGCTCCTGCCAGTGAGGCTGGGGGCGTAGCCACAGGAGGAGCGTGCCTGCCACATGTTGTATGCTTCGGTAGAGCTTTGTTGAGGGAGAGGGCGCAGAGGTGCGGGCTGAGGGGATTTGAATTGGCTGAGCTCGGGATGCCGGCGAGCAAGTGAGGAGAGAACCATCTGCGGCTCGCGTTGAGACACCAAGGCTCGGTGTGCACCACTATCTATACCCAAAGCCCACCTTGATAGGCAGACCGAAGGCATGCGGTGAGGACGGAGCGACGAGGGGCGGCGGGAGGCGCACAGGTGGAGCCATTGTATTAGAGGCTAAGCTATCATTCACTCTCGATCTCTCCCCTATCCCTGCTATACATGCGAGTCAACTCGTGAAACCTCGCGCGCTTCAATCTAGCAGTCGCATCCTCTTCGCCCACGCGTTACATTCGAGCCTTGCGTCTTTGCGGCTCTTCTTCCTCTTGCTCACCCTCCTCGTCCGCCCTGCCCAACTCCTCGTCCCTTCCTTCCTCCAACTCAAACCCGACTTTCCAATCCACTAGGCCTGGCAAGCCTCTCCTCCTCGCCCCCCTCGCAATCAGTCCACCACCGTGCTCCGGATTGCGCGGCGACACGTAGATGCGGTTGAGCGGACGTTGCGAGGTCGAAGGCGAGCTTGCAGATTCGTCACCCACTCCCGCCGCTCGTCGCTGCGATTTGGATGCTTGCCAGTCGCCGGGCAGTACGAGAGGGAACACGAAAGGGGTGTCCTCTTCTTCTTCACCCTCTTGCTCGCCCTCTTTGCCATTGCTCAGCGAGCTCGGTCGCTTCTCAAAGTTGAGCGCCATAGTCCCGCCTTGCTTGGGTAAGGCGTGCGGTTCGACGGCAGTGACCGCGTGCCCTTTGCTGGTAGCCACCCACCCCGTGGGCTTCTCTGTCTCCCTGTCCCACGCATAGTTCGTCCCCTTGGCCAAACCCCGCGGCTCCTCCTCTACGGGCGTGACCCCATTTCCCTGGCGTGGTCGACCGCCAAAGGCTAGCGGGGCGAGCTTTCTCGCCCTCTCCCCAATCTCTGCGCCAGCTCCTTGGCCCATTGTGGCGTACAGGTCTGCCAGTATGTAGAACTGCGGCGGGTACAGCAAGATCTCATCGCGCAGCGTTGCCTCGATAAAGTCCTCCAGCGGGCTGACCCGCAGCGATAGCGTCTCGCTCCCATCAGCTGAGAGGGCGAGAGAGGGGAGCTCGTCGCGCGACGCCTGCCCCGAAGAGGAGGGGGCGGAAGTCGTGTCGAGGATGGTGAGGAAGAAGTGCGCCGAGAACCTCTTTCCTGGACGGACGACGGAGCGCGGTGTGATCCAATGGGAGTGGTAGGCTAGCGGGACGAGTGGGAGGGTAGGGAGTGGGACATCTTGTGTCGTCTCGATCGAGCCAGCCGCAGCGCCTGCCTGTGCTCCTTGAATCCCTATCCGCTTGGCGACACTGAGCAAGAAGTCTGGAAACAGTCCTGCATCCTCGTGGACCTCATCGCGCTTCTTTGCCCACTCCTTTGGGCTTAGTCCTGCTTCCTTGGCTCCTACGGCACGACTGAACGGCACGCCCCCAGCGCTCTGCCTATCGCTGGGCAGTAGAAGCAGGCCAGTCTCTTCGAACGTCTCGCGCAGTGCGCACAGCTGTAACGCTCTGCGATATTCTGCCTTTCCTGCCACATCGTCCTGATCGGACACCTCCGTAGGGCACCCGACCGCAGCTTCGTCGGCCAGATCGAGCGCCCCACCGGGAAAGACGACGGCAGAGCGGAAGGACGAGCCTGCTCTGGCTGAGCGTTGAAGCATCAATGTTGAGACGCTTAATGAGGAGGCAGGCGTGGGCGTAAGGACTACGAGTGACGCTGAGAGGATGGGCGTCATAGGCTCGCCTTTCGGACCGGACTTGGCGTCGTTTGGTCGTCCGCCGGAGGGGAGCCGTCGCGGTGGTGGTGGGGAGGGAGCCATGCTGAATGCGCGCGAAGGCGAGAGAAAGAGGCGGACACGTATAGATGCTGAGCTGACAAGAGAACCGATGAGAAGCATCAGCGTGCTGGCTGATGTCTCGAGGAAAGGTAGGGGGAAAGAACATCGTCAAGCTGCGAGCGAGCGCCCGCGTCCGTGATCCGGCTCGGCGGAGTCCGATCTGGCGATGCATCATGGGGCCCGAGATCCGACGATGAGCCGGTTCGCAAGGTACGACTTCAGGATCATGGTGCGCTCCGATTGACTGCTATCTCTCGAAATGTCGATGCTACCCTCATAGCCTAGCACAGTGTTGATGTCGAAGGCATCGTCCCATCCACGCCAAAAGCGGGCCCCGGTCCATTAGTAACGCGCGAGCTCAGCAAGCTCGCCGTCTCTTCCGGCCGTTCGCAACGACAACCTTCCTCAACTGAAGTATGCTCGGCGCATTTCAATAGCCTCACTGCCAGGTCTGCGTATCCTCCTTCGCCCGGGTATTCATCCCGCCCTGGCGAGCAGATAGAAAGCGGCTGATCCACTGGATCCGCTGTAAAAGGCAGGAGCCCCTCGTACGTTCGTACCAAGACGACCGGCGGCCAGGCCCTCGAATGATGACGTTGCGACTCCGGTCTGTCTTTGTCTGGCATTCGCCGCTTTTCTCGCTAAACGGGGGATGCGCGGGCTGCCAAGTCTACCAGACGACGGGGATGCGATGCTCTCTACCCCGCTCCTCGCTCCTGTCCCACCGTCGATCACTTTATGAGCTAGTCGAGGCTAGGCATGGGAGCAGGAGCTCGTCGAGTGTCTTCGCCGTCTTGGAAAGTTGGGGCGCGCACGGCAATGTGCCAGCCAGGGCGGCGAGGGGGTGCAAGAGCGGCCCAACGTACTGTAGCTCCGAGCTGAGCGTGCTGTGGCGCGGCGTGGAGCCCCGCATTTCGAAGAGAGCGGACGTCAATTGCTCCCCGCGGCTCAAAGGTGGCGGGCCGTCGACCGAGAGCGTCGCGCAGCTCTCGACATCGCAGCTCGCAGGCAGAGGGCAAGACGCAGAGAGGGGAACAAGGAAATCTCGGCCGTCCTCAATTCGTTTATGCCCCGACCCAGCCTCGAGAGCTTGCCTGCGAGTTAGACCTCGTTGCGCACCTTGACTAGCTACGACATCAAACGACATCCTTGCGTGGCAGACTGGGATCGCGGCATCAGCTCTCTTTCTCCCTGTCAGCCGCGCAACGTCAGCTCAATCTCGGCCTACGTTAGCCGCAGGCTCAACCTTCGGGCCGCAACACTTGTGGGGCGTTTCAGGGCACGATTGTATCACCCGCGCAAACATTTGACGCCATCACGCCGCCCACGCACGCCCTCGCACGCCCTCGACTATGACCAATCAAATCGAGATGCCCTCTGCAGGCATGCCTACTTCCTCATCGTACATCGACTCGTCCGACTTGCTGGACGAAGAGCTCTGGTTGAGCCTCACCGCTGCCACCTCTGCACCGCCAGCTCTGCCTCACATGGCCAACGCCAAGGGACAGGTCAGTACGGCACCGCTGGAAGGCTTGGACGCCTGGATGACTTTCTCACCGCAGGCGACGACTGACATGGCTTGGCATGGAGCCGTAACCGAGGCCCCAATCACCTCGCCCGCCTTGACCTCTGTGGGGACTGACGCAGCTAGCGTGGCGAGCACCTCCTCCCTCAGCGAAGCGTACAAGCAAACAGCTCCTCGTGGCGTAGCACCTGCCACAGCTCGACCAGACAGCGAGACCGGACGCAGTCGCAGCAGAGTGCGCACCGTCGCTGGCTCGCGTGGTAATCGATCAACCTCCTCAACCAGCCGCACCGCTCTGAGTCCCGTGCGCGATGGCGTGGCTACCGACGAAGCGGGCGGAGTGGGCAAGACGTCTCGCGCTCGTAGCCGGCCAGCCCGTCGCGCCTCGATTGGCCCTGCCGCAGCTGCTATGATGCGCGTCCCGGCCTCTGCGCCAGGAAGCAAGCAGTCGGCGTCTTTGCGTCTCGACACGGCTGGGGCCACAGATGCCGGCGTGGGAACAGGACCACAGACTGTGCCGGGCATTGCCATCCCCGCTAGTATGCCGTTTGGCTCCATGTTCCCTCACCAGCATCCCTTCGCTCCTGGCTCGCCGCCGGTCAATGGGCCGGCTCTATGGCCTGGCCCGGGTTCGTGGCCTGGACCAGGAGACGCGATGCCTGCGCCGTGGCCTATGGTGGCCCAGCACTTACCCAACTGTGGTAGTCCCTATGGCCAGCCGGGTAGCGCTTGGCCTGGAGCTCACCCTCCCTTGATCTCACCAGGGATCGCCCCTCCCAGCCACCCATCTCAAGCCATGCAGGGCGTGTTCGACGGCATGAGTGGTCTGCACATGCACCACTCTCCTCCCATCGCAGACTCGACGGGCGTCGTCACGGCTGAGCAGCAGGGCGCCATGTCTCCCAGCACAAGCAGCAGCAGCACTCGCTCGCCCCCATCCCCCAAGGGCGGTCAACTTCACCTTGGCAGGCGCAACTCCAAGTCAGCCTCTCACGGTGGCGGTGGTCGCATGCTTGAGGACGTGCCTGAGAATCGGGCCGCCCCTGGTTTCCATGACGGCGTGATCGAGGACGAGCCGGACGAAGACGACGAAGCAGTGGACGACGTGAGCATGGCTATTCTCTCATCTACACAGCGCACCGGACGTGACTCTTCCTCCACGTCGAGCGCAGCACGAGCGCGCAGTCGCTCCTCCGACACTCGTGCACCCACGACCACATCCGAGCGCCGTGCACGCCGTCGCGAGTCGCACAACCTCGTCGAGCGTCGACGCCGTGACACGATCAACGAGCGCATTGCGGAGCTCGCCTCGCTCCTTCCTGAGGCCATGCTACTCGATGCAATTGCCAATTCGCAGTCGGGCGGCAACGCCAGTAAAGTCGTCAAGCTACCCATGCCTGCGAGCGCCATTCCTTCGAAGAAGGGTGATGAAGGCGGTCTCCTCAACGTGGACGACCTCGCATCTGCTCCCGCCGACAGCGAGACGCTCGCAGCTGCTCAAGCTCGTCCGAATAAGAGCATCATCCTGCGGAAGTCGGTCGACTATATCCGCGCGCTGCAAGACTTTATCGAGCATCAGAGGCGACAGAATGCGGACCTGTTGAGGCAGAGGGACGAGCTCATGGGTGTCATGATGGCAAGCGCGGGGCAGCCGCAGCAGCAACCCTCGCATCGCGACTCGGAGAAGCGACTCTGGCCTGACCCTACGCCGAGCATGCCGAGCATGTACGCCACGGCTTCCTCCCACCACGGTCAGGACGGCGGTAGCTTCACTACTTCTTCAAGCCAGCAACACTCCCGCCCCTCTCTCGGCGCTTGGCTTGCCACTCATCCAGAGGAGCGCCCCCGCTACTCCGGCGTTCCCGCCTCGGTACCCGCTACCAGTGCACCAGCCGAGAACAAGCAGCTGAACAGCGGCGATTCTTCGGACTCGTGGGCTTCGTCATCCCAGTCGCCACGCGATGCCGCGGCTTCATCGGGATCTTTGCTGGCTTCGCAGGCATCCGTGAGCTCCATGTCTCCGAGCGCCGCGCTCGGAGACATCGTCCCTACGGCAGGAGAGGCAGCGGCTGTCATCAAGCTTGAGGGCGACAGTGAGCAGGGGCAGGGCAGGGCGAGTGAGGGGCATCTTGAAGTGGCAGCTCAAGCGTGATCCGCGCCACTCGAGCAGGTCGAACACACCACATTCACATCATCATCCTCATTCAAGCTTGCTCTCATTAGCCCATCCGTGACAATGTATTCGCAGGCAGCCGCGCAGGCAGGCAGGCAGACACGAATGCATGATACCATTCCCACTCGAGGCGTGCTGCCACGTCGTGTGACGTCTACTCTGCCAAGGCCTTCCTGCTTGACTGACCACTAATGCCTTGCCACCCGATCCGACTCGCGCACAATCGGCTGTGTTCCACCATCAAGACTTCTCGCATTGCGCTCAGTGCAAGAAAAATCAAGAAGCAACGAGCCATTTCCTGATACGACAATCCAGGTCTTGGGGACTCTCCTCGCGCGCTTCCCCTCCATCCTCTTGCGCGTCCTCGGCGTTCAGCAGCACATACCCTTCCTCGTCCTCGTCTTCGTCCTCCTCCTCGTCAAGATCGCCATCAGGCCTACGATCCTCCTCTTCCTGCCGACTCGTATCAGCTATGCGCTCGCACTTCTTCTCCTCGCCACGCGCAGCCACCTCACAAACGTGGCTATTGCCCTCCTCACTGTCATTCGGCACAGTCGTAGCTTGACAACACCCAGCCGAGCACACCCCACTACTATCCGTGAGCGCATCACTCGTGCGCCTCTCACGATGCGCCATAAACCTCTCCCCCAGCCCAACAAAGGGAAGCCTACTGGGCCCAGCCACGCTCGATTCACCAGCTCCTCCTCCTCCTCCTCCGATGGCCACACTGGTGGCAATCAGGGCTGCGTCTGCATCGGATCTCGCCTGACTCTCGCGCCTCAGTGTAACCACAAAGTCTTCAAAGACGCTCGGACTCTCATAGGCGCTACTGGTTGCACTGAGGCTCGCCTCGCCCGACCCGGAGGTGCCTATATCGCTTGAGCTTTGCAGGAGGGGTTCTTTTGCGTCCTCGCCTGCGCTTGTGGCGGGGGTGAAGTGGTCGTAGCAGGAGAAGAGACCGTTGAGCGGTACGGTGATGGGGGAAGGAGGGGCAGGCATGCCCGTAGTCGTCTCGCTTGGTACGGAGGTGAGGAGCTGGTCCTCCGGCCAGGCGATGTACGGACGCGGTCGCGGTGCCATTACGGTATGTGTGGAAGATAGGCTCGTGGAAGCAGAGATGGAGAACTTGATCGTCGAATCGCCTTCGTCTTCATATTTCTCATCGAGGAGCTTCTGCGTGCGTAGGGTCAGGTAGTCGACCGCTGCGGGGTCGAGGGCGCCCCATGGGAGGTAGCTTGCACGGGGGTCGTTGACGCTGGCATGGCCTTCAGGCTGGGTATAGGCGCCGATACTGCTGGCGCTACTGGTGTCGCTCGTGGTGACCGGCGTGCTGTTGCTAGCCGACGTCGACGACTCGCCAGGCTTGTAGCCATCCCAGTCAATGAAGGGCCTAGTCGCCGGCTTGAAGGCTGTAGTAGTCGCCGAGCTCCTTCCCACCGTCGATGCCGAAGGCTGCTTAGCTGCCGTAAGGCCTACAGTGACGTCTTGCTCATCATCGCACCACTTCTCCTGCATCCAGATAGAAGCAGGCAAGGAGCGCACCCTCCTAGCTGGTGGAGGGGTGGGTGAGGGGTCCCTCTGCGCTTGAGGCTGGGCGACCTCGAGGAAGAAGGGGTGGGGCTTGAAGAGGAGTGGCTCAGACTCCGGCGAGCTTGCGGAGCCTGAGGTAGCGGTGGCGATTACAGGCGAAGGAGGGCAGCTGCTCGTACCCTTGAGCCTGTAGGAGCGTCTCGCTGTGGGAGCACCAGGCGTTGGTAGCGGAGCGACAACACGTTGCGGAGGTGTGGCGGGGTTGGAAGGTAGTGGGATGAAAGACTTGCTGCTACTGGCGGTGTGGTTCGCCATGCTGAATGCTCTTCCAGTGGGAGACTCCGAAAGATTGTTGATCTACGATGGTGAAGAGGCTGGGATTGGATCGGGGCTCGGTCGTGACCATCGGCCATGATATACCCAAACGACCATTTGACCCCGTCGTCACTCCCCCCTCGGCGGCAAAAGCCAAGGCGCACATTCTGCTTCCATGGTCACTCATTCTGCTACCGTGAGATACCGGCCGGTAAGAAGGAGGTAAGACGCCTCCTTCGGCGTTGGATTTTTTTTCTCTGAACTGATCCATCCAACGACGGAGCTGAGTGTCACGGCGGCCTGAGAGCCGCACGGGCAATGGTTAGTCCGGCAAGATTCTCCATCTCAGATCGAGGCCTGCGATCGATCTCGCCGCGGGCCGCCGCGTTGCGCCTGCCAACGCATACGGGCGGGCCATTTCTGAGTCTGAAAAGGCGAGCCCGAGAAAACCACCCTGGCACAGTGGCACGGCAGACCGGCGTCAAAAGAATTGGGAACGTTGAGCAGTCACAGAGGGAGAAGGGGGGGCAAGCAACGCAGCAACTTGACGTAGGCCGCCGGCGACAAATTGGAGCCTTGCCGGTGCTATGATGGTTCACACTCAGGGTGGCGCGACGTGCGACGTGCGACGCGAGGGATGAGGAGGGCCGCCCTGAGCACATTGATTGAAAGCGAGACGAGACGAGACGAGACGGGACGCGATGGAAGCAGATGACATTGAAGCTGAGAAAGACAAAAGCAGAGGCCGACGAGGATCGGGATGACAAAGATGACGAATACGGACGAAGAGGTGGGGGGGCCGCGGCGCCGCCAAGCTGAGCGGCGAGGGAGCGGGGCATATTGCTGGGTCGTGAAGCAGAGGGCAGGGGAGCGTTCGAGCGTCGAGCGTCGAGCGTCGTAGGATAGGAATACATGTACATAGAAGAGCAGAGGAAGCATTGTCGTCGTCTCCGTGTCCGTCTCGGCTCGCAACGCGTCGGGAAGCGTGATCGATCGGGCTGTTTGCTTGATGAAGGACGGGTGAACCTTGAAGCGCGGCTCCTTTGAGGACTCTTGAAGAGGCGTTACGATGCTTGCCAAGTGTTGAGTCAGATGGGACCGTGAAAGAGAGCAGGAGGCAGGCAGGCTTGGCTCGCAATTGCCGCCACTGCCGCCGCTGTATCCGCGCCAGCATACAAGCATGCTTCGCTGAGCGCTCACCGCTCACATAACAACGCACCTACACCCGCCTGCCCCTTCTCCCTCAACCGCCTCGCCGCCACTTCCTCTGCCCCTACTACTACCCACCGCTGCACCACTTCCCTCCTCCTTGGCAGGATCTCCCTTCTTTCCCACACCACTCGCCGCGCTCTTTCCCTCCTTTGCTGGGGTATCCGAGGGGAAGCCACCCTTGACGAGTACATGCATAACAGTCGTGGTACCAGGGAGGAGGTTGCGATGCGATGTGACCGGAGCAGCCCCGCCAGAGCTGTTGTTGTTGTTGTTGTTGTTGGTATTTGACGAGCCAGTGCCCGTGGTACGGCGAAGGAGCTTGCTAGCAGTCGAAGGAGTTGAGGACGATGTTGATGTCGCGCCCGCAGCGGCCGGCTCTGCTTTGCCCTCTCCACTCCCGAGCACAACTCCATCCGCCAATATATGGCCCAAATGCAGGATCCTGACCTCTCCCGCTTCCCGCGGCCTACTGGGCCAACTCGTAGGCCACTCACTCCAGAGACGCTCCTTGACCTGCGCCAGGTTGGCCGAGGGCGGGAAATCGAACTGGATGCGCTGCCCTGTCACCAAGAGGAGGTCGAGCCTGACCATATGAGACGGGGGACGTCTTGATGATGAGCCCGTCGTCGTCGTCGTCGAAGGAGGTGTGAGAGCGGTTGCCGGGATTACGCCCGCTGGGACCACCATGTTCACCCCTTCTCCGGCGACCTCTGCAGCCTTGTGACTCGCAGCGGATGAGGTGTCGTGGTCGTCCTCCGGGCTTGTGTGCGGTGTTTCGTACCCTCCGCTACCCATCATTGACGAGCTGGCCATGGACGAGGCGAGGGAAGGCTTGGCTGCGTGGCGTGGTTGGGTCATTGCGGGTGGCGCTGATGGTGGTGGAGATGATGCCATCTCGAGAGGTCAGAGTGCTAGCCGTGCTGCAATGCGAAGACTCCCCGCTGTATGGTGGTCGGCAAGTGTGAAAGCGGTTAGAGGCGGTGAGGAGGAGGAGGAGGAGGATGGCAATGAATGCAATGATGCGGGGGGGGGTCACTCGAAAGATATCGGCCCGATGGTGCGTCCCGCCGTGCCTTGTCGCTGCCGTCGATCGGCCAGTCAGTAGTCGTCTTTGGGGCGAGCCTTTGATCGCTGATGTCGGGTCGCCTGATGTGCAGAGGATGATACGACGAGTGCGCAATGTGTGTGCGCGTGTGTGTGCTTGTGTGATGTAACGAAGGAGGCTAGGGACGGATGGCCGGCCCTTGTGGTCCGGCGAGTTGACTTGAGTTGACTTGAGTTTACTTGACGACTTGCGAATTGGTCTCGAGCAGCCTGCGCCTCCAGCCTGCGCGTCCGCCTCCGCCTGCGTCTCTGGAGGTGTGGCGGCGGGCGGCGGGCGGGCGGCGCACGGGAGCAGCGGTGCAGGCGGCACAAGGGCAAGAAAGAGGGCGGGGAGGAGCTCCAGTCGGGGTCTCAAAAATGACCTCACGAAGACGAGAGTGTGAGAAGGGGAAGGGGCAGAGGCGACACAGCCCAGCCCAGCCCAGTCCAGGCCGAGCTACGTTTAGTACGCAGGGCAGGGCATTAACAACTCAGCTAGCGTTGGGCGACGAGTCGAGAGTTGAGGAGGAGCCAGGAAGATGATGGCCTTGGCGTTGCCTTGGCAGGATGGCAGCGAGGCGGGAGAGCAACACGTGCAGCCGTGAATAACTAGCAGCGAAGAAGACGATGGCAAGCACACGATGATGGAGAGCGCAACGTGGGTGCCCATGCGTGCTGCGGGTATTGATATCTATTAGTACAGAGGCAGTGTGATGATAGATGCGTGTGCAGTCGTGATGCTGATCATGGCGATCGTGAAGCAGTCGCAGCCCCCGTCTCTCGCCCTCACATTCCCCTCATCGGCGGTAGCGACGACGACGACGGCGACGACGACGACGCCTTGACGATGGCTTGTCTCGCCTCGTCGTCCTCTACGCCCTCTGCTTCCTGACCCTCCTCACCCTCCTCTTCAGGCACGCCCAAGATCCTCCTCCCCTCCCGCAGCACCCTCCACCGCGGCAACCATCGCTTCGCGTCCTCGCCTCCTTCCTCCATCAATCTCCACACCCTCCCGGTATCAAACAGCTCAACAAATTCCTGATCCATGCTCCTCGACTTGGGCGCACTAAAGCGGCGATACTCATCAAAGATCGTCGTCAGACTCCAGCCCTGCAACTTGCGCAAGCACCCAATCAAACAACCCGTCCTGTGCTTGCCCTTGTTACAATGCACCAACATCGGGTGATTGCGCCTATCCAACATGGTGCAAAGGGCCGCCGCAATCTTATCGTCTGGAATCTGGACAAAGGGTTCCTTGTTCCCCGGAATACCAAATTGGAAAAAGGTGATGCCCTCACTATCGAGGAATTGCGTATTTTGGTCCGGATACTCCTCGAGAATCAAGGTCAAGACGCTGCGCAGGCCCAGGGTGCGGAGGAAGGGGAAGTGCTTCTTTTTGGGAAAGGAGGAGCGATACAGCCAGGTGTTGACCATGCTGAAGTTGTCCGGAGGCAGGAGCGGGGACAGGTGCGGCGATTCGAGCGGGGTAACGACGGCCGTTGAGCTTGCGTGGATCGGGAGCGTAGGGGGAATAGTGGCGTGCGCCGTGGTAGAGCCATTGAGCGTCTTTTGTTGCTGCGAGGAGGCGGCCGACGCCGTGAGAAGAGATGCGGTCGAATGGGCGGCTGGTGGTGGATGATTGTGCAAGGCGCTCGCCGACGGGCTGGGCTGGACGAGCGGGATACCAGCGCTGCGGATGTGAGGGAGCGAGGCCATTTGACGAAACCATGGGACCTCATCGTCCGGTGTGGCAGCGACGCTGGGCGCGACGTCGCCCGCTGCTGCATCCTCGGCCGGCGGTGACGACTCCTTGTCTGATGAGCCGCCCTGCGATGAGGATGGCGGAGAGGTGGCCCTCGTATCGCCTGCTGAACTTCCCTGACTAGCTCCACTGCTGCTGCCGCCACTCCCTGCGCTCAATCCGCCATCGGACGATGTCAAGATCGTCGACCCTGACGTCTCACTCAATGCGTTCTTATCGACGAGTGCCGCTCCTCCGCCAGCAGTGGTCTCGCTGCGTCCAGGCACAGGCAAATTCCACGCATTCATTGTCTTGTCCCTCTCCGCAGCGCTGTTCCTCACATCTCTCGCTCGGGTATGATGATCGATGATCGCCTTGAGAAAGCCGAGGCGGGGACGACTGGACTCATCGTCCTCGCTGCGTGCTTTGCCGTTGGTTGGTCTGCCAATCCGACAGAAGAGGTTGGCGGCGGCGGCGGCATCGCCATCGTCGTCGCCCATGACGAGATGGAGGGTTGGAGAAGAGGGCGAGAGGTGAAGATTCGGCGCTGCGCTCCTCTCACAGATAGAAGAGGGTGTGAGCCGAAGCGCAGGTGAGGGGGCAAGCTCGTAAGCTGCTACGACTATGATAGCTCCATGCGAGAGATGAAGCAAACGAGAGATAGGGTGAAGCGTGGATGCGAAGCCGTAGACGGTTATGCGAGAGTGGAAAGGATGATGTCGGATGGCAAGAAGCCAAAGCCGCCGGCGGGCTGAGCATCACTTTCATCTCTCCGACGACGGGACTCGCCGTTCCGTCCGACGGACTCGCGTGCGACACTCGAGCCTCGAGACGTCGTCACGGTCATCGTGCGAGGAGCACAAGATAGACTAATGGGATATGACCTAATCTCTCAAATGGCTGCTTCAGCGCATCATCATCTACAGTCCCTTCTCATCCTCGCAGACTGCATCATGCTCGTTGCTCTGACTCGTCACGATGCTCCTCCCCACACCCTCCTGAATGCGTTTGACCAACCTCCCATTGTTCCGCTTACTGATCCAATCAATCATCAGTCGCTTCATCACCCCAAAGAAGACGTCAGGCGCTTCCAAGCTGACCTTTCCCGTCAGTAGGGCCACATCCTCCCCTTCATGCCCTGCAACAGCATCGATCCTGTGTCACGGCAAGAGGTCAGCGTTGAGAGGTCAAGGATGAGGGGAGCAATTTGGACACTCACATCCACTCAGAATGAAGTCGACACTTGAGCATGCCGTACTGCATATCCATGATCAAGCCGTTGGACGGGAATTGAAAGAAAGTACGCCACGTCATCGGGATATGAGCCGCCTCTAGGGTCCCTGCTTGACGCGTGTGCCAGCAGTAGCAAGTAGTGAGCATCGCAGCTTGCCGGACGATCAACGAAACTGGTGGGGGGGAGGGGGAGCGGGAGGGGGGCGGGGGGCAGCGGAAGCACTCACAATCGTACGGGCCCCCTGAAGGATCGCTCGCATTACACAGGATGGGCGTAGTCTTCGTCTTTGCCCAGCAGAACAAGGGAGGGCTGTGTAGCCATGCCAGGATGTCAGGAGTGCGGGCGCTGAGGTGGTATTGATGGTGGAACGTTTCGTGGCGCATGATGGGCGAGTGCGGGGGAGTGAAAAGGGTTGATGATGAGAAGGGCGGAGGGAAACGAGAGTGAAGTTCAAGCATCAAAAGCTCGACGGAGCGGGTAGGTGGTTGGGCCAAAGGGTGATAGCAAGCGGCCAATCATCTCCCGCTAGCGGCCCGCGTGTCACCCCCTTGCGCCACTGAACTCGCCCGCCTCTCACCCTTCTTTGCTTGCCTTCCACGCCATCTAGTATACAATTGTTGCGAAGCGTGCATGCTTATGCGATCCAGTGTACAGTCCCTCGAAACTCTGCCTCGCCTACCCAGCTGTTGCTCCCTACTGCTCCGCTCCCTCGCTCCCCCCTTCCGCAACCACCTCCCACCTCAACAAGCTCCCCACCTCCGGCTTGAACTTCATCGCCTGCCGAGTCATATGGTCCAATCCCCCAACTCCACTGGTAGCGGTGCAAAGAAGAGACTCAAGTTGCTCCACGCTCCCCCTCGAAGGCGGTATAGCTGGTCTGCCCTCCCTCTGCGATCTCGCGAATCTCGCCGCCTCCCTCCCCACCTCAACGAGGTACCCTTCTTCCGCAACTCTCCGTCCCAACTCGACACACTCCTCTACCCAGCGCACGCTCACCACTTTCACCTGCTCCGCCTGCGCCTCCGCGTCTGCCTCCGCCCCTGCCTCCGCCCCTGCCTCCGCACCTACCCCACTACCCCTCGCCATTAGACCACGAAGGTAGCGCAGTGTGCTCGGTGTCCCTCCCTTCCAGACTATGTGCGTCAATTGTCTCCGCGAGTCTGCAGAGGGGCAGCGAGAGGCAACTTTGGCGCCGAGAGAGCGTAAAGTGGCCGCGTAGGGAGGGGAGAGGTCCTGACCGGTGGGAGAGCGGATGGAGAGGAGGACGGCGACGCCTTTCAAGGGTCGGGTGGTAGAAGGTGCGACTGGCCGTGCAATCGGTGGCGCAGCCGTCGGTGTGGTCGACGTCCTCGTGGGAGGATCTGCCTTTGCGAAGTGGGTCGAGTCGCGCGACCTTCGAACAGGCATCTCGGCTTCCGTTTCTCCCTCATCCAGCACCTTGCTTCCGATGCGTTCAGACCGATTTTCCTTCACAGCAGGAGGAAGTGGGCCGGCGCGCAACGTCCTACTCTCCTTCTTCGACTGTTGCTGACGAGCCGGCAGCGGCGACGATGAACGCGATCTACTGGTGCTCGAGGGCAGAGAAGCTAACGGGGAAGCGGGCGACGTCTCTCTCGTCTTCGGTGTGCGAGGACTGCGCCTCACCGCAGCCGCAGCCGCGGCTACGGGCGAAGACTCAGGCGTCAAGAGCTCGACGGCGGCTTCGTCCTCTTCGTCCTCGGACATTGCGGCGGCGCCCGAGCTCGATGGAGAGGAGTGCAGCGAGAGGGCTGCGAGTTGTTGTGCTACACTGGACTTCTTGCGACGCAGAGGGGCGAGAGGACGAAGTGACCGGCCCGGGGTATCGGGATCGCTGCGAAGCGACTCTTCTGGCGAGGCAGGGCTCGATGTCGCCTCTGCCTCTGCTTCTTTTCTCTCAGCTGCGACTGCTTGCTGCGGCCCTGCCTGCTGTCGCCTAGCCGCTCGAGCCCTTTCCAAGAAGCTGGGCGACCCAGACGACGTAGTCACGCCGCTCGCGCCGCTCTTGCTGTTCGCCATCCTCCGTGCCAGGTCATCAAAGGAAGGCTGCTTGCGCGGCGAGTTGCCTGCATTATCCGCTCCGCGCTCGACGTTGAGGAGGCGTTGTACGTGGCGAGAGGAGGAGCTGCTTGTGCTGACCGAGTTGTTCGAGCGACTTCGCAGGCTGTCCGGCATCTGAAGAAGGGGCGGTGCCGAGCTCTCCTTGGGCGATGATGATGACGAACGGCGGGTATCTTGCTTCTCAGGCGGGTCATGAAGCGGGGATGTGGACCTGCTCTTCACGCGTTCTTCGCTTTCATCGGTAGGCTTTGCAGAATTGCTCACCCTCCTCGCCACTCCTAAGGGCGATCGAGGCTGCGCCTCCTTTGCCAAGGTGCGGGAGCTTCTCTTACGACTCAGGATCGGGGAGGAAGGAAGTTCCGCCGGCTTGGCGCTGGGCGATGGGGATGGAGAAGAGGAGGCTGGAGGAGAGGGAGTGAGGTCCTCAGATGAGGCACGGGCATGGTATGATCGGCGGGTATATCGCGGCGGCTGATCGCTGGGCTGGGATGGGCTCGCATCGGGCGAGTCGCTGAGACGACGCTCTGCTTGAATTCGTCTCCTCTCCTCTAGGCGTGCGAGGACTGTTGACGTCGACTTGAGGGACGATGCGCGACGCAGTGGTTCGGCTTGCGAGTCTCTACTCTTGACCGCCGCGTCTGACTGACGAAGACGAGCGCGCAGACGGTCGAAGCGCTCTTGGAATGCTTGGTGAGAGGAAGGCAAGGGTGAGGAGGGCAAGGGCGAGGATGCTGCGGGCTCCACCAGAGGCGATGCAGGGTCGTACTCTGCCCTGTCAGCCGGCTTCGGCGGTCGCGCCCTGGTAGATCGAGTCGGCGTCAACGGAGCAAGCTGCGCAGCTGCGGGGCCATCCCGACCCGACGCTGACCTCCTGAGCGCCTCTCTGAGCTTGTCTTCTGGCTCTTCCGTCTCTCTGAGGCCATCGCTCTGCTCCAAACTGGCGACGCGGGTCTGCGAGCGGCGAGTCAGCGGCGTTGACGATGTTGGCATGCGTTGAGGCGAGGAAGACGAGGACGATGTTGGGTCTCCTGTTTCTCTACGCCGCGATCTTGAGCCGCTTGCTCCTACGCGAGGTGTTGATGGGCGAGGTGTTGATGACGATGATGATGGATGTTTCGTGGTCGCCAGCGGTGGACTGGAGGCCACCATGGCCATTGCGGTAGCCAAGAAAGAAGGAGAAGGGAGGCTCGTGGCCGGCTACGGCATTGATGGTGGTAACTCGTTGAGAATGGCCGCCTCGCTGCCGCCCGGCCAAAACAACACCGCGCCTGTCTCGAATCTCGCGGGCGTCGCGTGGGAAGAGTAACACAAGCTGAGCCGCGGCAATCTCTGGTGGCGACGCTTGCTGCTTCCGCTCCTTCCGCTCCTAGGTGCGGACGGAGCGGAGGAGGATGAGAGAGAGACGCTGACTTTTGGTGGCCGCGGCCGGCGCCGGCGTGCAGCTCAGAGCGCTCCAAGATGGCCGCCTTTACCTTCTCGAGCTTCCTGTTAGCATGGGTGGCTGCAAAGGCGCGTGGTTGAGAGGGTGTGATGGTGGGCTTGATAGAAAGCTTGCGATCATGTGAACATATTTACGCAACGAATCCACTCATTACGATCTTCGCTCGAGCAGGACGAGGTCCCGATGCTGCCCCTGTTCGGCCCCGCTTCAGTTTGGAGGCTCCACCGCCGGACCGCCATGCCATGCGATGCGCCCAGCCTGGCCAGACATTACGACGACGAGGGGGCGAGGTCCAGAGTGCGCCCATCCATCCATTCATCCATCCGACCATCCATCAGCACCCTCATCACGGCGAGCCACCGAGCATCCAAGTGTGTGCTGTGTCCGCCTGCCTTTGTCCTTTCTGACCCGCAGTGAGCGACTCGCCGTGTTCTTGCATCCGCTGCCCAACAGCTCCCGTCTTGGCGCCATTGAGCTCGTAACGTCCAAGGGTGCATCCATCCGCACCGCCAACGTGTCCACACAACGCCTTCTTCACACTGCGAGCTCTCCATGAGCTCATCAAGCTCGTCCACAATGGTCGAGGTCAAGCAACACCAGCATCCGCAACTACCGCCCTATCTCCGGCCACCACCTGCAGCAGCAGCGGCGGCGGCGGCGGCGGCGGTGTCCAGCAGTGGTGCCGCATCGACATCCGCAGCACCCTCGCCCCCTTCTTACCGCCGAGACGGCAGCCAGCATCCGCACCATGACCACCGCGAGCACCATGCAGCAACACCACCACCGCCTCCTCCGCCTTCCCGCGTGCATACATTGGATCTCAAGGGCAAGCTGGCAGCGGCGCTTGGCAACCACGGCAAGCAGTACTGGAATGCATTGCTTCACTTCTGCAGTGCAAAGATCTCCCGCGATGAGTTTGAGCAGCAGGCCCGGATGTGCCTGCGTGCAGAGGATGGTGAGCACCGAGTGCCCCGCGGGTGGATGCATCCATCCAGTTCGTACGCTGACACCCGACCCTTCCACTGATCCCTCTCCGCCGCCAGTCCACTTGCACAACTCCCTCGTTCTCGGCATCCTCTACAATGCCTCGTCCGCCGTGCCAGGCCCATCCGCAACCCGGGGCCAAGCCGCTCGGGACGGCGCCGTAGCGGATGCCGTTGACCACCCGGACAGTCCCGCAGCATCCAAGTCGCTCCTCTCTGAAACTATCCCGCCACGCAAGCGTCTTCGTCTCCTCGTCGCCTCCCTCACTTCCAACGAGAGACAGCGCATCAAGTCGGCAGGAAAGCCGCCAGCTCGCTCCTTTGCCTCGGGGGCCCATGCTTCGTCCTGGGCGGGGGCAGGAGCTGACCTGCTCGAGAAGCGGCGCAAGGAGGAGGACAAGAAGCAGCGAGAGGCTGATCGCAGGAGGCTGTGCGAGCTCTACACAGAGATTGGGGCGAATGACTGGGTGCAGGAGGCAGTGGAGGCAGAGACAGCTACGAGCGAGCACCGGGGGAAATTGCCCGTATGTGAGTGCGAGGCGGCAAGGATCATACATCAGATCCAGCGAATCGTGAGCTCATCGCCTCGGCTCCCCCTTCGCCCGCTCGCAGCCACGCTGCAAGCCCTCCTTCGATCACAACGAGTTCCTCTTTGCTCCCAATCCAAACAGCTGCCCGATCCTGACTCACTCGGCGACCTCATGACATCACACGCGGTAGAGCAAGGGCTGCCAGGAGGAGTATCAGGCGACGCCTCGGCTCTAATGCTTTCGGGTCTTCAGGTGAGCAGCGGGCGCAGAGCAGCGGCAGCAGAGCGGCTGGCGGCGGCGGCGACGCTTTGTTGGATGGTATTGACGACGATTCTCGCGCTGCGGTGGTATCGTAGGCGCACGTACAGCATATTGCCAGCTCCCTCATCCTGGCAATTCGTGCTAACCGTCCAGCAGGTGGGGTACGCATGCCCGAGGAAGTCGACGACAGTGGCAGCAGCAGCAGCGCGGACGTCTCCATCGACTCGTCCTCCTCCTTCTTTGGCGGCACCACTTCCCCCGCGCAAGGACAGATGCTCCAGCTACCCGATGGGACGACCTCGTACCCTCCCTCTTTGCGCGTGCACAGCGGGAGCAGTCGCGGGACCAGCACGGGTTCCAATTCCGTGGCGTCGACCGCTCCCTCCTCTCTCTTCGAGACCAGTCGTGCACGAAACGGGCAGCTCTACACGGCTGACTCGAGTATGGTGAGCTTGACCAGCACGGCGCCGACGAGTGTTGGTAACGGGAGCGATGATGAGGCGGCGCATCACGAGATTGGTAAGAAGCGATCGAGAGATGCCAGTGACGAAGACGAAATGGACTTGGATGACGAGCGCGACCGCGAAGAGCGCAGCCGCGAAGACAAGCAAGGGTCGCGACGCTACCATGGTGGGGACGAAGGGCTCAGCACAGTGGACAGCGACCAGCACGAGCACACTCGCCATTCATCGGCATCACCGACCCTACCGCATCGTCCGCTCATAGGCCGCTCGAGCAGGCCCACTCACTCTTCGCTCCGCCCCAAGCTCCAGCTACGCGATGCGGCCTTCCTCTTCGACCTCTCACCGCACATAGCCGTCGAGCCGCTGGGCGTGTCGTCTCTCGATCGACTGATGGGCGCAGACGCAGAGGATGCTACGCACGAGGAGGCGGAGCAAGACGAGAACCAGCCTGATGCCTTCATCAAAGACGAGTCGCAATTGGACGACGAGGCTAGACTGGCGCTTGAAGCAAGGAGATGCGCATTTGCCAAGAGCACAGGCGCAGACGCCGCAGCAGCATCCTCGCACTACCTCACGGCCAGGCAGCGCTACCTCGTCAACCAACAGGGCCCGCTCACGATGATTCTCGATCAGCGGAACGAGGAGACCAAGACCTCGCCGCAGAAGGCGGATGACGATTCAGCAGCTGCGCCCGGAAAGCGTACCCGCACCAAGGAGCCAGACCCCGTCGTGGACGTTATTGATCCTGTCAGGTTGTTGGCAGGGCTGTGCGATTGACCCGCGAAAGCTGCGCGCTGAAGACACACGTCAGGATCAGAGGCTAGCTTTGCATGATCAGTAAGATTTCTTGCACTCTCACTCGTGTACTCACATCGTCTTCTCATCATCTCTTGTTCACCGTCGTCACAATCATGCCTTCTCCTTGGAGCAATGACATTATGATAGCACGTGAAGCATGCCTCGTTTGAGGAGCGACATGGGCAGCGTTCACCTCTCTCAGGCACCACTTTCGGCGCCGGTCGCCGAGGCGAAGGGCGGGAGAGAAATGAGGAGCTCGCTCCAAGCTATCACCCGCCACTTTGCCCTGACATCCCGAGGCTAAGCACCGCGCGCTGAGCGTAAGAGCAATCGCAATGGCAACTGAGCGGTCGCTCGCCCTTCGCCTCTGGCCTCTCCCCCTCTCCCTCTCCATCCATCTTTGAGACTCGTCTGCACCCCATTTCCCCCACCCATCACAAGTCGTCACGCATCGCCATCGCTCATCGCGCCATGGCTGTGAAGGGGGAAGAGCTCACGCAACGCAAGGCGAGCGAGATGAGCACATCCAGCGCCGTCAGCGCAGCTCGAGTGCCTTCTGCGTCCGCTCAGCAGATGTACATCCTCAAAGCTCGTGATTCGGTTCAAGTCCTCAAGCAGGAGCTGAGCGCCATCGCTCTAGCTGACGACCACGAGGGGAAGAAGGAGAGCTATAAGGAGGCGGAGGACTTTGTGAAGTCGCTGCTCAGCATGGTGAGTGTATGCCACCGTGCAGGCGGGTGGTGCGCCGCGTGGTGCTCCTTACTGACTGAATATCTCGCTCGTCCGCACAGCTACAAAAGGGACAGGTCGCGCCCAGCACGTCTCTCCTCAGCACCTTGCAGCACATCGTAGCCATCCAGAAGCGCAGCCTTGAGTACCTCCTCAAGCGCCTGCCCCTCGCCACCTTCAAGGCTGTCGCCGCCCTGCACGAACAGATGTGGTCGACTGCCATCCCCGACCTGTACAATGCCAGGAACAAGGTCGAGAGCCGGATGGATCAGATACTGCACGACGAGTTGAGGGTCGAGATGGTGCAGTTGTGCCACAAGGCCACAGCGCTGGCTGTGATGAGGTTGAAGGAGCTGGAAAGGGGCACGACGAGGGAGGCAATCGACTTGGCCGAGGATTGTGAGTGCACGATAGGCCTGCGATGCTCTCTGATTTACTGACGGTGCGCTGCTTCGAAACCATCGCGGCGCAGGCTTCGAAATCTACTGTCCCGTCATTATGCCGAGCATCAGTGACATCCTTTCTCACTCCTCTGACGCCTACCTCGGCTGGCTCGACAGCGCCCAACATCAAATTGACGTCCTTCACGAGCTCACTCTCTCCAAACTGGGCAGGCACTACGGGCGTCGTCTCCTCACGTCCCAGGTCCTAGGCTCTATTTGGGTACGCGCACCCACGTACGACATCTCCTCCGACCTGCTCTGGATCAGCCGCGCTCTCAGGCCGAGGCGGGAGGACTCGCAGGGGCTGGATTTGCGAGAGTGGGATGTGAGGCAGGAGGACTACTGGCACCGCTTCTTCCAGCCCTTTGTGCACCCTTCGTGCGACTTGGAGACGCTGGACGCAGCAGAGACAAAGAAAAGGGCAGAGGTTGTCGAGGGCTTGGTGCGGAAGTGGGTAGAGAGTGGGGGAAACAGCCTAAACGCCGTGAGTGAGCGTGATGCAGGGCCAGTGCGCTGCGGCTGCGGCTGCTTGTTCTGACACGCGTGTTCTACTCACTCGCACAGCTCATCCGCGAGACTATCCGATCGGTGGGCGAAATCGATGAGACCCGGTGAGCGTGACCAGACAAGGACGCCAAAGACAACTTTGTGCTCACTGGCATCCACACTCTTGCCCTGCCAGACCTCAAGTCCTGGTCAGCAGCGGAGTCACCTTTCAGCTCGTGGACCGCAAGCTCCCCCTCTTCACAGGCGAAGCCGAGAGCTACACCAAGACGACGGACACGCAAGTCATCCTCGACTACAACTACCTCGAGTTCGGCTTCACCGAGTTTGAGGAGACGCGCAAGCCCGAGAACAAAGATGGCGACTTCATCAAGGCGCACATGCCTCTCAACAAGCTCGCCTCTGCCGATTTCAAGGTGCAGGTCGCGGGCCATGCGGTCATCACGCTCTACTTTGCGGCCGAGGACGATGAAGACGCCAATGCTAGTGGACCGATCCTTACTGCTGAGCGACCCGACGGCGAGCCCTATCCTTTGGGCGACGATGACATCATTGCTATTGAGATACGGTGCAGCGCGGGCAGTGTGGCGCACTACAGGGCTGGATTGGCTGATCGCGGCGTGCTGGTGAGCGACCACTATGTTAACCAGCACTCGCTGGGAAAGGAGATCTCGGCTCCTATCTTGGGGCCTTTCAAGCCGAAAGAGCAAGATGGTGAGGAGTATCACGACGTCGCGCCGAGCTCGCCCGCGTCACCCCCTCCCGAGCAAGAGCAAGAGGACAAAATCGACGATGGTCCACGAGAGCTCAGCCCTCTCGCAGAGCCCAAGACGCTCAACGACACGAACGTCACGGGTACGGTTGCGCCGGCAGCCTCAGTCAAGGGAAGCCCCTCTTCCTCGGAGCTCACTTCGCCTTCGCCGTCCGAGGAGAGTCGCGCGGCTACGCAGACTGGAGCCACCGTGCCTTCTCAGGGAGGCGACATTCGCGCTCGCACAACGCCCACACCAGCGCCCTCTGACACCAACTCCGGTAAAGGCACGCCGGGCAGCTCGACCAAGTTTGGTCCGGCGCAGAGGAAGGTCAAGAGCGCAGCCCAGCCTGCGGAGAAGAAGAAGAGCGACGAGTCGCAGACGAAGGGCAAGGGTAACCAGTCGCAAGCCAAGAGCAAGATCGACGATTCGCAAGCGAAGGGCAGAGCGAAGAAGGACGCGCAGCAGCAACAGACGCAAAAAGGGAACGTACCTAAGGGGCGAGGCCCAGGCCCTGCCACGAAGAAGCGCGCTCAACTTCGGGGAGACGTCACGGACGAGGATCACGATGAGGCCGAAGTGCAAAGCCAGACGCAAGTTGCTCGCCGTCAGCCCGCACGCAAGAGCAAGGCCAATGCAAAGAAGCTCAAGCTGCAGTCATCTAGCCAATACGAGAATGAGTCGCACAGCGAGGATGGGGATGATGAGAAGGATGGTGGACCGAGCGTTCTGGCTGCCAAGTCGAAGCCCAGGCCGCCGAGCATGAGCAACGGAGCAATCGAGAAGGCAACTACCTCGCGCGGCTCTGGAGTCGCTGCGTTGCTGCAGCAGAAGAGGGGAGCTCGTCGAGTCACGGCGCAGCTGCAGAACGGTAGCAATGATCAAGGAGGAGATGACGCAGGTGACCCCAGCCAGTCGTCCACGGCTCAGTCTCTGACCATCGCGGCCACAACGAAGACCAAGCCTGAAGCTGCGGCAACGAAGAAAAAGTCTGCTACCGCCCCTTGGATGATGACTCAGACCGCTCAGAGTATCCAGCAACGCCAGGCCGAAGAGGCAGCCGCTGGAGAACAAATCGAGTGGGACGCAAGGTCTGACTCTGAGCGAGACCCTCCAGCCCCGCCCGACCACGGCGATCAAATGGACGTCTCCGCACTTAACATGGGAAGCGCCACCGAAGACGAGGACGACGACAAGAGCAGGGAGCAGCGTCTTCGTACTCCGCAAAGCCCAACGCAGGCTGTACTTCAGCGACGTGCTGCCAATGCTGCCGCGAGCCAGCCATCGCCGACTGCGACTTCTCGTAAGCAAGCTACCACGTTCGACCGCGACGCAGCTGCGGGTGCTACGGCCCCACCCGATCTTACCGTGGGTCCCGCTGCTACCAAGAACAAGAAGCTTCGCCTCAGCGACGTCGGCGAAGATGATCAAACGAGCCCCACAGCAGTTTCCACGCGCAACGCTACCATCGATGGAGACGTGGTCTCGATGTATCTCAGCACCAAAGAAGCCAACACGATCAAGCGCGCTCGTCAACTTCGAGCTTCAAGGAAGGGCGCCAGCGGAGGGTTTGCGGAGCCAACCGCCACCACCACGGCCACAGCCGCGACCCGCAAGCGCAAGGCTGGAGGGGACTCGCCTGGCAAGAAGCGTCAAAAGGTAGCTCGGGAGAAGACGCCCGAGGTGAAGGATCATCACGACGACGTCGAGAACAAGCAGCACTTCCCCGACGCGGATGACGACGACCTAGGCAGAGCCACCTGGCAGCACATGCGCAAGGGTATGCGCCTCGTCAAGTCGACCCTCTCGCCCGAGTCGAACCAAGACTCCGGCATTGGCGGCATCGAATCAGACGACGATGATCCCAACCTGCCTCTTCTCCGCCCCCACACACGCGCAAATGCAACGCGCCAGGGAGCGCACGAGATGGAGCAGGCTCAGAAGAAGGCGCTGCAGCTCGCCGAGCAGCAGGAGAAGGAGAGCATCCAGAAGCGCTGTGCTGCGGTGGGGGACAAGTACGAGCGCGATATTGATGATGCGCAGGTGCGGCTGGACGAGTTGACGAGCTATATGTGCGTGCGGCGCGAGACGACTAGACCAGAACTGTGCTTGCTGACAATTCCTTCTGCGCTCCCGCTCACAGCACGTCGTTGCAAGGTCGATTCAATGAGATGCAAGCATGGCGACGAAGGGTTTTTGCCAATCTCGAGTAAAGCGGCCCGCCGACAAGGCGATACGCTGTCGGGTCCCTCGTTGCGGCCTCATCGTCTCACACCTACGCTTTCCTCATTCGTCATCCTCATCTCTCTCTCCCTCTGTGTCCCGGCAAGAGCGCTGTCTCGCCTCGAGATGAAATCTACGCGTCAGTTGAGACCACTGACCTCGCAGCGGCCGCTGAGACTACCCCGACCCAATACAAGACGTAGCAGTGGTTCCCACAAATTCTCGCCGCATTGACTGGCCGCATTGATGGCATGTCTGCGTGCATCGTGAGAGTGTTGACGAAGGGACGCTCAAGCGCCTGCCCGTACGCGCGGTGTGGATGTGGATGTTCGTTCGTCGACTTCAACTTGAAAGCCGGCTATCGATGCCAATTTTCAGGCTCAGCCCGTTTGTTGACTAGCGCCCAGCCGCCGCCGCCGCCGCCTCCGCCGCCCCCGCCGCCCCGCTCCGCTGACCTTCCTCTGTTGACAAGGCCCGCGAAGCTGCACCTCGACAGCTCGGCTGCGTCGGCCCTGATGTCGACGTTGCTTGGGTGGGCGGGGCGGCGCCCCTGGCTCTTTCTGTCTCGACTCTCGATCTCCCGCACCTGCCCGCCTGCATTTGGTCCACCCCTCTCCTAATCACACGAGATGTGAGGTCGTCGTGCTCGCTCTCGCGACGTCAAACTGCACGGCTCAAAGACCTGCCCGAACGGGGATGGATGTTCAATGAGCTCGCCGAGAAACAGGGAGGGAGATCTACCCTTGCGACGTGCGACGAAGACTGCGAGACGTCAATCGCTGTTCTCGTCTCGTCTCGTCTCAGCGTCAACGTCGACTCAGGGTGCTAGGCCGCCGTCTCCCTCCGCCGTGCCGCGCTAGAGCTGCTTCTTCGGAGGACTGCTGCTGGGCGATGCGAACCGGTACTCTGGTCGACACGCACCTATCGCCTTGCCCCTCCCCCCCCCCCTCCGCCTCCCCCTATGCGCTTGGCTTGCGTGCTTAGCTATCCATTTGTTCCTTCTCCTTCTAGCCATCCATTCGACTTCAGATTGCGGTGTTGATCGTCCCAACGCACTTTTTTCGACTTCATCCATCCCTCTTACCGCGCACCGTGTACTTTTTACTCGTATCATAGTCGCACCCCGCCGCCGAGGACAGCCGGCCTCGCCTCGCCGGAGTGTGCACGCACGCACGTACGCACACGCCCACGCACACGTCTAGCAGGGCTGGCCCTAGCGCGCGTCATTATACACACTCTCTCTACACGTAAGCTCCTTGGACAAGCAAGTCACTGGCAGGAAAGCAAGGGATCGTAGCAGCAACGTTGCAGGGGAGGCGGAGTGGTGCTTTGTGCGCACTCGAGCCTCCATCGGGGCAGCGCCATCCGCCCATTATTGGCACGGCGGATCACCGCGCTCGCCGCGCTCGCCATGGGCCAAGGGCAGTCACATCATGGACGTGGCTCAGCAGACACCGCACCGCAGCCGATCGAAAGCCAAGACATCGTGTCGGCGGGGCACACCAAAGCTGACGGTGAGGAGATCTTGCCGCCTGAACACGACGATGAGTCCAGCTTCACCACAGAGCGCGATCCAGGCAACGTAGGGCCAATGAGGCGACGACCACGACCTACTTCTGGGGTATCGTTCCAGCCTCCAGCCCTTTCGAGATGGAATGCGCACCGCGACATGCCGCTGCAAAGCATCGTAGACACCAACAGCGACGATGTGCAGGCACAGACGCAAGTCAATTGGTTCCCCACCTACCCCGCCTGGGACAATGCAGGGCGTAATCCACCAGTTGTCGTCACTCCGACAGCTACTGCGGCCTTGCGGGCCATACATCGAGTCAGCAATCCACCGCTGTACCCAGACATTCCCGAGGTTCCAGAGGAAGGGTCAGACTTTGGCAGCGCCGGAGTCGGCGGCGGTGGCGGGTCGCTCTTGGAGGAGGCACAAGGAGGCAACGAAAGTGGCGGCAGTGCGGGAACGCAGCCGATGCCACCGCCGAGACCGCTACCTTCTCCACTCGCTGAGGCTCTCATGATGGGACTTGGTCGTAGCGGGTCGGGCAGCAGCTCAAGGCGAGCTTCTGAACCGCAATTGTCCGAAGCGAGCAGGCTGGGTGGGGGAGACGTCTCAAGGCGTAGCACCGGACAGACGGATCGCGAGCGACTGGTGGCGTACTGGGAGTCTCGCGCTTCAGAAGCTTCCTCGCCTGCACCTCCAGTCGTGCGCCGGGCCAGCTGGTCTTCGGGACCAGCTCTGCGTGCGCCGCGTTCGCGCGAGGGAGCAGCCACCTTGGGTCGGTCCAGATCCCCGCTTGCTCCCGCAGATGAAGTCGCGGTGGACCCATACGAGGAGACGGCTCCCGTGATGGCTGTAGAGGATGCGCCAACGCCCTATGGCCCGCAACCTTCGGTCTACGGCACGCCAGCCATTGTACTCGATGCAGACTCGCCCGACGTCGGGACGTTCCCCTGGTCGAGAAATGCGCAACAGCAAGAGGACGAGGCTGCGAGCGGGGTGGCCCCTTTAGCTTCTTCTCCAATCATGGCCGAGCATGCTCTCCTCGTACCACCACCCATCACACGCGCAGCCGATCCTACCAACCTTTCAACCACATCAGGCGGCGAAAGCGACGAAGCCGTCGAGCAAATACGGTCACCACAGCCAAGCGAAGGCTCCCTCAAGCGCAAGGCTGCTCCCCTCTACGTCAGTCAGCTCGAAGGAGAGCCTGTGCAACTGCGCTCCCCTCCGCAATCCTTGCGCTCTCCACCGCGATCCCTTCAAATCGCCTCGCCGAAGGTAGAGCGACGCGCAGAGGTCCACCACGAAGGGCAGAGCCGCTTCTCGCAGTCCTCTAACTCGGACGCGGCGCTGCGGTCGGAGGTGAACATGCTCAGGGCTGGGCCGTCCACGAAGCGGGACTCTTCCTTAATCCACGACCTCTTTCGACCTTCACGCCAGAGAGGAAGCCGCGAAGACGACGCTGCCCGGCCGCGGAAAAGTTCATTCTTTTCGCGGCTCACCGGGCGAGCTCGCAAGGGCAGTGGCACTCTTCCGCAGCCGGAGCTCATCGGCGGCTCTACGATTCGCGCATCCGGTCTGCCTTCGTCCAGCCGCGACTCGATGCCTCTTCAAGAGCCACCCATCTTCCAAATTCGCCCTCGCATGACCTCGGCACCTCCCGAGATGGGATCGCTCGCCCGTCGCCTACAACAGGCGCGCGATCCAGCGGCCACACCGCACAAGAGTCCTAGACTCACGCAGCACACAGTTGGAGGCAGTGTCCGACGTGTGCCGAGCTTTGCTGGCTCGCATGGTAGCATACGAAGTAAGAGAAGCGCGAGGAGTGGGGCTCGCAGCTCTGCTACCAGTCTGAGGCAGGCGTACGTCGAGGGGGCAGCGAGGGCAGCGCAACGACCTGGAGCGAAGGAGGGTTGGGAAGACATTGCAGAGGACGAGGTCGTGGCTGCACAGGCGAATGCAAGCCAGTCAAGCTTCAAGGTGAAGCGCAAGCGTGTTCCGCTGGGCGTCATGTTCGGCTGGCCAAGGCGAGGGTCCAAGCAGCTCCATCCTACTGATGTAGAAGCGCTGGATGCGCGGCAGAGAGCCGTATCAGAGCCGCCTCGCGCTTCGGCGATCGTTGCGAGGCCTGCGCCTGACGAACCGCTCGTGCAGAAGATTGACCAGAACCACCAACTTCGTCCGCCAAGCGACACGAATCTCTTGACGACGCCACACTACTCCTCGTCGACCTCAAGCTTCTCTTCACTCGCACCGCCGCCAGCACCACAGCCCGTCCCGCCGAAAAGACCACGTCGACCCCGAAGGCGAACAGGATCAGGCAGCCAGTCTGAATCAGGCGGCGCTGGCCAGTCGCCACAGCCATCGCGCTACAAAGACAAGGGCAAGGGCAAAGCTAAAGAGGAGGACGAGACCTCGACGCCTTTCTGGGACGACAGCATCCAGACTCATGGAGACGAAAACGAGGCGGAGACAGCACCCGTACTGCCCTCTCCTCGTGGCACGTTGGCCACGATCCACTCAGTACCCTGGCGAGCCGATGAGGATGTAGCAAGCCGCATGGAAATCCTGCACTCGGATCGAGGGTCACCGCTACCGCGAGGCCCAAACTCTGCAGAACTGTACCCTCGCCCACACTCGAAGCTCTCCGCCAGCTACCTCGACCCAGACTCGCGTCCTTCATCGCGTGCCACTGCGGCCTTGAGGCAGCAAGCCTCCGGCCAGACATTCGGTGTTGACGAGCGTCCACGCACAGCCCTTTCCATCGCGCCCGACATGCCCGCTCACGTCGAGTCACCCGTGAACAGCAGTAGCGCGGATTTCGGGGACGAAGGCGGAGTGAAACCTCCACCCACCAAAGCGTCGAACAGCCAGGACTCGTCGCGAGATCGTCTCACTTTTGCTCCACCACCTACCACAGCGTCGGGCGATCGCGATCGAGCCCACGTTCAGGGTCACGCCGCCGAGGGTAGCAACTCGTCCTTCACTAAGATAGCCGGAGACGACGAGGACGACCAGCTGTTGCGCTCGAGGATCAAGCCGCCCTCCCTCGCGGAGTCGGACGTGTCCAAGACTAGTGTGCGCGGCCACCTCTCGTCGTCGGCCACTCTGGCGACTGAGGGGCCTGGCGGCATGGGAACAACGGCTACGGTTACCGGCACGCCGTCTACCTCTGCTGGCACACCGCGTGGTCAGCACTTCCCGCTCGGCGCAGGGGCTGGACATCGTCGTACAGCGAGCGGGAGTGCAGCGAGTGGCCGCCTGTCCACGCATCTCGAGTCGCCGCGTGCGCGTGTGTCTTCGCTAGGAATGAGCAGGAGGGTGGCTCTGCCGCCTGTGGCGACCACGGAGGGACTCGGTATCAGCAGCAGAGATGTCGCATCAACCCCGCCGTCTGCTCGAGCGCCTATTGATGGGCTGCCCGCGACGGGTGGGGATGTCTCGTCTCTGCCGCTGCCTCTTGGGCGCAACAGGGAGGCGCAGCGGGAGAGCTGGACGTCGGCGGATGGTCCATGGCGAGCAGAGATTGTCCAAGCCTCGTCCGCGATTCCTGCAGCTCCTACGATGCTTCCCTCGATCCCTCAAGGCCGCACAGTAGGCCGACAGCGCAGTCGTTCTTCGATGAATCCGCGCACAGAACCGCTCGACGGAGCAAGACGACCAGACGCGCCAATGGATGGTCGATCCCCACCTACCGCCCGCAATCGCGCCGTCTCTGAGCCCTTGGCTCCCCAATCGCCACCCATCGATCCAACAGCGGCAGAATCGGATCGCTGGTCGCCAGTCGACTACGATGCCATGCCCGCCGGCGGCACGCAAGCCTCCCTTGCGACGCTGATTGCGCTGGAGAAACAAAGCAGGGGAGAACCAACGACGTCGCGCTTCCTCGGATCGACCCTCTATGCCCTACCTGCGCGCAAGGCGGAGAACTACGAGTCCTCGTCATCCCTCGGTCCACCACAAGCTGACAGGCGAGAGAGACAGAGACAGCGAGAGGCGGCTGCCGCGACCGTTGCGAACCTCTCTGGGTCACGGATGCGCGAGCGTGCAGCCCCGTATGAGCGGAGGCGACCAAGTGACTACTATTCGTCCTCATGGGAAGGTGGAGGCTACTCTTCTGCAGGCACGTCGACTATCGCTTCCCGACGCAGGCGGAGGAGCACTCTACGGCAGCAACAACGTCGTGCTCGGCATGGGCACGGCCCCGGCCATGGTAGGGATTGGACGGGCATGGCTTTGGCTTCTTCCGATAATTGGGAGGAGAGCGATCTGCCCACCACCGCGGACGAGAGGGAGCGTTACGCGGCTAGACGGTCGATGGAGGGCGCGAGGCAACGCAGGGAGGCTCGACCGCCTGGCGCTGCTGTGCCTGGACGCGTTCAGCGACCTCCATTTGCTGGTCACGGGCGACAGAGGAGCGCCATTGAGACGCCATTGCCTCGCTCTGCTGCTGCTCGGCTTGCCGGGGATGAAGGTAGGATTCGAGTCGAGGGAGGGGTATGGGAGGGTTTGGCAGAAGGAGGATGGCAACACTATGTCACCCCACCGAGACATCTCGCCGAGCAGGCCGCTGCGGCGCTGCGAGCCGTGTCCTATCCTGATGAGTACGAAGCCGAGGACAGTCGACCACGCATGTCTTCGCCCATCATCGTCATCCAGCCCTCGCAGCCCGGCAGGCGCTCTACCACTACGACGCCCGCAGCCGGCCCCGCCCCACCCCTTCCGCAAGAATCCACGCCAACGGCGGCAGGCGCCAACACTTCCTCCGAACACATCATCTCCACGCTACAACGTCAACTTCGGGAGCTCGAATCCCGACTAGAAGACGAGCTCTCCCGCAGTCGCATAGCCGCCGTAAGTCCCGCCGCCAGCCGCAGGGATCGCAGCGATAGACCTGCGGAGCAGCCCAGCGCTACCTCTCCGCTCTCACCAGCGCGACGTCCCCTCCCTGCAGTACAGTCAGTCGCGCCCTCGGCTTCCATGCTGGGCGTGGCGCAGGAAAGTCATCCGATTCCTGCAGCGTCTGGCTCGCCGCTGACTGACGGGCTGAGCCCGCAATTATTGGAGCAGCACGAGGACTTGGCTAGGCGGGTAAGAGGGGGAGCGAGAACGAGTGGAGCAACACAACCCACGATACGGGATGTGGGGACGGTCCCGTTCCCCTCGTCATCTCGTCCCCCTAAGAACAGGCCAAGACATAGCGCGAGAGAGGAGCGACGTCGATACCATGAGGACGACTATTCGCCTACGGTCGTCGACGAGTTCGGACGAACAGCCCGTCCCTTGCCGTCTGGCGGAGGCGGGGCATCGCGATCCATGCCATTGAAGGGCGATCGTGACCGTGAGCGACAACGACCCCATCGCTATGATGACGAAGAGGAGCCGTCCCACTCTTATCACTTGCATCGCAACAACAGTGGTGGAGCAGGAGCGCGCAGGCAGGATCTCGAGCTCGACGTACGCGCCACAGAATCGAGGAGACGCGACTACTACCCACGCGAGCCAGAGGAGGAATACTACGAGGATCCGCCCTCCCGCTCCACTCGGTATGGCTTCCCTCGACGAAGCCAGGGAAGTAGGAGATACGACCGCGACTACGAGCGCGACTACGACCGCGACTATAACTACGAAGAGGCCCAAGACCTCGAGCAGTCAGATCGCTACTATTCTGTTGATCCCACCCGCTCACGACGAGGTCATCATCGACGTCCTTCCTCCACTTCACAGCGCGGTGCTGCCCCTCCAGCTGCGGCTCTCGCACCAGCTCCCACTACCTCATCTCGTCGTGAACATGCCGCCGATCCCAGCGCTGCGATGGGGAGTGGCAGCACAAGAAGGCAGGGTAGAGCATCAGGAGGCCCCGCTTCTGTGCCCGTCCCGGTTCCCGTGGCTACTGAGGCGGCGCCCAAGAGGGGAAGCGAGCTGTCAACGGGAGGAAGTAAAGCTGGGTATCAGCGGAAGGACATTTTGGTTTGGAGGGTGGGGTTGCGTGGTGAGGGTGAGGGTGAGGGTGAAGAGGGGGAGGGGGAGGGGGTGTAGGGAGTGGGTGGGGAGGTTTAGTTGGAGCGGAGGATCCGGGGGAAGGGGCGATGGTGATGACGATCGAAGGGAGGGGAGGGAAGGGTGGAAGAAAATCGAAAGGGGATAGGCATCGTCGTGGCCGGGAAAGTAAGGGGAAAATTCCTGTATCGCGCTGAGCACCCGAAGTTGACTCGCGCTTGCCTCCGTCTCTCTGTCGTCTTGCAATCAGATTGAATCGAATCGATTGAACTGATATAAATTGATCGCTCGCACTTGCGTGCGTGCGTGAATGAAGAAATCAACGAAGGAAACATCGTATCATCGACCCTTTACCCTCTCCACGTATCCATCGTACAAGGCAGCCACAAAGTCCTTGTCCGTATGGATCAACTGGAGAATCTCCCGTACAAAGTCTCCCTTGCTCATCATCATCATCGCTGGCGTCGTGCTCTCGCTCCCAGGAGCTGTCTCCTGGCTGGCTTGAGAACGATGCGCCTCGTGCGCGTCGAGTAGCACGGAGGATGCCGTTTGTGGGAAGGAGGCTGTGGCAGTACCATTTGTCGAGGTATGTGACTTTGACTTTGTCTTGGGCTCAGTCTTGGACGCAGCTGCAGGTGCAGGTGCTGGTGGTGCAGAGGATTGCGTGACCTGTTGCTCCTTTGACTTCTTTTCCTCCTCCTCCTCCTTCTTTCCTGCCCCAGCCCCTCCTCCAAGACCAAGCATGGCCATCAATCCAGCAGCGGCCGAGTCATTCTTCTTGTTCTTTGCCTCATCTCTGGGCGACGCCGTTTTCTCCTCAACTACTGCTGGTGGTGCTGATGGTGCTGCTGGCGCTGCTGCTGGCTGCGCGCTCTTCTCCTCCTGCTGCTTCGTCTGAGGCTGTGACTGAGACTGAGACTGAGACTGAGATTGGAAGATGGCGTCCAGCAGTGAAGCGCCGGATCCGGGGAGCTGGCTCGGCTGTGCCTGCGATGAAGCTGGCGGTGTAGGAGCGAAGGCAGCTGCTGCGGGTGGTTGGGAAGGGGCTGAGCTGCTAGAGGAGGAGGAGGAAGCTGAGGCGAAGAGGGCGTCGAGGGAGATGCTTTGCGACGGTGGTTGCTGCTGGTGGTGCTGCTGCTGCTGTAACGGTGCAGAGGTGGTAGAGGTGATTCCCGCCGGCTCTTGACCGTCCTCTTGCTCAGCAAGGGTTTGCAATCTAGCGAAAAGAGGAGGTAGCAGGTCAGCAACTTGCCCCCATTTGCGGTAACCGCACCGCACCGCGCCCGAACGCACCTAATCATCTCATCCCCCATGGCGACTCTCTGCTCCTTCTCAAAGACCCAAATACCGACGACGCGATCCCCATCCCCATCTTCCTCGTCATCTTCTTCGTCATCGTGATCCCCTTTTTCACCGCTCGTCGACCTAAAAATGACAAAATCCTCGCTCACCTCCAAATCGTCTTCCCCCCTTATACTACTCGCCCAATTCTCCACCCCATTCCTATTGAGAACAAAAGCCCCATAAAAAGGGCTCTCACTGCGCTTGAAGAGGAACATGGGACCTTCTATGCCCGTCTTTGTCCATGAGCTCGAAGAGGTCGAGTATTGGTAGAGGACGACGAAAGAGGCAGAGTAGAGGATGGAAGAGATGCTGGCATCGTGTCGACGGAGGACTTTGATGTTGAAAGCGTGGCGGGCTGAGTCGTGCGCGGACGGCGGCGTTGAGCCTGACATTGAGGAGGTTGAAGCGGTTGCCATTGTGAGATTTGTTGATGTTGATGATGAAGTTGAAGGAAAGGGAAGGCAAGGTAAGACGTGTGCCGCCGCCCTTCGTCCTTGTATGCCGCCTCGACGAACGAGCCTCGAAGCGGTCGCCTGAGCGCTCCGCCCTTGAGTCGCAGCCGTCACGCTGACGTAATCCACGTCGACTGGGACGATTTTTCCAACTTGTAGGATTGGTATCCGCCCCTCTGCGCTTCCGTTTTTGGCTGCGCATCATCTTTGGCTGTCGCGCTTTGCTTTTCTCTATCCTCCTCCTCTCCTCCTGTTACCTTGATTCTTTCCTCGCGTCGCCGCCATGGTCCGCTCCTACTTACGGCACGAACCCACCTCAGCCTTCGGTGTCGTCACGTCCCCCTCAGCTCGCTGCCTCCTCTCCTCGGATGGGAAAACGGCGTATGTTGCTGCGCTCGAAGATGTATTAGTCTGGGATGTCCGCCGCGGTGAGCAGGTGGCGATGTGGCACGACGTAGGGCTTCGCAGCCCCGTGACAGCTCTTGTACGCTCTGTCGCTAGCCCATCGACATTCGCCGTAGGTTACGAGGATGGATCGGTGCGAATCTGGGAAGAGGGAAACAGCGAAACGCCCAGCGTTACTTTCCATGGACACAAGCGCGCAATCACCGCCATGCACTTCGATGAAGCTGGGATGCGACTCGTCACCGCTAGTCAGGATACGACGTTGATCTTGTGGGATCTAGTGGCGGAGAGTGGACTTTTCAGACTAAAGGGACATAGAGACGCCATTACGGATGTGGCATTCGTTCCCACCTCGTCGCCTTCGCCTTCGACGTCACAGGTCGCCTCTTCCTCTTCCTCCTCCTCCTCGCCTCGCACGCGCAACAACACCCACCTCCTCTCAACAAGCAAGGACGGTCTCCTCAAGCTGTGGGACATCGATCTGCAGCAATCCATCCAGACAGTCGTACCGGGAAAGGGAGAGCTCTGCAGTCTAGCCGTACTGCCCATCGAGGCGGGGGACGCCCTTCTGCTCACGGGCAACTCCGAGGGACAAGTAAAAGCTTGGACCCTCTCCGGTGAGGCACTAGCATCTGGTCTGGCACAGACTGGGTCCAGTGAGGAGGAACAGGTGCGGTTCATTACTGCGCTGGGCCAGATCGAGGTGGCGAGCAAGAGAAGAGTCACACAGATGAGCTTCAATGCTGCTTCTTCGCCAGGGAATGGGGCTTCGGCTTCGCATCTAGCCATAACTAGCTCAGATCGCAGTGTGCAGATCTTCAGGTTGAGGGAAGAGGAGGAGATGCGACGCAAGATGGCAAGAAGACAGCGCAGGATCAAGGAGAAGGCAAAGGGAGCTAGTAATGGTACAGCCCTAGCGACTGGGGAGGACGACGAAGTGGCGCAACCCAAGGTTACATGGCTAGACCGCATCGAGGCGTACACCATTGTGCGCCCAGAATCGGGGAGACTCAGGAGCTTCGCCTTCCCCAGCGATACCAGCGGCACTAGCGGCACATATTCGTCCTCCTCCTCCTCATCATCCGGCCTCCCAATCCTCTGCGCAACATCCAGCAACTCTCTCGAAATCTACTCCATCCCTCCTCCCCCTTCCAAGTCGGCAAAGAAAGCCCTCCCCTCCACGGGCACGGGCACAGGCAACCCAGAGGCGACCCTCTCCTGCACCCTCGACCTCCCAGGACATCGCAGCGAATCCAGGGCAGTCGCCCTCACCTCAGACGACTCCCTCCTCGCATCTGCCGACTCCACCGGCCTCCTCAAAGTATGGAACGTCGCTACCAACAAGTGCGTGCGCACCTTACTCTTTGGCGGATCCATCCCTGGGTCAGGGTACGCCTTGTGCGTCTCCTGGCTACCGGGGGATAGGTACGTGCTGGTGGGTTGCAAAGATGGGAGTTTGGTCACCTTCGACGTACCGGCGGGGGAGGTGGTGGAGGTCATCAAGGCGCACGATGGACCCTTATGGAGCGTCGCCATCCACCCGGATGGGATGCGCTGCGTGACTGCTAGTGCGGATAAGGACGTCAAATTCTGGGAATTCGAGATGCGCAGCGCTGAGACAACGCAGACTCAGACGCAAGTAGAGCAGCCCAACGACTCGGATGACGAGGAGTCTCCTCGTCCTCGACCCTCAGGCCCTCCGCGTCTCTGCCTCGCTCACACGCGCACCCTAAAAATGACAGACGAAGTCCTCTATGCCCGTTTCTCCCCTCAAGACGGGAAACTTCTAGCCCTCTCCCTTTTGGACAATACGGTGAAAGTCTTCTTTACCGACTCTTTGAAATTCTTCTTGAGTCTGTATGGTCATAAGTTGCCTGTGTTGGCTTTGGATATCAGCCAGGATGGGAAATTGTGCGTAACGTGTTCGGCGGATAGGAATGTTAAGATTTGTGAGTACGACGCGGGGACGCCCCACGAAGAAGAAGAAGAGAAAGTAGAAGGATGTGTAGAGCTGACCACCCCCCTTCCTCCCTCGCTCTCTCCGCTCGCTCGCCAGGGGGTCTCGACTTCGGAGACTGTCATCGCTCCCTCTTCGCTCACAGTGACAGCGTCATGTCCGTTGCCTTTGAGCGCGGAATGCAAGGCGGTGGGTTGCTTGGCGGTCGCGAGGGAGCTTCACACCACTTCTGGACGGTAGGGAAGGACGGTCTCGTCAAGTACTGGGATGGGGATCGATTCGAGCTCATCCAGACCATGGAGGGGCACCATGGTCCCGTGTGGGCCTTGGCTGTCGGCCATGCGGGGACCAAGGTGGTGAGCAGTGGGGCGGATCGTAGCTTGCGCGTCTGGGAAAAGGGGGAGGAACCCCTCTTCCTCGAGGAGGAGCGCGAGAGAGAACAGGAGCGTTTATTGGAGGAGGCGGATAGGGAGGAGAGGGCCAGGCAACAGGGTCACGTAGGCGCTGTAGGCTCTTTGGTGGGGGGGAGCGGTGCGGATGGGGCACCCCAGCAGGAAGAGCCGGAGAGCGGGGCAGTCACGAACGAGACGACGGGCAGTCTCATGGCGGGGGAGAGGCTCATGGAGGCACTAGACGTCGCAGACGCGGAGGTGGCACAGAGGGCCGAGTGGATCAAGTTGGGCAAACGTGGACCGCCCCCGCCACGCAATGCGTTGATCACCGCAGCGCTGGGCCCCTCAGACTCGGAACAGGACGAAGAGGACTCGGCCGCCGCCCATCAGTACGTCCTGCGCGTCCTCCAATCCATTCCGGCAGCACAATTGGAGGACTCCCTCCTCGTGCTTCCATTCGAAAAGGTCGTCTCCCTCCTCACGCACATGGATTCTCTCCTCTCCCAGACACCCGGCAGAAGCACCGTCAGTATCGTCCCCTTGCTAAGTCGTACCATCACCTCGTTACTTCGCGCCCATCACGCGCACATAGTCTCTCATCCACCAAAGGGGCTACGTGCCGCTCTGTCCCGGATTAGGGGGAACATGGGGCGAGCCTTGAGGGAGGAGAAGGCCCTTGTGGGGTATAATGTTTGTGGGTTGGCGGCACTCAAGGGTAGGGCGAGGGAGAGGCGGAGCGCTAGGAGGTTTGAGGAGGGGGGGTTTGGTGAGGTGCAAGGCGAGGGGGAGGGGGATGAGGTGGATGGGGGGACGAGGAAGAGGAAGGTCACGATTAAGTAGGCGAGGCGAGAGATGGGGTCTGAAAGAGGTGAGCAGAGCAGCGCAGGGCAGGGCAGAGCGTCGCACGGCGTTGATCGCATCGCAGAAAAGTAATTACATAGCATAGCATAGCATAGCATGAAGATGTAGATGAATGAAAGAGGGGATAAGGAAATGATGCCACGGAAGCACGATGAAAGTAATGACGATGATGCTGTCTGTCTGATGTGTTCTGGCTTTGCCTGAAACGAAGTAAACTCCTTGACTCCCACCCCTCCGCTCCTCCGGCTACTCCTGCCTCCCACCAACAGGCAGCGCATCCAACTCCATCTCGTCTGGCTCCCGCTGTCCCAGACCACCCTGCGCTGCTGCCACCACGGTCCCATTGGCAATCGCAGCGGAACTAGGCGACGAGCTAACCGTATTGCGTCTCTTCCGAGTCGCCTGCCCATCATCGTCGCGCTCAATAGTTGCTGCCCTTTCCCTTCTATCTTCTTCTCTACACACCTCCCCCCCTGCCCCCGCTGGTGGGGCCGACTGCTCCTCCTTATTCGCCGTAGCAAGGCGGGGAGCAGTGATAGTCGCAGTTGCGGCCGGCTGAACCACTTTGGCAGCGTGTCGCGAGTTGATGTTGGAGTGATGGCCATTCGTAGCACCAGCAGCAGCAGAGTGGGGAGGCGGAGTGTCGACGGCGTCCTCTCCTCCTCCCCCTCCAGCTTCGGAGCCATCCCGAGCGGCCTCGCGTTGAAGCCACAAGTTCGTCTCGAGCCGCATGCGCTTCCAGTACTCGTCTACCAGGGCACAATGTTGCCGCGAGAGGGATAGGTCCCCCACCCCCGCCCCATCTCCGCGACTCTGTTCGACTTGATCCAGTACATGCCGGGCAAAGTGGGAAATATACTCTGCTTGCTCCGCCGTCTCGATTGCCTTTGAGCTCCTACGTAATCGAACGACCTGCAAGGCCTGCCACATCATCTCGGCCTCGGGCCACATGCTGCCGCGAATCGCACATTCCGAGATTGGGCGATGTTCGTCTACGAAGCCCATCTTGATCAGCCAACAGGCGGCCACCAGCCCCGCCCGACCCACGCCGCCTCGACAGTGCACGAGGACGTTGATGCCCTTGAGGGTACAGTGCGTTATGATCTCGTCGAGCCAGTGGGAGAGGGAGGACGTCGAAGTGGGACAGTTGCCCTGTAGCGTTGCGTGGGGAGAGGGGGACGAGGGGACGAAGGGACGAAGGGGTTTAGCTCTGCCCTCTCACATCCACGCGGAGGAGGCGGGAGTCCAATCGCGATACTCACCTCGACCATGGGTACCCTCACCAAATCCACACCCAACGCATCCGCCTCTCTCACATACTCCTCCCACCTAACCCCAATAACCCCCAACTCGGCATCGCTCAAACAACAGACCAAAGTCCCCACTCCCAACTCCTTGAATCGCTTCAGATCAACACCCAAATCACGACAAACCGCCCCGCGTCCCCTGACGGCTCCTGTGAGCCTTACCTTCTTCCCCGGGCAGGAGGAGAGGAAAAGATTGCCAATCTTGAAAGAGGCAGGAGCGGGCGGGTGGGAGGCGGCACGACGGGTAGACCAACGTGCGCCCGATGCAGGGCCGGCGAGGGAGCGAGAGGCTGCATACTCCTCGTCGCCTGGGTAGCGGAAGGATGGTCCGTGCAAGTCGGGGGAGCGCCAGGGTAGCTCGTCATCCGTTACTACTGCAGCTATGTTGACCACGGGGGGGATGCGTGCTGGCAGCCCGCTTCTTCTCGCCGAGGCACTTTGATCCTGTTCCTCCTCCTCCTTCGCTTTGCCTGGCCAGGGTAAGCGCCTCTCGTCCTCGTTACACCAGTATGCCAGCAAGGCGGGGTCAACCCGCCCGACCAGCTGCGCGTATACATGCTCCCTGATCCAAGGCATGAGGTTGTCCGGTATCAGCACAGAGACGGTGATGGGGTTGGTGTGCGATGTAGCGGCGGCGATGCCCGCTGGAGGTTGTGGCTGTTGCTGACTAGCAGGCGCGACGGGCTTCACGGCATCCTTGACTGCCTGTCGACCCATTGCTTGGGGTTGCTCCAGCTCTTGGTCTATGACCTCCTCGTCGGGGACAGCGACGGAGACCGTGGGAGGGTTGGCGACAGAGACTGCCGTTCCCGCGGCTGATGCTGATGCACCAGCTCCAGAGCCGTTGCTGGAGGAGGCGCGCAAGGCGGCAGCATGTGCGTCGAGCTGGCGCTGTGTTGAGGCGATGTTGCGCCGCTGGGCCAGCCAGAGGAGGGCGGCGGATTCTTGAGCTTCTTGATCTTTGCGGGATGCTTGGAATTCGGCGGGGTTGGTGATGGCGAATGGGCTGTGCGTATTCGCGGGCCAGATGATGAGAGGAGAATGGTCAGTGCATGGCTCGTCGTGCTCGCCTGCTGCTCCTCGCAAGCGTCAACGCACACATAGGGGTGGGGTGATCCCCATTCTCCGTACTTGACTCTGAGAGGGAGCGCGAGCAGGAAAGATGAGCTGGTCAGCCACGCGCGCGCCTACGTCTGGCTCTCGCCGCGTACCCACTTGTGATACATCGAATGCGGATTATGCGAGGCGAACCCTGCGAAATCGTACAGCTCATTCTGTGGGTTCGTCCCGTGCATCCTACACCACTTGTCCCACTGATCCTGAAATCTCGATCTCTCCAGGTAAAATTCGGTGGGAAAAGCCTTGCGATTCTTTGAGGCGCAGACCTCCTCCTCCTGCTGTTCCTCGCCTTGCTGCTGCTGCTGCGATGACGAGGCGGAGGCCTGACTCCCGTCCTCGCTGCGAGAGGCAGAAGGGGAACGATGCTCGCTCTCTGCTTCTGCCACGCCCGTGAAGATGCCCAGTACGGGGGCACGTTCAGGCGACGAGGAGGCGGAGCGTCCGGTGCGTCGCCTTAGCAGAGCCTTATGTCTATTCCTCCGCTGCTCCTCGAGATGTTGCCCAAATATAATCCGGTCTTGTAGCCCTCTATCCCACTTCGTCCTGACCAAGAACTTGAAGCACAGCATCTCCGCGGCGCTTCCCATGGGCAGGAGGTCGAACTGGGCAGCCAGGTCTGATCGCCAGAGGTAGATGGCCGAGGGTGAGGGGAGGGAGCCGCTGTTGTACCAGGGTGGGGCGCGGAGGCAGGAGAGGGAGGAATGGGGCTTGCGCAGCGCGAGGTTCAGGGTGGGCTTGATCGACACGAAGCGGTCCCATGCTTGATGCTCGGCGGGCGAGGACTGCTGGCAGCGCGAGGGGGTCGAAGGGTCAAGAGGCTCGAGGTGGGCATGCCAAAGGTCCGAGACGAGGCCGAGCGTGGGGACTGCGCTCGGTGTGCCGTTGCCGTTGCCATAACCATTGAGCGTAGCATGCTTGGAGCCTGGAATGGGGGCGTCGACGTCGGGCGCGGTCAGGTCTGTATCAGATGAGCCTCCCGTCGATGGGGAATTGCTCGAGCGCTGAGCGGCTGCGCCTACATCCACATCGCCTGCTGCTGTCTCGCCGTTGGTACGAGGTGCGAAGGAGTTCATGCCCAGGTGGCGGCGTCGAGGACGAGGTGACGAGGGTGATGGGATGGGCCGCCTCTGTGTCTAGTATCGCTGTTGAACGGCTTGCATTCGATGGCGTTTGCAGCTGAGGCAGAAGGAGGGAGTGGAAGAGGGTGGCGAGGCCGGCAGGAGAGGGACGGTGTGTTGGAGATCGCGGCGTCTACTTTGGTCACACACGATACGAAGCAAAGGAGAGGAAAGGGGGGAGTAGGGCAAAGACGTCGACGCCGGAGTCGATGCCAATGCGATGCGATGTTGGTACGGGCGGAGAGAGGTGGTGTGGTGTGGTGTGATTGAGGAGACGACGACTACTATAATTGTCCGCTACGTGGGGGGCGCTGGCTTCTCGACTCGACAGTCACTCACTCGGATCGATGGATGGACGACGGTCGACCCCTGCTGCTGCCTCGCCCTCGCCACTCTCGCAGCCAGCCTCTCCGTGTATGCGTGCGTGCGTGCGTGCGTGTGCGAGCCTGTGCGTGTGTGTGTCGTGTTCCCTCGTCCCGCGAGGCTGCAAGTCGATCTGATCTGCAAGGCCGGGGGGAACCGACGCTGGCTGGCTGGCTCGCTGCGCTGCCTTGTGCGTCGTTGCAACAAGTGACACCAACACGAACCAAGGGCGGGTAGGATGGAGGTGGTCTTGTCTTGATGGCAGTTGCGATGTTGCAAGCCTCGATGCCGACGTTGATCCGAGTCGAGCGACACTTGCACTTATCGAGATGGAAGAGCAAGAAGCGGCTCCCGAATTGAGTGAGGGGCCCTCTCGTCTGGCTGTATGCTAGCCCCAAACAAAGCCCAGTTTAGTTCAACTCAGCGCATGGCCTCGCCAAGTGTATCGATGGTGACGGTAGGGCGGGGACAACTCCTCCCTGTCCCACGTCTGGCGGCACATCATCGCTCGACCCTCGCACCAATGTGATGCCGTCGTCTCTCGGGCTGGTAGACTAGCAGGGCGCGGACGCCACGCGAGCGAGCAACCAAGCCAGCCTCGAGTCAAAGGCAGAGAGGGTCACGCAAGGGCTCGCCCTACTTCCGCCTTTTCGGTTGAAGCGGCGGCGGCGCTCTTGCCGTCCCACGCCCTCGCCATTTCATTTCTTCTCACTCATACACTTCACAGCACAGCATGACCACTCCTACACAGGACAGCATTTTGTCCTCTGGTCCACCAGCTCACCTGCCACCTCCATCAGGGTCAGGAACACGGTCAGCCTCATCCTCAGCATCTACATCCACCGCACCCTCCTCTCTCTCTCCCCCGCAGACATGGATCGTCCAAAAATACGGGGGCACCTCCGTAGGCAAGTTCCTACGCGCCATCACATCCGAAATAGTCCCCTCGTACCTCGTCTCCTCACCCTCGACCCGCCTAGCGCTCGTATGCTCAGCCCGCTCCGGCTCCACAAAGGCGAGGGGGACTACCAACCTACTCCTCACAGCGGCAGGGCAAGCCTTGGCGCTGGATGCTGCCGGGCAGGACCTGGCTAGCTCCGTCTCCGGGATGACTTTGGCCAGAACGCCGTCTGCTAATGGGGAGGGAAGCTTGAGCAGCTCGACGGGGAGCTTGGGCAGTGATTCGAGTGCGGGCACCACGCAGACGTCGGCTGCTTTCGATTCGACGGTGGATATATTGCTTCAGGAGCATCTAGGAGCGGTCGAGATTGCCGTCACTCATGATGTGGAGCTGCGCAAACGATTAGAGGCGGACGTGAGGGGAGACTGTGATCGTGAGTGTGCGCTGCGGCATAATCTACTCAAGACTGTTCCGACCTCTGCCCAAGAGGAAAAGCCCTGACGCTCCCTCTGCCCACTTGTCCTCTCACGCCCAGGCCTTCGCCAGTTCCTCCTCGCCGCCCGTATAATCGAGGAGATCTCTCCAAGATCAAAGGACATAATTCTCTCTCTTGGCGAACGCCTCTCCTGTCGTCTAGTCGTCGCCTCCCTGCAAGACCTGGGAATCCCCGCAGAGCTGGTAGGGTTGGAGTCGGTGATTGATGCAGCCTTCTTGGAGGAGGTGGGCAAGAGGCGCGCATCGCCCGGTGGAGGTGTGGGTGGAGTTGGAGTGGGGGAGGAGAATCAACTGGACCAGCACTTTTACGACCTCTTGGCAGAGCGACTCGGAGAGCGATGTAGGAATGCACAAGGCGTGCCCGTCGTCACTGGGTACTTTGGTGCCGTACCGGGCTCGCTGCTGCAGCAGGTTGGAAGAGGTGAGTGCGCGCATCGTGTTGCCTGAACAACCTAGCTTCAATCCACGATCTGACCACCGCATCTTTTCGCCTCGCCGCCAGGGTACACCGACCTCTGCGCCGCTCTCTGCGCTGTAGGGCTCGGAGCTCTGGAACTCCAGATATGGAAAGAGGTAGACGGAGTCTTTACGGCTGACCCTCGCAAAGTCTCGACTGCGAGGCTCATTCCCTCCATCACGCCCGAAGAGGCCGCAGAATTGTACGTCCCTGTCCTCGCGCGTACACTCGCAGGCCGCAACAGACCTGCCCAGACTGACGCTCCCGCCCCCGTTTTCCCTTGTCCTCCCCCCCGCGCCGCCGCCGCATCGCCAGGACATACTACGGCAGCGAAGTGATCCACCCCTTCACGATGGAGCAAGCGATCCGTCGTCGTGTACCCATCCGCATCAAGAATGTAGAGAACCCAAGCGGAAGCGGGACGGTCATCCTTCCGGACTCGGAGGAGCCGGAGCGGGATCATTTGGTCGAGGGACACGTAGCACAACCGCAGACTCCGCTCACGAGTGGAGCGAATACGCCTGCGCGAGCGACGGGAGCCGGGGGAATGCCCTGGGGTGCTGCGGAGGGGGCTTGGCCCGGGTTGGAGTTGAGTGGGATGGCGGGAAGTGGGGTAGGGGGAGCCGGCGGGGCCCAGCAACAGCAGAGAAGATTACCGACTGCCGTTACGATTAAGGTGCGTGGCCACAGGAGCGCGAGGAGGCTTTTCCCCCCATGATTGCTAACCATGTTGACCTCCCCGCCCTGCTCACACGCACCTACGTACAGGAAGATGTCCTAGTCCTCAACGTCCATTCGAACCGCAAGACGCTTTCCCACTCCTTCTTCTCGCGCATCTTCTCCACCCTCGACCGACACCACGTAGCCGTGGACCTCATCTCGACCAGCGAAGTCCACGTCTCCATGGCCATCTCTGCCGCCTCGTTGCGTCGCCCCTCCCGCACGCTCGACCTAGTCTGCTCCGAGCTCGGCCCCGTAGGAACCGTATCCGTCTTGCGGGACATGGCGATCCTCTCCCTTGTAGGGAGACAGATGCGACATATGGTAGGCGTGGCGGGTAAGATGTTCGCCACCCTGGCCGAGGGCGGAATCAATATCGAGATGATCAGTCAGGGGGCCAACGAGATCAACATCTCCTGCTGCATTCATGCAAAGAGCGCTCTCAAGGCTTTGAATCTTATTCATTATTCGGTGCTAGAGGTGGGCGGGCCGGCGGGAGTGGGGGTTAAGCCGGTGGGGATGGAGAGTGGGAATTTCGGGAGGAGCTTTGTGTAGGTGCGGGCGCGAGGATGGATAGATAGAGTGCTCACAATCAGATCTTACTCGTTATTGCTGTTCGATGAGTGATCCTTACCATCCGTACCTGTCAATCGTCGATCGATCGTGTCAGTCGCGTTTCTCTCTCAAATGATGGCGGCCGCCGCGGCCCAAGCCCCCCTCCCTGCTTGAACGCCGTTGTTCCCCCCTCCCGTCGGGCTCTGCTTGGTGAGCGGGCGAGCGAGAGAGAGCGCCGCCTGCGTCTCCTCACCGCACAGAGACGCAGCAGGCGGCGAGGGAGCGGCGAGTTGGTCTTTTCTGTGGTGCGAGCCGGCGGGGCGCGGAGGTGGCTGTCGAAGAGGCTGGCTGGGCTAAGGCCGAGGCTGACGACGAGACAGGAGAGGGAGCGGACGGGGGGCTAGTCTCACGTCGCAGGCAAGTCTGTAACGCGAGGCTGCGTTTCACTTTCCAACACGCCGTGCGAGCGAGAGAGACGCACACACAGAGAGAGACTCGCCTTCCTTTCGTCTCATCATCACCATCATCGCCTCTTTCCCTCCTTCTTCCTCTTCGTCACTCTTCCTTCTTCTCACACTCTTTGCTATAGCGCGCCGACTCTGTTCGTTGTTGCGCCTCGCTCCCCCCCCTTTCCCTCCCGGATCCACGCTCCCTCGTCGCCTCACTTCTTGATCTCTCCTTGGTAGGAGGCATCTGCGCCCGCCCGCCCAAGCAAGCTCGCAGCGTACTCTGCTGCTCGTAGCTACGATCTCGGTCTCTCTGTCATCTCGCTCGTCTTCACGATCCTGTTTACGACATACACGACAAGCAAGCGGCTGCGCGAGATCCTGGACGACCAAGTCTCTCTGCTCTGCGCTGCTGCGCCTTTGTACTCCTCCTGAGCTCAACAGGGACAGCCTCCCGCCGCCGCCGCCCCGATGCCGATGCGCAACAGTGACTTCACAAAGTCCTTTGTCCGCAAGCCCGGCTCTCGTGCCACTGGCGGTGACACATCAATACCGATCCGTACAGAGGCTCCACCCCCTCTACGCCAGCCAACACGCATAGCGCGCTCCAAGACCTTGACCCGCCCTGAGCGATTTCAGCCACAAGTTCCACTCATCAATCCGCAAGAGGGTCCTGCCTCAGGGAAATCAGAGCCTGGTTCACCGACATGGCGCATCTTTTCGCTCCTTGTTACCTTTTGGGCTTGTAGTCCGTGCATGAAGGCGTGTGGGATCAAGGATCGACCCAGCCAGCAGGCGTGGAGGGAAAAGGTGGCACTGGTATTCCTTGCGCTGTGCATGGGCGGGTTTGTGGGGTTCATCACCATGGCTCTGAACCGTGTACTCTGTCCCGTGTCTGTCTCGGCGGACTCGACGTTGTTCGATCGGATTGGTAGCGGCAATAGCGCGGCGTTGGGCATTCAGGGCTGGTGAGTTCTGCGGCCAGAAAGCAGGCGGAAACGATGCGCCCTCTGCGGGCGGTGATACTGACCTCTCATCCCCTCCCCACTCTCGCTGCTCGCAGGGACTTTGACGTCTCACAAGCCAAGCTGCCAGGCGCAAACGACGTCGGAGTCAATCTATACACGATGGCGTCGACGCTCTCGGGCTTCGACGTCACTCCCCTCTTCACTCGCACCGACTTCCCCGCCTGCGCAGGCAAGACGGCCGCCTACGCCACGGCGGACAGCTGTACGCCTGCTGAAGCTGGGCAGGCTAAATGCCCGCTCGGCGCCCTGACTACGGCGCACCTCGCTGAGCTCAAGCTCACCAACATGACGCGCCGCGTGGGGTACGGATGGGACGATCTGGGCAACGCCACCTTCCGCAACTACATTGTGCTGGACGGCAACGTGCTCAACCTCACGCCTTATATCAATGCTCACCCAACCGCAATCGCAAATGACAAGGTCGATCTGGCTATCCGCACGCAGCTCACCAGCATCGACGCAACGGGCGGGCGTGATGCGACGAAGCTCTTCTACTCTAGCAGCGAGACCAAGGACGCTGTGCGCTGTCTGGTGCAAAAGTACTACGCGGGACACATAGACAAGGTATCGCCGGGCTGTTTCGTGTCGGACCTGTTCCTCTACGTCTCCCTGGTCATCATCCTCGGCCTGGTTTTCGTCCGCTTCCTCATGGCCATCTTCTTCTCCTGGTTCATGAGTGCAAAGATGTCTGCCCCACCCAAAGAAGACGGGCGACGCAAGCTGGGGCACAGCATGCTGCCCAACGGGGCCATGAGTACCGTAGACGACGGCGGGGCGGCGCCGTGGGCTGGCGCGGGGGCTAAGCAGCAGCAGCAGCGTCGCCTCGTGTCGGATGCATCGTCGCAGGTGTCGAGCAACTTTGGGAGCGGGGCGCTCAACCGGCAGACGATTGGCAATGAGCCCTACATCATCTGTCTGGTGACGGCCTATTCCGAGGGCGAAGAAGGGATCAGCAACACCTTGACTTCGCTAGCAGAGTGCGACTACCCGGACACGCGCAAGCTCCTCTTCGTCGTGGCAGACGGTATGGTGACGGGGTCGGGGGAGAGCCAGTCCACGCCTGACATCTGCGTAAGTTTGCTCGAGGCGGACGAGCGCTTCGGCACTCCCATGCCCATGAGCTTCGTGAGCGTCGCCCAGGGCAAGAAGCAGCACAACATGGCCATGGTGTACGCGGGCCATTACGTGCGCGCAGGAGGGCATCGCACGCCGATGGTCGTCGTGGTGAAATGCGGGACGAGCGATGAGTTCAACGAGGCCAAGCCTGGCAATCGTGGCAAACGAGACTCTCAGATGATCCTCATGAATTTCCTGCAGCGCGTGACGTACAACGATCGCATGACCCCCTTGGACTTCGACCTCTTCCGCAAGTTCCAGGGACTCATGGGCGTCACGCCCGACTTTTTCGAGTTGATCCTCATGGTGGATGCGGATACCAAGGTGTTCCCGCAGGGGATGCGCAAGTTGTCCAATGCGATGATGCGGGACCATATGATTATGGGGGCTTGCGGTGAGACGAGGATTGCAAACAAGACGGCGAGCTGGGTGACGGCGATTCAAGTATTTGTGAGTAGCCCGGCGCGCGGCCGCGAGGGCAGCTGTGCACCAGGGCGCGGGCGCAAGGACGCGCACGCTGACTCTTCTTGTCTCCTCGCCACGCTGCGCGTACACCAGGAATACTTCATCTCACACCACATGGTCAAGTCCTTCGAGTCCGTCTTCGGCGGCGTCACCTGTCTGCCCGGCTGTTTCTCCATGTACAGGATCAAGGCGCGCAAGCCCAGTGACGATGACTGGGTGCCTATCATTGTCAAGCCCGAGGTGACGCGCGAGTACTCGCAGTCCACCGTAGTCACGCTGCATCAGAAGAACCTCCTCTTGCTTGGAGAGGACAGGTTCTTGACCACTTTGCTGCTTAGGACTTTCCCGAATCGCAAGATGGTCTTCGTCCCGCAGGCAAGGTGTAGGACTGAGGTGCCCCATACGTTCAAGATGTGAGTGTGCGAGGCGGGGGCACGAGAATCGCGAGCGTCGACAAAGAGGCCAAGCTGACCCTTTATCCTGGCTTGCTCGCACGCCCAGGCTCCTCTCACAACGCCGTCGCTGGATCAACTCGACGATCCACAACCTTATGGAGCTCGTCCTCGTCCGCGACCTCTGCGGTACCTTCTGCTTCAGCATGCAGTTCGTAGTCTTCATGGACCTAATCGGCACCGCCGTCCTCCCCGTAGCCATCTGCCTCACCTACGTACTGATCGTCTCGTACTGCCTGGACCCTCCGCACACCTTCTCGCAAGCCATCCCCTTGATGCTGCTCATAGCCGTCATCGGTCTACCGGCGGTGCTGATCCTCATGGCGACACGCAAGGTAGTCTACGTCATGTGGATGGGGGTGTACCTCATCTTCTTGCCGGTGTGGAACTTCATTCTGCCCGTGTACGCCTTTTGGCACTTTGACGACTTCTCGTGGGGAGAGACGCGTAAAGTCGAGGGTGAAGCCAAAGGGGCCGGGCATGGCGATGCCGAGGGAACGTTTGCGGCCGCTTCGGTGCCGTTTAGACGGTGGGAGGATTGGGAGAGAAGCAGGTTGAAGAAGCAGAAGCGCGAGGAGAAGCGGAGGAGAGAGATGGAGGAGCAGTACGGCGGGGAGTTCTGGAATGACCAGCAGCAGCGCGATGCCGGGGCGGGATTGCAGCCGAGGGGTAGGCGCGACTCGGACTCTTTCTCGGATACGACGCAAGAGGATGTGTGGGGTGCGCAGATCGGCGTGTACGAGGAGGCCGCCCCGCCTCCGACGCGAATCGTGCGTCACACGATGATCATCGACAGTAACGACGTGCTCGGGGCTGGGGAACTGGAAGCCATGTTGGAGAAGGAAGGCTTCGAGCAACCAGCAGCACCCAAGCGCGGAGCCAGTCGTCGAGCCAAAGGGAATGGACCGAGTGGGCAGCCCCTCGCGCCCAGTAGAGCACAGGCGCGCAGGTCGGTGCGTTTCTCGCAGGCTCACCCGATGCCGCAGCGTAACAACAACAATAGGCACGGCAACGGCAGCCCGACGTCAGCGTCATCGCCGCACCTCCACCCAGGCAACAACGGTCACGATGCAGACCCGTTGCGACGCACGCCCAGCCCCCTCTCCACTTTCACGCAGCACAGCACCAACTCCTTTGTGGCGTTGGGAGAGGAGGTCTCCCTCATGCGCGGCGTAGGCGGAGAACTAGGCTCGGCCACTTCTTCGCACGGCGGCTTTGCGCTCGAAGACCTGGGACCGCAGAGGGGCGTCGCCGGGTCGGGGCAGAGCAGTGCGACTAGTACTGGGGCGAGTCCCTACGGGTTCGCGGGGGGACAGCAGGGACATGCGAGACAGCGTAGTCAGGGGAGTGGACAGCAGTATCATCGCGTGGACCTGGGAGGGCGAGGGCCACCCCAAGGAGGAAGACGATGATGCGCGAAACTTGCTGGGATACAGCTTCCTCATCGTGATCCTGTCGCGCCCAGGCAGACGGGTGGTTGCTCATAGCCACCTAATTTGGATGCTTGTTTGGAATCGCACCTACCACGCCTTGCCTGCCTGCCTGCCTCACACCTTTGATCCTCGCTTTGGAATCTTGCCTTGCAATCGTGCCTTGCCCCACCCTTTCTCTCCTCTGCGTGGCGTCTTTGGCTTTTGGCTTCTGGCTCGTCCAAGGGTCCCCTCCATGCCATCCCGCCGGCTTGAATCCACGTCCTCGGCTTTTGCGCTTTTGCCTGTCGCTTTCGCTCGCTCGTCCTCTGCTGCCTGCCTGATGATGCGTGGAATGCTGCACGCAAAGCAATAGGCGGCAAGCGGGCGGCTGGGCGGAACTGGATGATGCATGACGAGAGTCGAGAGTGTGGATTCGAGGTCCGAGGCTTGGATGTCATGAGGCTGTTTGTTGCTTTCTCTCTCCTAGCTCCTCGTTCCTCGCTCCTATCCTTGCCACGATGCTACCACCTACTAGCACTTACGACAGCATACATTCAGCTCTCATCTAGATCGTGCGACCGCACAGCAGTATAGCACGACGTCGTGATGGCTGCATCGCCTCTCTCATCGCCCGAGCAGGGGCCAGTCGCCGAGCCCCTTTCCAGGCCTGCGACACCTTTCAGCTTGGGAACGGCACAGAAAGCGGCGCCACCATCATCGTCACATCAGTCTACGCGCAGGAACTCACACGCAATACCAAATGGCGGGAGCGGGATGGATCATCATCCGCACTCGCGCCCGCCTTCACGCTCAACGACGCCATTCGACTCTGCGCGCGTGCTCAACCTGCCCGAGGCCATTGGTGCAGGTGATACAACAACTTACCAAGAGGCTGGTGGCCAGTCAGAGGATGCAGGCTATAGAGACGGCAAGGAGTCTGGCGAATCATCTTCGTCGAATGGCGGGGAGAGAATAGACTACGTAGCCCTGTTACCTCAGAAGGCTTCCATCGACGAAGCCTCGGCAGCTATTGCCAAGTTGGACCGCATACAGACGGCCAAAGAGAACAAGCGCTGGTGGCTCAAGGCTACGGGGATGGGCGCGATCGTCAGGTCCAAGGATGGGCAGACGAAGAAGAAGGAGAGACGGCGAAGGAGAAGAAGAAGGGACGATTCTGCTTCTGGAGATTTGGAGATGGGGACACTTGCCTCGGGCTCTGGCTTGGCCTCGGCCTCGGCTTCCACCTCTCGCCTCGACCTGGATGAATTGCAAACACCGCAAGAAGTTCACTTGGGCATCACGAGCGTACCGGGCTACTCGGTCCTTGCAGTCAAGAAGGCGGCGAGCAAGACAAAGGGCGTGGCGGGGAGGGTGAGGGGTACGAGTCGCTACTTTGGCGCCAGATCGACCAGCCCTGATCTTGACCAAGAGGAGGAGGAGGATGACGAGCCGGATGAGACGGGGCGTGCTCACTCTTTGAGAGGGAGAAAATCGCCTCCTCCCGCCACGTCGGCGAAGCGCAGGGAATCGTTAGGCCACCGCTTGGCCTCGGTCAGACATCGCCCGACGCAGAGTCTGGATGGGGCGCTTCTCGCGGGGAATGGGGAGGCGCAGCAGCAGCAGCAGCGAGAAGGAGAGGCGAAGAGGCGCGGCAGTGAGGCTGGTGCGGCGACTCAACCACTCGTAGCACCTGCAACGTCACCACCTCCGACGGGAGCGGACACGGATCCAGGGCTGGGCGCGGTAGCAGAGGATCGACATCTCGAGGAGCAGGCGGACGAGACGATCATTGACAAGGAGCAAGCACGGCACTCCAAGCCGATCAAGCCGCGATTGAGGATTCCGACCTTCCACGTGCAGGAGCCCAGCAACCAGTCGGTCCTCGTCGACAATGACGGGCGCGATTCGCCTACCGTCAGGCCGGTCGCAACGCGTGGTGCCCTCTCATTTGGCTCGTCAAGTCGGGACGAGGAGAACGTAGAGCAGGATCTCCTCTTCACCTCCCCGATCGAAGATACGCAAATCCGTCGCTGGCCCTCCTCCACCTCCTCCTCGTCGAGCACGGCCGATCCCAGTCCAGGCGACAGAACGGCGGCCGACCTGACCCACTCGCGCGACTCGGCCTCCTCTTCGAGCGACGATGAGGGCGCTCTGGCCTCCCTGCAACTGGAGCACGGCCAATCCCTCACCAACAAAGAGCTACGCAAACAGCTCAAGCGCGATAAAGCCCTCCCGCGGGATTCGATGGGTCGAGCCACGAACCTGACGCACAAGGTATCGCGCGGTCTGCATTATGCGAGCAGCGAGAGTCGTAATCGACGGGCGATGGATAAATTCTCGCCGAACCAACAGCGCGGCGAGGCGCAGGCGCAGGCGCACGCACAGCAGCAGGGCAGAAGGGGGTCCATGGCTTCTATCCTCGAGTCGGGCGGGCTCAGCCGCGTCAATACATCGAGCAGCAGTGCGCGCAGGACGCCTACCATGGATGGCGGCGGCGGCGGCGGCGGCGGCGGCGGGTGGAACCCGACATTCAGCATGACGCGGGCCTCGCGAAGAGGCAGTACAACGACGGCCACGGCGACTCCCGCCGGGATCAGCACCGCCAACACGCCCGAGGAAAGCGATGCGGGCGACCCGCTCTCCCGCGCTGCCTCGCCTCCCGTGGCTGAGCCGCAGCAAGGAGAGGATCAGCTTAAGCGCACCACGACGCTCCAGAGCATGGCGAGCTCCACCGCCGAGTCGCAGTCGCATCTCCACGCCCCGCGCCCCTGGCACTTTCGTCAAAGGCATCGCTGGGCGAAAGCGCACGCAGACGAGGGAGCCGCCGTGCCTGGGGAAGTAGACGGGGAGGGCTCCTCCCCCCGCCACGAGGTCGAAGCCCAAGCCGACGCCGAAGCCGAGCTTCAGGACGTCCTCACCAAGCTCGCCGCCGAACAGGCCCCAACGCAGAGTGGCGTCCGCTTCGAATGGGACGTCCTTTACGAGAATCAGCGCGGCATGCTCTTCTTTGGCCTGCCCAAGTTTTCCGCTCGAACCCTCCTTCAATGGGATCCGGCACCTTGGGTCGATGCGAGGGGCCAGAACTCCCCTTACTCCATTGTGAACGCTCAATTGCCCGACCCGAGCTGGGGGTGGGTGTACCCTGAGTGGGTGATCGATATGGCGGGGGACGTGGATGAGCAGGGCTGGCAGTATTCGGGGAATTTCGGGAGAAACCCCTTTGCGGCGTTAGGCCACTTGAGACGTGGGAAGCCGATGGCCAAGGGGAAGGAGGCGGATATGGAGATGAGTCAGAGGTGGAAGGAGCGCGATGACGAGAGGCGCAAGAAGGAGAGACAGAGGGAGGATGAGGGCTTGGAGGCGTTGAAGCGCAGTATCAAGGCGAGGGGGAGTAAGTGGACCGGTCGGCCAGATCCTGGGAGCTTTGTACGACGGCGGAGGTGGATAAGGCTGCGCAAGCGTGCTGCGTTGGATACGCTCACCTCTTCTGCCCAAGCGGCCATGGCTCAGCAGCAGCAGCAGCACAACCAGGCGAGAGGAGGGGACTTGACCCATGGCCTGAAGTTCCCTTTGCACAACGAGGAGATGGGAGCGGACGACGACGACTCGATCAGTCTCTCGTCTAGCAGCGAGTCTGACTCGGAGATGGACGAGGAGGACACGGCCAGCTCGCACGACGACTCAAACTCCGATCACGATGCCGAGCGCGACCGCGAGCGCGACTACACGGGACCGTACGGCAAGCCTTCCGCCTTTCTTCCCCGTCGCACGGCCGGGCACCTCCAGAACGGTCCGGACCCGCTTGCATCTAGACGCTCGCGCTCCAAAGCAATTCGGCGACACCGCAAAGAGTTCACGGGGACGCTGCGCGAGTTCAAGACTCTTTTGCCTACCTTGCTCGGATGCGAGGCCAACAAGGGCGGGAGAGCAGAGGGGATGGGCATGGCCATGGGGACCATTGATGCGCGCAATCCGTTCTTGAGCTGGGCGTTCATACGACGTAGGTTGATGGACGACGATATGAGCTGGAAGACGACGAGCCTCAGGCAAAGGGAGAGGAGACATTTGCAACGGCACGGAGGACACCACCATCAGAATCACCAGGACGGCGAGGCCAGACGCCTCCCCTCGGCGTGGAGCCCGGCGAGCGGGGCCGGGGTTGAAACGCGCGATTTCGCTGCGTCCATGACCAGCGCGGGACGACGCTACTCCGAGTCGGGGGATCCTTCGCCCCTCTCCTGGGACCTGACGAGGGACGCACTAGTGGAGATCAACTTCATTCGCGTCAAGCGGGTGCTTCGCGCCTGCAAGGTGGACAGACAGCGACTCGACCTGTGGAGATGCTGGCTTGGCTCACCTGCTCCCACTGCCGCTCCTGACGAGCGCGACCATCACCACCAGCAGGGAGGTCCAACACGCTCCTTCTCTACTACCTCCACGATTCGACAGCCACGTCGTCAAGCAACGCAGCTCAATGCCCACCCGGACGCCAATGACGTCTGGGACGTGCTGGAGCGACGACTGGATGCTGTGCTATACCTCTTCGAGTACAATGCCTCGCGCGCAACGCTCTTGACCCTTCTACTTACGACGCACGATGCTGCCCACCCGACGCATCGTTATCGTGGGGGAGTCAGCGGAGGGGGCACGAGATACGGATTGCCGGACAGGGAGGGGCACTGCGTTCAGGTGAGGGCGCCGAGGGAGTTGGACCCGCTCCAGGGGAGGAGACGTGCTGAAGGTGAGGGCGGCGAGCAGGCTCAGATGGGTAGACCGCGCGAGATGGACTGGGTTGTGGGTCTTGCGGCGAGGCTGCAGTTCTACTCTGACGTGAGGGCGATTGCGGACGCGATTGAGGTGCAGCGACATGGCCACGGGCACGGTCGAGAGGAGAACGATGCTCGAGAGCACAATCACGGCCCGCGACGAAGCTCCACCGTCGCGGTAGGGGATCGAGCCAGCTCTAGCCCCAGTCCTAGCCCCAGCCCGAGCTTCGGGATGCGGGCTTCTACTCTCTCGCCTCCCCTATACATTCCCGGCGCAGGTTCAAGCGGAAGTAATAGCAGCTTCAATGCGGCGGCCGCGGAGGGCTCTGATGGCAGCAGACAAGACTCTCCTTCCCCTCAACCTCAACATCAACCCACGCACAGAGCTCCAACGCCGAGGAAAAGACCCTCCCACGCTGCGACGCATTCTATGGATTTGGGGATCAGCCCGCATCCGAGCTTCCTTCACGAGGAGCGGCGTGGCAGCACCGGCGGCGGCGGCGGCAAGTACGCAAGCACCTTGGGTCCTTCGTCTTCCTTTTCACTTGGGAACGGGCACGCCAAACCACAAGCCCATCTGGGCGGGGGCGGAGGCGGAGGACTGACCGTCCCCGCCGCTTCATCCGCATCGCGCTCTCGTTCGCCTCTGACCAGAGTGTGGAGCACGGCCACTACCGCTGCATCTGATGGCGGAGAGGACGACAACAGCGGCAGCAGTGTGCCGAAGGCATCGCCAACTTCGCTGACGGCTTCGTGCTCGCAGATAGAGGCTGGGCATGAGCAGGAGCCAACCAGCAGGGGGATCGAAGCCCTTTTGGCCGAGCAGAGCCGCGTGTTGAATGGCGCCAAGGGCGCGGGGGCTGCGGGTGGGAAGGGCTCATCTGGCGCGGATCTGAGGCGATGGGAGGAGGACGCGGAGCGTGAGGAGGAGCAGCAGCAGCAGGATGAGGGGGAGGGGGATGAGCAAGGCGCGTTTAGTGACTCGCCAAAGGAGATGAGTGTTGAGATTGGGCAGCCGTAGGCGGCAAGCGGGCGAGCGGTTATACCCTAGCATGACGATGACGAGGAACAAATGCAATGCAGCGCATGCCATGCCATGCCATGCCATGCCATGCCAGTTCATCCCTCATCTCTCCTCTGTGTCAAGCTCCATCCCCATCCCCGTACCATTCTCTGCCTCTCCCTTTCCCGTCATGCAAACATGCCCCTGCCCCTCCCACCTCGTGATCATCCTCCTCACCTCCTCGCACTTCTCCCTCACCCTCCGCGTCTCCTCCCTCCTCTCCCTCACTTGCCCCTCCATGACCCTCTCCAAATTACGCGCAGCCTGACTAGGTCGAGAGCGATTGAGCACTTCCTGGAAATTCAAGACGAGGGTACGCAAGTGAGCCCACTGTGCCGAGCTCGTGGTGTGCCATTCCTCTTCGCCGGGCACGCCCTCCGGCACCTCGCCATTGGTATCGTTGCCATTCGGGCCTGCATGCCCTTCCTCCTCCTCCTCTCCTCGCCCACCGAGCTCCTTGGACGCAAAAGTGCGCAACGAATAGAAGCTAGGCGGGTACTGCAATAAGCTCAACAGCTTCAGGTACGTGACCAGGAAGCTGCGCAACAGCATTAGGAGCGTTGGTCTCCTATCGACTCTTCCCTCCGAATCGCGATCCGCCCCCGGCTCTGCATCGTCGTCGGCGTAGAGTCGTTGTACGCCCGCCTCCTCCAACCCGGGAAGGCGAGCAGGGACAGGCCACCATTGCCCGTAGAGGTGATAGCCCTGCGCTATTCCTGTGATGACGTTGAGGTCGGGAGGGTCGAGTTCCAGTTTGAGGTCGAGGGGGAGAGAGAGGATGTAGCTGCGTAGCGAGGAAGGGGTGTACTGCGAGGTGATGTGCGACGGCGTTGAAGGGTCACTGAGCGCGTCGAGGGCGTGAAGGAGGAGGAGACGTCGTTGTAGCTTCATGCGCGGGGATGTGGAGCTCGACTTGGAGGTAGCAGAGGTGTCATCATCCCCCTCCTGTTCTTCGTCTTGAAGAGCCTCCTCCTCCCAATGCTCGTTGAGCACGCCGTGAAGCCAGAGGTTGACTGGCGTGTAGTGTATGTGCGTGGCCGGGGGTGGAGGGAAGAGGGAGGCGGACGTGAGGGGTGGGTATTGTGGGGAGGAGGGGCCTGCGTCGTTGTTGTCGTTGACGTCGTCCATGGTGAACGTAGGGGGGCGGGAGTGAATGTATGCACTCTGCTGCTGCTGCTGCTGCTGCTGGGCTCGACTGGATATTGAGCCGCTAGTCCGCTGTTGCGTGCCTGTCGCGTGGCACTCGCGAGTCGATGTGGTCGATTGCTGAGCCCAAATCCGTCGTCTGCTCTCCTTGCCTGGCTGCCTGGCTGCCCTGCTTGCTTGTGCCGCCCCGCGCCGCGTAAACTGAGCGACTTTGTCCTCCCTTTCTTTCCTTTCCTTCCAAGTGATCCTCGTCATCATCATCACCACGCTCGGCGCACACCAGCAGCCATGACGCAACCCATCGGGCACGGCGGCGGCCGGTCCGTCGCTCGAGTCTACGCAAACGCCAACGAGCGCTTCGGCCGCTCATGGTGGGACTACGACAATTTGACGGTGCAGTGGGGAACACAAGACAATTACGAGATCCTACGCAAGGTCGGGCGAGGAAAGTACTCCGAAGTATTCGAGGGAGTCAACGTAGCCGCCCTTGGTCAGCCTTCCACCTCAGCCAACCCAGCACCCGCACCAGCACCCCTTCCAGCCTCAGCCCCAGCCCCCTCATCTAGCGGCGATGACCCGCACCCCACGCCTGGTCCCGGCCGCATCACCCAGTCCGTTGGCGAAAAGTGCATCATCAAGGTCCTCAAACCGGTCAAGAAGAAGAAGATCAAGCGCGAGATCAAGATTCTCCAAAACCTCGCGGGAGGACCCAACGTCGTCGGTCTCCTAGACGTGGTGCGAGACCCTCAATCCAAGACTCCCTCCATCATAACCGAGTACGTAAACAACACAGACTTCAAAGTACTCTACGGTCGTTTCCAGGACAGCGATGTGCGCTACTACATCCACGAGCTTCTCAAAGCCTTGGACTTCTGCCACTCGCGCGGAATCATGCATCGCGACGTCAAACCGCACAATGTAATGATCGACCACGAGAAGCGCACTCTCCGCCTCATCGACTGGGGTCTCGCAGAGTTCTACCACCCACACACAGAGTACAACGTTCGAGTCGCCTCACGTTACTTCAAGGGTCCCGAACTCCTAGTCGATTTCCAGGAATACGACTATTCCCTCGATCTCTGGTCCCTAGGCTGTATGTTCGCCAGCATGATCTTCAGAAAAGAACCCTTCTTCCACGGTCACGACAACTACGATCAGTTGGTGAAAATCTGCAAAGTATTGGGGACAGATGAGCTTTACCTCTACCTGGAGAAATACGATATAGAGCTCGACCCTCAGTACGACGATATATTGGGGAGATACCCGAAGAAGGCTTGGGGCAGGTTCGTTAATGCGGATAATGCGAGGTTTGTCAGTGCGGAGAGTGTGGATTTTTTGGATAGGTTGTTGAAGTATGATCATCAGGCTAGATTGACGGCGAGGGAGGCTATGGAGCATCCTTACTTTGCGCCGGTTAGGGAGGCAGAGGCTGCTGCGGCGGCGGCGGCGGGGGCAAAGACGAGTTAGGTGGGTGGCGGAGCGAGGGGAGAGCGAAGCAGGGGGAAAGGGGGGGAGGGAGAGGAGGAGCGTCGTGCAGAGTCGACCAAGTTACGAGCAGTAGGACAGCGCACCCGGCTAGACCTCGACGCGCATCACGACGATCGATTCACGTACATGGCGAGGCTAGATGCGACGAATGACTACGAGGGGCTCGCGATCCATCCGTCTCCTTCCATCCTCTCGCCTTCTAATCATCAAATGCGATTCGCGATCCACGCATTCGAGCACGCAGGCACGCGCGCAAGCAGATGGGGCACATTCTCGTCTCTTCTCATTGGATGTGGGTATCATTCGCCTCCTCTCGCAGCGTCTCATCGTCTCCCCAAAGCCCAAGCAACCGTACTCCTACTGCGCTGCTGCTGACCCAACCAACTTCGAGCCCCAGCCCCTCCCTGCGGCCCAGTGGCAGCAGTAGCCCCCCTCCCTCCCGCCGACGCGCCCGTACTGCTCATCCGCATAGCCAGCTGGTACCAAGCGGCAAGAATATACTCCTGCTCCAGCTTCAGCGCCTCATTCTCCTTGCGCAGCTCGGAGCTCGCCAAGTCATCGCTCGCCGTAGCGTCACTAGTCTCCTTGACGCTCCTTGCTTCTTGGAGTAGACGATCCTGCTCCTTGATGAACTGTTTTGCCTTTCCCATCCGCTCGCGAAGGATCTCCAACTGAGAGCGGAGGGAGCGCGCCTCTTCCTCCGCATCGCCATGCCCCTCCTTGTCTCCGGCGCTTCCGCCTTTGGTGAAAGCTAAAATCGCCTTCCTCATCTCCTCAGCTTGCCCCTTACCTCCGCCGCCGCCAGCGTCGAGCAGAGCTATCTTGTCCATCAGTAACCCCTGCACCCGGTCGGACAGCTTCGCGTGCGCCTCGCGACTGTGCGCTAGATCTGCCTTGGTGGAGGCCAGCTGGGCGCTGAGGGAGTCGACCTCGGCGGAGACGGAGGCGCGTAAAGAGGTTAGGATGGAGGTGCGATCCCGGCCTACGAGGGAGACTGGGGGCATAGCGGGGAGGGCAGATGAGAAGGAGGAGGAGGAGGAGGAGGAGGAGGGGAAAGGTGGGTTAGCATTGGAGAACGCGTGGGCGACGACGACGCGTCGAGGAATGGGCGAGGGATACTCACGATCTGTCCTCGCCTTCACCAAGTCCTTCTCAGACTGTTCAAACTCCTCTCTGGCCTCCTCCCATCTCCTCTTGACATCCTGCAACTCCTCCTCAACTTCCTTCGCCCGCATTCGCCATGCGAGGGCACTTTGACCCTCCTCCATCTTCCCTCCTTTGCCGCTGCCCGCCGCTTTACGGATCCTCTCCATCTCCCCTGCCAACTTGAGCCTCGCACGATACTCGGCCCAGTAGTCCTCCTCGTAGCGCTTACGACTACGCTGTGCGTCGGCGAGTAGATGCTCCAATGCGGCCAGACGAGACCCGTCCCCTCCTTTGAGGCGGCGCACCTCGCGCGTGAGGGAGTGAATACGCAGCTTGAGCGCCGTACTGGAGAGGGCTGCCAAGTCTTCTTCGTCTGCGTCGCCGTCGCTATCGTCGCGCTCGACGCTGCTGGCACCGCTGCGCTCCCCGCTCAACTCAAGCTCCTCGGCCCTCTCCTGCAACGTACTCATCTGCTCCGCGTCTTTACTCCTCGCCTCCTCCAACGCCTTGACCTCGGCGGCGGTCTGCTCGAGATTATACCTCTGCGTAGCCAGCTCCTCCTCTAGGGCGCGATTTTGCGCCTCGACCTGTTCGACCCTTTTCCTCCATTCCTCCAAAAGTGGTCTCCCTTCGGCCAACTTGGCCACTTCACTTTCCAGCGCAGCGTTGCGGTCTACGAGCTCGGCGTTCTGCCCCTCCAACTCCTTGAGGTCCCGACGAAGCGAGGAAGACTCTTCGAGGCGACGCTTGTACTTCTCCAAGGCGTTTTCGGTGCGTTGAGCCTTTTCGGCTAGGTGACGATACTCGTCTAGTTGATCTTTGAGTTGGGAGGCGGAAGAGGCTAGGGGTTGCAGGTCGTGCAGCTGTGCGGGCGTGCGTGCGAGCGTGAGTGGGGAGGAGGGAGGTGAGCTGGGCCGAGGCTGACGTGGGAGAGGGGGTGGACGGAGGCCGGCTCACCTTCTTTCCCTGCTCCTTATTCAGAGCATCCAATCGCTCAATACGCTGTTCCGCCTCTGCCAAACTGTTCTCGCTCTTTCTCAGCTGGGAACGCAACGAGTCCACCTCCTCCTTGAGGACCACATCCACCCCAGACGTCTGCTCGCGGGCGCGCTCTTCGCGCATTTGTTCCAGCTCACGACGGAGGGATTCTCGTTCGGCTTCGCTTTCTTCGTGGTTGGACTTGAGAGTTGCGTGCTCTTCTGCGAGAGAGAAGAGGGAGCGCTCCATTTCTTGCTTGGCTTTGTTGGCCGCTGCTAGAGCGGCGGCCGCGTTGGTCTCGTTGTCGTCGCTCGATCCCCTCTCGTGCTGCTGCGGCCCGACCCCTGTTGCAGCCTCCTTGGTCGCACTCATGACTGCATCGATTGCGATCATGAGTTGGCCCTGCTCTGCCTGCCCGAGCGTCTGGATGGCGACGATGTGAGCAGCCTTTGTGGCATCGGCATTGACTGTTATACCTATCGCGAGCTGGCAGAGGGCGGATAGCTCGTTGTGGGAGGAGGAGGGCGAGCGAGCGAGCTCATCTAGGTTGGGCGTAGGGAGAGAAGAGATGTTGAGCGAGAGAGTGGAGGTGTAGCTGTGCGTGCGGGAGGGTAGTTGGGGGAAAAGGGGGGTTAGATGGTTGGTCGAAGAGGAGGGGGCCAGGGAAGGCACGCACTATTCTATCATCAACTTGTGCAGCCGACGTAGAGAGCCGAGCTTGACCACGTAGCTTGTCGAAGCATCTCCTTCTGATGCTGAGGTGTGCGGGTTCTGGAAGTGGGAGGCGTCACTGCGAGAGGGGCGAGGGGAGGGGCGGGGCGAGGGGCGAGGCGAGGAGTGAGGCGATGAGCATATATCCATCCTTCATTGTGCTCACGCGCGCACTCACACATCCGCCAGCACCTGGAACAAGGCCCGCCCATCGGCCAGCTCCTCTACGCTGCCACATTCCACGCCTACGGCTTGCACCCATGCGAGGAAGGCCCGTGCTTGCGCCGTCGAGTCGGGCTCAGCTTCGCTCATTCGTGGTGATATCGGGACGATGTGATAGCGAGAAGGGAGAGGAGGCTCAGCGTCGTGCCTCCCGTCCAAGTGTTGGTTGGTTGCTCTCACATCGGCCTCGGCGCGGAACAGCAGCCACGCGATGGATGACGGCAGACGCACGCACAAGCCCACGCCCAGGCACAGGCGCACGGCCCCCCTGGTCAGACGCCGAGTCATGCAGCCCTGCCTCCTCCACCAAGTTGGCTGAGCCTCACTCAGCTTGTCCTCCTCACCATCAGACGGCCCATTCATCTCGCGCATCCATTCATGTCCAGCCTCTTACAATCAGTCCTATCAGCCAAGTTAGCGGGCACGTCCCTCGACGAAGAAGGGAGGGCGCAGTCGCACGACGCGGCGATGGGCGAGGATTGGGAGGAGGTCAACACCAGCGACGAGGAGATGGTCGCAATAGCCACTGCACCCGGTACCGGTACGGGGACGCCGGCGAATATCAGTCGACCCACCTCGCCTGGCTCGTCCAAGCCGACATCAGGCAAGTCGGCACTGAGCAACGAGCGTCCCGTGAAGGTGAAAGCGCCAAAAAGCAAGACGGATCCGTTGCGATCCCTGCCCAAGGAGGTGAGTCCGCCGCTCTCCCCGCGCAACCCTCCCTTCTCGCTCGCTCGCTCACTCATTCGTCGTCCCAACGTCTCCCCGCACCAGGCATCACAACGTATCTTCCTCCCCCTACCAGTCCCCGCACTCCTCTCCCTCTCCCTCGTCTCCAAACGCTACCGCAAATCCGCCACGTTAAACTACTGCTGGTATCGCAAATGCCTAGCGGATTTTGATAGTGAGGACGCGGGAAGTAACACCGCTGCAGCAGCTACGACGACGACGAGCGTACAGCCCGGCGGGGGAACCGCAACGACGGCGCACTGGACTCGGAGGGAGAGCAAGACGGACTGGAAGCGAGAGTATGGTCGTCGTCGTCGCCAAGAGAGTAAGGATCGTCTACGCGAATCTTCCCTGCCTGATAGCGGGACGACGACCCCTTCGCGATCGCAGCGTCTGGCCGATTCGGGTGTCAAGACGACGAGGGATATGAGGGAGGAGCAGTGGGCGCAACAGGCGCAGCAGGAGACGGGGTACTCGAAGAATGAGTTGCGGTCGTTCTACAAAGAGGCGGGAGGGAGTAAGGGTGGGAAGGGAAAGGGGGTCAAGCCTCCTAGAGGGAAGGGAGGGAGTAGGGAGGTGGATGAGGGGATTTGGGAGTGAGCATGGTGCGGGGCGGAGCGAGCAGCGAAGTATGTACTGGTGCAAGGAGGACATATCTATGCGACTCGATACGATTCATCCTGACGCTGTCCAGCAAGGAGTGAGCGGGCGGGCGGGCGGCCGGGCGGCCTCGCCTTGGAAGCTCACCCGCGCGTCGCCCCTGCCCTCTCCTCAATAGGAGGGGGATAATCACTCCTTTTCAGTCTGAGCAGGAGAGGAGTGCGTCAGGACTTGTGGTGTTGTTGATAAGTTACTCTCTTCTCTCTACGGTTGGTGTACCCTCGCCCGCCCGCTCGCGTGGCGTGGCTCGTGCGCCCATCTCTCAATGCGCCGAGCCTGCAGCCCCCTGGGGAGCGGAGAGCGGAGAGCGGAGAGCGGGAGCAGAGAGAGACGCACTTTGCCGGTCGCCCCACCGGCTTATCGCTGCTGCGACTGCGACTACGACTGAGCCTTGCATCTTGTCATCCTACCTCTCACTTCCATCCCCGACGTCGACATCGACATCGACATCATGGGTGCCTCTCCTTCACGCCTCGCCTCCACTCCCGCGCCCACCACGCCCGGCAGTGTAGAGAAGCCTGGCTTCCCTCGCGATGACGCTCCTCCCCAGACTCGCGGCCACCATTCGGTCGACCGGCTGAATCGCATCACCGCCGAGTCCACCACCCGCTCGTCGTCCTCGTCTACCTCGGTGGACATCTCCTCCATCCCCTCCTGGCAGTCTAAGCTAGACCAAGACCCGACCTCCCGCCTCGCGGCGCTCACGCTGCATAACACAACGATCAAGGAGAGCCTGAGGGTCAGGAAGAGCGAGGTTCAGATGGTGGATGTGTTCAACACGGTGGTGCAGAGGGAGAATCGACCCATTACCAACCAGCAAAGCAGGTGCGTGTATGTGCATAAACGAGGGGAGTCTATGCGCTGACCCTCTCCTCCCCCCCTCCGCGCTCGCACAGCGGCCGCTGCTGGCTCTTCGCCTCGCACAACGTAATCCGCAACGCCATGCTCTCCACTCTCAAGATCGACAGCTTCCAGCTCTCCCAGTCTTACCCCTTCTTCTGGGATCACTTGGAAAAGGCCAACTGGTTCCTCGAGCAGACACTCGACCTCTACGACCGTCCCGTCGACGACCGCGTCTTCTCCACGCTGAAAGCCGATCCGGTGGGGGACGGCGGGCAATGGGATATGGCTGCCAACCTGCTCCGCAAGTACGGAGCCGTACCGCAGGGTGTGTACCCGGAGAGCTTCAATTCGTCGTCCACGGGCGGGGTGGACAAGCTGCTCACCACGAAGCTACGCCGCGATGCGATCAAGCTGCGTGCTCTGAAGAAGGAGGCAATGGCCTCCCTCCAATCGGCCGGGCTAAGCGAGGCCGACGCCGCCTCTCGCGCGGACGTAGCTTGTCGCAAGGAGAAGGCAGCCATGCTCGAGGACGCCTACCGCCTGCTCAGCCTGGCAGCGGGCGCCCCTCCCCACCCTGACGAGCCCTTTACCTGGTCCTACCGCAACACGGCCGGCAAAATGGTGACGATCCGCTCCACTCCTCGCGAGTTCCTGCGCAAGTACGCCCCCCAATTCGACGTAGAGGGGCATGCCAGTCTCGTTCACGACCCGCGCCACAAGCCCAACACACTACTCACCGTGGACCGCCTAGGCAACGTGCTCGAAGGCAACCCCGTGCGCTACATCAACGCCTGTATCGACGAGCTGGGCACGAGTGCGATCAAGCAACTCAAGGCGGGCCTCCCAGTCTTCTTCGGATGCGACGTCGGTCAATTCTCCAACTCTCAGCTCGGCATAATGGACACGGGGTTGTACGACTTCTCCGTCGTTCTCGGGGAGGGCGAGGGGATGAGCAAGGCGGAGCGCATCGAGTATGGGGAGAGCCTTATGACGCATGCCATGTGTCTTGTTGGGGTGCAGCTGGGCGAGAAGGGGGAGCCGGTGCGCTGGCGCGTTGAGAATAGTTGGGGCCCCACGGCAGGGAAGGAGGGGTACTTTGTTATGAGCCAGGAGTGGTTTAGGGAGTTCGTCTATCAGGTGGTCGTGAAGAGGGAGTTCATGCGCAGGTGAGACGCTGAGCTGGGTGAAGCGCTTGTATGATTATAAGGCTGACCATTGACCCCTTCCCACTTCGCGCCCGCAGCGAGCTCTGGGACCTCTTCGAGCGCGGCGTAGACGAGAAGACGACCGTCTTGCCCATCTACGATCCCTTGGGCGCGCTGGCTTAGGCCAGAGCGGTGCGGCGATATCTGCTAGATCTCGATTCGACTCGACTCGACAAGACTAGACTAGACTAAACTCTGAGCCTCTCCAATCTCATCCATCCTATTGACTCATCAGCATCAGCCTCGCCCTCACGCTCTCGCTCCGACTTGCCTGCTCCGCGCTTGCCTCACCCCCTCACCTCTCCTCCCCGTCCCCATCCAGCTCCAATGACAGCCCCGCCTACCTCGCAAGCTACGACGGACAGCGGACGGCAGACGATGCGATCCCACCGCATTAGCAACGATGCCCTCTCGATCCTGGTAGCTACGGGATTCCGTGTCCGGGCGACACCGCAGGGCCAGCACGCCAAGTGGCCCAAGTGCAAGAGTGGGCTGAAAGTGCGGAGGCCTCAAGACGGACTTGTTCATCCGCCTAATCACATTGCGTCAAGCCAGCGAAGCCGGCCGCCACGCTGATGTCTACGTTGCAATCACGCCCGCCCGCCCGCCCATCCGCTCGTCCACGTCAAGCGGGTCTCGCAAGTCCGTCCGACATTTTGGTGCCTGAAGGCAACCACAATCACAGCCGGGAGGGGCGGCCCGCGAGCAGGGCGCAGGGTGAGACAAGGTGATTGCTCAGCCTCGGACGACCGACCTGCTCGCTCGCTCGCTCGTCGAAGTCATCATTTCGCTCGTCTGCGCACGGGCCGCTCGATCCTCACAACCACGGGTGCTGAGCATCGAGATTGGAGCTGGGGTGAGGGCCGAGAGTGGTTGTTGGCTGAACCAATCAAAGTACGGATGAGACTTGCGCTAAAGCTTCTGCGTAGAACGTTCTTGATGAGCACGACGCTCAATCAACATGGGCTCGTCTGGCTGGCTGCACTTGCTCGCTTGCTCGCTCGCTGTGCAAACGGCAGATCGTGGCCGAGACAAAGGGTACATAAGCCCCGCTCGTCCCGACTTCTATCTCTCCACTCCAATCCCTCCTCTCAACCTAGCTCAACTTCGTCTCATCAGCACCCACCTACCGCACACACAACAACAGAGGCCAAGCCCCGCGGTAGCGGTGAGTACCAATTGTGCCTGCTCGGGAGCGTTGCCGCGTCGCAGAGGGCTGATCCTATCTTCACTACTACTACCGCCCAGGGGCCTCCTCATCAGCGTCGCTTACACTGGCACCAAGATCATCATCGATAGCAACTTCAGCGCTCTCAGCTTACCGGTGTAGATCGCGATGGCCAAGGAGATCAGCCTACGCCAGCGAACGTCAACCTAGGGCACCCTGCGGGGCATCATCAATGAAAACGTGGTCCAGCCTTTCAATGAGCCTTGATCTAGCTTGCGTGCGCCCGCTGCTTCCACTGCGATGCCTGCAGTCGATCTTCTTCTCCTGAAGACTGAAGGACGAATCAAGGTAAGCCCGCGTCGATCATGCTACCACTCAGTCAAGGCCCATCGAGCTGACCACCACCATCTTACCCCGTCCTGCACGGTTCGCCTCTCCCTCCTCGCAGAAGCCGTCATCACACCGCAAGCTTCTTCATTCATCTCTGCAAGCAGCGCCGCATCGTCGCCGTCGTCCTCGGCATGCGCCCATGGCACGCTCGACGCTTCTCTTGTCCCAGAGCCAGCGGTCGAAGAGTGCAAGCACATCGATTCAAATGTCCAAAGCCAAAGGAGACATTGACCACGTCCTCATCAAGAGATACGGTCAAACTCCCGCCGACGAAGAAGAAAGGGAGCAACGGCGCAGATAGACCCTTCGCCTCCTGCTGCCGCCGGCGTCCCACCAGTCAAGAAGGTGCGCTTCACTATCGATGACGAGGAGATGCGCCACATCATCGAGTACGCGCATGAGCTGATGCGGAGGTCACCGCAAGCACGCGGGCTCGTCGTGGCTTTGCCAGCTGGCCCGACGTTGCCCAGACTCGTGCCCCTCGCCATGCCCCTTACTCCCTCGTCAGCCGCACGACGCCAGACCGCGACGGGCGCAACACGCTCCGGCCCAGCACTAGCTCCAAGGCCTCCATCGACCCCACCGCACCAGCGCAAGTCTCCCCCCACGTCGCCCTCGCACACCTCCGCCTCAGGATCTTCCGCCCTGGCCTCCCCTGCGCTTTCTCGAAGGATGCGATGATGACGACGATGCAGCGGCAGCAGCTGCAGGCGAAGCACTGGCCGAGCGCCTTGCTCCGACAGCACCTTCCCTGCCCTCAATCCTCGTGCGCCCCCCTCGTAAGGCAAAGAAGGACGCGATTGCTCTGGCTCAAAAGTTCTGGGAGGGAGAGGCGATCCTGCTTCGCTTAGTTCCGGAGACAAGGAGAGCGCGCACGGCAGCTGCGATCAAGCAGAATCGCCTCGACTTTGGAGACCCAGCCTTCTTTCAGCGTCCTGACGTCAGATTTGCGGAGCCATCAGGGCTTGAAGCATTGCGACGTCAAGCAAACCCGGCAAAGGCCCTCCCGGACAGCGCGGCGGGGATCAAACTCTTCAGTCTCGAGCTGAGCTATGCAAGCATCATCGTCAAGCGCCTCATCGGGTCAAGGCATCAGGCTAGCCAAATTTCTAGCATTGAGATGATCCAGTACGCCAGGGGCCGACGGAGTTTGGACACAGCATCTTCATGGGGAGCCGCGTGACGTCGCGCGCCATCTACTACTGCGACGGGTGGGCAGGGTACGAGGCCCTCCTTCTGAACAATCCGTACTTGGACGCTCGCTTCTACCGCGGCATTGGGACATATCTCATTGTGGTGCTCTATGAGGGTGATGGAGGCCAGGACGAGATGCCATGTACGTCGGCGCCGTGTGGGACCAGTGGATGTGCGACAGGCAGGCGGAGCACATCGAGAGGTTCACCGCGCTGCGCAAGGCGGAGGCGAAGGGGACGCTGAGTAAGAAAGCGCTAAGAAAGCTTCAGTACAAGCAAGCAAACTCGTACCGCCGCAAGACGAAGAAGAGTGGGTAGCGAGTGCGCGTGGTACGAGCGACGTGCAGACTGACCATGCCCCGCCCCTCGCACCCGCAGCCCTTCACTTCGTCCTTACGCGCACGCCAGAAGACTTTCCAACCCCTCACATCGGCGAATGGCTGGAACTCGTCGGGCACGGGCTGACTGGGCAGTACCTAGACCTCCTCGGTGAGACCTCGAAGCCAGATCAGGCGAATGGTGACCAGCATGGACGAACACATGAACTGTGTTCTCTTCAACACCGTCACCACGATCGGATACCCATCAACGGTCGACATCAGGGGAGCCCGGTGGTCTTATCTCGCCTAATCTCGCATCCACTGCAGGCGACGACGTGGTGGGTGGTTGGTGTACCAGTGGCCTGCTCGTT